CATTCGACATGATAGAATGGCCCTATCTATTTGCAACACTTAAAAAATTTGGATTCGGCGACACTTTCATAGAGTGGGTCAAGATATTATACAGCAATCCGAAATCTTCCATTCTAACGAATGGGGACAGATCAGGTTCATTCACCCTGCAACGCGGCGTCCGTCAGGGAGACCCATTGTCCCCCCTGCTCTTCAATATAGCGTTGGAGCCGTTGGCCATTGGTATTAGAGGACATCCATATATTAAAGGTATTAGATCAGGCGGTACTGAGACCTGCGTGACTCTGTACGCAGACGACCTCCTTGTCTGTTTAGCTGACCCCATGGTTTCCATTCCTGTCTTACTAGAATACATAAATGACTTTGGGAGCATCTCTGGCTATACTATAAACTGGGGGAAGAGTGAGTTCATGCCCTTAACAGACCAACTCACGGATGATTTTTTGACAAAACTGCCTTTTAAAGTGACGAAGGAATATTTCACCTACTTAGGACTTAAACTGACGAAAAGTCCTGGGCATCTCTTCAAATTTAATTTTACAGAATCCATAGAAAAACTTAAAACAAATATTGAGTCCTGGAGAATATTGCCCCTATCTATGATCGGCCGAGTAAACGCAATCAAAATGGTGAGCCTACCCAGGTTTTTATACCTCTTCCAGAACTTGCCTATATTCTTAAATGCATCGTTTTTTAAGAAGCTTGACTCTATCGTATTGCCCTTTGTGTGGGGTTATAAATCACACAGGATATCTAAGGCTCACCTTCAAAAACCTTCCAGGAATGGTGGTCTGGGACTGCCTGTTTTTAAACATTACTACTGGGCAGCCAACTCCAGGGCCCTTTCTTACTGGAAGGGTGGAAGTGTTAAACCAGAGGAGAACCCTTTGTGGTTACAGTTGGAAGCCTCCGCGGTTGACATGTCATCACTTCCTGCACTTTTGTTTTCTGACCCCGCCCCAGTAGTGAAACTACTTAAACATAACTTCACCATGAAAAATTCTTTACGCATTTTGAAGCAAATAAAAGCAGCGTGCCGGGTTCCCAGTGTCTCCGTACACGCACCCATATGTCAAAATCATTCTTTCCTGCCTGCCCGGTTGGACGGAGTGTTTGCGCTCTGGAGGGAGAAGGGTGTTAAAACATTTTCAGATCTGTACATCAACGGTCAACTGGCATCATTTGCTCAGCTAAGCAAAAAATTTAATCTTCCGAATTCTCACTTTTTTCGTTACCTCCAAGTCAGACACTATGTTAAGGAGAATTGGCCACATCTCAATTCCACCCCCACCACCCATCCCTTCCTTGAGACCCTCCAGCTCCCTCCAGAATCCAAACGGTTAATATCGAAATTTGTGGATTCATTTACTAAGTCAGTTTCCTCTGATTTTATCAGGGAAGCGTGGTCCAGGGATTTGAACTCTGAAATATCAGCAGAACTTTGGGAGCATGCAATGTCCCAAGTCCATTGTTGTTCTATTAACTCACGTTACAGGTTAATTCAGTACAAGGTGTTGCACAGATTGCACTACTCCAAAACAAAACTAAATCGTATTTTCCCATCCGTGTCCCCTGCATGTGATAAGTGTCATATTGCTGAGGGCTCACTAGCGCATCTTTTCTGGTCATGTCCTGAGTTGCACAACTATTGGTCAGCTATATTTGAACATCTGTCCAAAGCTTACTCCAGAGCCATTCAGCCTAACCATGTCCTGGCCATCCTTGGATGCTCGACTGAGACTTCTGATTTTCCGCATGACACTCAAGTTGCCCTGAACCTAGGGATGGTGGTGGCCAAGAAGATTATTCTCTTAACTTGGAAGTCTAGCACTCCTCCCACCTTTGCTCACTGGCTCAACGAGATGTTGTCGACTATTCAAATGGAAAGACTGCGCTTGCACAAACCCAACAACCCGAACAGATTTGAGAGAACTTGGGGACCCTTCTTGGCTCAGTGTCAGGTGTGATACCTGACTTAATCTTTCATATGATGGTACTTGGTTCAACTGATGCAACTGTTTCTTTTTTCTGAAAATTCATGTAAAACTACAATTGTCTGGCAGCCCTTTTGATTGTTTTTGATTGTTTCTTTACCGTTGTTTGTCTCGTACAGTTTTGTAAAGTTTAAAACTGAAAATAAAGTATTAAAAAAAAAAAAAGAAACTTTCAGGTTGTGCTGATTCTGATGACCCTGATGAAATGTTCACGGTGCTGTGAAGAGTAAAAAAGACACTTTCACCCACAAAGGTGAAACTGAAAACTTTTTTAACTGTCGCTGCTGATACAAAGTCGTTACCCACCTCTAAAGGAAGGGATCATCACAATTGAGACAAATGAAGATAAAAAGACCTTTAGTTTTATTTAGTTCAGTAAGCGGAGCCATTAAAGGGACTGCAGGGAACTTTTGTGTTGATTATGGTGACCCTAAATGGCAAAAACTGTGCGTCTTTTCAGTAGGACTGTATTTCCCATGAGCACCATCACCTCCTGTCATTAAGATGTAGCTCTCCTCAAAGTGTGCACTTGTTGCACTCTGGTCGGAAGTCAAACAGCAAGCTATTAGCTATCTCCTCCAAAGTCAGACAAAACTCACTCTGCCAGCTGGCATTTGACTGTTCACAAAACTCTGATTTCTCTGCTGGATCAGGTCTGGATTGATTTGCACAATGGTACCATTATTTAACAAGGTAACAGAACTCGACAGAACTTCTGCTGTCGGTGAGGAGACAGCCTTTGTTAACCGATCATTACTTTTAACAGAGCCAAGCCATTTACCCAGCGGTATAAGTCAGCCTCCTTTTAAAATCTGATTCATGAGATTTTAATACAAACTTTATAATAAAAGTTCAGTTAAATGTGCCTCCGCGTAGTGTAAATGGAATTTGAGTTTTTGAAATGAGACTTACTGCACTTTTCAGATTAAGTTTTAGGCACAGGAGGCCTGCAGTTTTCTTTCTATAAGATGAGTTAGTCACCATTTTTTAGCCAAAATGACCAAACACGGCGAGGCATACTCTCTTCACAAATTAACACTGCAGTAAAAGAGTAAGACTACATCAGAATCAGTTAAATTCTCCTCACAGTGGCTTTAAAGCTACTGTGGGGAGTTTTTTTATGTTTATGAAAAGACTGAAATTCTCACTGATGCAAAAGCAAACAAAGACCATCAGCAACAAGATTTACAGATATGTATAATAATTTTTCATGCCTAAAACAGGTGCGAGAAAGTAGGTCACAGGAAACAGCCCTGTTTTTAAATTAAAAAAAAAATTCAAAATAAATGTTACACGTGACCATCAGAGTCAGCAGGATGAGATTCTTTGCCCACAGGGGGCGCCAAATCTAACATAAACTGAAAGTTCCTTACAGGAGCTTTAAAAACAGTCTTTTAGCATATGACCCATTCTCACACCACACTCGACATTTCTCACACTTATATTTCCCCATTCAATACTCTGTATTTATTCTTTTCATGATAATAATCTTGACTTGCCGTAGTTCGAGTAACTCTGATTGACTGACCAAGATAACCAATCCCAGACCAATCCATCTGGCCTAACCAACCATGCAACATAAACCAATCAGAAGCAACGTAACGTAACTATCTTTCACACAGAAACAGCGCCGACATTTAAAACCCACTCAGCGATCTCCCGCTCTCCTGAAGACGGACGGTGGGTTAAGACTAGCAGACTAGCATTAGGAGGCCACAGTGCAGGGAGAGCAGCTGGCATGGAGGTGAGGACATCAGTCTTAAGGTATAAATCGACGTTAAAAAAGGCCACATTTTTCTGCAGCCAAACACATCATAACGCTAAAGTCTCACTCTTGTCATTTTCTGAAACTTGGCAGCCTTGTTACAGTGTAAGTTAGTGGGAAACTACATCTTCATCTACAAACATTATGGCACAAAAAGTCTGGAAATCTTTCCTATCATGGTAGACCAAAAAAAATTCAATGAGAATATAAGAGGAACTGTGGTCGTAATAGATCTTTTTCCATATAGATAATGTAAAACTGAAGGGGACCAGAGTGGACGGATTCATTCATAACCCTCGCACTGTAAGGAAATACTAACAATGTCTGCTCAGCATCTTAATAACACCGACACAGCCTGGAGATCGCTCAAGAGCCTCAGTCATCCAAATCTATATATACATATATACATTTACATCTGTGAGCAATGACTAATCATGCTTTACAACCGGGCCCTCTCCAGTTTCCCCAGCTCACAACCTCTCATGCGTCTCTCGAGAGGGCAAGTGTTTAGTGCCTCAGAGTTCAGGACGGAGTTTGGAGCCGAGAAGCAGCAGGAGGAGGTATTGAATCTCCTCCAGCAAAAATAAATAACGCCCTTGTCTGCGAGTGACCGGCGCTCACTCCCAGACTTTTAAGGCGGCTCGAGTTACTGCAGCCCCTGACAGAAGCAGACAGGTTGTGTCTGGGAGAAATACCTTCCCACAGATGACATCATTGTGCGGGGAGGAGAGCGAGGCGCAGGAAAGGCACCGCCACAAAGGCTCAATACTCAATCAAAAGCAAAGATCACGTCCTGATCTCTCTCTCTTAATGAGATTTGCTGCATGATTTTATCTGTGAGAACATTCTGTCTTCTCTGTGTTGCATCTCTGACCCATCAGGACCCTGATTAGACCGTTGTGTGTCTATGAAGAGGGAGGCTTCAATCTTCAGTTATTAGTATTCAAGAGGCATGAAAACATGACCTTAATTCTCCAGAGTGGCGATGCTCAGATGGCACATTTCTTCATTTAATACCCACACGCGCACACACACTGTCTTTTATAGTGTGGCCTTACAAGGCTGTGGTAGAGATGAATCCATTGTGTGGGTTGAAATTAGCTCCCATCACCACCATGTTCCCTGTGAGGGTGGTCTCCCCTGGGCGCTGCGGATGACATTACAGGGATTTGTCCGTGAAGATGTGACTCCATTTCTGCTGATAAGACCCTGGTAGAGATCAGAGGGAGAAGCGTGTTGCTCTCAACTTGTAATCACGAGTATCTCGATGATCCAAAAAGGCCTCATCTCTTCATCGACTTCATCTGCGCTGATAGCAGAGCAGCACAGAATCACACACAGAGCTGCATTATGTCTACATTTACTTTTACATCTGCACGCTGACAACACTGTTAGAAATCCTTGATAGCTTTCATAGGCAATGCCAAAATATTTTAACCATTCAAAACATGCTGATACCACAGAGGACAGCACCACCTGCTGGTTTGTTCAGGTCAGTATTTTTGAGGGGTAGGAGGGTTGGGGGGTTATGTGTGCTGGGCAGAGATCACAGAACAGGATTAGTTATGGAATGAGACCAAGCACATCCATGACAATCTCATCCAGATGCTGCTCAGCGGCGTCTCACTCACAGTTACTATGAGTGACTGTTACAAAGGCTCTGGGTGTAGATGCTGGAGCTTGTGATGAAAGAGGTGCCAGTTTTTAATCCCAGCGATGAAAGAAATAGCGTGAGTGAAACAGCTACAAGACCTTATGTGGCGTCAGCGGTGATGCTCAGTGGCTGTAAGCAAAACAGTGAAGTAATGATGATGATGATGATGATGATGATAACTTTATTCCCCAATTTTTAAGACAAAGTTTGCTTGTAATAACCAAATTAGAGAATTAACTTTTGAATGTTGTTCATTTATTGATCAAGTGGGTGAAATGGCACCAAGATCATGTGTTGGTGATGATCACTGGCTGGAGGCAAAACACTGACGTACTGAGAATCATAAATTTATTTTTATAGCTTTTTTTTTTCCAATGGAAGGTTAATAAATGTTTTTTTCCACAAACAAGTTTTACTTTTTTGTGAGGAAGTGAAACTGCACCAAGAACTTATTTTGTTCAATGATGATGCTCGGAGGCATCAAAACAAAACAAAGACACCGATGGTAATGAAACCAGCTGTTTGTACAGCTTACAAAGTGCGTCCAATAAAAAAACAATGCATCAACAGTTCTCTAAAAAAACACAAAAATTTGTCCTTTTCACTGACATTTACTTTTTTATCTTGCACTACAATGTTTCTTTAATAGCACAGAACAAACAAACTAGTGATAGTAATTTGTATTAGTTAGAAGAAGAAGAATTTGTACTGATGAAGGATCACATTTGACGCAGCAGCTTCTTGTCCTCGAAGGCAACTGTCGCCTCACAAACAGGAGAGGTGAGTACTGGAGTATTTTTCATCTGAAATCTAACAGCTTGAAATCTCCATTTCTACACACTGTGCTCTTAAGTAATTAACTTGATAGAGTTGAGTTAAGATGAGCTGAGTTGAAATGATGGCTGTTAAATGAGGTGAGTAAATAAAAACACATCAAGATAGAATGGCCAAATCAAGAATCAGGTGTTTGCTGACATATCATATAAACAGTAAAGGATACTTTAAGATGATTTACGTTAACTTTTCTGTGTTAAAAGGATAATTCAGTGTTTTTGAAATGGGATTCATTCGTTGACTGCTACAACTAATGAGTGTGCTGCAGGTGAAGTGGCACTTTGTCACATGTGAAAATAGTGCTTGTGCTCTGGTTCAGAGGTTTCATTTATGTGGGATAGTTAACCGCAGCAGTTTATGACCTGACTTCTGAGCAAGTTCTCTGCCTGGCTCCTGGGTCTTTCTGTAACTTCACACAGCACTACTTAAGAAAAGAAAGGGGACTAGAAACTTTTGTGTTTTAAAGTAAAGGACTGTTAAAAACATGAAGAAATGCAAATCAGGAGAAAATCAAGAAAGTAGAGACTTTCTGATCCATCGAGGTGAAGTGTTAAATCTTTAAACCAGGTCTAAATCTTAGCTGTGCCAAAACAAAGCTAAAATGTTCAGTGCATTTGGATACTGGATGAAATATCTGCAGTTTTCCAGCAGTCACTCATGCTCTCCATGCTCCAGCTCTGCTGTTGACACCCCTCTGTGATATGGCGCAATAAGTGGTGTTTTAGCTGTGCAAACATCTCAGCCAGAACGGACTCTGGACCTCGATGACCAGCAAAGCTGTAAACCTCCAAACCACCGCACACCCACATGTCACTGACCCACTGTAACACAAACATGACATGACTCATCATTGTGTAAGAAAAAAAAAAGAAAAGGAACCACCCAGGTCCCTCGGCGAGCGTTATCAGTATGCCCGGATCTATACAGCTCTGTGTAGCACCTGACCCCACGCTCACCTCAGCACTGCTCCCTCGTCCTCATATCCTAGCGCTGTTTGGAATGTGTTTCCAGGCAACGGTCTCTGTAAACACGGCACCTGGCAACTCTGACAGGAAACCTCTGCAGCTCTGTGGAAAATTAGAAGCCATTACAGTGTGCACACCCATTTGTTCAGATAACTGGATATCTGTGTGTGAGATGTTTCTCCGTCTAACTGCACTCCTCTGCTTCTACTGTACGACAGTAATTTTGTAGATTTTTCACAGCTGCATTCATTTCCTCAACAATCACATACCTAATCTGTGTTGGTTCATAAACTCCAGGCATCAGCTCCCATTCCTCTTCATTACTAAAAGCAGCTTTTCACCAATTAACTCCCCCTCTGATTAGCATTACAGGGGTGGCCAAGAAAGTGCCATTACAGGCCCTCCGCGCTGCTCATGCTGTCCCATCAATTTCCTGTTATTGTTGGCAGTTGAGCTGAAGCCCTAGTATTGATCCCTCACCCCGGGAGAAGATAAGGTGGGGAATCGAGATGGATTCCATATCTATTATCTAATGGAATTCCTCCTCCCAGAAAGGGGTATGGATTTTCTGCCATTGAAGCTGTGAAAATGTGTGTCTATGTGGGCCTCCACTGTGTGTCTGAGTGTGTGTGTGTGTGTGTAAACTTGTGTGACTGTCCTCTCTACAAGCGCAGAATGACGCTTTTGTACGATGGATTAATGCAGTAAGCAGAATATGGTGGAAAGTGGCACTGAGGCTTTACAGACTGCTGAAGCATTCAGGGAAATGCACTCTCTATGAATGTGTATTGACCTGCTGCTCTCCAAATGGCCCTCTTAGAGAAGTGCACATACATATAAGCTCTCATGTGTAGAGTATTGCATCAAATGGTGACATACAAAGTGGTGGTGCTGCGATGGCGGCTTTCTTTAGACTACGGCTTGTACATCAGAGGGTGCACCGCTTCCTCAAAGGGTCCCTAAAGGGTTTGATATAAGCACAAGTTATTCACTTTATTAATGATGTATAAATTGTTTTAATTGCTTTACAAGCTGTTTGAAGCATAAGAAGCAAAGACCGGCTGTGAGGCTGTAAAGAGATGCTTTATAGCTGAATCAATTAAAGCTCTAGTGAGAAACTTTTGGTTATATTAAGTTTGGCACTTCTATATCTTTTGGTGCTTGTCCTGTTCATACCAAATCGATCGAGACAACACATACCTTCTTTTTGTAAGGGTTTATTTTCCTGAAAGGACCCAAAAGCAGGCAGCAGAGGAAGCTTTAAGTGGTTTTATTGATAAAGATAGGTGCAGGATGGTGAGAGGTCCGGGGTCCAAGAGGTGGAAGAGATCGGTGGTGAGGGGTCGAGGCTGTATGTGAGCTAGAGAAGACAACAGGTGAGTGGAGCTGAACAGAGATTGTGGCAGTCGTGACAGAGGTTGGGTGGGCGCTGGCGGCTGGTGGTGGTACGAGAGGAGAAGGAAGACAACAGGGGTAAATATCAGGCTGAACAGTCACAGAAAACGTCTCAAAAACTTGAAAATACTCGCTAGAGGCCAAGATACCACTGCAGAAGCAGGAATAACCTGGCACTGAGGTTGATCGGGTGCAGGTGTGAAGGTGCAGGAGGAGCTTCAGTAAAAGCTTCACAATAAAAGACTCCATGTTGTCCCCAGTGTACTCACAACACTTTTTTTTAAACATCAAACATGTCATTGTTTACATTTTCCATTTTTTAAAAGGCATGTCCCCTCTGATTCTCATCCCTGTAGCATTAGTCACAGGTATCAAATATCACAATCCAGGCATATTCCTGTAGTTTTTATATCTTGTGAGTTCATAAATTGGAATCACTAATCGTTTTGACGTGTTTAATCAGCAGTTTGAATCACAGACAGGAGCTTTAATAACTGATAATGAGTCACAGGTTTCCCAACCCCATTGTAATACGCCAACAGTAAAAATTAGCAACTTAAAATAGTAGAGACACATTTTTAAGGAGTGTACACATTATGAATATTTGATCAACAATACACCATTTCCTAAAACAGTGTCTTTAAGTTCATGCAGTGTTTATTTAAGTAACAATAGATATGATAAAAATAGATATGATATCTTTATAAACACGTGTTAAAATATTGCACAATAAAATAGAGAAAATCCTGTAAATGCTTAAACCTTGAATCAGATGAGGAGTCTACTGTTAATAAAACAGAGTAGTCAGTGAGGTTTGCAATTCATTTGTGTTAGTTATTTTGTTACTGGTGTTTGGCACAGCCTTGGCATGTAAACCACTTACCTCTGCTTGGTTTGTCAGCAGCCTAGTTTTGCTGATAGAGAGGGGAAGCCCAAGTTTATGTCTAAAAGAGAGCAAACATTTCTTTGTTTCCTGTCAAAACTTTCACTTTTGCTAATGCTAAGTATAGCTCCCAAAAACAAGAAGCTTCCTGTTATCTGTAGTTTCAGGTTTCTTTGGTAGCACTTCACCCCTTCAGGTTCTAATGCTCCACATGTAGCTTTGCACACCATTGACATATTGTTACGTTTTAAAGCGATAAAGTGAACTTTTGAGCCGACCGTTATCTGTTTGCTCATCTAAAAGATAAGGAGTGACATTAGCATTCACTGGAAATCTTTGTGTTTTGCCTGCCTGATGAATTAAAGTTTGTTTTTTGTCTCTGTTTTGTTCTTCCTCCACTCCTGAGGGGAATATCTGCTAAATGCTACACTGCCAACAACAGATAGAATCTGGGTTAAGGGAAGCAGGTGTTCAATGCTGTGGGTTTGAGAGCTTTTCAGTGAAAACAGCTGCCTGTTGTGTGACAGTAAAGAGGGCAGTGAGAGTAAACAAAACACTGAAATATCCGAAAGTAAAATGAAAACTGAGAACTGAAATATGAAAAATGCTCTAAATAGTTGGGAGGAATTGCAGAGTTGAATGATTATCTTTGACTGATCCAGCAACACTGAATACACACACCTTTTCATCCTTTGTTGATAGAAAAATTTGATCATATTATAGGTTAGAGGTCAAATAGTCACTTATGGGGGCTCACCACATGAGCTACAACACAAAAGGAAAACAAAATTCAGACAGATTTGACTGTTTTGACTTAAAACCAAACTTAAGTGGTCCTAATCACATGAAGTATCTATTGTTTTAAGTAAATTTAAAGCTCCTGTAAGGGTTTATTTATTTATTTTTTTGACATTTATGAAATGGACTCAAATTGGTATTGACAGCTACAAGGACATCAGGGATAAGATTGGTTTAATTTTTAATGCCTGAAACCAGAGTAAGTGGTAGGTGTCAGCCAAGCAGCTGGAGAAATAGCCATGTTTAACTTTTTCTACATAAAATATTCATGTATTGAAATAAAATGATAGATTTGACTGTCAAAAGTACCTACTTAAAAATGTAGAGGACAAGATGAGCTGCTTTGTCCACAGGGGGCGCCAAAAGTGACATAAACAGAAACTTCTTTACAGGAGCTTTAAGTAACTTTTAATGATATAAGGAGTATCTCATAAATAATCATCATTTTCATTGGTATCATGTAATTTTTGTTCCTATAACCTGTTGCCATCTTATCTGATACGCTGCCAGATCAACCTCAGACTGACCCAGACACTGGCTCTTAATTCCACTTTCTAATACCCAAAGACATTGAGACAAATTTCATCCCAAAGTCAGCAAGAACATGGGCAAGGTGGGAGATACTGCAGCAATAATATTCCTGAATCCATTATAAATTTATTAGCTGGGGTGAAAAAAGACTCAATTTAGCAAAATGTGTTCGGAAGGCATCAGAAATAATGAAGATTTAACAATGTAGTAGCCTCAGAATACACATAATATTTCACAGGGGCTTGAATTACTGTGCTACGCATGCAGCAGAATGCAGGTGGGTCTATGGCATGCTCTGGGCTGATAACTCCCTGTGTAATCAAGCTGTGGCACGGTGGCTCTTAGTGTGAATATTGTCATTCTGAGGGACTGCTGATAAGAAGGTGGCTGCTTTACAACACACAAGTGACCAAGCTGGAGTGCAGTCAGGGGAAGAGGATTGAAAATTTTCTTTGATTATGAACGGTAAAGTGTTGCTGCAGGATAGTTAGCATCATTTACCTCACCCTGAACTGCATATTATGGAGGTGCACACAGAAATGCACGCCCCTCTGCAGCATAGGCTAAATCCCAGAGACAAAAGCCGGTGCTGTAATGGGGAAGGTGATAGCCTTAGTGGGTAAATGAATGTCAGCAGCAATTAGAGGCCCGTGTAATAGCATCTAACAGAGAGGCCACAGCGCAGACAGGTCAGGAGTTTACCATGTATCACTGGGATTACATCCACAAGGAGCAGACACTTTCAGCCAAGGACGTCTCGAGGGCAGGGAGACAACAGGAGAAGCGCACAATCAGGGTGTACACAATATTAGATCTAAGATGCACAAAGATCAGACAATTTATTTAACAATGGCTGGGATGAACAATATGACACTGCAGCTTCAGCTTTGTATCATTAAGGTACACAATAGTAAATGGTCTCTAACCTCCTTTGAAGCACTGATAGCCTACCTACATGCAGTTTGAGTGACATTTGTATTGTGATGGATGTGAAGAGTTGCCAGAATAACAAAATGTATACACCACCCTGTAAGTGAAGAAGTAATCCTCATAAGCAGGGGCATGCTAAGTCTTTTTGGACTGGGGTGGCCAAACCCTAGCACTGAGTTATGCAGTGGTGGCCTAAACTTTGATTTTGATGCTCAACAGCAGAGCGCGGTTAGAATTGGATTGCACATTCAGACACTCGGGCCAACACTCTCCAAAATATCCCCTAATGCCAAACCATGTAGTCTTCTGTCATAATTGACTTCAGATAAATTTTGAAACCACAGAGAGACCTCAACAAAACTTAAGTGGTGTAGAACAGCTTGGACTTGTCACACAGTTTGCATACCATGGCGCTGAAACTGGTAAGACTATCCCACTGTCTTCATTCTCAGATGTCTAAACTACACATGGCAATATTTCAAGCTTTGTGCACTCATCTGTCAAAGTCAAAATCCCTCCTATGCATGTGTTGAAGAGAGAAAACTGACTTATTTATTGCTGCGCACAAATCAGGCACGTCAAGTCAGCAGACATTGTGTTGATATCAAATGACAGAATAAGCCAAGAGAACAGCATTGCTCTCTGATAGGCTGTGGGGACACACAAGAGAGCAGTGGAGGTATGTTGGGTTGACATGTGCTGATATAGATGAGTCAGTTACCAGTTTGCTTCCTGTGATCACATCTCATTTAACTACTTGAAGAAGACTAAAGAAAGAATTACAAAAATTTCTGTAGCAATGCAACTAGAGCTGCAGCTATCGAATATTGTAGTAATCGAGTATTCTACCGAATATTCTACCGATTACTTGAGTAATTGGACCCAAACGGCAGACTCACACTAAGTTAGATTTCCTATAGCCCCGCAATGAAGGCCAGACTCAGAGAAATAGAGGACAGTCGTGGAACAAGTGGGTGTGTTAGCGGATTACAATGCTCGTAAGAAAGCTAATTATGATATTAACTTTAATCATCGAGAACTGAATAGCTCCTATGTTACCTGCTTCTGCTACGACACAAGCAATGTTAGGCTACAAGCAAGCGTGAAGAGAAGTGTGCAGAGTCGCTAAGTTGGCAACACTGCAAGAAAAGCCCCTCTCATCGTTTATTTTTTCTACTCCGCAAAACCTAAACAGCGCTTACTCCTCCTTCTACCGTGCATTGTGTCACCTTCAAAAGAATCCATGCGAAACAGTGACGATTTGAGCTTATAAACGAGTACTTGAGAAAATTCCTCGATCATTATTTGTAATCGAGGTACTCAAGGTATTCGAGGAATTGTTTCAGCCCTAAATGGAACCAATTTACTAGGTTAAGAATTAATGTTATGCCTCTGTCAGAGCAAACTGAGAAATCATTATTTACATTACGGGGAGGTACAGAGGCAGCTAATTGTATTTCAAAGGGGGTTCATGCCATCTCAGGTGCCACCCCATGAACACACCCCTGGTCAAAAGGTTGAGCTGTAATTTTAGAAACTGATCTATATGTAGTCAAGACAAGACCCAAGTTCAGATAGTTACAGTCCGAGGCACATTGATGCTTTTGTTCAAGTCTAGAGAATTTTAAGAGCTACTGGCTGACAAGGGCACAAAAGAGTGTTTAATATTAGCTGTAGTGAAGCGGTGGGGCCTACAGTGATATTTCTAATGGGACCTAAAATCCCATTAGACAAGAAAAGGAGTTTTTACTCTGTAAAACTTAATTTTAGTTTTTGCAGCATTAAAAGGCTGTGAAATATCATTCACATAACCATGGCGCATTTCAGTAATTTCTGTTCAAGCACAGCAAAAAAGAAAGAAAGAAAGAAAGAAAGAAAGAAAGAAAGAAAGAAAGAAAGAAAGAAAGAAAGAAAGAGCTGGTGTAGTAAAAGGCCTTTGGTTGAATATTCAGAGGCTTTCCCATGAGCCCAACACACTGGGCTAATCTCCTTCCATGCTGTGTCTACCAGCAGAGAGAAGGTGCAAGGACAGGCAGAGGAAAGGAGGGAGGAGGTGTGGGGAGGGTGATGGGAGCTGTATGAAAAGGGGAGGTAGAGAGATGAAGGGAAGGAGGTAGGAGATGGATGGAGAGTATTGGCCGGGTTGTTAGAGACTAGTAGCCGATGATTGAGTAGAATGACTGCATGGAGGCGAATCACCGAGAGGATACAGAAGACAGTGATAACACACATTAATGTTTTCCAGCTCCTCCTTAATTCAAACCAGAATACAGCATGGAAAAAACAAGCCTTACATATGTATCCCAGATGATCAGTAAACCTTGAAGGACAGTCAACATGTGCTGCTTCAGCTCTGCATTTTCTATTTTCTGTCATCGCAGATGCTGTGTGGTTTTTTTTCAACTCCCTGAAGTGTGTAGGAGGTTTAAGGAAAAGATGGCACAGAGCTTAATTAAATATAATTATTCCCCTCTCCGTGTCTTCAACCTTCAGACCTCAGAGCCAGATACTGTCCTCCAAACACATCACACAGTGCCCTCTGTTGGATGGAGCTGCCACTTTATCTCAAGTGTTTACTTGCAGTCAATGGGCCATATGGAAAGTGGAGAGGTTCCAGTTTTAACACCATTAAATTTAATATATCTGTCCCTTGGTGCAAAGTGTCTGAATGCATTCTGTACTCTGGTGCCAGGCAGGATAGTTTGTCACCTCTCTGAATATTTAAAGCAGACTGGAGGAGGAGGAGGAGCATGTTGTGTGTAGTCCAAGTGTGACAAAATGGTGTCATGATGCAAAAGCATGCAAAACAGGGAGGCTGTATTAACAGAGGGAAACAAATCAAATGGCAGGAGCAACCTGTGCTGGTGTAAGGTGTTATTTACAGTAATTGTACTTCACTCTGCTGTAAACTAGAGTAGCTGAATAGATAACTCCCCTCCCGACCTTCTTCTACCTCTCTCAATCAATTAATCAGCAAGAAATTTAATACAATGAAATGTAGTAGAGATTAGGAATTAAAGTAAAAGTAATAAGTAAAATAATAAAATGGAAAAAAAGGAACTGCCAAAATAGATAAATTAACCATAACATGAAACGTGTACTTGATGAGATTTGAACCTGGGACCCGTTCCACCTAAGGTAGAAACTCTACCCACCATACCACAGGCCTTCTTGACAGTTCTAGTCATTAAAAGTCTCTTCACTTCAACTTTTTGTTAATATTGTTCAAAGAAAAGAAAATCAATTAGCCTGGAATTGAACCTAGAACCATTACTATCAAATGACCCAGTGCTGTCCACCATACCACAGGACTTCCTGACAAAAGTCACTTTTTAGTGTCTTTTGATCTCACCATATATTCAGTTTAAAAGCACATCTCAGACCAAAGTCTGGATCACTTAGTGAGCTCTTTGCCAGGATTTTAACCTAGATCCATTTCAGACAGGTAGCACTATTCACTGAGATACAGGTCTGCCTGGCAGTGCCTGTCTAAGTGTGTTTATGTCACCATGTTACTGTAGTTTCAAAATCTTAGCCTGGGCTACAATCTGAGGAATGCAATTAGTTGATACTTAACATGCAAATCCCCTGGGATTGAACCTGGGACCATATAACTGGCTCATTTTTTTCTGATTTTGCTCTCCTATGAAATAAAGGAAAAATGCTTGAAAGACATGAACGCTAGAAAAAAAAGCAACATCAGCCGCGTTTACATGGGCACAATTATTAGGAATAAATGCCCGATCGGAATAAAAAGGCGTCATATGAACATGTCGATCGGAAGATTCTGATCCAATTCGGCTCAATCGGAAAGAAATTGTATTTGATCGAGAGGGGTGGTTTATGCCGATCGTTATTCCGAAACGTGTCCATGTAAACGCTTATTCCGATCGTGACTCTCTTACCTGACTCGGTCTTCACTCTTTAGCCTTTGATTTATTTGTTGAATCAGCTCAGGAAGTTTCATTATTAACACTCTGGCATAAAACACAACCGCAGGTTCCGTACTTGCTAGTGCTAGTCCGATAGCATAACAAGGCATACGTACAACGTAATGATGTCACATCTGCACGCACAGTGCAACCTTTGACAGGGCAGTAAAATGAGTGAGCACGGGCGCCATCTAGCGACAACATTTAACAAGGTGAAAACTCCTGAATTGGATGGAGTTTGTAGACAACACAGGCATAAATAAATCTGACGAAATTCGACAACTCTGCGCATGTCCAAATGCTTCTAATCTGAATAAAACTTGGTGCAAAATCGTATTATTTGATTTTGCGCCCACAAAAATAGTGGATTCAGATTATCTGATCCCTCAAATTTTTAATCAGATCATGAAATTTTGCACACGTAAACATGGCCATATTGTGAAACTGGGATTGAGAGAAGGCAGCAATGCTAGGGCACTATCTGTAAACGTATACACATGAATAAAATCCTCTCACATCATGAGGCTAAGAAGAACACATCAAGAAGAAATCACTCTTCTTGAGACGACAGTTACAACCCTGAAAAATGTTTTAAAATGTACACGGTGTGAGTTTTTCATTTAGTTTAAATCTAGGTGTCTTTTTATTTGTTGTAATTAGTTTTGACAAATAAACATCCCAAAGCAATCTCCTGTGTCCACTGTGACCATATTCATGCTGGTATCAGTGAGCTCAAGTGTGCAGATTTTGGATTGAAACAGAAAAACATTGAAACATGATGCGTTTGATGGGCCTCACTGAGACTGGAAAGCAGGCTGAGGTGCAAACTCTTATCGTGCTACTTAAAATACTCAAAATCTGAGATGCAACTGAGGAAATTGTTTCAAAACTTGCACATTGCAGTACGGATAAACTAATTATAGCATTTTCTTTCTTTAAAGTAACAGAGTAAAGAAAATGTAGCTTGTTTGTATTAGTCTTACTGACTCAGTTTCAATATTTACACATGTACTACTTTCTGCATCCTATAGTAACCTTCTTTGTCCGTGGTAATTATGTGTACTAAGGAGCTCGTGTGTTCCCTATTCCCCACACAATCTGCACACACGTCTCATACATATAAGCACACAAAAGCACATGCACGCTGAGGCTCACGCCTCCCCTGACAGCAGACTGCAGCGTGAATGAAATAAAGACCAGAAACAGCCTGAAAACTGTTACATCAACTCTTCCTGGCAAAGTCCTGCCTCCACATCTGCTTTTGTTATCCTCTCATAGGGGGCTCCCTAACGCTGGGTTAAAGGGTCTGAGTGAAGCCTGTCTCTCGGTGTGCTTTTACTCGCTGTTCTTTTCACGTCCATGTCCTTAGAGGAAAATAAAACACAGGACGCCAGGTAAAAACATGACAGTTAAAGAACAAAAATCTAACTAATTTCACCATCTGTTTTCATCTGCTCTCACTCCTTCACAAGCAGGATTACAGGATTTCAGGTGACCATGGACACAGGTTTGTGAGTGACACTCAGAAGATTGATATTGTCTCAGTTAAAAGGGTCGGTGACACACAGAATACAGAACATTATATTATAATGCTCCTCGTGTCTGTTTGCCGATACAACCTTGACTGTCAAAGACTCCTAAGTGGCATAATTGCTTGTACAACCTTCAGGAGGTGGTGCATGCTCGTCCCCCATTAGATTCAAGCATTTCAGGACAGCACATGGACAGTGAACATTAAAGGTGGTGTCTATTCCTCTCTTCTCTCCTCCTCTCGGTCTTTAATCTCTCTTTCCAATCCCTTCATCCCTCTCATTTTTATGAGAACTGTCACATCCATTCCCCTTGCTCTCCCGCCGCCAGTGAAGTCCCAGCCAGCCGCCAGTCTTTGCCTTAGGGTGTGTGATGGAAGAGCTTTCATTTATTAACGATTATATCACTAACACAAACCAGACCAAAGAGCTCCCTTTTCTGCTGACTGGAACAGGGGAGCGGAGCTGGTCATCAGAGGCAGGGATGGAAGTCCCCACATGGTGGAGATCTGGGGGCTTCAAATGAATCCTCTGATCAGTACGTCAGAATAAAAGAATCGAGACACGTCAGTAAGTGGAATAACAGTTGGCTATTTTTTAAATACTGCATTTATAAATGTACTTTAGAGATATGAAGGAAAGAACAATACTCAATTCTTTTTTGACAAGCTAATCAGCACTCAAATGAGCAGAAGAGTGCTTTTGGGTGTTCTTCAAGTTTGTCCCGGGTACAAATCCTCAATAAGAAAACTTTTGATAGCGTCAACATCTTCTTAAAAACAGTGTAAGTGGGCTTTAAGAGGAAATTTCTTCTTGAGACCAGCTGGAAAATGAGATCTTGTGTGAGCAAACTGTAGATTTTAGAAAAGATGGACAACATAACACATCCCCAAAAGTGATGCCAAAATATTTAGATCACTTTTCTTCATGGAAATGCAACCAGACCGAGACACTAAGGCAGAAGAACTACCGCGTCTGCAGTGCAAAATGATTAATATGATGATGTTCTTCCTTGAACTGCGACATCCCGCTGTAGTCCGTAATGGACTGGCCTGAGGTCTCACTACAAACAAGCGGCTGCTGGAAGAGAGTAGGTGAGTTATGTTTAGTCTCTTTGCTAAAGAAATTAGGAAAAGCTGAAATGATGTTTGGTGGCTAGTGCTATGGCTGGGACCCTATATGTACTGTTGATGAAGTTAGGTGCTGTTCTGAGCATTATTTGTGGCTATAGAGTGGCGTTTTGGTTGAGGTTTGTTTTTGGCTCCTCAGACCGTTATGTATTGCTATCCTATGGTCGTTATTAAAGTTGGTATAACTAGAGACACAAGCGGTCGTCAACATTCATCTCTCGAGGGGGTGTCTAACTCGGTGTTATGGTGTGTTTGCCCCTAACTTAATTTTACACCGGAATATCCCTTTAAAGAATTTGCTGCTTAAACTGCTCACAGCAGTACTTATAAACTGCCAAAGAACTGTTAGGTTTTAGGTTTGCCTCAGTTTTTTTTATGAGAAATACAAATAGTTCATTTTAAACTCTTTTCATACTGCAAGTAATGTAAACTGAAATAGGCAAAATAAGGTGGGCTGCTGTTGAAGCTTTGAGCTAAAGTACTCAAATCTGGCATAATACCAATACACAAAAAATCAGAATGTAAAATCTGAGACATGTTTGTGAAGTAAACTCCTGTGTTTTACATTCACGGGCCGCAAAGCTGGATAGGAGCTGCAGAACTAAAGAGTATGTGGAGTGCACTGATGCCATCCTTGACAAAAGATAGTTGGTTTTATCTGAACAACAATAACTTTAAATGTAGAAACGAAAGGAGGTGTGGGGCTCTCATCTTTGAGATCATGAAGATCTTACACCTGGTTAAAAATATATAATCTTTATTGTATTTCATACATTAAAAATGTCCCAAAAGTGAAATCTAACAGCTTAGTAAAATTTAAAATTGCTTTTTGAAGCCCTGATCTTTGTCTTATTTCACGCAGAATTTTTATGAACCCAACTAATATATTTCAGCCTCTGGGACCGTAACTTGGAGTCAAACATTTGGCTTGACCCTTCTTTTGTTTCAGCTTTTTGTAATTTCCAGAGGTCACATGATAAGTATTAAAATATGGAGGCAGTAAGTGAATCTCAGCACAGATCTCCTCTGTGTAATATTTCTAAAACAAATCTAAACATCTCGTCTGGTGCAAAATGATGATGGAGTAGACATGTGCTAAATGTTTGGGCTCTCTGTCTGCTCACACTATTACATTAGTTACCAGGCAAAGGTGCAGCCAAAAACAAAGACATGTTGGCTCGCTGGCACACTGGCCAGTCTAATGGTTGCTCTGTGAGCCTGCAGTGATCCAGCCCAGATCTCTCGTCTCAGCAGCCCTCCATCTGTCATTGGGAAGCCGCAGCGGTCCCCCAGGTGGGAGTGTTGTGTCAGCCTGGCAGGGTCATTACTGTAGGGTCCGGGAGCGCCGCTGGTGCAGCCTGCTCCTTTGCAGTCCCTGCCCAGCTCTAACCCCTGCCAGGTAGGCAAGATCTCACACAGACCTAATGTATTCACACTAATTAAACTGTGCCAGGCTCCACAAGCGCCCAGCTGTTAAAATAGAAAGAGCAACTGTTTGAATCAGAGGATGGTAATGTCACATTCTCAGCCCAGAAACCATCTGGATCACCTGGTTCTGGGGGGAAACTTCAAAGAGGCGGTATATCATTTTAAAACCCTAAAATGATTTGATTTGGCTTTAAAAATAATTCTGGGCATGTTTATAATGAGGAACTAGAGCCATAAGGAGTTGGCAAAATCAGGGGAGATGCAATAAAGGATCTTTGCCAAGTCTAACCAGGAACAATTTGGCCTACATACAACCGAAACCATCTCTGCTGCATTTTTGTTCATATGTTTGTCGAAATCTTCCAACGAAAATACAAAACAAACAAACAGATCTGACTTCATCAAAAAGGAGGCCTTTGTGACAAATGAAAGAAATGTAAGGAGCGATCTCATCCCCATCAGACAGCACCAGTTCTGCACCTCCCTCTATATAAAAATAGACACAGATATAGAACAATACAAACAAAATAAAAATAACCCAAAGCAGAAACAGAACAACAAACTGGAACATAAAAAAACAAGAAGAAGTCCATTTTGCACATCATAATCAAAGTTGTGAAAATGAAGAGTCAGTCGGCTCTGAAGTGTCATAGATCTGCACAGTGTAGAATCACTAACACTAAGGTCCTCATTGTTATTCATATAACCACATAGCCGGTGAGTTATCCAGTCCTCCTAACCATGCCTAACAAACAGATATGTTTAAGAATGAGGACCAGAGATCACAAGATACAGTAAACATACACTTAGACCTGTATGTTAGATAGATATTGTTTTGTATTGATAATGTTGATGCACCCGGCTGTTGTTGGAGGTCTGTCATCTATTTGTTCATCTCAGCAATGTTTTTTTTTCACAGACAGAGAGGAAACACCAGGGTCTCTAAGAACATGTACTGAAGTGCATCTTAAAACCCAGACAGTAAGCACAAAAGATCCTTTGATGTTCAAAAGCAAGGTGTGATTTATCCACCGTGTTTTTACAGTACAAGTTCGAACTACGTGAATGAAACTCCTAGGCTCCCACACTCGCCCTATACACTCTCCCTCCGTTTACGCGTCCCTGCGGAGGCTCCGCCATATTAAAGGACGTCCCAAACCACAGAGTGAGGAGGGCGAGTGGACCGTTCAGCCCTCAAACAACGAGACTGCACCGATGCACACTCACGAAAGGAGTGTGCATCGGTGGAGGACACGACTCTGCGGGGGCGGAGTCATGGAGTCGCACGAAGTTAATTCTGAGTGTTTTTCGGGTCGGATCGAGTGTCTTTTATGCGCTTCTAACTCAGTAAGTCCACGTGACACAAAATCAAAACTCTTGTACAAAACCACGGACATTTGAAGGACTTTATAAACTTCCCCAGACAAAGCCGGACAAGCCCTAACAGCCCAGACAGCGCCCCAAAAAGAGGACATGTCTGGGTAAAAGAAGACGTTTGTTAACCTTAAACATTACACAAGTCAGTCTCACTGGTCCTTTTCAGTCAGCTGATTGAAGGCAAAACTATGACAATAAACCCACCAGAACTTGTATGGAAACGAGTGTTAATGGGTGAATCTATTAACACACGCTGTCAAGTATCTTTAAAATTTGCAGATGTGAATGTTTTTTGGAAAGAGAAAAACAACAGTTCACAAAATCCCACAAAGGGCCTTTAATTTGACTTTGCGCACAAAAGAACAGAATATCAATATTTGTGTTTGTGTTTTAAGCTAAACCTCTTTAAAATATCCTGAAATGTACAAACGATAATGATTGTGAGACACTGAAACCTTAAAACCGGTGCAGATTTACCTGGTAGATATGATAGTATAGCTTTAATTCTCATCATTTTGTCTTTATCTTACCTGTGTGGTTTGTGCTCCCCACTAATTGTTCTCACCTGTACCTGATTTGTTCCACCTGTGGCTAATTAACTTCAGCTTCACAGTGTTAGTTAGTAGTTGTATCTTTCCCAGTTTTTTTTGTACATTTTTATACAATTTCCCATTTTTACCCCCTGGGTTTGACGAACATTTGTTTCGCCGAGCCCTGCCTGTGTTTGTCCTTTTGTTTTCTGTGATTTCACCCTGGTTGTTGATGCCTGAGTTGGACTCTGTACTGTAATGCTTCGTTTCACCTCTTACATATGTGCACAAAGGCCAGAGCATCAGACTGAAACCGCCAAAGCAGGTTAGCTAACATAATATTTGTGAGAACAGGCACAAAGCTCATTGCAACCCAGGATCAAGTCATTGAAGCATCATCACCACCTCTTGGTTATAATCCAATATTAGACTTGTTTATGATTCCTAATTATTTTATTGCAAATTAGAAAATTTGAAGAGCTCTTTTACTGCAGTCTGCATTTGAGTGCACCTCTGTGTGTTTGGTTTCAGGTTGAGGAACAAATGCAGAGGAAATTTTTATTTATTTTTTGATCAGATTAAGAGGCAAAATTAACAAAACACAGACTGATGCTTGGGATATGAGTCATCTTTGAATTACGCGGCTTATTTGTACTCTCCGAGATGAATTATAACCCCAAAATAGTCCTTTGTATGCAGATGAGTTTGTTTTTCTGCTTGTTTTTTTTTTGTTTTGAAAGAAAGATGCCCTTCTTGTCAACCAATCTTTGGCTGCGACCAAGTGATTCAGATAAGTAGCTGTAAGGTTTCCTGTGCAACAAAGACGGTAAGAGGGTCTGAAAGCAGTCTGTCATTATGTTAGCTTGTTTATTTGTGAGCTCTTTCCACAAGCGTTGCACGGGTGGACAGTGCCAGATTGCACACAAGTAATCATCTGAAGTGTTGGGGGAACAAAGTGAGCAGGTGTTTGATTGTTAGAGATCCATTTGGGGCAGATTTGAGTCCAGAAGTTGGCAGCATGATTGATTGATATTTCTTTCATTTCGTCTTCTCGAGAGAGCGGCAGGATTTTGCATGTGTTGTGAAGTGTTTTTTTGAAAAACTCATTATTTATTCTGCGGTAATGTGCGCTCAGAGACTGTGGTGTTTCATATCAAAATTCTGACGGTACAAATGAGACCATCCACAAGAAGATACTGGAGCTAAGTCTCTTTGTGTGGTGCCTTTGTGTGTCTTTTTCAGATAGAATTGAAGATTTCAGTTATTTCTACTGTATGTTCTTGGTGCAAAGAGGGATTTCGGACCATTTTCTGATGTTTCACTGAAGGACATTTTTGAAGTGCACACTCAAATACTTGATCTTCTTGCCATTAAAAGGCCTTTTGGTATAATCTGCAGCAGGTTTTGAGGCTCAAACTATTAAAATATGATATATTAACACATGTTTTAACCCAAGTGTGATTTTATCAGCACTATAAACTCTTATCACCTCACACTTTATTAGCTTCAACCCTCATCTCTCCGTTGGTCGCAGTAGAAAGTGTTCCTGGCTGGTTATACTGCGTGACTGCTTCTGTTGACTTGCCTTTGTACCCTGTCCCAATGATGATCTTACCACATATCGCGGCTGACCCACAAGCCCTTGCCTGCCAATTTGCATAAATCACAGTCTCGATCTGACAGTTACTAGGCAGCACAGGCGGGGAGGTGCCCAGCCCCCGTGCAGAAACCAGGCCACCAACCCGGAGAATGGGAGGCCTGCCTGCCTGCCAGAGTGACAAATGTGTCCTCGGCCTACTCCAACTGCCTCCTCCTCTTGTGTGGAAAGCGTGCGTGTTTGTCAGTGTGTTTCTGCATCTGTTAGCATATGGATGTGTACGCCCCTGAATTGCATGAATACAAAGGATAAATGTAATTCCTGGGTTCAAAGTAAAGCACTCAACAAAATAATTAACATACATGTGTGGCTTTTAAAGTGAAATCGACCTGGTCGTATCCAAAGCTGCTACATACCATCACTTACATAGCTGTCGAGAACCAGGGGTGTTGCTACAAGGTGCTGTAAATTATGATTAGGAGGTGAAAAGGTCAAAACATTCTATTCACCCCTCCTAACAGTGCAACAAACTAATGCTGCATTCAAGTTACCTCAGTGGTCAGAAGTCTGAGCTGGGAATGACGTCACACCTGAGTGACCAGCGTTTCAGTTACCAAGTCGGAAGAAAGTAAAATCAGAGGTGGGAAAAAGATGTTATTGAAGCACTTGCCTTATCCGAATATAAGCAAGGACAAGGCAAAAATAACTTCCATAGATGTAGCTATCTTGTTTCCACCTCTGATTTAGCTTTTTTCCGACTTGGTAGTGGTAACTTTGGTGTGACGTCATTCCCGGCTCGGACATCTGACCTTCAAGCTAACTCGAACGCAGCATAAATCTCCAAGAGAAAAAACTTAACTCTTACCCGGGATTTCCACTGCATCAGAAATAGCTCTGATCTGGAATGGCAACGATTTTCAATTGCACGTGAATCTGCGGGTTCAAGGCGGTAGAAATTGACACATTAACTTGAATGGTACGATCAGCTACGATTGGCGGATACGGCCTTTTCGTAGCCATTCCGGATGTGGTGGAAATTGGGGTTTAGATTATGAAACTAATGTGTTCTTGTTGTAATTCATCATTCTGTCCAGATCACAAATTATATGAGCCTCAATAATCTGACAAATAATGATCATTTCACAGCTCCCTGATTGACAAGCAGACACAAAGACAAAGGATAAGGATTAAAAAAAGGATTGTATTGTGAATTAAACAAACATACTGTATGACTGTCTGTTTGCTATCAAAACACAGCAAACATTAGCAATTAGCATATCTCATGTGAGTTAGCATAACTGAGTTCCCATCATATGGTTTAAACAGGAAGTAGCCAAGTGTCGCTATCTGGTCTAGTTCCTGGTCAAAGTTCCTGCAGTGGAAACACAGCTTTAGCAACAAAGGGTGACTTACACAAGTCCTGCTAAAACTCATACTGTCTCTGCTCCATAAGACGCCCGGGGTGTTGTGTTATGCCGTGATGATAAAGTGTGCACAGCAAAGAGATTGCAGCTGTTTACACATTCCCCTCTGAGGACCACTCTCTCTCTCTCTCTCTCTCTCTCTCTCTCTCTCTCTCTGCAGCCACTGGGTTACATAATGCTACGTATGTGCATGTGGGTAGTATGTGAGAAAGAGAGGCAAGAGTGTGGGGGTAGGGGGAGAAATCTAAACGCTGCTCAAGCTGTGGGTTCAGTCTGTGATGATACAATTAGACATATCCTCCACTTTGATAGTGTTGTTTTGGTTGCGGATTAAAATGCCAGACGTGAAAAGTGCATAAGGCAAACACAGCTGTTCATCCTGGCAAGAAAGGGGGTCCAACAAGTCTTTTTGTCCATGAAGAAGAAGAGGAGGTGCGCTTTCACCTTGCACATTCTCTACATGTGTTTGCTCCTCTTATCAATCCAGATATTACTCTGTTCGTTGCTTTTCAACGATGGCCATCAGGATTCAGGTGGAAACGTTTAGTTGAGGTCTGACAAAAACCCCTGCACTTCAAAAGCACTTTTGATGTTTTCCCTCTGTTTTTCCAGGCCACTCATGCATCAGTAGTTTGGTGAAAAACACAGACTCTGAGACAATATTAGAAACGATGCCCGCAGGCGCTTCTTTGAAGCTGAACGCCAGAGCCGCTCGGCCAGTCAGCCCATTGATAGCATGCTACCCTCCCCGCTAGTTTGTATGATGCTGGTCTTCTACAGGGAATACAAAACAGCTTTTTCCTCCAACCTATGTCAGCATCTGATGTGAAATCTTAATATTGCGGTCGGGGGTTTAACAGAGGCCAGAGCAACTCCTGCAGTCATTTGTCCAACAGAGCGTGTAACATTTGGCATAAAAGCAACTCAAGTAGTTCATAATGTACTCATTTCAAGTGAAAGTATCCTGGTGCTTTAGTCCTCTGAAGTAGCCTATTAAGTAAATATTCATGATGGCACAGGTTCACAGACAAGATCATGCTTGCTCTTTCCTCACTGCCTTTTCATTTCCCCCTCAGTGCATTAAAACACAGAAACACAGATTCATCCCAAAAAGCCCCCAGCAGTCGTTTCCTTTTTTTTTGTGTGTGAAGACTATTACCCAGTAAACAAAGACTTCAAACAGGCAATCACAGTTCAGTTTATTTCCAACATATCTGATCAGGTTTCATGTTAGGTCTTTGCATCAGATGTCTGAAATTCTGGGTTGAACCTCGCTGGGAATCAACATCACCGCTGGGACGGTAATCATAGCTGTTGCTCTCGGAATAGCTGCGCCAGCAGGCAGGAAATCATGCATGCGTTACAGCAGCCATTAGGGATTACCTAGGTGAGCTATTTTATGCCACTTCTCCGACAAACACACAGAGGGAAGTACTTAAAGAAATTGTTCCTCTTTTAATGGATGCTAATGAGGCTTGTTTTGATATATCAGACAGATAATCTTCTCCAGTAACAGTTTCTGCTGTCGTATATGAACACACAGCCACATTTTGAGACAATATATGTGTGTACTGTAATACCTACAGTGATTTTATTTACAGGAGAAACTACAAAGAGGCTTTCAGATCATTGAAGGAAGTCGATTTTTACTCAAGCATTGGACAATGTTTTGTTTTAAACTACTTAAGTGATTCTTTCCATCAATTTTGAGATATCATTAGATCTAAATGTGAGTTGCATGGTAACTCTCCTTATCTGCTCTTCTCCTGATATCCATTTTTCATAAGCACTTCTAACTATTCATCCCCCTCTCGTCTATCCTGGCTCTTTTTTGTGCCAGTGCAGTTGACTGCACAACAGGGAGCGGCTTATATTCTGGGTTCCTTTTAATTATTAATGGGCTTCTCAACACCTAGTCTAATCCATCTACACAACCTGAAATACTGACACTAGAGGAGATCACTCTCACTGAGGTGTAATTTTCCTTACAAGATTATGGACGACCCAATTTCACTCAGTTTTATGGCACGTATTATCCTCTGTGGGCTGTTGGCAAATTAAAATCAGTAAAATATATATTTAATAGTCTTTATAGGGTGATCTTTTGTTGGTCCCAGCACCTCAGTTTCAAATAAGGTGACTTTCTGGATGTATTTAAATCAAGTATTGAGCCAATAAGTGAAGTTTAAACACTTCTGAGATTGAAAGTAGATAGTTTGAGTAATATGCTGCCTTTTCTATTAAAGCCCCTATAAGGAGCATTTGGTATATGTTGAGTTTGAGCTCTAGCTCTTATCTCTATGCTAATCTGATTGTATATGTACAAGTGGAGTTTTCAAGGCAAGATATCTCATCTTGCTCTTTTTGTAACTCACCTTAAGTGTAATTTTTCAGACCATATTTTTATCCAGTGATGGCACGACATGGAAAATTTGGGTAACATTGAAGTCACTATGAATGATACTGGGGGGCATAAATGTCTTAACCAAATTTAAAAGCATCCACTGGGACCATACAGTACTCTAAAGTTGCAATACTCAATCTGCAGCTCATTAGCCTAATACAAGTCTTTTATGACAGTTTGTGGTTTACCTAAGTCAATAGATCATTAAAAGAATGGAAACATAGTCAGATTGGATGCACCCCCACCTTGAGCCAAGTGTCCTCAGTTCTGATGACTGTTTCTTTCCCAACATGAAGAAAGTGGACTTAAAGAAATTAATGGGACATCTTCCAAACATCTCTAGACTTGAGGCTTGCAAGAAGATTGGAGGTTCGCACATCACTTTGAGTTTATTGTGCAAAAGTAAAAGAATGCTATATTTAAGAGTTGACCGTGACAGTTGACGTCAAATCTCTCCAATCCTTTGCAAAGGGAACATTAGGATACAAAAATAGTGGCTGATGGAATCGAGACCCTGAGTGATGCACAAGGTAGGAGCCTGATCCTAACATCAACTGAACAGCCCAGGCTCGATTTTAAACAACAAGTACTGACAAACGTAGAGGTAATTAGGCAAGTAGCAGCACATGTACAGCACTAGGAACTAGGGATGTATTACCGGTAAAATAATTAACCGCTGTAAAATATCTGATGGTTAGTACTACCATTTCAAATCTGTGCGCACTGCACAGTATACAACTTGTAAACATGGCGGATGGCATCTGGACCATGTTGCAGAGATTTTTCCGCCATCAAAGAAAACAAAGTCCGAAGTCTGGGTGTATTTCGGCTTCTACAAAGACACAGAAGGGACACTGATTGTGGACAGCCAACCAGTTTGCTGAAAGTGCAAAAAAAAAAATCTCTGTGAAGGGTGGAAACACTTCTAACAGGATGTCCTACACATTTGTTTACATGTGGTTGTATTGTTTCATATAGTAGTGTTGCTCTGTTATATACTTGTAAGAGTAGATTATTTTGAGCACTGAAGATTCTTACAATTTGCACAATAAGGAATGTCATTTTATTTAAATTTGATTTATTTGTAATTATGTTAATGTTTATGCCACTGGCACATTATTTTGTACTTTGTTATTACTCGTGTTGCTTACTAATGTTGATAACCTCTGGCTCTTTAAAGGCCCCATTATTACATTTTCAAACAAAAGTTCACTCTGCGTGTTATTTTGATTGTTTTTTGAAATAAGTGTTTGTTAAATTATTTCAGGGTGTTTATAAGTACTTATTAAAAATTTTGAACATATTTCAACAATACCGTGATAATATTGATAACCGAGATATTTTTGGTCACAATAATTGTGATGTGAAATTTTCATACCGTTACATCCCTGGAAGGCGCAAATAAAGAAGAGTGTGACTAAACCCTGGTTCTTCAAGCTGCACAGTGCAGCTTTGAGAAGCTTTACAATTGCAAAATACAGTACGTCTATGTTAAATTGAAAAATGAGTGTGTATAAAAATGCAGCCCTACATTTACAGGCACTTATCATCACTGAGAAACCACTGCTTTGCTCAAAACCATGATGCTAAACAAGTAGGCTACTTAACTGCCACCCACAGTGTTAACCTGAGGCTTTAGCAGTTCACCTGTGCTTGTACAGAGACAGTGGAGGACATACTGTGTCATGATGGGGGTCTCCAACAACGCTCCTGACAGAGGGAAGGTCAGAGCCTATTGATTTTTAACACTGCTCAATGAGACAGCAGGCTGCTCGGTGCAAAAGATACCACCATAGAGCCAGTGTAAAGAAACACGGCTCCAGCTCAGTTACACCTGCTGCTACATCCATTTCATGTTGGTACTTTATAATGAAAAAGCAATACAGGGATTCTCAATATGATTGGCTTTCCACCTGAATGCTTTCATCCATTTTATCTCTCAGATCAGCAATCACCTTGAAGAAGAAAAGACAGCAGGAATAAGAGAGGCTTCTAAGACAGCACTACAGCCCAGGCTGCAGCCTTTGTGTGCTCCACAGAGAAGGTGGGAGGGAAAGTGGGCCAAGGGGTCTTTAATGTGCAGGGTGGAATTATATATCCTTTTAATCATGCTCCCCCACCCAGCAGCAGTTAGGGATGAGAGTGACTGAGAGCCAACACAAAGCTAATTCCGCCCCTGTCACATCCGATCGTCTCTTACCTGGTAAACGAGCGGCAGTAATGACGCTCGCCTGATGGCCCATGCTCATGCACATTTGCAGGGGTAATGTTTGATAGAAATCAATCCATGGTAATATGCTGGATGGTAGTGCTGAGGTGATTTTCTGGAGATGGGTTTTGTCCAGAGCAAAGGTGCAGGCACTTTGGGAGCTGAAAGCAAAGTAATATATTCAAGCATTTTTTTTTTTTTTTACTTAAAGCTCCTATGAGGAGTTTTTTGATGTTTATGAAATAGACTGAAATTCATATTCATGCCTTTTTATATTAAACAGAAAACTGACAGGTTGTAAACTGTCTTTTTTAATGGCTGAAATCAGCACTAGGGGGTAGGTGTCAGCTGAAAAGTCCTGTTTTTAATTTCCACATCGTATATTCACATTAAACTACGCATTCAACCAACAGGATGGGAGCTGACATCAACAGATACTACTTAAGCATGTAGAAGACAAGATAAGCAAAGACTGCTCAGTGCACATGGGGAGCCAAAATTGACCTTAAACAAAACTTCCTCACAGGAGCTTTAAGACTCTTATTTTGCAGTTTTTTTTCTTCTTTTTGGTCAGACATCTTAAAGGGAGAAATGTGGTTGAACCCTAAACTGTATATACTATGGACAACTTGGTTCCGCCTTCTGTCAGTATATGGATTTAAAGCTGAAAAGTTCTTGGTAATTCTGCATTTTTTTCTCCACTTCCTGGAACCAACATTGCACAGTAGCGTTGTGCGCATTCGGCGGGAGTGTCGCTGTGATGACGCTTGGCTCAAACAGCGTATCCCCCAGGTGAGCTACGCAATCTTCGTTCGCCCATAGGCTGTATCAGGTGTCAATCATAGAAAATATGAACCCCCAAATAACTTTTAAAAATGGAGCTGTACAGAAAAAAGAGGACTTGAGCACAAACCAGTCTTATAGTAACTACATGTCAACATCACAATTAGGGGGGAGGAAAATTTATATTCTGTGTAATAAATTTCTAAAGTTTGACCACAGCTCCATAAGGATGGCTGGCAGAGGCGGGATGTATGACCTATACTGCAGCCCGTCACCAGAGGGTGCTGTTCTCAGAGTGACTTCACCCAGCGAGGAGGCAGAGGGCGTCTATTCTATATACAGTCTATGGTTTGAACTGAGAATCTCAGTCACTCAGACTGTTGCCTCTGTATATGGGGCGCCTGCTCAAGCAAACTGAGCTAAACCAGCCAAAACCAAAATACTAAATATTGTTTTGCAAAGTGAGTTTTTGCTTTTGGTACAAAATTAAAATGAAATTATCCCAAATTTATTTTAAATGACGCAAAACATTGCTGTAAAACGTGGCTTTGTGGTCACAAAAATGCCTCACTAAGCCTCATACGTAAAAGGAAGAAAAATGAGGCACCATTAAAAAAACACTCAAACTGGACGTTTTTAAAAGCTATTTTTATGGGTAAAAGAACAAGAAAAGTATGATTGACTGTTAAGCAACTTGACTACATTAATTTTTAGTACAATGTGTAATGTTGTAAAGTTTTACAGTCATTGAGTCATGAAAATTAAGATTACTTTATATCCACTATTTTGTACCACAAACCAAGAAACGTCTGAAGCTGAAGTAGGAAATGTTCACATGGCTTGTAGCAGAGGTTAAAGCAGAGTGGTTTATGTTGTTTACTAATAAAATATCACATATAATAAAGGTAATAGATCAGACTAAATATGTCGTCTCCTGTGCTGGGTGAGTTTCTATTTCTAAAGAGACATGCTCAGATTTGGGATAATAATTTACAGTCATAAGATCTGTCCATTTCAACGGCTTGAACAAGCATTAAAAGACTGCTGGGTAAATTTGGAGTGCTGAACTTAAGCAGGGTACTTCAATTATTCCAACTATGATATGATATAAGGATGATGAGTGATTTAACTTTTTCATTCACTTCATACAGCTTTGGCTCTACTGCATGTGTGGGTATGTTGAGAGTCACTAACAACACCATGAATTATGCATTTCTCCAGCGACAGAACATATTATGGGATCTGAGAGGCAATATGAGCAAATCTCTCTTTTTATTCATGCCAGTCCTGTTTAATGAATCACTGGGAGATTGCTCTCACTGTTGCCATTAATCAGAGCTTCTCCGCCGCTGATTGAAGAGGGTAATATGAACAGGAATACCAATGAGTGGAGGAATGTGCACGGGCTGAAAAATGGCAGAGTAACTCAGTCGTACAGACAGCCAAGAGCTGCGCGCAGCCCAAACACAACCCCGTCCCACCCTCAATCGCAATGAAGTCCATTATAATCTGACCGTGTTCCTCCGTGATATAGAGAGACTACATCAAATTGCAATGCAACCATGAGAGACAGAGACAATTTGGTTTTAGACCACTATTGGAAAACCATGTAATACAGTCATATTGTTACTTTGGATGCTACATCATGCAACATAAAGCCCAAACACAAATTTGCTTCATTGATTGAAAAGATGAACCAGGCTTTTCTCCAGGGAGTGTTTTGTTCACAAATTGAATCTATAAATTTGTCCATATTGAAGTTAATGTCTCTAGAATAAGGAGGAGTTAGAAACTGTTTAGAGTTTGTGGGATGTTATTTCACTTAGATCTTCATATTTTGTCTCTTTTCTCCTCTGCTTGATTCAAATAAATGTCACTTTAAGTCTTTAGATGAAGCTATAACTAACATTTGTAGATTGGGACTGAGATATAATGAACACTCTTTCTTTCTTTAGCAGAGTTATAGAAGTTTATTTTACCATTAGGTTGTATTCAGGTTTATTATGACGCTACACTCAATCTGCTTTGTATGAGACTTGAAGACAGGGAGTACTTTTGCTCAATAGTTTCTTCTGTTTTGATGTGTGATTCTAACTGTGACATTATGAGAAAATAAGCCAAATCAGTAGTACAGATTTACCAGGAAACACAAGAGTAGATATTATAAACAGCTCTATCCAAATACACTGCTAATGGCTATGAGCTACATTGGTAACAGAGTGAGAGGGTTAGCTACTGCTGGTCATGTTAGCTAGCAGAGGACGTTAGCCGAAATGTCCTCAATCTTCCATTTCATAAATGTTCATACTGTACTAAGTTCATAACCATTAAAGGGATATTTCAGTGTAAAATTAAGTTGGGGGTCAAACACACTGTAACACCAAGTTAGACACCCCCTCAAGAGATGAATATTGCCGCTTGCTTCTATAGTTTTACCAACTTTAGTAATGACCGCACGCTAGCAATACAGAGAGCCACACACTCAACCAAAACGCCACTCTATAGCTACAAATAATGCTCAGAACAGCACCTAACTTCATCAACAGTACATATAGGGTCCCAGCCATGGTACTAGCCACCAAACATCTTTTTAACTTTGCCTAATTTCATTAGCAAAGAGACTAAACACAACTCACCTACTCTCTTCCAGCAGCCGCTTGTTAGTAGCGAGACCTCTGGCCAGTCCATTACAGACTGCTGCGGGGTGACGCAGCTCAAGGAAGAACATTTATGATCATTTCTTAATGGAAACGCAATTAGACGGAGACGCTAAGGCAGAAGAACTACCACGTCTGCAGTGCAAAATGATTAATATGGTGATTATTATTTCAAGGATATGATAATGATCATAAATGTTCTTTCTTGAGCTGTGTCACCCAGCTAAACTTTCCTCACTGTGTGCTCCATGACAGCATGTGACCGAGCAAGGAGGAGGAGGATGTCTAGAAAGGGCCGCTAGATGGCAGCAAACCACCACAAACCAACGCAAACAATGAAATAACTTCACTTTTTAACTATTTTACGCTAAGCTATGGCTGTTAACTGCTTGCACTTGTTATGTCAGGCTCTATTGGCTTGTTAATATTGTTTATGTGCAGTCGGGAGAATGGTGATAATTTCTTTACCTGCTTCTTGACAAGAAAGTAAATGGTTCAATAAATAAAATTTTGGATTTATGGGAAGAATACAGTAAGGCAGTAAAGGCTTTGCCACAGCTGCAGTGCTAATATATTTGTCTGCTATTACAACTTGGGAGCAGTAATGCTTGTTTTTATAGAGCATCATGGTATAATTCAGCTTAATTACCTAAGTGATGGAGCATGATGAATAGCTTGGTTCATGAAGAGGGGTGTGGGGTACGACCATATTTTAGCGCAAAACCTGATAAGCTCAAATGAAGTATCCTTTCTCTAAAACCCAAGGACACACATGCACACACTCTTCCACAGTGAATGCACACACACACACCTCAGTCTGCAGAGTACAGCATGGTCACCACACAGAGCATTCCATCATACTGTCACTCACATCTGCTGCCCTTTCTCATTACAGCACCCTCCTGATTCTCCCTCTCTCCTTTACCTCCCCTTCAGCAGAGCCCCTTTTTTTTCTCCTCCTGTACAACCAGCCACATTATTCCCCTGCTCCCTTTTCTTCCTGCTCTGCAGACTATCCTTCTCTGCCAACAAAAATGAACAAAATTCCTGTGGACGTAGGTGGCAGGTGGGCTGACATGCTTTCACACCAGTCCGATGTCCTCTGAGCCTCAGACAGCGTGTTCGCAGTCTGAAAAAATACCTCAGAGTGGTTTCAATACACCTCACATGATTGAAACTGAGAAGTAATTTTCCACATGTGTGTGCACAGCAGTTAGAGTGCCAGAATTAGACAGCAGGAATCATTTTTTTTCTACCTCTGCCTGAACCTGCGAAAATGGATTGATGGAAAATACAATTGATGCATTTCAGAGACTTTACAGTATATCCATGGGAGCTCTGTCTGTTTTGGCAGATGTAGTTTTGCTGCAGTCCCTGCTGGTTTTGTCGCTTTTTTTCCCTCTTCTGCTGCTTCCAGAGAGGGATAAATGACAAAACCACGTCAGGCTCGTGATGCAAAAAGGATAATTAGGATTCAGGAAACACAGTTTGTCCTCAAAAGCAAATCACTTCCCTGGTGCTCAGGGGCTACCGAGGCACAGATCATTTTATATATCAGCACCTAGCAACTGGCAGATGGAGTGAACTTAGTGCAGGCTGCCAAAGCTGATAGGACACTGCAGGACTGCAAAATGAGCTGTGATGATTCCCCTGCTGAGGCCAACAAGAGACACATACCTCATTAAGATGCATCGCATCCTCGAATGCCCAGCCACTCTTTACAGCACTAAGTTGCCCCTTGCAGAAATGATCACAGTGTCATTGTAAACATACAGTTTGAAGCAGATGGCTGCAAAACAAAGACAGGCCAGCTTTGTTATCATGCACCAACATTTGAAAGAACTGAAAACATGAAAGACGAAGAAATATGTATCACTTTATGGTGTCCAGTTGTTCCCCATAAATGACCCGGTTTACACACTGTTATGACTGGAGAACAGCGAGGACATTGTCTTTGACATCTTTCGCAGCGATTGATGTCTGCTGGCATAAACACACACAGTGAGTCATCAGAAATTCAGTTCATTTTCTTCTCTGCAAATCTCTACATGGGGAGAGACAAAGCCATTAAAACCGCACCTGTTGTGAGGGTGTAAACATGTGTTCTTCGTAACCATCTATCTCTGCAAAGCAAAAAAACGCCTTTTTGTGCAAGAAAGCAGAGGAATATTCTGATGACAACCTTTCCTGACATAAAGGAAATGGTTTTGGTCTTGGTTTTATTTGGTACAATTAGGATCCCTGTACATCTTTAGCACATGAAACTGACACTACATCTACTCTAATCTGTACCATACCATTAATTTTAGCAGTCTAGGGATCTTTTCTGTGGAAAATAAATACAAACATATTGAGCTGAGGCATTACGAATAACAATTCAGACATAACCTATCTTGTCGCTGACGGTCTTGTTTGCATTTATAACTCACAAAGAAGCCCGAATATTACTTCAGTCTCTTTCCCAAGCAGATAAAAACTTCTAACGGAGCTTTGATGGAGATATTCCATGACAAAGAGGTAATTTAAGAAAAAAATGAAATACTTCAATTGCACATTACAGGTTTTTTCAATCATGCAGAGCTATTGTGTTCTTCTCCGCCCTTAAACTCACGGCCAATCACATTATCAACAATCTCATTCTCTTTTCTATTCCATTATTTTCCCTAAATAAGACCTCGTGTGTTGCGATTGGACTGCTAACCATCCTACTTGTGTCACCCTCCTTTCCTGCTTTCACAAAAACAAGTGGGAAGCTGATTTAACTGAAACAAGAAGAGGCCAGATGATAAGAAACAGGAGCAGGAAGAATGAGTGAAGGGACACAGACAGAAGACAGGGATGGAGAGGAAAAGAGACAAAGACGGAGAGGCAGAGACTCCTGGGACGGACCGACAGGGCTGCAGAGAGAGGAGCTTAATTTCCCAACACCATCTGTTCCCAGTCCCTGGGTTGAAAGCTCCACTTATGTCAAACCTCCCACAACCACACACCAGCGGAGCATCACCGAGCTGTTAGAGACCCCACTGCCTTTTCTTTTTCTGTCGCTGGCACCTTCTTTTCTCCTCCACACCTAAGCAACAGTCACCCACCTACTCTCACACTCTGCAGTGGCACTAACACACGCTTTAGCTGAGATAAATGAAGCTGCCAGCGCTTTTCTGGGTCATAGTGGGTTTTAGATTCTGTTGAGGGGAAAATAAAGTCCAATTATTTGGCCTCCAACATGTTCTGTGTTCCCGCACTCTGCATAAAAATGGATTTTCTTGTATTAGATTCACCTCCACAACAGTTCTCTGTCCACTGAATCAATGGGGGTTTTGATACAGTAACTCCCGTCTTGTGTTGTGTTTGTTGGAGTCCAAATCATCTTGATAAACTGTCAGTGTTTAATCTTGGCATCGATTGAAGAAAAGCCCACGAGGGATGTTGGGTATAAATATAGTCCTTTTTACAGGGAAAGAAGAGCCCGCAACTCAAAATGTGTCAGTGGAAGTGCCTCTGAGCTACTGTTTTCCCCGTTTTATTCCTGGTAGTGTGTGCACTACGGAGAAACGTCTGGCCTACATTCAACACTTTCTAAGGGCGTGAAAATGTGTCAGATTGTAGGGCCGAAATATGATCTACTATGTGTATAACGGACGGGTTTAGTGTGATCCTTCACATGCATGTTCTGTATTAACTTCTGGCATATGGGAAAACGCACCAGGGTGAGGTTTTGCAAAAAGTGAAGGGTCACGTTCATAAATCAAATCAGAACTTTTGTTTTTTCTCTGTATAAAAAGTCAAATTAATGGGAAATTCTGTTTTAAGATAATATTAATATACAATCAAGAGCAGGGAACACTGGGAGGAAGCAATAGGGTGGGTTGGGGGGGAGGGGTTGCCCTGAGGACAGTCCATTCCCCGGCATTTTAATCACTTCATTTACACACTCTCAGGATATTTCTATGCAAATGAACTGAAAAGGTCACGCAGCAAAAGGAGTATCTATTCTGATCCAAATGGTGTTTATAAACAGGGAGAGGCAGAGTGCAGAAGAATGGTGAATCTGGGCTGCAGAGTTAAGCTATCAGAGTCCACCCCCAGGATGAGCTAAGGGTGTGTATTTTATCCAGCAGGTAAACTCTTAAGGGAAGGAGTCGGAGTGGCATTTGTTTTTGTTTCTTTGACAAAGGGAGCCCTCATGTGGTCATTCAAGCTACTACAGCTACATCTTTCTGAGATACTCAAATACATAAAATGCTGCAGATGTAGAGACAAGTGGAAACTGTTTCTAAAATACTTCAGTGTATCTTTAACTGTAGCTAATTTTAAAATCCAGTTTAGTTAGAAAATAAATATGAGACAGGTTGAAAATAAAACAAGCTTTGTGTCTGCTTTGAGAGCTGTCATAGCAAAACCACTGAATGTTACGAGCTTCTTTAAACTAGTCCAAGAAAACAAGAAGCCCAAAACGAATATAAGCATTCAGGTCAGCATCTTCCTCATGATTGTGGTTGAGTGTACGGAAATAGTGATCAACTTCAAACTCAAAATAAAATCTCCTGATATGTATATGAAGAGCTAGAAATCACACCAGATACTTTAGAAATTAAACAAAGAGGCAGATCTTAAAGTGCCAAAAAAGGAGATTGACTTCTTAAGCAACAGCTCTTGGCAGCATATAAACACAACCCATAATCCCTTGTAATACAGATTTAACGACAACACTGTAAATACGTTTCAGGGATGCATAAAATAGATTTTAAACTCATGTTAGCTGACACAATCAAATATACAGCACAGCTAACCTCACTTTTCCTTGGAAATAACACCAAGTCTTTCATGACCTGAAGTGGACTTGTTGCTCTCACATTGATAGTCTTTAGTTTCAGGAAGGTAAAAGATGAAAATTGGGATACAGGTTTTTCGGATCTTGAAATACACAAGATGTTGAGGAATAAAAAGTAAAAAGAGAACAAGTTAAATGAACTACTGTGTGTTAAGAGAAATACAAATATAGACCAGCCGCTGAAAACTGAAAAAGTCCATAAAAGAGATAAGAATTTTAATTGTATGATAAAACTTCAGAGAAAGATATTCCAAAAAGAAAACAACTAGAAGAGGAGAGTGCTAATTCGAAATGATGAGTTTCCGAATTTGGTCTGGTTGGTTTGGAAAGGTCCCCAGGACTTTTTGAATTTTCTGTCATTGCCTTCCAGCACTTGTATTTTTTTATTTACTTTTTATTCTTTATCTTTGTTATAGCTCCAGAAGTTGTTACTTAAGCACAGTAATAGAAATATCCAGCAGTAGACGGGGTTTTGAGGGAAAGGGGGAGTTTGTGATGTGTTTCTTTGTATATTCTGTATAAAACTAATAAAAATATTGAGTTAAAAACGATGAAAATTGGATTTAATCATAAATTTCGTGTCTGACATCTGTTTCAGATACTTAAAAATACTTCCATTCAGCTAACATGTTGACTTTCACTGCTGTGGCACATCAGCTATCATTGTGTGGTCTGGTTACTGTATCAGCTGTGTATGTTTACGAAGAAAATAACAAATCTGCCAGATCACTTTTTCAAGCCATTATCTGCCAGTACTGTCAAGCTGTGCTGTAATATACCAATTATGAATGAGTGAACACCACTGTACTGTGTACTGACGAACTAAGCATGTTAACAGTCGCAAAGGCAAAGCCATATCACTCACATAACTCCTGTTATGTCATGCCTATTAACCGGCTTACACACAAGTGTATCTGACTATTACCTCTGCTAGTGGTTTGAAAGCTTAACTTCCTATTCTATCTCTCTAAGTCTGTATAAAGCATCATGGAGAACAACAGAGAACATTCCCACCTCTACAAAACCTGTGTCATACGACATCTGAACACCTTGTTTTTACCCTGACCTTAAATTGAGAGAGAAGGGAGTTGAAAAAATTAAAAGGTTTCACAATTTTTTTCCGTTTTTTCCAAATTTTATTTGATGACAATATACAAGAACATCTTGAGCACGGAGACCCTCCCAGGCTGTCCAGGCTCACTGTAGGGCGACAGGAATCACATTAATACAGATTCAGATTACAAATTCTCCAGCTAAATCAGTTATATTAGGTTTAGGACTGCAAATTCAGGTTCAATAAGACAACATCATTTCCTACAAATAAGCTTGAAATTACAAAATTTTACTGTATTAGATTTCAATACAAAACTCAAACTGGTAGGCTTATAGCTCAGCTGCCCCACACCCAACACACTTAGCAAAAATAAGATCCACACCACATGCTTCAACCAAATTCTGCCTCTATAAACTACTTTATCTTAAAGCATTTTGAAGCACTCTTATGTGTAAATATAAGCCAGAGTGGGCAGGAGAAGTAGATTAAGGACTTTACTGAGGTAAAGGGAAAACCTATAAGCATGAAGTCTGAACACAACATAGGAAAGAGGGGGGAGGGGGTCACTGTAAGGAAAACTGCAGGGTGAAGTTAGGCGTGACATGCATGGCACAGCTCGAGTCTATCAGCTTATGATGTGCACACACAATGGCACACCATGCTTTTTTCTGCTGCTATACCTGCACACTGATACCTCATTTCTGCAAAAGAAATCCATGGAAAGCAAAACCAAGAACAAAAGATGAAACAAAATTAATAGGTTGAAAGTTGATGGATTTGCGCAGGGTGAACCCTAAACTAATCGTATGACAACCCAAACTGCCAGTGTCAACCTTTGGAGGTCTTTTTATGGCACCCTAAACTAGACATCAAGGTATTTATTACCCACTGCAGCAGTGTTTTAAAATACAGAGATGTACTCCAGGTGACTTCAGGCTCATGTGCCTTAGAGAAGTAACCTGATATTAAGTAAGGAAAAACTAAATCAGAAGATGTCACACATTAGTTGCCTTCAAAGTATTTTCTTTGGTGAGCTGCAGGGTCTTAACACACTGTTAAACAGGGTCTGTAATACTTTTCAGTTCAGGCGGGAACATTAGTAGTATTTAGAAAAGGGATCACCAAGTGGGTTTTAACCAGAGGGAGAACCTCTCACTTTCAATGCATCATGGATGCATCGCATACAACCAGGGGGAGAAGCATCAACACTCTGTCTCTCATGTAGGTAGGTAGGTGAGGGTGTAAAGGAAGGAGTTAGATAAAATCTAACACTCCTGGATTATCCTCACACTGCAGTTAGTCTATTTATGAACAACATTTACCTTCTACAGTTCCCGAAGAACATTAGATACGATCGGAAAGATGACAAAAGAAACCAAAGGAGTGGAAGAGTTGTGAAAAACAAAGATTAGCAGGAAGGGAAAAAAATATTTATGCAATGAAAATCAAGAGAGTAAAGAGCACTGGATTAATGTCGCCTCCACTTAAACCTGCTGCTGTCTCTTTGATAAGGAATAAATAAACAAATCAAAACACAGAAATATTGAAGTTTGTGAACAGGTCCAAAGGTAAACAAGAATGTATCTGTTACATCGGCCTGGGTTAGAGTCTAGGAGGCAGTTATGTTACCTTTTTGCCAGCAGCGCCCACGGAGGCCTTCTTGATGCCTCGTACTTTCTTCATTCTGTTCTTGCGTTCCTTGCGCTGTTTTCTTGAGGTCTTCTTTTTCTCATAGAGACCGTGCTGAGAAAAAAAAAATAAAAAGAGGGAAATGAGCGTTGACTTGTAAAACAGAGAATTTGAAACAGCACACAACCTCTTCAGAATAATAATCACACTCATAAACCAGTTTCTATAACTATGAGGTGATGCTTTGCTCCACACAACTACAACCCAAATAGCTAAATTCCAGTAATTGACACGTGTAAGGATAAAGGGGTATCTACAGCATCTGCAATGGCTGTCAAGTCAAAAAGTTATCCATAAAAGTGAAAACACAGCTGCTTTCTGCTGTAGCATATGTGAGAGGTGTGCTAGACAAAGGATACCAGCTCTTGACAAAAAATTTCGACGTGTCAGATAAAAGCAGGTTGTTTCAAACTCACCCTGGCCAGTCTGTGCTTGGGTTCGTTCTTCTTAGCATAGTCTAGAGAGTCGTAGACCATGGCGAAGCCTGTTGTCTTGCCGCCACCAAACTGAGTCCTGAAGCCAAACACGAACACAACATCAGGGGTGGTCTTGTACATCTTGGCGAGCTTTTCCCTGATTTCAGTCTTGGGGACTGTGGCCTTGCCAGGATGCAGGACGTCGACGACCTACACAGAAGGAAAAAACAAAAATACTTTTAATACATGAACGTTTGTTTGAAAGCTCAGCTCATCATCTGTGGCATCAATTAAAACTGAACTTACCATTTGCTTCCTCTGAAGCAGTCGGTTCGTCATGAACTTGCGGGTCCTGACTGTCACTGTGTCATTCTGGAGAGGAGACAGAATTGAACATAATGATTATTCCCAGACAATGATTCAACAACTGTTTAAAGCTCTAGTGAGGAACTTTCAATTTGTTTTGATTTTGGTACCTCCTGAGGACAGAGCAGTATCTGTATCTCTTTCACACTTAAGTATGTAATTTATTGGAAATCTCTGCCATGGAAAATGTAATAAGTGACTGTTGCAGTTGATCAACTTGACTCAGACCCTACCTAAAAATCAAGACATGGCATTAGGGCTGGGCGACAAAACAATAATGATATATCGAAAAACTAATTTCCCTCAATATCAATATAAAACATGGTCAATATTCTTTTCACTAATAATTGCAGTTTGCCATGTTTTGGTAGACTATACGAATACAAATACCAATCATGTGCTGAACTAGAACCAAGTAGAGAACAACTACATGAGCAACACTGACACGATAACGTCGGTGGTTTGGAGGTATTTTTGGTTTTACGAGGTCGGCCATGAAGCAGAGTGATGTGTACTTAAAATTATGTCGAGTACACGTTCTCGCAAAGTCAGTGAATACCTCAAATCTTTTTCACCACCTGAAGCAGCGCCACACGGCAGAGCACACACAACGCAAAAGGTTACAAACCCCAAGCGGAGCAAGGAGCCCATTCAGTCTGCTTTCTCTCGCACAACGCCGTACAACAAAACGTAGAAGAGACACAAAGACCTCACAGATGCAGTCGCTTATTGTATTGCAAAAGACATGCTACCAGTGAGCACTGTTTAACTTTCATATTTTATCTCAGGATATATATCAATATCGACTGATATGAAAAAAAATACATATCATGATAAACTTTCTCCCATATCGTCCAGCCCTACATGGCATATAACTAAATATAAGTAATTAACTTTATCACTACTGGTCTTCGCCGTATAATGACATAATTAAGCAGAAGTATTGATTTCAATCTGTTGTAACTAACAGAAACTCCTATGAGGAGCTTTAATCTACAATAATTTATGTCTTGTCGCGACACTGAGAGCACAAACAGATGCAGCAGGTACCTTCTGTCAACTTCTCTGTAAACCTACTAATTCATACTGTTCAACTTTTTAACATTCACTGATTTGCCTTAAATGCATCCCGTTTCCTAACAAAAACCCCTAAGCTGTTATAAAATACCTTTGTTTCTCTTAAAATGACGGTCCTGTCATGCCTATCACTGCAGTGCATGCTAACGTTAGCCACTAAGGCTACAACTGGTAGTTTACTGTCGCTTTATTAAACTACCAACACTACTACACGTATAAGAAAGATACGCCAATATAAAAAGTTTAATCAGTGAGAAGTTTGGGGTGACAGCCGCTGAATTCACTCTCTTAAGAGAAATAGTGTGGGAAACGTCCGGATGGAAAACAGTGAGGGAACTTAGCATTAGGATGGTGCAGCTGAGTTTGTGCTCATATGTTTAATTTTCGCAGTAATATCAACATTGTCGTATGTCACAGGTATAAGCCATAACTTTAATGCCGTGTGTTGAGTATCGGTGTAAGGATGGCTTCGATGATGAAGGGATTTTACTCGAAAATTTCTCTCGACACTCACCATTTTGACGCCGGCCTTGCTCAGGGACGTAGAAAAGGAGGAAGGACCCGTAGGTGCCCGGATTAATGCCTGCTCTAAAATCCGCGGGTGAGTTACACTATCGCCTGATTTAAAAAAACGTTCAAAAATATCAAAAACGATGCGAAATTTGTTTTATCGTTAAAATTGTGTGAGTGCAACTACATGATTTTTTCCTTCTTTAGCGTTACAAGTACAGCCAACCTGTAAAGTCCAGCTTAAGGCTCTTGGGGCCCACAAAAAGTCAGACCTTATCCCCACCAAAAACTGCTTTTGCGCTTATGCGTAAAGCCATTTCAGCCGATAAACGTAACTAATTTCAGACCGTATCAACTCTGTTTTGAGTGAATTCTTAACTATTTAAGTGACATTTGTTATGTCAGTCCTTCTACCTGGCAGTTCCACTGTAGTCCACAAGATATCACCAACACATTATGCCCCATATGCTCAATAACCAAGGAACTAAAACTTCAAAATGATCAATGTCGCTCCTAAAGAAAGCTGTTTTAATGCTTAAGGTGGTGTAAATATCCTGAATTTAATGATGTTATCCGGACCAAAATAACAAGAGAGCCTGATGGCCCAAGGCACAAGCGCACTGAGTGCCTGCTTAAACAAAAAACACAACAACAATATAACAATATTTTTTTTTATTTTTTGCATGTGTGAGTGATGCTTTCTGTATGATCAAATATATATTATTGTAAAAATAAAATAAAGTAAAAATGTTTTGTGCCATTCTTGCTTTTTGTGCCTTCTGCTGTGCAATGTGCACTGAGCATCCGAAGCGCAGGTAGTTGTGGGGCAAAACAATGTTGCAAAAAAGGACATATCCTTCAGGAGCAGAGAAAAGAAAGAGGAAGAAGAGAAAAACGCAAAGATAAAGTCATGTTTGCATGTCATGGAATGTTTATCAAAGAGATTTGTGAAGGTGTGTGAATGATCAACAATCAATATTATTGGCAGAAATAGAGGGCCCCATTGAGGCTTGGGCTGGCTCTGCCTGACAGATTGGAGGCCTTTGGAGTCTAGTAATCTTTACATAGCTGCTGACTTTTCTGAGCAAGGCATCAGTGGTTTATGGAAAAATACAGTATGTGATTCCTAAATATGATAAAATAACATGGCGTTTTCACAAAATATACACAGGGGTTTTGATTTGTGAGTTTCACATTTGGTAGCCTTATATAGATTTCACTTTTTTGCACAGATTAAATTAGTGCACATGTAAGTTATAGCAAGAATATGACAATTCAAGCAGTTTTAAAACTCCATACAAGCATTAAAAACACGTCATTTTGTTTGTTACGGAACTTTATTGATCTTGCAGCAACAATGTCCAGTGGCATTGCAGTTTCATCTGAAATAAAGTTATTCAAAATCAGAACAGAAAGTTACAGTAAGTTTGTTTCAAATCTCTTTCAGCACACAATGTTAAGCCCTCATTGTCAAACCAAACTGATTTGAAATAAATCTGCAATCTGAATTATGATGCCCAATAGAAAGAGCTTTACCGCTTAAAAATGTGCAATGCAAAAATGGGTTCAAAGCAACCCCTCAAAATGTTGGTCAGCACACATGGCCAGAATTAATTACAAAGCCAAAAAGAAAAAAGAAAATCTTTGATATACATCATGTCAGCCATTCAGTGGTTCCAGTCATACGAATGAAAAACAGGAAATTCATGGTGATTCATTTGCCCAGTTCAGAGCTCTTTCTTGGTCTGAGAATAACTAGCAGAGGATTGTGGTGTTAAAAACTCCCAACAAATTACTGGGACTGCTAGAACATGTGGCACTCTTCACCACATTACCATCTGAACTTGATCATCAAAACATGACGTGTTCTCCATCCTACTTTCAAACTTCACAGCTGCTTTTTGAAGAAATAAAAACAAAAAGCTTTTCTTTTGCTCACTTGCTGAGGACAGTTTTGTTTGTTCAATGTTGCAGTGAAAAAATAAACATCTGTTGGAAAGTACAAACTGACGACAAGGACTCTGGTCTTAGTACTGCATTGATGTGAAGTAAGGCATGGGCAGGCATGACACATGAGCAAAAAAGGTAATGTTTGATGGATTAAGGACACTGGGGACAGACTTGTAGATTAAGAGTCAGCGTCCATCAAGCCTCAATAAAATAATATCTTCTAGTTCCTTAACACTTGTAACAAATCAAAAGGCCTGACAGTGCTTGTATCCAAACAAATACCCTCAATACTAGCTGTATTAAAAATAAAATGCATATAAAACATCTGGTTTTATTCAAGTTTCAAAATCTTGTCCTCCCAAAAAATAGTATTGGGATATAAACCATTTCCACATTATTCTAAATGTTTATGTGGTCTGAATATTCAAAAACACCTGGCAGATGTTGCAATGTACTTGTGGAATTTGCGTTGGAATTATGAAAACAAATCTCTCGCCAAAAGAAAGGTAACCATCAAATCTGAAGCGAAAAAGAATGAACTGTTCTTTGCATGAGAGAAATGTGTAAATAGATTCATAAAAAGGTCACAATAGTGTTGAATTGTTTCCATACTGAAATGTCATTTTTTTTCTGATGAAAAGCTTGTTTACATTTGCCAGATTCAAGATAAGCTTATCAGCTTTCCGGAAATACAATCACAATTATTACAAAAAATTTAAATTAAAGCCCATTCTTCATTTTAGAGAAAATTTCACCCCTGTAAATTGCCAATTGTGTTGGTACAGGATACTTAAATCTTGGAATGGCATGACATCTTCAACTTTTTGCAAAATAAAAACAACACAGCATCCCTTTACAGATCATCACAGGAAACTAAACAGACCAACAACCAATATTAGATTGTGGAGCTTTTCAAGTAGTTCCAAAAACAAAATCACTTAAATAAACATGCTCACAAGGGTCTTACAAACCAAAGACTGTGATGAATATCAAAGCTTTTGACTGATTCTAAGGCCAGTACCAGAAGTTACCACTTATTACAAACTTCCTCCCTTCATTTCCGAATATTATCAGCTGTAAAGTGTGCTCTGATTTTTATTCTGGTTTACAGAGAGCTGCAAGATGAGCACTACAGTGTACTAATTGGCCAAATGTGTCTGGGTAATTAATTTTCAGGCCTTCTCCCTAGCTGAGTGGTAGTGACTGGTAACCATGGAAGCCAATACAAACAGACCTGGCTTCCAGAGTTGCACCTGTATGTATGATGAATTCCCCGAAGTTTACACACACATCACATCCAGCAGCGAGACAGAGAGCTAAAGAAGATGGCTGCCATGAGGGCTCACAACATTGGTTTCTACAAGCCAAGCCTCTGGCATGGGTAATGCCAGGTCATTTGCTTCTGCTGGTGAGGTTCCAGTCAGTTAGATGTCCATTTCAAACTGGGCATCATCACCTGGAATACAAAAGGAAAAGATAAAATACAAGGCATTGATGTTGATACAGTAAAAATAAAAATAAATACGTACTATAGTGCAGCTTGTTTTTCTTTTTATGTAAATTGCTGGGTTAGTTTTTTTTCTTGTTATACAGTGGCATCATGATAACAGAGGATGCGCTTTTCATATGTAGACACAAGTGCGAATAATTTTCATATATTTTGGAAACACATGCTTCTTTATACATTTGTTATTCAAGCAACGGCCTAAGTCTCACCGGTTGTGGGCTTGCCATCATGGTTGTTGATGTGGTTGTTGGCTTCGTTCTTCTGGTTCTCACTGAGGACATGTTGACTGGTCACTCCAGGGATGACAGGCAGGTGAGCAGGGGGAGTCTGGGCTATGGGAGAGTTACGCCTGTCCAGCAGGAACTTACGGTCATAGATGATCCGGGTTCCTGCAAGAGGAATGAAGTTTTGATTGCTCGTGCTACATCTGAGGACACTGAGGTGTTATCAAATGACTGCGAGTCAAAAGGCTGACCCAGATTCCAGCCACTCTTTTGACAAACATCCGCCTCTCTTATTAATCTTTTAATATCCTGATCAAGGATATCATGACATCATGCTGGAGTTGTCCTTAGACCATTTGCATAACAGATATAATTATTTGTATCATTTATTCCCCAAGAGATTTGTAATTTTTTAAGTTACTGCCACAAGATGCCTGTGTTGGATACAAGATGTCCCAAGATAACCTTGAAAGAAAACACTCTTGAGGATGGGGGTAAAACACTTTGACCTTTTACAAAATAAACACCATTAGTTCCTCCTTGAGTGTAGGAGGATTTTTGTACTGAATCTGAAGAATTTCCTCCTCAAAGTTGTTAGATGCTGCACTCACAAGAACAGGTTGTACAACACTCCTGAGAGAAAATATGTAAACATAATGCTTCTGAAATTTAAATTATTGGCTCGAGTCAAATGGCAGAAACTTATATGAAAATATGGTGCCTACATTTGGCAGGTCAAAAAATCATCTGGCTGTTCAACTTTGACAATTTAAATGTGTATACCTACCTGCTTTGGCTTTATGTTTTGAAATGATAGCCCCAGACTACACTCATCTGAATAGATTGACATTATACAGTACTGCTGATTCAACGTACTCAACTCAACACAACTTTATTTGTAAAGCACTTTAAAACAACCACAGCTGAACAAAGTGCTGTACATACAGTAAATAGACAAAACAACACAGACATAAAAACAATTAAAACAATAGAAAAATTAAACCAGATATGAAAAAGTAAAATATAGTTAGAAAACATACAAACAAATAACTAAAATTAAAAACAAAAAACACTAAAACAGGTGTCTCATGCAGGGATGAAAGCCAATGAATAACAATGGGTTTTCGGACGAGTTTTAAAAATGGACAGTGTGGGGGCTTGTCTGATTTGGAGGCATAGCTCATTCCATAATTCGGGGCAGCAACAGAAAAAGATCTACTTAATTTAAAAATAACGATTTTGCAAAAGCTTTGGATAATTCTCTCTCAGAAAAGTGTCAATTTTCCTCCTGCTTTATAAGGAACTGAATATCTTGTAGGGTTTTGAGAGTTCGTCTTACTATAGAAAGGCAAAAAATACATCTTGAGCCACGATCTTTATCCTATTTGTTCGCATTTTTAAAACATTTGCATGTTCTTTAAGTGTAGATTCACTTTATTATGTGGGGGAAAAAAAACAAAATCCTCATGAGAACGACATTTTGTACAGATTCTGTTCAAATAAGACATGAATCATCAGAATAGTACGGTATCACATCAGTCTTACATAAAGCTGAATACATAAGCATTTTTTTTTCATCACTCAATATCCCGTTTCTATTTTAAACAGGGTGTCGCTTGCAATGATCGATGCACTGGTCATAATAACAGATAATAGAATCTCTGCGCTGCAAATTAGCCAATCAGACAGCAGACAGACACCACGGGGGCGGGGCTAAGCTTTGTTTTTGTTTTGATCAGGATGACAAGGCAGCCTAGGCCACACTGACACGAGCCCTAAATGTCTGCTAAGAGCTCACACAGTACAGTTGGCTCACTGTCAATTCAACGAGGAGAATAAACAACGTTCATACCTCCGGGAGTGGTAGAAAATAAAGTGCCTCCAGGGGTGGTACAATAGTCATGAGGTAGCTGCGTTGTGTCGTTGATCAACACCGTCCTGGTCGGGATGGCCCTGCTCTCGCTCAGCTGACGAAGGGTAGACATTTTCAGTGCCGATTCGGTGACAAATTCAGCAGCTACAGAAATTTGGGGTGTTTATATCCCGACGGACGGTGGAAACCCGGGCCGTTCCCCTCTCTCTAATTGCTTCCCAAAGGCTTTCTTGTCTCTCCTTTCGTCCTCCCAGGCCGTCAGCACCGTCCCCTCCCTCGCAAAGGCAGGAAGCACGACGAGCTGCGGTCGGATGTGACGTTAACGGACTGGAAGAGCAGCCAATGACGTTGCAGCGTGCCTTTTGTGAAATACTTTTAACTTATTGCAAAAGATCTGCAATTTTTGTCAAAAGCAGCAACAGTTTTACTTGATCAGTGTGGTATCTGGAGTACAGCACCAACATGCAATGCCTTGAGGTATTTCCCAAAGTTTGCCTGAGATAACCAAAGTGTGGAATGTGGGCATTATGTCTCTTTCATGGTACCTGGTCCAAACATCCTGGCTGTTGAGGGTTTGCAGGTCACAGGTCAGATAGGTGTAAAAAAAAGTTGGTAAAGAAATATAACTTAAAGATAAACAGAGGATGTAGGAGGACCTAAAATATAACAGGATCACAAACTCAGGTTTGGGAGAGCTGGACATCATTGGCAGTCCTCTCCCAGCATCCACGGTGCTGTTTTGATACCAGTGTTGTCTTTGTAATAAATTTCTATTATCAGTGGTTCTCAAGTCCAGTCCTCGAGGCCCACTGTCCTGCATGTTTAGGATGTTTCCCTGCTCCAACACACCTGATTCAAATGATCAGCTCATTATCAGGCTCTGTAATGGCTTAATAACCAGCTAATCATTTGAATCAGGTGTGTCGGAGCAGGGAAACATCCTAAACATGCAGGACAGTGGGCCTCGAGGACTGGACTTGAGAACCACTCGTATTATACAAGCAAGCCAGTATCACAAAGCCTCCTTCTGCATCTACACATCGCGGACAGACCAGATACAACATCAGCAAATAAAAACATTCGTTTGATTAATTGATTGAAGTTTATTTCCAATATTCAAACCAAAAATATAAAAAATAAAACAAGAAAGTTCGGCAAAACATTCAAACATAAAACATAGAAACATCGAAATACATATTCGAAAAGGAGTGAGAAGAAGAATATCTTATGAACTTTAACTCCTTCCCTTTAAATAAAAAGTACCCACACCAAGCTTCCTTGCAACTCGTTTAGATGTACCTAATAATTATGATAAATAAAGCATGTTCATGACTTTGTATTACAAAACAAAATCTACATTCACCTAATACAGCATACACATGAAAACAGCAAAAGAAATAAATAAAAATAAAATAAAACAAGAAAGAATAAGAGAAACAAAACTTATTATGATAAATTGACCAGAAACCAAGTAATATGTGTAGATTTAATAAGTATTCTGCCACTTATTTGTCAAAAAAGAAAGTATCTGCTAGTGCATTAAGTTTATCACCATGTTAAATGTTAAATTGGATAGAATTCTGCATAGGACATAACATCTTCACTTTTGGAGCTGAGAATATTCAGGAATCATAACACAGTGAGTGCATATTTGGGAGTTTATGTTGTTAATGATTTGATGAAAAGGGAAACACTTGGTGTAAGCTAATATGCAGTGTATAGGTTTTGTGGAGCATGTAAAAGTACAAAAGTATTATCAGCAATATCATGTAAGAATTGGGTGTAAAAGAATAACAAGTTTATTGGTGAAGTTCACATACATACGTATACATCAAGTTAAGTAGCAGGACCTCAAATGTTTTAACAACGTTCAGAAAATCGCCTATGCAGCTTTCATTGCTTCATATTTGGCAAACTTTCACTCGAATTTAACGGCCGAGTTTTAATTCCTGCAATTCCCACAACCTTCGAACGCACCAGTCTAGTGCGCATGTTCTGTGCCCTCCCTGTCTACTGTACCCACTACCCAGAAGAGACGTTCTTCCGCCGCCATCCTCCATCCCAGAGCCAGATAACAACACAAACCTGCACCTAAACATGAGTTACACAGTGGAAGAGAGGGGAAACCCGAACTCCTTGAGCTACCGCTTGTTCTTCAGTAAGTAAAAATAAGAAAGTTTCGTCATTCTTTGCTACTTTAGGTTACCCGCAAACCTCTAAGATCCCTGAGGCAGGCCAGCTCCAGTTTCCCACGTGTCACTTATTCATTCATTCTTACCGGGTTGTTGCATTAAACCTTCAGTTGTATCTAAACGTATGTTCTCAGACTGGAAATTACAGCTAACATATCTCGACGTATCGGGGTAACATCTGTACTTAATGGGGAAGGTCGAACCAGCTCTGCCGGTTTTTCTTGGAAACACGAGTCCAAGTACTTTGTTCTTTTTTCGGACATAGGTTCTTTTATCGTCGACCACAAAGCCGCCATACCTGTCAGGTTTCTGAAGGAGGAAGGTGTTTATTTCGGGAAATCTCACTTGAACACGTCAGCCAGCATAGAGCAATAAAAGCTTGTAGTTAGAGCTCCGGAGTTACGCCCTCTGTGTTCATGTGAATCAACCCATTGATTCATTCAGCTGCAGAAATGGTGATTTATTAACCCTGTGGACTGACCCTCCTCTCAGTGGACAAATTATTGATTATCACTATTCAGATTTCTTCTAACCATCTCAGTACAAATGCTGATAGGGTGAATACTAATGGTAGGGGAGCACCGATCATAATTTTCTGGCCGATCACCGATCTTCAAAAACGCTTGACCAGCCGATACCGATTTTATTTTTATAACTACCAACTAGAGATGGAAATCGAGAACTGGTTCTTGTCAAGAACCGGTTCCAAATGGTTCAATTCATCAACATCATTTACACTTCATTTTAATTATTCCCTTAACGATTCCTTTCTTCCGGGTGCTTTGGAAAACGGTCTTGTGAGAGGCAGTCTACGTGAAGGAGAGCAGAGACTTTGAGGAAAAAACATGGAGGATGGTACAAAAAGTAGGCAGAAACAATCTAAAGCGTAGCTTCATTTTACAACATTGAGTCTTGTATGGGAATTTTGAGTTTGTGAAGCGCGGATTAACTGAGCCAGAAGCGCGTAAAAAAACACTCAACCCGACCAGAAAAACCGTCAAAATTTGCGCACAACTCCCCCTCATGTAGCTGTGTCCTCTTTTTGGAGATCCAGAGTATGGTCACCTATTTGACTTAATACTGACCAAGTAAATGTTGTACAAATAGTTTTTCGTTTAATTATTTTTAGACAACATATTTTTCTGTTATCAAAGATTCAATAAAATTTTCAGTTAGCATTGAAAACTTAGTCAAAGAAAGGCATTGATAAGCAAATCGTTAAAGAATTGAATTGATAAGCAGAATCTTTAATGGCAACGTTATCGATAAAATGGTATCAATTCCCACCCCTACTGACAACATTCACCTTTGATGCTCCAATCTTATTTTCAAAAACACATTGAACAATACTTGTTTAACAATACAAACTTCTTTTGTTTGTTTTAACTGCACGTGAGTTAGTTCTCTCAAGTATATAAATGAAAAGTTTAGAATATCGCTGTCCAAACTACTAAATTATATCAGTTCCTTTAGTTTTTTATTTTCCACATTTTGAAAATGAACAACACTTGCACAACAGGTCACACTGCAGGCCTGTTTTGAGCGTCTTAACAAAAAAAGTGCACAGCAGTATTTTGCTTCTACAAGTAAAGGAAATCACAAGGTTTGAGGAAGTTAGTAAAATATTAATCTACAGGACAAACTAACAACACCACTTAAACCGCCAATAAACTGTCCTGAGTTTTAGGTTTCCTTGTAGTGGGTTCAACACGCTTGGTTGATCATGCACCACACGTGACCCGTCATTCTGGCAAAGCAAAAAGCTACAACGGCTGATTTTCAGACCTTTGCTGATGTAGATAAGACTGGTGGATAAGATCGGTTTCATATGTACCGATCCCCCAAAATTGAGGAGATTGGTGCCGATTGATCAACCGTCCAATTTATCGGTGCATGTTTAGTAAGCAGTGACCTCTTCAAGCAGGATGCAAGCTAATGAGTTGTTTAGGCAGCTGGACTGGCACTGTCTGGTATGTTGCATTCACTGTCCTGGTATGATCAGTGAGATGTCGCTGCAATCCTTTTCCTTGCAAAATTAGGGGGCGTTAATAATTGTGCAACTTCCTCAAGAGGTCCGAGTACGCTGTTTTAAAAAAACCTGTGTACACTCTTGGCAATCCACCAGACATGATGACACGATGCTCCTGCAGGACAACCAGTTCTTGGCAGACAAACAAACACCACATTTACTTATCCATCTACTGTTTTCATAAAGTGCTAAATTTGTGTTACAGAAAATGCTGACGGAAAATACATCTCACCATTCCATGACATACCAATCTATGCTGAGGAGAGCAAGGTAAGATAGCATCTGCCACCTTCACCCCAGAAAACACATAAATACAGTGTGTGTGTGTGTGTGTGTGTTCCCTGTAAATTAACCTACGTGTTAAATAGCACGCTCAGCACTGTCATGGATACAAAGTTGTGGAGATAGCTTCAGGTTATCAATTACACTTAACTGTTCAAAGCCATGCTCTCCAGAACAGTCAGGTCAGAGTCTGTTTGCAAAGGGCAATGGCCTTTACTCTGTATTGTCTAAATGCTGTGTCAATATTGCTTGTGATAACAGAAGTTAATCTATTATTTTATCTCTGTAAAACAATTAATCCTAGTTGTGGATGACCATGGTCAGAAGGTCCACATAATGCAAGCAGAAAATGTTTTCAGGTTGTGATCCTTAACTGTTACTTATTTTTGTCTCTTACAGAACATCTTTCACATGGTTGTTGAAGTGCCAAGGTGGACAAATGCGAAGATGGAGGTATTGCCTTAGATTTTAAATACTCATTACATTTTCTGATATGTTATTGGAGCAATACATTTTTATATCCCATTTACATCTGTTGAACTCATCAAAACTAGTTGCTTGTGGCTTATGGGGATCTGACTACGCCATCAAAATTAGACACCAGAAGCCTATGCTCAGAGGTTATGATCCTCACACAGATGTCCTAGGTTCAATTCCAGTCTACGGCCCCTTTTTCACGTCATTCCCCACTTTCTCCCCCAGTTTTTCAAATCTGTCTGTTGTCCTGTCGTTTCTAAATTACAGCACAAAACCCAAAAGAAAATCTTAAAAAGCACATCAACTTTAAGATGCATCTTTAACTGTATAATTTTAACGGGTTTGAAACTATGTCATTTCTACAAATAAACAAATTTAGTATTTTTATTTATTTTATTAAACACAAACAACCTGATTTATTTTCAGATCGCTACCAAAGACCTCTTGAACCCAATAAAACAAGATGTGAAGAAAGACAAACTGCGATATGTTGCCAATGTTTTCCCTCATAAAGGCTACATATGGAACTATGGTGCCATTCCTCAGGTGAGTCATTTGTTTTAAGACATCTCTAAATATTGTCATGTGATCAACACAAAGGTACAAAAGGTAATGTTTGGTAACTTAACTTGATTCCTCATGCTTGCTTTGTTTTGTGGTGTTTCAGACATGGGAGGATCCTGCACACAAAGATGGTGACACTGGTTGCTGCGGTGACAACGACCCGATTGACGTCTGTGAAATTGGCAGCAAGGTACAACCCTGGCAGATTATCAGACAATCACTGTTTATCATGTGTGTTTATAATGCTGCAATGGCAAGAGAAACTAAACTGCCAGCTCATATCTAGGTGTGTTCCCGTGGAGAGGTAATCAAAGTGAAAGTGCTCGGGATCCTGGCCATGATTGATGAAGGGGAGACTGATTGGAAAGTGATTGCAATCAATGTGGAGGACCCTGAAGCCAACGATATGAACAGTAAGCGCCAACATTTACAAATTTTGCTTTTTATCCATCAGTCTCCCTCTGTCTGAACTTTTGAGCAACTAATCATTTCGATCTCATGTTGTCATCTATGGTTAGATATCAATGATGTTCGACGCCTGAAACCTGGTTATCTGGAGGCCACAGTCGACTGGTTCAAGAGGTACAAGGTGCCAGATGGAAAACCAGAGAACCGGTTTGCCTTCAACGAGGAGTTCAAAGACAAGGTTCCTACCTGCACTCTTTGCCTATCCAACATATTTGCTTTTAAAGATAGTTTTAAAGTCATTTTTGTAAACACTTCTCTATTTGTGCTCGACATACACCCCTGCAAGTTGGAGTGAAAACCTCACTTAAATCATCCTGTTAAGTAGGTGATTGTGCAGATTTTCTTTAACTAATATGATATCTCTTGTTTTAGGACTTTGCCGTTGAAGTCATCAAGAGCACACACAACCTCTGGAAGGACCTCATCTCTCAGAAGACCAGCGCTGGTAAAGTCAGCTGGTAAAGACTGTTCTTTTTCTGCAGCTAAATTATCCTTAATTTGGAAAATTACCCACCGAATCTTACAAATGTATTGCCTTTTGACTTTAAATGTAAATATGCCAATCTTATCATGCTATACAGCAAAAACACATGTGTATCGGAGTGCGACAGCCCTTACTGCTGCTCTGCTGAAGCGGCCAAAGCTGCTGTTGATGAAGTAAGATTTTAGTCTTCCTCATTTGCAACATTTAACCTCTGACATGAATTCATAATTTTATTACTGCAAGTGACTTCTTGCCCTTTTTTTTATTTAGACATGTCCTTGTGGAAAAGAAGATGCTATCCCCGCATCAGGTAGAGCTTTAAAACACATTACTTTAAATAACGCCCTGATTATTAAAAATCCTCTGAACTTGACTGATCTGATGTGCATCTAACTGTTATTTATGTTTCCTTTTTTTCCATTTGCAGTAGACAAATGGTTCTACTATGAGAGGAAATAAACCAGGAGCTGTTTGGATTGGCACTTGCTGAAAGGATCATCAATTATAGAATGATTTGAATAGATAGCCCTACTCTTGGAACCAATAGGATGACTGGATGGGACGTGGATGGTTAAGCTTGGGTTAGACACTGTAGAGAACAAGATAATTCAAATGTTCTTTTGTCTTGACAGATGAATTTTCACTTATTTAATTAAGGTATTGTTGGACATGTGCTTTTGTAAACAAAGTGCAGGTACTAGTAGACATGCCCCGCATAAGATGCTGAACTGCTTTAATAAAGCTTAAAACTGTAATCAATGTGCGATACACCCCCGCTTCCTAGCACTGTTAAATAAAATAAATGCATAAAACTTGTCTAAATTTTTTCTACATCGATTTCTTTATTGCCTCCACAGCTCAGAAATTTAGGGATCCTGTGAGAAGATGAGAGTTTTATGGAAAAGTGAGACTTTCTTTGTCTCTATGCACGCTGGATGGGGTCTGAATGTCTTTGTTTGTTGCAGGGCTGCCACCCAGTGTCCAGTGTCTTGAACTACCTTTCTTTTTCAATGCATGAATGTACACTTTTGAGGTTAAAGGGGAGATATAATCAACATTTTTCATGGAACACAAAGGGAATGATATAAAGTAGATATTATGTTTTCAAGAGGTTAAAAGTTACAATTTAAGAATTATTACAGTGGTTAGAGAAATCAACTCAAAAGTAGTCTTTGGTTTCTTACATTTGAAATACACTAACTAACACATAGACAGTATAAAGACATCAAACACAGCAGATTTACTGTAAGCTCTACTTTCAAAAGGCTTCTGATTTTTCAGTTATTCTTGAAATGACCACCCTCAGCAGTTTATCACCTGTCTGACAATGTCAACAAAACTGAAATGTAGAAACTTCTTAATTGTAAAATTTATGGCTGCTTTTTTTGGTTACATTAAATCAGGAGTTTATTATGTTATGTCTGGTCGGTGTAGATCAACATTTTCACGGTTTGTTGCGTTGAGCTCAATCTATATAGGAGGTAAACGTAGCACATCACTTTGAGGTACTTTGGTCATGAAATGTATTTATTTAATGTAAATGCAGTTATATTTTTGCTGTTGAAAGTTTCGTTTAATCTTCCCATTGCCTATTATTCTTTTAATTTAAGCTTAAAAAGAAAAAAAAGTCGAAGAAAGTTGTCTAAAAGTGCGTCCCTCTTACTTTGTTAGCTAGCCGTGTGACGTATTTCCGGCTAACTGTCAAACTGACGGGCTTCATGTTGGTGGACGGGGCAGGCTTGGACCAAAAACCAACGGCCGGGCAGCTAATTGTAACGACAAACCAAGGTAATACTCTGAGAGAAATATTTACTTTATTATTTTAATCAACCGCCACTCAGATTCATAGTTTTGTGCTCTTTTTAAACACTTTTATAACATTTTAAAGTTGCTGGTTTAGATCAGTGTTTGTGGACTTCAGCGCGTTTATGTTGTTTACTAAGTTTGTCATTGTTTACGCTGTGGCAGGTGGATGAAGTTAGTTTTGGCGTCATGTATGAAGCAGAAGTGCAGCAGTAACGGCGAAATCACTAAAGTAATCTGTCTTGAAGGGCCCGGATCTTAATTTAGCTGCTTGTCGTGTTCTAAGTGTTATATATGAATATTCTTAGCGGGGCTTTGCATGAAGACCCTCTGCCATTTATAGCATGACAGACATTTTTAAAGGGTTAGCTCAGTGCAGAGTTTTTGTTGTGTAACACCATATCATCTGTAGACTTCACTTTATAAAAACGATTCTTTTCTTTTGAGTCTGTTATTTACAGATTTCCCCAGGTGAATAATAAAGTAAGCAACAAAACAATTGTGTAACCAACAGAAGCCTTGGTCATTGAAGGCCTCACAGCAACAAGCACATCAAGTCCCACTCAGAGTGACAGGTGTGTGTGTGTGTATATGTGTCTGTGTGTGAAAGAGAGAGAGAGTGAGAGAGGGAGGCTGGGGGTGACTGCCTAGATCAAGTGTCCTTGCCACAACCTGTCATAAAAATAGTCAGAGGAAGATCAGCGTTACTCGGTGAGACAGCCCTCTGCAGAAACCAACATCTGAAGTCTGTTTGCTGCTTAGTTTACCTTCCTTTCCTTTCACTTTTTAAAGCCCGAGTGATTACACACAGGCTTACACATACCAGCAGAGTAATCCAGGGTCAGGAATAATCATCAACAATAAGCTTCAGTGCAAGATGCAAAAATACAGCCATGTCCTTTTGAAACTGTTCATAATAATAATGAAAAACACATTTGATGCTTTTATTTGGGACTTATCTCAGTGATGAGAGAAGACTCGACTGTCATTTAACACAAACTTATATGTCAACTAGAGATGTCCATGGGCGTACTTTGCTGTGTTCATCTTTTTTTGTGGCAAAAAAGTGCTTTAATCTTTACTATCTGAATTACAGGCTGTTAGGAGAGATGTCTTTTATATTTGACTGGATCTACCGGAGCTTCAGCAGTGTGTTGCAGCTACTGGGTAAGGAACTACCTTAAAATAAGAACGCACTACCTGACCTTAACCACAGCAGTTAAGTGTCATTCAAAAGAAATGATCACCTTCTCTGCAAAGATTTGTAGAAGATACTTATAACACAAGGTTTTATAACAATTAATGTACACTTACAACATAAAAGGTTGTTGTAAGTCTTGTAAAGTATTTTTATATGTTTTGATGATACTTATAACACATAGATGATGATTCAATGAATGATTTATTCCCAAATTTGATAACACAATTGACTTAACATCTGCTGATTTTCTATTTGTCTTCAGGGTTGTACAAGAAGACCGGCAAGCTAGTGTTCCTAGGTCTGGACAACGCTGGAAAGACCACGCTCCTGCACATGCTCAGAGATGACAGGCTAGGACAGCACGTGCCAACACTACATCCAAGTACATCTAATAATTGTATATTGTGAGTCCAGCAATCAGAATTGTGTTGTTATCTTAAGTCACTGCTTCTCTCTTGTCCTAATCATCAGCATCTGAAGAACTGACCATAGCAGGAATGACTTTCACGACATTTGACCTGGGAGGTCACACACAAGGTGGGGATATACAAACTATATTTGACTTCTTGCTGCTAGAACTTGTAAAAAAACTAAATACTTAAACTGTGTTGGTGTGTCAGCACGAAGGATCTGGAAGAACTACCTCCCGGCCATTAACGGTATTGTCTACCTGGTGGATTGTGCTGATCATGAGCGGCTTGCAGAGGCGAAGGTGGAGCTGGATGTAAGTTCATTAAAAGTGTATTTGTACCAGCAACAAATTGTAGATTTTACTGATTGTATGTTTCACTGTTTATGATGATTCCTGTCTGCAGGCCCTGTTAACAGATGAAACAATCTCAAATGTCCCTGTCCTCATCCTGGGAAATAAGATAGACCGCCCTGAGGCCATCAGTGAAGATGCACTCAGAGGAATGTTTGGTCTTCATGGTCACACAACCGGAAAGGTAATGGTTATTTGTTGAAAGTCATTTCTTTCATAGTACGGTGTATGTAGGTATTGTTTGTCTGGATGTTTGAATAGGATGCAGTGATATTGTTGTTCAGGGATCAGAATTGACAAGTGTAAGATTGGGGCATTATACTGTCACTTAATGATTCATTAATCTTGTTGCATTGCTTTTGTGTCTATGTGTATAGTGGAAAGCTGTGGTAACAATAACACAGCACATTTTCCTTTCTCTGCTTTACCCAAGGACATTTTCAGTGACTTATAACAAAAGTGAACCTACCTATCTGCACAAAAGAAACATGTTTTTGTTCCTGCTGTTGCATCGAGATAATTGAAAACTCTGGGTTGCTTGATTTTCTAATAGAAAGCTGACTTGCCAAGGGCAAGCATAACTGTGAATGAAATACTGTGACAGTTGGGGGCAATGTGCTGTTGGAAGCAGCATTTGGCACAGTACCTGTCCAATGCAAATTTTCTTTATTAGTGTAAATCTTGTTAACCACCCGCTGTTTCTCAGCAAGAAGCATGAGAATGAAAGAAGGGAAAGAAAGGAGGATAGAAAAAGGACAGTGATTCATGTCTGTGAGCTCCACAGAAGCTGCACTGTGCTACTGCGCTGTAATACAGCCAACATACAGAATCTAACAGAAACCGCTCATACATTTTTATCTACTTTGAGGGAAAATTAAATATTTTGGAAGAGAATGAAATTGACTTCTCTGCTTTTTCTAATGTGTATATTTGTTTCCCATCAGGGTAAAGTGTCACTGAAGGAGCTGAATTTGAGGCCGATGGAGGTTTTCATGTGCAGCGTGCTAAAGAGACAAGGATATGGAGATGGTTTCCGCTGGCTCTCCCAGTATATTGACTGAGTCATTCTTATATCTTAAACAAGATTTACTGTGCTGACTGTGCACACAAAGACAAGTTCCACACAAAACTACCTGCCATTGTGAGATATTTTACTACACATGCTGTATTTAGGATGGAGGGTTATTTAGTACTGCCAGTTGGAATATTTACCAAGTAGAGTTTTGTGTTACTATAGCTTTATTTCTTCATAAGCTCAAAGGTACGTCTTTATGATAATAGCATTGATACTGTGGAAACTCAAAGACAGAGTTATGAAATCATCAGCCTTTATTCTTTGGATTGAGTGATGTGTAATCTTCCTAGGGGAGTTTCTGCATTTACTTGAAGCCCTTTAGAGAATTCAGTCCACCATATAGAACATGTCATCGCTGTGAACCAGTGTCTGACCCTGGTTTATTTTTAGCTGCTGGTGTAGGCTTGCAGTGAAGGTCAGTTTGGTTCCCGTTTGGTGCAAGGAGCTCCTCTTCCTTGACTGAGGATGAAAAAAAGCCCAGCACAGTTTTAACTTGACATCTTTTTGAATGATATCCCAATATTTTCAAACTTGAGGATGTGTTACTGTATTATCGCTTTTTCCACATTTCTAAGTAGTGTTTTTGGAAAGTGCTGCAGAGATTCGGTGCCATATTAGAGTTAATACATGAGCCTGCTGCCTCCATTTCAGACTATCAGTTTTTCTGTTAGCATCTTTTTAAAATCAATAAATGGTTACCCATTTCAGGGCTAGTATACTAAATGAATGTGACCACAAGTGCATTACTGGCATTTTGCTGTGAAAGTTTTATTTAAAGCACAAAGCAGTATTAAAAGCAGTGTCTAGTAACTGCATCAGCACAACCGAGTGATGTAACAAACTTGTTCGCAGTAACGATGCCAGGCTACCTGCTTTCTTGTTGTTGATTGCTGTGAAATAACTTGAGTACTTTGTGATTAGTGGCTGCTCACAAATGCAGTGATATTATGAGAGTACTTGGGTGGTGCTTGAAGATATGGCACAAAAAAAAAACATGCACAGACTAACCTTAGGACAATGTTGTTATTTTGTATATAAGCTCTTATTTATATTTTGGAACAAAAATAGGCTTCCTTTATGTCAAGTAATATGCTCTGAAGTAATGTGTCCATTACAAATGTTGGTCATATTGTTATAACGTGTGAAGTTTGAGCAAAATAAATGTTTCTAAAAATCCTTTACATCTGTCTAGTCTGATTTGTTCAGTATTAATAGGGAACATATGTACCATGACTGGTTTGCCTCACAATTTTGTAACACAGAGGCAAAAGAAGACCCAGATACAGACTCACAAGCTGAAAAGCAAGGCAGAGGTAACCAAATCAACAGACAAGAGGCTAAAATCAAACAATACTAGAAAGAGGTCAAAACACTGAGGCAAACACTAGAAATATATGCTGGAACTCTGACGCTGTGGACAAGACGAACTGGCACCAAGGGGAGGGAAAGCTGGGTTTAAATACAACAGGGCGGTGGAGTTAACGAGACACAGGTGAGACACATCAGGGTAATCAGGCGAGCAGGTTACTCAAGGAGGAGGAATTCAATGGACCTGAAACAAGAGACAAATGTGAGTATCAAAATAAAAAAAGAAAACACAAATTCAACTCCAACTTTATTTTTTTTTATTTAACTTTATTTTCATGGCACTTTTCAGACAAAAAATGCAGTTCAAAGTGCCTCACAGACGCTAAAAACAACAATGAGCAACAATAAAACCCGAATCTGTGTGAAATAACAATTTGATGCATGCCTTGTGTTGAAACTATGACCATTACGACTGAACAGCAATTGATTAAACAAAACATTTGGCCTTTTATACACTAAAATTTGTCTGAAGACGGAAAGCAGGGACACAGTAACCCTCTCTTTCACCACTGTCCAGCCACTGTTGAATACAGTGGGTTGTTCTGTCTTCCTTCCAGTGTTTTCCCCCTATTTTATACCAAAGCCGAGCCTTCAAACAGTTATTTAAATGTCAAAAGTCCATGTAGCAGCATGCAAGATTGTGTCCCGCCTCCTTGCTTAGTATTGGCTCTGAGTATGACAATTTGACCAATCATCTCAAGCGACTTCATTGATCATGTTTTGTCGCCGACCAATGAGACTCAACCAGGAAGGAAGACTAAACAACACATGCATTTTATACCAAAACATTTCTTTGAATTCACGAAGACAGTGTCAACATGGAGGTCTGTTTTCATGTCTCATAAGAAGTATGTGTCTGTCTTTAATCAGCGTATTTTTTAACGGGTTTTGGGTGCAATTGAGTTGCGAAACACCCTTATCGGCGTCCGGGTAAAGTTCAGCCGCACTGCTAACAACATGGAGGTAAAGGAGGTAGAGAGAACTTGCTGTGTAGTCAAAGTGTTTGAGGATTTCTCATCGAAGAAACCCGTGAGCTGCAGCGGGGTCATCGTCCATCCTCAGAGCGGGGCTGTGATATGCACCGGACTCCTTTTTTCCCGTTTGATCAACAACAACAGAGACCCACTTTCCAAAGACCACAGGTTTCTACCTCCACGCAGCTTCAGTGACAAACTCCAAATCCGAGTCAGCTTTTCTGCAGAGCGAGATCTGGACCCCAGCCAGTCTGGAGAAGCATTGTCACCCTCCAAAAACAAAACAACAACCCAGCAGAGGGAGGTTGCAGCTGAGTTGTTGATGCTGGTGAACTGCCTGGAGTTCAACCAGGCTTTCCAGGCACTTTTCCAGGAGGCTGATCAGTGGCGTTTCTACTCTGAAGAAGAAGATGAGCAGCTTATTAGAGATGCACAGTTCCTCAGCTGGTTTGCCATACTTAAAGCAAGTGAGATAGCAGACAGCAGTCAAGGTTTCTGTGCAGTTCCCTGGCAGAGCAGCACATGCCTCCAGAAAGGATCCCCCGTGGTTGCATGTGGGTCACCTTTCGGCTCCCTTTGCATGGACCTCTTCATCAGCACCCTCAGCAGAGGCATCATCAGCAACCTCGCCGGAGAGGACAACGCAGTCATCCTCACAGATGCCCGCTGTTTGCCAGGCACAGAAGGAGGAGGGTTGTTTTCGGTGGAAGGTGTGAACGATGTTAGTCTGGTAGGACTCATCGTGTCTCCGTTTGGTTGGAAAGCGAACGAGTGGATAGGTCTCACACTAGTCTGCTCTATCCACCTGATCTTTGAGAACATCATCAGCTGCATGAGCGTCCAAGATCCACTCAGAGATGTTTGGCTCCACGGTGGGGAAGCAGGCCTTCAGATGGCCGTCACAGCCCAGGAGTCAAAGGCTGGGAAATACCCCACGGTGTGCCTTGTGGACAGTGGACAGTTCTGGGGCTCAGGGGTTGTTGTCACCCCTCAGATGGTTGTGACCTGCCGGCATGTCGTCAATGGAAAGTCAACAGTCAACCTGAAGTTTCATCACAAGGACAGGTGAGAGCACACAGAAAATCTCTTTGAGCTTGAACTATGAATTTAGGTTTTCTCTAAACCCACCTGTGCTGTTCAGAAAGGAATCTGTGGTTGATTAGAAACCACATAAAACATTTTTAACATGCAAATAAAGGGACACAGTTATGTTCAACTTAGGCATCCCTGTGAGCTAGCTGGTAGGCCATCACGCGCATCATAAAGGGATATTTCGGCGTAAAATTAATTTAGGGACAAACACCAGAACACCGAGTTAGACATCCATCGAGGGATGAATGTTGCAGACCGCTTCTCTAGTTATACCAACTTTAGTAACGACCGCATGATAGCAATACACAGCGGTCTGAGGAGCCATAAACAAACCTCAACCATAAAGCCACTCTATAGCCACAAATAATGCTCAGAACAACACCTAACTTCATCAACAGTACATATAGGGTCCCAGCCACAGCACTAGCCACCAAACATATTTTTAGCTTTGCCTGATTTCTTTAGCAGAGAGACTAAACACAACTCACCCACTCTTTTCCAGCAGCCACTTGTTTGTAGCGAGACCTCCAGGCCAGTCCATTACAGACTGCTGCAGGGTTGTAGTGTATTATTTGTGGTTATAGTGTGGCTTTTTGTTTGAGCTTGTAGCTTTGTGTATTGCTATCCTGCGGTCGTTGCTGAAGTTGGTATAACTAGAGAACAAGCGGTTGGCAACATTCATCTCTTGATGGGGTGTCTAACTCAGTGTTTGACCCTAAATTAATTTTACACCTGAATATCCCTTTACCACTTAACACAGCATAACAATGCCTGTTTTTAAGATATTTTCAGTTTACCTCAAACTTCAACCAAATTTATCAGATTTTTATGGGCATACTTTACAACACCTTTCATAGCCTTTTATTTTTTCCAAAACTCAATCATACAAAGAAAATGCAATTACCATATTTTAAGAATTTTAAAAGATAGTTTCCAGGGGATTGAGACAGAAAATCTCTTTAGATTATTAGGGTGTTAGAATGAGTTTCAGGTATCATTACTGTTTAATTTCAGATAAAACTCATTTCCTTGAATAGTCTTCTTCAGCCTTGATTTTAGCCCCACACCTGTTTCCTCTTATTCTACCTGATTAGACTATTTGCATAAGTGCGTTGTTTGATGTCTTTATCACTGGGCAGAAACTTCAAATATCTTCAACCTGACTGGAGGTTCAGTGGGCTAGAATAATTAAAATTCTCTCCTACTAAAGTGTGAAGTGATTTTAAACTTAAAGTGAAGATCACGTAATGTCTACTGCTGTTTTGACTTTCTCACAGAGTCCATGATATGGTGGGAGATGTTCTCTTTTCCACTGAAGCATCATCACCATATGATTTGGCTTTGGTGCAGATGAGAGACTGTGTTATAAAGTCTGTGGCTCCTCAAATGGCTCAGAGATTTCATCCAGGTTTGTTTGTTGTCCCTCGGTAAAACATTTTCATGTTTTGTATTTCGTGCCAAATGAGATCAGTATCTTAACTCATGATGAATGTTTGGTGTCTCTGTCTGCAGGCGAATCTGTAGTTGTAGTGGGATATGGAGGATTGGGTCGAAAAAGCGGTCCATCCCTGACCAGCGGCGTCCTATCCAAAGCTATTCTATTGAATGACCAGCCTGTCATGCTTCAGACTACATGTGCAGTACAAGCAGGGACTAGCGGGGGCGCTGTTGTACGGAAACACTCAGGAGAGCTGCTGGGTAAGAAACCCTGCAACTCTAGAGTCATGTACTCCTTTTGATCAGTGGGGGCCATAAGATGACCACGGATAGCTTTGCCACATAAACATTATGTTGTCCATTGTGAAGCCCTTTGTTTACCTGTACTGAAAAGTGCTAGACACATAAAGAACTATATTTTTAATTATTATGTAGAGAAAAGGCAGCTATTCACAGCTTATGACCCTCCTTACGCTGCTTTATTTGCAATTTTAATGATAATTACGATCATTTTGTTTTTGCAGGTATAGTGTCCAGCAACACAAGGGACATGGCTTCCAAAGTGACCTACCCTCACCTCAACTTTAGCATCCCAGTGACCGTTTTCCAGAGACTCATAGAGGATTTTCACCAGACAGGGGAAGTTAATGCGTTCAGAGTGCTGGACACTGCAGATAAAGAAGTCAGAAGAGTGTGGAGACTGCAGGGTGCTCCGAGCAAACTGTAACAGAGGTTCGTGGTAGAGGGAAATACTGCGTGCTTAACTCAAAATGGACTTTTTACAAAATCCCATTAGATGTGCAACTTTTTAAAGAAAACCATTATTTTCTTATAAGCTAATATGTTTCATACCTCACTTTGTTACAGACACGGGCACTAAGTTAAAGATCTAGGGGAGTAAATGTAGCTCTGACAAAAATCATTAATTCTTAATGTTGATACCCAGAATCTTGCAGTAAACAGTGTTAAATATTTATAGACCACTTTACTTTGACTGTAAGTCTAAGTAACTATGAAGTGTAATTTACAAGAATACAATTAAACCAATGATGCTGAATTTTCTGCTGATATGTCAGCACGCCCCTGGCGAATTTGTGTTTCAAAGTCATCACAAATTCCTCACATAACAAAACAAAAATATCAAAGACACATAGATGTGGTCAGAGCTCCTGATAAGAGACCAATTATTTTTAGTTATCCTGGTATAAAGTCAAAGCATCAGACAAAAAGATGGCCTCAGGTTTCACGTCAGAGAAAGCATCAAGAAAAAGGAGACATTTTTCCCTGGAAGCATGTGTTAGACTTTTCTGTCAGGATTTACACCTGCTCCTGTTACATATGGCTCATTTTTCGACCAAGCTGGAGAGATATTCAGTGTAATAGGCTGACAGGTTGCTGGAAATGATTGGTCCCCTTGGGTAGCCAAAGACTTGCTGTCAGTATCAGGTATTCATACATCTGTTGGCAGGCAAACCTGCTCACTGCTAACACATTTAAGCATTTATCTGCAGGGATATTCTTGGTTCTAATTTCAGTTAGAAAGTGAAATGTGAAACTAAAAATGACGTTTCAGGGGACTGGTTACTGACAGTTTTTACAATCCGAAGACAAGCTTTCTTGGCCAGAGCTCCGAAAGAGACACATCTGTAACATACTGAGAGGTTTCTATTTCACTCTTCCCAGACTGAATAATTCACAGTGGAGAGGCTGGAGCAATGTCCCGAGGAGGCTGAGGAGAGAGTTTTCTATAGGCATTGTGCTGGTAGAAGTGCTGATATGCAGACTTGGGTCTGTATCTCATTTCAGCTGGTTTCCCAAAGCTATGAGCTGCACTCCACTGCAGAATGAGGTAAGGCAGGAGTCGAAGCGAGCTGACATAAGAGGTGCCCTGCAGAGAGGACTGTAAATCGCAAAGATAAGACTTGTGTCTGTAAAATCATTGTTTTTAGATAGCCTGCCAAAGGGGGCAACACCCTATTTATCATGTGTATCCTGAATATATCAGAATCTAAGAAACATTTGACTAGGCTGAAACCTTTTTTTTTATGGAGACAGCTTACAACGCCAAAATGATGATGCCTGATCCAGAAGTACAAAAGTACCCCAAAACTTGGAGATTTTCTTTGCAGCTGCAGTAAGACTCAGAAGTGTTTTATTAAGGCTTATTAAAACCTCAGCTATAAAGAATAATACACATGCTTTCATTCTGTGGGCAAATCAGTGACCTACTTGGAGTTTGTGTATCATGAATGCAGAGATGCTTAAGGGACATTGGTGTAGTGGTTTAATTAGAGCCGGAGCATGACTCCACTATGGCTGATATCATCTATTTTACTTCATACAGACCTATTGGTACTTTGGTAAGAATTACAGATTACTGAATGGAAAATATAAGCCATTGTCAGGTTGAGTATGAGATGGAGATTTTATATCTAGTGGTCAACCTACAAATAGGAATATGACAGAAAGCCACATGGCCAACCTGGTTAAAAATATGAGATAATTTCAAATATGTTTTTACAAAAACGTTAATGGATAAAGATGATTTTGATTCCTGTAGAGCTGACCCTATCTCATCTGACCTCTGGGATGAACTATGATCATGCCAGTCGTACTTCAAGGGACACACAGAAACACCAAGTTAGACACCCCCTCGAGAGATGAATGTTGTCGACCGCTTGCTTCTCTAGTTATACCAACTTTAGTAACAACCACAGGATAGCAATACACAGCGGTCTGAGGAGCCATAAACAAACCTCAACGAAAAACACCACTCTATAGCCACAAACAAAGCTCAGAACAGCACCTAACTTCATCAACAGTACATATAGGGTCCTAACCACAGTACTAGCCACCAAACATCTTTTTAACTTTGCCTAATTTCTTTAGCAAAGAGACTAAACTCAACTCACCTACTCTCTTCCAGCAGCAACTTGTTTGTAGCGAGACCTCAGGCCAGTCCATTACGGACTGCTGCGGGGTGACGCAGGTCAAGGAAGAACATTTATGACCAGTTCTTTATCATTCCCTTGAAGTAATAATCACCATATTAATCATTTTTCACTGCAGATGCGGTAGTTCTTCTGCTTTAGCATCTTGGTCTGATTGCATTTCCTTCAAGAAATGTGGCTATAGAGTGGCGTTTTCGTTGAGGTTTGTTTATGGCTCTTCAGACCGTTGTGTATCGCTACTGTGCGGTTGTTACTAAAGTTGGTATAACTAGAGAAGCAAGCGGTTGGCAACATTCATCTCTTGATGGGGTGTCTGACTCGTGTTGCGGTGTGTTTGACCCTGAATTAATTTCACACTGGAATATCCCTATAAACTTTTCAGCTGAGGCCATTGACCTGTCAAACTTTGACTTTGTCCCTTCTCATATGCAGTTTGGCTTTGTAGCTGAAGCAATGTTGCATTAGTATTTAGCTCAAAGAACCACAAATCCATAGAGCTGTTTACATGACTAGTTGCACATAATTTAGACGTCAATTTCAGCCTCAAAAAGTGAGCCTAAGTGGTTAAAATGCAAAGAAGACAAAAGCACAGACACAGATGTACGGTAGCCAGCTGGGCCACATAGACCAGTTTGTTTTATTTTTTTAATAAACACAATAATTGATCCACATCATGATACGATATACACTTGTCAACCAAGCAGCATACTCTGCTAGTCTTTCAAGGCATTGATAACAGGACTAATAGGTGACAATCTGTCTTCTGATACACACGTTATTTACAAGCTAAAGAGTGATGCGTGAGAAACTTTTTTTTTTCCAATAAGTCATGAATGAGACAGAGCACTACTGTCACATATGAGCTGAAGCGTATGACATGAAAACGGTAAAGTTAAAGGGTGTTTTTCAATATTCCAATATGGCTTCTTCTCTCTATCCTCTGCCGTCTGACTTGAATCGAAGCTGGTTATCTGACTGTTCTTTAGTCTGCAGAAAGTAAATGATGAAAGAAGCCAATCTGGAGTATTGAAACGCACCCAGATCTTTCTCCTTTTTTTTATGCAAGCACCTGCAACTGCTTAAAAGTCTCCATAATGTATCAGCTAAAACTGCTCAAAGATCGTTCAAAGGACATACAACAGAAGAAAACATAGATTCACAAGTATGGGGGACAAAATTCTTGACTCCAGACCCATAATATCTTAATAGTGATATTTCCCCTCCCTTGCCCGTTTAAAGAACATCCTATAACATTAAATACTCCCACAAGATATGCATCTTCCCTCTCCGAACCTGTACAACCCTCACTAGCTTTTTCTTCAGCCTGTTTTGTTCTGAGTGTGTCACCTCCACCACGTCTGTCTCTTTGAGGATCTGTATGTGTGTTTGTGTGTTTAGGACCATCAAGATGCTCTTTTAGAGAGACTGGACTGCCTTATTGACTTCTACCAGATATAGCCCCCATCATCCACCTCTCCTACTTCTCCTTCTTCCTCTTCTGCCTCCTCTGTAGTCTCCTCAGCTTCTTTCTCCTCCTCGTCTTCCCATCCGACCCCGCTGCCAAAATCACCTGAATATGCCATTTCATCATCTGCGGAGAAAAAAAAAAACACATGCAGGGGAAAGGGGATCCAAGAGGATTGAATTATCCACAGTGGCCATCTTGTATAGTGCAATAAATTCTGTTCAGCATGTCTCCCTCTCATTTTTAAAAGAGTCCAATGAGAAATGCTGAAATCAATTTAAAAACATCGACTGCAAAGGCAAAAAAGGGGAATGTGTTTGACTTTGTCTGGATTTTAATAGCTATTTCTAAACCTTGCCAGGGGACTCATTCTTATCAGCCGCAGGTTCAGTCCAACCAGTCCTCATTTATCTTGAAAGACTTTTCTCACAGCGACAGGCGGCTCTTTAGAATGCAAATGACTCCGGACACATGAATGTGGCACTGGTCCCTGCAGTGAGTTATGTTGCATTGGGCCTCAGTCCTTTAACATAAAGGAAGCCTTGTGCAGAATGCATGTGGGGGTGCTGTGGGGAAGTGGGCCAATTCACAGCAGACATTTTGAGTGTTTTTCCCTCTTCCTACATTCAGCTTTCAACTTCAAATTGTGTTCTTATATGCCGATAGCTAAAACCTGTGGGATTTACCGCAATCTGGCTTGCCACGGATCCTGGATCCGGCCACCTCTCCTCCGTTTTGGTCGACACACCAGCATTCTCCCCTCTCACACTGCTGCTTTCTGTAGTAGCCGTCCTCGTCGCAGCTGGGGATGAATCGACCTGGCATCCACGCAGAATAAACACAAATAAACAAGAGTGAGGTATGGCAAAGCGACCTTATCTTGCATACCACGCAATCTCCCCAAAGTCCATGATTCATGCCTCATTGCACATGGCACCGAGCCCAAGTGAGGATGTAATGCATGCAGCATATGTGGCAGCCAATTCAGTATTCCATGAATACAAATATGTTCATGGTGCAACATGGGGGTGAATAAGTATTAAGTCAGCATATTGCAGCATACTGGGGTGCTGTAGGGGTGTGAGGGGGAGGTAGGTAGCTAATCATTGAGGGAGATACAAGATTGGAAAGTTTTCAATTTAACAACAGTTGCATTAATATGAAATACATCTTGTGTTCATGTATCGAAGTGTGAAAAGGAAGGAAAAGGACAGAACATACTGCAGCTGCATTCATTAAATCACAGAGGAAAAACTTAACCTTGTAGGCTATCAAACTGTCATGCTCTTCACAGATGAATGGCTTTGTAACGATGTAAATTATTAAAAACGCTGCTTTCATAATTGTGCAAAAAAGAAAAGCAAATAGGCCAGGGCCAAACAGAACTGTCTGTCCAGTCCTTCAGGGAGCATCTAAGCATGAGGCTGGCGGACTGCCCCCTCTTCGCCACTCTGTGTCCTTGGAGAGTCCTGACTCACAACCCAGTCAGCGAGCCAAAGTCTGCAGTGCGCACATGCTAGCAAACACATGCCCAAACACACACATTCACATATTTCCTTGCTCATACATGTATGACACAGTGATGGCTGTTTTTCTTTTGCCGTCTGTCAGTATCAAGTCCTAATCCACAAGACTGATCAGACACTAATCCCTGCCTCCTGCTTGTCATCTGCTCCACGAAACCCGTCAACCAGGAAAGACAGATTCATTTGGGCTGAAATGCTCTTATGAAAAGTAAGATACATACCGAACTTTCTCTTCCCGCCATCTAGGACTTGGATCCGCTCAAGCTCAGCAAGACAGGGTGGCTCTTAAAAGAACAGAAAGCAATATTTCACGAGAGGGAATAAAGAAACGGACACACCCTAAGGCAGAACTAGGCACAAAACAAGGTTACAACAACCTACAGTCTTGTAAACACAATTAACCATGGGCACATGTTGCCCATTCATCCTAAACATCAAACTCAGGGCGAGGGGCTTAGATGGTATCATAATGTAAGGACTTCTCTGACAAATCCTTTAATTTCTTGATAGATGAGACACTACGAAGACATCAAACAGAGTGACAGGGTCGTTTATCAAAGCAAATTTAATATCCCATTGACTAAAATAAATAGAGTTATACAGTTTTAGGCTTACATTTGTTAGCTAGAAGGTGTGAAATTGCTTAGCAGTCACCAATTTCTGGTTTACATTTTGTAGCTGGAAGTAGCCAAGTCCTAAATTTTTTGATAAAAGACACAAATATTACAAAGATAAAGACCTGAAGGACAACTTGGGAAGAGTCATTGCGTCGGATCTCTTAAATGACAATGGAAAGTTGCAAAATCACATCGGGCTTGATGTGTATAGTCATGTGTATAGCGTTCTATATTTGTGTCGGCGCCGGTGTGTAAGGATCTTACCTGAGTATAACATCAGAATAAGAGAATAAAGTCAACCGATAGTGAAAATTGAGACATTTCCTTGTTAACAATGAGCAATTTTAAATCTCCTGCTATGGACTCCTATTTAACAAATAAAGTACTTGAGTTTGGATCCCTCACAAAGTTTTTGCTTAGCTAGTTGGCTGACAGGCAAAATCTCTGACAACTGTGAGAAAATCGGGCAGTCAACCAGCAGCAGGAATGTTTCCAGTTCCTTGCGATGACAGTTTTGAACCCAAAGGGGAATAGGGGGATGAGTAGGAAGACAAATAGTGACAGACCAGACACCAGTATATTGGTAAAAGACCTCAAAACAAATGAAAAGCCCAGAATACTCACTCTCTCTCCAGAAACACAGACACCACTCAGCCGTAGAAACTTTTCCGTCTTTGTACGAGTCACAAGAGTTGAAGAAAGGTCGGATGCAGACCTCGTACTTGTCCAGGTTGATGGCGGCCAGCTCGGCCTGGTCCAGATACAGGTCCCCGTTGGTGTCCAACTTGGAAAACATCCAGCCTATTGAGTCCTTACAGCTGGCCACCAGGCTCCTTTCCAGCACTGCAAACACAAAGAAAGACAAACAAGCATTCATTTTTTATCAGGGGACAGCTGTACAAATGGAAAATGAAACCATGCCAGTCTCCAGTGTCCAATGCAAATCCTCCATTATTTTCTTAATAATGTTACTAGTTTAAAAAGCATTTTCTCTCTGAAGACAGGATTTAGCATTTATTACTATCTCCCATCTACACTGACAAGTTTTGATAAGATTTGGTGCTTGACAACTGCTGGCTTTTCATCATTCTTGAACGCATTTCTCTGTTTCTTTGAGGCAGACTCGTCCTAGTGGGGGACAGAGTATTATCCTGATCAGTTAGGATAAAAGTTTTTGAGTTTGTAGACCTTCAGACGGTTTTTGAATATTCTCTGGAAATCGAGCAGTTTATTGCAAAGAAGGGATGCTGAAAACGTGATGGGCTTACAGCATAAGCATGAACATTAAAGGTGTGGTAGGCAGGATCTGACGAAGTGCCAGTTTTTGGGAGAAATCTTGAATGAAAACACTACCCCTCCCAACCAGTTCCTCCTCCCCCCTCCCTCTCTGCTCCAGCAAGCCCCGCCCACAAACAGACGCGCGTGCTCGCTCGTACTGTTCCAATTAAATTCAGATATAATGCAGATGAATACTTCAGATAATAACAAATGGGGCCCAGTTAACATGAAAATAAAGAGCATTGGTGCTACTGTAGATGCCAACAGACTACCAGCAAACACAATGTTTGCAGGACTTCTAAAATTAGGATAAAGTGACATAGTCCAGGACCCAAGGTCAACAGTTTAGCGGTGCTACAACATGCAACAAGAAACACTTCTGTTACAGACACTTGGCTTACTTTGTTAAAGCGGTTTACCTGTCCAGCAGAAAAGTTACACGGTCCGTAAGATCCCAAAGCGCCCCCTATCATTTCATGTTGACCTGGCTTTTTAGCTCTTATCCCGTCTACCTCCGTTTTAAGCGCCCATTGTTCCGTCAGGGTCTCCGGTATTTAGTTCATTTTCTTGCTTGTGTTGGCAGTTGTGGCCAAAGGAGGATTCAGACAATTTTCCGTACTTTCTGGTTGGTTTCTACTGTCCTATATTGTAGCACGCTAACTTTTGTTTGTTATTCGTGGAGTGTGCCTCACAACATGAGGAAGCAGCATCCGCCTCACAACCAATCAGGTTGGGGGAGGCAGAGAATGGCTTTGTTTACAGTCAGAAAGAGCGGGCTACTCAAAAATTTTAAAATGTTGACTACACAGACGTAACAAAACACAGCGATATCATTATATTCCCAAATGTCATCAATAACTAATAGCTATTGACTGATATTAAAAGCTTTTTTGTATATACACCACAAAAAAAGATGCTTCCTTCCTACACCACCTTTAATTTGAGAGAATTTTTAGACATAGCATTGTATTACTGTTGCTTTGTGTAATATTATCATTTTTAGTTATTTCTGAGGCACAAATGGGTGTTTACAACGATACCCTCTTTGAGCTTTCAGCCGTATTATAATCCCCACGTCAACAGTAGCTCCAAGGCGACAACATTCATTGTCTACTGAGATACATTGTACTACAAGGTTTCACAGCTTATTGAGACACTTTTTTTGTAGTCGACTGCCTGTCACAAAAGAACTGTTACCCTCAGAGCAGTGAGGATTAATACAGTGTTAGCTCTAACCCGAAGTGGTGCCGGCTCCTGTGGTTCTTGCCCCGGGCTTGCTATTGTTGTTTTGCTTGGCATTGGTCTGCAGGAGCTGGAACCAGTCCCTCAGACGCTCACCGAGATCTGCCAGATCCTGTCCGGTGCAGCTCTCTGTGGATACCAAAAACAAAGGAAGAAGATGTTTTATGATGTGCTTTCCGTATAAATCATGTGTGATGCAGAGATGCAGAATTTAAACACCGATGACGCCTGGTATTGCAATGATAACCAGTGAATAATCATAAATGTGTTTACTTCTGCCATGTGTCTGATTTTACCATGTTTACTGTCTTTGGACGGAGGGGCAGCTGTTGGACAAGGACACAGACCCGAACACTTCAGGGTAAGCTCCTTCCCAGTCAGACATGCCTGCTGCTCAAGCTTGCACTGCAACACAAAAACAAACACCGATGAGCACATCCACATGCACACACACACACAGCAGTAGCATCGGCAAGGGGACACAAAGGTGAGAAAAAATGACTTATTACTGCAACACAGATCAAATATTCATGAGGTGACCGACTGTACGCCTTAATTCATATCCAAGTCTTGCTCCTGAATATTTTCTCCAACCTCTGCCTGCACGCAAGGTCAGGAATAGCGATCCAAAAGACAAAGCATAAATCAATAAACACATGGGTTTCTGTCACCACAAACTACCAATTGGTCTTCGTGAGGCCATGTATCATGGATCTTTGTCTCCTTTTCCCCCTCGAGACTCCCCTCACACTGCTACCCCCTGCATGTGCGAGGTGTGTGTCACTCCCCCGCAAGCCGTAGTACATTATGTCTTCACGTACAAACTCGAGTCAAAGCTGTGAAGACGGTACTAGCACCTGAGTGATGCACATATTATTCTACATCTGTTCTCAATAGTGGGAGTCTGTCAGTATAACCTGCGTTTGTTAATGTCAAGATGATTTGACTAGCTTAACATATGCTATTCCAAGGCATGTAGCGCATACACTGTGAGAAGCTGAATCTACACCTACATGAGCATAATTTTCACTCTTCAGGCGGATGCGGTACACTTTCACTGCCAATGATTTGCACCCTCCACCTACACCCAGTGATTATTCCCACTGACGCTTACTTTCTTTTTCGAGAAATGCACAGATTCATTACACTGATTAAGCCCACGGAAATATACATACTTTTCTCTAAACCTAAAGCTGCTGTACATCGTATGTGTAATTTAACTGCTGCGCCAAACTGGCAACACATTATATTGCTGGAAAATAAATTCGATCTTCTTCTAAACAGTTCATGCTCTTGGCAGAAAATGTGATTTATCACCTGAATATTGGTTGTTTTGTGTATCTACACAGCAGCAGACTCACTTCCCGAGGTAGCTATATTGTACCAATATTCCTGTGTAGTACAGAACATGCAAACTTAAGAACATACACGTTTTTGGATAGAATAAGTAGCTGCACCAGTGAAGAGAGTGGTTTTTGAGCACCAAAATTTATAATCATGCATATTTTTGAAGGTAAAATCTTAACAAGTGGAGGATCCTACTTATCATGCATCACCGCAGCTTCTTGTCCTCGAAGGCCACAGTCACTTTGGGGAGTGTTTTTGTTTTGAACTAGAATCTTTGAACAACATTCTCTTGTCTATCTTCTGTACCTCTAATTTGTGGTTTTGGGCACTCAAAATCCAACATCATCTTGGCAAAGTCAACATCCTTTTTTTTTTATTAGTGGCAGATGTCGGCCCAGCTTTGTGTTTCAGACAGATATGTGATTTTTATGCACAACAGAAATGCCCAGCCAATGTCAAACTCCAAAGTATGTTATTAATTTGACATCCAGTGCTAGCTGGGTGTCTGGCCCTCCACCAACTCCCGAGGGAAACATCTGACTTCTAAAGTGCTGAGTGATTAGCATTCCCAAGATGGTCTCTTGGACGTCTCTTCTTCTTGTCTTCCTTTTATTTTTATATGACTACTTTAGTCTGGGTCATTGAAGTTCTCCCAAACAATCAGAGACACTTTCTGTTTTCTCGTAGTCTTTTTTTTCTGCTCTCCGGGTAATCTCAATCAAGCAGGAGTTTGTTTGTAAAGTCTAAGAAAGGTGCCTGTCTGTGGTGTGCAAATTAAGTCTCCAAATCTCACTTTCATTTAAACCCTTTTGAGAGAAGTGTTGACTTGTCTTTGAAGTCTTTTTAGAGGCTTTAGCTCATCGTGCTGCTTGAACAGTTTTCATTATTTACTCTACTTCATTTTTATGAAAACAGGAAAACGATTATATCTCTCAGTGCACTTAAAGACTCTCTTAGATGAAAATGATGTTTCTTCTTGTTTTTTTTATATGTTCATATGGCATTTTTCTGATGCTACACGACATATCATGAGAAAACTAAATGGTAAACTGCTTTTCTGAGTATTTCTTCATTCAAATCGCTGTGAATCTCTGGCAGACGAAAATGACAGGTAACGCGATTTCTGGTAAACACTTCATAATCACAATTTAAAGACCACTGAGAACACTTTAAGTAGTAAAAAATTGATCAGAGTGGGACTTAAAACATAATTTCACACAAAGCTACTCTGTTAAGAAAAGCAGGGCTATATACAGGGTTACACCTTTGCTTCCATCTACCTTTGATGCGTAGTTGTGTCCGTCTGATCCGCACACAGGTCCGGTGGAGGAGATGGGACATGGCTGACAGTTCCCATCAGGAGACCTGAGAGCTGGCTGCTTCAGCCTGCAGGACAGTGGAGACACAAACACTTCAGCTTCTGTAAATCCAGAGCTGCAGAGCTAATTCAAAGTCCAGATGCAGGAGCATCAACCTAGAGATGAAGCAAACAGCCCCACTCCATGTGGTCTGAATGTATTAGCTTATCATTAAACAGCAGGGAGTCATATTTCTCTGACCTAAAACCAGTACAAGTGCCTGGCTGTAAACTTGATTGTATTGACCTTATGTGGGTTTTGCATTAACAGGGAATGTTCTTGAGGATGTGTGCATTATGGGAGTCGGTAAGATCTCGCTCATGAGCCGCGCACACTCACCTGTGTTCAAGTTTCTTGCGGTTGACGCACACAGCTCTCTGGTAGCCCTGGGCAATACACACTTTGTGTCGGCTGCACTTAACCTTTTGACAAGGGTCCTTAGTGGTGTCTACATCTGGGAGGAAATAGAAAATGAGACGCACACTGTTGTAGTATCAACACTGCTTCACTGTTTACTCTTCTTTGTATCACCAATAGCCCACCATGCTACACTCCAAGTCTCAAATACCAAATCTATTTTTTTTTTCACTACAACCTTGGAGTCGGTCTGAATTTTTAGAGCACTGCAGAACTGTTCAACTCCATTTGTTTCTTTGGGCATTTTGCGCTATACTCAGGGAAGGGCGTGCATTATTTCTAGACATATATTTGACCTTCTGCTAGTAAAACAAACAGGTTTTCTGGAATAACGTAAACATATTTTAACACTTAGGTTGACGCATATTCAATCACTTAATGGAAAAAGTACCACAAGGTCAAACTTTGCTTTCTGTATTTTAGACTTTAGAGAGCAAATTTAATAGTTTTTAACATAAGAAAAGATTATTAATGACACAGTGTTGTATATTATGTCATTTCTTAAAAAGTAACTGTCCAGAATTCACTTTCATTAAACAGAAAGAAGACAAAGTATTTATAGACTAATAATCAAAATATTGATAATTTACATCAAAGTATAAATGTCTTAAAATTATATCTGTTAATCTGCATTTCATATCTATAATTTTTGAATAATTTAAAATCTGCGTTGAGAGTGCCCTCTTCTCCATCCATCATACTCTCTGCTAGCAGCTAAAGCCGGACTGTGTGTCGCCCCCTCACACGGGCTCATATGTCACAGCTGTCCGTTCCTCACAGGCCGCCTGGAGCCGAACCTGGATGTCGCACTCGATTCCCTTCGTGTCCCCCATCCTTTATTCACCTCCACTATCCATCAGTACAGTAAACTGGCATACAGCTTATTCACAAAGATGCTTCTTTCCTCCCCCTGCTCGTACTGTATCCTCTTTTATGGCACTATTAAAATTTATCAGGCAGGCTTAGGCTCTCCTCTTGTCCTCTCCAGTGGCTGAATACATTAATGCTGCCCACATCACAGGATTATCGAAGCGAACCGACAGATATCTGATTTGAGAAGTAAATCCAAAACAATACACCCCCCTGTCATGGCTGAGCTGGTTGTATAACTGACTGACTGACTGCTCTGACTGAAGAGCAGAGCGGCTAGGAGGCATTAATGCCCAGATGCAGACTCCTCATCCATTCAGACTGTCAACACTGGAGCCTTCTTCTCTCTTAGACCAGTTAGCATTGATTGTGTAGGGGTGTTTCACGCGTGCCTGCCAGCTTTTCTCTCTCTCCCTATCCGTCTCTGCCTTTCTTTCTCAAAACTTCCTATTGTTTTGCTCTGATGTGCACAAGCGCGTCTTTAGATTCATCTGCAGAAGCAGTCGATACTTTCTGAAACAAAGGAGGGTAAAGAGACTGCACAGAAAAAGAGGGTAAGACGGAAATATGATTTTTTTTTTTCCAATCCATCCGAGGGAGATTTAGCCAATATTAAAGCAAAAGAAACCAAAAGGAGCAGACAGACAGAGAACAGATAATCCTGCCGTCTAATAGCTAAACATTTGTAAATAAATCTCGTCCTTGGTGAGCGGCTACAATGCTGGCACAGCTTTGTGTTGTGGGTACAGAAGCATAAGGTGGCTGCCTGAGCCTCATGTTAACTTAACAGGCTTCCACGGATTAAAGCAGCGCCTGCGATGATGATGTTTCCATAGCAACAGGCTCTCCGAGGTCCGGGAATCATTTCTGGGTTGACTGTGATTTGCAGCTCAATCTGGTGTTTCTCAGAACTCTCTCTCTTTTTCTCTCGCTCTCTCTCTCTTTCTGCCTCTGAAACTCGTGTTGTGCAATCATGTCCATCAATCTGTTTTCCCCTTTGTCTTTCCCGCTCATCAAAGATCTCCGCTGCGTATTCTCTGTTATGAATGCAGGTCGTCACCCCTCGATGCACCCACCTACTTCCATTTTTACTTTTCCAAAGTCTCTCCGATAGCAACTAACTAATGCCTGCAGCAGTAAACCTCTCCTAATTAGGCTCCCCTGCGCTCTGGTCTAATCCAATCCAGATTTACATGAGGTTTATCCCTGCAGATAGAGGATAGAGTAAACAGAGCCCAGTTCACATCCTCATTATCAACCCCTCTTATCTGCTATTTACCCTCTCAGTCTCTAACATCAGTATTATCTTGTTAGCTAGGTAGAAGTCAGTCAAGCCAGACTAATAGGCTAAAGTTTGCACCAAACTGATGGAGCAAAAAAGGAGAATAAATATCCTCACTTCAAATTGCATTCATTAATTTTGTTTTGCTTGTGGACACAGCACATCTTAAGGACAACAAACTCATCAGCTGTGTAAGCAAAAGCAGCTCAATAAGACAGGGTACTGTGTTAGCATTTACTTTGTGTGCAGGTTTGTGCCCACTTGATAAATTAAAGTTGAAGATTCACTCCCCTTCCAGCTCTGTTTTAATCTTCAAAGTCTTAAAGAAGTGTCTGGCTATCATAAAGTAGTGACTCAATCTTTGCCAGCTAGCTTTTCTTACCGCGTTTTGGTGCCAAGCTCATAATGTTAGCTTAAAGGCATACACCGGCACACACCGTAACACAGAGTTAGACACCCCCTCGAGAGATGGCTCTTGCCAACGGCTTGCTTCTCTAGTTTTACCAGCTTTAGTAACGACCACGGGATAGCAATACACAGTGGTCTGAGGAGCCATAAACAAACCTCAACCAAAACGCCACTCTATAGCCACAAATAATGCTCAGAACAGCACCTAACTTCATCAACAAACATCTTTTTAACTTTGCCTGATTTCTTTAGCAAAGAGACTAAACACAACTCACCTACTCTCTTCCAGCAGCCACTTGTTTGAAGCGAGACCTCGGGCCAGTCCATTATGGACTACAGCGGGGTGACACAGCTCAAGGAAGAACATTTATGATCATTTCTTCATGGAAATGCAATCAGACCGAGACGCTAAGGCAGAAGAACTACCGCGTCTGCAGTGCAAAATGATTAATATGGTGATTATTACTTCAAGGAAATGATAAAGAAATTATAAATGTTCTTCCTTGAGCTGCGTCACCCCGCAGCAGTCTGTAATGGACTGGCCCGAGGTCTCACTACAAACAAGAGGCTGCTGGAAGAGAGTAGGTGAGTTGTGTTTAGTCTCTTTGCTAAAGAAATTTGGCAAAGTTAAAAAGATGTTTGGTGGCTGGGACCTTATATGTACTGTTGATGGAGTTAGGTGTTGATCTGAGCATTATTTGTGGCTATAGAGTGGCGTTTTGGTTGAGGTTTGTTAATGGCTCCTCAGACCGTTGTGTATTGCTATCCTGCGGTCGTTACTAAAGTTGGTATAACTAGAGAAGCAAGCAGTCTGCAACATTCATCTCTCAAGGGGGTGTCTAACTCGGTGTTACGGTGTGTTTGACCCTAAATTAATGTTACGCCGGAGTATCCCTTTAAAGTGCTCACCAAAAAACACTAGACTTATATGTGAATCCTTTAGAAGTCTTGTGTGTCTTTTGCTTTCTTTTTTAATTCAGTGGAAGCAGTCCCAGGTGGTCTGAGGAGGGAGAAGAAGGGGTGATAGTGGACAAAGTTATGGCAGTGAAAAGGGCTGCGTCAGTCCCTGGAGGACTGCAGTGTCTAGTTTTGGAGGCTCAGGGTGCAGACTCCCTGGTAGAGGGAGAGCCTGATTTAGTGGATATTGTTAAAAACATTAACAGCTGCGGAGAACCATTACAGACTGCAGGAATAAAAAAGCTGCTTGATTATCTTGATGCTGAGCTCCGAGCTTGTGGGGAAATATACGGCTAAGAATTTCAGCAAAGGTGTCCAATAAATGTCATTTGTGAAAGCAGCAGCATTCATCAATAGTCTTAAGAAGTATCAAACCAAAGACCTTGTGGAGTGTGGACTCAGCGTGTTTCCATATCTCCTTGGTGTCTGCAATTGATCTGAAAGCATTGATTTGCCAGAGGTGTCAATTCACCATTCACCTGGCCATCCCTGGCTGAGATAAGTGTCTAGAAAATAAGGTACACTCAAAGGTGTATAGTTCTCCTGTGAGTGCTGTACACAAACACTCGAGAGGATGTTTGTGTGTGCATGAGTCCAACATTACAACTGCTCTCCTGCAGTGTTTACTGTCTTCAGAGCGAGGTGATTCAATCAGTTGCCTGATTGATGAATCGGCTGTGGAAATCGACTGCAAATTACCCTGACCTCTCCCTAAATCAGCACAGCGCTGGTTGGAGTGGAGTGTGGCTCTTGCATGCAAATATCCACCTCTGCATGAATTTGGCACTGTCTGGCTGTGCGTTAGGGGCATTGACAGTTCAGAAGCTCTGTCTTCCTCTACACGGCAGTGAAGCCTTCTTGGCACAGAAACCAGGCCTGCGGGCTCATCTGAGCTCAGGAAGTAAAGACATCACACTGATTTGGAGACATCTCAGAGGGACACATCTTTTTTTTTTTGCTTCTCTGCTTCATTAGGCCGCTCATAAAGGAGGGCAGATCAATGGAGGGAGATAGCAAACCAGTATCAAAATGAGAAAAATGAGGGTTTTATGCTACGGGAAATGAAACAGACGGAAAACCATTTGGCTGGAAACCTACTGCAAAAATTTTTAAGCTTCCTGAAGTTTCATATTATTGGCCACTTTTATTATGGAGGTGCTGCTTGAGAAGTTGATCTATTTAAGTTTGGTTGACGACAAACCAAAAACCTGCAAGTGTCATAATATGTTATGTTGATTTAGTTTTTTCCTGGTTTTGTGATTTAAGTGTATTTTCCTTGAGTTTTCCCTTGTGTTTTTTATTCCCCATTGTTCCTGTTCCCCTGTAGTCCAGTCTTGTGAGTTTTTAGTTTGTGTCTGACCCTATTTCCCACCTTTTCTCTGTGTTTTATTCTTTACATTTTTTAGTAGTTGATTCCTCGTGTTTCTAGTCTGCTTTTACTTCCCTAGTTTGCCCTCCTTTCGTTAATCACTAACAAGTTTCACCTGTGTCTCGTTTGCCTCACCTGTTGCTCGTTAACCAGTGTGTATATAGTCCCTGTCTTCCCCTCTGTCCCTGTTGGTTCATTGTATGTTGATGTGTTGTTGTATTCCTAGTCTCCTTTGTTTTTTTTGCAGAACAAAAAATGATTTATTAAAAGAACGAAATAAAAAGCAACAAAGCTTACTTCCAAAATGTCCAACTAAAAAATCCAAAAAAAGGATCTGGGGAAAAAACACAACTGAAACTGTTGTATTATTTAAAGCTCCAGTGAGGACTTTGTAACTGGTAATTATAACCAGCTGATTTTAATACTGCTGTCTCTCTATGATCTACAAAAGCGTAAAAACACCCCATCAAGAAGACTAACCCTCTCTAAATAATCATTTCAATGTTTAAAAACGCTGCCGCGGGGCAGATTTCAGACAATTTGATCAACTACAAGCTGCAGAAAACTTTTTTATATTTCCATTCAATAAAAAGATACACTGACTGTTTATAGTTTCCACAAGACTGATAAAAAGTACCACATTGACTACAGGGATACCAATATTGACACAAACTGCAAGTTTTTCATTGGAGTTTCAAATTAAAGCACTACATTTCTGTTTCATCATAACCATCCAGTTCAGGTAAAAATCTGAGTTAGTTTTTATGTTTTAATTGATTTTAATCTAATTGAGAGAGAATTTGGGAAATTCTTGACAAAAATTGCTGTTTTTTCAGCTTCAGCAGTGTTTAAGATCTGTTCAAGAAGCAGTGAAGTCGCTCTGCTTTTGAGGCTTGTGTTGTCTTAACTAAATCCATTCAAATAACACCTGAATTTTGGGTTCTTGAAATCAGAAAAAATAACAGATTTAGGCAAATAAATATGTCATATCCTGTTATTTCTCCTTAATGCCTTTATCCAGCTGTTTTCAGTGTTCAATCAATATTCTTGAAAACCCAAATTTCAGGTTCAGTGTCTTTGTTTTTGTAACAGCGGGGTATCTGTATACCAAAAAAGAAAAATGGAGCTCCTACACTTATTATACAATCTATTTAGGTTTCAGTACACCAGGTTTTTGGCCAGAAGATTTTTCAGACTGCTGACCTCTTCTTAGTATTCTTCCAAGTAAACAGCTTTCATCTTTCTGCTTTTTCTGGTGTGTTTTCATCCGATCACACCCTCCTACACTTGTCAACATGCTTCTTCCCCTCAGTTCGCAATTCCCTCATCACCAAACTGCTTTAGAGTTGACAGGAATAATATTAATGTCAGTCACTTTAGACTAAATCAGGGCAAATTAGCCTGCACCCCTGTCTCTATCTCTCCTCATGCTTTTACTTCTCTCTCTTTGGCCTTTCATTGGGAGCCATAATTAGTCCTTCATTAAGCCCTTGGAAATTGCGCTAATGGACTCTGCCATTCAGCTGACTTCATTTAAGCTGCAAATCAAGCAACAATGGTCGAGGACACGACTCTGTCATGACTTCATCTTGCAGGGGCTCAATTAAGTCGCAGAAGGAGTAGAAGAAGAAGAGGAGAAGGAGGACAGTCTGTCTAGGCGCACGGCTCCTGCTCCCGAGTGCAGAGAAAGGGGAGAAAAAAGTAGGAAGCAGAACCGAGAAGTGATGTGTAGAAGTCGAGTCGATGTTTAGTGTTTCCTTGGGGAGTCACTTCAGATGTGCTGAAGCAGATAAAACAGAGCGCTAACATCCTTCAACTCTTTTCACTGAGGACCTACTACAAGTGTGGACAGTGAGTGGCTGACCCCGGTATACAAACAGACTGTTCGCAGCGCTGTCTAACGCGATGAACTGCTGACAGTCAGGGTTGTATCACAGTTCAAATTCAGGCCACAGTCCAAGCTAATGACATCCACTTTCAATAAATTATGTGGCTTTGCTTTTACGGCATCAGCAAGTATCCGAGGCAGCTTAATCCAAACATTTTCGACTTGTTTGGCTTACATGTTTAAATTTGTGTTTGTGTCTTAAATCGCAGCATGTGAGAAAACATCATAAGCTCGTGACACAATGTTTTGGATGCAGACACAGTTATACAGAGACATTTATCTCATCTTGTTTACAGTAGATCAGTTAAATTTAACTCTGTTTTGGTTTGATATTGGATTGCAGCATCTTGCAAAGAAACTTTAGGAGATCTGTGCACGAGTCTTCTAGCCTAATGCTGCTATTATGGAGAGTTTCATGATTGGTGTTACTTAATGCAATAAACTCTAGTGTTAGCTCAGAAGTAGTTGGATGCTAACATTAGCTTTAACCTTGAATTACGCCTGATATTTTCACTTTTCAATGCTTGATTATTTGCTGCTCAATCAAGAAGCAGAGACTATAACTCCAAATTTCCACTGCATCCAGAACAGCTACGAAAAGGCCAAATCCTCCGATCACAGCTGATCGTAACCATTCAAGTTAATGTGTCAATTTCCACCGGCGTTTTTCCATTCTGCTGCGGATTGCCGGACTGTGCAGCTGATGGCAAGAGTTCTTGCCCGACTTACTTCTGGAAAGTAAGTCAGGCACAGACACAAAATAAAATATCTGCCTTCTTTCCAAAATAAAACACTCCATGTTTCAGGCGGATCGTATTTCACACCATGTAAAGGGGCGGGGACGAACAAGTGAAAGGTTTATAGACAGTATTCATCCCGAAGACACCAGAGATGAGGGGATGCTAATTTTAGAAGCCTAGAATTAGATTTCCTCCTCTGGAAGGACACAATCTACTGCTTATATGGTTAGCCTATGTGGCTGTCTTTATTGAGACAACTTGTCATCGCGTGATTGCACGTGAATCCGCAGGTTCTTGTGAGTTCTTGCAATTACCGCTGTCCGTAATCCACCACAAAGTTCACCTCACAAACGGATCCGGTAGGAATTGGCAAATGGCGAAAAATCCTGCTGTTACAGATGCTGTGGAAATTCAGGGTAAGGGCCTATGACCATTAACACCTTTTTTCACACTGGCAGTGTTTATTGTACGCAAAAATCCACTGCACCTAAGCATTTTCATTTTCAGCATACTGAGTGAAAAAATACCCTCAGCATCAGCTGTTTTTGTTGCTGCGCCCACAGCACTCTTAGTTGAACACAGTTAACTTTTTTGAATACCTTCACTCGTTAATGTTGCTTCTATTTCTCTAGCCAATCAAAATACAGATAGAATACAGATATCCCCTCAAAACGAGATTTCACAGGGTTTCACTACTGATATCCACAGAGTACAGAGAGTAACAGAAGAAACTAACCACACTCATTTTTTTAGGTCAATAGTTTCAAGGTCTCGAGCTGCTGGTAACGCAACAACATAATTTCCATCAATAACTTCTGTTTTCTTCATAAGTTGTCTCCGAATGAAGCCAAATATGTCTGAAGGGTACAGAACATTTTGAGATAGACTTAATCATGATTTAGGTAAACAGAAGTACCAAAGGACGGTTTACGTAACAGTAAGAACAAGCGAGGGGCGCTCTTAAATTGAGGTCAGGGACACTGCCAGCACAAAAGGACGGTGTTAATGGACACAGGCCCTCACTTAGTCATTTTCCCTGACTTCAAAAAGCTTGCGTCTTGAAGCGCAGCAGTATGTAATATAACAGCGTTTGAGCTCGCCTCCCTGAATTCAGAGGAAAATTTCTGCTGTGTGAGGACAGCGAATACATCCTTGACAAGTGAGTTTAAAACATCCACGCAGCAGAGAGAGAGACGCGGCTTTGAATCTTTATAAGCAGCGAATCTGAATCTATGCTGTCCCTCAGTGAAAGTATTTCATCTTTCCAAAGAAACAAGCTTCGAGGAGGACGATTATCTAACGCTCGGTAGTGAAACATAACATTAACCTCTTTTTCTCTCTCTTTAAGCTGACTGTAGGAGTAAACCACAACATTTCTTGTGTACCCATATTGTGAAATTGGTGATAAACAGCTATTCTATTCAATCACCATCATAATCATGTTTTAAATAGGATTGTGTGAAGCAGAGTAAATAGAGTAAGAAAACAAAAGATGATGTGACTCACTGTCACTGGACCCTTGATTTTCATCCCAGGTACGAACGTAATCATCCTGCAAGAACAGAAAAATCAATCATGAATCCTGCAGCACAGAAAAAAAACACACATGAAAAGCCACAATGTATTATCACCCATTTATCTGCATATAGAAGTGACACAGTTTACATTACCATTGCATATTGATCATCATGTCTACAGTAGCATGCAGCTGCATGATAATTAGCCGAGTGAGGCACATAAGACAGATGGGTTTTTACCGTGGCTGTACATCTATATGAGAATGAGCCCAACAAATCTGCACCGATGCCTTTACATGCTAGACATATGGCATGGAGGGTGAGCAGCTTTTTTTATAAAACTCCGGCTTTTTTTTTAAAAGTTAATTACAACATTAATCGTTCTAATTAAAATGGGCAAGTTGAAGGAGATTTGAAATAAAAAGAGGGAAGGAGAAAATGGACAGAGAAGCAGAGATAATGGCGCACAAAGAGACAAGGGTATGAGTCATGAATGAAAAAGACATCTTACAAAGGCAGCTTGAGGAGCGATATAGAAAACAGAGAACTGACCTCTACCTCCTGGTGAAATGACAGCAAAGGAGAGAAAAAGGCAATGTTAGTGAGGGTGGGGAAGTAATTTTAGATACAAGGTATTAAGCTGCATTCATTTTGAGGTCCCATGTTCATTTTAAGGTCCCTCAAAATGTTCTCATTGATAAATGAGCAATAAAAAAGAAAATCCTGGGTTAAACAGTCTTTAATCCATGCAATTTAAATCATCTAAGAGGTCAGATTTGTCACATCTAAGATTACGTTTTTAAAAATAAGAAATATCCTGAGGTAAGAGCGCATATTTCCAATCATATCTTCACATCTGAAATAATAAACATGAGTTATTTCAGGATATTTACAATCAGTCGTCTTCCTCCTCCTCTGTGATGACTTACTCATCACCGTAAACATTTTCTGTACTGGAAGCGTGAGCCAAACAGCTCCCCGGAAGGCGATAAATTCTGACACATACGTACAATCTGCAACCTTCATGAAAGCTGAGACCTTCTTCTTTGACCCTCACAGTTTTATTTCACAGAGGTAAATATTTTCATCGCTGACAGGGACTGAAACCCACCATACTGCACCTCTCTGTTTCTGCTCACTGCAGCACCAGCTTTTTCCACAGAAAAAAAAACAAACACTCACAGCAAACCTGTAAAGGTTATCTCCACTCTCCAGTTTAGCTTCCTGAATGACTGCAGGTTATGTTGTTGAACCTTGTTAGGCCTGATGGAGTCACGTACTGACGGAGAGGGACCTCAAACAGTTTACGACCTGGCCATTAATCTCACGCCTCCCATGTCTGCTTTATTGATGCTCCAGCTCCTGCATTATTAAGCAGCTTTTCTGTATTTGTGTTTCTGCCAGGGCCGATGAGGGAAGTGTCCTGCTGCGCTGACAGGACTGGAAATCAATGATTTCATAAAAGACAGGCTGCAGAAAATGTATTCGGGGGAAAATAAATTCTCCTGAGTGCACAATGCAAGAGCACGGTGACAAGTTTGGCACACAGCAGAGGAGTTATATCACTCAAAATATGACTCACAGACCAAAATCCTGGAGCAAGGACTGCAGGTTTTTACTTTTTGATTAGAGGAAGCAAACCGAGGGTTGAAAGCACTCGGTTGTATCCGGGAGCTCTGTGATTTACCTGATAACATTCAAAGAAATCTCCTGATAAACAGAGCCAGGAAGCTTAGCCTCAGCATCAAACACTGCACTGTTCACCTTGCTGCCCTGCTCCATGATAATGATAGACAGATCACAACCTCTCATAAATGTGGGATGATATCATGAGCCGCTCCATCATGAAATTGAACCCTGCTAAAGAGCGGCATTGTGTTTCTAAAAATACGCCAATAAAAAAAGCAGTAAACAGGCTTTTTGATTCGCCGATAGGACGACAAACAGGAAACCGGTCTATGTGTGACTATCTGACAGGTTGAGGGTGACTGACAGGTGTGTCAAGGTAAATGTCAGCTGTCAGAATCACTCTCCTCTGTGGTTATCCTGAGGGGGTTTGTCCATGCTGACAGCAGAGTTGCACCACTGCCTCATCAGTAACAAAGGACACGGTAATAACGCTCTCATGTGGGGATCTGTGTGAGTCTGACCGCCGGAAAAAGGTTTACACTTGACCTTTTCTCACAATTAATGTTAATATCAGCCGTCAGAGAGTTCGTCAAACATACACTTTGTACCAGCACAGCAGGAGGGGTCATGAAATTCACACATGACACATGAGCAAACTATCTGTGCATAAACCACATGACATGACGATTGATTTATTTTTTGTATATGCTTCTCTCTTTTTCTCCACATTTTGAAAGCTTTGACAGTAAACATGCTCAAGAAACTCTCTGATTCCTTTGTTCCTTTTTCACTGGAGTTGCTGTTGCAGCTGGTTGGGCAATAAAACGCCGAAACACAGTTGTAAAAAGTGCGTCTCTTCCTTCTTCACAACATTATAGCGTTAGATCCACTACATAAACATATACTGTTGTTTTTAGGCACTCGGGAACGACAGTTGCTTTGGTCGCTTGTTTTCGTCTTTGGAGGAAAGTCAGAGGAATGTACGAGCAGGCAGGCGAGCTGTTTGATTTGACAGTCACCTGCTTTGAAGAACAAGATTAAGTGCCATTCTACCCTGAGAATCCACCTCACTTTAATCTCCTTCCAGGTTTCATCGAGTACCGGGCTGCATGCCTACCACTTGTGCTGCTGAGGTTTCCCCTTTTTCATCCTTTTTTCCCAGTCAACTCAGTGACAGACAAAGGTCTGTGTGTAAACACAAGAGCCCCTTCAAAAGGGGGAGTCACTGAGAGAGAGAGAGGTGGGTGCAGAGAGGCTGGTCATGTACTACAATTAGGAATTCTCTTAGAGACTGAAAGCATCCATTAGCTGATCAGCAAACAGGAAAACACCCTAATTTGATCTTTAAATCGTAAAAACAGGGATGCACCGAACTGATATTTGGATCGGATATCAGCTCCAATATTGACAAATTAACTAGATCGGATATCTGATTAATGACGCAGAGGAGACTAAACACAACTCAACTTCTCTCCCAGCAGCTGCTTGTTTGTACGGAGACCTTGGACTTCGGTGGGGTGACACAGCTTAAGGAAGAACATTTATGATCATTTCCTCATGAAAATGAAATCAGACCAAGATGCTAGGCTAGAAGAACTACCACGTCTGCAGTGCAAAATGATCAATATGATGATTATTACTTCAAGGAAATGATAATAATAATGATCATAAATGTTCTTCCTTGACCTGCGTCACCCCGCAGCAGTCCATAACAGACTGGCCTGAGGTCTCGTTACAAACAAGTAGCTGCTGGAAGAGAGTGGGTGAGTTGTGTTTAGTCTCTTTGCAAAAGAAATCAGGCAAAGTTAAAAAGATGTTTGGTGGCTGGTACTGTGGCTGGAACCCTATATGTACTGTTGTTGATGAAGTTAGATGCTGTTCTGAGCATTATTTGTGGCTATAGAGTGGCGTTTTGGTTGAGCACATGTATTGCTATCATGCAGTCGTCACTAAAGTTGGTAAAACTAGAAAGGCAAGCAGTCGGCAACATTCATCTCTCGACAGGGTGTCTAACTCGGTGTTATGCTGTGTTTGACCCTAACTTAATTTTACGCTGGAATATCCCTTTAATAAATAATATTAGGAAAATTATATCTGTGTTAATGTGTTGTTGTTTTTTTAACAAGACTAATGTCAAGCCTGATGCCTTCACTCACAGGTCAAGGTATATTGTTCATTCATTCAACAGCAGTATTGGATCAGTATCAGATATCAGCCTGTACGCTCAGCCCAGGTATCGGTATCGGATTGGAAAAAAATGGATCAGTGCGTCTCTAAAAACAACTTCTACAATAAGATCATTCGTTTAAATTTGTATTTCAAGAAAAAAAATATCCACTTTGGCTATTTCCTCAGTGAGCTGTGTTGAATGCTATTATAGCAGGAAACACAACCCTAAAATCTCATGAAATACAGCTGAAAGACCAATATTACATAGCCCTGAGGAAGTCTTCAGCTACATACAACACTGTGTCTCCTCCTCCCACCTCGAGATTCACATAATAACTGTTCACAGCTTTGGATTACAGATCACATGAGACATGCCTGAGATGAAACAAACCCCCCCTCCTCTAACAATATTCTTGTCCTATATGTTCTCATCTTATCCTCATGCACACTGGGCTGCAGGGCATGAGAAGCAAGCCTGCTGATTCCATATTTCTGCATGCACACGGGGATGAGAGCCGAGGCATTGCAGAGGCAGAGGCAGAGAATCAAACGCTGAGAGTCTGGGCTGCATCTTTCACAAGAAGGCCGAGTCAAGAGAGAGGCTTATGTAAGAGAGCCGAGAGGACCGGGTAATGAAAGGTAAAGCAGGGGTTAGTACTTTTGGGAGGCGGATCGATAGACAAAATAAGGGTAAAGAAACGGCACTGCTGGAAAACAGAAAGTCCTACCTTAAATCACAAAATAAATCTGGTGTGCTGTGGTTCAAAGGAGAGAAAAGAAAACACTATACAAACTGAATTAAACGTATTTTCAGTCCCTCTTAAGGAAGTGTACCTAGTATGTGTCGAGCTAGATGTTTGCCTCTCAGGTTTTACACATTTCCTCCCATTAACAGTAAAACACATTCCTTGTAAGATTGATTCTTGATTCTTTGGTCTCTATGGTACAATATCCTTGTTTTATCTACCCTGAAACTATTGCATTGTTGTGTCAAAACCATAGACCGTAGATAGAATGGACGCCATCTGCCTCCTCGCTGGGTGAAGCTACTCTGAGAACAGCACCCTCTGGTGACGGGTTGCAGTATAGGTCACAAATCCCGCCTCCTCCAGCAATCTCTATGGAGCTGTGGACAAACTTCAGAAATGTATTACACAGAATATAAATTGTTCTCCCCCCTGGTTGCGATGTTGACATGTAGTTATTGTAAGACTGGTTTGAGCTCAAGTCCTTTTTTTTCTGTGCAGCTCCATTTTTAAAAGTTATTAGGGGGTTCATGTTTTCTATGAGTGACACTTGATACAGCCTATGGGCGCATGAAGATTGCGTAGCTCACCCGGGGGATATGCTGTTTGAGCCGAGCGTCATCACAGCAACTTTTCGCTACTCCTGCTGAAAGTGTACAACGCTACTGTGCAATGTTGGTCTCAGGAAGTGGAGAAAAAACACGGCACAGTATACTGGTGGAAGGAACCAAGTTGTCCATAGTATATTCAGTCTATGTTCTGAACTGTGTGAGTCAGGAACCAAACATTTGACCCTCCTGAAATACAGACTTTAAAAACATTTGGTGGATTAATCTCTGATATAAATGGCATATCTGATATGTTTTAACACCTGGGTCCTCAATTGTATACTAAGCTACATCTCGCAATGTGTGTCTGCACATATGCACTCATGAACTTCTAGGATTTGCAAAGTATTCAATAACTGAAGGGTTGATTTCCTTGCCCTCAGGATCCCTGTCGATAATAATCCTTCAGATTTAACAAAACTAGAACTGGAGTTTTGGATGATTTACTTCAAACCAACAAAATAAGTAATTGTATTTCTTTGAAATCTCTGCACACAAGTAATTTCAAAGCTACCGTAAATCCACGTTTCTCTGTGCTTTCCACTGTATCATGTTTTTCCTGTGTGTGAGTGTTCTTAATTAAAGGATTAAATAAAGAAAAGTTCCCTCTTTTGTTGTGAAGGAGCAAATCTTTTGGTGAGTACCAAGGGAATTCTTTTGTCCTTTCACATCAAAGAGACATTAAAACATAAGACGCACAAAGAGAACACCCAAAGAGAATTATCGTGGGCCTTGTTTCAGCACCGACGACTACTTTTAATGGTTTCTTTAAACATGAAACCATGTTTAAACCATGATATCAGAGAGTGCACGAAATGACAGTCCTTTCAAAATACAATCAAATGTGTCCACACAGGAAATCAAGGGTGAAATATGGGCCAAGCATTTCCATTCCCAGGTTTTGTGCATGAACCAGATACACCGAGCAAAAGCGCGACAACAATACGGAGCGTTGGTTTGAGCGAAAGTAATTTAGAGTGAATAATTCATGCATTTCTTTTGCTTCAGCTTGCAGAGGGATTTCAATTTCTACCTTTAATCACAGGTCGACAGTTGAAAAGACACGTTGTCTTCATTGCACTGCTGGATCATACATAAGTAATTGCTTTCAGACTGAAGAGGGTAGACAAAAGGTTTTCATTTACGTCTGCGCTGACTGGCCCGTGACTTATGTAGTATAGATCATACTGAGCATTGTCCCTCTCTACACTGCTCCAGAAAGGCTCTACAGTCTGAGTCTTTATGTTAGAAACAGTGTCACAGCAGCAGAGGACAGAAAATAGCACTCCGTTATGTAAATACAGAGGAGTAATTTTCATTTGAATGGATTGGTATTTTAAGGCAGAGTGAAAAAATCAACTGGTGTAACTAGAAAAACCCTGTCACAACACAAACTCGCTTTTGAAAGACGCACAGCTTGAAATTTGTAATAAAAAAAAACAACTATACAGAGAATAAGAATACAAACTTAATCCAAAAAGCCTCTCACAGCAGTCTTCTACTCACAATCTATAAATAAATGCACCCTTGTGCCTTTTAGGGCCCTGAAGGGAGTAAGAAAACAGTCGGCACCTCACAGGAGAATCGGGTACAAACGAGAACCTTCGCACTTCAGTGAAAACACCGAGCTCCACTGAAAAACAGACAAGAACAACAATGGAAAATCAATGAAGCTGCCTTTGTAGGGTCTCCAAGAAGAATAGGAATCAGCCAATGATTTGAGGCAGGGGAGTTCGAAGACGATGTAATTGAGGGAGAGACTTACAAGAAGTGGGCTGAACCCTGGCCTGAGGAGTGGAAAAGGCAGAAGGACGGCTACTGCCCAACAAGTCCGGCTAAGTTCACTCATATTCAAAATCTCAGATAAATTTTAGTCATCTTTGAATCATGTTAGCGACGACTTCTTTGAAATATATCGTCTGATTTCTTTCAATCCATGTCTAAATCAATAGCCATGTTTACATGTGCAAAATTTCTTGATCCAATTTGAGGGATCGGTTAATCTGAATCCACTGTTTACATGGGTGCAAAATCAAATAATCCAATCATGACGTGTACATGCACCAAGCGTTATTCAGATTAGAAGCATTTGGACATGCTTCTAAAACAACTGCAGAAGAAGAGTTGTATGTACGCATGTGCTGACAACAAACCAACAAACGCGCTAGTGGCTCACTCCATCAAATTCAGGAGATTTCCCCCGTTAAATGTTGTCACTAGATGGCGCCCTTGTGTACTTATTTTACTATTCTGTCAAAGGTTAGACATCATTACGCTGTGTGAATGCCTTGTTATGTTACCGAAGGAGCCGACACGGCACCTGCGTTTGTGTTTTATGCTGTAGTGTTAATAATGAAACCTCCTGAACTGGCCTCAATAAATTAGCCAAAGGTAAGGTAAGAGAGTCACGATCAGAATAAGTGTTTACAGGGACGCGTTTCGAAATAACAATCGGCATAAACCACCCCTCTCGATAGGAACACAAATTCTTTCCGACTGAGCCAAATTGGATCAGAATCTTCCGATCGACATGTTTACATGACTCATTTTTATTCCGATCAGGCATTTATTCCGATTTTTTGTGCCCATGTTAACGCAGCTAGTGTAAACATCAAAAACTATCTCAATTAGCTTCTCTGTTCTTCAACTGTATCAAGTACTTTAAACGTTTCGTAAAATTTTCTTCAACCGTGAAAGAACAGCCACCAACATTCCCAAAAACCATGACAGTAACATTCATTTCGGAAATTCTCATTAATACGGATTTCTTTTTAATGCAACAATAAATAGTGAACTTCACTTCTTTATCTTTCTCAATACTAATGGACTTATGTTTAGGGGGTACAAACAAGCTACAATCAAACAACAAATGAACTCCTTTGAGTTGATCTCCAGTTAATTCTGACCGTGAGAGATTCTCAGCTATCATATTTCAGCTCCAAACTCTGCGAGTCTCCGTCTGTTCTCTCTCTTTTTTTTTTTTTTTGATTACAGGAAGCGCTTTTTCAACGTGCCCACTCTCAGGTGCTCTCAGGCGCTAAAACATCCTGTTATTTTCACCCACTTTCAACTTTTCAAATCAAATTCTCTTGTCCGCTGCTGTAGCTACAGGAGGTGCTGAGTGCACACTGGCAGCGCCTTCGCTCAGTCTGGCTCAGGCCCAGAGGTAATAACACTTGGGTGGCATTTACTGTAGGGACAGCCACTACCACTTAGAGTTATTGTTAGTTTTAAAGAAAAAAACCGGAGTGATTTATTGAGCCTGTCTTTCTGAAATATCCCGGCCAAATATGATAATTTAAGAGCTGTAGTGTATTTTCAAATGAGTTAATTATGAAGCAAATACAACTCCTGATGCACAACTTCAGTAGTTTGGCTCTTACTGATACTGCTGGTTACTTGGCTGTTTTCTGCAGGTTTCTGTCTACAAGAGGACCCTTGAAGTATCCCACAAAGAGCTCATTACGGGCAGATTCGTGGATGGTGTTCTCTGCAGCAAACAATCTGTTTGACTTACTGACTCCCCTGATGTATCCAACAACACGGGCACACAAAGGCAGGTCACTGACAAGTCATGCATCTGAAATACGAAAATTTCAGGCATCTGTTTGGGGATATTTTGTACTACAGGGTGCTTCACAAGACCAGTTCTGTCATCTGAAGCATGGAGAGTTTCAATGAATATGCATTTGTGTAATTCTGTGTATTGCATCTGCTTCGAAATGTGATGCTTAGACACATATTTCTCACTGTTTATCACATCGTCTCCCTGTCTCTGCGGCACCTGTGCCCTTCAGATGTGGCGATTGTACTGCAGTGGGAAGCAGCTGTAGTGATGCGAGCAGTGCATGATGAAAAGCTGTTTCTTTTCCCTTTTTTTCCCCCCTCCTCTCTACTCAATTACAGCCCACCTAGGCCCCTGGTAGCCAGCCAAGACACCCTGCAGCCCACCAGCAGTCCATCCACAACCCAAACAATCTGACCATCTCTCCCAGAACTGTTGAGGCTCTCCATCTCCATCTGCATGTTTGTAGCCTCACAGAGAACCCAGATAAGGGACGGCACACGTCGGAACAAAGCTTGCCTTGATGGATTAATGGATTTCCGATAGGCTGTTATCACCGTTCATAGCGGTGAAACACCAGAACATGCAGACGAAAGTCATCAGGGGCTGTATGAAAGGAAATCTAGACTTAGGGCTGCGCCTGCGTGTGATGATAATTTACAGTGCTTGAGGATACTCTGTAATGGAGTATTTGGCTCCAGTTTCATAGATGCCATTACCACAATTATGTTATCCTTTGCAATGGTGTGAAACTGTAAAAAGGTGCACTGATGTCTGCCGCCACAGTGTCAAAACTCAGCTGGATGGTTGCCAGTTAAAGGAGCTCGCTAAAGGCTTAAAGGGATATTCCGGCATAAATTAGTTTGGGGACGAACATTTATGATAATTTCTTTTATCATTTCCTTGAAGAAATAGTCATCATATTAATCATTTTGCACTGCAGATGCGGTAGTTCTTCTGCCTTAGCATCTTGGTCTGATTGCATTTCCATGAAGAAATGATCATAAATGTTCTTCCTTGAGCTGTGTCACCCCGTAGCAGTCCGTAATGGACTGGCCTGAGGTCTCGCTACAAACAAGCGGCTGCTGGAAGAGAGTAGGTGAGTTGTGTTTAGTCTCTTTGATCAAGAAATTAGGCCAAAATATGTTTGATGGCTAGTGCTGTGGCTGGGACCCTTTATGTACTGTTGATGAAGTTAGGTGCTGTTCTGAGCATTATTTGTGGCTATAGAGTGGCGTTTTGGTTGAGGTTTGTTGACGGCTCCTCAGACTGCTGTGTATTGCTATCATGCGGTCATTACTGAAGTTGGAATAACTAGAGAAGCAAACAGTCGGCAATATTCATCTCTCGATGGGGTTGTCTAACTCAGTGTTACGGTGTGTTTGACCCTAAGTTAATTTTACGGCGGAATATCCCTTTAAGTCTACTAAAAAACTCAAGTCAAATGTTCTCGCCAGAACCTGCTGCAAGAGCTCCACTCATTCTGCATATTTAATCCACTGGCACTGACAAGGGATCTGGTGTTTTCTGTGCTGGCACAGAGTGTTTTCTGTTCCTTGAAAATGAAGTGAATGGATAACAGGTGCTTAGAGTTGGTTGGTACAGGGTGATCCAGAGCTGCCTGACTTTAGGAGCAAAGATAAGGACTTACCAGGCACAGACAGTGCTTTTTGGAAAGGAGGAGAAAATGAAATAAACAAAACCATGAACACTGAGGACTTTTTGCATGCGTGATAGATGCCAGCAATAAACAGCCTGCTTCTGGGTGAACTCGTTCTGCTAAGTCCTAATCATCATCCATTTTTGGGCTCATATCTGAGTTCATCTTAAATCAACAGGAATAAAACATCGTACCAATTTCACGGCTTGGTGATTTCATGCACCGTATCCTTTTTACAAGCGAAGTTGAGCAAAAAATTGAATTTACTGTTGATTTGCTCTTAAATTGGATCTGCTGTGCATAAAAATACAGCAGACTCCAGCCGTTTAATTCAGCGCTTAAATGAAAATAGACAGCGCAGAGATTGGGGAGATGATCCCAGCTGACATGTTACCGTCCCTTTAATTGAGTTCTTAAATTTCTACGAGCAAAACTGATTTTTATTCCAAGGATGCGCTTGCTTCAAATAAAACCGGGCGCATGATAAAGAAGAAGATGTCTTTTTAATCAGATTCGCAATTTTTTCCAGCCACTTCATATCATCATCTTATAGTTTTCCATCGGAGAGCTGTCTAATTTGATTTGAAGGTTCATCATGAGGAAGGGCTTTAGGTTTGGCTGTCACTCCCAGTCAGAAATCATCTATTGAACTAAGATCAGATCAAAATAAAAGAAAAATAAACATTTCCAAGTGAAATGAGTAGTTTTTCTCTCATAAGAGTTTTTCAGTCTAGGAGTTATAATACCATGACTTGCCCACATGCTCCCTTGTTTCCCTTTTTCCCTGGATTTGGTGCATTAGTGGAATGAAATGTTGAGTGCACCTGTCAGATTAAAGGATTGAAGGTATCCCATTCTGTTATTTGTTGACTGTAACTGTTAAATCTAATCGCCTTGTCCTCTCGTGAAATAGATTAAATTGAAGTGTGGGAGCTATTTTTATTGGAAGTGAAAGAGCCTCTTATCCTGATTCTGCCTTTTACATAAGAGAATAAACATGAAATATTTACAGCGTGCATCCTTCAGCCTACAGTATGCATTGTGTGTGTGTTTTTTTTCATCTGTGTGTTTGCGTGCAAAAGGAAGAATAAAAGAGCTCATCTTTCATGTTGTGCAGCTTTGATTATTGCTTTCCAGAGTTGAATTAATATTCAACGTTCAGCTCTCGGAGGACTATGCAAGTCAACATCAATTTATGTAATCTGAATACCTATAACAGTGTCATCAGCAGCCTTTTATGCATTAACCGAATAATCCCGTCAGACTGATCTTTATTCTTTTTGGCTCAAATGTTGACATGAAGCAACACCAATTAAATGTATATTATAGTCAGAATAGATAAGCGGATGAGTGTATGATTGTGTGCGTTTAGGTGGGAGTTTGAGTGATGTTAAAACAATCCTGATACAAGGTTGTTTTCTCCGCTCTGAAGCAGGACCAGTGATGGGAATAGAGTCATCAAACCCTCAGTGATACATGCTCCATTTCAACACCCTAACACACAAGCTGCTGTTGCCACGGCAGCAAACTGAAATCAAAGCCGTTTCCACTGGTGATTCCCCCGGGGAGGCTCGCTGGTTTGCTTCTCTGATGTTTCTCCTGTCATCATCATCCTCCTCACCAGAGACACACACCACCATCACCACCACCACCACCACCACTAGCCCTACCCTTACACACAACGCTAATGCACACGCACGCGCATCAAGACAGCCACCTCTGGGAATCGTGTGGAACTGTAGGGGGCTGTTTGTGTCACACGGCAGCAGCAGCTTTGATGCTAAAAACTGAGGAGAAAAATGGAAAGTGGAGCAAACGAGATCTTCACAGTAGATGGAAGCCCCTTAAGCCACGTTAGGGAGATGATCCCACTTTCCCTGGACCATTTTTTTTATCAGAGGGTGCTCCACATTTTCCATGAGTGTGTTTTTGTTTTTATTCTCTCGTGAAAAAGGCTTTCTCTTTTATGCGCGGCTAGTCATGATGTGCTGAATTCAGAGTGGAGTTGCCGCTCTTGCTAACATTTTGGATCAAAGCTGTGCAAATATACAGAGCGGCATCCAGAGAGTTATAATCCCACAGTAATTCTGACTTAATCTTTCCATTCGCACAATTTCATTACTTCCCTAAGTACAGTTCCAGAGGACATCCTCTAATCACAGCCAAAGTAATCCATCCCCATGAGGGGGGCAGCTGCCAATTTTCAGACACATTCACCTTTTCTACAGGGACGTCCAGGATCTGTGATTTAAAGGAGCATATAAATGCAGATCAGAGGCGACACCGCGGCCTCCTGTGGGCTGTTATCACATATAAAGACCACTCCTCTCCTCATGAAAAGATATTGCATCGTCCTCATAAAGATGCTCAACCTGGAGCTCATATTTCCAATCCAATAATGATACCTATCACGTGCTTGCATTCAGCCTAGATCAATTAAAACCCAATTAACAGGACTCATATGGAACCTAATCCGACTGCACTATTGTCCAAATCCTGTTGGGATCATTAGTAATCATTTCACAGAGCTGGAGGCAGAAATAAACGTCCATACATCCAGCGACACAGCAATATATCACCGCATATACCCTGCAGGCTTACATCAATCCCCACAACCTAGTTCAGTCCGTTCAGTAGGTGAATATACACATCAATCAATCAGCGCCCCCTCTGCTCTAATTACTTAATTCTCTTGTTTGTGAAAATCTCCTGGGACATGTCTGGAAACACATCTGAGGTAACCCACATTAAGAGCAGTATGATGGAAAAGGTCTGTCTTACTCCTGCTGTGCGAGTGAGAGTGAAACATTTACTGCTTTTAATTGACTGAGGGGCCGTACACTTACGATAGAGAGTAGTAGTAGTCTATTTATGGTTCCAGTATATTTGCATTTGTTTTATTTTGACCTCCAATTCCTGGCAAAGCTTTCAAATTTCCCTCCTGGAATCTCTCCATTCAAGAAGGAGTCAGACAAGTCATCAGTTTTTGGCTTTAGGACAACAATGATCCATTTAAACCTGAACTATCTCATTACTGTATTAATATTCATGGTGGTTCTTTAAAAACAAAACTCATTATGTAAATGAATTATGGACAAAAGGAGTCAGCCCTTCAAAATAAAGCACATGCCAACATTGTAAACACAACAGACTATATATTTTATATGTTCTTCCTCTTACTGTATTATATAAGCTTCAGATCAGATCCATATGAGAGCGAGAATCCGCCAGTTGACACATATATTGGGGTTTGTTTTGGTGTTTTTGGTGCATTAATATGTAGTAAACAAAGGAAAGAGAATGAAATAAAAAATAGAAGAAAAGAAGATCAACTGAGATAGGATAAAAAGACAAAAAATAACAATATGTAGGGTATGATCTTTCCATTTTGTAGATCTTACACAGGTTTACATTGTTTTTTTGTCTTTTGTGAGAGCAGTTCCTCAGCTTGGGAGAGTGCTTCTATGTTATTTTGGTGTCTGGTCCAACAGCAGCTCCAAGTTTTGGTGTATTTTCATGCAAAGAAAGAGTGTGATAACTATCCCCTGTCTCTAAAGGGACTGTGCATGGACCTTTTCTACTGCAATAAGGCGCACATCTCAGTCAACACGACGGACTTACGTCTCTGAAGCGATTCCAGTGCTTGATCTTGCGGCTGTACTGTGAAATGGTGGACAGCCACTGCTCGTCTTCCATGAAATTCCCCGTTTTTTCCGCCTCCTTGGCGCTCTTCACGTCGGTCTGCAAGGTAGAGCCCGCGAGCATCACCAGCGGGACGAGAAGGCACGCGATATCCGTAATTCCCACCATGGTTTAGCGGACAAAAACAGCTCGCTCACACCGGCAGTTGGCTGTCCTCTTCTGAGAGAGGGAGAGAGAGAGAGAGGATGGGGGGTGGTGGTGGTGGTGGATGCTGAGGCTGCTGGATTGAAAAGTACCAACTGATTAGCCTATGGGAGAGGGAGAGAGAGAGAGAGAGAGAGAGAGAGAGAGAGAGAGTTCGATGATAAAAGTGTAAATCCTGCTTCTGTTTTACACTTACATGTTGTTTCATGAATGCGTCAGTACGTCGTAAACCTGTTTAAAGTTAAAGTGGATTTCCTACGAGCTGCACCTTGCAAGTGTCACGTGACGCCCTGTGCCCACTCACGGGTTGCTCAGGTGCCTCAGTTAGTGTGGAAAGTGGGGCAAGGGCAGCGTGGATTCATTGTTGTAACAGAGGATTGTTCACTCTTTGATTCTGGATTTATTTTTTCTGTACAAACGAGTTTCCTTTGTGAAATACTGACAGGCAGGGAAAGTAACTAGGCTACATAGATTAGGCCACTCCTGTTACTGTCATGAAGGGGCTCTTTTTTGAGAAGTCTTTTTTTTTAATCATCACCCTTACTCTTGTATTTTTTTTTTTTCCAAACACAAACCCCCTTCCCCAAGGCTCTTGAACAAAAAAAAAAAACAAAAATACCAAACCGCAAATACAAAAATAGTCAGACAGTCACCTCTTCTCATAAGTTCAGAAAACTGATGTTTTGAGCATGTTTTAAAATGGTTGTAACAATCCAATACAACTTAAGATGTAGGGGAGACCGGGGCTTGTTGTCACATGGGTAAGTTGTCACACTGCAATTATCTTTGCCACCAGAGGGCGCAGCTAAAAAGTGGAATACTAGTTTTCTTCCTTTACATGGTCAGGGGTCGTGTCCTGTCTGAGAAGAGAAGAGCACATTGTGAACTGAGATGAGCGTCAATTAACCATTAAGTATGCTTAAGTATGCTGGAACCATCTACCAGGGTACTACTGACAAAGGATGATTTTATATTTAATATATTCAATAATATCACCTCGTATTGGTTGGAATTAACTTTTATTTATCCCATGGTGGGGAAACTTTCAGTTTTCAGAATCAATCACTTCTCTTACCCTAATTATACAGTTGGTTATGGAAATTACGTAAAGGTCCTGTGAGGAACTTTTGTGAGTTTTGGCACTCATTGTGGGCAAAGCTGTCTCTGCTTGAGTGGTCTTTTCCAACAGAAAATCTCCTCCTGCTGACTTCTGACGATCAAATGTATAGTTTTTGTGTTAATATTTTATAACTTCAATTTTTTCTCCTGTGGCTCCACTGACACTGAGCCCCTCGTGCCAGTTTCAGGTGTTGAGGTTAGAATGTAAATAATGCCAATCTTATTGTTGATATATTCATATTCATCTATATTGATATCTGTTCCCTTAAATCTTGAATTGAATTATTTTGCTGCCATTGTGAAGCACTTTAAGACATTGATTTTCTACAGTGGCCAACATGAAGATAGTTAAAGATAAAATAAAAGATAACTATGTGGTGATAACACCTCTACAGTGGTTGAAAATTACACGTGTAATAAGACATATAAAGCTGGAGAAGTGAGGTCTGGGCTGCAGCTTAGCCTCAACATTGTGGACTGATTGATCGATGTCAAGAAGGAGGTTTGTAGATCTGAATAAGTTCTGTTTGTCTCGGTTCTGTTGTGTTCAAATGACCCACAGATAAGGAGTGCATGTTCTCTGATTCATAACTGTGAAGCAGAGTGATTTTGCATTATGCCACTTCACATTATCAGACAGAATCTGCCCTGCATGCCGCATCTCTCCCCTCTGCAGACTCAGTCAGTCCCCCCTCAGAGACATGCACTGAATGACAGCTTGTAATTGAAATGCTGGATTAGCTGATGCCATCTTTGCTTCATCCTGAAAAGACTGTCTTTGAGGCCCTCTTAATAAAGGCAAGCAAGAGACAGGGCGTCACCAAATCTCTCAGCTGAACGCAATCAAGTTTATGAGCAAAGATAAAGAGAGAGGAAGTTGTTTAAAATTGAACCCAGAGCAGACACGGTGTGTGATAAAATCAGAGCCTGAGAGCATGAAGCGTGTTTTAAGCAACTTAAATTGATACAAGTGGAGAGCATCTTTGCTTAACACAACTACACACTCAGATTAGTAAAAATTATTTATAAGAAACAACAAATCTGTATTATTCAGCTAGTCAGAGCTGGACTTTGCACACTTTGTTCTCTCGGCTATAAAATCATGCTACATGTGGTCAGACTAATGCATTTTATATCTTTTCTCAAAAGCATTAGCCCATTTCTAAAAACATACTCAAACCTTTTAGTGTCGACATACATTTCCTGAAACTGCCTATAAGTGCAGCAGAAGACTATTATCAATCTGCAAAAGGGTCCAACTCAACCAGAACCTGTCATTGTTGTGTCAGAATTAAGTGTCAAAAACTGTTTCATCTTGGATCCAGAGCAGGCATATAAGCTTTTTGTTTCTTGCATAAATGTAAAAAAAAAATAAATTCTTATGAGATGAAACAAAAAGATTGAGTATTTTGTTTTTACTGCAATGCTCAGAGATGACAGTAAAATCAATTCAAGAAAAACATTGGCGGAAAATATGCCTTATTTGACAGAGTATACATCAACTTGACTGCCCCCTTCACAAATCAATATCCCACTGCACACACATGGATGCACGCCTCTTTTATAAATACCGTTATTAAATCATAAAGGTCCAATGAAAATAAAGATCTTTTCATTTTTAAAGCTCCTTTAAGGAATTTTGTGATTGTTTACTAAACAGATAAAAAGAGCAGTGATATGTTTTTATGATGTGCAAAAGCAAATGAGACCACTGATGACAAGACTGATGATTTCTTTATCATATTTTCATATGCCTGTCACTACTGTGAGGGGTCAGCTACACTGAGGAGATAGCCTTTGTTACCTTTTTACAGTATTGTATCATAATGTAGAGTTTCATATCATATCATGTTGTACTGTGATAATCTTTTCATGCTATATTGTTTGTACTGTATCATATATCATGTCACACTACATTGTTTTGTATCATATCATATCATATCATATCATGTTATATCATATATCATATTGTATCATATCAAGTTGTATCATATCATACTGTATCATATCATATCATATCATATCATGTAATATCATATCATATCATATCATATTGTATCATACCGTATCATATCATATCATATCATATCATATCATATCATATTGTGTCATACCTTATCATATCATATCATATCATATTGTATTGTACCGTATCATATCATACTGTATCATATCATATCATATCATATCATATCATGTAATATCATATCATATTGTATCATAACGTATCATATCATATCATATTGTGTCATACCTTATCATATCATATCATATCATATCATATTGTATTGTACCGTATCATATCATACTGTATCATATCATATCATATCATATCATATCATGTAATATCATATCATATTGTATCATAACGTATCATATCATATCATATCATATCATATTGTGTCATACCTTATCATATCATATCATATCATATCATATTGTATTGTACCGTATCATATCATATCATATCATATCATATCATATTGTATCATAACGTATCATATCACAACATATCATATATTGTATCATATTGTATCATATCAGATCAGATAGTAATGTATGGGATTATATTGTATCATCTCTTACTTTACATGTTGTAACACTAGCTTTATCATCCAGACAACATCAGCATTAAATTACTAAATACACAATATAGTGGAATTAGACGTCTGAAAGCTGGTGTTGCTCATGTTACCCCTTAATAGAGCAACACAATACAATAAAGATGACATCCTGCTAAAATTACATTATCATAGTTAGGTCCTAGCTGATGCAATATTAGCGAGGAAGCAGGTGCATGCTCGCATTAGCTGTCATCCAACACTGACCCAGCTAATGCGCTTTCCAATATCTTTTTCCCTGAAGTTTTATGCCATACATTTTCTCCTCCATTTCTCAGATTTTTCATATTCTTCAGCTGAAAATAAAATGGAGTGTAGTTCTCAGACATTTTTGACAGGGAAATTCCCCCCTTTATACACAAATATTTTTAGTTATGTGAAAAATGTGTCATATTTTGTGATTTCAAAAGTAGCACCACAACTGAGCCAAAGTGACTGCATTGTAGCGCAGCGCTCTGGAGCTGCCGCTATTACCCCGCTTCACTCTGAGTGACACTAATCAAACTAAGAGCAGTGAGATAAATAAATCAAAATGGACCAAAATGGCAGTGTGATTAACATTGCGCATCCTTTAAGACACTTATTAGGGAGAAAGCTCGAGGCTGCTGCATTGGGATTTATGCAAAGGCCCAGTCATGAACTCACAGACAGATGCGGTGTGACAGTCACAGAGAAAAGGGGAGGGCACAGCATGGCAGGTCAACAATGTTCATCTCATTTGTTGGAGCCTGTTAAAGAGAGAAAAGGCTGAGTAATCCTGGAGTCATAGAGCCGTTAGGGGGTTTCAGGTAATCTGCTTATAAAAGGGAGGGGAGAAATTCTCCCTGTCAGTCATGTGAGAAAGGTTTCCCGCATGTCTAAAGCTTTGTGCAGAAAAGAGAGGGGATCTAATTGTAATGGCTGAAACTGCTGCAGGGCGGGGACATGTGAAGACTGGATGAAGCTTATTGACAAAGCATTTTGGCTACAGTTGTTGGCAGGTGCGTTGCATGCCAAGACATGAGATAACGCTCAACTGCCAAGTCAGAGGAGAACTAGAGAGTAGCTGTTCAGAGTATAAACTATATAAACTATATCATCATGGGGCTCCATTTTGGCTCAGTTGGTAGAAGAAGCGCAGGATTTGGTGCATGTCATCCTCTACTCTCTCTCCATAAGCTCTGCTATCAAATAAAGGCAAAATAAAACTCTTAAAATAGACTTAAGAGTCGATGTCATTACAGTTAGTGGTGATGTTACCATATTAAAGTGCTTTTGTGTTTCATATTTAGCAACAGTGTTCCAAGTCTGCTGGATTACATGTGGAAAAATAGTCCTTAAAGGGTATGTAAGCGAATATGAAGTAGAATTATATGATGTGTAAGCGATGGACCACCTAGAGTGGTCCTAATGTGTTGCTAAAACTGGAGCTAGTACAAATTGATTTTCTGACAGCCAAGTCCAGCTCTGAGAATGGTCTAAAAATAGAGTACATTCACACTAGTATTGGTAATTGGGTTGGATATTCTCAGAATCAGCTAAATAACACGGTAGAGTTGACCCCATCTGCAGCACTTAATAGACCTTACTTTCTGTGCCAGTTCTCTGCCTAGTTTCTCAACCTAACCAGGATCCTTTGTGGGTAATACTGGACAAGCACTTAAGGTAAAAAGTTAATGAACCCTTTCATACTTAGTTTGCTTTTTGGTTTACGCCCTGTTTCAGCACTGCTAGCTTTGTCTGGTGTCCTTTTAGTTCCCCTATGAACAAATGAGAAGAAATCACAAAGCCTTGGATACTCCAACAATGACCGGGTGATTTTAGCCAACAGTGGATAATCATTTATCATGGACACCAAATAAATCATCAAATCTACAGTGTTGCACATGACAAATACTAACTTAAAAGACAGTTATTTCACTTTTGAGTCCAGTCTGTACCATCATTCAGAAAGTAGAAGCAAGATCTCTCCAGAGTTTTAATTAACACATTCAAAGAAGTGGTTTAGTGTTCAGAAGATATTCTCACTCCACATTATATGGAGGAATTTGATGAGCAGAACCAGGCCCTCCTTCTCTCCCTGTTCTTTATCTTCATGCTACACTAAGCTAACATGCTCCCAGTGCCAGCGAATAATGCTTAACTCCAGGCGAAGTAAGAGAACAAGTTTATTTTACTAAAAGTCTGATATATCCCTTGAAGGTTTGAAACTACAATGTGCATTTTACATGAGTTAGCCTTGGTTTGCTGGTGTATTGTTGGATTTGAAGACCAGCCACAACGACCCTTCAAGTCTTCTTTAATTCAAAGCTGAACACAAAAAGCAAACCATTGGCACATCGCTAAATAATGCACATGGTTCTAAAATGAGAGATAGCTTCACTCAGGGACCAGTCACGGTAAGAGAAGTTATAAATAATAATCAGGATCCTTCGCTGCGCCTCATGTCATGTGGTCACAGCTCATCATGTGCGCATCGACTGTGCTGTTAATGCACCTATCACTGGATAATACAGCCTCTGGACCTGATAGCACTAAATCAACATCAATAATAAGGTTGGTCCAACAATATAAACAGGGATCTACAACAATGCTCTTTCTTTGGGTGTTTAACGTTGAGAAGAGGAACAGCAAAGCCTTCTATCTGCACCATTTTTTATAATCTGGGCTGGAAGGGTTGCACATAGAGTCTGGGTTCTCTTCTATTAGACCCAGTCAGGTGTGGAGCTACCACCCTATAGGCCAAGGGATAGGCGTAGGGGTCAGGTGCACTGGATACCAGGTGGCAGTAAAGGTGGTAGACCTACCATATTGATCCCTGGCATCAAAGACTCAACCTCAAATCTCAACTGGCTTTTCTTTTAATAATCAAATCACTCATTAAGATAACCACTTCTCAGGACACCTATCCTGCCACAGCAGTGCAAGACATACGACATAACTTTCTAGAAACAATGAATATCCTCACTGATGGTTGAGTTTGCTTTTGACTCCCATTATAACCACATATTTGTCATAAGTTATAATCCTAACATATTATACTGCTTTTTCCATTTATACCGAATAGATCTCAGCTTTTACCTTCAAAATTAAGGGAAAATATGTTTTAGGTGTAATGACCCCCTTTAAGCACTGAAAATTACTTCAGTTGAGTTGTTAGTCTTCTCTGAGACGGACTATTCCGCTTTTAAAGGTCATCATGAGACATCAGTATCTGATTCAGTCTGTTTCTCAACCGGTTAAAGCTTCACACAGTACCTTCAGAGAAACTCTCTGACCTATTCAAGGTCAGTCAAAATTGAAGATTGTAATATTATGCTAACGCTGAAAATATGAGCTGTCTGACAAAGATGTGTGAAGGTTAATGCTTTGATAAAGAGAAGTGTGTCTCAGAAAAACTTGCCAAACATCACAGTTTCTCCTTCCTCCCCCTGAGAGTACAGATCTGTTTCCGCTTCCTTCAGCAATAAATCAAAACCTAAATGGACCGCCACCCCTGCTCCAACTTCAGGGGAGCAGGCACATGAAGCCAGACTGCACTCACAGCTTTTTGGACAAACCCAAAGCTCAGATGTCAAAGGAATAGGAAGCTGCATGCAAGGATCTCTTTTCTTTTACATTTGCGGTGAAGTGATTCCTTATATCATTTAATGGTCGAACCGTGTCGTTAGAACAGCTGACGCCAAACCAGTTTTCACGTGATGAGCAGTGATTAAACACAAGGCAGGATTTTAACAATGGATATCTTCAGAAAAACATTTCAGCTGTCTCAGAGTGATGGACCCTCTTCACAACAGCATGTTGTTGCTATAGTTACAGCCTGGCAAACGCAATCCAGGGACCCTTTTACCCCTTCCTGAATTAATTAACAACATGAGCATATTGAAGGAGTTTAGAGGAGACAGCTGAATGTGAGCTAATTCAGGTGTAAACCTACCACCCACTCCATTTAAGTGCATACTGATGGCTGTAAATTTAACAACAATTTCTGAACCAATCTTCTTTACAGTGAAAGGAAAGCGTATATTTTTTCACACTGTATTGCCAAACAGATTAAAGGGAATTATTCCAGAAAATAAAAAAATCCCCCTTAACAATCCATTTGGTTGTAGATTCATTATACATGAATTACACTGCCTGAGGCTGAGCATTGTAAAACCGCTCTCTCAGGTCTGCTTGAATTGTAAAACACAGTCAGTGTCACGCTTTATTTCCTCTTCTTCTCATTACCTTTTTTTATCTGTATGTTGGCATGAATAACATTTAACCCCAAACGGCGCAGTGTTAAAAATTAAGGTTAAAGTTTAACAATATCTGTCGATATAAGGCTCGCAGAAACAAAAGAAATAAAATGATCCACCATTTGAACACATTTAGTACAGTTTGTTATTGCATGCAATCACTCAAAACAATGGGAGCACTCGGGTATAAACATATCACATGCAGACATGCACAAACAAAACACAAGTTGAAGGTTCACTGTTGTTTGTGCAGTAGCGCCACCACGTGCATATAAAGTGTATTACAGCTGCAATCTAATAGTTCTAACTTCAGAGTAAGTAGACTTCTTTAAATTATAATCATTTTCCTGCAGATATTGCATAACAGACATTTACAAAGTACTTTGACCAGTACGAGAAGTTTGTTTACATTGAGTCTTTAGAAAATTAGAGCCTTTTTAGCATTAAAAGATCACCTTTTTTTTTTTAAACTAGAATGTTCAAATTGATTTATTTGAAGGGAAGACTGCTGATCTTTATTGTGCAGCATGTTTTATTCATCATACTGTCTGCGTTTGTCATTATTTATTTACATATTGGCTTCTTGGCCCATGTCTATCAAACTTTAAAGAGAATGAGACTTTGCAACTTTACCTTTGTGGGACATTATTGGTATTAAAAAGGAGAGAAATGCAATTTAAAGTCATGAAGTCGTTGCTATAGGCATGTGAGGGCAAAGACGAACCTTTCATAAGTAAAGTTAACTTCGATCCTGAATTGGGGTAGAGTTGGGGGATGGTCATTGGGTGTGTGTAGGCTGGCCTACGTGTTCTAACCAGATGTCAGAGAAGCTGATCCCTCAGGACTACTTTATTGTTAAAATCTGATATAGTCTCAGATCACACCAGTAAAAACTATTCAAAACTTGACTGAATGACTTTGCTACCAGTAAGTTCACCACTGTGTCCAACTAACTACTTAAACTACAAGCAAATAAAGTTCTTTTTAATGTCTTTATTCCATTTTAGATTCGTACAAGAAGACTGATTTTGTGATGATTATTCCTGCACTTTGGAAAATTCTTCATCATTTTGTTTTCTGGATAAGCACACTCAGCAATAATCGTATCCGATCGTCTCACGGAAAAACCCGAGCTACGTGCGATACGTGTCTGTCTCGTGTCGAAGCGTGAATCTTCTGGTAAATGTTTCATCATATCCAAAAAAACCCAAAGGGGGTGTGTCACTGTATTGTTCTGGAGAATTTTGCAGACGTGTGTTGATTGGCTGGAGTGAAATGCTATTTTTAAGTCGTTTTTCTTTAGGGAGAAAAAACACGAATGTTGGGCTTACAAGTTTGGTTGGGGGGTTGATCGCCTGGAGGGTCAGTAAAAGGAGGGGGGACTTGGTCTTAGGCACCTCATCAAAGGGGCCAAAATGTTACCAGGCAGGCTAGAGAGCTCCGAACATGAGCTGGATCCTGATTGGTTGAAATATGAGGTGGGTGTGTCGTTTTCGCTTGGGTATTTAACGCTTTGTTCCATTGTTGCGGAGTGTGTTTCCAGCTGGTCTGGCTCAGGAGGAGGGACTCACTGTCCGAGGACACCATTGCACTTTTTTTTTTACTTTAACAATCGGATCATCTTTTGTTTGTTCGTAGAGATGTCTTTTTCTTGCAGTCAGTCTTTCGATGGGAGCTTTCCTCCTTCTCCAGCGGAGGGCCGGGGTTCAAAGCGACTGTCCTGGGGCAGTCTGGTGCAGAGGCTTAGTGAGCTGAAGGGGATCAATCAGAGGGTCAGAGAGGATCCTCAGTGCAGCAGGAGTGAAACTGGTGAGTGCAGGAGGCAGAATACCTGTACACGTCTCATCCAAGGCAACGGCTGAAATTCCGTGTGATATTTTCTTTGTTTCCTCAAAGAAGTGCATGATCATTCTCACTAAATCCTGTATTCCTCTATGTTATAGGGTCTGTGGCAGATATGTCCCTGTCAGAATCAGACAGCAGCTTCTTCTTTTACCCTCTGGAGGAGTCTTTGGCTGCAGAGGTTGTAGCTGCCATCACCCAGAGCCTCACAGATGCATCACACATCCTGGCATGCTCCAAACTCATCATTCCTGATTGTCTCCTGCACTATGTCCGTCAAGAGCTGCTCCATTTGGCTGTCAGCGAGCCCTGCGGCCTCAAGGGTGCGCTCATTGACCTGTGCGTGGACAGAGGGGACCAGGGCCCACTGTGCACCGTGGATCAGATAGCAGTGGACGCCACCCTGGTGCCTACCTTTCATGTGACCCTGGTGTTGAGGCCGGAATCCAGTGGGCTGTGGCCAAAGGTGCAGAAGCTCTTCAAAGGGAGCAGGTCTCCTACAGGGAGGCACCAGGACAGTCTGAGGCTGAGTGCGAGCTTCAGGGCGATCAAGAGAAAACTTTACAGTTCAGGGGAGCTGCTGATAGAGGAGTGCTGCTGACCAAGCGCTTAGGCCCCTGATAAAACTGGACTGTAATCATGTGAACAAGAAAGGTTGAAAGGCTGCTGGTGAAGAAGTGTCTTTGTGTTTTTATGGCTCCAACAGACTTTAAATGGCACTGACAAGATGATCCTGAAATCAAATGTTCCTCTGTGTTGGTAAATGTTGTGTAATTTAAGGTTTAAGGAACCAAGTGATGTGTCATGGCAGCTGCTCACCTGGACGCAGGTGACTCAACAGTGCAGACTCATGTTTTAAAAGTGGGTCAGCTGACTTCCTGTGAATGTAAAACCCTAACCCGTGAGGGAATGGCTTATGTATTTGATAGTCAAATATCATCTGAAACTTGAACGTTTTGTACCTGTAACAGTTTAAAGAACACGAACAATAAATTATTTTATACTCACTGATGTGTGACTTTGCTTTGTTTTAAAAAGGAATCAATGACTCAGCATTAAGCGCATAGCAATGGTGAGTTTCTGCTATGTCAGCACTCATATAGACTGAAAAAAGTGAAGCTGGTCATGTCTAGTGACGTCTTTTCCTTTTGCAACACAGGCAGACTACGTATCTGAGTTTGAGTGAAGTATTAGGAAATAAAATGGCTTATGTTGTTTATTTTAAGATGCAACATGGGTCAAACTAAAAAATTAAAATACATGGCGAATACTTTTATTTTCAAATGTGCTTTCTGGTATGGCAATTTTTCAGGGTTTATTTTTAATATCTTTTTTTTTGTTTGTTTTTACATTACAAAGATGATCGTCAGCTTTATTGAGAAATGCGGTGGAGGTGGAGCAGAGGAGAAATGATGAGAAAAAGTGACAAATACATGAGTCACTGACCTGTACCAAGTGGTGCATTTGCTTCCAACCAGCATGAGATTCGATCAGTTAGTGTGTTGGTTAGCAGAAGGGTTGCAGCATTTGTCCTGTAGCTACACGTCCTGTGGCTACATCAGCCTGATCACTTACGTGCATGCCAGCTCACCAGCTGCCCATTAAAGTAGTATTTTGGCCTCACATCTAACACTGGGAGACGCCTGGAGGAGCACTGTTAATATTAAACCACATTCAATGTTAATAGTTTCTTAACATGCAGGGATCTGCATTTGGCTTCAAGAGCCACAATCATGACTGTGCAGTACTTGTCTAAAACTTAAAATACTCTCTTAAAGGCTGAATAGTTTACCATTTATTGAAGACTGAGAAAGCATACCTTGAGTGCAGTCTCCTGTGTTTTACTGGAACCTGGTTGAATCAAAACAACTTGGACTCTCGTGTGGATTTACCAAGCTTCACTCTCATAAGGCCAGACAGAAATGTTAAAGCTAGTGACAAGAAGAAAGGAGGGGGTCTGGCTTTATTTGTTAACCAAAGAGAGTGTAATTCTTCACACATAAGTGTCAAGGAGAAGTTGTGTTGCCCTTCAGCCATATCATAAGAATACTTGTATACATACCACCCAAGGCAACAGCTGAAATTCTGTGTGATATTTTTCATGATACTGTTGCTAGGATACAGACTCAACACCCTGTGGCACTTGTAATATCAGGAGACTTCAACAATGTCACCTGACAAGACGGAGAGATTCAGAAGATCCTTGTACCCAAAGACATCAGCCTTTTTAATGCTTATATAAATAGTAGATGAGCTGAGATTCCACACAAATGAATTTCCCTTTAGGGCTCAATTAAGTTTTTGCTGACTGTTAACGTATATTGAGAATCATAAAAACTCTATATTGAGTCAAAGTATCTCAGTGCAGTGTATAACTGAAGGTCACTAATCGAGAACTGAAGGAAAAGCAGTTAATAAATAGTGCAGAGAGAGTCCAGTCAAATTTAACAGTTTAGGGGGTCAGAATAGAAAGGTGAATGAATGCATGATTATGGGCATAGCTTTCAAAGCAGAAACTGCACAAGTCAACCACTGGGACAGATTTAATTCAAAGAAACTTTCATACAGTATTAGCATGTTAATTTAATAAATATGGTTTACTTTTATTCTGTGCAACAATTTCAATACTTATGATCCAACAGGCTACAAGCAAATCCACATAATGTTATAGTAAATGATATTAACTTCAATAAAACCCTGCACTGTTAAAAGTAAAATGAATATTTACAGTGGTAAGAACTATAAAAATTACACACTTTCCTTGTGAGTGGCTCAGACGTCTGTCTATGAGAAGGCCATGAGGTTTCTCAAAATGTTAAAAAGACAAACAAAAAAAGACTGGGACAGAGAAAGCTTATCTTAGCAGCTTCATTTACCATCAAACGGACAACTACGCTCTTACTTTCCAGCACGATGCCTGACGGACCCTCACCATCCTGAAGACACTAGAGTAAGAAAATGTCAGCGGTCAACTCAAAGCTTCTCACAGTCCTAGAGGAAGTCAATCTACACAGAGTTGCAGAGAGGTTCCCTGATGAGTTCACTGCCCACTGCACGTAAGGCATTTTTTGATTCTCTTGGTTTGCTGCAGAAAAATATGCTCCAATTTCAGTACGCTCCAACTGATTTCATCAACTTAGATTCAAGTACCAACAAACCTGGAAGACAAAAGAAGCAATTTAGAGAGGAGATCGTTGTGGGGTTTCTGTGCATGCACATCAGACCGGTTTTCTGCACAAATTGTTCATGATCATTATCACACGTGTAACGCTTTATCAGAAGAACAGCAACATGAAAAAATGTTGCTTCAGATGCTTTGAATGATTCTTTTTTAATGCTGTACAAGAAAAGTACTGCAGTTAAAAGTGGACTGTGTTGGTGTATTAGAGGGCTTGAAGGAAACACACGAGACAACTCAGCTGACTCCTGAATATCGAGTGTCAGTCCCTGCTTACTCCTGCATTTCCATGTGTCAATAAGATAAATATAAATCTGAGCTTACAGCTTGACTGAATATCACGTTTGAGGCGAGTTTTTAATTAAATTCCAACACTCAAACTCTGAGTGTGCTTTTGGGGAGCATAGATCACGTCAAAGATCTTGATATACTTGATACAGTTGCAGTTTCAGCGTAAAGTCATTGAAATGTTGATTTTAACTTACTTGTGTGTATGCACTTGGTGTCTAGCCATCCAATATAACCTGAATCTCAGATAGTCTGGAACAGCTGGGAGTCCCCATCCTCTGTGCTCTTTGGTACAACTCTGAATCCCCAAAGTAACGAGCACGATAAAGTAAGCCTTCCTCTGAAAGCACAAGAGCAGAGTTTGACAGGGATTTAATTCTTCTGAGGGGGATATAAGTAGCTCAAAATGTGTCATTTCACTTCAGTAATAAAGAATAAGACAAAGAGAGCCATCTTAGATTCAACATTAAGGAAAAAATGTCAGGAAAATCACAGTTTCAGGGCTCAAAATAAGAGAATTTAGTTATAAAGCAGACAAGCAAATGTAGAAAGGTGGTGTGCACTCACTCTGCTGCTTTTCCTTCCAACAGTTGTTTCTAAGATTTGAGATGTAGTCTTCTTCTACACTCCTCTCCACAGTCTTCAGGTTCGTCCCGGTATATTCTTCATTGAAACGCTCTCCCACATAAAAAGGCACCTTCAGGTGTGACGTATGCCTTTTGTGAATATGTCCAGCCGACCTAATGTGTAAAGACAAGATATTGTTTTGTTCTGATCCACCCCTGCAGATAAGATAATCTTACGTGTCCTCATAAAGCCCTATCTTTGAAAAAGTTAAGCACTCACGGGCGGGAGCTAAGGCTGTACGGAGGCTGAGTGACCATCATCTGGCTGAGAGCGGACACGATGATGAGGATTAAGATTGGCATCAGCTGTACAAACAGAGCCAGACCTCCCTGTCCAGGAAAAAAAACGACACAGTTACCACAAACAAGACAAAAAATAAACTAACATCAAATTCATGTGCGATATTCGTCTTTTTAACTGGGCTTACATCTCTCTGTTGTTCTCTTCTTTCTTGCCTGTTATGTTGTGCAAAATGCATTCTTCCATTTCTGTAAACGTGGACATTACCTGAAAAAGAATAAGGAGGATTATGACCCAGTTTACAACAATTTAGAGCAAACTACATTAAGCTGCGGTGCAACTTGTGTTTCGATAAATAAAAAACAAAGAGATGAACAACACAAACCAGCTGAGCACAACCCGAAAATAGTCTTGTCTTGTGAGATATTAATGAGAAGATAATGACATGACTAGCTTACACTTAGTATCTCCTTGTGTGGGGAAATACTGTCCCTCACAAGGCTGATCATCCAGTCAGACAGCTCTGTCTCAGAGTGATCACTGATAAGAGCTGAGTGGAGCAAACTCTAAAAGGACTCAGCACAAACCTTTTAACACACTTGCAGTATCTGACCGCATGAGTGCTGACTAATCGTTGGCTTTTAGTCCCTCTAAACAAATATATCACAAGAAATATGGAAATAGAGCCAAAACATCAACATTCACTTTCACACTTGAGGTATTTTCAAATAGAGACAACTTATCTTGGAAATGTTGATTTGAAAGGCAGAAAATATTTGTATGTAATAAAACATAAAACACATAATAATAAGCCCCTCTTGGGTCTCTGCGCCTGTTTTCATTTGGCCTCTACTTACTTGATGGGAATCCTCCACCGAAGAACATGTTGAAGAGGTCCTCAGGCGATATGTCTGCCTCGAAATCCCGATAGTGTCTGTGTCTAGTTGGGTGTGATCTCTCTTCTCCATACTGGTCATACTGCCTTCGTTTCTCTGTGTTACTCAGCACTGCATATGCATTTCCAATAGCTGAAAAACATTAAGAAATACAAATAAACGTACAGCTTACTCTGAAGTCTCTGCAGGGATCAGCACTGGGGAGGAGTTTTGATTTACCTTTGAATGCCTCTGTGGCTCCAGGTGCGTGATTCTTATCCGGGTGAAATTTTAGGGCCAATTTTCTGTAAGCCTTTTTGAGATCCTCCTCTGATGCAGTCTTTTCAACTCCCAGAATTTGGTAATAATCTTTACAGCTTTTAATCCTACGGATAAACATGGTACAAACACACATGGATAAACTGTCAGACATCTGCGTGTGAATTTAAATACTTAACTGACACAAACACCTTTTGAAAAGGAGCTGACCATACAACAACTCTGAGGTTATCTCAGTCAGTCTGTGCACTTGACTGGATTTTCTGAGACTCTTTCTCTGGACGGTCAGCCAGCAATAATAAGAAGATTAACCTGGATATTTGTTTTCCTGAATCTGGCCTTGATTTGCACTAAATTTAGCCATCTAAATAAGCCTATGATACCCAAGTTTTTAAATCCTTGTTTGTTCAAATGTACTTTGTTTACACTACCTTCAATAAGCTGTAAGCTGTCAGAACTACAATTTCAGCCTACAAGTTCCTCATGACATACAATACAAAGCGTTGTCAATTGGAATAAAGATTGAATGAAGTCTTAAGAAACAGAAACTAACTTTAAATGTATTGCAGATATATCGAGACCTTTTAGGATTGAACAAGTAGGGGAGAGTGGAGTAAGATGAGCCATTTTTCATATTTCAGATCACTACATCAAGGCAATCATAGTTTTGTCTCTAACTAGTGTATCTACATATATTTCAAGATGTTGTGCATCCCTGCAAACCAACAGAATGAGTGTAAACATAACTGTCTTGATAATATAGCATGCCAAAAAAGTGGTCTACTATGGTCAGCTTACCCCATGTATGGGGTAAGTTGAACATAGGAGCAGGGTAAGTTGAGCCATATCTCTACTACCTTCTCTCTCCCTAAATAACAGTCACCTCTTCACATTCATGTGTATTTTTATCTATCATACACTATTCAAATGGTCATAACATTCACAGCTGTATTATTGAAAAGAAAAAGTAAAACATTTCAAAAATCTGAGCTGAAACTCTGATCCTCTCATCAGACTTACTACTATTATGACTTTCCTCTAAACTAAAATAGTGGACTGATGTTTTAGCTCCTTGATACCACAGTTGATGTATAAAACAAATTTAAAATGATCTTTTTTTGGTCAGAACACAATTCTAATAAAACTTATGACAGACTAAATTCACTTTCAAGAAGGAAATATGTTCTTTTGGTAATAAATGTCTAACCCCTTCACTCATATGTTTCTAACCTTCACAGACTCCATGAATTGATGCCCATCTCCTCAATATTTGGTCACATGATCAATTTCTTTTACCATTTCCAAGAAACAGGGGGTGGCTAAACTTACCCCAGTCTCCCCTACTTCATTAAAAAGCTAAAGGTAATAAAACTACAGAAACAAATCATCCTTAAACACGGATTAAACAAAACAAAAGCAGAATCACAGCTTTGTTAAGGACTACATGTAGACTCACTTCCTGACAGCCTCCAGCTGATCTGCGGTGTAGGGTTTGGAGGACTCCTGAGGCCCCGGTGCGGGTCCATCAGCCTCCTCCGGGTGACCGCGGTGTCTCATAGAGGGTCCTTCTCCGTTGACATGACTGCCATTTTCATCTGGAGGCTTCCCATTCCTTACCAAAGAGTCCAATAAGTCTGTGAAGAAAGTGGGACCATGTTATAGAGACAGAGAGCCTGATCCATCAGCATGCTAACGAGGCTAACACCGAGACAGAGAAACCTGAGACGAACTGTGAGTGAATCTGTGATCATAATAAACTACAAAATATTCAACAGAAACTGCGGGTAGGGGGTCTTAAGAGGACTACAAGTACCAGGGTCTACTGGGAGCAGCTGGTTTAACGTTAAGTCGTTTATGCTAACGTTAGCTGATTCGGCCCCTGATCAGAAATATGATCCCCCCTCAAACAGACGCTCATTTGACGTACTTTGGGCCTGATCTGTCGGGAACAGACGCTGCGCCTTTTCCAAAAACTTCCTCGCTTTATCGAGCTGGTTGTTGTTGACTGCGATCAGGGCGATTTTAATGCATCGATCCGCTTCGTCCTTGTTTGAGTCCATCGCGACACAGCGGAAATGTTTACTTGCCCCAAGACGCGCAGAGATGACGCAATATATGGAAAGCTGAAAGGCCTTTTTTTCACGCGTAAGCAAAAAGGCTTTCTTAATTAAATGAGTCTTACAAGGTTTGCCCTAATTTTTCCAGGGCCATTTAGACTTTGCAATTACTCAGATGTTAACCCCATTCTTATCGCTCAATGGCTTTTCATGAAACAGAAAACAACAGTGGATAAGAGAAGTAGGAGAGACCAGGAAGTGAGCCCAGAGGACAGTAAACTGGAATGAGGGGTCATACATATGTCACATGCCTGAGAGGATTTAATGCAGGGCTGCCAAGTTTCAGAAAATGGCAAGAGTAAGACTTTAGCATTATGATGCCGCCGACCAAATTTTTTTTGCCTTTTTTAACGTCAATTTATACCTTAAGACAGATGTCTTCACCTCCATGCCAGCTGCTCTTTCTAATGCTAGTCTTAACTTACCAGAAATTAGAAATGAAAATTGTGACACGAATTTTGACAAAATACATTTATTTGCCAATATTGCATTACGTCAAGTGGGTTTTAAATGTCAGCGCTGTTTCTGTGTGAAAGATAGTTAGAGACGCCAAGACCCGCCTTAGGTTGCTTCTAAATGGTTTATATTACGTGGTGCCTTCCGTGGTTGCTTAGAAGGAGGCAGAAGCATAGACTGTATATAGAATGGGCCGCGTCTGCCTCCTTGCTGGGTGAAGCCACTCCGAGAACAGCACCCTCTGTTGACGGGCTGCAGTATATGTCATAAATCCCACCTCCGCCAGCAAAGCTTATGGAGCTGTGGACAAACTTTAGAAATTTATTACACAGAACATATAATTTTGTCCCCCCTGCTTGCAGTGTTGACATGTAGTTACAGTAAGACTGGTTTGTACTCAAGTTTTCTTTTTTCTGTGAAGCTCTGTTTTTGAAAGTTATTAGGGGGTTCATGTTTTCTTTGATTGACACCTGATACAGCCTATGGTGTTCAGGGATTGCGTAGCTCACCCGGGGGATATGCTGTATGAATTGAGCGTCATCACAAGGACTCCCGGCGACTCTCCTGCCAAATGCGTACAATGCTACTGCGCAAGTAGTGAAGCATATACAAGGCTACTGCACAATGTTGGTTTCAGGAAATGGAGAAAAATCGCGGGAATACCGAGAGCTTTTTGGCTTCAAATCCCGATACCGGCGGAAGGCGGAACCAAGTTGTCCACAGTATATAGTCTATGGTAGCCACCAACCGCATTCAGAAGTGAGTTTTATATGGCTTCTTAAACATATAGAGATGCAGTATTCGGATATTCTCCAACATAAAAATATGGTTTTCAAACGTGTACATTTCTTTTTGTTTGTTTTGTATGGCACACACACACACAAAAAAAAAAACAAACAAACAAAAAAAAAACGCTTTTCGTGTATTATGGCTCTCTCGGCTTTCCGTAATTACTCGCGGTCTCACAAATAATACGTCACAAAAGTTGATTCAGCATGCCTTTTGCGATTAATCGAATGGGAAAGTCAACTGTTAAACATATATTTTAGATTAATGAGGTTTGATTCTTACATTTTGCTACAGTAACATTTTTCCTCGCTTCTCCGGCACTCTTAGCAGCTCACACACTTTCCTCGAAAGTTGGCAATGGCTGTGTCTGCTACATGTATAAGGTCAAATATTCTTATCAAACGTCGGATTATTACAGCTTCTGGGATAAAATGCCTGTTTCTTTCTACTGATGGACCCGTTTTAGTTAAGCAAAGGAAACAACGAGCAAAGACACAGCAGAGAAAGGTCGAGCAGAAACCTCCGTGGAGTGACTCCCAGTCGTGGGAGGACAGGCTCGCTGATGTGGTCTCTCCTCTGTGGAGGCTGAGTTATGAGGAACAGCTTCAGGTCAAGCAAAAACGCCAGAAAAGGATTCTGTCTAAACTCTGTGGTTATCTTTCAGGTGATTCACATCCATCAGCACCTGTCAGAGGTAAACTCAGCTTCCCTGTCCTGCCTATCCTTCCATCACCAGTGAGGGACGGCTACCGCAACAAGTCCACATTTTCTGTCAACAGGGGAGCAGATGGAAACCCCAAAACTGTTGGATTTTACATAGGCACAGGCAAAGAGGGAAACATCGTCTGCATCAATGCTGACCACCTACTACACATACCAGAGAAGCATAAACTAGTCGCAAGATGCTACCAGGACTTTCTCCGGCTCTCTTCTGTGGAGCCCTGCCTGCTGTTCCACACTGGGGGTCACTGGAGAGAGGTCACAGTGAGGACCAATGCAGAGGGCCACACCATGGCTATAGTGTACTTTCACCCACAGACGCTCACTCCTGAGGAGATAGAGTACCACAAGGCCGAGCTGGTGGATTACTTTATTCGAGGACCTGGTTCTGTGTGTCAGCTGGACTCTCTGTACTTCCAGGAGAGCAAAATGACTCGCTGCACTCATGAGGAGTCTCCCTACCAGCTCCTCTATGGTCAGCCACACATTCATGAAGAGGTAATGTACACAATATTTGCATTTACATACAGTGCCTTAAAAAAGTATTCGTACCCCTTGAACTTTTTCACATTTTGTCACTCTACAACCACAAACTTAAATGTATTTTATTGAGATTTTTTGTTACAGACCAACACAGAGTAGCACATAATTGTGAAGTAGAACGAAAATGATACATGGTTTTCAAAAATTTAAACAAATAAAAATCCGAAAAGTGTGGAGTGCATTTGTATTCAGCCCCCTGTACTTTGATACCCCAAAATAAAATGCAGTGCAATCAATTGCCTTCATAAGTCACCTAATTCATTAAGAGTCCACCTGTGTGTAATTTAGTATTAGCATAAATTAGGGCCCGACCGATTTATTGGCGAGCCGATTAAAGGGACAGGGGAGCTGGTCAGAGTTGATGAGAGGATGGATGGATCAAAGAATATTCATGTGTTTGAATGGCCAAGTCAAAGTCCAGACCTAAATCCCTTTGAGCGTCTGTGGCAAGACTTGAAACTTGCTATTCACAGACTCTCTCCATCCAATTTTTTTTTTTTGGGGGGGCTAAATACAAATGCACACCACACTTTTCAGATTTTTATTTGTTTAAATTTTTGAAAACCATGTATCATTTTTATTCCACTTCACAATTATGTGCTACTTTGTGTTGGTCTATGACAAAAAATCTCAATAAATTCTTTAAAATTTGTGGTTGTAGACCAAATGTGAACAAGCTCAAGGGGTATGAATACTTTTTCAAGGCACTGTACCTCCAAGTCACTGGATTTACATTAACAATAACAGACAGAGAAGGGTGGATGACTTGTATTGTGTGATATCTTGTCATTCGCAGGTGCTGGGCTTCAAGTTCCGTATCTCTGCTGATGCCTTCTTCCAAGTGAACCAATCAGCTGCTGAGGTGCTATACCGCACAGTGAGAGACCTTTGTGTTCCACGCTACGGAGAACGTGAAGGACCAGGTAAAGCCAGTGGTACTCTTCTGGATGTGTGCTGTGGGACTGGTGCTATCGGTATCACTATGTCTGACAGAGTGGGCAGGATTGTTGGTATAGAGCTCATAGAGCAGGCAGTGGAAGATGCCAAACACAACGCAGTTCTCAATAATGCCCTGAACTGTGAGTTTATCCCTGGGAAGGCTGAGGTGGTGCTCCCTGCTGTTATGTCTCAGTTGAGCTCTGCAGGTGAGAAACTCATTGGAGCCGTGGTGAATCCCTCTCGAGCCGGCCTGCACTACAAAGTGATCCGAGCTTTACGAAACCAACCGGGGATCCGCAGGTTGGTCTTTGTTTCCTGTAAGCCAGATGGAGAGGCAATGAGGAACTTCAGGGAGCTTTGCTGTCTTCCTGACGATCGAAAGAAACTCACTGGAGAGGCTTTTTCACCAACTCTGGCTGTGCCTGTGGACATGTTCCCGCATACTCCTCATTGTGAACTGGTGCTGCTTCTGGAGAGGTAGTGAAAGTGATTCTGCTCAGAGGTGGGCTTCCACTCACCAACAATACCTCTTTCTGCTTTAATAGCTAAAATATGAAAAATGATTTTAAAATGTACAAAAACATGAAAAATGGTTCTGCTTCGAGCTTGCTCATCCAGTTTTTGTATTAACTAAATTTAAGCTCCTTACAGTTTTCAGTGGTCAGGCTGAAATTATTATTTTATTTATTCTCAACGGTATCATGTGTAAAATACTAGAAAATTAACTCTCAGCTTACTTTTCTCTCCTGTAGACAGTTCCAGTCTTGCAAAATATTCAATTCATCAAATATAAACAAAGAAAAATAAGGGAAACTGTTTCACTTGGAAAGTTTGTTTGATGAAATTTTACCTGTGACTTATTTCAAATTAAGTAGCTGATTGGAAAAACTGTGCAGGCATGTCCGAAGTTTGTTAGATTTACAGGTCATTGCCTGTCCAGGTTATGAAAACAACTTGCGCCTATATGTCTCGCCAGAGTTCACTGAGTGTAGTGAACTCACTTGATACCTTAAACAGGGGCTAATTATTAACACAAGGGCCTTAAAACTATTTTGCAGGTAAGTACTGATGTTTTGAAGAAAAAAAAAAATATATAGAGTGCAACTTTTAAATTAAGTTGGTTATTTGACATTTTTAAAATGTGTTACACCCAGACTCTTCGTTCAAAGAATGCTTTTTGCAGCGAAGCAAGTTTGGTCGTATCAACATGCAGTACCAACATTTGTGCAGTGGGTGGTGCTATTACAATCTCCATGGAGCTTTTGGAAAACGCCTCACTTACTTCAGTTCTGACAGTCCATGACATCATGTGTGTACAGTCAGAGTGGCCAAGTTTTATTCTCCAGAGGTTACTGCTGGTCATGTGTGGTCAGACATTGCATCAAAGTGGCCTTGGCCGGTCAAGTGTGACTTTATCTCTTGGGAGTTTAAAGACTGAGAAATGAACTTTTGTAGCCTTAAAACCCTGCCAGGATGCTGACAATGAGCAGACACTGATTTCTATTTTAGTTTTGAACTTTTAGCAGATTTATTTGATCATCAATAATGAGTCACAGTACATCACCGGGGTTGAGTGACTAAGAGCGTTGTTGAGAAAAAGACACTGTTCATTATTCCAAGAGGCACATCAAATCTTATCTGCAGGTCCAAATGGACTGAATGTGTATTCAGTCCATTTGGATATTTAAGGTGGTATGCTATTGTTTTAAGGCTGCAGCAAAAACACTGCCATCAAACATCCACAATGTCTGCAGTATTTGGAAAAAGGGGAAAAACCAGTAGGACTTGAGCAGATGAATATTGGCATCTTTTGATTTATTGATTTATTGATCTAATGCTGGCACTGTCGGTACTGTATGATGATGTAAAGTCTCAGTGTGTTATCAATGGTTTGACATCAGAAAGATGTTTCAAAAGATAGACCAAAGGCCAGCAGACAATGTCTGTGTTTGAGGAGCTCTCTCTTGGTCCAAAAAAGGGGATGGCAAACATGAAGCAAACAGCCAATGGGACACCCAGAGCCTGTATCATCAGTTTAACATCCCCCAGTTGCTTCAAACTGCCCTTTAAATAGCCTGCGAGGAGGCTCATCCTGCTGAGGATCAACACAGCAGACCTCACTTGGACATCATTCATCCTGAGGGCTCCCGGGTCCCCCTCCCTCCTCTTTAGAGTTTGGAGAGCAGCACTTGGGTAAGCAGGCACTGATCATCACATGCAAATTATATCTAATATTTGCATAGTAATGTATGTTGCTGCTGGTGGCAAACATCCATAAAATGTGCCATAAAACTGACTATTGCTAATAATGTATGTAGCAACACTGTATATCAATACTGTTGAGTTACATTTATTAGTGTGACAGTAATTTCAAACTGTTTAATATTCTATAAAACTGAATGTACAATATGAAAATATTCTTTTAATTGGTGCCAAAACTCAGCTGGGAATGTTTTAGATAAGTACCAGTGTAATATTACACTGAAGCATGGCTTTAATTCAATGTGTTATTCAGTTGCAGTGTAGCTACCTGTAATATTGTGGAATATAGGCTTCATCCCAAATACCAAAAAGCAATAAACTACAATAGGCGATATAGACCTATATGATAACTAACACAAGTGTTAATTTGTATTTTGAACATGTTTCTGAGATTCATCTATGCTGGTTTGGTTACTTTAGGGTAGGGGAGAGTGGGGTAAGATGAGACATTTTTCAAATTTTGGATCACTACATCGAGGCAATCATAGTTTTGTCTCTAACTAGTGTATCTGCATATATTTCAAGATGTTGTGCATCCCTGCAAACCAACAGAATGAGTGTAAACAGAACTGTCTTGATGATATAGCATGACAAAAAAAGTGGTCTCCTATGGTCAACTTACCTCGTCTATGGGCTTTTGTTGACCATAGGAGTGGGGTAAGTTGAGCCATATCTCTACAACCTCCCCATTCTCCACCCCATCCCTCCCTCACCTTCTCTCCCCCTAAATAACAGTCACTTCTTCACCTTCAAGTGTATTTTTATCTATTATACACTATTCAACTGGTACAATAATTCTTTTTATTATTATTATTGGATTTAACTGCTAAAAAGCTGTTTAGTAAAAAGCCATTTTAACATGAGAATGTCTTTAAGTGATTCGGAACATTCACAGCTGTATTTTTGAAAAGAAAAAGTAAAACATTTCAACAATCTGAGTTAAAACTCTAAACTTCACATCATACTGCTTTACTCTCAACTTACCACAGAACTACTATGATGACTTTATTAGTCCTCTAAGTTAAAATGGTGGACTTTAATACTAGGTTTTTGACCTCATGTTGTAGCTCATAGATACCATAATTGATGTATAAAACAAATTTAAAATGATCTTTTTTGGTCTGAACACAATTTCACTTTCAAGAGTGAAAAATGTTTTTTTTTTTTTTTTTTTTTTAAATAAATGTCTAACCCCTTCACCCATGTGTTTTTAACCTTCACAGACTCCATGAATTGATGCCCATCTCCTAAATATTTGGTCACGTGATCAATTTCTTTTACAGGGGGTGGCTCAACTTAACCTTTGGCACAACTTACCCCACTCTCCCCTATTTGATATTCCCAGTGCGATTTTTACGCGTAAACTTCCAGGGTGCTGTACATGTAATGTGACACTCCCTTACATAACGAGCAGTAATGCCATATAAGAAGTGTCTGGAGTAGTTTTGTAGGATGTGGTTAAAAGGGGAGTGAGATATAACCGAAACTGCTGCCACATCCAAAGAGGCATATTCAGACAGCAGTGAGGACGTTGTCTTTAACCTTGTTCCTCTAAATCAAGAGCGTCTCACTTTCGCCACTTTGCGATCTCCGCTCTGTCTGCCGCTTGTTCACAGCCAGCCGCCGTACTTCCCACTCCTTGTTCCTGCATCCCCGCTGTACGCATTTCACTCAGCAACATCTCTGCGCTTTTATTTCCCCCCGCTGCGCACTGCTGTTACAGAACCGCTCCGGCAACATGTCTACAACGGAAACCAGGACTCAACTCGCAGCCAGCGATGAGCAGCAGCTAAACGGAGGTGCTATGGCAGAAACATCGACGGTGGAGGATGTTTTCGATGACACCTACAGAGAAAAATCCGGTCCCAAACCGCGGAGGGTTCTGGTGTGGAGAAATATCATCATGATGACCCTCCTACATATCGGTGCGCTTTACGGACTGGTTCTGCTTCCATCTGCTTCGTTTTTGACTCTTGCATGGAGTAAGTATAATCAGTTGGAGGCTTTATAAGCATGTTAGTTTTAGATCACAGTTGGAAAACAGAATGTTCTGATGTTGTTTGACTATTGCTTCCCACTGAACAGGCTGCTTAGGGTGGGTGGGGGGCGGCAGCAGCAGCAGGAATAATGGAGTATGAGTCACTGAGCTTGTCAGTTTCATTATCTGAACCAACCTATAAGCACCTTAATCCAATTGTCTCATTGTTAAGATATCAAGTTTACCAGTAATTTTAAAGCACTTGAGAATCTTGGTAAAAAAAAAAAAAAGTGTAATCCAATCTGTCAAAGATAAATTACTTGCTGAATATTTAGAATTGGTTCCCTATAGATGCAGACTATAGCAGCATGACTTGAATTCCTGAACAGTGTCAACTTTGTTTCCAGCAGCACTGCATAATTTTCTCCTCTCTTTGCAATGCTGCTGCATATTATTCCAGCGGGGAAGACAAAGCACAATCAACATTCCCATAGACATCCCATTGTAAGCTGCGTGACACCACAACAGAACACTCTTTGCCCAGCCAGAAGCCCCCAGTTCTCAAATCCCAGGCAGTCTTGTCTGGGCTTCACATAGAAACACATTCAGCAGTTTTATAACAACAAAAAGTGTGTGAGGGCAGACCTGCGTGCTCCCACCACCCCATCTGTGCACGCAGATAACTTTTCCCTGTGTAATAAGGCCTGGCTGAAATGGGAAAGGACAAGGTGTCCCAGTGACTCTGATCTCACAGGAGTAGAATTAATCTTAGAGCAGTGGTGACAGTTTTCCCCTAAGACATCTGTCCTTTTCACCTCTCTCCCTCTCTCCCTCTCTTCCAGCTGCAGTGTGCTACCTCTTCAGTGGGCTCGGTGTGACTGCTGGTGTGCACAGATTATGGAGTCACAGATCCTATAAGGCTTCTTTCCCCCTGAGAGTCTTCCTCGCCCTTGCTAACTCCATGGCATTTCAGGTAACACTAAAAAAAAAAGTGTTCCCATGTAACCCTGTCGGCTGCTACTGTACATTAAAAATCTTTAGATTATTCTCCACCCAAGAAGGCGGTTCCCACTTATTCCCCGGATGGAAAAAGTTTCTCATATAACACCTTGTTGATTAAGTTAAATAAATGAACGGTCAGGGAGGCTTTTATAACATAAAAACTAGTTTGAAACTTACACAAGGGAGAGGTGGAAACTTGGAGCCTCTGTCCACCCGAACTTCAAAGGGACTTTAGAGTTATAAAAGGCGTCTTGTGACTTGCAGTCAGAGTTGTTCTGTAATGACTAGCACGGCATTTTTCGATTTGTTTTTTTACTCTGAAAAAGAGGAGAACCGATGAGAGAGTTTCACAGATGTGGACTAACTTGAACAGTTTTCACTCTAAATGTAGACCTGCTTATGCAAAAACAAAGACGTGTCCTTTAACTGTCATCAAAAGCAAAATTATCAAAATTTTAAATCAAAGCACTCTAAAATATGATTATGAATGATTATGATGTAAGTTTTTCATCACTGTTGAACATGACACTGGTGTAACAGTTTATACAAGGTGATATTTGCATACTAGTATTTTCAAAAATCCCTCATTATGGGGGGTAATAAAATAGTTTTGATAAAGCTCCTGTAATGAGTTCTTTCCTGTTTATGAAATCTACTGAACTTTGCACTGATGCCTTTTTTTATGATGCACCAAAGCAAACAAGATCACCAGCAACAACATCCACAAGGCTGTTCTTAAGGTGTGCTTGCCTGGCACCTCCCCCCTCGTAATTACTCTTTTAAAGACACAAATCTAGTTGTTGATAATCTGGCATGCTGTTGTGAGTCATAGAGAGGAATAACTATAAATCTGAGTCTGTTTAATTGCTAATCCTCTCAGGGGCTTAAAGGGATATTCTGGTGTAAAATTCATTAGGGTCAAACACACCGTAACACTGAGTTAGACACCCCCTCGAGAGATGAATGTTGCCGACCGTTTGCTTCTCTAGTTATACCAACTTTAGTAACGACTGCACGATAGCAAAACACAGCGGTCTGAGGAGCCAAAAATAAACCTCAACCAAAACGCCACTCTATAGCCACTAATAATGCTCAGAACAGCATGTAACTTCATCAACAGTGCATATAGGGTCCCAGCCACAGCACTAGCCACCAAACATCTTTTTGATTTTGCCTTATTTCTTTAGTAAGGGGACTAAACACACCTTATCTACTCTCTTCCAGCAGCCACTAGTTTGTAGCAAGACCTCAGGCCAATCCATTACTAACTACAGTGGGTTTACGCAGCTCAAGGAAGAACATTTATGATAATTTCTTTATCATTTCCTTAAAGTAATAATCACCATATTAATCATTTTGCACTGCAGACATGGTAGTTCTTCTGCTTTAGTGTCTCAGTGTGATTGCATTTCCATGAAGAAACGATCATAAATGTTCTTCCTTGAGCTGCATCACCCTGCAGCAGTCCCTTAATTAGTTTTACACCGAAATATCCCTTTAAAGCAGCACCATCTATCTTGTATTATTAAATAGGATCCCAAAGTCAGTCATTGTTCTGTTTTCATTATGCTGAACTGCAATAGTTTGGTTTTTTTGAAAGGAAGTTATGTCATCTGACTGATGTGCTTTGCCACAGTCTGGTGATCCGACTATACTGCATGTCTTTGTGTCATCCTCTCTGCCTCCGCTTGTCTCCTATGTGCAGAATGACATATACGAGTGGGCGAGGGATCACCGCGTCCACCACAAGTTCTCCGAGACAGACGCAGACCCTCACAATGCCACGCGGGGATTCTTCTTCGCCCACATTGGTTGGCTGTTGGTTCGTAAACATCCTGACGTCATTGAGAAGGGAAAAAAGCTGGAGCTGATGGACCTCAAGGCAGATAAAGTGGTTATGTTCCAGAGACGGTAAGAGGATGATCATTTAGAGTTTGTTTCGAGGTTTGAAGCAGTTCCTCTGTCTGAAATGAGCCCAGGGGATTTACACTTAACAGTTCACATGCTATCAGCTACTGTCACTGCTGACTCTTTACCAAAACACACGAGCTCTACAAGGAGCGCTCTCTTCATTTCATTAGTATTCTGCATTAATCATGTCTGCAGCCGAGCTATTTTGGATTTTAATGTGTTTAAGTAAAGCTGCGAATTTGGGACTGTGCTAACAAGGTCTACGAATCTACACCAGGCACCATATCATGTGGTATCCATTGACTGGTCATTTGTCAACATCTCTTCCTTTCTGGAAGCAGTCCCAGATTTTCTTCTCCGCTCTGAAGCAAAGGGGATTAATATTAAGTGAAGCCACACACTCAGAGGCACTTTCAAATGTTTACAGTGAAGTGATGACAAAGTGATAACCCTTTTATTGCTCTCATCCTTGTAAAAGTGGTGTTAACTGACAAAATATCTCCTCCTGTTTTTTTATTTTACAGTGAATTTATCAGACATGGAGAATATTTGCAGTGTGAAAAGAAACAAAGGCTGTTTCTTCAGTTTACTTACCCCTCACAGCAGTCTCAGTCATTAAAAACTACAACCCAGTCACAGTCAATCATGTCATAAATAGTCTCAATGCGTCATAGAGACACATCACTGTCTGTTTTAGTCTGTTTCTGAAAAGGATATTCCGACGTAAAATAATTTAGGGTCAAGCACTCTGTAACACCGAGTTAAACACCCCATCGAGAGATGAACGATAACCAAAACGCCACTCTATAGCCACAAATAATGCTCAGAACAGCACCTAACTTCATCAACAGTACATATAGGGTCCCAGCCATAGCACTAGCCACCAAACATCTTTTTAACTTTGACTGATTTCATTTTAAGAGACTAAACACAACTCACCTACTCTCTTCCAGCAGCCGCTTGTTTGTAGCGAGACCAGTCCATTACGGACTACAGCGGGGTAACGCAGCTCAAGGAAGAACATTTATGATCATTTCTTTATCATTTCCTTGAAGTAATAATCATCATATTAATCATTTTGCACTGCAGACGCTTTAGTTCTTCTGCCTTAGCGCCTCGGTCTGATTGCATTTTCATGAAGTAATTATCATAAATGTTCTTCCTTGAGCTGCGCCACCCCGCAGCAGTCCGTAATGGACTAGTTTGAGCTCTTGCTACAAACAAACAGCTATTGGAAGAGAGTAGGTGAGTTGTGTTTAGTCTCCTAAATTAATTTTATGCTGGAATATCCCTTTAAATTCCTCACATGAGTTTTAACCAAAAATACGTCATGATGAATTTAAAGTAATACGCATATATTTTCTACTTCCATCTCAGGCACTACAAGCTCTCAGTGGTGATCCTTTGCTTTCTCGTGCCCACGTTGGTGCCCTGGTACTTCTGGGGGGAGTCTTTGGCTGTGGGGTACTTCGTCTCCGGACTGCTGAGGTACGCCGTGATTCTGAACGCCACCTGGCTGGTGAACAGCGCCGCACACATTTGGGGCACCAGGCCGTATGACAAGACCATCAACCCCAGGGAAAACCCACTAGTCGCTCTCAGCGCCATAGGTGAGGAAACTGTTTGTTCATTATTCACCATTACACAACAGATAGTCGCAAGCAAGTGTTGTGATTGGACGAGAGTCACTCCATGAATTCTGAAATAGAGAACAACAGGTATGGGAGTAAAAGTATCACTCTGACTCAGGTGTGGGAGTGCTTTGATTTAACATCACTATGAATAAATAAGGCCAGCACCTGTGAATCACACCGGCCATCAAAGTCCTGAACACTCCGAATTCACTTAGAGAGAGCCAAACTTAGAGAGAAATGTAAACATTACATATGAGGAGAAGCGTGTTTGTAGGAAATGTTTATTTTCATTACTTGTTGAAAGAATTTCTCAGCCACAGAGAGGACTTTCTCAGAGCTGGTCCACCCGAGTTACTGTGGCTGATGTTTATTTTGTCTCTGCTGTGCCAGTGTTAGCTCTAAAACGTTGTGTTCATCAGCTGTTGATGTGAATTTAGTGATTTTGAATGTTGGATGTTATTTTCAGTATCATTGTTTCCTGTGAGTCAAAGCTTTAATGGTGGTGGCTGACACTGTGGGGGCTTGATGCTGCGAACAGAAGTGAGCATTGTTGTCTGAAAAAAACACAGCGCCCGGCTCACAAGCGAACTGATGATTGCATAATGCAGGGGAGCATTGTTTGAGTTTACTTGCACTTAAAGGCAATCTTACAGCTTCCCACCTCTTTTTTTATGACCAAACTCGAATTGTTCTGCTCCAAATGAATCCTTTCTTGCAGCTGTGAGATCAGATTGCATGAAGTTAGTGCCTAATTTTCACCTTGGAAGTCTCACACATGACGTAATTGTAATTGGTAAACAGTTTTTCCATGTTACTTTAGCTGCTTGTTACAGAAGTAATTCTTTACTTAAATTTTACACTTTCTAATTTTTGATAACTACATAAAAGCTCTCAGACCCTGAGAGTTGTAACTGTTACTGCCAACACTGCCACACCCCTCAAACCTTATCAGGCAGAGCGATCGAGTGGGGCTGAATGAGATATTGTTTGGCCATGACAAAATTTGCATCCCAGGATGTGGAACATTAGTCATATGTCTTAAAGCACATCATGCCATCACTGTTATTTTCCAGGATTAATCAGCATCAAAAATCAGCCTAATATGAATATAGTACAACCCTTTACCTGAACACACGCAGACAACTGACCTCTGTGCATGCAAAGTCTGTAGCCTATCTGTGCAGCACGTGACTGCAGAATGTGAAAATAATGCAACACTGCTGCTATCACAGACTAGCCCGGCATGCGCTTGACCAATCAAGATGGGTTTTCAGACAGTGCTTGTGATATGGGCACATATACAGACTGTAAGTGAGTCTGTTGCTGTTATTAAGCTAAAGCCTCAGCAGTCAGCTTTGCAGTCCCAGAACCTACGCCTTTTCATGCATAGAAAACATCTCATATTAAAGAGACGCTGAAGAGTTAAGCCTCTCTTTGAAACCTCTGTGGGTGACAGAATTATGAGCTTGTTGATTATTTCATACCACAAACTATGTCATAATTATTTGGACTGATCTGTTTTTGGTAACTTGTAAATTGCTGTAAAGAAAAGTCAGCATTTCAAGTCACTGTGAGGAATTTTCATCCCTCCAAATGAAATCAATAGTGTTTTTTCCTGAGAGGAAAACTTCATTTCCTGTGAGCACTGACACCCAATGTCCTCATGATGTCGATCTCACTAAAGCACGCATTTGATGTAGAAAATACCAATGAATACAGATCATCCTGATATCACTCTGTTCAAGACAGCTTTCTGTGTTGATTTGTCACAATGAAATATTGTTAACTGTAACATCACAATGATAAAACTTTGTGAACTCATCAGCTTACAAAAGGTGACCATTGTTCATACTTGCCCATCATTGCTCTAGTGTTCCAATAAATACAAAGTAGGGTGATTTTGCCCACAAAGAGTAGTGAAGCATTCTTATGCCTGCATAAATATTAAAAATCCTGGTAAAGTTTTTCAATTTAAAGCCATACTTGAACAGAAAAAGTAAATTTTTTAACGAATCCTGCTCCAGGTTCAACCATGAGTGAAAAAGAAGAAAAAAGGAGGAAACTTCTAATTCTCACTGCCAAATTGAAATCTAAACATAGAAATGCTGGATGAAAGCCAAATATTGACACCGCCTTTTTCCCCCCCAGAAAATCCATCCTGAAATTCAGCTGAAAGAAATAACCGATCTCATTTGACTGCGTGGGTTATGAAGAAGCTGATTCTGTTTCAAACCAGTTCACGCCTCCTCACAGCGCCTCTCAGATTTTTTACCCCCCCAACAAATCCAGAGTTCAATCAGAATCAAATCACATTTTCAATCATATGCTGCTCATAGCTTTTGGTCAATCTAGCCCCAATCTTCTGTTGTGTTGCGCCAGTTTAATATGACTGTTTTCAGCCTTATCATAACCTGTATTTAAAGGGATATTCCAACGTAAAATAATTTAGGGTCAAGCACTCCGTAACACCGAGTTAGACACCCCCTTGAGAGATGAATGTTGCAGACCGCTTGCTTCTCTAGTTATACCAACTTTAGTGACGACCGCAGGATAGCAATACACAACGGAATGATGACTTGGTTAGAGTTTTGTACGGATGTGAAATTCAGCAAACCATGTCATCTTTGTGAATTACTCTCTGTTTGTTTCTCAGGCGAAGGCTTCCACAACTACCACCACACGTTCCCCTTCGACTACGCCACCAGTGAGTTTGGCTGCAAGCTCAACCTCACCACCGCCTTCATTGACCTCATGTGCTTGTTAGGATTGGCTTCAGACCGCAAGAGGGTATCGAAAGAGACGGTGGCTGCTCGCATACAGCGAACAGGTGACAACAGCTTCAAAAGTGGCTGAGGGGAACAGGCTTAAAAAATCCACTTTAAAACGAACACGTGGAAACGAGACAGTACGTAGCAACAGGCATAGCAGCATTTCAGAGGTGCAGGAGGAGGGGGGATTATCATGCTTCTGATTATAGGTTAAACCTCTCCCTGAGACTAATATTGGCTTTCTATAAATTGTGTGGGTCTTGTTTAAGTTTTGAAGTGTCCTCATGACTATTAGCCACAGCCATCTACTCGGCTTCACGTGCAGGCGCTGCTTTTTGCCATAACACTGGTACAAAGAGATTAAAATAGGTTAAACGAGATTTGAATCCCCCTCTTCAGTAGAAAGGCAACCAAACAAGTCTATGTGAGTGGTGTGTTAAAGCAGTAAACAGAACGTTTTCTGTATGTCTAGTTAGCATTGAACTCATTACAAATCTTTGGCACTTTAAAGCTTTATTGGAAGCTCTTAACAGTGAGTTTGCTCGACAGGTGAGATATAAGGCCTACCTGCTTGGTTTCAATCTGATTTTGTCTTTTTCACACTTAATTTTGGTAAGCTTGTAGTCTCATTGAAATATAAGCTGCTGTGTCTAAACTAAACCATCGGGACATCACTCTATATCATTGTCCCCGTATATGAAACTAGGGGTGAATATAGTTTAGATGCTTTATACTGTCTTTGGGTTACTTTTATGCCCATCTACTGTCTCTAACAGTCCAAGAGGCTCATTGAAAGATAAGGATGAAAATTAATCTGGTGTAGAGCTTAATATACCTCTTATTGAGTGATAAAACTGCCTCATACTTCATCATAACCCCTCTGGACGTAAGCATAGAAACAGACGTCTTATTCTTTTTCTGAAAAGGAGACATTTTGTGCTTTTTTTCTGCATTTATTAAAAAGAAATGCTCAGAAATAAGATCTCCCTATCCCTCAAATAGGCCAATGAGGCATGTGCAAGAGGTGTGCTTACCTTTTGTACTGTGCAATACAATGACATGTGTCAGGACTTTTGCCCAAATGCCTTATGAGGGTTTTGCAACTGTTTAAAAGATTAAAAGAGCAAGTTTGAGGAAAAATTTAGGGCTCAAATTCCTCCTGTGATTATAGTTATGTGGTCACTATCTGTATTTATTCAACAAATCCTAAAGGAAACAATTGGTTACTGTAATTTCCCTTTTTTTGTGACCAAACCCTTTGCCCTTTAACAATATCCAACCTTGCAATGATATCACTAATGAAACTGTTGTAATATTTGTCAAACTCCCTCTTTTACAGAGCGACGATTTTTTACAGTGTTAACTTCTTGAAGTTTGAACGCCTTAAAAAAATGGCACATTTTTTCAACGAATGTTTTTGCCCACTGTATGTACCAGAAATAAACAAAATTTTCTACTTGTGACAAAGTTGTTTGATATTTTTCTCCTCAAAACTCCTCATAGTGCCTTTAAGTAGACCATCTAAGTCAGGGGTGGGCAATTAATTTTTACATGGGGCCACATGAGAAACCTGAAGTGTGTTGGAGGGCTAAACCAACAGTAACTTCAACTTCAAATCGAGGGGGTTCACACCAAAGACTGTATAGACTATGGACAACTTGGTTCCGCCTTCCTCCTGTATATGGATTTGAAGCCAAAAAGCTCTCGTTAATTTTGCATTATTTCTCCATTTCCTGAAACCAACATTGCACAGTAGCGTTGTACGCATTCGGCGGGAGAATCGCTGTGATGACGCTCGGCTCAAATGGCATATCCCTCGGGTGAGCTTCGCAATCCTTGAAACATGAACCCCCTCATGACTTTTAAAAATAAAGCTGTACAGAAAAAATAGGACTTGAGCACAAACTAGTCTTACGATAACTACATGTCAACATCACAAGCATGTTCTGTGTAAAACATTTCTAAATTTTGTCCACAGCCCCATAAGCTTTGCTGGCGGAGGCGGGATTTATGACCTATACTGCAGCCCGTCAACAGAGGGTGCTGTTCTTGGCTAGGTTTTCAAAATACAAGCAACACACTTGTATAGCATGTTGATGATTTGATTGACGGACCTCACAAAGGGACATCCAAGGGGCCGGATGTGGCTCTCGGGACGTAAAATGCCCAGGTCTGATCTAAGTAGACCACCTATACCTCAACACAGACACCTATGGTAACAAACTACGCATTTCAGAAAGAAGGTTATAATTGCACAACTGGAAATCCCTTTAAATGATTATTTAAAGAGGATGTCCAAAAAGCACATGAATTAAAGTTACATCATGATGTCAAACGTGCTCATGCTCTTACAGCCTTTCCAACAGAAGTTTCCTCTGAGTGTCTGTATCTTCATCTTTGTGCTGACATAATGGAGCTGCACCAGCTCCTGTTTACATGCTTTCACAGATGTGGATCTACCTCCACCACTCGTGCTCTGCACACTCGTCTCAACCGCATCTCACATTGTTTCTAAATTTGTTGCTCTCATGAGCACACGCCCACCAGTGCACGTTATTTTTTTATATCTGCACACGTGCTTTTGCTCATTCTTGCTGTAGATACTGAGAGGTTTGTTCAGCAGCTGCATGTGTCCACTTGTACAGACTTAAATGACCCTGAAGTTTTCAAATCCTTTGTTTTCTTTGGTTACAACAAGTTTGAATTTTTTCTTCAATGGGGTTCCCAGCTTCATCTTGATGTATGGAGACAAATTTTGCCCAAAAATTTTAGACTGTCTTTAGTTTTTGAAATCACAGTTTGTTCGGGGCGGCAGTAGCCCAGGAGGTAAAGCAGTTTTCCAATTACAGGTAGGTTGGCGGTTTGATTCCCCCCTATCCCTGAGTCTGTCGGTTGTGTCCTTGGGCAAGACACTTAACCCACCTTTTTCCCAGTGTGTGTCCTCCACTGGTGTATGATTGTGAGTGTTGTGTGGTGGTGGTGTAGAGGCTGTAGGTGCAAACTGGCAGCCACATTTCCGTCAGTCTGCCCCAGGGCAGCTGTGACTACTAAGGTAGTTTGCCACCACCAAGGTGTGACTGTGTGAGCGAATGAATGATGTATCTAATGTAAAGCACTTGAGGGTCTCTGATAAAGCGCTATATGAAACCTCATGCATTATTATCATTGTTAGATGCTTTGGCATATTTTTTTTTTGACATTTGAAGTTGTTACAACCCACCCGAGCAACATTTTGCAACAGTTATTCATTCATCTCTGCAATTTTGGTCTCAAACACTGTGGGTGTTTTTTTTTCCAGAGATACAGACATTTGCCGTTTGAATCTTTAATGAGATGTTTTATAGGACTACATCCTTGTTTATTCACTTTGGAAGAATTTACATGCCCCAGAATCTTCTGGATTCTGTGCACTTGCTCCATCTGCTGGTAAATTCCTTTACTGCAAGTCACACAGACGTCCAACACGGTACATCTTCCTGTTGCTTTATGTAGAATTATTAAATGTAATGTGTATGTCTCAGTTTGTGCCTCTCTCCCAGATTGCTGCAGTCTGTCACAGAGTCACGGCCACCACGTCTGACTGTAGCTGCTGCTGTAAGTGGCCCCACCACTGCTGATCTCTGCTGCCCAAACAGTGACATCAGCCCTCTGTCCATTGGCTGCTGACTGTCAGGCCACGGCTCACAGCTTTAACACCTCAGTGTGGTGGTGGTCACTCTGCCAGTTAGAGCTCAAACTAGCCCACTGTGGTCACTCAGACTCTTTTACTTCACTGATTGGAAACATGAATGACTTGTTCTTAGAATAATGTTGCTGCCACCATGAAGTGAAATCAGCCATGAAGTTGTTAAGGATGAAAAAAAGCTTAAACAGTTTGCTGGATCCTGCTGTTAGCTCTTTTAACTTGTCATTCCTTCTTAAATCTTAATCCAAAAACATCCCTCAGAAGCCACCTCATCCTCCCCTCTCCACCCTCTAAATCACTTTTTTCTCTAATCCTAATTTGCACACAAGAAGATTGCAAAAGGGCTGCCTGAGCCAAAGGAAAGGGTCCTAAGGGTCAGACGGGGTTAGTGGGGAATAACCCTTCATCCAGTGTTAGGTAGGGACCGTCTGGATTAGTGATGCAAATGTCCCACTGGTGTTCACTCCAACAACTTACTCAGGGGAAATCTGCTTTTTGAGGGCTAATTCTTTGGGCACTGGCGGGGTTGGAGAGACCACTAAAATATTCTTTCTAAAGTAAAAATCCAGTTACTCTGATGGCATTTCACTTGGGTAGAAGCAAAACTATTAGTCCATGAATCTACTCAAGGAAAAAGACTTAAAGTACCTACTTACACCCAAAGGTGGTGGGATGGCTGCAGCAAGAGTACTTTACCAAACTAATTGTTGTAACAGCAATAATGTGTGAAGTGATGTTGACTCTTCACCCATCCAGAGTGAAGTTACTGAATATTTTGCACTATTTGTGTCTGCGAATATCCAAAAATTGTTTTTTAACAGAGCTGGGGGTTATCATCTGAGCTGGCATGTACACTAATGCACACTAATTAAGTTTGTTTGTTTTCAGTTTACTTTTGGTGTTGTACCCACATTTTAGGGAAAAAAAAAATCAAAAAGAAAAAAAGAAAAGAAAAAAAAAGTCAGTTTTGCACTTTTAACATAGCTGCAGAGAAGTTATTATGTGACAAAATTGATTTAAATGGGTGAAAATGCAAGAGGTATTGTTCATTTCACATCTTTTCCCGACCATTTTGGCTTTAAATATATTAAAAGATCCAGGGGCCGAGAACCGCCACTGCTGCGAATAAAAAAGAGTGCAAAAAAAAAAAAAAAAAAAAAGCCACAATGAAGGTTACTGATGATGAAAAAAAAGGAAACCTAAGCCTGCTGCAAATAAAAAAGAGGCGGTGCAAATAATGAAAAAAAAGGCATAATAAAGACACAATAAAAATGTGGTGATGAAAAAAAAAAAGATATATATATATATACATATATATATATATATATATATATATATATATATACTTTCTGCAAAAACAAAGGATGCAAAAAAGAAAAAAGAAAAAAAGTGAAGGATGCTGGTGTAGTGTTAGCTTCAGTTCTACGTCATATCAACTCAGGCGCTACATGGCCTAACCAAATGACACATTGAAAAGCACACAAAGCGAAATTAAACAATAACCTTTCCACTTATTTTTTTGCTCGTCTTCTCGCCGTCACCTTCTGTGGCTAGATCTTAAAACACGAGTGCATCATCATTATTGGTGCCCGGCAGCTCACGTCCATTGTGGCTTTTTTTTATTTGCATCCTTTTATTTTCGCAGTAAGTAACTTCCATCACCATTTTTTTGGTACCGTTTCTTTTTTTATTTGCAGGGGGCTTCAGTTTCTTTTTTTGCATCAGTAACTTCTGCTGTGACTTCTTTTTTTGTTGCATTCTTTTCTTTTTATTATTTGCAGCAGTGGCGGTTCTCGGCCACCATACAAACAAGATTTGTATTTAGACGTGTCAAGTGATAGGAAATGTAGCGTGATATTTCGACTTGAAATTAGATAAATTCGCTTTAAATATCACCGTAAAAATGTCGTCGAATTAAGCTTTAAGAATAAATGCGTGAAAACTAGAGTAAAATGGGTAAAACATGTGACTTATGTGTGTGTTAGACCTATACTACTTGGCGGAGTTAAAAAATAAGGAACAAACGGTGTCCTAAATTTCAGTTCCTGTCAGTTCGTCACCTCGATGACTATCTTCCTCTAATCCCCGAGTTAGATAGTTTAAATAAACTCTTTTTTTTCTGAGCAGGAATTCAGGGGATCAGTGTTACACTTTTCCTATAGGATTAAAGAGATCTTCCTCTGCTGTTGAATGGAGGCAGGGAGCCCACCGTTGGCCGGCCCTGAAGGCCCAGGGTGCCCTTTTGATCATTTCAGTCTCTCCTCGGTGCAAACCTCCTGATTGGCCCAGAGAGTAAGAAGGGGGAAAATCTTTAATTAAGCAGATAATCTCTTGTTGGGGACGAGAGCAGCTCCATTTCAGAGCCCCCTCCTTGAATCCTGGAAGCCTCCTGGAGAAGTTTCATGTGCTGCTAGCTCAGTTTCCTCTCCATCGTTGGACCGTCTGCAGGCTCTGGACTGGATCCCCCTCACCTGTCAGAATGTTCATGCATTTGGAGGTTTTCTATTACATCTTCATTCTCCTAGCTAACATGAGGTGCTACTGCTGCTGGTGAGTTTCATTTACAGTGAAATGTTACTTATTTTTTAGGGTAAATTTTGTTTCCTAATTATGTTCATCCGCAGATAGTTTCTACAGTGTCACCATCTGCAACACAATCATCTGTAAAAGCTAGTTTTTGTGCTTTTATTCTCACTTCAATCATTCTGCTCATTCCTTAAGTTATTTTTAACCAAATTTATTTTGATTTCTTGAGAATTTAATAATGAAACCAGAAAATTCCTTGTGGCGAGGACATAACATTCAAACAATTTATTGATTGTTGTATGAAATCTGCACATAGGCCTACTACTTCTATCATTAATATTGAATAAAAAGTCCTAAAGTGTCTTTATATGTTGCTTAAAGACAAGATTATGCTTTTCATGTACATTTCAAGCCATTCCTCAGATAGTTTGACTCATCATACTGTTTATTTCTAGTGAGAATGTGGAGATTATCTGGACCAAAGTCCGCTCATTTACATTTTAAAAGCAATTTTAAAAAAAAGCATTTAAAGAGATTAAAACCAGTTTTACCCTGTCTTAACATTCATGACCGAAAATTTCATGGCTTTTGGAAGGAATAGCATTGGTCTTTTAGGATTAATCCTAATATATAACAGAATGTGGCATATTCAACATAAGTTAGCGGCATATTTCACAAACTTGCAACCCTGAATTTAAATTCTGATTTAGTCCCAAAAGCAGGCAATCTTTTAGCATATATCTGCCTCTTTTCAAAGTATATCTAAAGACGTATTTAGAGGCATTGATCACTATCATTTGAGATTTTGTCACGATTTTAATCATGGTAAGAAAACATTAGTAAAGCTTTTTGTATCAGTTAGCAGACCTTAGAAAGAACTGCTTTTGAGTTGCCAGGTTGTGGAAGCTCCTCTAGATATGATTGGACTTAAAATCCATTTTATCAGCAACATACAAACACACAAAACTGCAGATTTCTATGTCTTCAACGTTTCTTCTTGGCATTTTAGCATCTAACAAGGACAAACTGAGTGATTAAAAATGGGTTACCAACAATTATAAATGCATTTTAAACACTATCTACTGGCATTTCTTACAAACTCACAGCGGTAAACTCTACATAACTTTAATCTCACACACATTTCCTTAAGTCTGCCTCCACTTTTACATTTCTATACATGTTTTAAAGCAAAAGTAGCTGTATTTTCTCTGAGGTTTGGTCTGGCGTCGGGGTTTAACATGTTACACGGGGCACTAACTAATGAGAGATGTTAGTGGAGGAATTTGTTGAGGACACTGAGCTTCCCTGAGTGAATCAGCTTTCTCCTTTTCCAGGTCAGTGAATAATTTCCTGATGACTGGACCCAAGGTAAGCCAACTCTCTTTTGATCTAGCTGCCTGTCCTTTTCACTGATAGAGAGAGAGAGAGAGAGAGAGAGAGAGAGAATGAGAGAGAGCGTGGGCTTACATGTTGTCCTCGTGATGTTTTAACTCAAGTGCATTGGCGCCTGTCTGTTATATCAGTGATATACTCAGCTCCTTTGTGATTTCCCCCCTCCCTCTGTCATACACTTGACCTTACTCAGAGGCCCTGTGTATCTGTGGATGAATGTTTTAAGAGGCCGGGGCAGGCATGGCTGTAGTGGGTGGTCATCATTAGTGAGCCAGACCCCTGCGAAAGAGGAGGTACTCCACCTGCCACTTGAGACATATTAGTTATATTATCGTTCACACAGTCCGATAAAACAGCGAACTGGGCGGGTGAGAGCAGAGGACACTTCGAAATTGTTAAAGCATCAAGAAGGGTCTAGAAAGTATTATGTTTTTTGCCCTTATCTCTCCAGTCAAAGATATACGTTACCTACCAGTTCTTGAAAAATAACAAAGTATAACTCATTAGCAAACTCTCATGCATTTGTTTACACCTTGGCTTTTTTGTCCTGGTTATGGAATATTTTTCTTCAGATAAGGAGTAAAAAATTGACACCAGTGGGAAGACGGAAATGCAAAGGAGGCTGAAATTAACCAAAATAACCTTTTCTTGATCCTTTCACGTCTAAAATTGGATCTTAAATGAGGATTTTAACTAGTAATCTGTGATTTTGTCACATAAATGGTTTCAAATAGTCACACTTGAGCCGTCACTTCTGACTCCATTGAACTCTGTGATTTAGGGTCAGTCTTAATCTGGTGATTTACTCCCAAAATAACATTTATATTACTGATTTGATAGGATATATTCGGCAAGATTCATCCAATCACATTTCAACTGAATACAGATGTGGCAAACAAAAAGCACACAATCCCTCTAGAGAGTCCCATCTTCAAAATGCTTATTTTCAATGAGTCACTAATTCTTGTCTGATAAAATTTCATACTCCACCTTTAAATTCTCATGTCTTTTGGGCTTCAGGCGTACCTGATTTACTCCAGCAGTGTAGCAGCAGGAGCTCAGAGCGGCATTGAAGAGTGCAAATACCAGTTTGCGTGGGACCGCTGGAACTGCCCCGAGAGAGCTCTGCAGCTGTCCACGCACAGCAGCCTGCGCAGCGGTGAGTCCAGAGTCCCCGTCCCCCCCAGTCTCAAAACTGCAGGGAGAGAAGCTTCGAGAGATACACATCTAAAGGGGGAAACATGTCTGATGAAATTTCACAGATGTTTTGTAACTGTGTGCTTCTGTTTGTTGCATGTTTTTGTGTCAGAGGGGAGGGTTTATCTCCCTCTGTGAAAAAGAGATGTTTGCTCATCACCCCCTCCCTTTGGGGTACTTACAGTGGGCACGGTTGCTAGAGGCAAAACAAACACTCTAATCCGTATCACAACATCCCCCAGAATCACTGCCTCTGTTTGCAGCTTATTAAAGCCTAATGTCTTCAGCGGTATAAAATGAACTTCATGTAGGCACAGCTTAGAGTATGTCCTTTGAGGCTGCTTTGATGGTTCTGAACAGAAACAGAGAAATATGGCTTTTGGCTGAGTTTAAATTATTGATCTAGTTAGATAAAATTTATTACTAATGTAATTTATAACCTATTATGAGTGATTGATTGATTTACTCTCTTAAAAAGTCGGATTTTTCTTGCAAACCATCACCTTCATATGCAACATGAATACATAGCATATGATCTCAACACACAGAATCAAAGGCCTCAGGTTTAGTGATTAAATTTAGTACCTTATCTCAAAATTGACTTCTTTAAACTGAGTTCATTACGATATGGTGGTTTTGATCTTGTAGTACCTTGATCTGCGTATTGAGAGTGTATTTGTGTGTCTCCGTTGACAGCGAATCGAGAAACGGCGTTCGTTCACGCCATCAGCTCCGCCGGAGTCATGTACACTCTAACAAGGAACTGCAGCCTGGGAGACTTTGACAACTGCGGCTGTGACGACAGCAGGAACGGACAAAGAGGTCAAAGAAACACACAAACACAACAGAGGTTAAATTACTCATAAACACTTGATGGCTTTAACTGAATTTTTTTTGTTTTGGTTTTGACAGGTGGTCACGGTTGGTTGTGGGGTGGCTGTAGTGACAACGTCGGCTTCGGAGAGGCTATTTCCAAACAGTTTGTGGATGCTCTGGAGACCGGGCAGGACGCACGTGCAGCCATGAATCTTCATAATAACGAGGCCGGCCGTAAGGTACAGTAGGTGCTCACAGCTTCGAGTGATGTTTCTGCCTTTAATTGAAACCTTACTGTATGTAAACTGGGTGGCAGCTCCCTTTAAATGTGGAGAATCTCTCTCAGCCCTCCGACTGATTCTGCCGTGTGAAGCACCTTTTGAATCAATGTTCCCCGCTCAGAATAACCCTGAGTGTGCCACCCAAGCATCCCTTTCACGTCGCTATAAGTGAGGTGCCACTCGTCCCCGATAAAAACAGTGTGTTCGGTGTACCAGAAGGGCCTATTTACCAGCGCTGAATGCCCCTTACGACAATACCTCAACTCGAGAATCTCAGGATCACTGGTGCGAGCTTTAATTAGAGATCCTGCAGAGCCAGACATCGCCCAGCATTCTGTATTATGCTGCTTTTTTAAAATAAGTGTTTAGTTTTTATTCTTGCAATAAGGATCCCACATTTATGTTGGTCTTTGTTTGGCCCCAGGGGGGAGTCTGAGGGGACCACAGGCGTGCAGCTGAAGTGCTCTTTGTTTATGGTGCCTTTGCTCCCCCCTGTTAGGCCTGGGGATCCCCATGGCACCTGGAGCATCATTGTAACAGAAAAAAATGGGGATAGAAAGAGAGAAAAACTCCTTTTTCATTTCTTTCTTCAATAGGACTCTCCATTGGGTCTTCTCACACTAAAACATGTTGATAATGAACATGCTAAATAAATACTCCTATTTCTTCTGGGGGACAATAGGGCTCAATGTGAAACTTTGATTCAGCCTCACCTCCGGAGAAAGTTCATCCCGTCCTCGAGGAAAGAAAACGTTTTCCTTTTCAAACGGCAGCTGGTTTTGTGTCGGGGAAAGTCAGGAAACACTGAGGATGACAAAAACACCCGGCAGAGGCCCTTGAAGCTATCACTTCTTCTTTTCAGCGTATTCATCCCTTTTTTATTTAACTGGAAGACTTACATTCAGTTAATTTGACAACACATCAATCAAAAGACAATGGACATTGTGTCTTTAACGCACACACATCCATACATTGATGTGCACATTTGTAGGAACCGTATCTTTGTCTTAACTCTACTTTTGATAGAAAACTGATGTTCTTCGTTACAATAAACTATAAACACATGACTATTGTTTCCTTTCCTTCTTTGCTGTGTCTCCAGGCTGTTAAAGGAACCATGCAGAGGACGTGTAAGTGCCACGGCGTCTCAGGTAGCTGCACCACTCAGACCTGCTGGCTGCAGCTCCCAGAGTTCAGGGAGGTGGGGATCTACCTGAAGGAGAAGTACCACCGCGCTCTGAAAGTGGACCTCCTACGAGGTGCAGGAAACAGCGCGGCCAGCCGGGGGGCCATCGCCGAGACTTTCAGCTCCATCTCCCGTAAGGAGCTCGTCCACCTCGAGGACTCCCCCGACTACTGCCTGGAAAACCGCACACTCGGCTTGCCGGGCACAGAAGGCCGGGAGTGCCTCAAGAAGGGCAAGAACTTGAGCAAGTGGGAAAAGCGGAGCTGTAAGAGGCTGTGCGGGGAGTGCGGACTGGCCGTGGAGGAGCGCAAAGCCGAGATGGTGTCGAGCTGTAATTGTAAATTCCACTGGTGCTGCGCGGTGAAGTGCGAGCAGTGCAGAAAGACAGTGACCAAGTACTTCTGCGTGAAGAAAGGCGGTCAGAGGGGGAGGAATGAGAGCGCAGGGAGCCGCCGGAAGAACCTCAGACTGAGGAAGAAGCACTGAGCGTCTTCACTTTCACCTTTTGTTGACATTTTTCGACCAGTGCGACTTTGTTTTGGACAAAAACTTAGCAAAAACACAAGTTCAGACCATCCTCTTTGTCAGTTTTGTATTGAGAGTTGAAGACAGTGGGATGTGCAAAACAACAAGAGAGAGATGAGAAGTGAAGGGTTAAAACGTTGTAGATTTTTTGGTAAATATGTATTTAAGATATATTTTTATACTTTGTAAAACATTTTGAAGGCATTTAAAAAGCTTTTCTCTGGATTTAAGACCCCCCACGTTCTGGTTTATTTATTTTCACATGAAAACCTCGGACCAAACTGTTGAAATTAAAGATTGAAAATAAGCATATTGAGCTTAAACCCACAGCTGTCAAGAGGATTTTTCTTGAGTAATCTTTGTATATTTCAAATTTCACCTCAAAGATTTCCGTTTATTCAGAGAAATTTTGTTTTTTTCAGGGACTGTCTGCCCTCCTGACCCCTGCTGCCCTCTTGATGTATTTAATTGTATATTAAATGAAGCACTTTGTACTGTACATTGTTAATTTATTTCACGGCATTTGCTAGTTTTTCTTTGTTGTTTAGTTGCCCTTTGTGGTTTGTCTTCCGTTAAAATGTATGAAAAGTAATAAATCCTTCAATCTTACTGATCATTCAGCCTGTGGAAAGTGTTCATCCTTCTTTAACACCTTCTTTGTGACGTTAATACCTGACGGTTTTGTGGTAAACACAACCTTTCTCTTCACGCCGGGCCAAAGCGACAAGAATAGAAAACTTTTCCAGTGTACTCTTCGTTCCATCACGTTTCTCTCAATTTCGCCTCAACAAATACCTCCCGTTCTCCTCCTCATCATGGTAATCCTCAAAGAGCCCCTCACTCCTTAGCGCTTGGACGTTTCTTTACTGTTTAATACTAGTTTAATTAACTTTGTCCAGGCGGAGCAGGGCCGTGGGGGTGGAGGGCATGAGGCAAGTTGCCCTCAAAAAATCATCCCGCCTCTAATTTTGTATGCTAATCTCCTTTTTCACGCCGCACCTCCTCAGGAGTGGGGGAAAGAAATGTTGGGAAAACTTTGGGTTGCCTGTGCAAGGCTTCCTGTGGCTGTTTTATTTCTGGGCCCACCTATTTGGGTCCTTTCACTCCTCTAGGGCCTTCCTTTGCTCGATTTAACAATGAATGCAGAGCTAATCAGCTCTCTCGGAAATGCACCACTGTCGAGGAAGGTAATCCCTTCTTCTCTGCTCTCAATGGGCCGTCGCCTTCTAAAGGACTTTGGGAAAAGGCTTTGCACAGATTCACACTGTTCCCTCAAAAGAAGTTAGTTCAAGTATTGTGCCCAAACAAGTGGGTTTTATAAACACATGCTTGCCAGGATACTCACCCCACCTGCGAGTAAGAGGTGCCAGGCCCAGACGGACTTGCACATGGCAGCCGAGGCTGGAACCCTTCAGAAGGGATGGGACATGAAAGAGGAGATTAGAGGGCCCATTGAGAAGGGGGCGTTCATTTCTGCACCTTCCTCCTTTTACTCAATAAAGTGTCAAGGAAACACCTTGTTGACATCTTATTTACTGAATAATGATCATAATCAAAACTCCTCCCTCCTCTGATGACCCCTGTGGGCTGTCTCCAATCCTCTGACTGGCATGCGCAAAAAAACCTTCAGCAACAAAAGAGCCGGCATACCAAGATTTCTGCCCTGCGGCTACATGGATAAGCTGCAACTTACTGTTAGATGGGAGTACGACAAAGGTACATCAGAGTATTCTGAGGGGAAAACCAAGACAAGGATATACACTTTAGATTGGAGTCATAAAAACTGGAAGCGTTGACTCTTATTTGTGATTTCCTTGGTTCAAATGTGAGCCATGCCTTCATCTTCCTGCCCATGCTGCAGAAAACTGCCCACATGTCAGGATAAAAAACACACAAAGGGAAGCAGTGCTGATGCAGCAATAAGTAATTGTGTGGGAAAGCCTGTTTGACACACCTGTACGAGTAGACAGGGAATAAAGATGATGCTGCGTTTAAACTGGGACCTGACATCAGGAGCTAAACAACCTCAGCTTCCCAAAAACACTGTGAGCTAACATGATTGTTTTCTTCTCAAAATCACCTCTGAAGCAGTCAATCTTCCCCCTGCTCTACTTTCCTTTGTGTTTGACTGAGCTCTGTTTACAGTGTATTGAAATACAATGAGTAGGATATGGACTTCAGCAACCATCCAGACCACATACACTAAAAAGCTGTTCAAAATTGACCCAGAATGGATGGATATATTGATCTAGCTACACTGGATTGACCTGACCCAGAACCAGCTAGACACCTCAGCCTTGATTGTTGTTGTTGTTTTTTTTTTTACATGTATTTAACCCTTAAAAAAAACAGCACTTGGTTAGTCCTATATCAACTGAGAAAAATACTAATTCTCTGCAATTTGGAGAACATTAATGCCACATTTACCATGTAAAGATGCAGCTTTCAATGAAATGTATACCCAGATGAAGAAGTAGATGACTGTTTCCATTGTACAAAGCATGATCTGAAGCGCTCTGTCACTGAGAGCACTCTAGTAGCGCCACTTTTTCCTGGTTTTCTCCCTCATTACGCTTCTATCACTCGTTTAAACAAAACAGAGATGTACCATGTATTGTTATTAACCTGTCAAGTACTGGTTTGAAAACAGACTATTCAGTTTAACAACATTATTGATCAGCAAAAAGTTTTGTTCTAGACTGACCTCACAACTATCACCCCCCTTTCCTTTGCTAAACCACCACCAGAATGCAAAAAGTAAAGGGAGCCCCGCTGAATAAAACCCCTAACAGCAGCAGCAGCAGCAGCAGCAGCGTGTGAAACAGCACATAACATGACTCAGACTGCACATCTTTCCCCCACCCAGAGAGTGACACGACCTCCGACCGAGGGGTTTGAACTTCCGTCTCTCAGGCCGGCGCTGCCACCTTTCATTTGACAAAACACATGAGCCCAAGGTGGCGGAGAGAGCGGCGGCACCGCGGAAGAAGAGAAAGGTTTTAGGAAGAGGCGAGTTGATTCAATAGATATTATCCAGAGAACCAAAAAGAGCTCAGATGAAACTTTCAAACTGTTTTTAACAGTTTGAAAGTTTTTGAAGAAATCCAAACGTCACAAAATGAACCTTTAAATTTTGGAAAGAGGTGTGATGGAGTTTTTCATTCATATGAGAAGTTTGACGCCCTCTGTTCAGCCTCTCCGACATCATGGTTACTTTGAAAGTAAAAACACAAACGCAGTGATTTCTCTCAGGTAGCGAGTGATAATGCGATCAATGAAAAGATGGGAAAACGACTTATAATGCTTCACAGAATCCCTGACTAATAGGATTTATGGCTTAGGGGTTCTGGACCTACAACACCTACAGGGGCGAGGGTCAGAGTGAATGTGAGAGAAAGCCAACACAGATGAGTACAGAGGAGAGGAACATCCAGCAAGTGTTTAGAAAGCTTCTCACTGCTTTTTACTTTGAGTATATTTCGGAGATTTTTGCATTTTCACTTCAAGATGATCTCCTTAATTTGATCATGTATGCATTTGTCATCTATGGCTACAATCTCAATTAAAAATCAAAAAAGGTTTCAATTTTAATGGCAACTCCAGGAGAGAGACTTTGTTTTGACAGCAGTTGAGGAGAAGACAACAATGTTGTGTGTGTGTTTGCAACTATCGGTGGGATCCAGATCCAGGCCTCTTGAGACTCACCAGGGTGGTCAATCTCCTGGCTGAAAGAATGAGGAGAGAGGAGCATCAGAGGGATCAGCTCAGCTCACTGATCTGCACAGGAAACACAGAGCATGGGAACCCACCAGGGAGCCAAACTCTTCCCCGCTGAGGAAATCTGCTGATAAAGCCTGACTCAAGAGAAAACACACGACATGTATCAGGTTTTAGCCCAGATTCAGGAAACGCCTTTTGAAAGGTTAAAAACACAGAGCACCTGTGATCAAAGTGATTGATAAGCTGTACCGTGTAGAGGTTCAGTACCGCTCTGATATTGACAGAACAGAGAAGGGCCCTATCAGCTGATCAGTCCATTGAGCAAGGTACAGTGTACACTGCTATCTGACGAGCACTGATCAGTGTGTGATCAATACACTGAAGCTGTGATAACCTCAGTTGAATATTGACTCTGGGTTTTCAAAAACGTTTGCTCAGGCTCTCATTACTACTTTGACAAAGACAAAGAGAGAGGACAGCTCCTAAACCTGCTGATTAAAAAAAATGTTGGGTGGTCGGGGTTACCCTTCAGAAGTGATGGCTACATACAGTACATACAATAAAATTAAGATTTAGGTTGTTTAGTTTTTACCTAATATGCATATTATAAATATTTTGACTTTTATTCTTTGCAATATGATATAATAATGTATCGCTCATGTGTGGTATATTCCTAAAAACAATCAAAAGACAATACGATGTAGGACAGTGAGAGTTCAAGAGACTTTTCAGAGTGATCTGAGTACACAGGCACAGGGGCATTGCATGGGATTTTGGGGCCTCATGAAAAAATATTGAGGTGGCACCTCCCCTTCACTACTACAAATGTTAAAATATTTTTGGTAACCCTGAAAAATCATCTGCCCTCAAAATAATCTCAACTACATGAAGACAACATGATTTATATGTGACAGTAAAAAAGAATAAACTATAAAAATGACAAGAATAAATGTCACAACTGTTGGAAATATACAGTGGATATAAGATTTGTTAAATACGCACCCCCAAACCACATGGCTGATTACAGGGGATTGACGCTGGCCCCCCTTGAAATCCAATTTGCCACCCCAGGACCAAGGACTGAAGCTCTGATTGGCTATTTGACTTGTCAGAGGCTGGAAATAACTTAAAACTGACTGTGATTAGAGGTGACTTGAAGGACGACAAACCTCCAATGGACTGAAGGGGTGGCTTATCTTATTGGATAACTGAATATTTCCTGGAGCTGCTAGTATTCTTTTTATCCATATCCTATCTGTTTTAATTTTTATAGTGCTTTTGGTATTAAAACCAGGAAAACACTTCAAGTAAATACTCACATTAGAACAACTTTGGCCCACCAAGCATTATTTTTGATGGGACTCTTAAACTTCCATTAGAAGTAGATTCTTAATCAAAGTATCTTCAGTATTTCTGTCATCCAATCTAAAATATTGAAATATAAATGTGGCACGTAATATTGTATATCATATTCCCTGTTCAATTTATTATTATTATTATTATTATTATTATTATTATTATTATTGTTGTTGTTGTTGCTGCTGCTGCTGTAATAATAATAATAATAATAATAATAATAATAATAATAATAATAATAATAATTATTATTATTATTATTATTATTATTATTATTATTATTATTATTATTTTATTATTACACATTATAATACATTTTAATACATCATAATACAAAGAATACAAATAATAACTACAATTTCAAAATTAGTTCAAAGAGGTTACAAGATTGGTTCAACATTTGCACTCAAATTAAACATTTGCACTCCTGAAGCCTGAATGTAATGGAATTTATCATGGATTTGAATACATTCAGAGATACCAGACTATCAATAGTTCACCAAAAAATAAAGAAATGCAATGACTCCCTCTTGTGGTGAACTATGAGTATTAAAATATTGGCACTAACTCATCCAGATCGCTAGGTGTCGCTGTCTGGTTCTGCGAGTATGAAGTCGTTGAAGTGTTTCCTTGACTTTTGGCGTCGTTTGTTTTGTGGCTGTCAACACGGTGTGTAAACACCTTTTCGGAGCAGAACCGGGGAGAGGGTGTCTGCATTTAGCGGGGGCGCAGGGCTGCCCTCATTTATAAAATACCTGTGAATGGAAACGGTAGCGTGATACTCTTCCCTCTGTCCCCCCCGGAGCCGAGCAGGGTGAAGCCCGGAAGAGGAGCCAGTCTCTGGGTGGTTCATTGTGGCAGCTATTCAGCGCTCGGTGACGACGATGGCAGCGGCGACTGTTGTAGAGGCTGACCCGGCGGCGAGCGAAGGAGGTGCCGCTTTCACTGGCGTCAGTAACCGGGGCTGGGATGAGTCTCAGCTCCGGAATTATTCTTTCCCAACGAAGCCCATTCCCAGGATGTCCCACACGGACCCCCGAGCAGAGATACTCATAAACAACGAGGTAAACAAACCGAGTTACAGATGCTGAAACTCTGAACTCATCTGACCCATATATTGTTTTAAAGCAAGAACCACAGGCTGACAGCTCACTAATCCCGCTTTTTTTTGTCTTATAGTTGATTTAAGGAGGACTAACTTGGAGATTCATATTTTCTATTACTGTAAAGTCTTGTTTATATGCAGTGGGGCATTGAAACTGAAAGTAAATAGTTTTAATGTGTGTCATCGTCTACTTTTGACCTCATTTTAGAGATCAGGGACTCTGTTTCAAAAGCGAGACAGGAAGGTGATATATAAAGCTAGTGATAGTTTTAATAATTTCATTTGCATCACAAAAGGCTTAAGGATTTATCCCTAGAATGTGCATCACTGACTTACTCCATCATTGTCATTAAAAAGACAGGTCCAGCATGCAAATGTAAGTACTTTTATAGATTAAAGAGAGAAATCAAATAGAGATTATGATTCAATGCAAAGACAATCATATTTTCACTGGTGGTTTTCCTTTGTCACTTTAGTTTGTGATACTTTTGCAAGCTTTAACAGTGAAGTCAACTCATACATTCCTGTTAATTATTGCGGTTAACTGTCTCAAAGTTAAGCTGAAAAAAATGTGTTTAATTCATACAGAGAGCTATTCACAAAGTGTTGACAGGTTCATATTTATATGTTTACAAGTTTAAATGTTTTTCTCTGCAGCTGTTTTACAGGGTTAGCAGATTATGCAGAATGTGTTTCTGAGGTTCATTTACATTTATTTTGAGGTCCTAGCCTCTGATCGGTAAGTGCTGTGACATGTGATCAGGGTTGTCCAGGATGTTAAGTTTTTGGGGCTATGTTGTGGGAATGAAAAGATGGCTGAAGAGTAAAAGTTATCCGTCTCCATCCTGCTGTTTCTCATCATTAGAATTATCCAACCACCTTACATTGAACCTTCACGTTACACTTCCGATGTCAGAAAAAACAAAGACATCTATTGTTACTTTGGCTCTCCCTGGGACTATTTCTAGCCAAGAGCAAAACAGGTTGTGGTTCTTTTAATTACATTCTCAACATAACTATGGGTTTTTTACACTCTCTTGCAAGTTATTAAATTCTTTCATGAGCTGCATTCATGGGTTGTTATTACAAGATGACTCATTGACATGCAACATATTTTAGCCAACAGGTTTTTATAAAATGATAACATTCAGCAAAACTGCTAGGCCTATCAGACATCAGTGACATACAGGTATCATTTTTCATCCTCCGTTTCTTCTCACTGATCAAATTTCTTGTCCACATCCAGTTTAGGATGAGTCGATTGCACTTAGACAGTTTTGTTTCCCTGGCTCCATAAAATATTATTGTGACTTCAAAAAGTAGCCAACGTGAGATAAACATTATATTATTTTTGACTGTTACAATAGTCATTATTCAGGTGAAATTGTCTATAAGGACTCAGTACTTGGGATGCTTCACCCTGTTTTCAAGGGTATTTTTTAAATATGGTGTAAAAACAACTAAACAAGGCATTTAACAGAGCCAAACAAAAGAGAACAGGCCAGGACAATAATAAATCCTTCAATGGGTTTCCACAACAAACATTTTAATTATGATAATCTGGATAAGGTTTTCTTTGCTGAATTTGCTGTTTTTGTAATTGAAAAATTTAAGAGAATTGTCTTAGATAACATTGATTAATATGTCCCAAATAAAGAATAGTTTTTACTACCTGTAAGAGCTTTAAGCCTGCTTCCAGTTAGGTCCCAGGTGGAATAAACTAGCATTTAACATTGTTACTGTTTGCATAAATCAAAAAATGAGACACTTTAAGAGTTAAGATTGGTATATTTAAAATGCGTTGAGGTGGGGCTGGGTGATAAAACAATAACAATATATCAAAAATTAATTTCCCCCAATATCAATATAAAACATGGTCATTCTGTCATGTTTTGGTAGACTACACAAATAGCCAATGAAAAGGGGAGTTGCTCCGGGTCCGCTTCGCGCTGAACCAATCATGTGCTGAATCAGAATCAAGTAGCAAACAATTGTGTAGTAGCAGGCTGCAGCTACATGGAACTATAACACTTCTAACACGTGAAGCCGACAGCACTGTCAGTGAGAAAAATGAAAATGAGTGCTACCCTCAACAGAAATGCAGATGAAGGTTCAACAGATGATGACATTGTCGACAACACTGGCACGAAAGTATTGGAGGTGTGGAGGTATTTTGGTTTTTTTTTTAGGTCGGACATGAAGCAGAGTAATGTGCACTGCAAACTATGTCGAGTACATGTTCTCGCAAAGTCGGGGAATACCTCAAATCTTTTTCACCACCTGAAGCAGTGCCACGCGGCAAAGTAAATGCAATGCAAACACCAAGCAGAGCAAGGAGCCCACGGCGCCTGTGCAGCTGACCATTCAGTCTATTTTCTGTAGTGCACCACCTTATGACAAAATGTCAGAGACACAAAGACCTCACAGATGCAGTAGTTTATTGTATTGCAAAAGACATGCTACCAATAAGCACTATTAAATTTAATTTTTTATATCGTGATATACATTGATATCGACTGATATGAAAAAATATATTGTGATAAACTTTTTCCCACATTGCCCAGCCCTACATTGAGGCGTCATGTCAGTCATTTCAGAGGTTCACGGCCAGTGTACTTAGTTTGGCAAGAGGAATGTAGTTTAAGATGACTGAAAGGATGATTTTCAAATTTGTGTTTTACCCTTTATAAAACTTAAGTATGTCATAACCACTGACTGTACATGCAGTCTATGGTTGTACACACAGTCTATGGTAATGACACACATCCGGAGTGACCTCCCCCTTTCCCCTGATTTGTACTCTTACAAACGCGCTCGTGCAACACTGTCACGAGCACAGTAAGTGTGAAATGACCGTGTTCACGCTGTCGATACATGTCAATGGAGCACATCTGTTAGCGCACTGTGTTCACACGACACGCGCCCCTTCCTCATGAAGAATTTGCATAAACTGACTTATTTTCGTCCACAGAAATGAAAAACGAAGCCGAGTTTGCTCAAAACAATCGATTTCAAACGCGTCGAAGCACAGTGTGTTTTCGGTTATTTCGTCCTTGTCGCTGGTAGATGCAGAGAAACAGAAAGATCCCTAAGTTTAGATCTGTTTTAGCTCGCGGGGACTCTGCTGGGACTCCACGCTATCTCCTCCTGCGAAAGTGAAACTGAGAGAGGCGATGCAGACACAGGGAGCGCGAGCGCGTTCACCGGTGTACGTTCAGTTTGTCACGTAGCCCTCGTGCTCGGTGATATTAACTGCCATAAACCGTATACTTTACCCAACTGGTGTATGTTGAAACTTATGTTCCGTTTTCTTAAAAAAGACGAAAATAAAGTAGTTTTCAGGATGTTTTAAATAACCCTGTGTCTGAGCAAGCATGCATCATCTCTCATGTGTCCTAGTGTTTCACTTAAAAAGGAATGAGGTCACTCAAGTTGAACTTTGTTTACAGAGTTTTATGAATCACTTAAGTAGAAATTTTACAGAAAAGATGCATCTTCTAGTTCTAACCAGGAAAAAAAAACTGAAATAGTCATGAGGCAATCATCAATTCATGGAGTCTGTGAAGGTTAGAAGCACATGGGTGAAGGGGTTAGACATTTATTTACAAAAAAAAAAAAAAAACATTTTTCACTCTTGAAAGTGAACTTAGTCTGTCGTAAGTTGTACTAGAATTGTGTTCAGACCAAATAAGATCATTTTAAATTTGTTTTATACATCAGTTGTGGTATCTATGAGTTACAACATCAGCTCAGAAACCTAACCTTAAAGTCCACTATTTTATCTTAGAGGACTAATTAAGTCATAATAGTAGTTCTGGGGTAAGTTGGGAGTAAAGCAGTATGACGAGAGGATCAGAGTTTCAGTTCATATTGTTGAAATGTGTTACTTTTTCTTTTCAAAAATACAGCTGTGAATGTTCTGAAACACCTAAAGACATTCTCATGGCTCAATTTACCCCACTCCTATGGTCAACTTACCCCATACACGGGGTAAGTTGACCATAAGAGACCACTTTTTTTTGGCATGCTATATTATCAAGACAGTTATGTTTACACTCATTCTGTTGGTTTACAGGGATGCACAACATCTTGAAATATATGCAGATTCACTAGTTAGAGACAAAACTAGGATTGCCTTGATGTAGTGATCCAAAATATAAAAAATGGCTCATCTTACCCCACTCTCCCCAACTTGTAATCTGCTATCTTTGTATTCTTGCATTGTTGAAGAGTGCTTTTTGTAGGAATGTTGCCTGTTGTGTAAAGACCAATTTACTTGAGATAAACATATTTTCCTGTTATGTTATTTGATTTAAATGTTCTTTGTCTGTTTGCCAGGAACCAGTGGTTTTGACAGACACCAACCTTGTGTATCCAGCTCTCAAATGGGACATCGCATACCTTCAGGAAAACATTGGAAATGGAGACTTTTCTGTTTACACTGCAGAAAATCACAAATTCCTCTACTACGATGAGAAAAAAATGTCCCTTTTTGAGAACTTTGTCCCAAAGTCTCATCGAATGGAAATGAAATTCTCAGAGTTTGTGGAAAAAATGCATATGATGGAGGAAAGGGGGGGAGAGGAGAGGTAAGACACGGGTAATTTTTTGTGAAATGAGATTATGACTCGAATGTGAGAATATGAATAGATTGCAGTCTGATGCTCAATTTAGACCACATCTTGTTAGGCAAGATGTGACTGTGCTGAAGGTGTGTTTGACTGCAAAGGGTGTTTTTTTCTCTCTCATAAAATGTAACGCAACAGTAGAAAGTGGAGTGGATGACTAAGCACACAGGGGGAAAGCCTTTCGCTGTAACCTGACTTGACCGGATGGCACGCACACAGATCACTTACTAAAATGAATTTGCAGTTTGACTTACTGCGAACAGTTGCAGTCGACTATTTGCCTTAGCATGGACTACCTCCATTTAAGTCATATTGATGTTCATGGCTAAAGTAGGTATAGTCAGCTGGAATATGTAAACAAACCTGTGTCCTGCAAAAGTGTAACACAGTGTATGACTTATGAAAATAAGTCACTAGGACATGTTACAGGACTCTGGTTGAGGAACTACATGGCTGAAATATTTGTTTAGTTCTTGTTTCATGCATTTTTGTCTGCAGGGTTTATCTGCAGCAGACCCTGAATGACACAGTAGGCAAGAAGATAGTTGTCGACTTTCTTGGTTTCAACTGGAACTGGATCAACAAGCAGCAAGCCAAGAGAAACTGGGGACAGCTGACATCTAATCTGCTGCTTATTGGCATGGAGGGTAAGGGTTTAAAAACAGTTTTTAAAACTATCTGACTGCAGTGTTTTCTCCCTATCAAATTGTGCTTAAATGTTCCATATTAACAGGCAATGTGACACCAGCGCATTACGACGAGCAGCAAAACTTCTTTGCACAGATCAAGGGCCACAAGAGATGCATCCTCTTTCCTCCTGATCAGTTTGAGTGTCTTTATTCTTACCCAGTGCACCACCCCTGTGACAGACAGAGCCAAGTAAGCTATTTCAATTAATTCTGTAAAAGCAAAATTGTGATGTGTTTCAGTCTTCATGTTATTTGTAGATAAACATCTTACACTCAATAAAGGGATTTGTGTGATTAATGCACCATTCTTAAACTACAGGTCGATTTTGATAACCCTGACTATGAGAAGTTTCCCAATTTTAAAAATGTTGTTGGCTACGAGGCTGTTGTGGGCCCAGGAGATGTGCTCTACATCCCCATGTATTGGTAAGACATATTTTTGTATTCACCTTCTGTTGGAATATAGGGCACAGAGTTTTTCGGACACTGTGCCAGAAGATGTTTCACTGTGCTTTCTGCCATTTAGTATCCTTTTTTTATTTATTTATTTAACTGCTTATGATAATGTTGAGTAATTCATCTGTGTTGATATTTGGTGTTTACAATGAATTATTGATCCAGTGAAATAGATAAGACGGAGAATGTTAGAGATAAAGTTCATGTGTTAGATCAATAATTCACAGCAGGTGGGTGGCGTGTTGTGGTGTTATGATACACTCTGAACTGATAAGAAATAGTGATGACTGGCAACGATAGTTACTGGTGTGTTTTGATTTCTTAGGGGTGCTCCTCATTTTATAAACTTGAGTTTCACTGTGAATTTACCACAAATCTAAAACCACTGAGCTTAAATGCACAAATCCACATATCTTTTTTGGATTAATACTTAATTGACATGTTTTTTTGTTCATTTAAAATCCAGTAATTGGAACTATACAAAAGGGTAAATAAGATCTGGGTGTTAATAGTTCTCTTTTTTCCTCAGGTGGCATCATATTGAATCTCTGCTGAACGGTGGAGTGACAATCACTGTAAACTTCTGGTACAAAGTACGCATATTTAAGTATCCGCAGCTACAGCATTTCGGCTAACATTGCCACACCATCATAACTCACCGGTTTTGTTTTCGCTGTTTTGAAAGGGTGCCCCAACACCCAAGAAGATAGAATACCCCCTTCGAGCTCATCAGAAGGTGGCCATCATGAGAAACATTGAGAAGATGCTTGGAGAAGCCCTTGGAAACCCACATGAGGTAAAAGCACCCGCTTTTATAGCCTCCTTAAAAGACCAACCTTTCAAACTTAAAACCTTGTACTGATTGTGTAAGCAGCTCATAAAAGTCACACTGCCAGTTTCTTGAACATCAAATAAGATCCACATTCAGGTCACCTGTTACATGAAATCTCCAGGGCAAGCTGGCCCTTCATGCAACCTAATTACTGTGAATATTTATGGCTTACCTGATTTAGTTCAAAGGAAAAATGTATGCAGTCAGGGACTGTGAGTGAAGCACGTGATAACAGAGAATCTTTGTCTGTCTTTAGGTTGGACCTTTACTGAAAACCATGATCAACGGCCGATATGATCAGGGTCTGAGTTAGAGTCGGCTACCCTGAACGCTTTGGGAACTGAACGTGTGTGTGTGTGTGCAAGAGAGACTGCTGCGTGTGGTTTCCTCATTTTGACTCTGGAGTTAAGTAATGCTGCATGGCAAAATGCAGCCATCTCGAAACCGTTCTGCTTCAGTCTTCAAGTGCCATGGTCATCGCAAATACGATCACAGAAAATGAATCCTTACGAGGAAGACGTCTCTTTCCTCATGATATGGAGGAAGAAGCCTCATTTTACTCAAGTCTGAATACATATTAGTGAATTCTCTGTTCTCCCAACATTATCATAATTCAAGCTTGTGGGTATCTGGTTGCATTCTCTTAACAGTTTTAAATTTGTGGGTTTTATTTTTGAAAAACCACGTTATTCTGGCCCCTGATGGATGGGTTAAAGGGGTTATATATTATATACAACACGCATTGGCTTCATACGGTTAGTATCTTTCTCATTCTCATAATATATATCACATAATATCACAGTGGTGGGCTGACAACTTAAAAGGACAATATTTTACATCTTAATCACGGACAGCTTTAAAAGGGATTTCATTACAACCGTAGATTTTTGTGGAATAACTCTCCATGTAATCTGGATTATCTCTACGCCCACCTGTACAGTTAAAGTCAGTGATGATCAGTTTCTTGGTAGAGAGGGTTGGTTTGAGTAATAAAACACATGTGCAGTGATTAAAGCTGTGATGAAACATGATCAAAACTATGTTTGGGTGTGGAGACAGAGGGGTCATTTATTCAGCTGAAGGAGTGTGTGACTGCTGTCAGCTAAATTGTTTTAGCTGAGTGAATGCTGTTTTGTTTTATTTATGCTTTTGCTTGTTTGAATTATATTTCAAGGACTTTCTTGAATGTGCATCCTTATCTGTTAGAACTTGAGAGGGCATTGAAAATGATTGAAAACACTGCAGTTCCAGGTGCAAATGCAGTTAAATAAAAAAATAAATTACTGTAAGTTAAAGTATTTACAGGCAATATTTGCGTGGGAGTTTAACACTTCAAATTAAGAATGGTTACAGTAGACTGCTTAAATGATTTATTTTAATATTAACAAACTGATGTAAGACATTCTGCTGTGACGCAGTTCATTTATCAACCATTGCAGTGCACCATCTAGTGGTCAAGTTTGCAGTTGCATGCTAAGCTTGATGTGTAATTTACCTGGTCCTTACAAAGTACTGGCTTCATCCAGATATTCAGTATGTTATATGTTAAGTCCAGCTGATAGAATGATGCTGCGTTGTGTAGAAAAGTCTACTTCTTTTTGAAAACTTGCACTTACTCCTATGATTACTGTGGGTTTACAGAAACGCACTTATTCGAACCACCATGCAGCCATATTGTGAAGACTTCAGAGGTGTTTACACTGTAAAGTGCTCTCTTGAACTGTTGAAAAAAGTTCATTAAACAAAAACAGGAAGTTTTTCGAAAGTTGCGCTATATGTGCCAAACCAGTAAATAGAAATCTCCATTTTGAGAAAGCAAGCTGAACCGGTTGACAGTAGATTACAAAGTAGAAATAAAACCAGCCAGCACATGAGGGTCACTGGTTTTTCTTATGTTTTGTAAGAGTAAGGTTAAAGGTTCATCATCTAAACTGTCAGTCCCTGCAGATACAGTGTAGAAATATTCCAGATTGCTTAGAATTGGTCATAATAGAAGATTGATTTTTCTTGTTTTTGGCCTCTATTGCTTAGTTAAATCCTGTTTACTATTGTGTGCCTTGCTTGAGAATGGCGTGGCACTTACTGTTGCAAGGACTTGATTTTTAAGGTTAAGGTTTTATTTAATGGTTAAAATGTTTGCTTTCAAACTGGCATTAAACAGCTTTAAAGTTTGAGCTGACAAGGGTTCATAGAGACACAGGCATGTTTTAATTGCTGAATGACGGTCATTTTTGTTTTGGACATACAGTATGTGCTTTCCTTGTCCCTCTGATTAAAGTTTGTCAAGCTCTTAGGAACCGTGGGGAGATGTTTTTTTCATCTGCAGCTTTTAAAGAGTAATATGAGTAAAAACTTCAAGGAATACAGTGGATGATCTACAAAAATTAGTCTTTATTTACTATAAATTGTGCGTCAGCAGTTTCATGAAGCACAGGGTTGATCTCAGTTGTGACTAAATAGCTGAAGTAAATCTGTCAAAGCTTTTACAGTATCATCCATCATATACTAATTAAAGATAACATTGCTCCTGATAATGAAAGGTATCAGAAACAACATCTCTTTTAACACTCAAATTTGTTACACCTAATAGTCCGGAAAAATATAATATACCACCAAACATAAAGATCTGCTTATAGCTGCTCCAAATGGATGCAGAGTAACACAAAGAATAACAGTGTATTAGTAATTAAAAAAAAGAAAAACCTGATCATCCTAATATACAACAAGAATCAAAGAGAAATCCAATCATAATCCAAAAATTCACAACCACAAGCGAAGCAAAAAGTCCACGAAACGAATGAGATACATGGAGCTGGGACAATGAACCACTCGAGCTACATCATGTAAACAGACCCTGAAATCACACAACAGGCCTCTTCACATCAAATACATGACTGGAAACTTTGCAAATCTAAACATCTATATCAAAAATAAAGACAATGCTTTTGGAAACAACTTCTCCAGCAGCATGTGACGCTTCACCTCTAAGTGGTAATTACTATCTTCTGTTTTATTATGCCAAAAATTAGAGCGCTGTATCAGTTTGGGATCACTTTGTGAATTGAATTAGTTGTGCTACAAAATAAACTCAAAATTAACGGATGTGATTAAAATAAAGTTAAAACATTAAATGAAGGTGAGAGTGATTTTAAAGAAGGGCCTGGCCTTTTTCTAGCACATGCAATTGCTAGCAAAAAAACTAGTATACACATGAGTTTAGGAGTGAAGTTTGTTGATGTGTGGTAATCTAGATAAAATGTAAAACTGAAAATTTGCTTATCATGGGCAAGATTCCTGGTCATGAGCAGAATAAAAATTACCTTATTAGTAAAAACAACTTAAGTGTGCCATTATAAATCCTACACACCGAATAACTGGAGGTCATCAAACCCTTAAAGCGACAAACATCTTTTTCCAATATTTAGTTTAAAAAGAAATCAGCATGGCAGGGATTTAATTTGTAATTAATTTTGCAGCACAATTTTTCCAAAGCACAAAGCTTACCCAAACGTTTCTGTAGCACTGTTTTCCTGTATGATGTAAAAATAGATCTTTAAATAAAATTGGCATCATTACTTTTATATATGTTCATAAAAAGAAGCGATTGAGACTTCTAATGTCCAGAAAAAAACTCTACAGCACCACTAGAACATTTTCATGGATAACAGTAAAATCATATTTTCATTAAAGGTCATAATAATAGATCTGTAATAGAGTACTTAAAGAAAATACAAGTAAAAAAAAAACAAAACAGTAAACAGCTGAATAAAAAAAGTTTAGACGTCAAAATATCAATAATGTAAGTGCAACATCAGACCTGCTGAAATGGCAAAAAGTAGAGAGGTTAGGCTGTTACACAATCCAGAACACAAGTTACAACATCCACACCAAAGTATCACACAAATCTTCAAAAGCTCTCAAAGAAGTATAAAGAAAAGCAAATCAAACACTGTAATTTAAAGTTTCAACCAAGGCATATAATGGTAAGAACCGTTTCAAAATAAGCCACTGACTCGCTGAACAAATATCGACCTTTACTCGGGAAAAACATTCTCACAATTCAGGCTAAATGAACACAATAAATTATAAATAGTGTAAACAAAAATGTCAGTAGCTGCTCTTACAGTATTGTGCTGGTCGTCAATGGAACCTGTACTTCCGTGCAGGTTTGAGGTTGACGTACGTCTTCTTCATGTCCTCTGTCTCGTTCGTTTTCACGAGTTGATATCGCTCTCCTTTTGTGGTGACCACTTGGTTGCTGTGGTAACGAACTAGCTTCTTTGGAGCCTGTGAAAAAATAGATAGGCAGTTGTATTTGATTAAAAACTGTTGCCAAAAGCTACAAAGTTAATGTGGAGTACAAACAAATTGTTACATCTTTGGGGGCGACGGGCCGGTGTGTTTTCTTGTCCTCCTCTCTGTCCACTAACATGTATCTGTGGAGAGGAAAATTAGAGCAACAAACCCCAGATAGATAATTTTAAAAATGAAGCACTGTTAAAAGTTTATTTACCAGTAAAGGTCCTTACACACCAGGACCATTTTTGTCGTGCGATTATTTTGGACGTTAATATTTTTTTTTCGAACCTGTATCCTGTCAATACAAGCGTTCACATCAGCCACGTTCTCCTGTCCTGAGATATTGCAGCATTTATTTTTTTGGATCATGGTTGATTTTTTTAAAAGTCTTCCTTGAGATGCGTCTTTTCCCCCCGAAAAGTTGCAAAATCGCATCAGGCTCGATGTGTATAGTCAGGCGCGTCAAAATTCACCTCAGAATATTTCGTAATTTCGTTTTCTATGTTCACGTTGACCCCGGTGTGTAAGGACCTTAAGACCGTTTGAAGAGTCTAGCTGGATATAAGACCTGAAACAAGACATTTCTGCTCTCTACTCACTTCTCAAGGATGCTCTCTTTAAGTTTTTGGTCTGCCAATGAGGAAATGTTCTTCCCCTGGTTTACCTGTGGTGAAAGGATTCCATCAGAGAGATATCGGATACACGCAACCAGGGCAGTAGTTACAATGTTAATGTGAAATGAGGTTTTTTCTCCTTGCTGCAGACACTTACATTGAGGGGACTAGGGTTGAGTTGGATGTCGCCCTCTATGATAAGACGCACAGCTTCCTCCATGTCTCCTTTGGCAATAGAGAGGGCGCTGCGAGCTTCTGAGAGACTACATTTAGGAAACATCTCCAGCAGGTGCTGCTCCTGAGCCTCCCATTCAGAAACTTGTAGCTAAAAAAATTACTCATATTAATATGTAATCTCTATTTCTGTGTGGAAACAAAGATTATCTGCAGAACAGGCATGAGTTATAGCTGTTATAAAATGATTGAAATAACCTTGGCAGCAGCGCCCTCTGTTGGATTTTCAAGGCACTGCGTTTCTCTTCCAGGTGGTTGTTCAGCAGTCATGGTGGTGAGTTTAAGGGAGATCTCTTCAGTTCTTGTTTTAGATACATCATTTTGCTCATCAGCTGAAACATATCAACACACAGGAGCATACTTGATAACGGCGATCCACATCAGATCAGAAGCACATCTTAGTCTGCAGAGGTCATGCAAAGTCAACTAAGAACCAAAGTTTCTTGCAGGAGCTTCAAATGAGTAATACTTAAAGGATCAAAATGGTTTGTTTTCATGACTCTTTATGTAAAAATTAAAATACTCTACTTGATATTATACATAACTTAAAAAAAAGAATAATTACAAAGGTGATACCTGAGGTTCGAGCAGTGGCCAGTTTGGAAGCCAGACTGAACATCATTTCGCAGACTTTAACACTGAAAGATGAAAAAAAAAGTCAAAACAGTCGATTAAATCGGGTTGGTGTCAGGTCCCCTTTGACACTGCTTTGGTTCACACAGAATACAAAAGAAAAACCAACAATTTAAAAGTCTGTTTACCTGTCGATTTCTGCAAAACCAGGTATGTACGCTTCTAACATCTCTCCAAAGACTTCCACGTCGAAGTTTTCCTCTACACTCTGTTGAGAGCCAAGATCCTCCAGGACTCCAGTGATGTAGGACAGAAGAACATCATCCAGCGTGCTGAAAAATGAAGGTAAAATAAAAGTTTCACTACAACTGCTTGAACCAGACTTTTATGAAGATGCAATAGAAGAGCTGATTTGTTTACCTGAGATCTGCATCAGGAATGTAGGTCTGGATGAATTCGTGCAGTGCGTTGTGGATGATTTTGTGGAGGTCCATTGCGTTCTTCTACAGAGGACATATGAAGTTAGAGGTGTTGACTAGTAGTGACTACACACTTTTAAATAACCGCACTAGCAGTTGTCGTCCACGCACCAAACATGGCACACACTACCCGCTCACACACGTACATGGAAATGTTACAAAAGCGCTTCTTATGAAAGCTTGGTTGTGAAAGCTAGCATGGCGCTGCAGCATCTTATGATGTCATTGCGACGGTCGTCAGATCTGACCTGCAGCGTGAACTTAAGGACTGACTGATCTCAGGGTTCAGTTTGAGGCAGACACCCCCAGACAAGTCACCCAGGACGCAGCAGTATTTCGCTAAGAACCCCACTTTGCATCTTCGTTTAACAAAGTAAGTTAAATGGTGTTCGTGCAACTTTAATAGCAGGACACCAAGCACGATAAATCATGCCAAGAACAGCGTTAGTTCCTATGTCCAGTGCTGGAATTGCTTTGACTGGGACATTACCTAATGCTACTTATTAGCTAGCTGTTTGGTTAATTACCAATGGGGCGGCTACGTTGTTATTATCAAACCCGCTGCGTGGGGTAGTCATGTTTTCTTACTCATATTACAAAGTGGAGAGTTAAACTGCTGCACAGTTTTAAAAATTTAACCTGCTTTCTACACTAAAATGTTTATCTCTGCAGAGATATATCAGTATCTTGTTGGCGATCCAGCGCTAGCTAAGTGGGGGCTAGTCTGCTAACCAGATAACGGTTTACGGTTAATAGACGGACAAATCTCGTTTTTCGCATATCAGAGCGACTTTACACGGAGTCAAACTTACTGTGGCAAATTACAGGAACATGAAGTTTCAAGTTTTCCCCAAATGTATGAGGGGGGAAGCTGGTCAGTGCGGTGGTTACGGGATTTCTATCGGTGATGCTCGTTAGCCCGCACGATTCAAAACATTACGACGTCATTTCCGGTGGTTGTGACCACCCACACTCTACTAAAGTACACTTGGGTTAAACTTTAAGTTTAAAATGCTGTTTTCATGCTATGACATCCTCTATAGTGGTTGTCATAAAAACTAGAAGTAGGTCAGCATCTTACATGAGTAAGCCAGTGATTTATTTTTACACCAATGCAATGCATAAGTGCAAAAATCAAATGCAATGTTACCATGACTGAACACATGCTTTGACTCATGTAATTCATTCACTTCGTAGTCTTAAATAAGGATAAGGCTCCTCCCGATGGACAATTTTAAAGGGACATTCCGGCGTAAAATTAATTTAGGGTTAAACACACTGTAACCCTGAGTTAGACGTCCCCTCAAGAGATTAATGTTGGTGACCACTTGCTTCTCTAGTTAAACCAACTGTAGTAACGACCGCACGATAGCAAAACACAGCGGTCTGAGGACTCATAAACAAACCTCAACCAAAGCGCCACTCTATAGCCACAAATAATGCTCAGAACAGCACCTAACTTCATCAACAGAACATAGAGGGTCCTGGCCACAGCACTAGCCATCAAACAGATTTTTAACTTTGCCTAATTTCTTTAGCAAAGAGACTAAACACAACTCATCTACTCTCTTCCAGCAGCTGCTTGTTTGTAGCGAGACCTCGGGTGTATTGCTATTGTGTGGTCATTACTAAAGTCGGTATAACTAGAGAAGCGGTTGGCAACATTCATCTCTTGAGGAGGTGTCTAACTCGGTGTTACGGTGTGTTTGACCCTACATTAATTTTACACCAGAATATCCCTTTTAAACTCAACTGAACTTTAGGGATATACCACTTCTCATGCAAACAACCATGCAGCTAGCTCAGAGTGCTTGACAAAAAAAGAGACAGAACATTGAATAAATTTAAAAGGTTGACATTAATACTCGAATGAATGAAGAATCAAATATAGGCTACTTTGAATAGAAAAAGTCATATAAATTGTGTTAACATAATAGTGATAGTGCAGTCTGAGGCTGAAAAGATGGAAGACGTAAATCTGAGTTGAAAGCCAGATTGAAAAGGTAGTTTTTTAGTTTACTTTTTAAGAATATATATAAAAAAACGTAATGTCCAGAGAGTGTCAGAGTTTAATCGCACAAAAACCGAAAGCTCTTTGGCTGGTGCTTATGAGAGACACACGAGGAACGTTATAGTTGCACCCTAAAGGCAATCTTTGATTTCTGATCATTTAAGTCAAGCTAAAAAAAAAAAAAGCCCCTCTCCTCCCATGTGAGGATTTCCTGATACCTTTATACCTCAATGAAAGCTGGATCTTAATCGTGGCTTTCACTGTTGACTAGACAAAATTTGGCACCAACAGTTTGTCAAGAATTTGACAAATTTTTGCGATTTCACAAATTACACCATTAAGGTACCCATGAATAGGGACATATATCCAGCACAACATACTATTTATTTTTTTTAATTTGAAGCAATAAAATCAGGTGTCATGAGCTATTTGTCACAGGAGTAATAGGAAATAATTATTCTCATGTTTTGGAAAAAAAATGAAAAAATCAAAACAAGCTTCCATATCAACAGAAAGCTCATTTGGTTAAAATTTTCTCCCCCCCTCTTGAAACTCTTTTAGTATTTTGTCCCTTGACTCAGTTTTGAACACTGGTCTAACATGCATTAGTCCAGCAAATAGCCTACTCTCACTTGGACATTATCTTATATCTTTTGCCCTATCCATACATAGTTGATGATCGAGGTGTTATCTGAGGCAACATCAATGATGTCATCAGATCCTGCTCTCAGTTACCTCCGCCTGTGTTGGTATTATAGCAGATATGTACCTGTAAAACATTAATGTTCATTCAATTGTTTTCCCGCTCCCTTGGCAGTATCCCTTGCCGGCTGTAGTATTTCATGGGGAAATATGGTACACGCTGCAGATAAAACAAGCAAGAACAATTCTTAACTTGGCTGAACTCTGTTTCAACTCTGAGTCACGGCTAGACAGGTGGGGCTGAGGTATCGAGGCAGAGCGTGTACGATGTACAGTACAGGAGAGCATCTCAGTTTTCTCTGCGTGTTAACAGCTGACACTGAGAACGTCCTGCTCAACGTATAATGCAAACTAATACTCTTGAACATATTCACTCCCATCATTGTACTGTAATTATATACTCACGCTTGATTGGAAATTGTTGTGCCAGGCAACATGTTCTTACACTTTTACAAATAGGTCAAATCGGCTGATTATGTGAACTGTGGGGTTACATTAGGTCCTATAGAAATACAAATCACCAAAGCAGATCATCCAAGCTGTTTAATGGTTGGAAAAAAAAATTCAACAAAATATTATTTATCATTCAATCATAAAGCATAAATTTGTTTCCCATTTTTCTCTTTTAATAAAGTAGTCTAACACTAGATGGCAGCATTGAGTTACAAGTGCCAGCAGGGTCTGGTCTGTGTCTCATATAGGGGTTTACTGTTGCCTCTTTTAAGCAGAGAGAGAACAGAAAGAAGATAAACTGCTCATATAAGATTCACAAAATTCAAACAATATTAACAGCAATTCAATAATTTAATTCTACTACTTTAATTTAATTTTACTGGTGCAGAAATAACTTTCCCATAAAACATAAAGGTCAATAGTTCGTAATGAACAGCATAGTTGCCCTTAACTTTGATCCAGACAGGTTTTATACTAGAGAAGATATGAGTTTTTTGTGCTATTTTCCTGGCTCTATCAGGGACCATAAACCCAATGATTTATGCTTGTTCATTCTTTTGATTTTCCTATTCGAGTAAGAATTTCCCAACTTTTCACGCTGAGGTTAAGTGGTATAGGTCTACATTTCCATCCTTTTGTCAGAGTGACAGAGGCAGACAGACATGAACCTACTGGCCACTGAAAGCATCCTGATCCAGAGACGCTCTCATCCAGTTTTTAAAATTCGACTAAAGTCACACATTTGGAAAAAAAAAAGTAACTCAGGTCCTTTAAAATATTTTAAATGTTTATCTTGTAGGTGAAACTAGCCAGACTCTGATGGTTCAAGCATGAGAAGATAAAGTTCAAAATATTCTTTTTGGATGACTATTTGAGACTTTACGTCAATATTACCACTACAAACAAAGATCCTCCTGAGAGACAAACAGTGTTCAGTTATTTAACTAATTTGTAGTCTAATATTAATGCACAAAAAGCCAAATGAACCTCACTCATATATATGTTATATATTAACAAGGAATCTGTTGTACTCTTAACCTCAATGTCTTGATGAAGGAGGCCCAAAACAGAAGAAAGATGGAGTTTTAAACAGTTACAAAACCATTTCTTTAATATTGTTTTAATCATGTCTGGAACTATGTTTTTAAAATACGATGCAAGTTTAAAGTAGCTCACATCACTTAGTCCTCAGAACTTGTATAAAGGGAGAATAAACTGGAAAGCAGTGCCTTCGCTTTTTTTTTCTCTTTGAAACTCAAGAACCAACCTGTTCATTTATCTTATTTTTATTCAAACAATGAGGAAATTATTTTATGATGTTTAAACTAACAAGTTACACAGTAATGTAAGAGAAAGCCAAACCTTAATATGTGCTAATGGTATGTTTACTCATTTCTGCTCCTATATGCCAGCGCACAATCAAGCATGTCATGCAACAATGTCGAGGCAGGGCACATAATGTGGATATTGTACTGGTGGCACAGATTTCCATTTTCACACAGACAATGGGGAGTGGGGGTAGGCTCAGGGGATGTCTGAGCAAAGAGATTTCTTTTTTCTTACAATTCTCATCAGAGTCACCAAAACACTGAATGATTTATTGCCAAATTAATTACCCTTTCCCCAACTTTAGACAAAAAAATGCTCCGAGCCGTCTGTCGGAGACACATTATTCTATTAACGTTCGATTTGCAGTTCAGCCAGAGTGACTTCATATTTAGATTTTATTGTATTTTCTAGGTGAATGTGTGGCTTTGCATCCACAATAGAAAGGCAAAGAATTATCAAACAGATGAATCACCTGGGCTGCAGAGATGTGAGCGGCACGTTAATAGGAGGAAGAATTTGTTAAAAATGTTTTAAACACTTAGCAAATCTGTATCTGTAAAGCATCACAAAAGGTGCGTTTAAAGAGTGAATTCAAGCACAGAAATGTTTAATTAATTGAAACTTTTTACAATATAAGGCCTCCTTCACAATCATAAGCTATCTTTCATCAAACCGAAGACTTATCAATAGTTTCACCTCTTTCTGCAAGGTCCTGAGGGTCTTTTGATTCAAAGGTTATTGTGTTGATTTTAACAAAAGTACAGTATTAAAAACACCCGTGAGATTAAAGTTTGCATATGCTTTTAATTAGATTTCTCCCTTTATTCTCTTTGCTTTATCAAAAAGTGAAGGTTAGTGACTCAAAGAGGTTTGGAGTGTTAGCGTGAGATTAGCTGGCTGGTTGTTCGAGGGCGCGGCTGACCTGGTCCAGATCCGGGCCACCTGTGTGGGCTGTAGCCGGCCCTTCCGTCTGCCTCTTTTGTGGACTTCAGTCGTCATGGAGTCTACTGACCTGTTTCCCCTCTGTTAAACTTCCCTAAACAGACACACAGGTACAGATTTTGTACAGAGAAGAAAATGAGACGAATTCAGGGACAATAAATCCCTGCATCAAATAAGAAACAGAGAAAAAGTCCAGTATAACAAATCAGAGCTGTTGAAATATCCGGCTTATGTGCAGTCAGTGTTTCTATGTCCCTTGTCCCTGTCTGTGTGCCTCTGTCCAGCAGTCGATAGGTTAACCTGCCCCTGGCATCCATCTTGTGTGGCCCCCCTCACATTACCATTGATCTGAGGGAAATAAAGAGCACACGTGTTATTATATACAGCCCAGAAAAAACAGCCTCTCACAGTGATGGAGTGAACAGGCCAAATGTATGAAATATTGCCCCTCCGACATATTCCGTCTTCCTGTCAATAGTGCAGCCTTTGCCCACAAAACGGATCAATAGGGACTTATCTTTTCATTATAACACATAACGATGTTGTCTGTTGTCTTTTTCTCATATTGAAGTTCTAATTCTGTCCCTCCGCCTTTCTGAATCATCCATGCTGATATGTTTATTTGGACATGCCTTTCATGCATTTTTTTTTCACCCCCTAAAGAAAGAAATAAAACTGGTGTGGGGCCTGCTAGTCAGAGACGTGGCAGTTACAAATTTACATGTTGGATTTCTGGACGTTTCTCTGAAGCTTTTGGGGGTCTCTCATGTGTGAGACTGCTCAGCGGAGAGAAGACACCCCTCTGTAAAAACATCTGTTGTGGAAATGGCTGTCAGACTCCCTTTTGTGGGCTCCGTCTCTTCTTTGCTCAGAGATTGTCATTTGTTTTGATCATTTATGTGGGTGAAAGAATAATGATCAAAAATCTGGAGGATGTACTCGTTCAGTCGAGCAGTCTACAGTTTGGTTTCTGTAAGGATTTCTTCTCATTTAGTGACTTAGTGGTCTGCACATTGAGACACACCATGTAACGATGTATTTCGGTGTTTATGTAAGCTATAATAGACTATAAGAGACAGTTATAGGTGCAGAAATATTCACTCTACTATGTCGCTTGTAACTTAGTCCTCTGGACAAGCTGCTTAAAGATGATAAAAACACTCTTTAATTATTCATGATGTGGTGATTGTTATCATGTGCGAAAGAAGTCACCGGAAAATAGAAAACTGGCTTGTCTCTTATTGTTCAGAATACTTTCATTGTGAGGAAATGCAATTTTGGGTTAGAAAATGAAACACGCACGTCTCTGTCTGCTTTGTACCAGTGAATAAAACAGTCAACCTAATCAACTCAAAGCTGCTTTATTAAATGCTGTAAACAAGAACAGCACTGTTGCTTGATATTGATCGTAAATAAAAGCTTTGTGTCTTGACTTTAATTTTTCAGAATGGCCCTGGGTGTCCACTGTCCTTCACGTACACAGCAGGATGTGTTTGGAGATCAGCTGTGCGGTGACGCCACGAGGCACATCACCTCCATGTTCTCCCAGGTCAGTTTTCATTTATCTTACTCACACTGCTCTCTCAAAACATCAATTTTCATGTTTCCCCACATGAAAAAACCCTGAAAAATAACACATTTATATGCATGACAATGTAAGAATTGCATTTTGATACATTCAGTCACATATGAAACTTTGGGGCCAATGAAGGAAAAACTTTAACCACTTTCTAATCAAGCCAGAGTTCAGCAATACATCTACAAGTCAAAATCCAGGCCTTATCATGTCTTCATTTATATTTCTGAAAAATTAAAAAATATTCCGAGTGTTGAAACATTCTATTTATGGGCCATAAGATCCTATTTTGAGCTTTTTTCACTTGTTTTAAAGCAAAGCATCAATTTCCAACACAGAGAGTCTTTTCTTAGTTCAGCCACAGGCTCAACCTCGAATGTCATGTTGGTTTGAAGCAAAATTTTCTATTGGCATCAAATTTTATTAGATTTTTTTGGAAAATTAACAAGATAAGGACCTGAGCAAAAGTTTGAAAAAGGAAAAACATGGGGAAAAAAATTGGAAAAATAATCAGAGATAAAAAAACACAGACACTAAAACAAAGACTGTCAGTAAAAAAGGCAAATTAAAGTAAAACTGATTAATAATGCAAACATATAAACATATTTAACATACGTGAGAAAGTGAAGCTGTTTAAATCACTTTAAAATGCAGTAGTTAAAGGTAAGAAGTCATTTTACTAGACCTTTAAGTGAGTCAGTAAAAATTGATTCTCAATAACTTTTAGAGTCACTTTAAATTTTTATTTCTAAGATGATTTAATGATTTGATACAACAGGAGGTGAATTCTATTCAAATAAATCACAACAGAGACCTCATAAAAGGTAAACAAAGGTGTAAAATCAGTCTGCATTTCTAGGACTCATAACAGTGAGATCCCTGTGTGAATTAATGGGCCGCCTGTTTGTGATTCTGTGATTTTCCTGCAGAACAGGTGAGTGTTTGAGCAGAGTGACACCTCATAAACTAGCTGATAACCTGTTCCTGTGTCTTCTTATCTGTCTTCCTGACAATCCCTGGTCCCTGAGCGCGTTGTCGTTTCCCCTTGGGCCCATTATCAGATCCCCTCTGTAGGCTCCCTCAGCAGCTGCAGTTATTGTGGAAGACTTTAGTTTTATAGCACCATGATGTGTGTGACAACAGTGGCTTTTTCATGAGTGAGTGCATATTGTCTTTTTGTCTCTGGGATAGTCGCTCCTTTTTCCGTGTTTTACTGAGGGGCAATTTATCTGTCTCGGAATAGAGTCTAACAGAAGTGAAGCTATGAGAATCAAATGTTGAATAAAGCGGAGATAATTTTCAAACATCATATCGTTAATCATCTTTTTCCAATCATGTCTCAGCACCTGATCAGCCGGCAGACTATCTGTGGGAAGCGTGTTATCTCCTTCTGCCATTCATGTACACATTTATTGGATTCCAAGTCTGTGGGATCAATCTTTTGGCCACCAGAGGAGCATAACTAATGGCAACATTAGAATGGCTTTGTGAGAGGGACTGGCCGGATGCGGGTTAACCAAGCAGGAAATAATCTAGGATTTTATATCCTGCATGAATGGCCACAGGATATGCTAAGAATAAATTAATCCCCCCCAAAATTTTAGCAGAGAGGTTATCTTTTGCATGAAACAGTTGCAGCGGGGCGGGAGGTTGCTTTGGCCAATTTTTCTTCCTAAAAGGGGGGTTGTTTGCCCCCCATGTGCACACATGTGGAATTTCTTGGTAGATAATGACCGTCATCTTAATGCTCAGCCAGGGTCAGAGTATCTATTCTGTGTCTGACCGCAGGTCTAGACGGCCTTCCTCTGCAAAGCCTTTTTCCCCCTTCCTCTTAAAGCCCCACTTCTATTTTCCTGTTGTGCCCAAACAAGGATTTTATAAAACGGGTGACATCGCCACACAAGCTGTCTGCAGAATCCCCCTTAATTAAAGTGACTTTTAAAGCCTTCCTCAGACACTAATAAACCCCCTCTCCATTAAGATCCTCCTAATTACTGTGTGCAAAGGAAAGGGGGACACACAGAGACAGACAGTGTGGAGGTAAGCCTGCTGGCATTTGGCCCCATAAGCTGAGCGCCACACAAAAGAAAATGTCCCCTGGGTTACCCATCCTACCAGAGAGAGTCCTTTTTTTCCGAGCACGCTCCCCCTCTCCTGTTTTCCCCTTTATGAATGAAAGTATATGCCATGTGGGGCTGACAGTGTCCATTCATGGAGCTGCTGGAATGTGTGAATAAGGCTTTGAATGAAGCGGGAATCACAGCCACCTGATCAGTCATGAAGCAGTCTTTTGACGTTACCATTGTTTAAATGTGCATGGTGGAAGTGAGAGTGCTGTCATCTATAAACAGTCGTTCACTCATGTGAGGCTGATTAGAAGAGATAGATATTCAGTATAGACGGACAGATGCAGGATCCTCTCAGGGAGTATTTTTAATGATGTTTTCTGCTGAAACTTTGCTGAAAAAGGCTCTTTGGAAAGTTTATTTTCCTATAAGGCGACTTCACAAAGTGAGGACTCGAGACTCTCATATCCTACCACGTCACACTGAGTCACAAGCACAGAGAGTGTGGACAGTCGCTGCAGCGCCGGTGGCAAAGGCCTGCCTAGAAAGGTTAAACGTGTTTGGTTCATGTCCCGGTCTGCAGATTAATGACATTAACGAAGTTTCCATTAGTCCTGCAACCGAGGGAGACATGGGCGTCCATGCGGAAAGCCACATGACCGAGGAAGAGATAAGAGAAAATGAAATACGTCTTCGTGGAGACAAGAGGGGCCAGGAAGTGCCACTCCAAATTAGCCGCAGGCCCAGTTTGTTGTTACTTCATTAACCCAACAGCCCCAGGAAAAATAAGAGGCAGGGTCATAACCTTTAGCAACAGGGAGGCCTGAGATTTGTAAAGAGAGGCTTCTTCAAACTTCAGCTGGATGCAGCTATTGACACAACGCAGACTAGTGTTTATAGGGGGAAGTTATCATTGAAGGGAGATCCATTCACACTCACCACTGTCAACTTTTTAGTTTTGAAGCTCATGAAATAAGAATTAATGAAGTACAAACAGCTTTTCAGAAATAATTCTGATAACTTTTAACTTTTACTTCTGACATTTAAACACATTATTTACCCTTTTTTGGACTCAATTCTACATCACACCTGACATTTAAGCTTTAAAGCATGTATCGATGACATTTTTGTTCCCCGATTTTCCAATATCAATTCCACTTCAGATACGTTTGGACAAAGTTAAAGTAAAAATTTTTAGTATAAACACCAATTTTTAAAATTATTTTTTAAACAAGAACAATTGAAGTTTGATGGCCACATGAGCAACTGTTAGAAATGTCTTTACAAAGTCTATTTATTACTTTGAACAGTAAACATTTAAAAATGTGTACTTTTCAATTTTACTTTCATGATAAATAACAGTATTAATTATACAAAGTATTGTTGACTACCTGTAAAGATAAGTTATCTTTCAACTGGACTGTCCAATCAGTCAGTGAAATGTTTATGCTCCTTAAAACAGATCTTAAAGCAACATTTTGAATGGTCAGTAAGTCAGCTATTACAGAATAAATCAAACAAAACTGATCGTCATAAAGAGGAATGAGAAGCGTCACAAAACGCTCCATAAAAAAAAAATCTACACCTAACAGAAGCATCAATAATGGAGGGTAATAATCGGCTTTTACACACACAAGAATACTATGATACACTTCTTGATCATCAATATTATATAATACACATTGTGCTCTGTTTGTCCCTGTCCAACATTTGGCTGTGTACTTCAAAACAGAGCCGAGCTGTATAATGCCGTCCTTGTTGTTGTAATGCGAGCTGCACAGTGGCTCTTTATTTGCAGGCAGTGACTTTATTAGAGTCTATGGTTACAGACCCTTGGAAGGAGGGCTATTGTATTCTCAGCCCTTCTCTGGCAAACACACCTCTGCAGCGCTCTTTCTTTGCAGACTCTCCGTAACAAACAGGCCTGAAAGAGCCGATTTTATTAACAGTTTGACTTTTAAAGTTTAAAAAATAAAGAATTTATTTATTTCATTTTTTATTCAGCTTGACAGATCTCATAAATGTGTTTCCTCTAGACGCATATTCTTGGTATCTACAAAAACAGCAGATTATCCCAACTTTGTTCCCAGTTTTCCCTCTCAGTCTCCCTCACTCACCAACTATAGCACACACACACACACACACATACACATACACACAAATACCTACTCAGCAACATGGATCGGCAGCAGCTGACTTGGCTAGAAACTCTGTGGCACAGGTAGACAGAAGCAGGGTCCAGCGAGTGTCTACTGAGGCTGCAGACACATCTGCCTGCTTGATTTCACCTGGTAACTGAGCATGTAGTATTTACTTCTCAGCTGAAATGCAATCAGGAGCTGCTAGCTGGCAAGGAAGCAATGAGCCTGTGATTAGGTGTCGTTTTATCCCAGCCCTTTTCTAAAAAGTAAGAAAGATTTTAACTTTTTGAGAGGAAACTGAACATTTGAATAATTTGTACTGTAGTTTTAAAGTATATTTTGGTAGATTTATATATGAGTTGAGCATTATTTGATACTTAAAGCTCCTGTGTGAAGTTTTTTGACATCACTGAAACAGAGGGAAATTCAAAACTGTACCTTTTCATAATATTCAAATGCAAAATATTCTAACACTAATAAACACTAATTTTAAATTTTTTGGTTATACAGAAAAACAAATAAACAAAATATTGACTTGTTTTTTCGTTTTTCGTTTACTAGAGTGAATGGAGTAATTGAATGGATGGATAGTACATGAACCCAAAAGCAACATGAGTGAACAGGGTGCCAACGTTGACACAAACCAAAAGTCACTCACATGAGCTTTAAGCAGTAATCATAGCATTTTTGGACTGTGTCAATATTTCAGTTGCAGATTTGCTTTGTATGATAATCAAGTGTTTTAGTATGTTATGATCTTCATGGTGTAGGAGTAACATTTTATAAAACATGGTTGAATGTGGGATAAAATCTCTTGTAGTGTGCTGTTTCAGTGCTGATGACCTGAGCCTCTTGAATTCCTGATGACAAACGTAATAGTGACACTGCTGAGGTTTCTCCGGTAGAGTGCTCCTCGGTGTGTGCGTATAAACATTAACATCCTCGAGACAAGAGTCACCTCTCTAATCTGGCTGAAGAAGTGTGTGGAGAGGCCCTTTATCCCTCCCTGCTTTAACCGGTTGCTCACAGAAGAGGCATTTACCTCCGCTAATGGGGAGTGAGTCTTTCAGCAGGGCCTGTTTGCCTCTCAGCTGTCTGAAAGAAACCTCGCCAGAGAGGAGACATTAAGAAAACCAGTTAATCTGGAGCAGTCTGTGTGTGTGTCTGCCCAGGGAGTGGACCCAGCTCCTTGGTGCCTTCTCAAGAGGTTTCTCTTCACAGCAGCAGTAGAAGTGTTAGATCAGCACTTTTCTCAGTTGCCCTGATAAAGACACTGAGGTTCAACAGATAAGTGGGCAGCCTCTCCGGTTATTGTTTTTTGAGTTTGAGGGCTGATTTATTAAATTAACCATATAACTTTCACAACTTGACTTTTATAAATTACTCAAACCACCAATTAATTCATCTTACTGTTATCATCTTGTCACCACAAGAAGTGCATTCACTAATTCATTTTAAAGCTCCAGTGGGAAGATTTTTGGAAGTTTATGAAATCGTCTGAATTTCAAATTAAAGCCTTTTCATAATTTTCAAGAGTCAAGACCATCAGTGAGAAGTTTGCCTATTTATATGCTGAATGTCATAATGTCTGAAACCAGTGCAAGGGGTTAGGTAATAGCCAGATATTCATTAATGATAGTTTTGACTGTTTTAAGTCAGCAGGATGAGATTTTGGTTGGAAGAAAATCCTTAAAAATGTCAAGAAGATAAACAAAGACTACTTTGTCCACAGGGGGCGCCACATTTAACACAAACCAAAAGTCACTCACAGGAGCTTCAAGGTCACATACTAACAGTGATGTTGTAATACACTGCAAACATGACTTTCTAGTGTCGCACGCAGCTTCATGCAATTGTCTTTGTAAAGCATCAGACCCTTTTGGTGAAGCTAATGCTTGAGGGAATCACCTTCTTCCAAACATTGCCCGATCTGATTCAGTCTTTGATGGCCTAAGAAACGATTTACTAAAATGTCTGGAATTATTTGGTCCAATACGATTTGTTTCGAGGCAAACTGATGGTTAAATCCCAAGAAATTAAAGACATAATGTCTTAATTTATGACCTGATACAATTGTAAATAAACCAAAGTCTTGATCACTCATTCATGCTCAACTGTGTCACTGTGATGGTATAAAAAAAAATAGTGTAACACTGAAAGAAATTTTGGCTCTTCTGTTCATATGGTTTTGAAGTTTTTGTTTAATTTTGTTCTTAAATTGAGAAACATTGATTGGTATTTTCAGATTTAGTGTCACAAAGCCATCACACTGAATAATACAGTTACCGTCATAGGCTGTATACTAAAGTATCATAATAAATATATATATATATACTCATTATAAAGTCATAATGAACAGTTTGCCAAGTAAAAGCTGAATGAATTGTGTGTGTGACCATAAATCACTTTGCCAATCTTGGACGTTATCTTACCAACACTACCTGACCAGCTATGCAAGCCAACACTTCTGTCATTAGAGGTCAAAGGTCAACATTCTAGCATCCAAGTAGATGCAGAGTTTGCTGGAAAAACATATCAAGATCTCAATAAACTGGAACAGAACTCTGGATTGTATTTTTAAAGCCTCTCACTGGTCATGTAATTTTAGTCCAGTTCATGCATGTTTACAGGGTCCTGTTTGTGTGTGTGTGTGTGTTTTGTGGCATATGTGTGTAAAACATAACAGAGTAAACATTTTTAAATTGAAGTACAGTCTGCTGCTTCTTTCCCTCTTTCAGAATAATTAAAGTAATGAAAGGTTTGGGAAGATTAAGACAAACGTTTATCTAGTGGGATCAAGCATGTTAAGTAAAATCCAAACCCTAAAACACACATACACACAGACATTCATGCACAAACACACACTAGTCTTGCCCTCAGGGACCTGCACCCACCCGTGCTCCCCAGGCACACAAACACGCATGCTTGTGTTTCAGTGTGTACGACAGATGCCGTATGGACTGTTGTATTCTCAGCAGTAAAGGAGGGCCCTGAGGGTCTCTGCTGTCTGACAGTACACCAGGGATCAGCTGTGACACAGTGATACCGATCCCCTCATGTCACACACACAATGCTGTCCCAACACCACTTGCTGTGTGTGAGCTGTGTTGTATGTGTTGTGGGAATTCATCATGTCAGATACAGCAGCAGATTATTCATGTCTGGATGATGTCTCGGTGACTTGATTGCATTTTGCGCCTTAAAAAGCAACATATCCCTTACATTTATACCCCTAATTCTTTTACACTGCATCAAAATTAAAGCATAAAAAATTTTGTTTTGTTTTGTTTTGTTTGTGTAATCTGCAGGCTTTCACTCTGTTCTGTCAGTGTCTGAATAAACGGAGAAGAAGCTTAGTGGTGATGTTGGTTGTACTGCTCATGTTTGGCCAGTTAAGGCCATGCTTTCCTCAGGGTGAGCAGAGTCTGACTCCAGTCACAACAGACACTCTCACTCCGTCCCACTTTCTCCTCACAGATAGACTCTATATGTGGGTCAAACAAATGAAATCATCACTGCAAAATTATCTGGATCTGTACTCTCGAGAGCTATTCTAAATAATTTTGAGGATGTGATTTCTTTACTCTTACATTTTGATAGGTACAATCTTTGGTGTTTTACTGCAGTACATTTCACTTATGTAAAATTGTATCACATTTTTTATAGATTATTTTGTTCAAAAAGATAATTTAAGACCTGCATACTCTTGATTTTTTAAATCATTATAAACAGCTAAGCTTCAATAGTTTATGTTGACTAATTTCCATTATTTTGCATTTTAAACAGTTTTAAACTCCATATCAACAATAAAACGCTGATCTTTCTACTGTCTTCAATCAGGAATCAGATGTGACTTTCCCACAGGGTTGACTTGGCTGTAGTTTACTCAATTAGCAATTGCTGTAGTGAACTTCTTTGATTTAGTTCAATTCACGTTCTCCAAACTCTTGCTCTGATGGCTTTCATGATTTGATTTTCCCCAGGCGTCAGTTTGTTTAGCTGCACCTGTATGCTTAGCTCAGAGGTGAGAGCTCAAACTCAAAGTGCTTTCATGACGTTTTGGATACAAAGAGCGTGTTACTTTTGACTTGTCAGCTGATCCAGGTGGGAGTCTGTGACCATTTCAATATAATGTTTCATTCAAAAGCGCAATGGTGTTATCATTACCCATCACGGTGGCAGAAAGCAAGAGGACGCTGCAATGGCTGCTCTTATATTTTGCTGCAAATGTATTTCTAGTCCTACTGAATTTATTGTTTTTGTATTGTTATAAATCTTAATTGGCTCATGCATATGCAAAAAGTTAATTTTATTGAGAATCTCTTCATTGGACAAACTCAGTGAAGGTCTAGAACCAACATCTTAGCAAAATCGATAACAGGGTTATTCACTTTTTTAATGCCTCACCTTTCTCTTTACACCTGTCCTGTGAAAAAGATGTGGAAAGCCTTTTTCCCTCTTTTTAAATCACATGAAATAACCTTTAGAAAATACGGTAACACTTTACTTGACACCTATCTCTGTAACGCATTATAAATATATATATAATGCATTATAATCACATTATAGCACTGTATAACTATAGTTATAAACACTCACAAATGATCATAATGCTTTATAGCAATAATCATAACACATTATAAAGCATTTTATCATGACTTACAAGGTCAGATATTATAATGTGTTGTGCTTATTGTTATAAAGCCTTATGATAATTAATGAGAGTTTATAATGATGGTTATACGAGTTTATAAGCAAATTATAACACATCATAAATATATGTATAATGCATTATCTATGAGGTCTTGGTCAGTGAGTTGTTAACAGTTATAACACATTATAATACCTGATAAAATGCTTTATAATGCGGTATGATTATTGCTATAAAGCATTATGATTATTTATGAGTGTCTGTAACTATAGTTATACAGTGCTGTGACGTGATTATAATGCATTACACATATATTTATAATGCGTTATGGAGAGAGGCATCAAGTTAAGTGTTACCGAAAATAGTATATTAACAAAAACTTACAGTTTATAACCTGTTATTTTACTAAATAAAATATAGTTTAAACCTGTATAATTGAAATTAAAGTAGTTAACCTGGATGTCTTGAAATTTCTAAAAGCAGATTATGATTAAAAATTGATGATAGTTTGTATTTAACAAGAGTCGTATTTTTTTATAAACTCTGAAACACTGCCACTATGTTGGGAATGAGAACTGGTTCTTGTGTCTGCTTCTCCCCTGGCAGCACAGGTCCATTTGCTCTGCTGGTTAGCCTCCCTCCAGGTGCAGACCTTCTCCCCTGAAAACCCACCATGAGCCTGTCAAATAAGAAAATCCAGGGAGATGTGTGGCCTGTGAAAGGGATATGCTCACCCTGCTAGTGGGCGCAGAGACGCTCCTTTGTTTCCTGGCATGTCTCACATACTTTCAGAGGCCAGATAAGCCCCCCGCACCATGAAACACTGCTTTATGTTTGGCCCCGGTAACGTCCCAGAGAGGGCAGAGTGGACTCAGAGGAGAGACCAGTCAGTGAGCAGGTAATATGTCCCCTGTGTCAAACCTTGTTAAAGGGCCAGATGCACATTAGAGCATTGGTTATGTATTCCTGAGGTATTAAAGCATACGCTGAAAATACTCCAATAACCAAACTCCCTCTCAAAATATTCCTCCCTCTGACTCCTTCACTGTCACTCACTTTTCCTTTATTTCCCCCGCTCTCTGAGGAGAAGGGGTGAGCTTGGATGGGGACAGGCGAAGGAGGGGTTTCTGGGGGGTAAGGAGGTGGGGGCTTGGCTGTTTCCTGAAATCGGATTAGCAGCTACTCTACACTTACATAGCAGGGACTGGGGCTTTAGTTTAGCCCGGCTCAAGACCACCCAAAAGGTAAACAGGTACATTACTGTGGGGCGAAAAGGAAAGTGAACAGTGAGGGGATGGAGGGAAAAAACTGATGAGAGATAGATACAGATTGAGTGAAATTAATACGTGACTGGTTGGCACACTAGTGAAAGCGGATTACTTGGTGCGGTTACTCTGAAATTAATTCCAAAAAACAGCTTGATAAAGCGGTGTGAATTTACAAATTTCCTGCAGTGGCACAAACAAAAAGAGAAAAAAATAAATAAATGCTAAACCAAACTTTCTTCTTCTTCAATTTATTCCGAACTACCAATTTGTGAACTTCCTCTCCTTGAACCAACTCTCTGGACCTTCACAAAAGACCTACATATCTCACCCCCAGCCCTCCCCGCTCACCAAGATATCTAAACCTCACACTGTCATGCTGCTGCCACTGCATCCCACAAAAAACCTCCTGAAAATTAGTTTTTGGCAAGCTGCTCGCAAACACACTCTCCTGTCTGCTGCAAGCCACCAAGGCTTTGTTAGGCAGGCCCGCTCTGAGCCCAGAGCCTTCAAGACCCCCATTATGCAGCAGGACTCAGCGGGGCAGAAAGAGCAGGAGTGTTTTCGCCAGTCATGTGGGCACACAGGCATTATACACTCTTCAGTGGCACTGTAACTATTTTGTGAGTCTTACAAACAGAGGGGAGGCCTGCACAGGCTGCAAGAAGTTTTGATAATTGGGAGTTATATAAGTTCCAAAATCCTCACAGGAGGATTGTAAGTTTTTTCCCTTCCTCTTACCCCATTGTGTGTTTTTGAAAAGCCCTGTGTGAAGGCCCCTCTGCGAAGGTGACAAATCCTTTGACATAAATCATTGTGTAAAGGTTAAAGGAATACAGTCAAGTGCTCAGGAAGAAGAGCCTCTAATTGCCTGCTTTGCTCCAGCTTTGCTGAGCTGTGTTTTACAAATTAAACAACAGCTCCTGCACACAGCAGAGCATTTGTCAGAGTGCACACGCGTCTCACGCACGCCTGTTTGTGTGTCTTTGTTTACATGAGCCTTTGTGTTAGTCCACTTATGTCTTAGTGTAAAAATAAGCTTGTTCAGAGCTCATGTCAAGATCCACCGACGTGCATATCGGCAGCAGCTGGGCAGGAATTGAGCTGGAGTTTTTACTAATCAGTGATGGACGAACTCAGGGCTCCCTGCATCTCAAACATCACTGCTTCTGTCAGGGGCCCCGAGTGCGGAGCGGGCGAGTTGAGCGGCTCTGATCAGCGCTGTTGTGCTATTTTTTTTTCTTCACTGAATCACACTGGGGAACACGTGTGTGTGTTTGAGATGCAGGGATGCATGGTGCTAACCCTCCCCTGAGTGGTAATGCATGAACTGTTAGCAAAACATTGTTGCTGCTGCTGTTGCCTTCTATGTTAATAAGACGTGGATTGGGGGGGGACTGGGGATGCACAGATGTAATTCAAGGTTGATATCACAGGATTCATAACGCACCTTGAGTAAGGAGTATCATGCACTTGGCAGACCTGAGGTGAACTTTAAAGTCTGTATGAAAGAGACAGATGAGAATATCCTAAGAGGCGGCGAGATTAATAATGACAAATTGATTTTTTTAAGTTACGTCTTTAAACTTGATTTACTGTTTTGAAAATCAAAATGCTGTCTCGAAAAATGTATTCTGTAACATTTTGACACAGGAAGACCCGCTAGCTTATTACAAGCCGACTGTATTTGTAATCGCTTCACCTTTTATGCAGCATCTCAAGCTGTCAAGCCGTTTGCGTCCATGTCACTCAGTTGTGTGTTGTGAGAGAGGAGTTCAGGCCCAGTAAATGTATTTATGAATGCATGATTTTGTGAAAGTGTGTACTTGGCTCTCCTCTTGCTGTCTAATAACTGGTAACCCCAGCTGTGAGTGTATGTGTGTGCGTGCGTTTGTGTATGTGTGTGTGTGTTTGTCTGCCTGTGTAAAGCTGAGGCTCGCCGGGGCACTGAGGCGAAACTTGGCCCCAGTCAGACCAGAGCGCAGAGGGCAGAGACCAAAAAGCCTCCAGCCGTGATTTCTCTCTCTCCCTCTTTCTCTTTCAATCTCCCTCTTTTCCTCTGGGATTTGGAAATAGGTAGCCCGGAAGATGTAACATGTATTTATTTTGTACATAACACTCAGGGATTCTTCGCCCTTGTATGAATGCACATATAGTTAATTTTTTACTGATGGAGAGGAGGTGTAAAAAACTTTAACTTTATGGGTCATATAGTGAGATTTGATGTAAACCGACAGAGAAAATGCATCATTTTTAGTTGCCTAGACCAATGAAAGGTCAAGTAAAAGACCTTTCCACAACACTGACAAATCAGAGCTGCAAAACAAATAAAACAGAAACGCTGATGAACACTGTCAGAGTTTAGGTGTGAAAGATTTTGGTACAAAAGCAAGTTAATAAGAATTACAGAGGGAGTGAAATCACCCTGTTCACTATAAGGCGACCTATGCTGTCATTATTGTGATAATTACAACCCAGCAGAGGTGAAGTGATGATCACAATCATGAGCAAAAGGTTCCTACTTCTTTAAATATGTCAAAGAAGTAGGAATTAAGAAGTTCATGACCTTCTCAGTCCAAAGCCCAGCTCTTAAAAATTATCTTAAACGTTTAAAATTCAGATAACAATATATTTTAAATATAGGAAACATCACGTGTGGCCTCTACTCTCAGGCAGGACAGTAAACAGCAAAATTCCCACCACTCCTAAAGGGATTTTCTCACTATTTTTGGCATTTATTACGTAAAAAAATCAGCCCTTTTTTCTTTCCTTGCATCTTCTCAGCGTGCAGCTCTACATGCTCAGTCCGTGCCTCCCTCTCCTCTCTATCCTCCCTCACAGTACCTTGAAGTGGCCTGAAGAGGGAATACCAGCATGAAGCCAGCGCTACTGGTTAAGCATTTCCATGCTGGATTTGAAATCAGATTATATAAGGGCCTTCTCAATTGACTTAATGGATTTGAAGCGACTAGATCCTATTAATAAAGGAATAAAAGAGATGGAGGGAACAAGAAAAGGGGTGAGTCTGCCCCCGGGGCTGTTGCCCCACCAGTGGGACTAGGAGGCTAATCTGCCATGCAAATTAAATCCTGCCTCTATGTGCTGGCCCCTCTAATGTCCCCCATTACACACCTTTTATTTGTTGTGATCTGCAAACAGATATTGTTCTGGCGACAGTCAGGGACATTACACTGGTATGGGAGTGATTACTGGGGAAGATGGGGTTTGCATCTTTTCTCTTCCACGCAGCTCTTTGCCTCAGAGGGATCAGCACTGGGAATATTCCAAAATGGTTCTCAGATTGGGACTGACACTCCTCTGGTATCGTCTCTGGGTGTTTTTCTTCTTCTCCTCCTCCTCAGGAATCCGCCTTCATGAGTTCTGAGCAGGATTATGATGCAGTTGAGACTGAGAGGTTTAATCAGTGTGAGTGGCAGTATTTGGGCCGTAACAGGGCTTACCTCACCGTTTTCTCTTTTGTCTTAATGAGGTTGTACTTTGCTTCATTCCTTGGAAGTCTACCTCTCACACTCTGTTCCTGTCGGGCTGTCAAAAGTAGCTGTATAAACACACATATGTCACATATGCTAATCCGATTTGCTCTTAATCATGACAGGGATTATACTGTACATACAGTAGCCACAAAGCTGTGAAACTTCCAATGAATTTTCTGTGTTTTCTAACAGGAAAGTTCACCTTCATGTGAGTCTGGCACAAGTTTACAGAGCAGTTTAGGACTCTCAGTTAATCAAGCCAAGTAAAATAAATGCTAAGAACTTTTGCATAAGTAGCTTGTAAGGTTTCCCGTTAAGGCTTTGTATTTGAATAATCGCTGCAAATGAGTGGATGAATTTCTGGCTCAATTGTTTGTTTTCCTGTGTATTGGCCGGTCGGTGGGAAAGTTTGCCTTCTTAGCTTGAAACAGTGTGATTAGAAACAATTAATTTCTTCTGGGTCAACAACATCATTAATCCTGTAAGTAAGAGCAACGGTGAGCAAACAAGTCCATGCTCACATTAAGTAGGGGGTGCATTGCTCACGGTTTTTAATAAAGTTCAGGAGGCCTGGAAGCAGGTTACTTCTGAGAAGTAAAATTCCTATGGAAAACACCTTAAATTCAGCTTCATGTTATTCAGCACCATGTTACTTGAAGAAGAGGAAAAATGAATAATATTTTTTTGTGTTTCATGCAAATTTCTATCAAAAATTAAAGACTTTTAAAAGCCATCAGATTTTTTGTAGTGATGCCTGAAGGGCTTGAAATGTAAGAGTTGATACAGATATGGACACAGTCATGATACAGTATAACATAATATAATTTTATATTATATGGAACAATATAGTGCAACAATACAAGACAAGTTGAGATAAAAACAGATAGATACAACAGGATACACTACACAACGCTACAGCGCAATATGATAATGACACGTGACCTTTCTCTATCCTAAGCTACAATACTTTACGATGCAGCATAATGATACAGTATGCTACGATATGATCTGAATGGACATGACACAGTGTAATACAGTAGAATATGATGGAAAAATTTAGTATGGCATATTACAATGTGGTTTGTTATGATGTGATTTGATACGATATAGATATGAGAAGTGTGTTGTGATACCGTGTGATGTGGTACTACACTATAATGCTTCGGGGTGTGACGCGATATGCAAAGAGGTGCTGTGCAGTGTTATTTAATGTAGTGTGATGTGGTTGGATGTGGGATGTAGTGTGATAGGCTACAGTGCAGTGCGGTACGGTAAAATACTGTACATTAACAATACACTTGTTTTTATTGGACCTTAATGCTGCCTACATTTACTGTGTTTGATTTCACAGTCTGAAACTTCAATTCAGTCCTGCCAATGATGGGGTTATAACTTTTAAAAGCCAGAAATTTTACTGTGTGCTTGCAGAATTTAAAGTATTTGACATGGCATTTGTTTGCTGTGAAGTGAATGTTATTTAAAAGTATATCAGACAACTCTAGCTGTGTTGTTGTCCTCAAATTGACACCAGAAATTGGACAAACAAGTGCTCAGCCATGGTACCTGTTGGCGACTCTTAACCCCAAATTTCTCCTAGTGGCAAAGACATCAGTGGGTGTCTGCAAATGTCTGTGATTAGTTCAAATTGATGAGGACTTGACATGGCATCCTCATTATTGTGTGAAAGTGGTGGTGAAAATGTGACATTTTGTGTGAGCTCTTTAGATATTGTCTGTCCTTTGAGATGCTGATGATAGATGATGTTTAAAAGGACAGCGCTGAATAATATGACCCACTAAAGTTTATGTCTTTTGGCGTCCTAGTCTTTAAAGTTTCATTTCCTCCACAAAGAGAAGAGAAACAAGTCTGCTGCTCATTGCTGGGACAAAATTCTAGATCTTAAGAAGTTGCAAGGATAGTTAAAAAGCATCAATTGTCAGAAATAAACTAAAATCTTCAGCTAGTAAAAAATGAGTATCACCGAGATCATGGTAAGACCCAAAGTTTTCCTTTCCCTTCATTTGTGCTCAGTGGCTGCGCTGTTAGGACTATAAAATTACTCTTAAGGAAAAGATTTACTTCCTCAATCTTTCTTCTTTCACATGGAGGTTAATGAGAAATCTTAACGTTCTCTTAAACTCCCGCTCTGTTACACGAAAAAGGGAAATCTGGAGCTGAGATGTTCTTCTACATGATAAATACAACCCTGGCTTCTCTCTCTCTTTCTCCCTGGTGTAGGAGGAGCATTATTTCTGTCCAATCACAACTGAGAGAACAACACAAGCACTGGCGTTCTTCAGGCTATTATCAGTGTTTGACTGTTTGACCAATCACTGCAAGAGAAACTGCTTCTTCAGGATAAACATAAACTAAATATAGAATATATCCTGTGTCTGTGATATCAACATCCTGCCAAATAAAAATGAATATCCACCTTTCAAACAAAGGTATGCCTGGGAGTGTGGACCTCATTTCAAGCACAATTAACTTGAAATGGAGTGCTGCAAGATCAATAGTCCCCAGTTGATCCAGAGGGAGCTGTCAGTCTATGGAAATGGCACACATATGGTAATATCCCCAGCTTAACAACAACTTAGAGGATTTACTGTTGCTGTTTTCAGACCCACATGAATAACAAACAGTGGGCCACCCCCTGGGAACCATTTTGTTTTATCCCAGCTTCAATTAATCTTTAAGGGGGAGGATACCATTCTGGAGAAATGGCAGGGGGGATATGAAGAGGGAGTTTGTAGATGTGAGAGGTACTCGGCTAATTATGAAAATCACAAATAGACGATTGACTCATGCAAATTCAATGATGTGTGTTCCAGTTTTTACCTACCTCGCTCCTCATCATCTAGTTTTCTCTCTCTCTCCATCATCACACAGACAGACAGACAAAGTGTGTTTGCACTTTGGTTTTCTAATTAGGAGAGTTTTGTCTCAGTGAGAGCTGCTATTGACAGACACACAGACATTAGCAGGATTATATGAGTTCTTACACTGATGAGTGTGATGAGATCTCAGGAGATGCGTATGGATTTTACCTCCTGCTGACTGCACTTCTCTCCTTTTAGCCTCCAGGCCAGAAACCTGTGGCATTAAAAGACTCCGGGAGAAGCGATGAGAGCGAGGATTTAGCTGGCGAGCACGTTACTGACACGCTCCAGTGTGATGTCATTAAGTCAGATTCGTTTAGCAGAGTCAGGTGTGGACGTGCAGCACGTATAGACAATGCACTGTCACCTAAGAGAGCGCTGGGACTCGGGTCAATTCAAAATTGATTTACCTCAACTCTGCGATTGATGAAGTCCGTTCAGGTTAAACTGCAGAGTTCTCGATTGGACATGCACTTTGAAGAGCTGCTATTGGAATTGACTTCTGTGTGTGTCGCCCTCAGCTCAAGCCAGGTGGGAAATTGAGTTACAAAAGCACAGCATGAGAGGGATAGATGACCTCTGTGACAGTTATACAGTGTGCGTCTGCTGTTCATAACTCCAGCTGGAGAAAGTGAGATGATTGAACTGAGAGAGAAAAAAAAACAGCAAAATCCATAATACTCTCTATACTCTTGTAGTCTTGGAGCAAGTTGAGTCCTTTTCAAAATAAAACTGTTGGAGAAACTGAGACACGACTTGAGGAGCTCTCTTAAAGGTAAATCACAGACTGATAGGTCAGTCAGATGTATGTAAAACTCTCTCTGTACCTCTGATTCAGGAAGCCAGGGTGAAGGGAGAACCACGTGACAGGCACAGAGGCAATTCCCTGTCCTGTTTCCAGGGAGTGTGTTGGACCAAATCTAAATTGCTATCATTTTGTCGCATGAAGGAGAAGTGATGGTAAAGAAATGAATACAAGCAGGGGAAAAAAAACACACCACAGCTCTGGCGCCTGTGGCTCTGCCTGACTCCAGCTTTTATCATGTAAATAAGGCGAATGGGACTGGGTTAGGGGGACAATTCCCTAGCCGCCACTTGGGCCAAATACAACTTTCCTGTGCTTTAGGCCCACAATGAGGGATGTATTTGGAGGCCTCAGTTTTAATTTAACTAGAGTGGCAGCTGAGGGGGCACCAGGGACCTCATCTCATGACTGCTACGATCGCTCGGGTGGAAGGAGGGGAAACCTCAACCTGGTGCCGTACATTTCAATGTGCAACATCTCTTCCTCCACAGCTCCATCCTGCTTGCGTGTGTATATGTGTGTGTGTGTGTTTATGCGTGTTTGACTGTTGCTCTCGCTCCGTAACACCTCTCTGCTTTCCCAGGGAGGTAACACGCTTCTTGCTCCGCTGTAACATTTGATTCATTACGATCAGAAACAGCACATCAGCCTCGCTTATTATGTCTTAAAAAATCCTCCCAGCGTCCCAAAGAGCAAAGGGGGAAAAAAAATCCACCAAAGAGGCACTGCCTTGAAATTGACAGCTGTTATTGTGCTGTGCCATCTGGTGCATTTGCCAGGGAACAGAAAAGGGTTAATATTCTATGATGTGTGGTAGCAGTGGCACAGCCTCTTTTGCACAGCCAGAGCGAAACAGCGTGTGCCAGGAGTCTGTGCACCCGATGGAGAGAAACCCTCAACATTAGCATGGCACCATATCAACCAATGTGGCTAATTTAATGGGTCAAATACGGTTGGGAGGATGCCAAAACAACAGCCGTACCAGCAGAATTTCTAACAGAGTGGAGAATCACAAAGAGAAGTTGCAGCTCGGTTTGGTAAATCTTATAAATCCGCCACAAAGAGCATTCCTCTAAATTTAATTTTCCGTTTTTGTTCAACTTTCATTTGAGAAATCGTCTTTCGCCGGCGTCTGCACATGTCCCTATGCATTTGTGTGCAAGTATGTGTTTTGCCGTGTTGGAGCTGTCATTATTCATTGACCACAGATGTAAATGGATCCAAACAATGGGACGCGCGTGCTGCGGGTAGCGATCGCCCCTGGAGAGGACAGGCCCTGCTGAAATTAATAGGCCTCCTGTGGCTAAATAAGCAATGGCGAAATAAGCTTAAATGTCCCCCGATCGTATGACAGACAGGGCCCAAGAATCCGAACAGCAGGTAGTTATTATATGAATTGCTGGAGAGGGACATATTGCAGACCCAACATGCCACATCAAAACCATCACACTGCACTGGATTTGAATCATTATGTTCCAGAATAGAAGAAAGCCCATTTGCTGCAGTGTTTTCCAAACCAGTGTATTTAAATGTTCTTCCTTTGTGTTTGAGCCTTATTTTGAAAAGCCAAATAAGTGTTTCCAAACAATTACTATTTTATCTCTCAATGAAGATGGAAAAGAGGCAAATCATGAGAAATTAAACGCATGCCTTTGTATCAGAAAATACCACATATGGGCTCTAATTTGCCCAGAGCCCTAATAGTTAATAAAAACTATGAAGAATATGGGTATAAATATGCTCCTTAGCTGGAAGCCACACTTCTTTGGGCCATGGGCTCATTTCTTATTCAGAGTGCTGGTTCACAAAATGGTCCAACATTTAAAGCAACTGGCAGGGGGTAAATTAGTGCTCCGAGATGAATTATCATACAATTAAGGACCCCAGAATGTGCCAAAAGACAAAACACACAATATGGAGGAAAGACCTACTTTCCCCTGAATTCATCAGAGACAGACCAGCATCGCTCTTCCTCTTTTAAAGAAACAGACTTTGTAGCTCACTTACACTCTGCTCGACTTGATCAATACATTTCTGTTCATAATGTGTTGCAGCTCATTTTTAAATGTCAGGCTGATCGTTCTGCTTGTTTCCAGCTATTCAGGTATTGATATAAACTCTGGAAAGCCATTAATTTCAATTGTATCAGGGGTGATTTTAATTTCTAAAACAGGATCATTCACAAACAAATCAAAGTGATGCTTGAATTTACAGTGCTGGTTCATATTTATGGTAGCATGTGGTCCTCATGCTGTTGCTCTCCTGCCTGGTCTTTGTGCTTCTGTGTGGCGAGATGGTTGTGGATTTTTGCAGAGTGGAGTGATGGGACTGCTGAGGTGGTCAATAATCTATTACAGCACACAGAGTGACAAATGTCTGTCAGAGAAATGGGTCCAGAGAGGTCAGAGCTGGGCTCCTGACCTCAGCCCTCTTCAGCCAGAGCAGAGCAGAGCAGACTGAGGCAGACGACAGAGAAATACAGTTTGAAGGCAGGAGTCTGTTTCTGTGTCCACCCACTGAACAACTCACACATTTTTAAAGTAGTGAAAACCTCGATTTCCAGTCTTATTATGACACTTGAAATGCAAAATATAGTGCGCAATCTCAGCTATTCAATTTATGCAGAAATGTGTCGATTACAGAGGCAACGTAAAGCATCATGGATTTTTTTAACCACAGTGAAGTGGAAAGATTTTGCAATGACCTCAGCATGAATTGATACAAGATTTCTTCTTTGTTGGATACTAAGAGCATTTTGGACAATGTCATCCCCGTATAGATCAAGGATTTCTTTGTTGTGGACATAAGGACAACTGTAGATCCAGGAAACATGTGTTAGCTTGGGATCTGTAATCTTATCCATAAAATGCCTTCCTCTAAGATGTAATAAATAGGCCTGAATTATTTGTATTAAGAGAAAAAATCTGCCAAAATGTGGATAAATTGGTCTGAATCACCTTTAAAAAGTAAATGCCTGCTAGCATTGTCTATTATGGCTATACAACTACAGTTATAAACACTCATAAATGATCATAATGCTTTATAGCAATAATCATAACATGTTATAGAGCATTTTATCATGACTCAAGGTCAGGTATTATTATGTGTTATGCTTATTGTTATAAAGCCGTTTGATAATTAATGAGTGTTTATAATGGTAGTTATACAAGTTTATAAGCAAGTTATTACACGTTATAAATATATGTATAACGCATTATCCATGTGGGCATTGTCATTGAGTTGTTAACAGTGATGATCTTGTAAGCCATGATAAAATGCTTTATAATGTGTTATGATTATTGCTATAAAGCATTATGATCATTTATGTGTTTATAACTATAGTTATACAGTGCTATAACGTGATTATAACACATAATACATTTATAATGCCTTATAGAGATAGGCGTCAAATAAAGTGTTACCAAATATGTCTTATGAGCGCATTTATTAACCACCTTCACAAAAAAAAAAACAAAACTTAATATCCTATTTACAAGCAAAAAGTAAGAACTAAACTGCCAATAAATAAAACATCTGCCAATGGGGTTAAAACTTATCAATTTACTTTACTACAGATTTACAGGATCTCATTTTAAGCCTCGTTTAAGTTCCTTTGCATCCAGTCCAGTGTATGGGAATTTCATTCATGCTTTTTATTTGTATGTTTAGGATCTTGTTTGAAATCAGAATCCTCATTATATATAGAAAGTCCCTCCACATTTGAATAAACACAGAGAGATCCTTGGACTTCATGTGATGCTGAGTCTATAAAAAAACTCTCACATCCTTTGGAGTCACCCTGAGAGGAGTTAGTGCTCTTTGTGTATTGGCAGCTCTGCTTCTATGTTATAATGATAGGACTGGACGTGGACCATTTAAGTATCAAATCAATAGCAAATTAAATTTTTTAGCAGTGCAAGCTACACTCAGACTCACCTGTAATGAGCTCTGACAGACTCGGGCTACACAGCTCACATGTCACTTTGCTCCTAGGACAAAATGCTTACATCTAACAAGTTACATGAAAAAAAAGACATTTTATGAGACTGAATATATCTATCTTAGAACTTAACATTTATTCAAAACACTACCTGAAGTAGGTTATGCAGAAACACCTGCATCCTGCCTGGTGTTGCGGCTGGTGAAACGGGCTTGGACCTGATTTAGATAAAAATACATTGACCCACAGGCACTTTTATAATAAATAGTGTGTCCTCAGAGTCGTTGCTTTTCCTCCAGCTTCCTACATTTGTCATCTTCATATGAATAAACAGGCCTATTTAATCTCTCTGTCCTTTCCTAGGATTTGGCTGCACATATACACTAACAGCAGACTATGTGTGGCCTACAAACATGCTTGTTTTGTCCTGTTTCCACTGAATGGTTATCAAGAGAATCTCCATTGCAAATGAATCACAGGGTGCTGTACCAATCCGTCATTCCCTGAATTTATGTGCAAACTTTGACAGTGTTTGGAATGAGATCAGACTTGCATACGTGTCGGATGTTTTTGCAACATAAACCTGAGCATAGCAAGGTCTTAAGGGTTCACCTGAGGCTGCTAAGAGAAGCGGGAAGGTGGTGGATGTTTGACGCTGACCTGTCAGTCTCTCTGCGCTCACCTCTGCAGCACATCTACTGTTGATCAAGTGGAGATTAACTTCCCCTGAATGACAAGCCATAGTGGGGAATCTGCACATTGACTCGGCCTTTTTTAATAGACTTACACCTCATTTGGCCTCTAAAGCCTGTGAAGCCTCCCAGGGGAAGGCCTGAGGCGAAGACCGCACGCTCACACACATAAAATGCATGCACATACAGAAAGCTAGAGGGAGATGTGTGGACGCCGGAGGGAAAAAGGGTTGATATGGAGGAAGAAAAACAAGGAATTTTTTAATGTAAAAGGAGAAAAATAAGGTTTGGTTCGAGGCCAAGAGAGAGACAGGAGTGATGGAGACAGGGTCGGACAAAGAGACAATGGTACATAAAGGAGAAGACACCGAATGAGCTTGTGCTGTCCATGTCGGGCAGCGGCGACAATGCCTGATTAGGCTGCGGCTGTTCAGTCAGAGAGGGCTGAACAATGCACACCACTTCCCCTTCATGACAACAGACCTTCCTGTCTGACCTCCTGACCTCTGTCACCGGCAATACGTGTCAAAACTGGGACGACACCCTGTCAAAGCCAACCCTTCCTCCCTCTTTCTCTTCTTCTCTCACCCATCTCCTTCCCTCGCTCCTCAAATCCAGTGGTCTAGGCCTGTCAGCTGGCAAACCCCAAATTATTCACTTTTCCAACAGCAGGTGTGATGAAGGGGGTCTTATGTTCAAAGTCTGTTTGATAACTATAACTAGAAGTAATGAGACATAAAGAGGAAAGAGGTTTAATTAATGTCCAGCCTTTTAAAGAGTGTCAACGCTGCTGTCACCACAACAAAATTCCCATTTTCCCCTTGTATTTATTTTAGTTATGCCCTTATGCTTTCTTAACCCTCCTCCTGTGTTAGGGTCTGCACCGACCCGTTTTTGATTTTAAATGCTTAAAAGAACCACTTAAATTAGCTTTTGTGAATTAAGGCTTTTGACTTTGTCAGGAACCTCGATTTCAACAAAATAAAAACAAAAACATTAAATTGACTATATTATAAAATGGCACTTGTCGTGTTAGGGTCGCTGTTGACCCAGTTAAGTCAATATCTAATAATCAGAGCAAAAACTGAAATCATAAGCGCACTGTCAGGCACCATGCTGACAGTCAGATCCTCTTCCAATCATGTGAGACTTAGGAAATTCTCATTTTGCCATGTTTTCTTTGCACAAAAAAATGTGGGCATGTCTAGACATGTGAGATCAGTTCAGTATGGTTGTCTGTGTGAAGGGTACACTGACAAAGAAAGACCCAGAGGCCCACAACAAAAAAATATTCTAAGCAACATTTTCATGGATAATGAAGCCTAACAAGGTAACCTAGAGATGAGAACCAAATTGGATGATAGAGGATTGATTTTAGTGAAATTTACAGCTGATTTAAGACACGGGTCAAAACCGACCCTTCACATGGTGAGTTCATAGTAAAAGCTAACACGGGAGGAAGGTTAACTAGAGTCAACCAGCGTCCTTGCTGTTTCTGTGATTGTGTTTATGGATGGGGTTCGCACTATACTAAACAAAAAAAGACAAAAGAGAGGACACAGGAAGGAAACAAAACAAACAGCATTATGTGGACCTGACATTCACATTGTATCCTGCTGTGAAGTGAAATGTCCGAATACTGTTTTCCATTGGAAACCATCACCTCACAGACTTACTTTGCTGCTGCTGTGTGTTAGCAAAGTTCACGTGTTTTCTTGAACAATTTCTGGGTGTCAGCCCTAAGATTCAATAACTGTGTATAACTAATAAGCTTCATTTTTAGTGTACTTTTAAGGTTATAGTATGCATTATGAAGGAAGTTCAGGTCATAGAATCATATGTAAAAGCAGAGTTTAGAAAAACAGCAAATCTTTTAAAAGATGTCATTTGATGTGACTCTGGCAGATGGTCACACCGGAGTTAAAATCTGCTCCAAAACGACCTCCTTCCATCAGAAATTAAACTCTCACTGTTACAATTAAAATGATTCTTCTGTTAAACCAGAGCTAATTATCTTTTCCCCCCAATTTCCCCTCACTTCTACCCCTAAAACAGCCCATCTGCTGAAAGTGAACTCCACTCTAAAACACTCTCTCTCTGTTTCTCTCCTCCTCGCTCTGTCTTTTTTTTGAAGTCGTCTTTTGTGTGGTGAGCAGGGGGGTTATTGTCTACATATTAAGTGAGGGTCTGTAAGGGTTTCAGCAGCATCTTGACTCCCCTAAGCTGAGGAGCAGCTGAGGTTAAGTGGTCTCCTCGCTCATGGCACCCATCGTCTTCTTGACTATGACAGCTGGGGACCAGACCGTTACCATAGAGACACACTCCTCCCCCAGCTGACTGCTCATTTGAAGCAAACACACACACACAGAAACACAAACATGCACGTATGTATAGATTCTATATACAGTACCAACTCTGATCTACATCTAGCCTTTGACCTTTTTTAAGTCCATTCAGTATATTTTCCCAAAGCAGCTTAAAACCTGAACATTAGAATACTGAATATGAAAACAGAAAGCTCTTTTCCTTTCATGCACTCTAAGGTTTAATTTTTATCTATTAGAACTGATTATGAAAAATGGAAAGTCAGTTTTTGGAACAGTAAAAATAAATTTCAGTCCCTGTAGATGACTGCTTTTCTGTTTGTTTTGCTCAAATTGCAGAACTTTTCACTGGAGATGGAAGAATTCCAAGAGATAAACCAGTGATCAGGAAAATAATTTCAAATATTATTTTCCAATAACACACTCCACAGGGCAACTTCTTGTGTGCCAGGCTACAAAAGATACAGGTCTCTGTCACTGATTGAATGGACTGGGATTGGATTTGTATGCAGGAGCTGCTCTGAGTGATAAATCCCAAGTTTCAGAATGTATAAATGCGAAAGGATCATTTATTTTCAAAGTAAATGTGATCTATGTTTGTCTTTGACTCTATCAAGTTTATCCAAATACTTTCAAAACCATCAAGTAAGTGATAAAGAGACCTGAAGGGAAAGCAAGAGACATAAGAAACAGCCACAAACCATCTGTTTATCCTCATAAATTGGTACAAATGGAAGTTGAAAACACTTACAGAGTGTTACAGGCCAACAAACACCTTAGTCTGCTTTGAGAAGTATATAGATTAGTTAGTTTTTCTTTCTGTGGCTTACAGGTGCAAAGGTTGTAATAAGTGGATATCTTAATGGAGTGGTGCTTGTTGTCTTGTTGACCACAGTGACCATAATGAGTATTTAGTAAGCCCTTGGTTCTATATTTTTAAGGATAGTCATAGTCATTGTCTTGTTTGCTTTTATAGCTCATGAAGAAACTTCACAGTTAATTTCAGTTGAATTCTCCTCACATTAGTTTTTTTTAAAAAAAGGCAATTGGAATATTCAAGAAATGCCAGTTAAGTTTCATATTCTTTATTTTTAGATAATTCTGGCTTTTCTTTGATATTAATTCAGGCTGTTGGTGCATGGTAGGTTGTTGAGTTTGGAGCACAGTGTCAGGATGTCATTGTGCCACATGGCCCAGAACTAGCCAGTCAGTACAGTCTGTCTTAAACGAAGTGGCTTACAATGTATCTCATTTTATTTCTGTAGTACGCCCCCTAAGTCAGACCTACAACACTGAAACTCAGGGAAACTTCAGGAACCTGAGCTTCAATATATCCCGCATAGTTTCTCCCCGCATTGACAGTGTAGCTGTGCTTTTTAATTAGCTACTTGGTCTTGTTTGTGTCCTGAAATCAATCACATGGATAGTATTGTGAAGGTCCTACCTGTAGGTATGTTGCGTACAAACTTCCACAAAGTTTTTACCCAATATTAGCAAAAATGCTAACAACACCAAGAGCTAAAGGCTAAACAACCTTTCGGCTTATATATCTGGATCGAAGTCAAGTCGCAACATTGCACTGACATCCAACTTCTAAGTTAAATGTAGTGCACCATTGAACCCTTTGACCATTCGGTAAACATCCAAGATGGCTGCTACTGATGTGGAAAGTTCTAGATGGATTATTGCTATTTAGTATCTAACTCACCAGATGGCAGTTCAAGTGACTTGTAAATTTGGAATGTTGCTTTTTGAATTGTGTCTTTTTTCATTATTGTTGCTTGTAGACTTGTTTTTAAGTTCAACAAGAGGACACTTGAATTGGATGTTGAAATTTAAGACATAGCCAAGCCTGGTAGCGTAATGCTGCAAATGTGTTTCTCTGTATCATCCAGAGAACTTTGTTTGGGCCTGTTGATAAAACCTCTTTGAAGTCATAAAGAAATTTGAAAAGTGATTTAGTTTTGTGCAACAGTCTGGCAATGATAAGTTCATATTAGAGTGGTTGTTCAATAGGATCTACTTTATGTCATTTTTGTCATCATATTTCCATGTTATGGACATTTTCATTCATTCATACTAAGCCAGCTTCCAAAGATGACTCTGCATATTTTTCCAAAAGCGTTGACATAAAGTAAGCATGTTAATCGTGGAGGAATTACCCACACATTTACAAGATATTGTCATAGAAAGGACGCCATTGAACCCTTGCTGTGACACCTGTGTAAATCTGTCCTGTTCAGTCTTGTGTAATCACCATCCAGGATCAAAAGTATTTGTATGGGACAATCATGGAGGCCCCACCCAGGACCCTGGACCAGCAGGCTGAGATTAGAGGACATTTGTTCCACAATATTGCTGCCTCCTGGTTTCCTAGGGCTGCTGCGTTTGCACAGAAGGTGCAGGCAGATATTTGGGTAGCAGCCAAAGCCTTTCCTCGCTAGCGGGCCACCTCGCTAGAGCTGCAGGTGCTGAGAAGGACTCCCCACTGCTTCTTAGTGTGGTGTGCGACCCTACAGGCTGATGGAACAAATGCTGGTCCAGAGAAAATAAACTTATCTCATTTGGATGACAACACATAGCCTCAGGTCCTTGTGCTGTATTGCACCAGTTAAAGCCGGACGGGGTCACTGGCGAAGAGACTAAATCTAAGTACACCTGATGGTCGAAGCTCCTGAAAACCCAAATCCACTGATGGATTCTGCAGATATGCTTTTGATGGTCACAAATAATAGGCATTAGCTTCCTTTTAAGTTGCTTTTACATTGATTACTTTTGGTGTTATTGCTTTGTTAATCAAAATGTGATGAGCCATACACTCTCAAAGGGGGTGTATTATGAATAAACAACATTTTTTTGTATTTTAGTTACATATTCTTGGGTTTTTGGAGTGTCAGCAGACCTGGAAAAATGTGAAATAAGCCAACCCGGTCCTTTTTTGTGTTCAACTGTGTCTGAAATCACACAGTCTGACAGTAGAAGCTGCCTATCTTGCTAATGCTAGCCCTATTTGAAGCTCAACATTTGGGAAGTCCACTATTTCTTGTTGAGACTTATTAAGCTTCTTGCCATCATGCTCAGTTTTAACTACTCAGGGCCCACTTGAGGGAAGCTGTCTTAAAGGGATATTCCGGCATAAAATTAAGTTAAGGTCCTAACACACCGGGGCAGGCGTGAATACAATGCGAAATTACGAAATATTCGGAGGAGAATTTTGACGCGCCTGACTATACACATCAAGCCTGATGCGATTTTGTCACTTGTTTGTAGCAAGACCTTGGGCCAATCCATTGAGGACTACAGTGGGGTGACGCAGCTCGAGGAAGAACATTTATGATCATTACTTTGTCATTTCCTAGAAGTAATAATCATCATATTAATTATTTTGAGCTGCAGGCGCAGTAGTTCTTCTGCCTTAGTGTCTCGGTCTGATTGCATTTACAGGAGGAGATGATCGTAAATGTTCTTCCTTGAGCTGCGTCACCCCGCTTTAGTCCATAATGGACCGGCCCGAGGTCTCGCTACAAACAAGCGGCTGCTGGAAGAGAGTGGGTGAGTTGTGTTTAGTCTCTTTGCTAAAGAAATCAGGCAAAGTTAAAAATATGTTTGGTGGCTAGTGCTGTGGCTAGGACCCTATATGTACTGTTGATGAAGTTAGGTGCTGTTCTGAGCATTATTTGTGGCTATAGAGTGTTTTTTTGTTTGAGGTTTGTTTATGGCTCCTCAGACCACTGTGTATTGCTATCGTGCGGTCGTTACTGAAGTTTGTATAACTAGAGAAGCAAGCGGTCGGCAACATTCATCTCTTAACGGGGTGTCTAACTCTGCGTTTATGGTGTATTTGACCCTAACTTAATTTTACGCCAGAATGTCCCTTTAAGATCTGGTCATATTTGCTTTCTTTGAACATTCTGTATTTTGCCGCTGCTTGCAAATCAAAATGTGAATGGCAAAAATGTTTTCCTTACACCTTTGGATCCATTTGTGCCTTACTGGGAGAGATGGAGGTATTCTCCAAGTGGGGGTTCTCCTCCTGCTGACCTGGCCCTGACCCCTGAGCTGAACCCCATCACAGAGAGGTGTTAGCGTGCCACCCATCATGATGGATCACCCCTCAGGTCTTTGTGATCTAACAATCATGGCCAATCACGGGGACTCTCTCTCTGTTACTATAATGATCGGCAATGATTCGGGCCTGGAGTATTCAGATGATGGATGGAGGCTCAGGCTGGGTCCTGAGAGAGGGTGGTGAGTTGTGCCGGATGGAGCCGGGACTCTACGTCTATTGACAGCGTTGGTAGGTTGGGTAGTTGTTAACATCTTTATCATAATGAAGTGGAGATACTTAACCCTGAAGTGTGCGGGGGTCTCTTAAACACTGATGTTTAAGGTGACCCCCCTCAGGGAGACGCCCACACATTGGCTAACCATTTTGCCAGATGATATGCTAATTTTTGTGACCTTTGCAGAGCTGGGTTACTCCCACGCCTAGTGAAAAAGAAGATAATGAAGTCAGTGTGGAATATAAGGGATTTTGATTTTGAGTCGAGGTCTTAAACTGGAATTCTGTGTTTATTTTAATCATCAGTGCACATGTACTCATGTTTCACACCAGTCCATTTAAGATATTAGATTAAACTGAACAAACTCTGATGTGAAAGTGCTCCATTTGTATCAGAACAGCAGAATTCTGCAGCAGTGAAATCTTGCACTATATTGTATCTCTATATAATACATGCAGCATCTGAGTCTGGCCTTGGATTTGGGTAAAGTCTGTCACAAGCTCACATGAGTGCATGCATCACGGAGCAGGGCTACTCATCCAAACCCCACCCAAAAACCCACTCCCCCGGTGAGGGGGAATTACTGGGCCTCTCCCAGCTCCTGGTAACCCCTTCATTATCCACACACCAATGGGTCCGGATCAGATTCAGCCTTTTTCTGCAGGGGGGAAAGAAATGGAAATTTGGGAGGCAAGCAGGGGCTGCAGTCCATGCATCTGAACAATGCCTCAATGTTTAAGAAAATGGCCTCGTGGACGGGAAGTGATCGGGTTCAGCTGTGCTGGAGGCTGGAGCTGGCTTCCTTGTTTTATTTTGTGAGAATCTGACTAAACGGCTCCATAGGATGTGCGGTTATTTAATTATCGCCTCCTTAATTAGCAGCGCTGAAAAATAAACACGTGATGCTGCATTTTGCCTCTCCAGTAAACTCTGTGGTCTGATCTCAACCCTCTCTCTTTCGCCATCCCTTTTCTCTCTCTCTCTGTGTCCTCCATTCATTTTTAAATTAACCTCCTAATGGACCTCATCTGTCCAGAGAGAGCCTATTAACTAAAGCGCGACTCTCATCCAGTGTCCCTGCCACAGAGGCCGCAGACCCCACCCACATGATCCCGTCCCTCGCTGCCCATCAAACCATCAGCCTTGCACATCAAGGAACAAAATAAAATCTGCAGAAAACCAAGGAGCAACAAAAGGACTTTGTTGTACACAGTTAATTACCTTGTGGGGCTTTTCCTGAACTGAAGAATTAGAGGGATTTAATTGCTTTATCACCTGGGCTGTGCGAGTGCAGAAACTCAGCAATCAGCCTGATTTGTTTTAAATGAGCTGCCATGGGAAGCTTGATACTCGGAATCTCTTCTCCAGCACCTGAAGGTGAAGAGCTGGACTGAAGGTCTGTGGCGTGAGGTGCCTGAACAGTAAATTAAATGTCTGAAAATGAATGGAAATCAAGCGAGTCAATCCCAAAAGCACCCTCACAATTTCCAAAACAAAACAGCACATAAAGGGGGCTTTTTATTTATTTGAACTGAGGTTTCAAAACCCCAACACGCTGTCTCCCTCAGGATGTGGCGGTGCAGCCTTTGGGATTTGAACACCAGTGTTACTGAAGCAATTAGCATATTCCTGTATTAAAGGAGGGAAGCGTGACAGTGTTTTCCAGGATGTCAGTATGTATCATTAAAAGGCATATTTTAATTAGGGACATGTTAGTTCGTTACACTAAATGGATTAACATTGCTTGTCAAGGGTAGAGATATGTTTTACATTTAAGTCCACTGGGGAACAAGGTCTCAATTTAACAAGACATCTTAAGTTGAGATGGGTCTTGTTAGTGAGGATCCAGAAATGGCATTTAGACAGTTTAATATTTTGAGAATGGGTGAAGACGCCATGTCGCCGGGCTGCTGTTTGTGTGTAACTGAGTGTAAGAAGTCAATTATCATATTGCAATTGTCTGCTGGCTGTGATCTGGAAACGAGAGCAGACAGTTTGCTTTCATTTGCAAACCATAATATTGAAAAAAGATGAACTCCAGCTCAAATTGGTGAAGTCTTGCGGCACAAGTCATGAAACGAATATATCTATCTCAGTGGATATCTGTCCCCAAAGTGCATGAGGGGAGATTTAAAGCACTCTGAGCTCGACAGTCCACTTTCTGACGATGCAGCGAGTATAGGTTCTGCATGACCGTTTGGATCAAAGAGTGGTTATCTCTCCTATTGAGCTGTTCTCACCTCTGTCTTCTCTCATTATCTCGCGGACAACGAGAATTTCCCTCCTTTAATCAGAACCCAATCCTCGGGTCAGCCATCACAGAACTCCTAACAAGCCAAAATACAAAAAGTGTGAGTGTGGGAATTGAAAGAAAAAAAAATTAAAAATAAAAACAAGACAAGCATCTCCTGAATGTCATAGATGCCTGAGGATTGATTTCTTTCCCTGTTAGTTGGAGAAAACGGGCGAGAAACTACTGCTTAGCCAGAGGTTCTACTAAATTAGATTCACTTTGTGTGTGCAGTCAGCAGTCAGTCAGCAAAGGCAACTTGAACTGGTTGTGAAGTAAGCACATATTCATATAAATTGCCTTTTTTTTTGCTGTGAATGAAATAATCCCCGACGTGACCACAGAGGGTAGCTCTACATACATTTAGACAAGTTGTTTCCATCCATACATGAATAATGGCTCGTGTTAGAGAATGTATTTTCTCTAAAGAATGTGTCAGAGGATTTTGAGACTATCAGGGTGGTTATTGGGATGTGAACCCTGCAGCTGTGTTTTTACATTTCTCACACACCTGCTGTGCTAACAACACCCCTGCTAGGATTAGAGCCGAGAGGATTTGCAACCGAAAAAAGTGTCTCAAGTCTTACATGTGCTGCACATGCTCATGAAGTTCACACTGCATGGATGAGATTCCTCAGAGTTGTATAAACCTGGACTTATGTATCTTAAATTCTGCTTTTTTTAAGTTTAAATATCTTTTACTAGTTTGAAAGGCTTCATATTTTTGAGTTTTTAGAAACACTGGGATGGTGAAAGACTAGTAAAGTATTGAAATCAGGCAAACAAGTAAACAATAAAATCGATGCATACTCTGTGAGGCAGTTTTTCTCTGAGCCTGCATGTTTGGAGAAGTAAGAAAAAGAAAATTTCTTTGACACAAAATTTAGAAATATGTTTAAGAAAAGTTGAAATAGTGCACCATACAGTAAAAAAGCCAAAACACAAATAATGCTGTAGATGCACAAAGCCCTAAAAACTTCCTGTAATTTTTGCGATACCATTCATATTACACATGCATGAATGTAACTTATCTCCTTAATGCAACAAAAATGTATAAACTGGAATAGTCACAGTGAGACTAGTTTGGGGTGATTATGGGAACCTGGAAGAGCGACACATAACTCAAGGGATACAAACATCCAAGGTCACAGACAGTGAATCATTTTCAAGACAAGTATATCAAAAAAGGCAGTACATCCTGATTTGAATGCAAAAACTGTCATCACAGTGTAGGACTCTAACGCTTCATCCACCATAGCAATGCTCTACACATCATAGTGTGGCTTTCACAGCGGGCTGCTGATGTCCCTGTCTGAATGTTATTGGGGACATTTGTGAATAAGCAAGTTTGAGCAGAGCTTGTGGAAATTTCTGGAAATTTTTTAGAAGTGTGTATGTGAAGATGCTCAAGTTTGTCAGTGGAAAATGTACCAAACCACTGGTATGATCACAAAGGATTAGTATTAATGGCCTTTTTAAGTTTCATGTTTTGCTATTGTAACAAAAACATGATACAGAATTAAACACAGGAGTTGGACCTTTGGGCTGTTTCCCTATTTTTGATTCTTGTTTCCAAATGTACAATATCATAGAAAATACGTCTCAGTCCTTCCCATTGCAGAACTTTACATATGTGCTGATGTATCAGATGCCTGACGTCATAAGAGTCTGTGAGGGTTCATCGCTGAGGCTTTAGGGTGCATTTAAGACTGAAGCACACTTTCATAAGAAGTTGTTTCTGCGACTGATCTTACATTATCTGACAGCCGTTTGTTGTCTTTTGAAATGTTGATTACTGTTCTTTTCCCCCCAAATAATCAAAAAAAACTCACACATGCATATGTTTGAAATTTAGGCCTGATCCTCCTGTAAACACAAAGTTAGACCTAAAGGGATTTCTCACTTTTCTAAGTTACTGGAAAGGACGGATGAGGAGAGACACCAGGTTACTACACTAGGTTAAAGCCCTGTATCATATACAATCTACTTTCTGTGGACTTTCTTTTTTTTATATAAACAGAGTACTTAAAGGAGGAGCTGGCGGGCTTATAGGATACTAGCTTCGCTTGGTGAATTCATATGAAAATGAGCATCAAAAACATATAAATGTTCAATAATCTGAATCTAAAATGTCTAAATCTTCTGATACTCTAATAGTTTTTATAAGAGAGAGATGATCTTCAATCCAGTATCATCACCCCTCTTCTCTGAATGTCACTTAGCCCTGTCTTAAGGTAATGCCCTGCCCTACTTTGCCAGTTCTTGATTAAAATGTTGACTTTTTGCAGGGTAATAACCTGATTAATGTAATTGAATGTAAAAGGGCGTAGCTCAGCAGCACTGCTGATCACTGGAGATGGATTAGGAGAGAAGGCTTTCAAATTGAATACAGTTCTCCCTCTTCAGCTTGTTAATTGTGCCGTTTACCACTACCTGAGTCAGTGACCACTGCTATTTAGTCTCTCTAATGATGATGCACAGTCCGACCCAACCACAGATAATTAAAAAAGCCTTCCCCACACCAACCCCCCCATCTCTCTCTGTCTTGAGTTTGGTGTTGCATTGACAAGCTGCACTAAGGTTGGATATTGAGCTGTCCGCTTCGCAGAGTCTTGGCTGCAGGGCCGCATGAAGCCTGCTGAGTGCTGTGTGTTTTCAACAAAGAAAGTTCGGTGTAGATTAGTTTTGATCATAATCTCTCCGACAGAATGCTTTTCCTGCATTTTCTTGTAACTTCATAATGGTGACGGAAATCAGCTGAAGTCACAGAGACAATGTAAAAAGGCTCTCGGTGTACTTTGAGTCACGAGCTTTTGTTGCTGTGCAGCGCAGTAACTCACACACTTAGTAAACCTGACAGCAAGTTGTGTTAGGGCATTACAAGCAGCACACTGACACAGATTTCAAGTTGTTGGGGACAAGTGACATTTTTACTCGCGGCCCAGTACAAAGAAATACTTAACCTCATTGTCAAGACCAGGCAGAGAGAGCGAGTACAAGCTCCTCTCATCTCTGCACATTGTTGACTTTTTACTCTATTTTTACATCTTTTCTCTAGACAATACCAAACACTAGCTAAACCTAGAGAGAGAGATATTTATAATATGCACAAAAGATGGCAACTCTGGTATGATTTGATGCCCCACATGCACAGATTCTTTATCAAAATATTTAGAGGAACACTTATTTTATGGTGTATCTTTTGTAAGAAATACAAAACAGTGCTTGTCCTTAGCGAGATCCAATACTATATGGATATCTAACATATCAGAGACAGGACATGCATGTGCTAAAATCAGCTGGCTGCTCTTGCTTTCTTTGCACTAATATGTAGTAGGGAGTCCATCATAATACATCCTACATGAGCAGTTTTAACATTGACCAGCTGCTTGGGGCAGGAAGTATAGCCTGTCACACTCAAGGAATCTAAAATGACACCTGGTGCTAAAACAAATTTTTAAGAGGGCCATGCCAACTTTGGTCACCTTTTTGGACACTGACACCCGTACAATCCTTCAAAAATCCTTCAACAGTTGATTGATAATTTAAAGCTCCTGTCTCTGTGATGAACTAAAGCAAAAGAGATCATTGATGGCAAGACCGACAATCTCTTTATTTTAATTTTGGATGCCTGTAATTGCTTTAAGGGGGGTTAGGTATGCTCCGATAGCAGATATTTGTGCTGGTTAATAAATTTTACTGTAAAAAGACAACAGGAGGAGATTATTTTGGCCAATAAACAGCAATTTATCAAAATTTGAGACAAAATCAGCAACGATATAAGGGGTAACCACTTTGTCCAAAGGGGGCACCAAAGTCACCAGAGACAAAAAGTTCCTCACAGGAGCTTTAATCTAGAGGGATAAAATCAGCTGTAGGTTTTTTTAAACTATTGTTCTTGAAAAATACTAGACTGAATATTTAATAAGATGCTTATTGACTTTTTATTCATTTATTATTCTTTTAGGCTTCATATCAGTGTTTACAGAGTTACACCTAAAAAGAGAAAGGGTTGTTGTGAAGCTTTGTATCGAAACGTCATCTTTCCTTTTTTGGTAAATTACAAGGAAAATGCACAGAAGTTGAGGTCTAATGAGAGACGTAAGGTTTTTTAACTGTCTTTGCACTATGAGAGTGAAAAATCAAATTATCTAAATAAAAAATGGACCATGTCAGTCTTATGTTATTGGTGTGTTTTTGGTCTGTTTTGAAAAATATATAAATAGACGATCATTATCCCAACAGGCAGATTTTCTACCTCCAAGATGCTGCCTATTTCCAATCATTTTCTTTCGCTATTACAAATTAAAATCCTTTCCTTTGTAACGACCCTGCTGAAGAACAGGGAGCATATAAAGAGGTCTGAGGGAAGAAAAAAGCAGTCCCTGAATTTAAACCACTTCTAGACTTCTTGAGCAAGTGCTGAAATAATTAGGGGAGAGAAATCTTTGGCTCGTTCAAACTTCCTTCCACCATTGCAGAACAAAATAATAAAGAGAATGTGTGTGAGACAAAGGCAAGAGACCCCCACGGTGCCTGGGTCTCTGCTTCCTGTCAGGAGTATTCCTGCGGGGTTTCACATGACAAAACGCAGAAACTTGTTTTGTCCCCGTGCCTGTCACGATACACCCTCATAACCGCAGCTGTGTGTGTTTGTGTGCAAATGTGTGTGTATGTGTCTGTGTATTTGTGTGTTGCTGTGCTTTTTCTTTTTTGTGCTGGCATGTTGTCTCGCTGTCTTCCCTGTCAGCTCCGAGCCTGGCACCTGCTCTCATGTTCCTAATTAGTCTCATTTAATTAATTATATTCTACAGCACATCTCCTCTCTGTGCATATATGGTTTCTTTCTCACTGCTATCCTTCCACATTTTTTATTCCTCATATTTTATATGCAGATGATATAACAGTTCCTCTTCGTGTTTAATTGGTGTAATGTTGGAGTTTGTTGGAAAAACTACAACAGTGATAATGTTGTCTTCTCTAAATACTTGTTTAGTAAATTAAACAGAAACTGTAAATTTGCTGCTAAACAGATCATTTTATTTACTTTGATACTCATCTCTTAAAATCTGCACCAGGTCACTTTTTTGAAGCTAATTGAGGATTTTTGCAGGTTTGACACACTGGTGATCTGTCCAGAGAGCTGCAGGAAAACAGGCAAAGCTTCACTCTCATTTTCTCTTCTTTTGATTTATTATATTTTATACTGATGATATGAAAGTTTCTCTGTGTGTTTGATTAAAGAAGTGTTGAGGCTCTTAAGTGGTGTTTATCTTGTTTATCCTTACCTGTACAATGGTGCCTACCCTCTAGCAGCAGCTTCAGTCTGTTATCAAAACAATGAAGACATGCAGTACATTTACATTTTGTTTTAAAAAACTCGATTTGTAGCATCAGTCTGACTGAAATACGTCTTTTAAAAAATATTTACACACGTAAGTAAGACTGAAACTTAATCAAATACCTCAAAGTTGTACTAACATACCTGGGTAATGCAGTTCTCTATTCCTTATATACAGCTCAGTCAGACTGAAACATCTGTGTTTTGAGCTGGAAGTTGAAAAGTATGAATGCGTCGTTGGGAAGAAAAATCTTGACGAACAAAGAAAGGACGTTCAAAAGACGAAACTTTTCGAATTTTTACAAACGAAGCATTCAGAGCTGTAAAAATGACGGTTTTTCCATAGTTTGATGTACATCCAGTTAGCTTCTTGCTAACACATTTTTCGGACTGTTTTGATATATAACATTTTAACAAGGTGAAAAGGGGCACGTCGCCACCTACTGTAGCGGAGGTATACATGCTTCTGTCAGTAATTTGCCCAGTGCTTGTAAACCGGGATAAGGACAGTTGTCTGGTTAAAACCTCTGACTGAACTGTAACCGTAGCTTGGACTTAAAACTTGTCTCTGATGGTCTTGTTTGCTTTTTGTAGCTTACATAGAGGAATCAAGCCATTTGAATAAAACAGGTTTAACTCTGTGTTAAATCTAAACAGTGTAGCAGAGTTAAGAGACAGTTAGACCTTCAGTCTGACTCGAATCTTGTGTCAGGGTCATTTTTTTACATGTTGCCCTGCTCTTGGTTGCACTTGTGATTTGTATTACCTCTGTAGACATCATGTAAGGAGTTTATCTTGTGTGAGATCAGATGAGAAGATGCTGCAGGTGAACATACAAGCAATCTCAGTTCTATATTATTAGGACCAAACAAAAGCATTAAAACATACTTTATACAGGGGGAAAGGTCTGTGTGTTCAAGTCTAAAATATTCCAGACTGAGTCCTGATTTTCCAGGATCTGTGGCTTTAGTCTGAGTCCTGTTCCTAACACCTGTAAAATATACTTTGTTAAAAGCGCTCCTCTTAAGATGCTGGTATAAAACATCCTTTTTCTTGCGTTGTTATAACTCTTTTAAAATCTAGACCTAGCAACTCTTTCCATGTCAAAATTCATTGCTAAAGAAATCCTCTCTACCTACAACACATGCTGACAGCCCGCTGACTCACAAACTGAATCTCCTCAGTAAGCTGCAGGAAAACAAGTCAAGTTTTCGAGCTCGGTGAGTAAACAGAAATCAAGGAAGCACTTTACCGGTGACAGTCGGCCTAAGCACCTCTTTCTTCTCTGTTAGCGTTTCTGTTCCATTTGTCAGGTTCACTTGGCTTGTGTGCCAGTGTTGTCTATTAGGTGTGTTTTCACTGTGCTGAGCACTACAGTAAAGGTCTGAATTGAGAGGAATGAGACACAAAGAGAGGAGAAGAAATGAGTTTATCAGCCCCAGGAGTCACAGCAGTAATTAATCAGCGTTTGGCCCAAAGAATAGTGAAGAATATGATTGATTTGAATGATTTTTAATATTTAAATGTATAAATGTGACTCTAAAGACACAAACACCTCTCCTGAAATCACCTTCATATTGCAGCAGGTGTGATAATTCCTCAAGTGACACTAAGACGGGGGCATCCAAGGTGCACAAGCCCATCAATGAGCGACAGTGGAAACAGCGTTGAATTTCACTTCCTGATGTCAGTGAAGAGGGGGAGCCAGTCACAGGCAGCCTCCCAGCTGCCCCTCATCCCGTGTTTTCCACCAGAGGATCCTGGGCTCAAAGAAAAGATGTGCTTAATAATTCAGAGCCCTGAATGAACACCACCCAACACCGCCACAAAAGGCAAGATCAAACTTTTGGCAAAGCCGACGCGGCAGAGGGGCCGATAGTGTTTCCCCAGCGTTAGCTAACTGTACATTGACCATATGGACATCATAATCACCCACGGGATGATTCAGCAGATTCTTGATCTGGAGCCCAAAATCACACGACACCTTAATTAGCTGGTGTTGATATCGCCCTTCAGAGCGCTAATTTGTCACTGCCAACAAAACAGCTCCTGGCATGAAGGGGTCTGTTAGAGTTTGGAGCATTTAAGGTGACAGGAATCGAGCAAAGGTGGAAAAAAATCCTCCCTGACAGGTAGCTTTAACACTTATTTGTTTCATCAGTGATTTCACTCTGCATGTGTACAGTTGATTATCAGGAAGTGAGCTCAACTTTGCCTTCCTGGACTAATACATGCAGCCATCACTGAATTATTTGAAACTGTGTTTATACCCAGTAAGGTGTAAATAATTGCCGGCCTCCTCTGGAGGCGTAGCCACCATGAAGCGATGAGTTGAAAAGGTCAGACGTGTTCTGCACGCCGGCTCTAAAGTGGTTTATTAGCATCCCAACGACATATTCAGGAGATCGTCTGAGACATAATTACCTGGATAAGGTACAGATGAATACTGTATTTGGGGGAGAAGGCAAGGTTGGTTGGATATTGGCTTTGTCTCCATTAACCTGGAGCACGGTGTTAAAGGATCTGTTTGTGGAGAGAAAATGACAGCGAGTCGGGCTGACGGGGCCGGACTGAGACAGTTAAAGGCCCCTCGCTGCATAGGATAATTAATAAATAAAATACCAGGGGAGCCCCTGCCATGCCTCCGTCTATGACAGGGGCTGTCTCCAGTGCGCTAAAGCATTAAATGACCAATTTCTGTCAGACTAACTTCCACAACGCTCTCCCTCTCTCTTTCTCTCGCTCTCTCTTTTGCTTGCCCTCTCGTCTCCACTCCTCTCACCCCTCTCTCTCTCTCTCTCTCTCCCTCGTTCCCTCCCTCCCCTCCCTGCTTCCTCGTTTTTCTGAAGTGGGGCTACTTTGCTCTCTTTGCACTGAGTTTTTCAGCGACTGATGGCTCTAGTTCATTTCTGCTGAATTAATTGGTCCCTGAATGAATTCTGTTGACAGGGCAATTCATCATGTGTTTGGCCTGACAGTGACTGGGTGTTGGGTAGAGGAGGAGGGGAGGGTGGAGGAGGCGCTGGAGAGTGTGTGGATGTGTGTGTGTGTGTGAGGGTGGGAGCGGTGTGGGGAGGCAGTCAGAGGTGGTGGGGGTTGGTGATTGTGGCCTCCCACTTTTCTTTCCCCCCTCTGTGGATCGTCTCTTCCTCTTCTTCTGCAAAAAGCTGGATGCTCTTGTTGCACAGTTTTACCAAAACTCACACAAACCCATCCCTCCCCCAAGACTGGGGAGAAGACCCTGGCTCAGCTTGACAGGGGCATGCAGGTCAGTGCTACCCCTTTTACACATTTTGACCTTTTGCTCCACACTTCCTCTTTTACCTCAAATCCCTCCCTGACACTTGATGTGTGAACACAAACACAGCAAACACCAGCCCTCTGCTCCTTACCTCCTACTGGAGGGTGGCATAATCAGGTAGTGAGGCATATTTAGTGCTTAATTACACAATGTGTCGCACAATGGCCATTCAAAACGATAATTTAGCTCCTGAAGGGAAAGCGCTCTGCACTACTGACTGATCTAACTGGGATGGGAATGGTGTAATAGCAGATAGTTGGCAGATGAGGCCTAGGTCGAGAAACGCAGCTCTCCTGCAGACAGCACTCCGACTGCTCATTATTCTAATTGCAGACCATCTACAGTGCGGCGTGCACACAGAGCCCGAGCAGCTTTGAGCTTGAACATGGAGGAAAAAAGCTCTTTAGGCTGTGTTGAGTCAATCAATGCTCACTCATTACAAACATCACAAAGTCATGTTCCTGTCGCCTGGATGGTCTCACCCGCCGACAGTGAAAATAACCTCATAATCATTGTTCTGTCAGGATCGGGATCATCAGGGAGCAGGCCTGAACTCTCTGACTCCTGTACTATCAAGAAATAATCTCCCACTGAAATCATGATGTGTTTTATTTTGCATTTTTTCGACATCTCATCCTTGAAAATGCATTTGCTTCTTGAGCCGCACTTCTAAATCCACTGAAGACAAACATAGTCACACAAAAAAACATTTAAATTAACTCTTTCTAGCCCATAAAGTAGCTTCACGTTTCTCCTCTCATCCCAAACCCCCCATTTGGGATTAACAGAGTTAACGAAGGCGCGGCTGTGAACAATACTGCATCCGTGCAGCCACTAATTAAAGCTGCTTCTAATGAGGGCTCGTTGATTGACACAGCAGGGTTGGCCTCTCCCCTCACCAGCATCAACTCTGACAGCCACATGATAAGGCTGATGACAGGCTCCCATGCAGGCAGATGACAGGACATCACTGCTGGACCACCATCGCACCTCTTCTCTGAACAATGCAGAGGCCGCGTTAGATCACAGATTCATCCAGACCTGCTCTCTGTGTTTATTCCACTGTTTACTCCTCCAACTCACTTGTTGGTGTTTGTGTGTGACAAGTATTAGTAAAACTCAAGTGTTATGTACCAAATTTTTACAGTAGAATTACAATTGTAAAATAGTGGCCAATTTGAGTTAAAGTACTGCATTCAAAAGTTCATAACAGTTATAAAAAAAATAGTATTTCAGAGTAAAAAAATTTAAGCAGTTTGTCCATGTGGCTGATAACTCATGTAAACCCTACTGGACTGTTAAATGTTAATGCATCAGTTCAGGTTTTGATTGCCCATAGGGTTTACTTTTACATTAAAAGCTTCTAAATTGATGGCCTAGTTAAAAGACTTTTAACCTGAAAAGTTACTAGTTCTATCAGCGAGAGTGGAAACGTGGTGTCAAAGTTTTGCTCCAAAAAGTTGTATGCCATTTTTTACATTCACCCCTAAAGTTTTTAAAAATAATGTTTCAATTTTAACCTCTTGGCCATGAACGTCTAAATTTAGTGGGAAATCAATGCATAGACATTTCAAATATGAGACTGCATTTGGTAATGTTGATTTAATGTTATGTTTTTATTCTTTTCTGTAAAATATAAACATACGATATCAAAGTTGAATACCAATACTCCAATATAATTCGGGGGCTTTGTTTGCTTTTCCTGCAGAAGGTACCAGGCTGTATATGACTCGAGCTGTAGATGCAGAGCTTTATCTGTATGAGAAGTACGATTGTTGGTTTTCAAGTGCAAAGAATATGGCTAGATTAAAGCTCCAGTGAGAAATTTTTCAGTTTTTGTACATGACTCCTCCTTTCATCCAACTCATCACTTATGTGGATAGAATTTCGCACCATAAAGACAAGGGCTAGCAGCCACAGCCAACAGCTAGAAACCCGGCTTCATTCACTTGTAAAGGATGTGATTTCAGGTTGTATCAGGGGCCAGGCTGCAAATACAGGTCTTTGAGGATTTATGATTCCTCAGTTAGTACCCACAAAAATAAGAGCTAACAGGACACCTTATAGTCTTACTTGGTACAAAAACATCCTTAAAAACTGGTCATGAGGTCTCTCACATTTTCACCAGCTTGTCTTTGGCTCCAATCACAGCATGGACTCATAACTCCAGTAATATATTTCTACGTTAAACTTTTTGAGATGGATTCAAAGCATCAACAAAAAGAAGAAAAAAGTAACAACAGATATAAACTAAAAATGAAATTAATGCTGCTAAAGATCGCCTTTTCCTCTGGCAGTTGTTTTCTACTTTTGTGTGGTTTTGATTTTGCATAGTTAATTATGTATGAAGCTCATTTGCAGCACATTACAAGTGTTACATTTTAGGATGCTCAATCAGGATCATAAAAAAAAAAGTTAATGTAAGTATCTGCTGCAAATTTGGTGCAGTGTGTTTTTGTCTGGATGAAACTTTACAAGGAATTGCTTCATATTGCTCCCTTCTCCCAGCTCTTATAACAGGCTTATTTCACTGTATATATTATCAGTGACAGACATGAATCATAGAGACGCCTAGCTGCAGGGCATCACCCAGCCAAGTTGACAATGAGGGTGAAGTGTTTGAGTAAATCTTTGCACGAGGCCCGTTGGCCCCCGTGGCAGGGCCTCTCTCTGCACGCGTTTGAGAAGCCTCGAGGATGACAGGTGCTTTTCGTAATGCCTAACTGATGAGAGCCAATCAGTGCGCCCCGTCTTGCTGGTGTGTGTGTGTCCATTCTCCTGTTGTTGTCATCTGGGCTGCTAAAGTAAAGATGAGCTTGACTGACAGATGCATCCGGGGTTCACAGTTTATTGGTTTCTACGAGAGAGCCAGATATGCCAATTTAGACAGGGTAGTGACAAAAAAGTTCCCGCCTAAATGGAATAATTTTACCACTGGGAATTCTCAGCTGGGAGAGGGAAGGAGGAGTGTGAGTGTGTATGTGTGTGTGTGTCTTTTTTTTATCTTTTAACAAGGCCTGAATGACAAACACATAGGACAGTTAGGGGGCTGACAGAAACAGCAGCTTTTGATGCTTCACAGGGGATCCATGAAATAAACAATAGGCAGAGAAAGCAGGGAAATTGAATATCAACCAAGTGGGTTTGTGTGTTTCAGAGTGGAGAGTGTGGAGAGGAGGTGAGGCAGCAGCAGCAGCAGCAGTGTGGTGGAGCAGCATGAAACCGATGCATCATTAAATGTACTCCAGTCAGAAACAGGAGCATCACTTTCCTTTCTGTCCAGCTGTCCCTCCTCTTTGTTTCACCCTCATCTCTCTCCTTTTTGAACCCTTCTCCTCATGTTATCATCATGTAACGGCTCTTTTTCATTTCTGTTTTATACCTCTTTACACAGAGGGCTGTTAGTTGGAATAGCATCTTCTCCAGTCTTCTGACTAGAGGGTGACTGATATCTCTTTTTTAAGGCTGATACTGATACCAATAACAAGACAGCAGGTTAGCTGATGGCTGATATGTAAAGCAGATATCACAAAATACAGCAATTAAACAAATTAGGAACACATTTCAAAACTCTGGATTTCTGTGCAGCCACCTGAAATTATCATAAAAGACAAAATACGAAAATAAGATTAAAAGAAAAAAGATAGTCATGTAGAAATCATTTATTTTGCGCACATTGAAATTAGATATTTCAGATTATCCTCTATCCCTTACTGTATTAAACTGATTAATGATGTAAGTCAAGCTGGTGGCCAGCATGAACCCGCTAACTGCAGTAGCCGCGGTTAGCTTTGTGCTCAGTAAATGTTGGTTATTTTGTGATTAGCTGTGGCTAGCACTCCACTGTAGCCTGCGGTAGCTGCGGTTAGCTTTATGCTCAGTGAATGTAGTTTGTTTTGTTATTAGCCATTAGCCGTGGGCCCGTGGCTAGCAGCCTTTAGCTTGCTAACGTGACCCAAACGTGTTGTCTTCTCTTAAAGATGCAGACTGAAGCAGAGAGAAGTCGACCTGCAACTAAATCGAAGAAACCACAGCCTACTATTCCACTGCTATTTGAAAAACAGAGAAAGTATGACCCAAAGTCACCTGGAGCTGTCAAAATAAACAAAGCTGTAGCAGAGTAGATCTGCGAGGACCAACTATGCATTTACACAGTGGAGAAACCTGGGTTCAACGTGAAAAAGTGATTGTCTTTTCTTTCTTTCTTTTTTTTTTAAAATAATTTTCATTGTCTGATTATTTAATAATTTTATTTAATAAATTATTTTTTCTGCAGTTCTGTTTTTCATGTTAATAAAAATATTTTTTATGCCTTTTAAAGTATTTGTTATTTTTTATCCCTGCTGTATCGAAAATGGTATTGGGTATCAAGTATTTTCCTGGGTATCGACATCGAGTTTGAAATTTTAGTATCGTGACAACCCTAGTACAGTATGATACAAAATGTCATAGTATTGAGAGAAATAAATGTCATATTGTAGTATGGGAAAAAATGTCACAGTATAGTATGTTAAAAATGTCATAGTATTGTATGATTAAAAATTTTCATATAGAATAAATTCTAAAGTTTGTTCTTAAATGTGATTGTATAGTATGATAAAAGTTCCATAAAATAGTATGATCAATATGTCATACTAAATTACAAAAAAATAAAAAAATTGGTATGAAAAAAAAAGTTATAGTATAGTATGTTCAAAAATGTAAAAATGAAGAATGAAATAAAAAATCCAATTTGGTTTAAAAAAAATTGTCATGGTATAAAATATAAATAATTGTTATAGTACAATATGTTAAAATAAATAAATTTAAATTGTAAATAATATCAAAGTATAGTATAACAAAAAAAAAAAAAAATCAAATTTCGGTATGAAAAAAATGTCATAGTATAGTATGTTAAAAATGTCATAGTCTAGTATGATGAAAAAAAAAACAAATTTTGGTATAACAAAAGGCCAAAGTACAGCATTTTCAAAAATGTTATCATAATGTATGATAAAAAAAAAATGATTAATTGGGTTTAAAAAAATTAAATAGCAAAGTTTGTTCATAAATCTCATAGTGCAGAATTATGAAAAAAAAATTGATATGAAAAAAAAAATTGGGGTACATGTTCTAAAAGGTCATAGTATAGTATGATTAAAAAAAGTTCAAATTTTGATGGGAAAAAAATGTCACAGTATAAGATGTTAAAAATGTCACAGTATAGTATGATAAAATTTCGAATTTTCATATTAAAAAATTGCATAGTTTGTTTTTAAATGTCATGGTATAGTATGATAAAAAATTTAACATTGTGGTATGCAACAATGTCGTAGTATACTATAATAAAAATTCCATAAAAAAGTATGATCAAAATGTCATACTAAATTACAAAAAATTAAAAAATTGGTATGAAAAAAAAGCAATAGTATAGTATGTTCAAAAATGTCATTTTACAGTATGTTGAAAAAAATTTAATTTGTTGAATTGTGTCATAGTGAAGTTGAAAAAAAACAAATAAATTTGAGCGAAAAAAAAATTCACAGCATAGTTTGTTCATAAATGTCTGAATAGATAAAAAAAAAAATTTTTGGTATAAAAAAATTGGGATACATGTTCTAAAAGGTCATAGTATAGTATGATTAAAAAAAAATCAAATTTTGGTGTGACAAAAAAATGTTGTGGTATAGTATGATAAAAATGTCATAGTATTGTATGATAAAATGTCATAGTATAGCATGATAAAATGTTCAATATGTTCAAAAATGTTATCAAGTATGATAAAAAAAAGAAATACATTCGAGTTAAAAAAAAAATCATAGCATAGTTTGTTCATAAGTGTCTCTGAATAGATTGATTAAATTTTTTTTTTTTTTGTATGAAAAAAATTAAGGATACATGCCCTAAAAGGTCATAGTATAGTATGATTAAAAAAAATCAAATTTTGGTGTGAAAAGAAATGCTGTAATATAGCATGATAAAAAATGTCATTGTATAGTTTGATAAATTGTCATAGTATAGCATGATAAAAAATGTCATAGTATAATATAAAATGTCATAATATAGCATGAGAAAAAATTTTGGTTGGAAAAAATATAGTATTATAAAAAAAAAAAATCAAATTTCCATATGAAGAAAATGTCACAGGATAGAATGATTTAAAATGCCATAGTCTAGTATGATTAAAATGTCATAGTATAGCATGATAAAAAAATTAACAAATTTTAGTATGAAAAAAATGTCATGGTATAGTGTTTTCAAAAATGTCTAAGTATAGTATGATAAAAAAATTCACATTTGAGTATGAAAAAAATGTCATAATATAGTATGATAAAAAAATTCAAATTTTGGTATAAAAAAGGCCAAAGTATAGTATGTTCAAAAATGTCATCATAAAATATGATATAGAAAATTTGAGTGTAAAAAAAAATTAGTAGCATAGTTTGTTTATAAATGTCTCTGAATAGATTGATTAAAAAATAAATTTTTAGATGAAAAAAAATTAAGATACATGATCTAAAAGGTCATAGAATAGTATAATTAGAAAAATCAGATTTTGGTGTGAAAAAAAGTCCTAGAGTAGTATGATAAAAATGTCATAGTACAGTATGATAAAAAGAAATTCAATATTGTTTGTGCAAAAACATCATAGTATAGTATGATAAAAGATGCCGTAGAATAGTATGATAAAATGTCATAGTATAGCATGATAAAAAAAAAATCAAATTTTGGTGGGAAAAAAATGTCATTGCAAAAAATGTAAATTAGTTTCATAGTATAGTATTTAAAAAAAAAAAAAAAATTCCATATGAAAAAAAATGTCACATTCTAGAATGATTTAAAATGCCATAGTATAGTATGATTAATATGTCATAGTATACTATGATAAAGAAATTAACAAATTTTAGTATGAAAAAAATGTCATGGTATAGTGTGTTCAAAAATGTCAAAGTATAGTATGATAAAAAAATTTCCATTTGAATCGGAAAAAAATGTCATAGTATAGTATGATAAAAAAAAAATCAATTTTTGTATAAAAAAAAGGCCAAAGTATAGTATTTTCAAAAATGTCATCATAAAGTATGATAAAAAAATAAATACATTTGAGAGTGAAAAAAAATTCCTAGCATAGTTTGTTCATAAATGTCTCTGAATAGATTGATTAACAAATATAATTTTTTTCGTATGAAAAATTTTTTTTAGGATACATGTTCTAAAAGGTCATAGTATAGTATGATTTAAAAAAAAAATCAAATTTTGGTGTGAAAAAAAATGCTGTAATAAAGCATGATAAAAAATGTCATAGTATAATATGATAGAATATCATAGTATAGCAAGATAAAAAAGTACAAATTTTGGTGGGAAAAAAGTGTCATTGCAAAAAATGTAAATTAATTTCATTGTATAGTATTATAAAAAAAAAATCGAATTTCCATATGAAAAAAATGTTACAGTTTAGAATGATTTAAAATGCTGTAGTATAGTATTATTAAAATGTGATAGTATAGTATGATAAAAAATTTTTAGTATTTTAGTATGGAAAAAAATGTCATTGTATAGTGTGTTCAAATATGTCATATTATAGTATGATAAAAAAAATTCACATTTTAGGATGCCAAAATGTTTCAGTGTAGTATGATAAAAAATGTAGTGCACAAATGCCTTAGTATAGTATGATAAAAATGTCATAGTAATGAATGATAAAAAATTGGGCATTTTTGTATGAAAAATTGTCTTAGTATAGTATTATAAAAACACCACATTATAGTATCTCATAGTATAATATGACAACCAATGCAGCCACCACGATGATAGTAAAATGATCGCATTGAGTTTGATGAGCTTCAGTTGTAAAGAACCAACTTGTTGATTTTGTTCTGACAATAGAAGTGTTACTTAAATGTGTCCTGTGAAATATACTACATTCAAGCTGACAGGGAGAGGAAGGAATAGCTGTCACAGCTAGCAGAAGTTCCCTTGTTCCTGCTCACCGTCCACCATGCGTGTTTACTTTAACGTGTTTGACTGCAACACACTTTGAGCTAAGATTTTAAAAATCTTTCCATGTGGGGCGATCTGTCTGTCGATAATGATATGTTATGATTCCTCCCAGTGTCCACGCACACACACACAACATGCTCTGCTGTTCCCCTGTATTTATTTGAGAGCTGTAACCCGTATGAGCAGCTTCTGTTCATAAAACCAAACATCAATACACCCTCAGCAGGAACACTCTCTGGGAACCTTGAACCCTGAATCATTTTCTTATGGGGTTAATAATGAGGGGACACCGAGTCAACGACTGACATATAAAAGAATTTATTTCTCATGTGCACAAAAAGAATTGGAACAGAACTGAAACAGAACAATGATTGAGGCCACGAGGCTTTCCGTATAGATTTTCATCAGAAATCCTTACTCTTTTTATGTCCATGACACATCTCCTGTATCATCTTTACAACAGCAGAAGACCTGTTCTTTCAGAGGCTGTCTGCACTCTGCACTGGTGTTTCATTTTCAGATATGTCGCGCTACATGTGGACAGGAAAAAGGCAAATCCCAAGTGCAATGTGTGGAGGGTAGTGTCTCCTGAAGAGCAGGACTGCAGTCTGTTTCTTTGTGATCTGATGCTCCTTAACAATGACAGTTAACCCTGGTGCCAGATGGAGTTTCTGTTGTGTTTGTATAGTGTTAAACTCCACTTTGTATACGTCTTAAGAGTGGAGTGAAGGAGGAGAGATGGGTGACTGATTATACGTGGATGTATTTTTTTATATGACTGTAATTTGGATTAACGTAATGATCACAACATCTACTAACAGCAAACAGGACAATATCTTTGATTGTTGCCAAGGACTTCAGTTTGATCTTCATTTTGGACGTTGTAGCTTTTAATGCTTCTCTCCATGAGAATTACTTACTTTGAGCCCAACAACAAAAGATGATACAGAAAGCCTTTAAACTCATTGCATAGTGACATAAAACCTCATCATGACATTATCATGAAAAACAAAACAAAATGACAAAGACAAGCTACATGATGTTAGCATCTGAAACCTGCTACCACAGTACATGTAGCTGCAGGTTGTACAGTAGTTGTGCCTTTTCCTTTAGAGCACAACATTACATTAAGACACAAATGTAATGCATGTTTTTTTTTCTGTCTGTATATCTACAAAGGGAGCCAGTACATTAGCATGATACTGCAACGGTGTGTGTGATATTATTTACAGAGAAGAATTGTCTTCACATTATTCACAAATCATTCTACAAAGCAGCATTTAGTTGCAACCGATGGAGTCACTGAAGTTCACCTTTCTCATGACAGTCTCTATGTTGTTTGACATACAGGTTCAGTGTTGACTACTTATTTTAAAGATAATACTGCTTTATTTATGCATACATATACTGTAAATAAAATATTAAATATCAAACTAAGTCTTTGGCAAATGTAGTTAAGAGTACATTCACAAAATATTTTCCAAAAAGCAAACTGAGTCAGTGTTTCCTTTCAGTCCCAACAGAGAGAGAAAAATGTAAATCAAGGAGGCGGGTGAGTGTGTGTTTTTGTAAAGGCAATTAATTTCTTTAAACAGGCATGAATTTAGGTTGAAAAAACAGGTTTGTAAGGCAATTGTTGAAGCTCATTTACAGTTGCTTTGCTCAACTGCGTACAGCTTTCTAAACTGTGTAGGCATCTAGTGGTGTGACTAAGTAGCTGAATGAAGTTAAAACCCAGGAGAGTTGGTTTGTGTAGCCACAGGGCCATGGCTTAAGACTCCTCAGGTCCTTGAATGCATCGTTTGTACTCAAAAAAAGATGTTCACACAAAGATTTCTGTCTAATTTGAGCGCTTTATAAATATTCCAAGGTATGTGCACAATTGGTAGGTTAATTAAATGTAATAATTAGTGAATGTACCAAATAAATTAAATTGGCTGAGGTTATAGTGCAAAAAAAGAGCAAAGAGGATCATGCATGGACATAGACATGACTGGAAAATGAGGGAAATGTGACGTCTACTTTGAAGAAATCTTTGATTTTTTTTTTACATTAAAAAATAGTGACAGAAAAAAAAATAATTTAAAGTATTTAAAAATTCTGGTGGGACCAATTCACGGCCACCGTGTTTTTTTTTTTAAATACTTCAGAAGATGATTTACATTTTTACATCTGATTGTTTGCCACAGGGAGTCTGATGCTGCCATTGGTCTGTATAGGGTCAAGTGTCGGAGCTGCTGTGTTTGTCTGATGTTGCCGGTGTGTTTGGAGAAATGAGAGCAGAAGACGTAGTCAAAGCACCAGAGTAAAGCCCGTCCTACAGTGCGTAACCAGGATCTTATTTAGTGTCCGAAAGGCCCCACCACACAGGTCCAAGCTGCTGCAACCATCAAGCTTTGGGACCTTTGTCATCTCCCCCCTGGACTTTCCTCTTTAGAGCAGAAAATACTGCAGTTCATCACATGACAGGAATGTGAGGATCCATGAATAAAATAACAACAACAACAACAGCAACAAAGAAACAAAAATAAAAACCCACAACAATGTTTTCCACATGGTTTTCTTCACACTGTTTTTCTTCAGTTTATATTTTATAATATATATATTTATATAATCTCTTAAAGTCATTCTGGAAATATTCAGGCCTGTGAGAGATTCAGGGTGACTTCTGGACACCCTCGGGAGACAGTTTGACCCCAAAGTGTGTAACGCTGACGCTCAGGCTCAGGTCGACCCGCGCTGAAGTTGCAGATCTTCCTCCACATCACAGGTTTCCTTCAGGGTTCCTCCTCGCTTCCCTTTGACCTCAGAGTTTCTCAGACGGGGACAATATGGAGGCCGAAGCCCTGGCCCTGCAGTTTGAGCTGGTCTCCATGGTAACTAGTGGCGGTCGTAGGCAGTGGCAGCAGTGGGAGGGGCGGAGCCACGGGATGCGGCACTATAATAATAAGGGGAACCTGAAAGTTAACAGAAGAGCGAGTTGTTGGAAACCACGAGGTCAAACATGATGTGAGACAGGTGAGTAAAACTATGTGGAAGGAAAACCATCAAACTGTTCCAGTGATGATTTATAATGACATAAAAACACCATAAAATGAAATTAAACGTGATTAATGTCGGTCGTTTTTTTAACATATCAGAAACTTACTTAGTAATGCTGGATTGCTGAACCGCCATGCTTCATTGTACGTGGTGTACTGTGGATGAGAGTAAGGGTTTCCAGAAAAGTCCCCTCCTATGACACACAAAAAAGACAGTTTTGTAAAAATTAAGCAAAAACAAAAAACAAAATAAGACATCACAATATTTCAGTTATCAAACGATGTGTCACACCATCTGTAAATCGACTTTTCAGTATCGGGGTTAAAACACTTAAATAAAACAGGATTTTGCAGTATCGCACAGGTATATAAAACATCTGTTTTGGCATGTTGGTTTTAGATCAGGCTTTATCTTAAATACTGCACATTATAGTTATTTTTTTAATGAATTTTTTTGCTGACTAACTGAGCAAACCTGTATGATATGATAACCTAAGGTGTAGTTTTTTAAAGGCAAGAGTCAGAGTGATGCTGTGATTGTCTTTGTCTGTTGTTGGGAACATTTTAGAGTGAAATTAAATTCAAAATCTGTCATTTTAGTTTTCTATCACATTAACATCATCTCACTGAGTTTGACTCACTTTGACTGAAATAAGATTTCCTAGAATTCAAGAGACTCAAGCTCACAAAGCAGCACTTCTGAACTCGCGCCTCCACAGCCGGACATTTCTGTCCTGGCTGCTTGTCCCACTCAAAGTAAATGGATTGCTCTATTAATCCTCTGTTAGTCTTCAGGATTCTCCTACTTTGTCCTTAAGTGAGAATTCCAGCCCTCTTTTCCTTCTTTTAAGCGATGATGCTTCGCTTCAAAACTCCCTAATAGCTTCTCCGAGAGTCTCATTCGCTCTTCGTCCTCCCCGCTCGGGTCGTGGAGGAAAGGACAAGGAGAGGAGGCAGCGGGGACGTGGTAGAGCGATGCTGTGGGTCCACAGGTTTCTTTCTTTTTACGAGACTATAAAGGCTGGGTTTTATATGAAGCTGCTGAAGAACGGCCTTTGCTTTAACAGTGTTTGGGGCCAGTCACTAAATCTTAGTCAGTCACACTCAGGTGCAAAGAAAAACTACGACCTCTGGATTAAAAAGGAAGGGAGCTGTGCTTGTGTGCTAAGTGAGTATGTCCAGAAGCACTCCCCAGTCTCTTATAATCCAATGAAGCAGAGTAATTTCACTCAAAGCATCAGCCTTTACCTCCATGTACATCTGAAAATGTTACCCTCATGCACACTTGTAAATACTGCACGCCTGCTTTGATTATGGGTCAGCATGTAAGGAACAAATCTCGGAGCAATAAAGGGAATTGTGTTTTCAGCTGTTTGTGGAGAGATCTACACATGCTGGCAGCTATAGCATCCTCACCGCTGGTCGTGTAACTCGAGCTCATCCCTGAGAGAGATAGTGATTTAAATATTTACAGGCCCTCCACGCCTCTGTGTTTTGACCCTTAACTGTTTGCTGTGAACCTGAACTGCAGGTTAAGTAGAGGGGAAAGAGATACGCTCGGCAGCCCTGGGTGTCCGGGGAGGCAAAAAGCAGTGTTTATCGATGGGGCTGGGGAGAGCGCGCTGTGTGGACACGGCGAGGGTAATGAGCGCTGGGAGCTGGAGTGTAACTGAGAGGAACTGTCCTATCTCACGGCCACTGATTGTGGTGATCGCCTATCGAGTTCATCTAATGTCCTCGTACGTGGACGCTAACCGCACGCTAACCGCAGTCTAACAAAGCTCTAACAAGCCTGCTTCAATCCTGAGAGTCAGGAGAGGTGTTTCCTCAGCCACTCTGCAGTGTTTTTTTATTTTTTTTATGTAGACTATGTAAGCTCTCAAAGACAACACAGAGAAGCATTTCCACTCGCTTTACCTAAAGTTCTTTAAACAAGATCAACTGAAGGGGACTGTGTGGTGAAAAGAAAGCATGTAAAAGTAAAATTAATGGCACCATAAAAAGGGAGCAGTGTCACCTACCAGGAACCATTCCAGCGAGTGTGGAGGTGGGGTAGCTGCCTTGTCCTGTGGGAGGGACGTGAGGCGGGTAGCCAGGTAGGGTGGTGCTGGCCATGTCTCGACCTGCAGAAAACACAGGAGGACAAGACGGATGCATAAATAACAAGAATGAGGACACAGATTTATGTAGCATGGTGGTAAACAGTACAGTCTATAGTGAGAGTCTCTAACCTGTTAGCTATTAGCTATCACGTCAAAAGCAAAACTACAAAACTACTGCTGGAAAATTAGAGCCTCATCACAACCAGCGGCCTGAGGACACATTTGTCACTCCAGATAAGGATGGAGAGTCTTTTGGATACATGAGAGGAAAAAAATCTGCAGGAATTGGAAAAACACCCAAAGATGAAACCAGGTCAACAACCATGATGTCTGATGATTTGATGACCTGAATATGCAGTATGTTGTTTTTCTAAATTTAATTCTCTTTCCAAGTTTTTAACAAATCTCAAGGTTCTTGAGAATTCAGACCTTTGTGGTCAGCCTTTGTGATGGTAGCACTTTTTGACAAGGTAGCACAACTCAGCAGAACACCTGTGAGCAATTAGCATGCCGTGCTATATTCACATATTGTTAAATTAAATAAATTAAAAGGCAGGCCACCTTACAAGACTCTTATACAGATCCTGACTTATTAATTCAGACTATTATTTTTAATGCAATGAGGAAGCAGCACAACATAGCGACACATTTCAGCCAAGATGTCTGAACTTGGTAAAATATTGTTTTTCCCCAGGGATATTTTGCCACAAGGGAAAATATCCTTCTCACGATAAACTACCATAAAACTGACTGAGAGGATGATGACTTAAACAGAGACAAAAATTAGACTAAAATGAGGATTAGTTATAAAATTGAGTTTCACTGACTGAAGTTGACTTAAACATCACAAAGACCAACCATAAATCTCTGAAGATGACTGAGACTAAAACCAAACTCATTAACTCAATATGCACTAATGGAGAGCTGTCAGATTGAAGAGGCTGTACATGAACAGGCACCACAGATAGCAAAAGTTTGGTGCCTTGCTCAAAGGCTTTTTCAGCATTTCTTGAAAACTGAAAGCTCTCCAGGAGCCAGCAGAGTTTCCTTAGTTTGGTCCATAACAGGGACTTGAACCCATGACCCCATGAGTCTAAACCAAGTCTCTACAGACTGAACTATTGCTGCTCTTAACATCCTCACAGGGTTCAGATTGTTATCAGTTTGAGTAAATATGGATCTCAATGCAAAAGTTTTAAATTTCTATGATATCTTCTGGAATAAATCATCCAACTGCAGTGATGCACATGATCAGTAAAAATAAACAATGCCGCTCTGACAATAAATCACAACTTTATACTTCTCAAATGCAGCAAGATCATCCTGGAATATTGTAATAATAGTAAATAAAAGTCTGCGTTATCCATCCATGGCGTTAACTGCACATGCTTAGAAATACCGCTCTGTTACCCATAAAGGAAAAGGATTCTGCACAGCTGAAAGTGAGGAGCAGAGATGCCCTGTCTGCCTCACATTCACTCCTATAATTGACAGTGACAACACTGGATGAAGGGTCACACAGGACAGAGAGACCCGGGTCCAAATCAGGCCCCAGCATCAGCTTTACATCTCCGCCTCTGCACCCACCCCTCCTCCCCTCCCTGATTTGGCCTCCTCTGGCCCCTCAGACCTCGGGCCTGTCACGAGGCTGGAAGGACCTGGAGGCCTTTTGTTAACTTGGGAGATGAGTAAGGGGTCAGCGCTGGAGAGAAGCCGGGTGGAAATGGGGAGAGGAGTGGGTCCTGTTAATGAGGGGCAAACAGTCAGTTCTGCTCCTGAGCACACAAAAGTGGAGCCACTAAACGCACAATACCTCAGTCTGGTGTTTGCAAATGAGGAAAGAGACAGCAAATAAATACAGGAATAAGTGAACCTCAAAGATTGGACTGGATCTGGTTATAACTGTTTTTTGGGGGTTTTATGGGTAAATCTATAACTGCTGGCATATTTTCTGCAGGCAGCTGGGAGGAGAAGCATCTACAGAGTCTGGACTGACGGGACAAGATGTCAGCTAAAGCAGAGTCTTTAACAGAGGAGGGGAGTAAAGGGAGCAAAAGAAGCCTCAGATGAAGGTGGATATTACTGGTAAAAGAGTCTGCCCACATGAGTCCTGGGATGTTAAAATGCAACTCCACTCATATTATGCAGAGATCAAATGTGTTGCAGCCAAGGTTTGGAGGTTTGACTGTCACGCACTTGTTAATTCACTGATATTTTGCAGCTTTGTAGCTGTCCTTCAGAAATGTAGGTCTATAAAAGCACTCATCCAGAACCTTTTCCTATCTAAAACTTCTGAGTCATTCTTGCAAAAAAACAAAAACAAAGAAACTCATTTTGTTCTTCTTAGTTTAGGTTCAGGTCTGAAGATGACAGTCAAAAGAATGAGAAATGCAACATGAAGTGCGTTTGCCACGAGTAAAAAAAAAACATCCTGTCTTTTGCAAACTCTAGACCAGACGTTTCATATGACTCCTGAATAGATAAGCAGTCTTCAGCAGTCGATTTGTTCATTTGCATAGCTTACAATAATAATCTCATATGCACCCTGCAGTAATTCATTCAGCTAAGTGGGGAACATACACCAGTGAAATGTTGCAACAACACATCGCGCCTGATCAATCAAGCTCAAATGCGTAAAAAATTTCCCAAAGGTTTTGGGAAAACAAACAACATAATCTCACGGCTGCTTTCTCACAACAAAATCACTCCCACAAATACCCAAACAAATCGGCCTGCAGACAGTTCAGAACTCCACACTTTGATCTAATTTGGCTGATGAGTCTTGGCATCTTTCATTTCACCGGCTCTGCCTCTTGAACCCTTGCAATCAATGTGAGCTCTGTCTCCGTCTCCGGCCTCGCCGCGTCTGCCGCAGAGCTCGCTCTGTTCGCTGGGGCCTGCGGGGAGAGATGGCTCTTTCTCGACACCATGATAGCCTCATTAGCTGCTTCCCCCGTCATTGTTATTTTACAACAGGACTGTGTGTTGCGATTCCTCATTAAGATAAGGGCTGTTCTATGGAAAGGGGGGATGCAACCCTGTCAGCCCTATGAACCTTATGCCAGAGAATCAGGCAACGTAACTGACTGTTTTTCCCATAGAATTCCTCAGCAGGTTCTCCTGCCCTCTCTTTCTCTGTGGCAGCTGTTAAAGTGGACTCAGACGGAGGAAGAAGTGCAATTACACTAAATACTCTTATCTTATCGAGACAAATGCCAGATAAGGTTTAACAAAGTAAGTTTTTAACATATGATCAAATCATTAAAAAGAGTGGTTGACATGAATCTCTGACATGTACAGAAATATTCTAATGAGTGGACTTTGCATTTAATTGGACAGTCCTAAAGTTTGTCTCCTGCAAAGTAAAGATATGACATAAATCTACTGGAATGAGTTCTTCAGTTCATTATATCTTACATGGGTCTATTTAAGTCTTTGAATTTAGAGTAGTTTTTAAAAGTTGAGCCACGCTGAAGTTGATTAAGGTGCAAATTTACCCTCATCTACCCCAAAAAATACAATTCTTTAGATACAAGTAGTCACAGTACTTTTAAAAGGACAGGCCTTAGACCACCATTCAGATATGGTGGGTTCTGCTTTCCTTGTTTAGGTTTTCTTCATGTACTCATACAGATTATGCAATTTTACTTTGTTAACCCTCATTCAGGTCACGAATCTAACCTGCAAGACAATACCGAGGGCACCAAACCTGAACACAAGGCAAAACACCGTATATCCAAGACCTCCTCTGTACAGCCGTTGGCTTCTGTTTTCTCAGCCCCTAAGCAACCGTTGTCAGACACACAACAGGTTACGACACAACAACAACCGCTACAAACGCTGCGTTCAAGACCACTGAACTCTGAAACTAATCAGACATGGTGTTGCTTATTGTCCTGGAGACGAGGCAGAGCCTGGGTAAAGGGAGTCTGTCAAATCACGGGCTCTGATGATGGAGATGGAAGATAAACTCAGGGTCCTCGGGGACTCCTCTACCCACCAAACACATCTCTGAGCGGGTGGAGACGCTATAGAGTTCTCCAGCATCTGTCTCTGCTACGTCCACAGACCCCATCAACCATAGAGATGAACTGTTCAGAACCTACAACGGTCCTCAGAGCGATGCGTCCAGATATAGCTGCAACAGCGTTCTCTCATGTGGGCATTTCATTTTTAAACGTACACTGAGGAACTGGCTGCAAACATTTACAGACAGAACTCTTGTTTACAAAAGCTGACATTCGGTCTGCTGAGAACTTCTTCATCCCTACAGTAGGTAGGTGAAAGATCTCATAAAAACTCTTCTTTTTTTTAAGTTCACACGCCAAAACAATCCCAATTTTCAAAACCTGCGTTCAGTTGAGACTCCGCTGAGCCAAACAGCATATTTATACTCCATCCATCGTCTAAGTCATTCATTATCAAATGTGTGCTTAAAGGTTAGTGTGCTGTTGAGGGAGTTGATATAAACATTAATTTCTAAGCTGAGGGCTGTGAGCTCAGACAAGCCGTTTGTCACTAGGCCACACACCAGGCGCTGCAGGTTAGGCTGCTGCTTGTTGTTTCCCACCCAGCAGAGAAAAGCTGGTGCTGCCAAGTCACATAGTGGGCTCATTTTCCATTAAATTCATCCAAAATAAAGCATTTCTCACCTCTGTTCTCACACCTCTACGGTTTTTGAATATCTTCATTTAAAGAAACAAAGATAGACACGAGCTAATACAGAGATGGACAAATGGATTTTACACCCAGCCTCCTTGTAGTCTCTGGAGCACAGCGTACATCAAGACTACAGTACTCTTGTTCAAATCCATTAAAGCTGCTAAAATATTACATTATTATTTTTGGTTTGTATTTAAAAGGGCTTGTTTTCAGGATTACAAAAGTCCAACTTATGATGTACTGGATGTTGTTTTGCTAATTAAATAGAGAGGTAAAATATCAATACTGCAATATACTGTTGTTGTTTTGACTCATGTAACATAATTCCTATAATCCTGGTGCCAAACTTCTATAATCATATTTTAATTTCAACCTAATTTGGCTCTCTTAACAAACTTCCCTTCCAATTTGACTCACCTTTTTACTGCTTTATGAATCAGAATCGCTCTAATGTGATATTAATGTTATTATATACCATGTATCATGAGTCACCCAGCAACTCCCAACCCTTTTGCTAAAGCTCTTCAGGTATTAACAGACGATTGTGGACACATACAGCAGAGACTGGGGGGTCAATAGTGGCACACTGTTCTGTCAATGCTCCCTGCACAGATCATGTAATCATGTAAGAAATGCACAACACCACAAAAATAAGATAATACGATATTATTTTGGTTGGTTATGTCTGTCCATAAATAGGATAAATAAACAAGTTTAATTCCAACATTTACTAACTAATCAAGTCTTTTTGCAAACTACAAATATAACAACTATTATTTATTTTCCTGTAGAAAAACTTTTCCATAGTCTTTGTTGCTTCCTTCTAACTACCAGTGGGGCATTTCAGCGCTCTAAATCTCCCTCTGATTTCCTCTTCCTCCCTCTTCCCTAGGTAACTGTCTCTTTCACACATTAGAGTAAACAGAGGACACAAAAATGGCCGACATTGCCTCTGCTTTGGCGCCCTTGGAATGCAAACTGAGCACTTCATTAATCATTCATCTTTAATAGATTATGCAAATTCCAGGACATAAAAATCAACAAGATCAATAACTGTATGAATTTTAATTGGGAGCAGAAAACATTTAAAGAATGAATATAATCTCATAGCTCCATCCAATATGAGAGGATAATTTATTGATAATTGGATCCCAGCCTAAGTGAGGAAGGTAATTTAGCATTTTTCAGCCTTGGCATACATTCCTATTTACAGGGTTTGCTAATGGCAGAAAAAATAATATTATGCACTGACATTCTACATCCAATCAAATGCCTCATGCATTACTTTGCAGGGTCGTTAAAATTAAGTCATAAAAGTTTACAGGGAATTACTTCCTGGTTTAATTTGGAGCTCAGAATAGATAAATATTTTCAGATGCGAGTGCTCAAACATGTTTCCAAACTTTACTTAAAGAAAAGTTTTGTTAGCCTGCCTCCTCATTATGCAATCTGTGGCCCTCACATGTATCGCTTTAGGAGGCCCCGGGCCCCCAGGTGGCTTGAAGGCCACCTGCTATGAGTGTGCTCCCCAGAGCGAGACCGCTTTCATAGGAGGAGCCAGGCATAAAAGACAAAAACACACCTTTCTTCTCCTGAGGCCCAACTTTCAGGGGCAAATCTACCTCCCACATATTCAGGAAAAAAAGACTCTTTCTTTTCTCGCAGCTCTGCGCCGGGGTCCGGGGCTGGACTATAGGGATCATTTGAGAAGGAGCATGGCAGTTTTCAATCATGCTGTCCTCCTCCTCCTTACCTACTCCGTCTCTCTCTCTCTCTCACACACACACACTGGACTCATTGACTTCCATGCCCACTGAATAATTGTGGGCGTTTTATTAAAAGGCTGGTATATTATTCTCAAGTCAGTAAACCTAACCTCTCCTGGGAAAGAGCCTCAGCAGAAACAATATTTCAATTAACCAGGCGGACATCAAGCTGGACAGCAGAGCAAAAGAAGCCATAGTGCGATGCAGAGCGGGATATATGATACAGATAGTTAATACTACAAGATATTTAATACGCTGCACCTGCCATTACCTGTTGGCTCTTGGTAGGAGTTACTTTTAAAACAAGATCTAGTTCACAGGTTGGGAAAAAAATCTGTAATTTCAGTCTTTCTGTATCTGTCTTTTTCTCCACAGCATGAGGCAGCCAGCCAGCCACACTGCCATTCCAGCCGCTGTCAATCAACAGGCTATCATAGCCTTTGATGACAACGTCGTGTCGCGGGCGAGAACAGCAGCTGTCTCTCATGAGAAGTGCTCCCAGTCAATCTGTTAGCGGGCCAATCCAGGCTAACACAATAGCCAGTTAGGAGCAGCGTGTGAAAGGCCTGTAGGATTTAATGGGCTCAGATGATATATCGCCTCGCTCTGTCCCGCTGAAAATAAACACACTGAGTGCCGCAAAAAAAAGTGGCTGGAAATAGTTTCTTTCATTCAGTGGTGAGAATTTTATGTAGCTGGGAAAAGTGTGCGCCATAAGGAGGTGATGAGTCAATGATGCTGCAGAGGCAGGTTGGGTTTTTAGTACTTTGACAAAGTTCGACGAGAGATATGAAGCCACAAATGACTGACTCATTACTGATCAACTGGAGCTATTAAATGTGGTAAAGTTTAACTTTAAGTTGAACTAAAAGCTGGAAATTTTGCTTTTTTTCCTTCCTCCAAGAACAGTTTGGGAGACGCATCAACATGAGGAGCCTTTGGCAGCAGAAACAGAGCAAAATGCAGCGCAATATCTGTGTCAAGTTCTGAGTTTGACCACCTTGGCACGGTTGTCCTCAGCCCGCTGCAGCTGTGTTTTATTCTTTTAGGGATCAATCTAGCGTGAGTCAGACTGTACCTGTCACAACAGAGTAGCTCTGGGAGACACTGGAGGCGAGCTCGGAGCTGGCGCTGGTGGAAAGACTTGGCTTTACATCTTCCAGGCCAGTGTTCAGGGAAGGGAGCGAGTACTCATTGGCCTGTGGACAAGCACACAACAAATGCAAAAATATGTCAGCAGAGGAAGGCACATGTAAGTAGGCGGGAATCAAAAAACAGCATCTTTTCGCACAGATTTCACTTTAATATCATAAATTTCACTTGTGTAGCGCCCTAAAGCTCACTTTCGGTGTTAGATTCAAATCAGATTTCACAGTTTGGGAAACATTATATGAATTATGCCTTATGAAAACCCCTGGAGGATCCTAAAGGTCCGCCTGTGATCCTCATACTGCATTTCCCTCTGAATATTTCCAGTGAATTCTGTGAACAATCCCCCCAACCAGCCCGTCCTGTACCCGCTCCCCATGCTTTACCAAGACCTATGATGTATGCATGCATTAAGGCTTGTCTGAGGAGAAGGCAGGAAGGGAGAGAGGGATGAGAGAGGGATTGGGAAAGGAGTGAAAGGACGGGGTGTCAGCTGGCTCTTTGTGCTCCACTGCAGTCATCCCTGTGACCAGTCAAGGGAGGAGACATTCAGGGCTTTGTTACAGGAGAGACATGTGGTGTGCTTTTTTTAAAGGGGAGTACAACCTCAAAATCAGCCTTTGTGCTTTGTTTCTAAAATGAACACAAAAATCATGGTTATTAAAATTTTTTAAAGTGTGTATTGTTTTACAGATTTTTTTTTTCTTTACTTGCTAAACTACATATTTATTTTTCTTCATGTTGAAGGTTTTTTTGTTGTTGTTGTTGTTTTTAATGATTGTGATTGAATGTGCAGGTGCATCTGTATTCTAGAAAAAGAAGCTCTTGCTGTGATGCAACATGATAAAGTGTGAGATAGGACGACGCAATATGAATCATAAAACACGATACAGTATGACACAATGCTATATGATATGATATACTATAATGCCATTCGATACTGTACCCTAGTACACAATAATGTACCAAAAAATATGTAATACGATACAACATACAATATCAAACTATATGTCATGTTACAATACATAACTATAAAATGATATATGTTACAATACAAAACAGTACTATGCTGTACCATCTGATCTGATACGATACGATATTACATGATACGATATATGATATGATACGATCCGATACATTACAATACAACACGACACAAAAAGATTCGATATGATATGACGTGATACAAAACATTACGATACAACACGATACGATTTGATTATATGATATGATACGATACGTTATGTTACGATACGTTACGATACAATTCAATATGATATGACACAATACGATACGTTACAATACAACAAAATACAATACGATGATATGATACGATATGTTTAGTTATGTTACGGTACAACACGATTCGATACGATACGATACAATACAACACAATATGATTCGATATGATACGATATAATACGATTTGATACGTTACGATACAACATGACACGACTTGATAAAATTCACGATACAATAACATAGATTTATTCTGGTGGGGAACAGATGTTGGATATGGATACTGTGCACTCACAGCGGTGGGATTTTTAATTGAAAAGCAATGAAATGAACAATGAATAAAAATGAGCTTTTATCTACCAATCACACACAAACTGTAGATTACCTAGTTGTGTATTGCTTATAGTCTGAAACTGCCCCATCACACCTAATGTGAGGTTCAGTCTAGTCCCTTCAGTAATTCTCTTTAATCTGAAGTTAAGCTAGCAGCTGTGATAAATCCTGTTTGTTAATGAGATGACACTTCCTGACCCGACTCTTCTTCCTCTTCTTTGAAAGGATAAGTGTGTGTGCACACGTTTGTATCTGCGAGTGTTTGTATCAGAGTGCATCTGTTTGTCTCAATGGGCCAGAGGTCCCACAGGGGCGAGTTGGTGACCCCAGTCTTGTCTGCCTCTATCCCAGATAAACTCTAATTGTCTGCTTACAACTGTTCCCTGGCACTGGGCTGGATGTTCTTCTCTATTCCGCTGGGCCTCTGCAGCACAAGAGCCATTTTGTCATGCAGATGGGCTGTGGGCAGGGCTGGGCAGGGCTGGGCGGAGGGCGAGTGGCGAGCACAGAGGGGCCTGAATGACCCGACCACATGGCTGCCAGAAGTGTGGGAGGGATGAGGCCTATTCAGCCTGGCCTCTTCAAAATGGCTTTTTAATGCCCTGACGCAGACACCAGACAAGCCCCTAATAGCCTAATATCCCACCTTTTCACCAGTTTAAGAAAAGGAGGGGGTGTTGGAAACAGGGAGAAAAGAGGAGGCGCGCAGAACGGGTGGAAAGCAGCCTGATTAATATTACATTAAATTAAAACTGATTTTTCTGGACTATTCTGATGCCGTTTTTCACCCCCCTCCTCCACTTTCTCCCCGCCTTTTTAATACCTTCTCCTCCAGTCTTTGTGATTGCAAGTCATTTCCAATTCGTTTTGGTATTGATCTTGCCGTAGAAATCACTTTGGTAATTAGCTGCATTAGGGGCTGTATAGCAGGCTGAGGGGCTGTCCCTCTGATTTATCGCCGCTGTAATTCCCCGCGATCGCGCAGAGATGAAAATGAACTCAATTAGGGCACTGCTAAGGCTGCATGGGCACCCACATAGAGTTCCAATAGAAAAATTAATAGTCCTCTTGTTGTTTAACAGTCTAATGAATGTAAATAAAGGTTATCCAGTGTAATAGGCTGTAGGCTTGTAGGTTGCTTTGAGTAAGAAGTTGCAGAAAGCTTTTTGTCACCTGTGTCGGAATAAAATAGCTCTAAATAATCCACTAAGAATTTGATGTGGATTGTTTAATTTTTGACTACAGGAGTTTAAAGAAGAATGGAAAGGGGGGAGGTCATATTTTAGTGCAATGCTGGGGTGTAAAAAGAAGGTATCAGTCTGGTCTACCTGTTCTGGTTTGATGTGTTCTGAAGTGGGGAAGACATCAGGGTAAGACGGACGTTCAAAAACACGGTCCAGGGCCTCCAGCTGCTGCTGAGTGAAGGCGTCTGCCCGCAGGTGCTTCCTTAAACTCTCCACACTGCCCTGTGAGTCGCTGCCAGGGCCCGAACCATCAGAGCCATCTAGAAGAAGGAAGAGGAAGAGGAAGAGGAGGGAGGAAGAGGAGGAAGGCAACAAAATCTGCATCAGGACATAGCTTGAGTCTTTTTTAATTTGAGTTTAAGAAAGATCAGCATGAGGAGAAATTTGTTTTGAGCTCAATGGGTGTGAGAATGATGGCGGATGAGGAGCAGGAGTAAATTCAGGGAAACCCACAAGCATGTCTGCCTTTTATCTCCCTCTCTATCTTCCTCTCACACATACATATACACTCACTCAAGCACCCCCCCTCCACCATCCTCTCCTCTCCTCTCGGCCGCCATCAGCACGGTCATCATGTGATAGGTCTATGGTAATTGATGGATTACCTTCAGTGCAAATATATACTTGTAAGGGAGAGCGTGTGTTTCAGGAGGAGAAACTGGGGCTGCCGATTACATACAGAGCCTCTCATTCTGCTGGCGGGAAATGGAGAGCCATTATTTAACTGCACTATTTCCTCCTGAACATATTACCCTTCCCTCTCTCTGTCTCTCTTTCTCTCCCTCCATCCTCCCCCCCTGCATATTGCCTGTCCTCTGGAAAACAGAATGGAGTGGGGACGGCACTCAGGGCCGAATGAGGACGGGGCGTCGAGGGCAAGCGTATGCATTTCCTCACTTGGTCACACTCTATATAAACAAATGAGCCTGTGCTCCCCTCGTTCTCCTGATCTCTGACCCTATCAACTCGGCCACTGCGGCTGCGGCAGCTCTCCCTGCGCTCCCTCATCAAGTCCTGAACACCGGACGAAAAAACCATTCTGCAGCTAAAACCTTCAGCCGGCATCCCAGAAACCTCCACTCTACTTCCCAGCCTCCTGCCGCCCTCCCTTCCTCCCTTTTTACCCGGCCGCCAACAGCGGATGAGGGCTTTAGCTCCCATACAAATCTGTCATTCTAAATTTGCAGCAGATTATGTTCTCTCCTGGGCGAGCCGGCGGTGATATATGATATGCAAGGCCGCTATTGATTGCCTGATCCGCCGGCAGAGGAGGGGAGGCGAAATGAACTTGGAATGAACATCATGCCTCAACTCATTGTGCGTATAATACTCTACTTAATCCCACATTTTTCTGTGCTATGGAATTCAATTGATCAATCATGTTCCACTGATGGTACCATTTCAGGGGCGTTATTGCCATTCTGCTCGGCTGCTTGACCTTTTTTCAATGGCTGAGGCCAGAGGATGAACCCGACTCGCACCAAGAAATAGATCCATGAAGAGAATGGAATCGAGGGCTGCAATTGGGTATGAGTGTGCAGAGATGGCGGTGTGTTTCACAGCTGAAATATATTGACTGTAGCTTTGTCTAACATTTATGAAGGAATTAGGTTTTCTCCGGGCACATGTGTCAATTTGACCAGATATTTTAGCTCTCTTGAGTAGAGAGCTAGCAGTAGTGTTATCCGAGTATGAAACTCGGTTGTTGTCTGTGGTACAGAAGAAAATGGAGTCATTAATTACCTCGTATCAGCTGGTCTGAGAAAAGAGGCAAACCGGATCAATAGCAACTGTTTGTCATTCACTGTGGAGGATACTCAGCTCAACCTCACATTTAATAAAGCCTACTGAACAGGCAAAAAACAGGATGATTTTTGGTGCCTTTTTTGTTACGAAAACAACATACAATGAAATTAAAAGTCCACTTGCCAAGCCTGGAGACTGACTGACAGATATTCAAACTGAAAAAAAAGCACATTGGCACTCTAGGATGCTGTAAAATGTTTGTTTAATCCTGAAATGAGGAGTGAAAGAGGCCTCGTTTTTAACCAGGTTTAGTTTGGACATCACATCCCGAACTCCTCTCCTATATAAGTGAATATATTTCAATTTTATGTGCTCAAAAAATTACTGATTTGGCCTTTAAACGGTAAAACTAGTAAATCATTTATTTTCAGAACTCACCATTAGAGCTTCATGTTTGACATATATCATAAGATAGCTGCAATAAATCAGATTCATCCTTTGACAGTCAGCGTGTCAAGTGGGGTGTGAAGCCCGACTGTCAGATCCTGTGCGTGCGTGCGAGTGTGTGTGTGTGTGTGTGTGTCAGTGTGTGTCTCATTGACTGCCTTGTTTCATTTTCGCTGTGTTTCTTCAACCCCTCTGGGTGTCTCAGCAGGTATTCTCTTATCTCTCCCACAGCACCAGCTGACTGCGTCTCTTCGTTTTAACACCAAAGTGTGAGGAGACAAAAGCGAGATAAAAACAAGACTCTCCAACGGTGACACTCACACATCAACGCCAAAGCGGCTTACTTTCTAGTTAATACTTTCTTTGATCAGCTTTAACAGACAGGTGCTGTTTGGGCCTTATTGAGCCACATATACTACTCCAAGAAACGGATGAAACAAGTTGTTGCAAAGGCAATCCTGGTCCAACATGGAAGTTTTCTTTGCGTTATAAATTGAACGTTCTTGTCTTAATTTGAACAAATGTTTCTGTTTTATTATTTTGTCTTTTACGGTTTAAAATGATCGAGTTTCATATAGTTATCATTTGAAACTGAAAAACTAAACTAAGCTTTGATAAGAAACAAAGCTAACTAACTTCAGCCCTGTACACACACACACCTACATGTCTGACCAATGACAGAAACTACGGTGACACAGACCACAATGGTATCAAAAGCTGCTCTGTTTTGCTTTGTCTCTAAGGGGGATGTTAACGTCCTGTGGTGGCACGGTGGTACTTTATGTCCTTCTTTCATCTCCCCTGTTCCTGTGATAAGATAACTCAGAGGAGAAGAGAGGAGAAGAGGAGAGGAGAGGTGGGGGATGGAGGGTTGGGAGGTGTGTGTGTGTGTGTGTGTGGGGGGGGGGGGGTGCTTGTTTGAAAGGCAAATGAATTCCTCCACACTGCCTGGCGCTCTCCGTAAATCAATGGCGCGGGGTTTCCCAGATCAGAGGCTGCGAGTGCTCCGCTGATAGGTGAAATGATGCCATCGCAAATTGTGGATCATTTGTTGATGTTTTTAAAAATGCAGTTATGCTTGAGAAAAAGAGAGAGAGAGAGAGGGAGACAGAGGGAGCAAAAGAGGGAGAGAGAAAGAGGGAGAGAGAGAGCGCAAACAAACTGGTATACCCAGAGGGTGAACACTCCTCCCCTGTAAGCTAGCTATATTTATGAAAGCTCTGAAGCGGAAAGGAGAGAGGTGGTGGGTGGGAGAGAGAGAGGGGGAGAGAGGCAGCAGCACTGCCATGGCTGTTAAGATCCTGTTATGTTGTGGCGTGTTTAAGAGCTTTATTAATTCGATTTAGCACCACCAACCAGTGTACTGACTGTCAGCGGGCAGAGAGATGCTTATGTGATGTTTGCACTTACTGCCAGCATGAAGAGTGAGGGGATGGTCTTTTGAAGGCCTCTGGTTACTTTATTTACTTTGACTTTAAATGCAAGAGTCAGGAAAATGCAGAAAATCAAAATAAAAGCGCTATCTGTTGTTTGTTTTTATCTTTTATAGACTGAGCTGGACTTAAACTGTAGAGTATAATTTCTGCACACATCTAAGTGACAAAATATCCAGGTTTGATGAGGTGATGGCAGAAAAATAGATTAGAGAGGATTAAAAATGAATAGTTAAAATACTTTTCTATTTGTTTTGAATTGAAGGAGAGAAAAAAGATTTTCCGACTCTGTTAAAAGCTAAATAATTTGAGCTCATCCTCTCCCTCTTTCCCATCTTTTCCTTTGTCCTCCTCTGCTTTCGTCTCTCCCTCCTCAAGACCAGTCTGTCGTTTAGCGTTGCCACCCTGTGCTGCAAGTATTTGTGGAAAATGCAATTAACGTATCCCCTCTTTTCTCTCGCCTTTTCTCCCTCCTCAAGCTGAGTAATGCATCGCTCCATTAATTCTCGGCATCGCTGCCCGTAATTGACTTTTCTCTGACATGATTCCTCTCCATTGAGTGAATTCTCTCTCCTTATATTTTTGTGACGGGTCTCATTGTGTGTTGTTTACAACTGTACGTCGGGTCTCGCGCAGCCATGTTTGTGAAAGTGAACGGTTAACCCGCAAGACTCGGGGAAGAGGATGATAAGAGGAGAAATTAAATGTTGAAGAGGAAGAGCAAAGGAGGAGGAGGAGGAGGAGGGGAGGAGAAATGCGATGTGGACCCTTTTGTGTCCTCCTCTACTGTTGGGGCCCTAACAGCTTCTTGTCTCTGTGTTACGCTCTGTGGCCCCTCTCAAACCTGAGCCTTTCTCTCTCACACACACACCCCATCAGAGCCATCATGGTGCTCATGATTCCATTTATTTCTGCCTCACTCTGGATGCATTTATTTTCTAAAGTGATCCTCTATTGACTCATTGTCATGGACTGGCTTGACTAGCCAACCAGTGTAGGCCCAGGTTCAGATCCATACACTAACTGATTTGAACTCTACAAATGGGTCGTATGTGTTAAAAGATACACTACGAGCCCGCTTCAAAAGGGGCCAAATATCCAATTTGAACAAATCAAAACAGCCACTGTATTCATTTTTTTCCCTGCACCTATTGAACAAGGTTGATATGACTCTCTCTTTTCATGTCATGAATGAACAACCTGCAGGGCCGTATTTTTCTCCTCCTCCTGCTCATACACTCCTAAGCTCCTTCTACACTCATCCCACACCCACGCTACAATCACAAGTTATGACCTTTGCTTTCTCCATCTGATTTATCACCGCAGCTCCCTGCTGCCTGTCCTCCCCGGAGCTCCACCGGGCTCCATCCCGGGGCCCCCGATGAGAGAAACACACAGTTAGGTCACATCAACCTGACTGCATACAGCAGCAGGGTCAGGAGTGAGCTGTCACCGTGCGCAAGACAAGGAAAGCGTCGAATTTACATGAAATTATCGCCCTTTGAAAGAAGAGGAAATCTGAGCGGATGTCTCAGGAAACTTTACGCAAGAAACAACCAGAAGCTTCAACTTTTCTGAGGACTGCATGGACTTCCCAAGCAATAATACACATTTGACAATCTCCCTGCAGTTGTCACCTAATCCTCTCCCTCTTTCCTTGGCTTCCACTGCCACCATAGGTTTAAATGACTGAGCGAGAGCATGCTGTACAACAGGCTAATTTCCCCACTTCACTATTAATGCATTTGGCAGGAACAACATTCCATTTCCTGTAATGAGATACACAAATAAATCTGGCTATGGATAGACTCGCTGGTGGTGGTGGGAGGAGAAGGGAGAGGGTGGTGGAGGGGGTTATGTGGGGGGGTGCATTGAGACGCATTCTCCCAGCACTGGCATAATTGGTATCGCTGCTTGCAGACATGCAAACCAATCTCTGCACAGATAGGGCTGAGACTCTCTTTTCCCCCCTTAAGGCTATTTCTTTTGTCTTTGCGATAGCTTGCACATCCAAGATAAAGGGAGGGGAAGAGGGGGGAGATGTTAATTTGTGAATTAATAGCTTTTCTCTGCAGAATTGCAAATTCTTTTAAATGTCACTATGTTCACTGTGCGAGGAGCATCTGAAAGTTGCAAACAGACACACACTCTGCGCGCACATTTAGCTGCAGCAGGTGTGTGTGTATATGTGCATGCACGAAGCCTGAAACTAATCCTTTCTCAACTCCTCACTCCTTTCCTTTCTTCCACTTTTTCTCGCCCTCTCCTCTGCTCCTCTTCCTCCTCCCATCTTCACTCTCGCAGCCGTCCAGTGTAACATGCTACTTTTAATTTGCAATAACACATGACAAGGACAGATTAATGGCTCTTATGGCACCTATGTCCCTGAAGCTCGTCGTACGGGGGACCCGGTGTACATAACGCGTGTCACACTACATTATCTCTACAGCCCTCCAGTAATAGGGACCTTTTTCTTCCTCAAAGGGCAACCGCTGACTTCAGCCACACCGAGATCACATGGTAGCACTATCACAATTCTGTGCAAGCCGTTTTCATAGTCATTATGGTAAAATAACCACAGTGCAGCAGATACAAAAACACTTATTTATCCTTTTATATATTCATGTGTTTACTAAGTTGTCTAGCAGGTGAAACACTCAGCTAACTCTGAAACTTGCAGTTTTGTTTGGTTGGAATAATTATTAAAATATAAGCAGTTGAAAATTACAAGAAGAAAACACAGTCTGTTAAATAAGAGGAATTTTACCTTGATGTTTTTATCTGCTAAACTCTGAATAAGCTGCATTGTGATCCTGTATATCAAACCAGAGGCAATTATATGGAAAATAGGATTTTCTACAGTCACTTTAGCTTCATTTTTTTCCTAATTTCCATGGAGATTATTTATTGAAAGAAAAAAAAAACCCTCCCCATCTCATCCTCATGAGCTCATAACCCTGAAAGAGCAGAAACAGTCAGTAGAGAGGAAAGTGTTGTGGTCTGATTGACCAAAGCGAAAGAGAAGGTTGTCTAACTTCAACTTACAATGTCCTATTTTCCTTCCATCCAAGTGGTTGCCACTCCAGAGAACTAAAGAGACAGAAACATAAAAAAAGGAAGTGGCCTGTTGTGATGAGTGCTCTTTGAGATCATTTTCAACCATATCATCCCATCAGCCCCCTCAAAGCAGCACACACAAAAACACACACGCACACAAAAACACACTCACACACAGACACAGACACAGGCAGCCCCCTCCCCTCCTGCACCGGTCTGTTCCTACACCTGTTCAGGCCTCCACCAGGGACATGTTAATTCATAGGCATTAAAAAAGCCAATTGTTTGCAAAACCGATAATCTATTAGCCCTCAGGCGGTGTGTGTCCACTCTTGTGCCTTGGAATGAGAAATTCTGGCTTGGACCGGATAAGCTTGCACTTAATCTTTGAGCATATCTAGGTCTGTTTTCATGCCAGTCCCCTGGTAGTGTGAAGTCTGCTCGATGGTTTTAAAAAATACTCCAAATTGGATGTTTCAATGCTCTCAAGCATCGTAGAACCAAATTAAATCTTTTGGAAATGTGTTTTTTTTTAAAGAAATTAAATAACTGTCTCAAAGTATCAGTTCAGATCTTCTTTTTCTTTCTTTCTTTTTTTTTTACACGATAGAAATAAAATAAGGAGCAGCAGCAGGGATGTCTTGCCAAAGGGGGGATTAGAGTTGTATGACAGCTAAGCGGGATATCTACAGTACATCTTAGCATGGTATAAAATAGAGATGCAGCTCTGAAGGCGTATGGTAAAACACAGGGCATCAAAAAAAAAAAAAGCTGATTGAATCACAACACTCTCTCTTAACACTCGCCCCAGCCTGATATACAACATAACAAGTCACTGGAGACAGCACACAGAAACACACTCGGCTGCAGCGCTGTCATAAATGCCATCTTCTTCTTCTTTTTCACACACAGGGAAAAAATGTAGGAGACGAGTGATGGAGAGAATTAAAGGGATGGAGCAAAAAAAAAAAAAGGGTTCTTGTGTGTTTACTTTTTCTTACCATCGTCTCGTTTCCTCTTCTCGCCGTTGGAGCGGGGGATACCCAGAATGCCATTGATGGAGTAGGATCCTACAGGGTCGTTGGAGGCGCTTGTCACAGGGGGTGAGGCCGTGCTGGGCACTGTTGGAGAAAGCAGGAGTAGAGTGGGTTTTATTTGTGTTTTTATTCCTCTACATGTGTTAAAAAAAGTGTGTTTATTCGTGCATTTTCGTTACATCGTGCTGTACTTTCTCCTTTTTTTCGCTCACCTATAGTGTGTCCGGGCGTGGAGAGTGGCGTGACAGATCCATCAGGGGACGGGTGGAATTGCTGTTGGACTTTGGTGCGGATAATCCTGGCAAAGTGAACAACAGACACGGATCAATCAATACGGCTTCCAGAGCATGGAGATTTCACACCAAAACCCAGGCGCCCCGGCCGCCAGCCGGGACACTTAAACACGCCACATCAGGTCCACTTACACCCGTGCATGTACAAGTGCTCCACCGTTTGGGGGCAGCTTGTATCCTCATATTCAGGCGCCCCTCCTCAGTCACAAATAGCCAATCTCGGGGCTTTAGGGCCAATCTCTGTGCTCCTGTGTGAGGCTGAATGGGTTCTGCCCCCTGAGATTGTGGATTCAATCTAGCTGGATTCTGAGGTTAGAAATATGATAAAGTCCCCACAGCAGTAAGATGTGATGTGGCGGGAAAGTCTTCATTGCACTTTGGTCTGAATGATCTTGCAAACAAAGCATGAAATCACATCAATTCACCTCAATGATCAGCTTCACTGGCTCTACCTGGCCAACTCTAATAATCTCCCTCTCCTGCTCCCCTCTCCCTCTTTTCTCCCCACTCTCTCTCTCTTTATCTCTCCATCGCTCAAAGCTGATCTTTCACTCCTCTCTCTCTCAGAACCTCATCCTCTTTTTTTCTCATTTCTTCTCTTTGTACTGTACTTCACAATCTCTGTCTTCCAAACCCCTCATCTCTCTTTCTCCTCTCGTTGATTCCTCTATTTCATTCCTGTCCGCTCTCTCTGCTGTAGTTTTTTGGTCTTTTTGTTGCTCAGTGTTGCACACAAGAGTCCTCCAGGCTCACCGAGGATCAGGGCTTATATTGATTGGGACTCCAGGATGGAAAAGTTGACGACAAATGGCGGTGAGGAACCACAAATGCAAATGGTGATCTATAAATTACATGTGACAGGAAAGCAATAGTGTCTTATTGGGCGAACCTGAAACCTACTGCTACATCCAGTGTCTGATAATGTGAAATCAGAGGCCTAAGAGATAATGTAACATCTGTAAATTTGAGGTTTGGTGTAATTCTTCAAAAGGTAGAGAGGGATTTAGTCTAGCTCAGCTTTAGCTCTTATGGGACGTGATCGCATTACATTAAACCATGACTGTGGTAATCTTTTGATTGACAGATGAACGTGAGATCATTGACTAACAGGCAGCGTTGTGTACCGACAGAAAATCCCACATGGACGCCCCTCTCGCAGGAGAGGTGTGACAAAAACAGACTTTTACAGACTGCAGATGAGGAGAACGAGGTTTCATGCATGCAGCAGTGAGCCATCAGCTCTGACTCAGGCAGCTATGGGGTTAAATTCCTCAGGGGGCAAAAATGTACATCACACTCTTTTCATTCCCCTCACTATCTCATGTGTCCTCCATGCTCTCTCCTCCTCCAGGCAGAGCAACAAAGGCTCCTCCAGAAAACACACACATCAATATTTTATTTGAATTTCTAACATCTCACCACAACAGTTATCTGACCTCATGACTCGAGGGAGCCTCATAAATTCAAGGACTTTGTTTCAAGTCTAACGTTGTTGCTATTGAATAAGCAATCTGGGATGGCTGAATTAACGGCGTCTGCGTTTGGGTGTTGTAAAGAAAAAAAAATATCTCCAAAGAAAGATTAAAATGTGGATCAATACGATTGAAAGCCGCTTAGGAGCTCCTGGGTTCGCCTCTGTCTCCAGCGGGTGGAAACTCCTCTCTGCGGCGGCAAAACAAAGTGCAACCCAGTCTGTGTGTAATCTTTAATAATTCATGCAGGAAAAATGTGTTTAAAGCCAGGACATCCTCTTTAGTCAACAGAGCAGAGGTCAGACCTCTGTAACCACAGAGACCACCAGGGGTCCACTGTGTTGGTCTCTCTCTCTCTCTCTTCTTTCTCTTTTTCTCTCTGACTGGCTGACTTCTCTTCTTCCTCCTCCACATGTTTCCCAACCCTCCCTTTATAACCAACAACATGAGACTACATTAAAACAGCCTGTAATGTGAAAATCATGGATAATTATTACTGAAGTTGAGCTTTGTATGCGTTTAAACCCTCCTGTGAATTTTCAGTTTGTTAAAGGGATTTAAATTAATATTTACCCAAAGCTAATGAGCATTTAAGGAAGTCAAATAAGAAGAATAAAACCTGCTTTTTGTTACATAGTGGTTCATTTAAATTTAAGCTGCTTTTCTTTGGATTTTGTGACTGAATCTACCGCCTCTTTTTTAAAGGTGCATTAAAAATAAAGAATTTAACATGCAGCGTGTCCTTTGATTATTGATTAAGCTGCTAAGTTTTGCTTGAATCACACATTTTTTTAACTTAATATTCTGTCCAACACTGAAAAGTTTGGAAAAATAGTGCCAAACACTCTTGGATTCACTCTCCAGGTTTTACAAACAGGCACTAAATAACCGGTTGAAACGATCATTTCCACACCAGTAATAATTCCGGTAATATTTCCATCATTTTTTGTAAAGATTCATCCATCTCCTGTATTTAGCTGCCTGTGTTATGAGACTCTCTTCAGCTCATTAAAATGTAATGCGGATGACCAGCTCTCTGGAACAGTGCCTCCTAACCAAAGTTCATCACTCGCAGCCACTATGGGGCTTTTTTCACTTTGCACACACATGCACACATGAGGGCTTTTCACCGGTGTCCTCTGTCTAAAGATACTTTGTCCATTGCTGTCCCTCTTCACGAGGAAAGGTGAAGGTGTAGGGTGTCCGCTGCTTTAGAACAGAAACTCTTTTATGGTCCTTTTACGCATAAATTAACACTGTTGTGGCTCGAAAGTAGTTTATAATTTCTAGATCTATTTAATTAATTAAAGCAAAAAATCATGTAAACAATGAGGATGATAATGAGGGTAATTGCTTGGGATTCGCACCGGATTATTTTGAGATTGTTCCCCCCACAGCCTGTGCGTAAATGTGTGGAGTTTTTGTCGCTACACATTCCCCTCCGTGTTGGGAAACAGAGCAATCGGTTGGCAATAAAGAGGCTGCTGCCGCCTCTGTCGCAGTGTGGTCCACGTATTGAACGACTTTGTTGGGTATTTCCCTCCGTCTCTGGATCTGGTTACGCGGTATTGATCGGTTTTTATCGAGACAGATGTGATTCTTCGTGGCCCCAGCCTCAGCCCCCGTGCTGGCTGTGTTGTGGAGGGCCACGCAGGGGATTGAATTGCACACGTGAGACCACCCCGGATAGGGGATAGTCTCGGGTTAGAACTATCTACAGCTCAGTATGTGTAGATAAAGTAATTATATGTTTATTTTAGCGCCGATTTATTCCAATTACGCGTGGTTAACTATTCTTCCTGCGAGGTCTAGTTTAATTTTCCACAAATTTTTTTTATCACTCAAACATTTTACACACATGTTTAAAAGTATGTTTAAAAAACTATATTTCACGGAGAATTTAAGCCTCCAAGAACAATTCGGCATGCTTTTTAACGACTAAAATCGGATCAAAACGGAAATTTCCACCTACCTGTTGATGGATGAAACGCTGGGAACTGTGTCGTTGTCGCAGACGCCCTCAGCCAAAAGTCGGTCCCTTATCTCCCAGGCGAACATGGTTGGGTTCTGGCGTTTGTATTCAGCTATTTTATCCACCACTTTCGGAGTTGCAACCTTTGGTTTGGAGCCACCAATGACTCCGGGTTTAATACTGCCGGTTTCATAGTACCTGTACGGAGACAGAGAGATTTGTTCCTGAATGGATCCTCTTCAGATTAACAAATTATGTCCAAATGATTTGAAACGTGACTCAAAAATTGTCTGCGTGAAAACAAATCTCCGAGAAATCAAAGGCAAAAAAAAAAAGAATGAGTAAATTAAAAAAATACCTACAAATGTGATGGAGAGTTTAACCTATTTATTTGCCTGGGTATGTGCTGCATTATGGGCCTAATTGAGTGTCAGCTGGTTGGTGAACAGAGCAGATTTTTCCACGAAAAATAGTGTCATTAAAAACCACACAATATAAGCAGTGAGACGGACAGAACAAAAGGACAGTTTGGACCTCATTTTTTCAGTCTCCATGAGCTTACAGCAGCATGCACGACATGCCACCATGACCTGTCTGTAAATGTTGGTGACAAACATTCAGTGTGTGTGAAATGAAATACCTCTGAAATGCCTTCTGATAGCTGAAAAAAATATATTTCAAAATATTATCTCACAGCATATGTGCTCTGAAGTTGTAAAGTTAAAAAGTAGAGCTAAATTCTCAGGTGTAAAGTCGACTGATGGAAAATAAAAATGTGGCGTTTTTTCTCATGGATTATGGCAATAAAGGGAGGGTTTACAGAAACCTTCAAATGTAGTGTGACATTTAGAGTCTTTTATTTTTTTGTATCCATGTTAATCATTTTTAAGGTGACTTCTTTTAGCCTACTGTCTCCCACGAAATTAAAACAGCCTCATATCCCTCTACGATATTTTGTGCGTAATTTTTTCGCCGTCTCGTCTCCAAAAATTATTCCATAATTATGATGCTTTTCTCTGGCAAAGGCTGCAGGTGATGGATAGAAAATCTGGGACGCAGAACTGCTGTGTTCAAGCAAAAAAAAAAAAAAAAGGGCAAAGAAAAAAAATGACCTGCCTATATAACCGATGACTGAGGCTGAAATAGAGCTGGGTGCGCACATACGAGCTCTATAGAAGATTGATGTTTGACACACATTTAAGGGCTCTTGTGGTGGTGGAGGTGGTGGAGGAGGAGGAGGTGGAGGTGGAGGTGTTGGATCCCCTCTTTTTACCTGCCGAGGATTTTGCTGACACAGCCGTGACTGACCCGTAGCTGTCTGGAGATGTCGCAGGGCCGGACACCCTGGTGGGCCAACTCCACGATCCGCTGCCGGACCACGTCCGGGAGGGGTCTGCCGTTCACAAACACCCCGCCGAGCTGGTTCACACCGCCGTGCCCTGCGTGGGTTACAACAGCAGCAGAGGGGAGCATAACATTACATACCTGCAGAGGAACAGGGGTATGGAGACAGTATATGGTGGATTTTACACTCTCCTACACGTGTTTTATCCACACCCACAAAGGTTTTTCTGCTATTATTATTATTATTATTATTATTATTATTATTATTATTATTATTATTTCTGATTAGCTCTACATATTGGCAACATTGCACTCTATTTAAGTGCGTGTTAATACTTTTACGCAGATAATGTGCCAAAGATTTAATGGGCCTGACATTTACAGTGAAAAGAAATTTAAAATAAAATAAAATCTACCTTAAATTAAAAAAAAAAGATAATAATAATAATAAAATACTCAATCTAAAGTGTCTGCTTTACTGACCAAAATAAGAACCACATTGTTTCCCTGTCCTTCATAAGACTGTGTTGCATGCCTTATATTTCCAGCAGCTTCTCCTCCTCCTCCTCCTCTGCAGCCTAACACATGTCGCACATCTAACGTTTCAGCCTGTTTAATTTTCCTCGCACAATTATTGTAAATAATTCAAAGTCGCTTTGATAACTCATATTACAAACGTGGACGGCGCGATTGAGGAGGGATCAATTATTTAAGGGCTTCGTCCGGCTCTCCTTTACTCATATCGTGAGGAGGAAAACATAAACAGAAGGAGCTGTTTTTATTTTTACTACGTTAAGAAACAGAGAGAATAAAGAGAGGTGTTTGACATGAATTTACACACAGCAGGCTCTTTAGCTGTCATTTCACAGATCATAAAAGCTTTGTATTTAAATTTGTGGATTTCTAAAACTACAACAGAAGTGTTTCCTATTTTAATTAACATAGAAGTCACTAAAGCTTTAACAAAAACTGTTTTGTTGAGTACTGTACCTTTAAATTTAATGATAATATTGTTACTAATTTTTAAACCAACATACGATTTCTGTATTCTATTTTGTTATCTATAAAACGGCGTTAAAACATCTATTTTAAAAAAGCAAAGAGTCTGCTTGAGAGTAAAAAAATGTGTGCGTTTGTGCGTTTTCTCCATTTGGCACGATGGATTAAATGTAACGAGAAAAAAATGAGTAAAAGCCCATTTTTCAGTGCTGTTTCATGTTCCAATAAAGCTGCACTCCTCGGTTGATTTTTAGAAGGTACAACAGGAGAGCTCAAGTGTGTAAACTTCAGATACTCACGGTGCATCGCCGAGAAGGGGTCCGCTTTGCAGTGAATATCCATGGGATAGCAAAGGAACGAAAGGTAATCGACTGAGGTCGCCGTTTCGCCCCGGTGATGCAGCTTTCAAGGGGTAAAAAAGAAACAAGGACCTGGAGTAAAACAGTCCGTGTGGGGCAGAGTCCGCAGGCTGCTGCTACTGCAGCAGGAGTCAACAACTTCTGGAGGAGTTTGTCCTCCTCCCTAAAACTCTTAGTGCGCAGAGAGGATGTCAGGTGCAGAGCATGACCCGCGCGTGTGCAGAGCGCACCGGCCGCAGCAACATGGACTCAGAGCGGCTCACAGTTTGTCTTTCAGGGACATGATGATGATGAGGAAGAAGAGGAGGAAAAAACAAGAAAGCAGGAACGCGGAGGTGTCCACGGGTCCGCAGCGGCCGAAAACAATCCCTCTCCTCTGGCGGAGCAGCGGCGGGCTCGCGCTCTAATCAGATCTGGGCGGAGATGACAACAACATGGACACGGAGCAGCACGGAGCAGAGTGTGTGTGTGTGTCTATGAGTGTGTGTGAATGTGTGTGTGTCTCCCTCTCCTCCGGAATGGGCTGTGCCTGAGCGGAGCTTTGGGCTGAGAATGAAACCCCTCTGCTTGTGTGTCTGTTTCTAAAAGCTGCAGTCCCACAGATCACCCCCTCTTCTCCTCCTCCCCTCCTCCTCCTCCTCCTCCTCCTCCTGCTGCTGCTGCCTCCATCCCACAGATCCCTCGCATAGAGATGGATGACTTGTCAGACAAAGGCAATAGATTCCAACACTTTGTGATTCGCCCACGTAAAAACCTGCAGCTCAAATGAGGAGGTCCCTGCATCCGACAGCCAGGAAGGGGAGGGAGACGAAATGGGAAATGATGAGACTTTGGGGTGAGGAATCAAGGAAATTAAAGGCAAGGGGGGAAGAGGAGAGGTACATAGCTGTCAGGCTGCTGTGTGTTGTTTAAAGAGACGATCCTCAAACGTTTGGGTGAAAGCAAAAGGCCAGACTTGGAGTCAGGGGGAGACTTTCTGTTTCTTTTCCCAACATTTTTAAAGTCATAAAGAGAAAAAAAAAAGAGAAAAATATATATAATTCTGGATTAAATATGAGTAAAATTGATCTTATCGTCCTCATTCCTGTGCACACCAGGAGCTGATCTATCCATTTTTATATTCACATCTTAAACTCGAGGGGTTCCTTTGCAAAAATTTTACTCCTGCAAGAAAAAATCCAACAAAAACTCTTCTTTAAAAATATTTTATGCTTCATATTTTCTCAATCCTCCTGCTCCAAACTGAATCAGACAAAATCCTCCTTCAGCTCAATCCTCTGATAAAAAAATCAACATATAAAGTGACTCAAAGTGATTATTGCAGGTGACAAACCTGCAGACTGAGAGTCAGTCAGTAGGCCATCATCATCATCACCACCATCCTTCTTCCTCTACTCCTGCATTCACCGCCTGTAGATGGCGCTCACACAGAGGGTTACACAGAGGGCCTGCTGTGCTCGTGCAGCATGCATGCAGTCAGGCAGGTAGGTATAGGCAAGCTGGGGCTGGATAGGGGCAGCCGGGGTCAAAGGTTGTGGGTAAGCCTACTGTAGCAGAATTATGCTCTCTTAATCTCTTCCGGTGAAACTTAATCCGACAGGAAACAAAGAGAAAAACACTCAATCAAAGAAAGTTCAAAGATTTGAGAGATTTTCACTTTTTTTCCGCAATTTTAACTAAGTAAACATGATTTTTTGGTACAAATCAGCTACGATTGGACAGAATGAGAATCCTAAAAAGACGCTTTTTCCATAAGAGGATGATGTGAAGACAGAGTTTGATCAGCTGTTTTATTCTAGTAAAAGTAAAGTAGTCTCATAATGTGATCAACTAAAATGTATTCACTTTAATATATGTATTTGTGAGTAAATAATAATAATAATAATAATAATAATAATAATAATAATAATAATAATAATAATGATAAATAATCAGTGTTTTATTTTGGAGGGGTTCTGGTTCTGGTCGCCCTCTGGACAAGTTCGAGGACGATTCCTCTTTTTTTGTTTCTGCTGTGTTTTTGGGGTGGGAGCTCTTCTGGTACAATATGTAGCACCATGGGCTGTAATTTCACACGTCAGTGCACTTTTGCCCTAAAGCTGCTGCTATTCCCCCCCACCCACACACACACAACAGCCCGATCTGCCCCCCGTACACCTCCCTGCACTGCACCGCCCCGGTGACGTCCCGGTGTCACGGCGCTACAGCACAACAAAGTGCGTGATAATTAAGAAAGTGTTAGTCCTGACTTCACCTCTTTACACAGCCCAGACACACACACACACACACACACACACACACACACACACACACACACACACACACACACACACACACACACACACACACACAGGGGCCTCGTGTTGTTATTGTTTTCGATTTTTTATGTCTGCATTTAACTGGGAGAGTAGGAGGAGGAGTTTTGTTTATGATGGTTTTGGTTCAGACACTGACAATAATAATTCAGAAATCTTTGGAGGTTACATTTTAAACCTGAATCATAGAAATCACCGCATCTCCATCCTTAACTTTAGATACTCTGATAAAATAAAATGAATGACAACAAATGTGTTATTTTTGGAGTTACAGTGAGAATACTGAAATGGAAGCAGAAGACGTCAGGGGTGGGAGGGGAGGATGATACATTTCCATAGGGGACAAAAAAATACCTTTTTTGTTGGGTTTTTTTTTCTGAGACATATGGCCTGTGCACGTAAACAATCAATATTGCTGTTTTTATCCTTTACGCGTGCGTAAAACGTGTGCGTAAAACGTGTGCGCAAACATGTCCACTTCAGGGGCCTTTGGTCACCTACTGGAATTATATTTTTTTCATTGAGTTAATCTCAGATCTATTTGAAGAATAAAATAAATAAATGATCAGAGGTTTTCATTTTGTGTTGGTAAAGAGAAGGAGAATTTTGGTTTCCACTCAGATCCTTTGACCTCAATATTTGAGAAGGTTCAATGTTTGGGAGTGTAAAAGGTATTTCGATAAGTCAGATGGCTGGAAGATTTATTTGTCTCAATCAAAATGAATCTTTGAAAATATTTTAAAGTGTAAAAAACAAAACAGAAAATGTGTGAATGAGGACATGCAGGTGTCACTGATGTCAACCCTCAGCTCCTGCTCCCCACACAAAGCCCATTTAAAAGCTGATTTCACCGAATTATAATTCACTCTACTGTTCCCCTGGATCTATTTTTCCTCTATTAGCCAAAACATCCGCATCATACCGGGAGTCACTCGTAATGTCCCTCAATGATTTGGTGTCTCCTGACACCCGCAGCCATATGTGCAGGCTGTGGCAAACTGCAGGATATCAGCTGCGTCCTCAGATTGCTTATTCATGTGCTTTATAACGGGAGCAGATGGATATCAATTTGACTCCATCCTCGACACCGTCACAGATTGATTTTGTACTTGCTTTTAATTTTGCCATAATTAATTAGATCATTACAACTGTTTCCCATTGATCTCCCCTCTCTACAGCCAAAATAGAGAGGTGAATTAGACTGTGATCTATGTTTTCAATTACAGCCACGAGCAAAGGTGATGGCAGGAAATAATAATAATAATAATAATAATAATAATAATAATAATAATAATAATAATAATAATAATTTATATTTTACCCCAATTTCTAAAATCAAAAGAACGAAAAATGCCAAATATCAAAGTAAAAACCCAATTTGCTTTATTTTCTCCCCAAAAATAAAAAATAAAAATAAACAAAAATACAGACTTGTCTCCAGCCTTCTCTCAGTTTTGTCTCCCCCCACACACACATGCATGCACACCTGCAAACAAACAGTGACATTAGAGCGAGTCAGAGAGGAGGAATCCTTACCTGATCGACCCGCGCTCTCAGCCGTGCCTCTCCCCCTGTCTAATGGTGCGTCTCCCCGATGCAGCCCAGCAGATCTGTCCGGCCTCCTGCGCTCCCTCCCCGGCTGGGACGTCGCGCTTCTCCCCGCTGCTTGTCAGAATCTTTGAGCGATCATCCAAAACTAAACGGTTTAGGCGACAACAAAAAGCGGAAGCAACCCTGCTCCAATGAGCTAGAGATTGATAAAGAAAGAAAGAGAGGGAAAAAAGTAGAAATCAGAGGAAACATTGAGTGATGCAGCTGCTGAATTAAGAGAGGACTGTAAGAACTGTAAAAGTCGAATAAATGTGGGTTTCAGAGCCCCACTTAACAGCAGGAGGTCTAAAGTCTACGGTATAAAATATATATTTATATTTAACTTAATGTGGTCTATTTTTTCATTAACAACTTCTAAGTTTGATGTATCTCTGCAGAGCTTAAAGTCAGCCCAAAATGTGTTAAATCATAACTTTAAGACGTAATTCTTGGTTATGTATGACAGCTAATGCAGCAGAAATTAAAAAGATGAAATTCTATATTTTTTTCTAATTTTTGGAGAAATGTGTGTGTCAAAAACGACAGAAAAACACTGCATGTCAAACTAAAATGAATTATTTATTAATAAGACACATTTATTTCATTTATTTGTTGCATTAAATTGGGCTCAGAAGTGCCAGATTTTGAGTTTTTATTTTAAAAATGAAAAAAAAATTTTTTATATGAAACGTCATGCAACTAAAATCTACAGTTTGTGTCACTGTGTTTGGCAATACTATCATTTCCATGTCCTATTGGTTTAGCAAGGGTGCAGCTCAGGCAAACTAAATACTGGTTAGCATTGAGAGAGAGAGAGAGAGAGAGAGAGAGAGAGAGAGAGAGAGAGAGAGAGAGAGAGAATTAATACTTAAGGCAGTGGTTCTCAACTGGTCTTACCCTGGGACCCACATTTTCCCATGGTCCTTAAGTCGGGACCCACTTTTATAGAATTCAAACCAAGCAAATTTATTTTTCATAAAAAAAAAACCTTTAAAGACTCTAATATTTAACATAAATCCACTTGTTTTATTGAGTAAAGTGCATTTCAGAGTAATAAGTATCGCATTAAATATTTACTTTTTTGACCAGCTGTTCATGACCCATCTAGAACGTGTCCGCGACCCACTTTTGGGTTGGGACCCACCAGTTGAGAACCACTGACTCAAGGGTTGACTAAAGCAAAACCTTGTCATCGAAATTTAGTCACATCTGTTATTATGTTACGTGTTTAAATTTGTCAGATCATTTAGAGCAACATCCAGGGAAAACTTAGGAAGATTCAAAGGGTCCATGACTAATAGGGGCCCTGAAATATAGCAGAATATTTTAAGCGTTGGGGCCCACTTTTATCTTTATCCATGGGGCCCAAAATCCCTGGCAGCGCCCCTGTACATCACCTTCATAAGAGCTCCTGCTCTCCAGAGATTCAGCCTAGTGAGACAGCTCACACACATACATAAAGTTCCCAGAGGAAACTTTCTCTGTGTGTTTAACAGTGTGAGAGAATACAAAAAAAAAAGTATAAGGGAGAGAATAAAAGTTAGTAACTGGAACATTAACAGATGAATAACCAGTAAAAATGCAATATTACAATATCCACAAGAACGGCAGAGCGTGGTAAAGCTATAAAATCCAACATTAAAAGATTATAGCCTCTCTATCGGCTATTTAACAAACATTTTGTGTTATCAGTCTCTTTACAGTGCTCGGAGTTCAGAAAAGGCAATAAGACTGCCACTGGACCAAGGACCAGTAATGGATATTATACAACACTTTATATCGGAGACACTCAACTTAAAAAAGATCTCCTCTTACTTAAAGTGTCATTTAAACTGCAGCTTACTTTGAAAGTCTCAGCGGTGTCTATTTAATCGACACCACATGTATACAATAATATACAATTTACACATGTTTATGCATGAAAACAAGTAAAAAAAGGTGTTATTGTACCCTAAAACGTGATGAAAAACAAATATACTTGGTCGCTCTCAGCTCTGTCTGTTAACACTTATGATGGACTCACAGTGGAGCAAATGCAATTAATGAAATTATTAAAAAAAAGAAATTAAAATGTCAGTCTAAAACAAATGTAATGCATTTCTGAGATCATTCTATCAGATCATATTAAAGTTTACAGTTACATGCACTTATATCATATATCAATAAACCATCCCCAACCCAAAACTTATCTAAATAAAACACAAATAAATGGCCGAATCAAAAAGTTACACTTAAAGTTGTTACTGTAATACGATTATTAATGGTTTATAAAAATATTTAGTTCATTTTTTATGAAGTACATTGGTCTACAGGGATGTAAGCAGAAATCAGTATCTCACAGCAAACAGCCAAAATGTCAAATTTATGCTAATTTCAAAAATTGGAAATTACTGGCAAATGTAGAAAACCTCATGATGACGTTGTTTTTACTGCTTAATTAGATGTTTTCTGAGTATTCAAACACATTCCCAGTATTAGGAGTCTAATCAGCTTCCATAATTTCAACATTAATGATCTTTAGTGTTTCTTTTTTCTCCATCTATCTGTGCTGGCGACACACTGGGGGTCTGCAGGAACATCCGAATGGGAGGAACCCAAATGGAGGAGCTTAAACGGCCATAAAGCTGTGTGGGCTGTCAGTAATGGAACCTAAGCTCCTCTCCGAGCCTCACACCACATTTACGGGCTATGAGCGAAGTCTGTTGGAGAGGCAGAGGGAGAAAGGAAGGCAGAGGAGTGATTTTGGATGGACGCTGTAGTCTATGAGTGTGTGTGAGTGTGTGTGTGTGTGAGAGAGAGTGTGGGGGGAGATCTTATGGCGGAGTCCATTAGACTGGTCAATGGTATCTACTCTGTCCAAGATTGCCAGGGGGCTGAAAGGAGGGTGTGTGTGTGTGTGTGTCTCTTCCTGTCTCCTCTTCAGGGACAGCCAAAGTTCTCACCTGCACTTCCGCCCTTCATCCTCTGAAACCCTCCAACATCCCGCCCCCTCCTCTGCCTGCCTCGGTTTTAAAATAGTGTCCCACTTGCTCATGGGCTGAACATTAAATAAACCTCCTTCCTTCACCCCACATGCCGCCCCCACCCACCCCCCCAATCTCTCCCTGGCACCCCCTTCTCCCCTCTCCTCCCTTTCCTCACTGTAACTTTATGCACCGAGCTGCACCTACCAGTTCTCAGAGCGCAGTCTTCGAGTTTAAATGATTAAAATGTACCAATCTCCTATAAGATATCATGCAAATAAACTGTTTATAAAGGTCAAAAACTATCTGTCTTTAAAGTTTAAATTTCTTATTTTATTATAGTCATATATACATTTCTGTACTCAGCTCTACAGGACAACATGAGTTTATAGTGTAGGATCATCATGCATAGTAGGCCAATTCAATGTTATAGGAAAAAAGACAACAATTCAAACATCATACAGACTAATTAAACAAACTTTCTTATCTTAACTTCTACTTTAGCTTAGATCAATCAATCAATCAGTCTTTATTTATACAGCACTTTTCATACACAACTATGTAGCACAAAGTGCTTTACACAGAAAAAGAAATAAAAGCAACAAAGAAAACCCAAATCTACTCTAACCTAACCCCTCATTCCCACCCCACGATCTAAATGCAACAGAAACAGTATTAAAATACATAAACTTAAAAAGGGCTTGATTTCGGGTTAGGGTTAGGGTAAGGGGAACAGGAATGTACACAATGAAGAAATGTCATTTTAAAACTCAAGATAAGGAAACACTGGATGTTTAGGTTAAAATCTAAAAACAAAGTAACATGGAATGAAGTTTAAGAAATAATAAATAAAATGATATAAAAACAACAGTAAAAGATACTAAAATAAGAGCACCAAAATAACTCAATAAAAGATGATCCTGTCATTAAAACTAGAAAGGGATTAATCCTAAAACACTTAAAGTTAATGATATAAAATTTAGTTACAAGCAAGACTAAAAGGGTATGTTTTGAATTTGGTTTTAAAGTTTTAAAGACTTGATTGTAGTCATTTATGTTTTGTAAAGGTAATTTTTACAACAAATTTACTTCTAGTTAAATGTACTCAGACTCTAGTTTTTCCAACTAAATTTACCACTGACTATTGGAAATGACCAATCACTCCTTGGATGTGTTGTAATACTGTCTTTTAAAAAGCTAAAAATGGAATTAAACTGTATAACTGCTTTAAAATTTAGACAAATACTGTAAAAATTCATGGAAAAATATCTATAATTTTCTACCTTTGGCAAATATCATGCATTTACACCTTTGTTGTTTGATATTCTCACACAGTAATTTACCTCAAACCTGTTTATTCTTAAGAGATAAATGGATGCTATCAGATGGTTGCATACCACTACTTATATTAGTATCCCCTCTATCTCTGCGCCCTCTCTTTCTGTTACATTTAGCAAATGTAAAGCTTAAATTTCACAGCAGGATCAGTAAAGTTCTCCTGAGTCTGGTTCTTCTCTTCTGTAGAGAAATAGTCCGCCAAACTAAGACAACAGCGGGACAATATGTTTCCTGCCTGACGTCTGGATGGTTTGCTGGAAATCTGGGCTGAGCGACAGCCAGTATCATCATCATCAACTCTTGCCAGCTTTTCATATTTAAAGCCAGCAAGGGTTTAATTACCAAATGATGACAGTGTCATATGGTAGCATGATGGCACAGAATGAGGGTGTGCATTGTGTGTGTGTGTGTGTGTATACGAGTGCGCCTCCCCCCTGTCTCTCCATTTGTTTATTGCAAATGTGAGTGTGTGATCACCTTTGTGTGTGTTGACATCATTTCACAGGTAGCTGAAGGGCCTGAGCGGGGAGATCGACAGCGGGCAGTGAGGATTCTGGGAGGGGAAAAAAGCACAGTAAAACATCTGTAATTCGTAATTCCCGAGTATTCAATGGCTGCTCATGGATTAAAGATTAAAATCTATTGTCTTGACAGATGGGAGAGAGAGGGGGAGATAGAGAGAAAGAGAGGGTGAGGAGAGGGGGACGCTCATGCACATCCCATTTCCATTTGTATATGAGCGGCACAGTTTCAGCTAATCACAGTGGAAAAATAAGCTGTCTGCCTGCCTCACTCTGGGCGATGCCACCGTGAGTCCTCACTCCAGCTGTGGAGACATTAGAGACAGAGGAGTCGCTGTGCTGTGATGGGACTGTGTCAGCCCGCAACCAGTGTTTGTTTATTAAGACTCCAGTGGGAATAAAGGCACAGAGACGCTCTGTGATCAGCAGAGAAGAATGGCAGAATAAAACAATAACATTATGTTGAGGAAATGAGCTACCAGGGTGCAGCGGATGACATCCAGACAGCCGAGTGGAGCTGTTTTGACATCAATACTAGCATCAGAAATGCCTCAGATACTACTGCCTAAAATGTCTGATAGGGTTGCTGCAAGTACAACACCCTATGTCCTGATGCAACATGATCATGTGTAAGCCCTAAATAAAATGTATATGAGCTGTATATGAACAGAGAGCTGCACCTCACTGCCACTGTGGAGGTATCATGACTGCTACTTTAGCGACTGTTTTAAAGCAGCAAAGAACTGAAATGGAGTGTATCACATTAATAGACACGACCCTGACAGAGCATGTAATCTTAGTCCGTGCTACACCACAAATTAAAGCAGGGTACACACATTAGGATTTTTTTATCTGTTACAGACCCCACACATGAAGATAAAAATCAGGCGTTGAACAGTTTAGATCGTTCTGTGTGTGATGTGCTCCGATAATCTCAACACAGCACACCACACAGAGAACGATCCGGTTCCACCACCGATCTAGAATCTAGTCCTCCAATACAGAAATCACGCGTGATAAAATGTGATGGAACTAAAATGAAGAAGAAGAAACATAGCAACAACTGGGAAACTTAAGACGCAACATGGAAGAGGATAGACAAGAGGAGGGAATGATGGTGATTATGGGAGTGTTTTTGACAGAAAATTCTCGTACTAAAAAAAAAAGACTGTGGAAAAAATCCTGGAGACAGCTTGAACGCAGACTTTAGAGTCTACTGAGCGAGCTAGAGGTGACTTGTTCTCAACCTAAGTTAATGGCTGGTGTGATTATTAATATTATTATTGTTATTTTTACACTATGTGATGATCGCTTTCTTTGGTTCCTTGTTCCTCAGTCAGCTCGCTTCTTGATTGGCTACATTCCGATTTTTGGTCATAAATATTGAACAACACCGATTTGGACCAACTACTGGGAAAAATTCACTCTTCGTACACCTCAGATCACAAGATAATCTTGTAGGATAATCTTAGAAGACATAAAATAATCCGATTTTCGTCCTTGGTCGGGAGGGGGAAAATCAGGACAAAAACAGCCCGATTTTCTTTATGTGTGTACCCTGCTTTAGTTAAGAATCTGTTTCTTACACTCTAATGTGTTTCTCCAACAAAGCAGATCAGAGGGGCTGAGAACTGAGCTGCTACTAGCATTGTAAGCACTCTACCTGTTTGTGTATTGCTTTCCTGCTTTCCTCTGACAATATTCATTCCTGAGATCTTAAATAGGTGTTGAACTATCTCCTCTCCAAAACAAATTTATCCAGTCCTTAAAAGCGATAAAAAAACAAAACAAAACAGTCATTGTTTCTCTGACACTTCAGCTGACATAGAAGGTAAGGGGGGCTGCGCACTGAGCTGCAGCTAACATTAGCTCAAACTGATTCCTCATTCCTTAGGGTTTACAAGAAGCTGATTTTTCAAATAGATATCTCCTTCTATAGACAACAAAGTTATCCAGCAATCTCAACAATAAATACACCCAAAAAAGGGAACTCTATGCTGTAAATCAGCTTCTGGCAAATCTTATCCATACATGACCTAATTTTCAGATTTAACATTTTTATGCTAATTTTAGTCAAACCAAGTTCTGTTTCATACAGTCTCTGAGACAGTCATTAAACGTAGTAGTAGTAATACCATGGCAGCACAGGGTTAATAGTGGGGGTGAGGATATCCTCTTTACATGGTGATACAACCTAAATCTTGATACACGGTCTGAGTCTGAGGCGATTCATTAAAACACAGATTTAATTGGTGGGTTTTGATTCGGTTCAATACGATCTGATTAAATTCAGTTCCTGTAATCAGAAAGGATAATATGGCATCAGAAAATCTCTAAACACATGATCAGAGTTTGAGGCCAAGAGGAGGAGTGATTGAGGCGACTGTGTGCTTGTTTTATGAAAAGGTTTGTCCTGTAATTAAAATTTGTCAGTGGCTTGTTTGAAACGTTGATAATTGTGGACGGGAAGGGCTGCATGGATGAGTTTTTGTTTAGTCTGTGTGGTCTGCACTGAGGGGTGTGTGTGTGTGTGTGTGTGTAGGGGGTAATGGTCTGGTCAGTGGAGTGAAGCAGACCACCTGAGAGTTGTTTTTGGGCATTAGTGTGTGTTCCCTCTCTCTCTCCCTCTCTCTCTTTCTGTGTGTGTGTGTGTGTGTGTGTGTGTGTGTGATATATGACACTGGCCATCTGAAGGAGGTGCCTTTGCTCTCCCTCTCTTCAAGCTGCATGAAAGGGAGCTGAGAAGCCTGATGAATTAAAGCCTCTCTTCAATAAAACATCAGAGTCTTTCAGTAACACACGCTTGAGATGCCCCAGTAATTGACTTTTTGGACTTTAGGATTTACATGAACCCTCCAAAAGCAGCTTACCTGTGCAGCGATGCCCCTTGAGTCTGCATCCATTCCCTGCTGATGTGGATTTCCATAAACTCATGCAATCTCTTTTTTATTTTTTCCTCTCTGATAAATGCAAAACTATCCACTGTAGATAATTTGAGGGATTTATTGAAGTGTTTGAATTTATTTATCTCAAATAAGAAATCTTGCCAAATAAATCATAATCCATTGGTATTTGGCACAGTTTTATTCTAATGTAGTTGGCATACAGATGCTACTTAATGTCTGTTAGCTACTTTAGCGAATTAACATATGTATTAACATTGCTTTGATTTTATTTATCTACTTAAATAAAGGATTTTTTAACCTGGCAGCTCAGCCACTTTAATGCTTTTTAAAAACAAGCATTTTAAGTAAATTTGGTGAAAATGAACCCTGTGAAAATATGTTATAGGGCTCCCGAGAAATATACGTTTATTACGAGTCAAAAAGGTACATCTTTCATTGTCTTTCACGGCAAATATTCACATCTGTTAGTTAAAAACGCTAAAGAGGATCCATTGTCCTTTCTGCGTCTTTTTTCAGAGCCCAGGATCGGTGCAATTTGTACACTTTTGGTCAATTCCTTTCATTTGCGGGTTAAAACTTGCTCTTTAGATGTGCCACCAGTGTGAAATGTGAATTCTGGAGCTCAAAATGAAGAACTCACTGTGTTGGAGGAATGAAGCTGGGCAAAGTTGTGAATCTCCTCCTCATCTTCCAGCAGCACATAATAAACTCTTTAACAAGATGGGGAAAGTAAGAATGAAGGGAGATCTATGGGAGGGGCAGAGAAGCTTGGCAGATTTAATTAATTACTGCATATTAAAATGTTTGTTTACAGAAGTGAGCAGCTACAAGAGGTCCGATGTTAATTAATTTAAGGCGTACTTCCCACCAGCCTCAGCGATGTGTCACGAGCTGCAGAGCGACTCCCTTTGGCAGCGACTCGGCGTCTCATTGGATATCCATCAATTGCTGTGAGGTGTGTAAGAAACAAAGATGCACGCTGCACAAATTAGACCCAGTGTTAACATGATTGCATATTAAGATTTCTAATTAGCGAGCAGAAGGAAAAGGTGAGGTAGTGGAGAAGATGTGGTGCATGGATGGCCATTCAAGAAACAAAGCAGCTGAAGCATGCGTGTTTGTCCAGGGTTTTCTACGTCTACAGTTTTTTTCTTCTCCACTTTGGAAACGGCTGAATCTGCAGCTTGGAGTCCATGTTTGGCAGCCCAGATGCTCACTTCAGGAAGAGTTTGTTGTCAAATTCTGCATCTGGACAAAGTCAGACCCCTTAACACGTGTGCTGCTGCTGCTTCTGCCTGCTCTCCAGAGGTTCCTCTTCAGACAATGATGTATCTGACTCCCCTTCGAGGTCAGCTGGACTGAGTCCAGAACATCACCTGCAATCAATAGTGTGGGTAAAGCAGGCCCAACTGAACGCATGTGAGGGCAAAGACTCCACTCATGAGCCCACTGTGGGAAAAAAAGGCCGGCATGGCCCATTGGCTTGCTAAAACCTGACCACAGCCAGACTGGGACGCCTGATGCACTGGTGTCTTTGGGAGAGGGATGGAGGGAAGAAAAGAAGACAAAGACAGAATGAAGATATTGAGGAAACATGAAATATATCTCGAGGAAAGTTTGTGTAAAACCAAAGCGAGAACAATTAGAGCAAATTTAAGGCCTTGGAAATAAGTTTTCTGATCTACAGCTTTTTATTTTCAACATTTTAATGATTTACTGGAGAAATTATGTTTAAAAATGATTTATTCTTGTCAGATTTTCTTCTCAACTCTCTCTTCAGTTCTTTGGTCTGCATGAAAGGTGCTTCGTAAATAAATCTGCGCTCAAACAATCGAGCTCTGTCTTTTAAAAATGTCATCTGCTGCTAACAGTGAGGGTCTATTTATTGCAGTGGGCTACATGAGGACACATCAAGCACACAAAGACAGAGGGAGAGCCACAGAGGGGGTGTTCATTGAGGTGAAGAATGACTGTTTGTGGGGCTGCATGTAATTATTTCACTTCTTAGTGTCACTGTTGGTCCTGCACGCCTTACTGTCAGCAGCTAAGAACCTCAGACATCAACATGCAGAGCGCCGTCGTAATGTTCTGTAATCTAACATGTGTTTCCCTCAAAGTGCTCTCTGATCGTGATTATCGGACCAGAGCAAGAAGAAAGGGTGAGAACTTCCTTCATCTAATACAAAGACCCGTGAGATATCTAAAATTATGATAATAACCCTCAAAGTACTGCTCTGTGGAAATCTAAATTATGAGAACATGTAAAAATATTAGACACACATTTTTTTTCTTTCCCTTTGGACATGTTTAATCCTTTCATATGACATGTCTTATCGCTCAGTTTGACATGCTTTATTCATTTATATCTTAACATGCATGCTTTTGTTTTGGAGGTGTTTGCCGAAAAGGGATAAAAAATGATTATAAAGTAAAATATTTTGATGCTGATATCCTAAGTTAATAGTCAGCAGTTTTGTGGGATAGTTTCCAGTTATAGTTTGTTATATTTAAGTGTCAAAAGAGACCAGATTTCATGCAGAAGTGCTCTTTTATTTTGAAGTAAATACAACCCTTTATAATTCTGGGAAGAGATAAAAGTCCTAATCGAAAAGATTGTTTCCAAATCAATTTCATTGGACCCTAACCTTTTCTTGTTGGGCCTTTATCCAGAGAAACATAACTACAGTAAGTATGAAAAAGCATTTATAGATCTAAGTTTATTAAATGTCAAAAAAATGTATTGCATTACTATGGAAAAAGGCCCGTTAACCAAGTACCAGTCAATGGTTAAAATAAGAGTTGTCAAGCTTACCGTTGGAAAGAATTACCTATATTCTGAAGGAATATGGAAGCCCTTTATTGAACATGTCAAGAACTCAGACTTAACAGAAAACCAAACTGGCAACTAACTACTGTGGGTATGGCAATCTCCAAAATTGTGAATATTAATGTATTTTCTTTTTTACTACTATGGTCATTATTGTTATTATTATTGTTACTGTTTTTATTATTTATTTTTAGAAAATATTTTCTCTCTCTTCTGTTACTTTTTGAATGCCCGTAGCCTATATTAGCATGACCATTATGCCACAATTCATTACATTTGGTTTATAATCTGTCCTATAACAAGAGAAGCATATTGTTCGTTGGGTGTTTTTATTGTGATTGTTTTGTTTTGTGATGTGTTTTTGCTATGCATGCATGTCGCGATTGTTTGTAGTGATCGTCTTATGCTGCTACAAAACTCAAATAAAGATACTGTGGTAAAAAAAACAAACAAACAACCCTTTACATCCCCTCTACCTTAAACTTCCTGTCGTCTGAAGATAAAAATATCCCCAAAGGTCAGTGACTCACTAACCTTTCATTAAAAGAGAAACTTCCAGTGAAGCAATTTCAAATTAATCAATACAACCTCACCATCTCTGTCCTCCTCTCTCTCTCTCTCTGTCTCTGTCTCTCTAACACACACCTTTTCCTGAACAGACTGTGACATAGAAAAACTAACCCATTTATCCATTACAGACTGCTGTTGCTTCTGCCCAAACAGCCATGCTGTATTTTTTATTCTTAACTCTCTGCTGCTGCCGACAGAGCTGCGACTGCTTCCTCAATCAAGACCTGCGAGTGGCACAGTGCAGACTGCACCGCTGTGCACACTGATGCTGGGACACAGAGGCAGGCTGGAGAAAGTGGCAGATGCTGTGCTGTGCATGTTGTGTGTGTGTGTGTGTGTTTGTGTGAACTCCTACTGTAAGTGGGATTTGAAGAATTGGCACAGTCATCTGAGCAGCGCTCCGCATCTCTCACAAACAAATGAAGGCCCAGAGCCTCAAAGTGAGATTGATATCTCTTTCTGAACTTCACAGGGAATATTCTGAATATGGAGAGGGCTTCCTCAATCCCAGGGGATCCAAAGGCCGCCTCCTCTCTTCTCCACCTACACGCCAACAATAACAGGAAAAAATGGCTTTTGTGTTCATCAATATTCACTCATTCATCGTGGGTCGTGGCAGCTGAAATGTCGACAAGCCTAACGCAATGGATGGCCTAGAAATCCACTTTGTCGCTGCGTGGGGGATGTCTGAAATTGAGTTTGGAATTAAAATAGAACAATCCCCAATTTTTCTGGACCGGAGGCAGAGCCATACATTTCACTTAGCGACTGAAAACTTTTCAATTTGTGCGGCGGGTCTTCAACAGAAGCCAGCCATTAAATAGGTCAAGGATGGATGTACCGAGGCTACACTGCTCCCTGAGACACAAAGAAAGTTGGGGGCACATTTAAAAAACATCTGTTTCACACCAGAGGAGAGTGCTCGCAACAAAAGGTTGTACACACAAGCAAATAATGCATTGAATAGATGTATGAGTTTGAGTTTTCGAATAATAAAAGCTTTGACTGTGAGGGTGACAAAAAAACCCTCAAAAAATCAAAATGCTTCCACACATTTTTCCAGTACGATGTGTAGTCACAGGAAACAGATCCCCGTGTGGGATTCATCCCTGCCCAATATAACGATTATCACCACATGGTGACTTTGACAAAGCTGGCCCTGATCTGACTCACTGACCTGCTCCTGCATGGGTCACAAACTAAGCAAAAGTTTACGACAGCGAGGCAGCGAACCTCTGAACACGTCTCTGTTAAAATGTGTCTCTGCGTGAGCTGATATCTGTGGGAATCAATACAACATGCTGATATGTTTTTAATCATGCACGGTGGTTGATGCTGATTTGTCTGTGGTTTTCATGGTGGGTGCACAGAGCTGCTCACAGCACATGTTCAATCTCTGGGTCACCAATTACTACTTTTTCAATAACAACTAGATTTTATTTTTTCAACTCGTCTTCGTCTTTTTTAAACTGTTATTTCTTCATGTTTTTATCTGACAGGGTGTAAATAAATGCGTTAAATGTTGTTGTCCGGGGTTCTCGCATTGCAAACATGCATTTTATTTCTTTCCTTAAACTGTACTCACCTCACTGTTGTGCTTATACTGGTAGACATATAGACTGAGAGCACGTACAAGTGAAGCTAATCCCTCTTGCCCCCTTTTAATCTCACCCTCTTAAAGCCACTTCATAATGATCTCCCCCTGAAAGGTAAATCAATTATATAACGACGACAAAAGACCGTTTTGTCATAAAATGGTAATTAGTTTGGGTCCTGACCTCCCTCTTGGCACCTCGACTCCCCCAGCTGAGGACCGGGGCAGGTCCGCCGTCCGCACTTAACGACAGGCAGGCGAAACACACTGGCTCAGCATTGTGGGGCCTTTGTCTTCATTCAGGGGGAGATGAAGTTCTCGCTGCCGCGTTTATCAATCATGGAGGGGCTCCAGCTGTTCCATGGACCTCGGCCGGGCTTCAACAGCCGGCTTACAAATTGTCTGTGAATAGAAAAGAAAAAAGGTCCCCCAGCACACGCATTAAAACCCCACGGTGCACACACAAACAACCATTAGCATTAGCCGTATATTAATGCAAAGACCAGCATCACGTGTGCAGAATCACACCATCACAAAAGCCTTCATCACACATGCACCAAAATACATAACGCCTCCTATTGTTCCCGTCTGGTGACAAATGTTCTTTCGCAGCCTTTTCACAGACTCGACCAACCCTGCCGTCTGCTTACTGCAATTACAAGATGGATTAACAGCTCTTTCTAACACTGTCATCATCACCTTGCATGCCTTGGAGGAATGTGAGGATGCTGCATTCCTGGATGAGAATCGCATCCAATTACAGCTTAATGAATGAAAGGGAGACATATACTGCTGAGTAAATCAGGCATACTGAAGCCAATCTCAACTCCTGTACAGTTTATACGCTCTTTTGTGACTAAACATCCCAGTATTGATGGTTTAGTGACAAAATCCTGCAGGTAAAGACGTATGATCGCCTCTGTGCATGGATGATCTGTTGGCCCACACTGAAATGAAAAGTTAGGTGTCAAAAACACAGATAGATGAACATATGAATTAGCTGTTCACCAAGGTCAAATAGTGATTGCATTGTTACTCTCACATGCCGTGGTGTCACAGCAATCCGCACTCTCGCTTTTTCATCATATTCTGCACATCAACAAAACAGCCGGAGAATGGAGTGAAGGAGACGAAGAGAGAAAGCGAAAGAGAAAGAGAAGAAAGAGAAAGGGATACAAATTGATCGTTTGGAGGCCAGATCAGTCATAGTCATCCTGGGCGGATGGATGAATGTCTTTGATGGCCACTGCAGGTTCAGGCAGGGAGAGAGTCTGAAAACAAGAGAAATTGGTTTGGACCCTCGGGAGGAGAATCAATGTGTGAGGGGCATGGCAGTGCTGTACTGTTGTTCTGCGCAGGGCTGTGGGGGTTGTCCAAAGTTTGAGGGGTCGTGAATGTGACAGCTGTATTCTCTTTTGAAAATGTCCACATTTTGTTTGCTTCTTGAAGGAAAAGAAAAATCCTCCAGTGTCGAAATGTGGAGACTTTAAGGGTCAGTTTCAACATTTTTATCTGTAACTCGAATGGTAAAAGAGCGACCAATTACAGCTGTTTCTGTGAGTTTCATGGATGACTCAAAGGATACAGTCTATGTCATTTGCGGCAGACTTTTTTCATCTTCTTTAACAATCTCTGTGTTACTTTCAAGTCCCCCAATGATGAAACGGGCAGATTCTGACCAAGATTTGGATCTTGAAAATGGTGAGGCTGTTTATGTTTTTCAAAGTGAATTGGAAAAAAAACAAACTAAAATTAAGTTTAATTAAGGATCGAACCATTACTTTCTTTCAGTAAAAGTCATATCAGGTTTTTATTGCATATTTTTTCTCGTTGCATTATCAGAGTTCTTCTGCTGGGATCTAATCGTGTCCTCTATGGTGTCATCCAGCAGTTTGCATGGACACTGTGGCAACATCTTGGGAGAAGTATAGCTGTGATTGGTTTAGAGACAAACTACCAAGAACAACCATTGGTTCTTTTTGCAGAATTACAATAGGTATCAACCAGACTTCTCTACAACAAAAGTTGTAATGCTGGTTGGTATAAATCTTCCAGGGCTGTTGCTTCTACTGAAAATCACAGCTAGCATGCATATATTTTTATGGGTTTAATTTTTTGTCCAACTCTCACAGATTGAATTTACACCTTTGTAGTTAGCTGGTAAGTGTAGAGTAAGATAATTGATGTTGTATAAGATAGAATCCTAACAGGCTGAGAGAATCTAAAGGGAGGAGATCTTGTTCACTCTTAAGGGTTTATCCTTAAACAAAATAGTGTCTGCTCATTATTAATCTGCCGGCTAACAACTTAAGGCACCAACCCACTGAAAATAAGTATTAAAGATGATATTCACACGGCTATAAATAAGGACCTTTAGATTTGTCTGTTGGTAACTCTTCCAGGCAACATTTTTCACATTCACCCAATTACAGGTCAAATTAACAATTAATTCAATATTTTAATCATATCAGTATCTTTGCGTTAGCTTTCTTTGCTGTTATGGATTTTATGTTGGCATTTCTAACAGATACAGGAAATATTAGCAACGGCTGTATTAAGTCCTCTTAACCATGTTTTTTTTTTTTTGTTTTCTGTAACACAGCCTTCCATGTTGTTTTGTGATGCTACTGAGAATTGACATCTTTACCACATTGTCAACAGGAAGGAGTGAAATCCCAAAACTTCATAATTGTGCCGGACTCTTTTCAGAGGATAAACTTGATACAACATATGATCTGGTTTTCTTGCTTTAAGAATTAAAAACTGTTGGTTTTGACCAATCAGAGTCAAGCATTTAACTCAGCTGGGTGATTGGTGAGGAAGCAGGTTAATGAACATTGACAACAACAGTGACTACCTTTTGTAAGTAAGGGTATTTGGATAAACAGGGCAGGGTAGACATGATGGGGATTAACCTCCTCAAAATTAACTTATTTTAGGTCGTAAAAAATCCTCACCACTGCCTTAGAAATCAGGTTAATTTTCTCTATTTGATGAAAAGTTTACGTTTTACTTCTATTCAAATCTATCTGAGGGCTATTTTAGTCTAACAAAGCCACTTGAACTCCTACTTTCCTTCTCCTCTGACACCTGCTGTCCAGCGGGCCTGAGGAGGTCAGCAGCTGGCCCGGTCACCATATTTCATTTTGTTCTTTTATGGAAAATCTTACAGCTCCAAATGATGTCCCTTCATCTCCTTTGGGTTTAATCTTTGACCAGAGGTAGTGGGTGAGGAGCTGCAGAGGCAGGTGCTTAGAGAAGCTTCAGGGAGAGTTGCAGCGAGAGCGGAAGAGTCCAAATATAATCCAGCTGTATCTTTACCCGTCTGTGAAAAGCTGCTGCTGTACTCGCTGGGTTTTTTCCACACAGTCGGTGTCTCACTCATTGTGTCAGTAATGGAGTTTTATTAACTGATTAGTCTCTATTTTCGGAGTGGAAACAAGAATCAAAATCTCATGCTAGTTTAATGGTTCCATTGTGAATTGAATAGTGATATCTTTTGGATTATGATTTTTCCGTCTTTGAATGATGATGCAACCGAGTGTCACGTCGACTGCGCTCTGGTAATGAGTCATGTGACAACTCCTGGGGTTTCTCCTAACTATCCAGGCAAATGTCAGCAGTCTACCCCCCATTCCCTTTGATGACCTATTAAATATTATGAGGACCCCCCCTGTGTGCACTGTAGTCTCACTCATATCAAGATGGTGTTTAATGCCCATGAGACAAACAACAGACAGATTAAAGCTATTATACTCTGCCGCACTCCCACGTTCGCCCTCTGCAAAGTGGAGTTGTGATGACTTGTTTAATAGTTTTGTGGCTTAAAACCAGTTTATGCAGTAAAAGCACAATGTTGGGTTATAAATGACATCTGAGGATTTATTGTGGAGCGATCCTTCAAAATAAAAGGAGATTTTCTGGCTTTTGCAGCGGCTCCGTCTCACAGAGTGGACTTACTTCCCTCTGATCCAGGAGTTGTTATTAATAAAGCTACTGAAACCTAATCAACTTCAAATGCTGCTTGTCACATAGACATTTTATGAAGACGAATGATGATTTTATCCCCAGCCAAATGACAGACTTCACATTTCTTCCAACGTGGTCATTTTCTGGTTTGTGAGTCAAGTATAAGGAGCTAATTATAAGACAATCTGAGCAAAAATAACTTCACGTTCTCGAGAATAATGGGAGAGAAATGTTATGGATTAATGGCACTATTTATCTTTTTTAAATTTCTGTCTTTCTCCAGCGATGGCAGCACTCCCCAAGGAAAATATTCATAAAAATGAAATTGAAGTCATAACTTAATAGGTTATTAAAATCTTTGAATGCATATCACTTCTCCTTTTGCGGCGCTGTAAATTTAAATTGAAGTTTGTGGCGTTAGGAGACACCAGCAGGAGTTTTTTTATGGTGGCACAAGAGAGAGAGAGAGAAGGAGAGAAAGAGAGAGAGAGAGAGAGGACATGCATCTCTGTCAGTGGGGTATTTGCTAGTCTAATTTTATGGCAGGACCAGATTATCAGGCGGGAATGTCAGCATGCGGAGGCAGACTGCTGACAACACCTCAGCCCTCAGCCATGTGTTTCCATTAGGAGCCAGCGTCCTGAGGTTTGTTCCCTCGATTATTCTCCATTTCTGTCTTTTATCTTGATTTAAACAGAGACTTTCTGCATATTCCTCAACTGTCATTTCTTGCCCTTTCTCGCCTCTACCTTCTCTCTTTCCCTTCTCTCCTGTGTTTTTGCACCCTTCCTGTCTGTGGTTGCTCCTCAGGGGGGCTGATATTTCTGCAGAAAAGAGGAGACAGGAATCCCAGAGGGGGTGGCGGTACAAAGCGAGTAAAGGTGGGACACCTATCTTTAGCCTGTCTGTGTATGGACACAGTGCCAAAGAAGGTAAGATGTATGGAGGTGATTGAAAAAGAAGGAGAGGAGGAGGAGGAGGAGGGGTCCATCATCTCATCTCGATGGGTGGGAGGAGATTTTTCCCCCCCTTCAAGGTCAGGGTTCAAATTTATTTATTTCCCTGGAAGTTACAATGAAATTTTACCGAGTACTTTACTCTGATGATGAGCCAGATCAGCACCCATAAATTTGTCTTGCCATTTGGTTGCCGGTGATGAACCATTTATTATGCCGCCTTCAAGGACACAGCATGGTATTTGTACGATAGTGCTATTCTATGTAATGATATCCATTTCATTGTGCCATATAACACAAATGAGAAAATTAAGAATAAAACCGTGCCGTGCAGAGCAGGTCTAGCTTTTATTCATAGCTATCTAATGGGATATGTACAGTAAATGTCACATGATATTTGTGATGCCCTTGTCCTGGTTTTACAGTAGTGCTTAAAATGTTGATGTTGTCCTGTAGGAGAAGGGCTTTGGGAATGTGCAGCATCAGTAAAAACTGATTTTTTTAAGCACAGAAAAGCTTTGAATCTGTTCCCTGATGGAAAAAGATAATGGGAGATGACTTCCACGTGGGACAAATTGAGCTCGTGTTTAGTTTTTCACATTCATCTTCTGAGAGAAAGCCCCTCTTGACTGCCTGTTTTTGTGCTGCCTCTCGACACACAACAGACACCTCCAGAGTCCCGCAGAGGGCATGATGAACTAATGCTCTTTATTGATTGGCCATTTAAAAGCCTCTTGTAGCCTTGGGAGTATGTTAATGCCATGGGGGGCCCCCTTTCCCCATGCTGGCCTGTGGTCCCTGGGGGCCCTTGTGTGTATTCCTCAGTGGGCTATCATGGAGAGTTCATTAATGGTCAATTACTAATATCTGATGAGGCTTATTGTGTTAAGACGACGCCGTAACCAGGCATCTGTCTCTGCGGCTTTACAAACAGACATAACAAGAATAGAGGGGTTTACTGCAGGGGGGATCACACACCTCAAGCTCAAAAAGAAACATACAGGAGTTTTAAAAAAACAGCTTTGCATTATTTAAGACTCCTGTGTGGGTTTAATGATATTTGAAGAGGGGCCCGCAAAAACAGGTACCTGTGGGATTTTTTTCCTCAGTAATTTTCGATTTCTGTTTAGTGATTGTGCATGGTGAAAAGCTTAAAGTATAACATATTGGAACGCTCACACGGTCCTGACCTGTTTATGCGAGCAGACTTGATAGGCTGTCAAGGCCCCAAGTGGGAAAGATTCCCCTCCACGAATGAGGCAAGGCATCCTTTGACTGCCGGGCTGATATTTGTGGATAATAAAAGGAATAAATCAGACAATGGGGCTGAATATTTCATTTGTTATCCATATTCCTTCTGGGAAAAATGATACAGAAATGTAAAAACAGCAATTTCCCACAAGCCCCTGCTGGGATTGTGCCGGAGCAGAAGGGCTGTTTTCATGTCTGAAGATAAAGTGCATCTTTACCAGCCAATTCTCTGTGGAATAAATCTAACAGGCAGCTTATACATTATACCTGCTCCAATGCAACATGCTTCTGCATAAATATGTTACCCTAATATGTCATTATTCCCAAGTACTTTCCTCCTCTCACTTCCTGTCTGTCAACATGCCTCTCTTTTTCTCTCTTTCATGTCCTGTTTTCACTCTCAGGAGGACAATATTAAATCTCGGGGACTTTTCGGGTGGGCAGGAGAACTTGTGATGACATTATAATGGCCTTCACTCTTTGCTCCTTCTGCTGATAGATCCCCTGAGTTATCTCTCCCTCTGCCGAGAGGTGAACATTATCTGACTGAAATGGGCCTGTGAAGTGATAACCACAGTGCATTGTGGGCACCTGGCTACTTTAGAAATGGGGGGAAAATAAACACAGCGGGGCAGAGTGGAGGTACTGTGCTCGACTGGCTCTGGTCCCAGATCCAAGTCAAAGTTTGGAATGTAGCTTCAAGTGTGTCTCAAAGCAGATAAAGAGCGAATATCAAAAAAAGAGGGAAACCAAAGAGTGAAGAGGCAAGGAAGCTAAGACACATTAGAGAACTCGAAGTCAACAGTCAGTACGTTTACATGCGTGCTACTTCAATAACTTGATTAGGGGATCAAACTGGTAGTTTCGTGAATGATTCGTTCAAAAGAACCAAATCTTTTAAGTAAACGCACTGAACCGAATCACTTCCTCAAGTGATTCATTCGTTTCTCACGTCAGTTGAGCTGTCACGATTCACACATTGAACTACACTCTCTGGAATCATTTTTGTCAAACAAAACTCCCTTTTCTTTCACTGCTAACAGGTGCTAACCACCACAACAACTTGCATACAATAGGACACAGCATGTAACAAGGTAGTGCATAAAACCAGCAGTGAATCTTTTGAACGAATCATTTTAGTGAACTGATTCTAGTGATTCAGTACATCAATAATTCACCATTTGGCAACTGATCAAAGTAAATTTCTGATTGCAGGTCTTCTTTTGGTGATAACTCAGACAAATCAAACATAAAGTTGATAACTAGCTGTCCTGTCATTTTTTATGGGCAAAGCCAGGCCTATGTCTGCCGCATAAAGATCCGCCATGAATAGATCTGCTATTAGTAATGAGTATGTATTTTCGCTCAGATTTTTATGACCCTGATATAATGTACCAAAAATATCTAACAAAAATTATTCACAATGAATTCCTAGATGCTTTGTCCATAGAGAAGAGGCAGCCTTATACGCTATTCTGTTTAAATTCGGAGCTTTTCATGCTGACTGATGAGGGAAATGCATATGGTTACAGAGCCAACAATAAAATATTTGTGTGGATTGACGATGCCAAGAAAGAAGTCGATTCGGTCCGCTTTTTATGCCAACTCAGCACTCAGTCTCACAGTGCCCCGTCCCGTCTGTCAGTGGACCCTTTAGTGGTGGGGTGTATGGGGTGGCAGGGGCTGAAAGCAGGGCAATTGGGATCAGTCTGTGTCTCACTGCCATTATCAGTTTTGCCCTGACAACACATCTACTTTTCACTTTCACCCCACAAATAGGGTAGGCGTAAGGGGGCCTTCACAGAGGCGGAGGCAGGAGCAGGAGATGATAGACATGAAAATGAGCTCCTCTTTTTCCCTCCTTCACTGAATGGATGGGAGAAAATGTGGTGTCATATCTTGTCAGAGCCTGGACGCTGTCCAAGAGGAAATTCATGCTGAGGAAGGTCCGGCCACCTCTCAGCTCCTGATTTTACTTTTGAACGGGAAGAATTACAGGGGGGGTGAGGTTACTACATATGTATTTAAACACATTATGTAAATGTCTGTATTGTAACTAATGTTGTAAACTACATTAAAGAAGTTAGATAAGCTCAGTTAATCGGCCATGTTAGTTTCCTGAACTTCTTTAACATTAGTAAGTGCTTAAACCAACTATGAGGATCTTTTACATCGAGAAATAAACATGAAGCTGGGGCAGTAACATGACCACTTCAAAGTTAAATGCTCATGAGAAGTAAGGTGGAAAAAAATGACATGATCTTTTTTTTATAACGCGGACATGATGTCAAACAGGCCTTAAAGCTTCTATAAGCAACTTTCAGTCTATAAAAATATAGGCACCTGCTGCAGACAAAGCAGTAGTTCTGTTATTTTTGCAAGTCTTTACCTCTAAATATTAAAAATTCCTTTTTGAGACCTCAGTATCAATCACATATTAATCACTTTGTAAGGTGTCTATTGAGGTGGAGGGAAAACATCCAAGTGAGAGATTATAATCACCTCTTGGTATAAAAGACCCAATCTATCTATTCTAGTCTATTCCCACCGAGCAATAGACGTCTAGTTTTTGTTTTTTTTTAGACCTAATTTCAACCGTCTACGTTCTGTATATTTTTAGATGGAATTTGGACGTTGCAGTTTAACCTATTATTCGATAACTATTTATTTCAAAAAGCAACTGTGAGTTATATAACTGATCTCCAATTACCTAACCAAAATAATTATGATAGCTGTTAAGTGTAGTATAGATATAGCCCAGATTTAGATTTAGTCTAAACTTGGTCTCAATTTAGACGTCTAAAAAACTTTCATTTATAGACCTGTGGTATCCTGATTTTAGACCAGCGGTCTAGGCCACACTAAGACGTCTTAGAGTTCTCTTAGACCAAAAAATGCTCAGTGGGTTTTAACTGATCAGAAATTTTTAAAGAAGCCTTAAACAGATTTAACATCTAACAAATAAAAGACACAAATTCAAACAGACACTGCTTTTCAAAGTTAGTAGTTTGCTAATTCTGCATGAATAACTGGCACATTGTTAATTTAGTTGGTGAATATGATGCTGATCTTTTTCATTTTGTAACAAAAACTAAAGAAACACTGAGTTGTAAATCCCCCTGTTTCCTCACAGTCTCTTCAGCTGATGGTTTTTAAAGTCGCGTCTCTGCTGAATGATTTGGATCTACACTGGGCAGGGGTGAGGAGGCAAGGGGCCGCTCTTCTGAACATTGATGACCGTCAGCCAGTGCAGGCCTCTAGTGATATGTGGGCCCTCCGAGCTCCGGTAGCCCCACCACACCACACCCTGGGGTGCAACAAATATCAGCATTGTAATTTCACGCCTGTGATTATTATCGCGAGCTCTATCTCTGACTGGGAATCCTCCACCCATCCTCTTTAGTCCTCCCAGCTGAGATACTGTTTAACAGCCTCTCCCCTGGACCTGTGCGCTCAGACACACACACACAATCACACACGTAAACACATACACACACACAAACACATGCAGTGTTTTAATGTCTGCCCTCCATGGGCCCGTTTTAGGCTTTCTCATTTCTTCTTCTCCCATCTTCTGTTAATTCACCACCATCTGCCTCAGCATCTGTTTGAGGAGCCAGAAAAAAATGTCTGCCATGCCGGAGAAACTCTACGCTTTTTCTCCCCCTTGTTTTTTCCTCCTCTTCTTCTTTCTTTTCTCTCCCCCTGCCGCTTTTCTTAGACTTCACCCTCATGTGCCCATTTAAATGCCAGTGGCAGCATCCTCTTCTGTCTTTGTCTGGCCTCCCGCTCCACCCCTTCTTCTTACTGACCCTGATTTAGCATAAGCTTCAAAAACTTGATCCCTCCCCCTCAGACTTCTTAAAACACACACACACACAAAATCCCACAAACACACACTCAATCTCTTCACTGCAACACTTCCTCTGCATCTCATCATCCACAGGGACATGACAGAGAGGGCAGTCACATCCTTGTCCTATCAAAGCACCTTATTAATATCTACAGCCAACAGGGAACGAAAGTCGATTATTCTGAACTATTTAACCTAAAAAAAAGAGAGAAAATCTAAGTTTCATGAGGGAGTCTAAAGGAAGATGCTAAATTCTTCACTCTCTGCCTCCTGCACTTCCTCCTCTTCCTTCTCTCCTTTGAGGTTTTAGGAAACAATAGGACCGTCCACTCCACAGCCAGCCTGAGCCACAGGAGCCGTCCATGCCAAGAGAGATTACAAGCATTCTTCATCGGGGCCAGGGTTGCCGTGGAGACCTGAGATGCTCTGAGTTTTTTTTTTTTTTCCTGAGGATCCTGAGAACATGACTGTGTCTTTAAGAACAGTATTTCGAGTAAACTGCACATAATTGTTGATTGAGAGGAATGAGAATAAAGCTTTCACATGCATCTTTAGTACTTTAGTTAAGTAGCTTGACAATGTAGTTGGATTTATATCCCTGACTGTTGATGTGTTTTTAGTTGTACTTGCCTGCCTCATATATTACCCATACTTTATATGTTTTTATTGTCGTTTTATTGTTGTTTTACGATTGCAACATCATGTTTTACTAAAAAGGTGCAATAAAAATAAAGTTTTATGATCATAATTCTTAAGAGACGCATTTTTATATGACTTCAAGTTCTTATGTGCTCTTATTTTTCTAAGGGGGGGGAGAAGTCGTGATCTTTGTGCTTGGTAGTTATAACCCTAACACAGCTTTTTAAGGACAATTATCTAGAGAGACTTAAAATGAATTCTCTTTTATTTTGTGTCAACCATAACATCATTTTTGAAATCACAGCTTGTAAAAATGATGTGGTGTTGAAATAACCCATGAAATATTTCATCTTTTTTCTGTCCATTTCATCACTTTTTACATGTCTGTCAGTCTGTGTTTTCATTCTGAGGGTATCAGCGTCTTCTCAGGCCCACTGGGACCTTAAGTGTTTATTTAGCAGCTCTTACAGACAGCAGTAACGCTAACGTTTACACTTCAGGCCCCGCCACAGGCAAGGGGTTTCAGAGAGATCTAATTAAATAGACGGCCGGACGTCCTGCACTCCGTGCCTCCCCTCAGGCTAACATGGATCGGACAGCTTTGTGCAATATGCTAACCCATATGGGGGCTTTGAATAGACATGATCTTTGACACTGCAGCCACTTCACATAATTGTGATTATAAAACAGTTCCCTCTTCTTCATTATGCCGCCATATTACCCCGCAATTCTGTCTAAGGGCAATGATATCCTCCTCCCTCACTCCTCCCCACCCTCCCGTTCTCTCATTTCTCTGTGGGGAGCTTTTGTCTGATAAGTTGTCACATTAAGTGCTAACTTTTGGGTGATCGCTGGGCTTTTCTTCCTATCTCTTTATGGCCAGACCCTCTAATAGCTGTCCTGCGGCAGCGCCCGAGGCTATCATGCTACAAATAAACAGGCTGACACAGTCATTTACTCAAATCGTCCCTGCACTATTCAGAAACCCTCCCCTGGTGATGATCCTTCGAACAACAATTATTTCAAATGTCAAAGATCCAAGCCTGCCAGGCATAGACAAATGAACATTAAAAATCTATTACCAAACACTTTAAAATATATATGTACCCTTTCTTTATTTCACCAATAAAAGATTACAAAAAAGGGACGCTGTGGAGCTAAATCTCTAAACCAGGAGCAAGCAAACATTAAATTTAAGGGTTTAATGAACATCAGTCAAGGCAAATTCCTCCTTTTTATGACAGTGTAATGAGGCAATACGTCACCAGTGCAGCAGAAATCTCCAAGTAGATAGAGTTAACCCACAGAGGTTTGCGTTTGTGTTTCGTCTCCTTGTTTCCTTTTGTTTCACGTGACTCCATCTGGGGGGGTGGCCTCTGATTTGCTGTCACACTGAGCTGTTCTACATGACCTCTCATAACCCCATCTCGACTCTCTGTGGGCTTCCAGGAACCTTCAGCTGACCCTGCTGATGAGATGAAGATATTTTCACCTAAGCGATCAGAACCTCTGGGCTATAATAGTGTTAAAGTCATCTTTATAATGAGAGTTTGACCTGCTGGGATCTTCATAACTCATATTTAAAGTTGTGTAATAGAGATGAAGACGTACCTTCTATCACAACTTGACTCCTTTTGTCTGCAGAGCTGTTGTACTCATCCTCTCCCTGTTTTGCCTTCTTGTAAGTGAACAGCCTGGTTAAGATATAGAGACCTAATATAAAAGTATTGCTTGCAGTATCAATCTATTCCATGTGATTGCCCCTCATGATGGGCACAAAATCCATCCAGTGATAATGGCATCCATCTCCGCCTTTATACTGCATGTATTTGTTACCTTTGGCCCAGTAGCAATAAATCCAATCTAGTCTCCTGGATGTGGGCCGCTGACCACTGCCAACTGGTCAAGGAGAGTGGCTACAGTTCATTTCACACCAACGGCCGTCATGATTACAGAGAGATTAAAAGCACCCCACCCCCCTTTACTTCACAGCCTCCCTCATCCTGTAAGCATACACGGTTTTGATGCAATGTACGACTTATATCACTTAGTATCGGCTCTTCTTCTTAAGACCTGTTTTTTAAGGTTGGTTTATGTTGGTTTAAGTTTTGGAAGATAGTTAAAAAAAAAACATAGCGGTTACGAATTAAACTCTGCAGTGTCGTCACCCATGATGCAACAATTGAAAATGACACCAGCAATGTTGACTAACTAAATCAGCCTCTACCCAAACTACAGTGTCGCATTACGTTAAACAGCAGTAAATTCATGTAGTTCTTTATTGGCTTTTATTTATTTTGTATTACTTGCCTCAGTAAGCATTTGGATCCATAGACGCAGCATCAGTGATGTCTCTACTGACATAAACGGGCCAAACTGCTTTGAGACAAACCTGTGCTGTTGCAAAAATTAATAAAACTACTAAAAAATAAGGCTTGGTATTTTAAACCCAGTTTTAAGTTTTGATCTCTCAGTCAAAAACTTTCTGTATGAAAATGAAATGAATATGAAAAGTGCATTTCTGCATGAAACACACTCTTATTCTTTAGCTTTTAACACAACCTAATCACATATTGTTTGTTTATCGATTACTTTTTAATTGCTTTTATCTGGTCTGCTCTTGTATTTTGCTGAGTGTTGATTTTGTTTGTTTTTTAATATCAATGTAAAGCACTTTCATCAACTTGGTTGTTTTTAAATGTGCTCTACAAATAAAATTGTTTTGTATTGTAATAGTGTTTTATAAAAAATAAGCCGCATTTCTCGTCTTTAATGCCAACAGTAAAGTTGTTGCTGTATTTGAATGATACTCTGGGAAGTTCCTCTAATGGCAAAATATGATGAGACTCCCAAGAGCTTTGAATTTACACAATTATTTACAGAAAACAATAAGAAAAACTCATGTGGGTCCATGTATTATCCGTCCATTCAATTATTCCATTCAATCTAGTAAACGAAAAAACGAATCAAATAAAAATGAGTGTTTGTTTTCATATTTTCAGCTCAAAACAGAATATATAATAGAGAAGGAAACGAAAACGATGTTTTGAGCATACGTGCATGGAGGCCACATTGGCCTTCCCATGGCGAAAGATGCGACAGAGCAGTTTGAGCACGAAACTCTTCCGTTGTAACAGAGCTCTGGTTGTAATTTTTTCTACAGTCAAATCTTCTCCTTCAGTGTGACCCTCCTTGCGGCTTTGAATAATGCGTAGGATGCGCCAATCTCCATGACAGTAGGTTAGCCTTTCTCTACCGCTCTGGCCTTTTGGTCTACGTTGTTAGCTACAGGGGACATCAATAACCTGAAAACGAAAAGTAGATTTATTATTTTGTTTTTGTTTCCATCTGTATTATATATTCTGTTTTGAACTGAAAATACGAAAAAAAAAAAAGACTTATCTTTTATTTTTTGGTTATATAGGAAAAACAAATAAACAAAATATTGACTCGCTTTTTCATTTTTCAGTTACTAGATTAAATGGAATAATTGAATGGACGGATAATAGACGGACCCAACTGACTTACAGACTTAGCTTTGACGTACACTATGTGGAGTGTAATGAGTGTCAGTATGTGATGATATATTTGTGTGCTTTGATGATAAAACAAGTTTAAACAAGTATGTTGTTTTATATAATGGTCACTGTTTGCTGCTTTAGATGCAATGATATTTAAATCCTTGTCATAATATAAATGAAGTGTCAATTCTCGTGTTGTTAATGAAAATAAACTGAGGAAGAACATCAGAGTAAAATGTTAAAATAACCCAGTAGATAAAAAGTCATTTTTTAACTCCATTATATTGGGAAAATGAATCACCAAGTTAGTGTTCATTTTTGTTTTCAAGCTCTCAATGCTGGGTATTTCTGTATAAACAAAACATGTAAATGTATACATATTCTTTGCTGAACATCATGCACTCTAACAGACTGAACTTATCTTGAGCACCCAGGACTCTCATCAGCAGTGATTTCTTCAGCCCATCACTGACGTCCCTTGGGAGCCCTAAGTGGAGCAGATGGCAGACAAATAGCTCATAAGAGGGGGAAAATTAAGGAGTTTTACAGGATTTTCATCAATTACCTGAGCTAATGTATCAATATAGAGTAAAAAAAAGTGTTATTTGTAATGTTTTTGACAGCACCATCAATATATTAATAAGAGCCATGTAAGACATCAATCTTCATTTTCAAACTTTAGAGATGTTCCTCATTAACGACACACCTGAAAGTAAAAGTTGAATTCTTGCCTTGGAAAGAGGCTCACTCTGCATTTTCATGTATCATCACATCTTTTCTGTATCAGCTCTCATGTAGGGCCTCTGGTATATTCTATAATGGCAGTCAATGAGCGAGTCATTGTCCTGCATTAGCATGTTACGCTACAGGGAGTTAAAGAGCCCAATTTCATCTGTGCCCCACATCCTTCTGATGGGATTGGCTCTGATGGGTCTGTGTGTTAGAGGACTGCTTTCTGGTATCATAAAGGATGATATGATTGTGTCGTGGCTTCACAAAGCAGTAAGACATGCTTTCTGGAGCCTGAAGAGATTACTAAACTCAGGCCTTAAACAATCCTTGTGTTTTAGCTTTAATCATGCTGCTTGACTCTGCAGAGACACAGAGAGCCGTACAGAAAAGCTGCTGTAACAAAGATGACGGTGGACCAAAAGGATGTGTAGTAAGGTCTAGAAAAGGGGAAATAATCAGCTAATTATCCATGAACTGTTGTGCAACTGGACTCAATAAATCTGGAATTAAATGACAAACAAATAGCTTAATTATTAAACTACATTTGGTGCTCTCCTCTTATCAGTGAGTGGCCTTTCCTCAAACAGCAGTGCACCAAGACGGTGTGAGGAAACAAGTGGGACAACTTTCCTCCAAAGACCAAGTAGTTTTTTTCAAGGTCCTGTCTCGTTCCTTTGAAACACTAATTAAAATGTTAAGACTTTTGTAATTAAAATGCTCTGTGTGTGTAAATGCAATATTCAACAGTTCTTCTGACAGTGATATATTCTACGTGGATTATCCTCAGTGATTTTGACTTGCCAATTAATCAACATTATTTATGATGATAAAAGAGAGAGAGAAAAAAAAAACTTAGTGATGAACAGACGGCCTCAGCGATCATGATGTTCTCAGTCAAGTAAATTTCTGAAATATTTATTAGTACTTTGGTGAAGCTGTGGGCACCACCAGTTAGAGACTGTTGGTATACTGGTCTGACTGTGTGGGTTTATATGCAACTGATTTATCAACGGCAAACAAGAGACATATTGTTAGTGTGTACAGTGGATTTCATGTCACATAACGCACTATAACATGTTTGTAAGTGAACTTTCAAATCTCTATTAACAGTATATTGTCTTTAACAAAGCACATACAGTTCATTAGTGCTTGATATCACAACATAAACATAATTTATCACATAGCATACACTGTGCATGCAGACATTGTTATTTTACATCGTTTTTATCAATGATGTCAAACACATGAAAGCATTCAAAGCTTAAAAACACTGTGGAGTTTTTGAAAGATTTGAGCTCTGCAGGCATGTGAATGCTTTATGAGGACTTTAGAGTTAAACCAGGTGAATATTAACTGTATTTAGACATGTATAAAAAGAGAGATTAATTTGCTTTTACTACAGATTTACACTTTGGCAAGAGAAATGCAGTCCTTATCTCCTAAATCACTACATGTTGTATCCAAAGGGGTCCCCAGAATCAATTCAACGTTAAATTTCAGCACAGCACCTTTACACAGTTAAAAAAGTTTTTGCCAAAACAGTTAACAGTTAATTAATGAATGTATTAAATATGGTTATGGCAAGAAGTTCAGGTTACAAATAAACTACAGGGTTCCTACGCAAGTATGGAAAAGTATGAAAATAAATTTGATTAACTTCCAGGTCTTAAAAAGTATGGAAAATGAAAATTAAAGTATGGAAAATCATTTGTTTCCAGACAATTACCACAGTTCTGAATGACTGTTTTCTAAAATAGAAAAGTAGGTATTTCCAAAAATACTTCTAAAATGTGGGGTATGGAAAAATATGGAAATTCCAACTGTGTCATAACCCTGAAACTAAGTTTTGTACATATCTAGTACAAACATGCTACATAATAAGTAACATATGACCAGTAGTAGTTGAGAAAGAAATTACTTCAAATTGATTATTTGTTCTTAGCTAATAAAGAAGGTTGCAGTTGAAGTCCTAAATAAGACAGCTGTTAAAATAAATAAACTTCGGGTTTATTGATCCCTCTCGTTTCTCTGGATTTCCTGTGACCTTCTTCTTACACCCACATTACTCTTTAAAGAGGCTCCTGATCTTTAATTATTCCAGCACAACAAGGGCTAATCTACAATTTTAAGTTGTTCTCCATGAAATAAAGAAATATGCACACCCACTCTCCAAGGCTCCCAGACTTTGTGCCCTGCCCATTGTGTTTTTTTCCTGCAGTTTGTCTCTTTTCATTTGCATTTTTATGCAAAGTTAGTCAGGAGAGACTTCTTGTCCTGCCATGAGTACATTAAGAAAACCATTAATCACAGTGTAAAAATCTGAGACACACCTGTCCTGCTAGCCGGGGGCTGTGTTACTTATCACTCTGGCTGGGCAGGACAGGGACATGAACCTCAGGGTGGAAACATCCAGACCTGCCCTCTTCAAAAAGATGAATACAGTCGGTCATGGGTACAAATTTCTTCACTAAACTTTGTGATTCATTTGATTTTATTTCCATCCCTATAATATTTAGTTCTAACCTTTCACCTTCAATGTTTGGCATGGTTCTCTTTGGCTCCATTTGACCCTTTATCCAATTAAACATTTGATGCATGAACTCAGTTTTAACCTGGTGCCAAATATAGCCTTAAAGATGGTTAAAGGTACAGGACTAAAAAACACCAAAATATCATCAACAGCTTCTAAAAATGCACTCAGACCAAAGACAAGCTGCATTTCTAAACATCGTGAGAAAAATGGCAGGAATTATCCAACCATTAAGGAAATAAGCAAATAAACAGACATCATAATGTAATAGTTGTGGTGCGTCTCCTGAAGTTGATGTTCCACCTACCTTTTCTGTTTCTGTGAAAGGAACATTAATCTGACGCACCAGTGGAGCTCTGTCTAATGTGAAAATGTAGAAGAGTTTTTTTTCCTCCTGCTTCTGCGAGGAAGAGGCTTCTATCACACTAATGATAATAAATGGCGACTAATGGGATGACCAAACATAACAAATGGAAAGTTTTAAAGGTATGGGACCACATTAAATCTGCAATGACATCCTCCAGTCAGAGCTGAGTCGGCGCTAAACAAGAAAAATTGATCACAGAGATAAGTGTAGTTTCACTGTTCATGATAATGTACATCAAATGTGTCCCATACAGAGTATTCATAATAATTTTCTTAATAAAGTAGTGATATACTGAACTTATAGTGTAATTTAACATTATCAACTCCAGGTCGTCCTGTCAGGGTGGACTGAGAGGATTTCTGAAAAGGCATTCAACTGCCAGACCAACAAAAATACCAAAAAATAACAGAAACTGAGAGCAAACATGGGTACGAAAAACAGATCTATGGTCTCAAAACAAAAAAGTACCACAACTCGTCTCTACGTCTTCTGTGTTTTATCAGACTTTGAGATTTTGATGTGAATTAGGCCACTGAGGTCTTTGACTGTTGCTTTAATTTCATGCTTCCACTCCACGACATTTATTTTCCACCTCCAGCCCCTTTTCAAAAAACATATAAGGAGTAATATAGATTCAGTGACCGCCTGTGTGTAAAACTATGACGGAGTATTAGGGCCACATTAAGAAAAAAAAAAAAAAATAGAATTACTTACAAGAATAAAGTCGTAAAAAAATAATTACTGACAACAAAAAGTTGTAGTAAAAAAATTACTTACAAGAATAAAGTTGTAATAAAAATTCTTACGAAAGCAAAGTCGTAAAAAAAAAAATACTTACAAAAATAAAGTCGTAGTAAAATGATTACTTATGAGAATAAAGTCATAGCTGATAGCTTTTCTAACCTGTTTTTATTTGTTTAAATGAGCGCTGTGGAGCATTTATATGAACTGAACTTCAGTAGCTAGGTTTCACAAACAAGCAGATACTAAATCCTTTGGCGTTTCAGCATCACATTGTCATGAGTATCAGGACAAATGCAAGAAATGCGTCTTTTCCACAGAAACAACCAGGCGGACTTGTTGGGGATCGCTGTTTTTAAGGAGGGGGAAATGGTTGGCAATGGCTGTGCAGAGGCTAAATCCCTCAACGCAGTTGTTTACAGTAATAGCATATGGTTTTAGTTTATCGTATAAATCTATATGCCATAAGGTGTTGGCCCTCTGAATGGCCCACTGATGCACCCACAGATAACTCTGCAGCTGACCAGTTTCAGCCATTTCCTCCTTCACAAAGACAGCTTTACTTCATTTTATGATTTTATTCTCATAGATAATGATTCCATTATGACTTTATTCTTGTAGATAATGATTTTCCTACAACTTTATTCTCGTAAGTAGTTACAAAGCTTTACTTTTTTTTGGCCCTAACGCTCTGTCATATAAAACATCTTGACTTAAACCAGATAAAAAAATGAGTATCAGTATCTTTTCAATGTAAAAATCCATTTAATACTAAGAGTGCATGTGTCGTAGTGTTTTTGCTGCTTCCTGTGTCTTAATCAGATTTATTTGATGTTGAAAGTCCACACTCACAAGATCTATATTGTTCAGTATAATCTGCAGTGGACATAAAGAAGACAGAGGACTGGCCTGCGCTGTATCTTCCGAAGTCTGACACTGAGAAGTCTCAGAGAATTTCAGGTCTTTGTGTGTTTGGCATTGAGTGGAACCGCATTTGTCTTAATGATCGTGCTCCTTGAGCTGATTTTTGTTTCACAATAATCAATATCAGAGTCGCCGTTGGCAGCAAAGCCCAAGAAAGGGGGAGTAAATGTGAAGAGGCATTCTTCCTCTGCTGCGGCCTTGTCAATGTAACAATGCTTTTAGAGTTTGGCCCTGAGCGTCTAAACACACTCTCCATCACTCTTGAAATCCTGCTGGGCCACACTTGGCTGCTATTGTAACTTAGATACAGTCTCAATTTGTATGTTGTCTCTCGGCAGACACGGGGAAAAATAAATGGATTGATCTCTCGTCCCAGTCCAACTGTTACAGCACATCTGTTTTCAGACAGGATTTATAAAAAAGTGTCACTGCTGACAAATAAACAGGTGTGTTCACAACTACAGGATGATACTGTTATTGTGCCTGTATGACATTTTCATCAAACAGAACACAGCTTCAACACTCAACCGTCCTGGCTAACTTTTGATCAATTTGGAGTTGAGATCATTTTGAGTGAGTTTATTACGAGAAAAAAGCAATAATTTTGGGGGAGCTAACACAGATAGTGAAATTTCTGCAATAAGATGGAATAAGACATCAAAAAAGGTCAGAAATGATCCTCTGAGTCATGTCCTTTTGTATAAATCAAAACAGTTTTTCAGCTCTTTCTCCTCATAGCCACATTCCCTCAATTATACTCAAAAAAATTGGCAGTCTGTTCTCACTGTTGAATCAAGCTACATTTCCCGGCTTAGTTACTGTAATCAGATTTACTCAGATTGTGGTCTGATGAAGCACAAGCTGAGTGTGAGAGGCGTGTGGCCCCGTTTGGCCCCTCAGTGACCAGAGAGGAGGTGATAAATGACTACAACTCTCATCCCTGTCAGCACTGGGAGGGGTGGGGGGGGGGCAGCCCTCCTACCGTGAGCTACATCATCCTAACAACATTATTCTTTTCATGCGGCTTGTCGATAGAAGCCCCGTGTGATTGGCATGGGGATCCGCTCAGGTTAATTGGAAGCCTGAACTGTGTAACGGCACGGGAAGCTGAGCAGACATTGTCCCCCTTGTAATAACACAGGAGGCCTGTGTGTCTGTGTATCGATTACATCTTAGGTTCATGGCACCCGTATGGGAATGAAATATCAGAGGACAGGTTATGGATGTTACCATCAGTAACACTGAAGGAGCGGAGATGGGACACTTGTAGAGAAGGAAAACCCTTAATGAAAAGTTTACATTATATTAAAGTCTTTTGATCAAGATCCTTCAAACCAGAACCCTCAGCACCTCTGATGTTGTTCTAGAAATAAAGCTCAGAGTTAATGGAATAGATCTGATTTATAAGCAGAGATGTATGCACCTGTTCTGTGTGTGTGACAGGTGTATTTGCCCTCATGTCTGACCCCCCACTCTTTAGCTTCCTTTTGATCAAGGGCCCATAGCTTGCATTAGATGAAGGACACACGATACCCCATATAGGAGGTAACCTAACACACACAGCCCCCAACTTGTAAGCAGGGCTCGCAGCCCTATGGACCAGGCCACCTTGGGCAGTGGCGAGATTAAGACAACAGTGAGTGACAGAGCTAATTTGTGAAAGAGGAGAGTGAAGTCACGTTTTTTTTTTTTGGTGATTCCCAATATTTTTTAAATGAAAGGGAGCAACTCTAAAAAGAATCATTTGTCTCCTGCTTTCTAACTTATCTAACTTGTTAAGTTTCTGTTGACTCTCCTGAACTGGACTTGATCAAACTTGGACATTCAAAAAAACACATACACCTTACTCTGTGAATGTGGTAGCTCTCTGTTCATACCCTACAAAGCCTTTCTTTCTTCTTCTTTCTTCTTTATCTTATCTAAACAAAAACATAAGATGTGCACAAGATTATTCCATAAAATCTAGATATAAAACATGATGGGATAAAAGGCCTAGTCTGCTTTGGGGGAGCTCCCATAGAGAAAAGGTTTCTACATTAAGGGCCTGATCTACTAAAGGTTTGCGTGTGCAAAAACACATGCAAACTTGACAGCGCGCGAAAAGCTGATCTACTAACCGGGTGCGCCAAGGATTGCGTCTGCTTAATGAGCAAAACAGCGCGTAATCCATTTAGCGTGTTTGCCTTCATGAATACGCAGATTGTATGTAGATAATCAGACCGCGCAAAATCCTGGGAGGAGCAGATGCAAATAGAATCATTTAGCACCCGCAATGTGATTTATCAAACCTGGAAAACGATTGCGATCACTTTTTTGTGTCTATATTTAGCACATTTGAAAGGCACGTGCAAACTAGCACAGTTACGCACAAATCTGCAGCCACTTCTGCCCGCAGGGAGAAGGAGGCAAACGTGCAAAAGCGTTTTTTTTAGTAAATGACGATATTGATAACTAATAAAGTCAAACACGTAACAGTCGCAAAAAATTATCTCTTTGTCTTAGTGATTTTAAATCGGTTGAATTTTTTTTTTATATTTCAAATATATTGTATAAATGGTGCTATACAAATAAACCTCCCTTGCCTTTTATGCAGTTGCTGGCTTCCCCAAAAAGATAGGTGCAACTCCATGGCTTCAAACTTAATTTTTCATCTACGATCACTCTGCTCTCACGAACTCTCCATGGTGACGGCCGATAGCGTGCGCAAAATCCTTGTTTAAAGAGGGTGGTCCACACCACTTTTGCTCCTATTATCGATTGCACACGCAATGATAGCAAATCACACGCAACACGCCCACTAATAGCCTGTGCAATTTTTTGGTTTGCACATGCAATTTAGCGTTCACTATTTGGGATCTTAGTAGATCATGCCCTAAGTGTTCGATTGAATTCAGCAACATGCACTTTTTGTTCCAATGTGTAGCTCATTCAAATACTGCCCATCAAATGCCAACCTACTAGCTACACATTCGGTAGTTAAACACAGCCGGTAGGAGGTAGTATTTGAAGTCACACACAGACACTCTGCCTGAGACAAATTCACCAAAACTCACGCAGCTTTGAGATTCTGTAAACTTTTTAACCATCCAAGTGAATTTTCCAGAGGCTTTAAAAAAAGTGTTTAACCATTTCCATTTTTACACACCTTTAGTTGCAGCGCTCTACTTTGAGGCGACCTGCCAAGTTTATGTCTCAGCGGAGTTTTATTCTTATTATCACCTCCATCATTCCACCTTGATGCATTGTTTAGCGACCAAGGTAAAAGGTTTGATGCCATAACTCAGAAATACTGCTTATTAATTTAGAAATTAATTACAAACACAAAGTGACATTTTACAAGAAATGTTTAGCATAGCATGAATTATCGCTGCTGTAAATTGGATGCACGCAACGAAGTGCAAAGCCTTGACTTGAGCTCTTTGTGATTAATAAAAGAAGCTTTCACTTCAGTTTCAAAGGCAGTCATGAATGAACGATATGACGGGATGAAACTGAACTCCTCCTCCAGCTGAAGGACAAGCTCTTAAGGGTGGATGTACATTTTAAAACGGTGTATCAAATTAAGAGGAATCAGGGCCATCACTTATTGTATTTGTTTTCCCGTCAGACGGTTCAGTGACTTAAAGCCAATGAAGGACGCGACGAGAGATGAGGTCAGACATTTTAAAGTAGAAAGTAATTCCTGCCTTTTATTACGCCAAAGAAGTCAAAGTGTGTCAGTAAGTTTTCTTCTCTTTTGCTGATGATCTCATTATTGTTTGACATTTTGTCATAGATAAAACGCCTGCATTAGCGACTGCACACAGGCAGGCAATGACTTGGACACCCTCACTCTGTTCCGAGCAACACAAACAGGAGGTCCAGCTCCGTCTCCTGTGGAGCAGAGGATCTGGATTCTACATGAGTGACTGAGACACAGCATCCTCCATCCTGCCTCTCTCAGCCCCCTCGTAGAGCCCCACAAGGCCCACCACGTGGCTCTCAGCACCGAGGTCCAGATTGTGCCACTGGGCCGGTACTGGACTGGAGGTGGGCAATGGAGCCCCAATCCATCTCCCGCAGGAGCCCAGTGACGGGAGCATCGGTTGCCCACTTCTCGGCTCCGAGCACACTCAGGAAGATGGATTGGTTGGCCAACTCACCAAAGGAGGCAAAGCATGCCGTTAAGAGCCTGTGCATCACTTGGCTGCTCATATGCAAAGTTTGATGAAAGAGGTTTTTCTGGGAGCGATGAATTAGGGCTCCGCTGTGAAATTAGATTTCTGGTGAAAACCTTGCAAGGTTTAGAAGTAGCATTGTTTCTTGACTGCTGTCTAGCCCAACAGTAATTATAGATAAAGTGGAATTATGTCGGGGATTCAATGACAAATGATGGAGATGAATGTCAGACGAGCTGATGAACCCGAAGACATGCAGAAAAAAGTTTTAAAAAGAGGATAGTATGTTCCCTAGAGAAATGAGACAAGCAGCATGTAGCCAAAAGTGCACTAATATTTCCTTAATCAATCAGGTGGTATAAGAAGCAACAATTGTCCATCTTTGTGAAACAGTACTACACACACCTGAGCTTTTACACAACACAAGGGGAGAATAGAAGAGAAGCCGTACAACAAACACCGAGGAGCAGATGAAATATTCCCCTCTGATGAAATAAATCTTGTGGAAAAATTGTCTCATCTTCAGAAACAGTCCAAATTGCTCGGCACTTTAGCCTGATACACTGAGGGATCCCGCCACCACCACCACCTCCTCCTCCTCCTCCTCTCTATGACCCAAACCTAAAACGGCAGCATGAGCACTGACAAATTTGACAAAGGGAATTTGCTCAAAAAACACAGCCTCTATTTGGTCAGCCAAGCGGCAAATATGTCGGATGATATGGTTTATTAGGCAATCCATTTCTCCACAATAGTGGGGCCATCTGCAAAGGTTAGCGTGCATAAGGTTGGTATGGCAAATTCTATCTAATCTGCCTTCGAAGGGCCCGTCGCGAAAACTCAGTGGCACATTTTTCATGTACCTACGATTTGGAATGCAAATAGAATAGCTGATGAAAGAGGTGACCTTCTAAGTGCAGAGCAGCGGGGGCCTGTGGAATATGCAGAGGCGGAATAGAATAGAAAAGAATGAGTTACTGCCACTGCCACCTCAGCTGCATTGTAATATACGACTGTGGCTCAGATACAAGTGAACCTGGCCTCAAGAACATCTAGGTTAATCTCTGAGGATGGCACATCATGTACTCAGTGCAGAAAAATAGCCGGCTGCAGAATTATTTGTTTTTATGCAGCGAATGAGGCCTCCAAAGTCAAACGACAGCCCTCAAAAGAGAAAGTTCCATAATATCCAAAAGTTGTTTTTCCATTTTCATTATGCAGGGACTTAACTCCTCTACTTATCTTACTTTCAGGACAAACTTGATGGATATAAAACTGGATTTATGCCCTCATAGTGCATGTTTTATAATAAATAGCAGCATGTATGGAACATTAAGTGGCCAATCCAGTTGATGGATAGTCTAACATGCTCAAAATGTAACTCAAAATGAAAGTTGGAACAAGATATTCCATGAAATAAAGGTGAGACTATATGTCAATAGTGTGGTGTACGTACCCCTTTGTCATGCCTGGAACAAAACTTGAACACATAGACAAATGGGTGAGGTGCACCATGGTCATTCAGCCGTGCATGTCTCATCTGTAGCCAGCTTTGGCAGAGTAGTCATCTTCATTCCCTTTGTCCTTACTGCAGTAGGTAATCTATCAGCCTCGAGACGTGCCGGAGAGTCCGGCTGGCCTACTCGCTCTCCCATTTGAATTGAGAAACCCAGTTTCTGCTTTACCCGTGGTCCCAGTTAGACCGGGCTGCAATTGAGAGTGAGTGAGCTGTCCTTGATTCATATTACTGTCCCCGTATGATTGAGCTTCTTTGGTATCGCAGGAGAATGGAGCGAAAATTGAGCACTTTACTTTGCAGGGTTGAAATCCCAGTACTGCATGTATGCATTTTCTCAGGGTTTTTCACGGGACACGCTTGAGCTGCATTCTTTATGTAGTGCTCAATGAGACGGACGTACAGGAGTATTTAAGGTGGTATTTGGAAGTTAGCAAAGAAACGTTGTTCACAGTAGGTATTAAACTACCTGCAGACATTTAACCCCAACTTCATTTAAACTATTAGGCAGGTAATTTTACACACTGTCAGTAATTTAATAAAAAACTGACAGATAATGTTATCTTGATTCATTACTGTCCAAACTTTTATCAATCGCTCTTAATTCAGTCTTAGTTTAACTAGAAGATACCATCACGGGACTTGAGATCAAGTTTAAGAATAACTTCAAATATCCTCCAAAATTACTGATGATGTGTCAGTAAGTTAGTGTGGATCCTGCTTCTTTAGTGTTTGAGAGCCACTGTCAGAGTGGTGAAAGAAGGAGCAGAATTTGATATTTCAGCAGAAATACAGAAATCTGAATTAAAGTGCATAAGGAGAGGTATCCAGAAAGTTTTCCCCACACTGGCGGCATCGTCTAATTTCAGTTCAAGCTAAATGCAATTTAGCATTTTCAGGGCTCAGCATGTCTCAGTTGAAAACTGATAAATTATGGGAACACTACTTTGCTCATGATTGTTGCCTTTTAATCGCCAACCAATCAGAATCAAGCGACTAAGTCAATGGCAACAGTGGAGGTTTGTATGGAAGAGAAACTGACCACACTTATTATTTGCAAAGTACAATATCTAGGTCTAGATGTGATTCTAACACTGATCAAAAGAATACAGATCCTTGTAAAGAAGACCTGATGGCACTACTATTGGAAGCAAAGTGTGGAGGGATGACAGTCATAACCTTTTGACAAACAAGGCCAACAACAAGCGCTCTAAGATTTAGTTTGTATGCTTTGCTTACGTGTACAGTATTTCTTCAACCTAATAAATATCATTTTGATGAGAGATTCCAACTTCTCTCTTTACATAGAGGTTAAATAAGTGGTCTGATAAAGACCTGCACCATCTAGACATACATATAATTTTTCCATTTTTAATCTGCTGGACATAGACGATAAAGAAGCAGTCCGCTCTGTCTGTGCTGTTAACACTATGATTGCTAAACACTGTGCATCGAAGATTATATTCTCCTCGCTGGCATCTTCGATTTTTGTGTCTATATCAGTTCAAGTTTTTACATTAACTTGTCTTAACAACTCTGTTTCTTCCAGTTGATTTGTCTACATGAAACATTCTTATTTTCATCAAGCTATTTTTATGATTATTGGTTGTCGAAGTAAACACAATGTTAACATTTAATTTTGGTCATGGGAATAGTTACTAAAAAATAGAAAAATGTAAATTTTTGCCATTGTATTTCTTATTTCATGCAAATCTAAACATACTATGAATAACAGTACATGGATTTTAAGTGACAAAATAACCCGGCATTAAATGTCTGTCTAGGTTAACTAAGAGAAACAGGAGTACAGAGAAAGAAGTGGACAACAGCATTAATATGTGTGCCTGCCTGTTATGTATTAAGGTAGAAAAAGTTAGCCATTGCTGTACATTATGTGACCCTGTGCTGTGTAAGTCAGGAGTGAGTCTCTCTGTTGATGATTAAATCAATAGAGATTTGACACAGACTTGTGGGAACATGCCTTGTCTCATTTCAGCCAGTTCCTCCCCTCCTGGTTGGCTGTGGGGGGGATTCATCACCTGACTGGTCTCTGTCACCTGATGGAGATGGGCCTTTAGCCGCGGTGTGATGGAGGGAGCCGATTATGATGCATGTCGATCGTTCCAGCAAATATTGACATGGAAACAGTGAGAGAACAACCCCACGGCTCATAGCGCTTTCTTCTCGCCAACTCGGCATCGCACAGACGCGCACACACAAAAGATAATGCAGCCACAGTTTACGGACATATTCATGAATATAAACACACACACACACAAAGATGCCCAGAAAGCGATCATCCCAATCGATGGCGTCTCATCAGCTTCTCGGGGTACATCCCAGCTCCATTTGCTATTAGCACTGTGGCGCTTGTGTGCGGGAGGCTGATTGGTTATTCATGTTTATTTACTTAAGGGTGGAGGAAAAGGCCATTTCCCCTGCCACACTACGCTCATACTGCCTCTTAACCACCTCCTACAACTCCACAAAATCATGCTCCTCCTGCACCTGCCCCTGGGAACTAAGAGGCTAAATGATGAAACACAAACTATTTCCGCTCAAAGAGAAAAACCTGTAGACATCTCGGAGAAACCGGGGGAGTAAGAATGAAAAGAGAGGTTGGAGGATGTGTGGAAGAAGAGGGGGAGGGAGGTGCTAATGACAGGTATGTCTGTAAATTCTTCATCCCGCATAGACTGCTAGGGAAACTGCTTGGCAGGGTGCTCATCCGTGACTTTACAACTAATCCTGTTTGTAAGTTATTATTTATCTTCTGCAAAGTTTGTCAAACTCCGGCTTTGATTTCTCCCCCTGAGTTCCCTCTCGTGGCCCGCTCCCGCACATGCTCCCCACATAATTTATGACTGCCTCTGGTCCTGATGACAGATTATTAAAAGTAGAATTAGTTTTTTGCTGGGGATTTTTCCTGTGGGAATTGGGAAGGCAGGGCTCTCAGAGGAAGGTCTCTGACGAGGTCTCCATTACTAATAGAGGAGGTTTTTTTCCCCTTCCCTGTGTGATGGCAGAGTGAGAAGACTAATGATTTGAATTTACTGTGGCAGCCGTCACGTGGTCTGGAAGCCGGCATCGGAGGAGAGGAGAGGTTAAGTTCTTCCCCGTGGAGAGGTTTATTGGATTGTTTAGCACCAGAAGGATAATGTTTTTGTCGTAGACTGCTGGTGCTTGTGCTGCTATGCTAGAGGGAGGCCGAGAGCAAACCCCTCACTTGTGTGTATGTGTGCGCGTGTTTGTGTGTGTCTGCTTGGATCAAAAGTATGAAAAGATCAGTGAGGAGAAAGGGAGCTATGTGGTAACTGAGGAGGTAACAAGGAGCTCAGTTATTGCAGAAAATGGCTCCAGTAGTTAGTATGTGTGGACAGAATAACAGATATGACTTTGACTGCTCCGAACAAAACAGATACAAACACTCTTTTTCTTTCTCTGAAGTCTGTGCCAACTCTCTGATCCTCCCTTATCAGCAACTCTTGTGCACAAACTCCACACTTCTCCTTAGTCTGTGCTGACACACAAAGAGGATGCAGGCTTTCCCTTTTCCCCTGTTCACCTGATGGCCGTTTGGAGCCTGTTCCCCCAGCGTGTGTCTGCAGCCTGGGAAGCAGAGGGGAGTCTCAGCACAGCTGAGAGGCTCGGCTTAATCTTATGCATCATTAAGCACTCAGCGGCACGCCGCAGCTCCTCATATACATCATCCACGCTTAATAAACATAATGATGACATAAGATGTAATTCCAGATGAATTTTCATTTTATAGGGAAATGGAGAATTCCTGTAGAAAGGAGGGGAAAAAGAAAAGAGGAACGAAAGAGGGAGAGAAAAAGTAAATTATCTGGGAAGTACAGAATAAATGATGTTTTTTCATCACAAGATGGATTGTGGGGTTCTGGGGGCAGTTGAAGTGGGAGAGGAGTGTTGGAGGGAGGGTGAGAAAGGTGAGGGGGCAGAGGGCTGCAGTGGTGGTGGCCTGAGAGTGGAGGGGTGGCATGGGGGACAAGAGGGTTGAAGGAGGGGGAGAGAGAGAGAGAAAAATGTTGGTCATTCCGAGTGTTTTAATCGCAGGGCTTGATGGACAGGCTGAGAGGACCTGAGGTGCCGCCATCCATCATAGCCAGGCCAGAATGGTGGAGCGAGGGGCTTGGGTTTCAGAGGGGGCTTTCGGGCTGCGGGGAGGGGGGAATGGGATTCTGATGAAAGTGCGAGAGAAAGGCGGCTGTACACAGTAAAGGCCAATGAAGGCAAGAGTACCGAAGATTAGCACTGCGCTCCAGCAGCATGTTGGGAATGGCAGAAGGAAAGGAGATTTTAATAGCACTGCTGCCATGTGACAAAGTCCCCGTTCGAGTTTTTATGTTCATTTGGCTTTGGATTCCTGCTCGTGAAATGTAAAGGGCCTACCCCAGAGCCAAGAGCCAATGACATGCATCCGAAAGTCCATTTACAATTTCACAAATTTAAGTGTTGGTTTAACGATATCGCCAAAACACAAAAAAACGACACGCACATTGTCTTTGCGCTCATATGTGTTTACACAGTTTCGTGATGTTTACATGTGTTGTACATCATACGTGTCCCCTTCTGAAGCTGGACGACCGCCACGTTGAAAATAAGATACGGTCACTCGGGACTCACAACCAGTAGCAAACACACTCAGACGTAGACACACACATACACACTCTGATGCACTTTTGCTGAACTCTACTCTCAGACATTTCCTCATGCACACACACACACAACACAGACACCCATCCAACAAACTAAGCAGCCGGCCAAAAGAAGAAAAAAAACGCAGGAGGGAGGAGAAGATGAATAGTGAAGTTAGATGTAGAAATGATCGTGTCTCTCACATTCCAATGGTGCTATAGCAGAGTACCCCCTCCGTCTTATCAGTGACTTCTGCCACAGGTGAGATAAAACGCTCCAAAGCAAATCTACAAATCAAAATATAATTACGGCGATAGCGGTTGTATAAACTAGAACTAAAAAGGCAGCCCGAGGATTCGCTGTTAAATGTATGAATTTTCTTCCCTCGTTTTTTTTACTGACTTTTTGGAAAATGAGAAACTATTTAGTCCTTGCCAGTGATGCCAGTTTTGTCGCAGGAAAGCAGCATCCCCATGCATGCTTCCAGCTGGACCCCGTCCCAGACTGCCATGCCTGGTTAATGTGGCCGTTCTGTGCTGCCAGAATTAGAATTCATGGTTTTTATTAAACAAACAAACACACAAACAAGAAAACAATGACACAAACTGACCTTGCATGAACTAAGCGTACTTTAGCTCATTGTCAAAATTAGTCAAATTCTAATAAACCCAAGCAGGTAATGGACCTTAAATATTTCTGGGAGATCTCACTTGAAGTGTTTGTCTCTTAATGTTGCGGATATACAGGAAATCCGATCTGCGGCTTTAGCTCTAGGGTCCTGACTGATGCTGCGATACAGTTGAGGATATATCAATGGAGCCTCCCACCTCTCTGGTGGCCTGTGCTGCACAAAGGCATTTCTGGATTCAAACCTCAGCATGTTCAGGGCCACTGGAGCATGCCCAGCAGTATGCCAAGGTTAGATGGGTGCCAGGGGTGCCACTAAACAGAACCTCATCCTCTGCTCCATCCTCTCATGCCCAACACAAAATGCTGCAATAAAACACAATGCCACATAAAACAAATGCAATGAAAGCTCACAGCACCCAAACAAAAAGACGAGATTGTGTATCAAATACACTGGTGCACCATATAAATATATATATTTCACATTTAAGTGAATTTATCCTTTAATTCACATCTTTTAAAAGCTTTAAAGTGACACACATCAGTGGCTCGCCTTGGCAACAGCAGATGCCAACTTCAGCTGTCACTTTCTCTGTCTTATAGTTCCTATAGACTTCTCCCTCCCGCTGTCTGAGCATGTATAACTCATAGATAATGTCTTCATCAGTGATGTACTCACACGGCTCTGTTTGCATTGACTTACAGGCCACACTCCCTCCCTCTCTCTCGCACACACAGCCCCGGTCCGCTCCTGGCACCAAACGCAGATTACATCTTGTTTCCCAAACTACTAAAAGTGTCAGAGGCTGTCTGGCTCTGCTTTTATATAGTGTTATTAATGGCAGGGAGCACCCACCGCCCCAGTCTTTGTGTACGCCTGCTTGTGTCTAATTAAAGGATCGCTGCTTACAGAAGCAGAGAATAGCTTTGCAAGATAGGAAATAATCATTGCAAATATCATCATGACTATTTTCATGGCTTATAGAGAAGGTTAGAGGACCGTACTCTCAAACTGTGAATTTTGAATTTGTTCAGAGATTGTAATGGGCCGCTGACAAAACCATAAAGTCTAGTTGTAGCTGTAATATAACCTCAGATCAGGACCTTATAAGCTTACCAGCTGGAGAATACAGGCTTGAGATTTCCAAGGTGGTGCATTGCATAACTATTTGAAGAAGATGAATTTAGACCAAACAAAGAAACACAAAACTTTGTGAAAAGATTTTCACATGAAAAGTTTGGATAGAAACAGCTGTTTTCAGGCAGACTAGGAACAGATGTTGGTTTGACTGTAAGATGATGAAAATTCATAGCTGGGAGTCTTGAGCATACAAAGTCATTCTTACTGTCTCAACACACTAAGCGTGAGTAAAATCATTCACGCAAATGAATTACATGTTGAGTCAACGCAAAGACGTGATTAGGCACTCCTACTACTCTGCCGGCGCAAATGACGCGAATTCGGCGGGAGCTGAAAATGTCTAAACTTGAGCGGATATTTATGTCGCGATAACCAATGAGCACGAAAGTTGCTGGGTGACGTATGAAAACAGCTGGTTATTCATTGGTATCTAAAATGGAGGACAAACTGATCGTGTTGGTGTGAGGGTGCCTTGAATTATATGATACTTTTTCTTTTAATTACTGAACCCAGAATAAAAAGGAGCTCGCCTGGAAGCAAGTGAGTGAGGAGGTCGGATTACCTGGTAAATTGTGAAAAACCTTTGTCTATCACTTGATCCCGCCGGTTGAATTGGCAGGGATTACCGTTGAAATTACCGTTGACGCGCGAATGAAGCGAGTAAATACTTTTCATTCAAGCGTCTAGATTCGCGCGAATTAAGCGAGTAGATGATTTTACTCGTGCTTGGTGTGAGCGACCCCATCAGAGGATGAAGTTTGTAATATTTAATCATTAAACTGTTTATTATTATTACTGTTTGTTGTAACAGGAATCAACGATATTTAAGTAATCATGAGCAATCAAACCATAGTGATCTGATAGAACGGCTTGATCTTTCATATTTGATCAGTTTAAACACTCAGCTAATTTTTACCTGCTTTATAAACCATATAAAAAACATGGGCCATAAGGTCTTTTGTACATTAAAAAAAAACTAAAACATCTGACAGTATCCTGCACACACACACATCCTTCCGAGTCCTGCCTATTTTTTTCTTCTCCTGGGTTGATGTCACATTCGTTCTCTGTATTTCATTTTGACTTGTTCTTGACCACGGTCCGGGACCTTTAGGCCCGTTGTACAGCTGAGCCTCCTCTCAGACAGCTGTGGCTTGGCTGGCTCTCAGCTCCCCCCTGTCTTAACCTGAAGAATTATGTGCTCAGATAATTAGCTCTTATAGGTACACTCTCCATTTCTCCACTCCACTGGGCACATCATCTTCCTCGCCTCTTTATTGTTTGGTTTGCTTTGTCAGATCGATGTCTTGCTACTGCGTAACCAGCACTCATATCTCAGGCTGCATAAATCACAACAAGGTTTCTGTCGCTCGGGAGAGTGCTGTGGCTCTGCTGCACACATGCACGCTCGCGCACAAACACACATGCGCGCACACATAAACAAGTGGGTGGAGGACTTTATGCTCCACATGAAACAAACTCTCCTCACCTCTCCCCTTGCTACTCTCTCCCCCCTTTTCTCCTCCTTTCTTCACTCCTCCTTCAGTTTCTTCTCCTCTCCTCACCTCCTGTCCACTTCCTTTCCTCTCTCCTAGTCTTTTCCTCTTGTCTTATTTTTCTCTCTTCTTCCCTATACTTATCTTTACCTATTCCTTTTCTCTCTTCATATCTACTCATCCTTTCCGTCCTCTAAGCTCTCCTCTTCTTTTTCCTTTCAATTCTCTTCTACTTTCCTTTTTCCCTTCTATAACCTTTCCCTCTCCATTCCTCTTTATTTTCCTTATATACTTTTTTCTCCTCATCTGTCCTTTTTCTTCTCCTCTCCTTTCCCCCTTGTGTCTCCTCTTTTTCTTTCCTCTTTTTTCCACCTCTCCTTCCCTCCTTGCTTTCCTTTAACCTTTAGCCATGCCGTTCCCTTTCCCTCTCTTTTTTCTTCCTTTCCTTTTTATCATTCTCTCTCCTACTTTGCTTTTCACCCCTTCTCTCTTCTTCTCCTCTTTACCCTCGTCTTCCATCTCCCCTTCTCCTTTCCTTCCCTGCATCTCCTCTACCACTGAGTGACCACTGAAGAGGAACCCATCAGATTATCCTCTACCCGGTAGCGATGGGTGGGGTGGGTGCAGCAGAACAGAGGGAGGGTTGGAGGGAGGGTAAGGGCTCTGTATCACGGCTTATGATTGCAGCGCCACCCTTGTAATGAATTCGAAAAAATGCAAATGGCTCTGCCCGTGTAAAAGTTGACATTGTCTCCTGTGATAAATTTTCTGCTGAGGTAAGAGACAATTTAGATGCGAATTACAAGCAGGCTCTTTGTCACTCCTCAGTTCCATTTACATCCTTAATTAGCCGATTCCCTCCCGCCTCCATTAGAGGGTGAGAGAGAGGACGAGAGAGATAGACAGACAGACAGGGGACGACGACATAAACAGAGAAAAGTGACATCCAGAGCTGAGCTTAGCCACACAAAAACAAGCCTCCAGATCCTATAAATGCGCTCACACATCTATTGAAGCTCGCACAAAAAAAGTGCATAAGCCTTGATTATGGTGTAGGAAATGAGCCAGAAACTCCATCCCATGTGTTAGGACCTCAGGGTTGATCAGCATCCCCGGGTCTGAGTCTCTGTTAATGCCATCCTTAACAGCAAACTAAACACCACAGGTTTGTAGACATTAGCCATGCCTGCTAAAACACTCATTTACCCAGCCTCCTCATCATACGGCGCTCCTCTGCTTTGAATGACAGGCCTAAACACGCCATTCTATTAGAGGAGGCTTACTCAATAGAGCAATGCTCAGTCACTCGTGTCCCTCCCCAGTGCACGGCTTGTCTGCGAGACCCCACAAAGAAAATGCTCAACCCGAGGTCATATATTACAGTTTACAATATGTGCATGAATGAGGAGTCAGTCAGAGCATCACATCAAAGCTCGCTGGCACACACGCTTCGGTCTGTAACGATGTAAACTGGAGTGAATATTCATGTTCAGACCAAAGGACGATGATGTCCTGATTTCACGGCGCAGAGTCAGCCTGGCTGTCTGATTTTGTTCGTCTATCTTTAATGTATACATTCAAACAGTAGGGACTAATAGAGCATGAGGCAGCTTTACAATGCGACGGATCTGTGGGTGGCCAATTCATCCTGCCAGCTGACTGTCCCTAAATATGGGCTGCCAAACACACATTGTGGGGGCGTGTGGTTAAACAGACAATGGAACTTATATTTAGTTGGTTTACCGTCAAGAGCCTCAGAGCATTTCTCTGACCCCCTCCTCCAGTGAGGATGTGATATGATCATGTAAAGAGTAAGCTGAAGTTTGACTTTACCTTTAATTTTAGTACACAGTATATATACAGTCAACCTGCACTGGGAGGACAGAATTATTTTAGATATATTTGTGAGCTGGCGTGGTTCATGACAGTAAATCTCTCAGTAAAACAGCCCACTGTTTCCACACGCAAACCTGACAAGCACATGTAGGGTTACTTTGTCATTTTGTCAAACACATTTAAGATTTGGGAGAAAACCTTGTTCTGATTTATTGTTATGTTACACTTGGGGAATGAATGCTAGTAATCCAGGCTAACAAGTGAAGTCACTAGGATGGACAGCCCACTGATATCTGATGAAATTCAGTGGTTTCATTGCAAGCTTTGTTTGCAAGAAGCTGATGAGAGTGAGCGGTGGCATTAAATACAAGTGAGTCTAATTTACAATGTAAGCACTGCGACTCATTCAGCGTTGATAGGCTTTTCATTTCTGTTATTTCCATAGACTGTGTAGGGTCATGGACAGGACAACAGCACCTTGTAGTGAAGCCAAAACTTTGAGATCTCCCTGGTGTCTGGCTGGAGTGAGGGTCATAAATCCCACAGCGTCCATGTTAAGAGATGGCACATTGGTCAGACAAAAATTTTAAAAAATCACATATTTTTCTGAATGATGCTCACTTGTTGTGGCAGTTCATTCTTATCACCGTGGTATATGTCCAGTGGTCCACTTTATGGAGACTATTATTTTTTTCTAACTGGTTATTTACTGCTAAAATGATTGATTGACAGCTCTTTTTTCTTTATTTGAGTCCTGCAGATTAACCAGGTAAATAAGGAACCATGAAAGAAAACATAGCAAACAACACAGAGTCCATTGACCTATGAATATTTGCTTCAAATCAACACAGGGATCCATTCTGATGTGGATCTTTGGTGTTTTATTTGTAAATTAAATGTAAGCTTTGGTTGGTGGAGGGGTGTGAATTTTTTGGGCTTCACCCACAAGATACCTAAACTCTCAGGTCCATCAAGTCAGTATCTGGGCTTCATTATTTATTTATCTTTTTCTACAAGGGAAGTGGATGGAGATACATCATCCATATTGATATGCAATCGATTGTTATTTTCAAGAGCTGCTAAGTCATCTGCAGTTATCTGTAGTGTTACTACCACATTATATGAAGTAGGGGATCTGGCATTAGCTATCTTCAAGCGTACTTAGGTTGATGGCAAATAATATAATAGTAGTCCCGTAGCTTCTGTATTTGACCTTTAACTGAGAAACCTTTAGAGTTACCAGGAATCGGTTCAAATCTCTGAAAAATGGGGAAATACAAGTAAAACAAATCCTGTTTTTTTCCACATTTAACTTGACATTTGACATATGCTGATGTAAAACAAAAATCAAGCCACTGAGGTACACTCACGTAGATGGCACTAGCACAGAAGAAAATCAGTAGATAAAAGTATAGGTTTTCTACTTTGGTGATGATTTTAATGTAGAATAAAAGTTCAAAGTAACAAAGAGACAACAGTCATTGATATATTTTTACTGAACTCTTAGAAAAACCAGTCTGAGCTAGTTTGCACTAATAATTGGTGTCTATTTCCATTACGCCTTTGTTTCTCCTGATTGTTTGTCTGCACAACTAATTTGTGAGCCGTCTCTCAGACAACAAAACCAAAACTGGGACAAGACAGTCTCTCTGGCGGGTGCACTCTCAGGGCCAATACCTTGCCAAATTTTTAGTCAGAGGTCATTAGTTTGTCTGGAGTCTGCTGCTCTCCTTCTGTAAACTGCTAAATGAAAAGCAAGTTGTCTCAAATTTACTGTACAAACAATTGATCATGTGGAACAATGACACAATTGACCACCCACTTGACCTGGCCTCATAGCTGTGGTGAATCAGATGAGTTTCCTTTTTTCTTTTTGACCCATGTTAGCCGTTTATGAATGTGGCTTTCTTTCTAATAGGGCTGTTGGTGGGGATGTTTATGTGGAAAAGACTTTGTTTATGCTAGCAGCTCTTTGTTTGCTGCTCTCTAATTGATTTGGCTAACCAACAAGTCCAAATAATTAATTTGATTTATTGTCTTTGATAGATTGTCTCCTTCCCATTCAAGGGTGTTGGATTGTTTTTACTCACTTTATACTTTCTGTTTAAGCTTGTGATCGTCAGCACCGTCTTTCTTCTCGTTCTGGTCTTTTTTGTGTGTTTGTTTCAGGGCTCCAACGTTTTCTTTTCTTGGGGGCCTTAACTGGAGAGAAAAGCACACACATGACTTTCACACTGAGAAAACACTGTCATTACTAACATCAATCATGTGCGATATTTTCAGACATGTTGCTTTAATGTACCATTTTAAATGCAAAGTCTGGGGGACATGCCGCAGCCGGCCTCTTGTGGTGTAGGTATACGTTCTTCAGCCCCTGCAAAATGTGTATGAACAGAGAGAAGACACACAGCAGTCACATGCATTGTCTGTCTTTCGCTGTCATTAGGCGGCGTCTGGGGGATGATGTGGAAGCAGTATGGGGTCTGGGGGAAGTATTTATGACCCTGCAGGAAACTCGTTGGACTGCGGCGATCGTAGGGAGATAATGGGAGGGAATGGGATGCAGCGAGGTGTTCTGACGGCACCAACCAGACAAGAGAACATCCAGGATAAATCAATGTTGGTCATTTTCTCTCCTCCACTATCCCACCTCCTGCCTCACTGCACATACACTCCAACATTAAGATCCATCATCAAATTGTGAATGAAACAGCAAAGACACACAGGGGGGAAAAAACAAGAGACATTTTTTATGTAATATTGATTAATGTAAAATGTTTTGAATCAAACGGTTTGATTTAAAATGGCAGTGTCGTGGTGCTAATTTGATTTAATCCTGACACCGCCGCTTGAATGACTTTTCTGGTGACATTGGGAGGCACACAAACAAGACTTCAGCTCATTAAACAGCAACAAACTGAGGGGAAATTACACTTAGCTATGGAAATGGATTTTAAGCATGCAAAGCATTACATGAGCTGACTTTAGGCTGAAATATGAAAAACATCAGTGTTAGTGTACGTGTTAGCGTAGCTGTGACGCCAACACCATTAAAAGGGAGTGAGGATCAGAGTACAATCTAACCTCTGATGATCAAAAGAGACAACTCATTACAGAAGTATATTGACCTTAAAGAGGGCTTAATTTAATAAAGCACTACCTCTGGAGGTAGGAGTGCGTTTATGGGGGCTCAAAGTACAATGCACATTTCATATTACAAGCACAGCTCAAATGGCCAAATGAACAACTGCAGTGAAAAAAACAATGTTTTTAGAGTCCTGATATTTAATCACAGCACAAAGTAAAGACAAGTGTGCTTTAAGAAGTGAAAGCAGGTCAGCTAAACTCACTTCATTACCAATCAATTCCATTAGATATATGATGCTATCTAACCTTAGGCAGATGTTGCTGTGTGGCTACACTGAGTTTTTGATTTAAGATTGATTTTGATTCCTTTTTACATCGTTTCTGTCTTTTTTTATTACACCCAATTACAATTCCTCTTGTGGCTAAAACTCCTGCTGTTCAGTGAGAGAAAGAAAGTAACATAGTCTGAGCTTTAAGGAGTTTCAAACTGGCTATGAATAAGGATGATCACAATTAAACAACTAAGCATTTTCATCCTCACTAGTCCACACTAGAGAAATATATTAATATTTTATCATTGTGGGTCTGAAATGCAGATTATTTGTTGGGCTTTGGCTGCCGTCTTAGTGCTATAATGCTCGACTACGAGGATGTAAACAAGCATAGAAAGCAGATAGCATCTCAAAAACAGCACAATTTTATAGAGATCAGGAAAATAAAGATCAAGTTGTTTATAAGCTGTGTCTGGTTAAACACAGTCATGTGGATGTGCAGGGAGGTTCAGAGGATTGTTGTGCTAGTATTACTAAACTACACTCAGCAGATCAATTTCACATACTTCAACTTCAGACTCTGTGATCCTGTGTTCAGCCACGTTAGATAATTATGATCTTTCTGACTAACGTTTAAGAATTTTTGAACAGATAAATGGTCTCTTTGGAAAATTCCATAGTAGTGAAAAAAAAACAACAATTATTGTGATAAATACTCCTCTATGAGCGACACAATCAAAGAAGATTGTTAGTACTAGGTCAGGTTATTGTTTTTGTTATACTAGTTTTTAAAGCCTGTTAGCCTGTTGTAGAATTGGATAGAAACAAATCAATATTTGTAAATGAACTTGTTTATACCAGTTGTCTTTGTTAAAGAACCTAATATCTACTCGTGACTGAAATTAGATGGGTATAATAAATCAAATGGTATTTTTGTAGGTATATTAGGTGTTTGAATAGTTAAAATCTATACGATCAAAAAAATAAAAGCGGCACCTTTAAAACACCTCAACCTAAACGTACCTCCAAATACCTGTTACCAGTTCTCTCTTCGTGTCCTCGTGCTTGTTTTTGTTTTTCAAGGTACTTAAAGGTGACATTGAACAGGACGGGTGTTTATCTGTTGTCTACAAACTAATCTGTTTGCATTACGGCATGTATTCCAATGGTCCCATTATGTATTAGAAAAGCAATTAACAGTTCATTAAACTTCGAAGGTGTTAATACAAGTCATAAGACTAAGCCATCTGTCGGATTCTCTCCCAAGCCCGACTTTGATACCATCCACTAAACAACGTTTCTAACCAATTAAGGTTAGACTTGGTAATTTAAATTTGAAAATAGGCCATCTTCTGCTCGTTGTCTAATAATAGGGATACATATGGTGAGGGTTCGGAGTGAGATAATGAGAGAGATAGCCGCCGTAATTTGTCTTGTAAATATTAGGGAGGGAGGGAGGCAGATTGAGGCCTCAGGACTTAACATATGTTTGCATTCAACCTCCATACGATGTTTCAAGCCAGACAAGGTGGATCTAAAAGAACGGTATCAGGAGCAGTACGAATCTGTGCCAGATTATTTCCATCTTAATATCATACGGAGAAGTCAGACACTGAATGAAATGATGGACCCACCTACCCATTTGCTATTTGTTGACTAGATAAATGCTGCGTTTTGTCTCGTCTGTGAACACAACAAATGAAGAGGGCGAACACGATTCAATTCATCATGTTTCTTGAGGATTTAGTGAGATTTGCTCTCATTAGTGGCTCATCTGTCAGGGAGACACTCTGATCCTGGTGAGAGGAGAAAAAAAAAACTGCCTCTTCTCACTTAATTGGGAGCTGCACACGCAGTGAAAGAGACACAGCAGCTATGTCAACCTTTTACATCCCAAATTTATCTTCCAAAATCAATCCGTCAACATCCTAATTGGCTCCCCGGTTTATGATTGCTGTGCCGGCTCACTCTGCGAGGATCTGAAGCTAAATGGAGTCATAAGCTTAACAGATAAAACGTTGAAATATGTGCAATCATTGCTGTATATGAATCTTAAAGTGAAAGATAGGGATTATATTGATGTGTCTGGAGATGTTTAAGGAGGAGACAGCTTTAAATGTTCGGCCTTGAGCGCCCACAAACCAGGATATTTGAGTTATCATTATCACACTTTTAGTTACCAGGAGGGTTTGCCAACTGGGGAAATAAGGGAGGATCTGTATTACATCAAGTGAAAATAAAACAGGTAGCATTCCACATAGCCTGAATGAGTATCGACATATTATTCAAGGTGCTGGCACCAGAATGGCTCTCATTAGTCTTCTGTGAGTCAGTAATGGCAGATCAGCTCTTAGGGCCACAGAATTGACAGGCTGTGCTCCCCTTCAGCAGATATCTGAGAGCTTTTTATTGGCTTCCCCTCCAAACACCCTCCTGCTAATGCTGCCCGATGGCCTGGTTAACCTTGGTGATGCCTTCTGAAGCTGGAGAGGTATCACACAGAGTTCATTCAATCATTAGCCACACAGAGGAGTTCAATTATTGCATGCTCAGGAGTTTTATTGATACAAGTATGTGGGTTAATGTGAATCCGGGAGGTATCTTCCCCTAAATTCTTCTCATCAAGAGTGTTTTTGTATCATAATGCAGGAGAGTTTTTCCAACTGTTTTGTGTGCTTCTTCGAGAAAAGTTTCCTTCTCTGACTTAATGAACAGGTGTCTACATAACACAGCCCACCCCACAGATGGTAGCGTAATTAGCAGTCATTATGGTGGTCTTCAAGAAGGCCGGGATGTGTGCGGCCGCACAGAGCGCCTAACCTCTTCACCCCCTGACAGGGCCCACGGGGGGCCGCTGACACGTGTTGTTCTCCCGGAGAAGCCAAAGGTGGGGTTCCCCTTTCATAAGGTGTCATCCTGATGTGCTGGAAAGCCCGAGACATGTGTTCAAGGATCAGAATGTCAAGGGCCTCTCTGTGGTCAAAGCCCCTTAGGAACAAAGAGCGGAAAAGTCCACTGGCTTAGCAGAAGGCACTTATTTTGTCTGGAAGGGTTTTTTTTTTAGAGAGGAGTTTTAATAAACACATTATTTAGGCTTGTTAAATAATGTGTTATAGCACTGAATAACTATAAACACTCATAAATGATTATATTGCTTTATAGCAATAATAACACATTATAAAGCATTTTATCATGAATTACAAGGTCAGGTATCATAATGTGTTATAACTGTTAACAACTCACTGACAATACCCACATAGATAATGCAATGCAACTGTTGTTAACGGTTATAACACATTATAATACCTGACCTTGTAATTCATGATAAAATGCTTTATTATGTGTTATGATTATTGCTATAAAGCATTATGATCATTTATGAGTGTTTATAACTATAGTTAGACAGTGCTATAATGTGATTATAATGCACTATACATATATTTATAATGCGTTATAGAGATAGGCGTCAAATTAAGTGTTACTAGATCATTCATATATTATAGTAATTGCTAATATAGCTGGTTGTTTGTGTTTTTGTAATATTATATTTCTGTTATTATTTTGTTATTATTATTATTATCATGTTAGTTGTCGTTGTTGTAGTTTTATAATAGTAGTTCATATAATAAGAGTTGAAATATAGTATGATAATCAACAGCACTATTAGCATTGTTTTGGTGTTTCTATAAGTTATCACTATTATGTTATATCTCATGCCTGTTTTTTCTTTTCTTTTTAAAACTTATTCATTGCAGTTATCTTTTATTTGTGTTTTTTTTTTATTGTATTTTTTACATGAAGGCAGATGGGCAGGGCTGTGCACCGTTTGATTTCTAATCCAATGTTGTCTCTGTGTTAAATCTGACAAATAATATGTTTATCTCTACATGACTCCACTTTACCTTGGGTGTAGCTGTGTAGCAGCAGACATGCTTGTGCGACCCCGGGCAGATCTGACCTTTAAAACAACACAGCTTCCTCCTGCTGAACTGAAGGTGGATACGGATGTAGTTTGTGGGGTCATTCCCTGTTCATGTCTCTGTTCATGCCCGACTAACCCTCCCTTGTTGGGCCACTGGTGGGGGTGAGCAGAGGCTGCTGTCATGTGTGTGTGTGTGAGGGTGGGTGGGGGGGTGGCTGTTACCAACAGGCTTGTAATTTCTCCTCACTTAGAAATGAATTCCATCTAATCTCATTCCAGCATGTCAAATAGCAACGCGACACGCTGTTTTATACTGTAACATTTGGTTATACTGAAGCAGTTGAGTGCCTCTCGCTGCAGCCTGACACCCTCTGGATATTAAAACACCGGATAATATTTCATTGAGATTGGATGTGGCTCAAACACAGAGCACTAGCGAGCCCCCAGACGAACACTTCCACCAAGTTTGACTCTTAGATTGCTTATCCAATAAACTTGGCCGGTAGTCGTGATTTACAGTGATCTGCTCACATTCAGAATCAAGGTTGAACTTACAGGAGGAGAAAATGACCTCTAGTTATTTTTACCATATAACCTCATTTCTTGAGTATCAAAGGCAAACAATTAAGCCAGTCAATTGATTAATGGGTAGCAAAAATACAAGATGGTCATATCTTCAGAAGGTAACTCCTAGGTTTAAAATTTTGTCATCAAGATTGAAGATTGTCCTGTGTTTCTGCTGAGCTTCATGGACACTGAATTGATACTTCACCTCACAGTTTGGGATGATTCAGGTCGGTTTAGCTGTAAACTATATTTAAGCAGTGTTTGTTGCAAAATGAACACTTCAATGAAAGGGAAACTAATGTAAGTACAATATTTATGTTGATAGTCTTGCACCGTCTTAGAGTGATGCGTTCAGGGTAGCCTCAGATAAAAGAGTGCTGTATTGCTTGCACAGATGTTCAGAGAGCCTCCTACAGGAGAGCATGCAAAACATATGAAGACTTTAACACTAATATTAGTCGACTAAATAAGTTTAAGGCATATCATGGCATTTTTTTTTACCATTTGTTATTGTTAAAACAAAAAAGTGTGCAGTTTCACTTATACTTATTTCGATGAGCAATTTAATTAAAAATACTCATATCTAAATCAGCCTCAAATTATATATAAATAGCTCATATCTACCATACAAGGTAACCCCAAAACTGCCCGGCTCGCACCACAAAAACCTCCCAGATTTTATAACCCAAATATTAGCAGGTATGATCATAGCCCAGCTAAAATATACGTAAGGCAACAATGCTATGGAAAAATGTGCATACATAATCACTTTTTAAGATCACTTACATGATCTAAATGGACCACTTCATCTACAGAGGTAACCTATAGAGAAAAAAACTATCTTAATTAAACTATAAGAGCTCGTTTTTCCCTTCATTTCTCTTTTTTCAAGCTCACCGTCGGAGGCATTTCAGACTCTGAGGTTGTTTGCAGCTATAATTTATTCCTTTGGTCATAATCAGGCAGCTTCAGAGGAATGGAAGAAGTTCAGCTCCATTGCTACCTTCCCATCAGCGAGCCATTATTACAATATTGCTGCTCTTAAGTAGCTCACTGACTGGCTGACCAGCTTTGAAATACACACTAAACCACTTGCAAGCCTGCACAAAACGGCCAGCTGGCTCATTGGTTTGAGAGTTAAACGAAGACACTCACAACAAGAACACTGGCACCTGCTAATGAAAAGTTGTTCGTCAACCCTCAACTGAGGCGTTTTTTGAAAGAAAACTTTTGCTGAGGATCGGCCTGGTTTAATATTATTATGGTGAATATTTTACTGGCATACAGCGAGTTAAGACAACAAAAAAAGAAACAATCCACAAAAACAACAACAACAGTTTTTCTATATTCGTAGAAAATGCACCATGTGTACAAAAATTAAATTCAGTGCACATCCTGGTTGGAAGTAAAGCCATTTTCTGCCAACAACGCCATTAGGACAATGTTGTTCAATTAAAAGTCATCAGTAAACAATCCCTAAATCTATCAGTTAATCATATTTGATGGCAGCTCCTTTAGGACAGTGCTCATTTAGTTTGTGTCCATCATGTCAGTTGCAAGCATAATTGCAGCTAAAACCCACTTATATGATTACATGCTGTTGATTATTGTGGATATAAATTAAAATTGTAAAACAACTGAAGCATTTCGTGCTATCAGTTTTCCAAATGAAACGGCATTAAGTCCCAAAACACACACACACATACACACATACAGTGTGGACATCCACTCAAATAAATTCATTTATCTCGTGTTAAGCTCATTTCCAGCAGATGAGGAAATGGAGTGTTTTTTTCCCTTCCTTTTCATCTTTCTATAGGATTTAGGAAGCATGTAAGTGAGGTTCTCTTTGTTATTTACACCAGGGCCCGGGCCCCTAAGTTTATCCTGCCTCATACGGAGCCAGCTTAAGAGGCGGTGAGCCCTGGGAACAATGCCTCTCAGAGGAAACAAAATGACTCCTGTGTTTCATCTGTTGTTATGGTAAGAAGCGGCGGCTCTAAATGACCACTTCTATGCATATGTGGATTGGTGTTTGCCTTTGCTCTGGCAGGGAGCCACAGGCTGATCCCTCTGTTCCCCATATGGCAGCATTGTGGAGAAAAAGCTGGACAATTGGCCCCCTCCCTGGGGGAAAGCCCCCAGGTCTCGCTGCTGGAGGAGAAACTGTTGGTTTCACTTTTTATCAAAAACCCCTGTAGGTAAGCAGACGGCCTGCAGGAAAACACACACCAGAAACCTAACACTTTCACACACTTATTTATAAATACAAAGGTTACTTAACAAGCTGTGTTTAAACTACAAATGATCTGCATGAAGGCAGAGAGAAAGTGGTAGATGTTTATAATCCATGATAAAAGAATACAAAAGAATAAGATTATTGTCTTTCTAGCATCTTCTTAAAAATCTCTCTCTGTGTACTAATCCACTGAAGGAGAGATTTGAGTTCAATTCAATCAGTTCATAAGCTGATCGCTCTGATCTGAAGCCTCTGATTCCTATCTAAATAAACATCAGAGTATCACAGCGTCTTTTTCTTCACATAATAAATCACTTTGTTTTATTTGTTCAACACTTAATAGGATAAAAAAAAAAAGAAACTGAAACTACAAGTAAGCTAAGCCTCTGTTTGAAATACCCACAGGCTCTAATAGCTCACTTGACTAATTTGGAATGAATTTTGAAAAGTTCATTACTATATGTAAATGCATATCCACGTCCAAATCTGCAGTCTCTGCAAAAATGTAGATGATGCAGGGACGTAGATTGTAGCCTGCGTTGTTTTATTTTAATTAACAATGCATTCCCCCACAGACGGATAATGTGATTACCCATGCTCCTCCTCACCAGTCGGGTTTGTCTCAGTTTGCTGAAGTTATCCTGTCCTCGCTGTCACTCGGCTCTGTTTGCATGGCTGTCACATCGTCCAGCCTTTAATGGAGAAATTAATTACCACTGGTGTCATCTCTCACGACACAGGAGTCAATTTGATCATGTTAACCAAATGAAAGGACCACTTGATAAACCCGTCTTTTGTAATCACGCTTTGATGGAGAGGATTAAAATGCATTTAGGCTATTTAACAGTATTCATTAGGCACAAATGCCATTTTGAGATATGAACTATTAATTGATGAAGGAGGTCACATTCTCACTCTTTAACCTTGATATAAGTGGTGCAATTGAGATGTCTAATATCAAATAATGATCTAAAGATACGGCACACTCAGGATACAGGGTAAATATCAATCAATTTGATTAGATTTGATTTATTTTCATTATTAGTTCATTTAAATGTTAAATTAGATATTACAGAAAAAAAGCATAAAATCTTTAATATGATTTGTGAAAGAAGAGAAATTACCTTGATGGATTAGCAGCTAAATTTTGTAGATTTAGTCAGTAGTTTGACGTTTCTAAGCAGACTCTGAGACTTACATTTAATCTCCTTTTTTATAACAATAAAAATAATCTCAGATCTACTTGACTCTTACTGCTTTAGTTCACACGATCAGTCCTACTTGTCCAAGGTTTTAATGGCATTTTAGCTCTCAATGTCCATATAATGTCCATTTGACTGTTGACTGTTTTTCATCTCTTGCTGTTTTTGTCATTATTGCTCTGTTTGTTCGTCCCGATTGAACCTCTCTCTTTTTGCGTCTCGCTCTATCCCATCTCCTCAGCCCAACACAGCCAAGGCAGATGGCTGTTTAACGTGAGTCTGATCCTGCTGAAGATCTCTGCCTTTCAGAAAGAACTGTTATTAAAACCTCTTTCAGATATGCACAAAGCTCCAGAAAATTTCCTAAAATTACCCAGCTGAGCTTATGTGTACGGAGCCCCTCTGGTGACATTGGAGAAAAAAAAATTAATGCGTGGCCACCAGTTAGTATATCGTGGCCACAAGATAATATCATATGGCAAAGAGCTAATTCAACTTAAGTAGCGGGATCTGCCAGGGGGATTTAGAGGAAGTTTGTTTGATTCTTGCAGCTCTGGACCCTCATGCCTCAGCCGTCCATCTATCCAGGACACTAAACCTATCCTCATCCATTCAGCATTACCAACACTAACATGTCTGGCTTCACATAGTCCACTGTCCCTGTGCACTTAGGTCAATGCAGGTGTCGATCTAAGGGACAAATCAAGTTTACATTTACAGAGTTCGGTAAAGTTGGAAAGATATTCACAGATTTAGACTTTCAGGATCAATAACTCTGAGACGAAACGTTGTTCAAACACAAATGATGCCTCTTTCACGTCATAGTAGCACAGACTACTGGCAACAAGAATCAAAACCTGGCTTATTACAACAGCCGGTATCCAGGCGAGTGAGCAGGGACCGTCTGCAAGTTGCAATACAAGAGCAAGACGCTGCAAACAAAAATCAGTCGCTCCACTGTCATACAGCATATATTTTTAACACACTTTAAATTGTAGATTATTCTTATCAGAGAATCCCTTCATATATATCTAAATATTGCTTTTAGTTAATGTTACACACCCCTACTTAAAATATGTTCCCTCTTGTGCTTGAAGAAAGGATCTAAATACATCTTTTCTTACTGTTTGCTCTCCTAATGTAACTTGTTAACCTACCGCTGACTTAGTAAAATGGGATTCCCCTGCCTGCCTCTTAAAAACACCCACACTCCCCCAAGCACACACACAAGACCTGTCAAAGGACCCCTTTGTTTGTTTCATCGTCCATTTCTTTCGCCTCCAAAGTTCACTCCTAAGCCTACCCTGGACTCCCTTTACCAGAACCATCTGAATGTTGCTTTGTCACTCCACGCTGATTCTTCATAGAGCTCAGGCCAAGCTTAACTAATCACTCATAAACTTTCGCTGAGTGGACGGCCACCACACACAGCAAAACAAATCACTCGCCATGAACACCCTAATTGGCCCCGAGGTCAGAGGCGAGTCAGGGTTTGAAGAGAAAAATACAACAGTGTGATCTAACGGAAAAACGTATCTATTACTTGTATTTCACTGCTTCTGAACAATCGCACACACACATAAACCGGCCTGCAGTATTAGCACACTACCTAACACTCCCCATGACACTCTCCACCACTGTGCCGGTTTGTGAATTGTTAAAGAGTAACAAAGCTGTTTTGTGCCCGGCAGATAAAAGACCTGTGTACCGGCGAGGTCGGCCACTCCATAAATATGTTGGCTCTTCTTATTACAAGCTGTGTCCATGACAAAGGACAAACAGCTGGGGAGAGAAATGCTACATGGCAGGAATGGACAAGGGCCATTTTCAGCCTGGCTGGTCAGACACCAGCCCCTGAGCTGTCCCCGCCAAGGCTGTTTACTTGACCCACAGGAGAGAGAGGGAGAGAAAGTTGACACAGTAAGCCTCTAGCTCTCCACCCTCCACCTCCAACACATAATCTCTCACTCTCTCTCTCTCTCTCTCTCGCTCTCTCTTTTTCTACCCCCGATGACAAAGATTAAGCCTCAGAACAATATCACCAATGCTGAGGAAGGGTCATCAATTACCCCACGATACTCGTCATTACCTTCCACCTGTTCCCCCCCTCCCATACTCTGCTTGGCTGTATAAATTCTGATGCTTGAAATGTTTAAGACAACCTGCAGAGGTGTATCTCTGTACCTGCTGAGCTGTCAGCTTTGCATATTTGAAAAATATGAATCAAAAATTCACAGGTGGACAGGTTTCAGTTTTTCTCTTATAGGTGCTGAGGATTATTTCTGACCTTTGTTTAGACTACAAAAGTCATCAGTATGTTTTTTTTTTTATTCAAATGCTATTTGGTTAAGCTTTAAATCAATGCAGGAAAGCAACACAAGTGAAAAAAAAGATGCAAAATCTCAATCAGAATATACAAAAGCTGAGGAAGGTGCATGAATAAAACAAACAGAGCAATAAATGGGGCACACCCTTCTTTAAAGACTGGTGAACAGGAAAATAATGTCAACAATTGCCAATAATTAGTGAATTACCTGCAGGGGTAACCAATCTGCTTAGTCTCTTTGTTGCGAAACAGGTCTGAGAACCAGAACAAAAGTAGCTACCAGCTGCTACACACTGAGTCTGCTTCATCACATATTTTAGCCAGCTCTAAATAACTCAAACAATGCTTTATTTGACAGTCAAAAAGGACCAAACTAACCTGCATCTCTTCAACAGAAAATTATGATCATTTTTAAACTTATCTTGTCAACATTTAAAGTCAAAAGATTGATTTTGTCGGTGAAAAAAGGATGTCCTATAAAGCAGTGGTTCTCAACTGGTCTCACTTTGGGACCCACATTTTCCCATGGTCCTTAAGTCGGGACCCACTTTTATGGAATTCAAACCAAGCAAATTTATATTTTTATTAAAAAAAAACCTTTAAAGACTCTAATCTTTAACATAAATCCTCTTGTTTTATTGAGTAAAGTGCATTTCAGAGCACATGAAGGGGACAACATGAGGACGACAACTACTAAAGTTGCATATACAGAAAATATCAAATATCTACTAAATATCGCATTAAATATTTACTTTTTTGACCAGCTGTCTGTGACCCATCCAGAACGTGTCCGCGACCCACTTTTGGGTCGGGACCCACCAGTTGAGAACCGCTGCTACAAAGTGTGCCTGCTAATCCTACCCCCATCCCCCACCTGGGCTCCATCTCACCAAAACAACCTGCCCTCTCGATATTAGGAGATGTTTTCTCCTGATGTTCAGCAACAGAACCAGGAGGCAGGCTGGGATTTTATCTAAAGGTTTTTTTTTTTTTTCACGTAAGTATCATGGTTGATAAAAGCCAGGCCATTACATGAGCAGTGAAGCAATGCAATGACAATGACATGGCGGTCGCATGGCTCAGGGAATGACAGCGGCCATCGTCTGAGAGTAGCAAATGGCAAATGGCAAGGCAATGGATAATGGCCAGGACTGGATGCTGAACTCAGAGGATTAGATATAAAAGAGTTAAAATTCATCACTATACAAGACTCTTTACACAGAATTATGGCAGGGTCAGAATTTTTGACACTGTGACTCAGGAGATGAAATTCATCCAAATTATATAACTTACAAAGTCTGACAAATAACTGAGTGAGGGTGAGCTGGTCAAATGTATACCTCACTCTGACAGGATCAAGATTGGTAACTTTACATTATCCCACTTCTGACTAAAAGTACGAACAGTTTAACACCAAAGTTTTGTCTAGCTTAACCAGCTCTTTAACACTATAAAAACCAAAACCCTGCCATTGCTTTGCATTTGTTTCCTTCAGTTTTGGTTGGTGATTTTTTGTGAGCCATGTGATAAGGTTTTCCTGAGTGAAGCCTGCCATTCAGAGTTAACAACTGTTGTTTTGACCAATCAGAATCATGTATCTATCACTGCAATAGGTGATTGGTAAGAAAACCAGGTAATAAACATTGGTTCCTTAAAGCCACACTTTTCCAAAAAGTCTTTTATTGCACAAAAAGTTTCCATATAAATTTGAGATATGACAGTAATTATTTTCATTATGCTAGACTGAAGGGGAGGTGCAAATGAAAAACATTTGATGGCAAAAAACTCAGTTTTTGTGATAAATTGTAATTTAACATTAAAAATAACACTATATTCTTTAATGTTTTTCTAAATGAGGAGTGCGTTAGGGTTTTTCTCTGCATTAGTTTATACCTGATATGTGGATCAGTCATAGTTGAGGAACCTGATTAGGTCTGATAAAGAGAATTGGTTTTTGAAAGAGAACAAATGAGTTGGCAGAGTGTGAGGTGCATTCAGAAAAAAAAAAAAAGCAAATGCAAAGCAGATTTTTCATTACACCAGACTCTTGCAAACAGCCTAATAATCCTGGGGATGATGAGGACAGTGAGTAAAATTAACTATTTTACACGTGTCAGAAAAAGCCACAAATTCACATGTGAATTATTCTTTAAGCGACTGTAAGTGCCCTCAAGTAGTGAATCAAGTTGAAGTTCTGCAGTTCACTGACCCTCTGCTTTACATTTCCAGTGCTGTTAGTGATAAGTTGATGGAAAAACTTTCACTTTCTTCTTACTATCTTTTTATAGTTGTTCTGGGATTTCTTTTTGAGCTAAATCACGAACTGATGGGAATTTAAAAACATCTACCGAAAAGATACATCTTTGTTATTCATAAGGTCATTTAAGATGGCTATGATTACAAATCTATTAATGTGAAAGTCAATTTCCAAACAACATAGTCCACGAAGGATTTTTTTGAACTCTTGCACGTATAATCTAGTTTGAGAGTGTTTTTGACCCAAACAGCTGATCAGTGTGCTGCAGACGAAAGAGTGTGTGCAGGTGCTATGTCAACAAATGGTACCAAAACAAATGGGTTTTCTGATGGTACAGTGCTGGAAATTTCTTCAGTAGTATACACTTACACTGCGATGAGAGCTCACGTCAGGGTCTGCTAAAATTAGCTAAATTACATGGCAGACTTGACCAAATTCAAAGAAAGCTATAGCCTAGCTTGTGTGTCATTCACCTGTGGCCACTAGACTTACAAGAGAAATGTAACTCAAACGACCCCACTTTAATAAATACCAAATTATCCCTTTAATCAACATTTGCAGGAATTGTAATGTTAGTTTATGGCAGAAAATAAGGAGTACAGCTCTTCTGATGAATATCATTTGACACAGGAGCTAAAAAAATTGAACTTATAAATCCACATTATCAGACCTAGTGTTACAGACAGTAAGGTCAGGGATCAGCCCAGATAAGAGAGCCTGAACTTGATATGAATGAAGGGAAAATCATTACAACAGTTTCTCTCCATAACTCATTCTGATGTAAAAAACATAAATACATCAGATTTATTTTTAAAGTTACTGACAACTATGAGCCAATTAAATGTTGAGCCTTGTGGTAATGTTTCAATGTAATGCAAAGTATTGTTTGATAACTTGCATACATACTTTTCTGTCTCAGTTATTTGTTTCAAAAGGCTTCATGTGAGATAAATGTTGGGTTTTGTATGAAACACTCTAATCCCCAGGGAGGGGAGATTTGTCTAAGTGTATTTAAAAAGCAATGCTTGTAATTTATGAGCTCATATTATTTTTTGTAATTAAATACCACCTGAATATTTAACGCCATCGAATTGGCTCTGCAGCAAAATGGGTGCAATGCTGTTTAGACTATCAAGTAACTATTGTCTCACAAAATGAGATATTAACTGAATTGAAAACCATCCCCTGTCGCATTTGATAATTTATTTGCATAATTAGGCCTTAATTTTAATTCACTATGCAAATGTATGCCCCTTTTAAATTGCATTTAAATGTGAACTGGATCCAGTGTCAGGTCTAATGTGATGTATTTAATTTTATTATCTGTAAACCATGAGAAACTGTTCGGGGCTAAATAAGAATAAGGGACAGAACTGGGGATTTTAAAACAATATTTTCCACAAAAAAACCCAAAGATATCTTTGTCAATATTCTTGTTTTCACAGTGTCCTTTGGGTTGAGTTATAAAGTATCTATTTCTATTTGGATGTCTCTTCTTCTCTGGGGAGTGTTATCTCTTGTTTCACTTTTTAAAAAGGAGTTGTGCTTAGGAGGCATGCATTGCCATCTATTATTCTGTGAATCAAATGGGGGCAGAGACAGGGCAGCTGAGTGAGGGTGAGCCTCCGGTCCAGTCCAATGGTGGCCTTTGTGGACTGAGGGAATACAAACTCCAAGACAGGACAAAGTCAGAGGAAATTGACCTGCTTGATCCCTTCCTTGAGAAGGAGGCGGCACTCGTCCTTTCATCTTTTCCCGAGGGCCCAGATCTTTGGGGCTACACTTAACAAACAAAATACTGTCTGGGCCTAACTCATGGGTGTCTTTGGAGCTGGGAGATGCTGATACCTAGGGTGGCAGTGGGCTGGTAAGGAGGAGGACGAAGGGGGTGGGTAACCTGAGACAGACAGGCCTCTGGGGCAGGGAAGTAGCCAAAAGGGACAAATTAGCTTTAGACAATGGGGGACCTTTTCCACCAGGGGGATAATTAAACGTTTCTTCATCAAAGCTGAGACAGTTTGCAAGCTGCTCATTTTGTAATTCTATCATGTTCGCCCCTGAGATATGCTTTCTGTATTTGGTCCACCCCCACCACTCAAACCCCTTCCTTTACACATTGCCATGGCGATAATTTAGATGCTGTTTGATTACTCTGTTGGGGGTGTTAATTATACAGAGTTAGCAGTGGTGTAATTGAGCCCAGTGGAAACAGAGGGTCTATTGGAGGGGCAACATGTATGTTCCCTCTTAGCATGCCGCACAAAGACCTTTGTTTGCTATTGTTACTGAGCGTGAGGACCATTCAAGAACACACTGAGAGGGCTTTTCGGTTGTTACAGGGCTAACTTATGAGGAATAGAGTTAGGTTAACATAAGTCATCTCTAAGTATGGATGATAACTTCTTTGATAAGACAAGACAAAACAGGAAATAACGTCAGTGTTCATACTATAGGGCACTTAAAGGACTGGAAGCTTTTTTGTGTGCATGCATGTGCCTCATTTGTGCGGTACGTGGCCTAACGTGGGCGAAGCATAATGTGCATGCCTCTGAATGTGCGTACGGCTAAAGGACATTGTGTGCGAGTCTTTTTCCTTGTCCACTGAGCTGTGGACCACAGGGTTTGTTGTGTGCCTTGGATCACACGGAGGAAGCTGAATGATGTTGCCCCAGCTCTGTGAAGGAAGGGCCATGCTTGGCTGGCTCCAGAACAGCCTTAACAGGATATCACAGAAGAAACTGTGGCTTTTGTCCAGCTCTCCTTTACAAAAAAAAAAAAAAAAAGAAAGACAGAAAGGAAAAAAAAAAAGCTGTGTCAAAGGGACTTGGGAGGGTGTTTTCTTTTTCAACAGATGCTAGAGCAGTGTGTAGCAGCTCTCTGGAAGCCCATATCGACAATGGCGCCTATCTAACCCTGTGACATCATCAAAGAGCGTGCTGTGTGGGGCTGCCGCGCTGCAGTGTAGGATTCGTGCCATTACAACAGCAGCAACATGTCTCGTAAGGCACCAGTGAACAACGCTGAGCGCCAGCTTTGACCCCCTGCTGGAGCGTTTTCTAACATGCTGCTGCAAAAAAAGGTAAACCACATGAGTTTGGATCTGAAAGACAGTTATTCTCCTGTGAAGTTGTAATTTAGCATGAAAACTGCAGCGAAGGTGGAGGGTTACATAAGACCTACGTTGATGTACCTTTTGGAGAGAAGAGAATAATTACATTAATTTATTGACTTTGACTCAGTGTGCTGGATTTACTTAGTCAGCATGTACACACCAACATGCATGCCTCCTCACGTCTGCAGTACAGTGAAGTATGTTAATAATATGGCTGCCGTCACATAGGGAGCATTACAGAAACAGTCAGTGTTTGTCAGGCTACAGCCATGCTGAGAGCAGCCCATCTCTATGAAAGCCTTAGCCTCGGGGCTGTAGACAGACCCCTGGGACCAGCCGGCACTCAAGGGCCTATTTGTTCAACAGAATGTGTTATTCTATCACAGCAAGCCTGTCACAGCAGCAATCATTCAAATACCCATTCATTTCTGGAATTCTGAATCCCCGGGCCTCCAAGGACCATCAAGAGCCTGTTTATTTGTTTAGTTTTGGACAGGGCTTGTCTCTTTGATTCATGGACACTGAAGTTAAAAGTGCTTAGGAAGTTATTCAATTATTTTCAGGGGAGGATTTTAAGACTTTTGTCCTTCATCTCTCAGGAGAAAGAGAAGAGTCTCTCTTAGTGTCTCGATCTAACATAAAGTGGTGGCCTCTATCAAAACTTTTCCTCGATTTAACAAAAGAGTCAAAAATAATCTTTCACTTTTTAAACCCCCTAAGACTGAGGATAATGGCAGCTCTATTCTCCTTTCATAAATGTCTTAATGGGTTTGATTTTCTGAAATATTTCTAAAACAAATTGAAGAAATAGCAGAATATTTATTTGATGTTAAAAGTGATTGTAACGCAATATAAGAGTTATAATGCAACCGACTTGTCCATTGTGCCCCTCTTCCTCTTGCCCAACACCTGCTGGGACATGCTTTGGCCTTATACAATCCTGACAGGTAACATGAAATGACTTACTCAGAAAGAAACCTTGAATAACAAAAATTATGAAAGCTTTTTGAGACAAAAGAATCCAAACTAATGCTGTAGAGGGTAGCTGTGTTAAAGTAACTTTCCTATTTCGTAATAGACCATTGTTTATGACTGCTCTCACATAATGCTGATAAACTCCTTGGCCTGGTCCACAAATAAGCTGATTTGGCAAATTTTTTGCAAACAGCAAAAGAAAAAACTCAATTTTTCCAAAACAAACGTAGTTCAGCTGTAAACAATTGACTGTTCAGAGAGAACTTTGTCAACCTAGTTTTACTTTGATAATTGGGCGTTTATTCCAAAATCATAAATTAGCCTGATGTGCATCTTTCCAGTCGCAGCAGACATTTTAAATCTACCTCCATTCACCGTTCATGAATGTTTTTCTAATTGAAAGTGATATCTTAGTGCGAGCTGTTGGTCAGAGCCCAGTACAATAGACCTGTCAGGCTTGATGGATCTCCAACACAGCTGGGATATGGGTCCCCAGACCGAAGCCAATAAGAGCAGGGTCGGTATGTAAAAACAGAGGCTTATAAGAGCTGTCTGTCCAAGACTCAAAGCACAAAACACACACACACACACTCTCAAACACACACACACACACACGCCTAAATGCATACAGGTCTGATCAATAACATTTTGTTCTCGGGGTAAGGAGGTGAGCTAGATCCAGACATGGAATTATAGCTTAAGTGAAACTGGAGAGAATTAAGGATTAAAAAAACAAGTATTTTCTGTTGTTGATTTTTAATTCCAAGTATAAACAATGAAGAGTCCATTTTGGCTTGCCTGGTTAATGATAGCCAGTCTTTACAGATTAGCCAGAGTGAGTAATAGGAGCCCCACAGGGCAGAGTAATGCAATTCAATAACTGCATTTGTGGGAGGGGATGTGCTGTGATGTGATTGTGATTATGTTTTTGGGTTAGGGGAGACATGTTAACCTGGCCAGCATCCACGAACAAAGGATTTTATACATGGATGCGTCTTTTATCTCTATTTTCTGACAGATAATAGAAAAGGATAATGTTTCTTGAAGTCCATAACTTCATACACTAATCCCATCACTTGCCTCCTGCGGTGATATTTCAGTCTAATCTCTGGCTTACTTTCCTGTTGTACGACTTGAGAAACAAAACAAGCTAAGGCACCCCTCTGATGCCAATTAATTAGGAGGATATGAATATTTCAGTGCTCTATGATACAATGGTGGCTGCACCGAGATAGGATTCACAACAGCTCCTAATGGAATATTAATCATGTGGTGACGTTATGGGCTTCTTTTTCTCAGCTTTCACTGAAGGTGTGCATGGGGAAAAGGGTTCAGGGTCTGGTCACGGTGTCTGTAAGGAAGTTATTAGCCTAAATGTGTTGTCCTTGTCAGCGGCTGAAACTGAAAACCTTAACTTAGAGTCGAATATTTTTTATCTGTTTGTACGTCGGGTAGTTTAAGATGACTGGTCAAGATCATGGATTGAATTCTGAAGTAATTGAAAAAAATACAAAAGAACTTAGACTACAGTCAAGTCTGCTCGCAAATCTGCAGCTACAGCTACTGTCTGCCAGGAGATCTTAACTAAAGAATCAGAATTGATTTGATTGGCATTGTGGCTTATTTATGAGATGGATCACTTTCCTGTCTGGAGAAGATATATTTTACTCTTATTGAGCCATTTGATTAAGCGTAATAAAAATCTGGACTAGTATTTCCTGAATAAACTAAAGAGACAGGAGAAATGTGTAATTCTTTACAACAGCCCACCACTTTGCATTGAGGTACTGTTTCAGGACGTCAGGATTCTATTTCACATTACTACCCACTCACTAATCAGTCATCAACTCGACCCTCTGGAGTCTAGGGTATAATTGGCCGTTTCAAACAACTTTTGATTTTACCTTTATATCTTCCCTCAAAAACTGTTTACCTCGCCTTGCTTGGTGTCATTTTTTTTCAGCACAACCTCACCTGTTCAAATTTATAGTTATTTTAACATTTTGACATACTGTATTAACACAGAGGACCTAAATTCACACAAAAAAACGCAAAATCGTAACATAATTCATAACAAAAAAGTAACATGTTTTACTGTGAAAACCACAAATATGTGTAACGAACCGTTTCATAACTTAGACTGCAAATATTTACATTAAAATGCACCTAACATGATGAAAATAATCAGGACAAAGTATGGCAAACATAATTTATCATGACTCTGATTTTATTTGGTCTATCAACACAATTTAAAAACTGGTATATAGTTTGAGGTCCTCACTTTGAGACAAGTTGAAACGGAGACTCAGTGAGGCTGCATCTTGCAGCTACAACCCGTTAAATATGTCACGTAATTTTGACGCTCAGGAGCATCAATCGACTCCAGTGGGTTCAGAATATCGTAAGTGTCACTTATCAATGCTGACGTTTTTTAAACATACAATCAAGAGGAAGAGGGGAAATCATACACTGATGGGTGTCCCTTCAGTTGTTTTTGTTATTCTCTTGCTAGATCAGTAATAACTGTTGACAGAGGTTTTAGCCAATCAGAGTCACGTATCAAACAAAACCAGTTAATTAGTAGAAAGAGAAACAAGACCTCTCTTATTGGGTAAAAGTGCTTAAACACACAGATTCAAAACTTCAGTTCTGAAAAGACCATACATCAAAAATGATGAACCTAAAAATGAAAGAATGTCTGAACCAAAAACGTTAACCCAAATAAAAAAAGCTACATTCAGTTAAAAAATTTCAATGAATAGGCTTGAAATGAATCCTAAAATTTCCCCATTCATTCACTTTAGTCAAAACATGTTGAGAGCCTAAACAGCCTCGTACTATTTTTCAAGCTTCATGACCACAAACTACGTAGGCTGGAGAGGATCCTCCTTTATGTTTCCCAATGAGACTCCTCTGACCATTAACCTTCACACTAGAAAAACATGACAACATTATTGCAATGAAAAGTGAAAGTCTGTCTCCTGCTGTTTGAATCAATGTTTGACATCCAGTTCACATCATGATGTGAAATATTCACATCAGTTACACAGTTTGCCCATCATGCTCTTTGCAGTTCTGCTTCATTTTCTTAATACTGACTAAGATTTGCATGAAGGTGATCACAGACACCACAAGGGAAATATTTGGTTCGCAAAAAGCATCTTTGTGCCAACTCAACATTTCAAAGCTGTTGTTTTACATTTATTCATTTAATTATTCTTTATTTTCATGCCAAAATTATAATTATTTCCACATAAACACCTGCCATAATCCCCACGAGTGTGTGCGAGCTTTTGTTCTATCTGTGATCTTCATCATGAGGTGGGTTTGCCTTGAACAGGCATGTGTGTTTATTATAGCAGAGAGTATATGTTGGAAACTGTGAAGCAGCATAAGGATAAACCTGTATTTATGATATAAAAGAGATGCAGATGTGGTTTTCTGTCTTTCTTTTCTCTGGCAGGGATCACACTGGCAGAGCTCATGTTATTCATGGACAGACTCATTTCCTGCAGCAGCAGCGGCACGGTTCGATAGTGAAGCTGTAAAACAGTTTCAGCTAGCCATAAACACATTTGATGAAAACAAATTAGGAGCGAGAAATATAACTGACGGAAAACATAACAGCCGGCAATGGAATCACATTAGCGGGGACGCTAGATGCCGCTGCAAATAAATGTACATTTAATAAATGGATAAATACAACACATAAAGCCCTATGTTGCCAAAACTAATTCATCATTTAAATGTCTCCCTCTTTTTCCATTAAATCTCATATTAAAACACCTTGCAAATAGATGTGGGGCTTTAACAACCTGACAGTTCACCGCCGCAGTAACCTGTTGACACTCAGGTCTTGAAACATCGCTTACGGGAAACTTTACGCCTTTCAGATGAAATCACTAATGGCAATAATCTTGTGACAACATGAGATGAAATTCTCTCTGATTTGTTGCTGTGACGCAGTACTATTCTTGTTAATGAATTTTTAATATCCTTAATGACAGGAGAGGAACGATGTAATTAAAAGAGCAAGTTAGGAAAAACGCTGACTCCAACTCTTTATGGGGACTGTTTTAATGTTAGTTTAATTGGAACTAACACATTATCTTAATGAACAGATTGCCTTCAAGGAGACCATTTCGCCTCCCCTATAGCAAGCTCAAACTAGCCATTATGCATATCAAGAAATTTCTTTTGCCTTCTATGAAACAGTGACAAGAATTAATTGGAGGAAATGGAGACCCTTTTTTTTTATTATATATTTTCTTAAACTTCCAGAAAGCTCTCTGTGACTGGACACGACTGAGGGGTTTGAAGGTGGAGGGGCGAGCAGTGGAGTGAAGGCCCGGTTGCCGTAGAGGCTTTGTGGCATGAAATACATGCATAAAGCCGAACGTGGCCAAGAAGCGGACAAATTGACCACTCCACAACCTTGACACTGTTGACACCCGGACACCTATCAGCGCTCTGTCCGCTTTTTTTTCCCCCCACAGAGAGGAAGACACGCGGAGGCAGGTTGGTGTTAGGGTGTTTTTTACGCTGGGGAGCTCTGGGCAGTTGAGTTTAATTTGGGATTTACAAGTGACATTGTGCCCCCATGGCTGTCTTCTTACTGGGGCCAGGTTTATGGAGTGAGACAGTGGGGTCTTTTCCTTGTGATTAGCAGGCCTGCGAGCAGCCATGCACAAAGTATTATAGCCCACAGCATTATGTATCAGAGTTTACAGACCCCCCCCATCCCTCCAGCTCTGCAGACCCCTTCATCAACTAGCGATCGGACCCCCCCCACACACACACCTTCACTCACACCTTCAGAAGGTCAGGCCTCTCAAACAAGTCAATAACTAATGAAGACGTGCGGTGCGTCTGCTTTAGACACAAGAAAAGAAATTTGGAAGAAATTCAGAAGCACAAAAATGCTTCTGAAGAAAGAGAGAGAGAGAGGGAGAGAGAGAGAAAGTGAAAAACAGATTAATATTGTTAAATGATTTGGGGTTTCCAACTAAAAAGGGGGGAAAGCAGGGTATGAACTGTGAACAGCCACATGACGACCCGGAGGCTTATCTCCCAGAGGCTGTTTGGCTTAAGCCCGGGCATTAATACACTGATAGCCTACGGAATAGCCAAGCATAAAATGAATGTGAAAGGATGAAGAAACAACAAGAAAAGGGTGGAAGAAAGAGGATGAAAGTGGTTAGGCCTCCAGCTTAACAGACCAGAAATATAGAACTACCAGCAGCATTACAGGGAGGCCCTTATTGATATGAGTGTTATTTCTGAGACATGCTTTTGTCACCGCTTTCCCTTAAAAAAATCCAAATAAGACTAATAGAAATGACTTTTTGGAAAGTTCTGCAGGTGCCGCAAATGTTTAAGTATATAAAAAAAAGGAAAAAAGGTTGATACAGTTGGACACACTTATCAATAAGACAGAATAATAAGGTGCTTTAAGAGTGATAATTGAATTTGAACAAACATAAAGATCTGGAAAAGCAGAAAAAAAGTGACGGGGACAAACCCTCCACACTGCCTTTGTAAGCTATCCCAGCGCTGAGGCTTTTATCCCTTTTATTTTATTGATTAAAAAAATCCCAGAGGCACTAAAACGTACAGTCAATGATTAATGTCCCTCTCAGAAAAAGAAATTATATGGAATAAATTAAACTACTGCAGCAGCAAATTGAAAAATAAGAATGTAAATGAGCTTTGAATACTTAATATCATAGAGAAAAATAGGCAATGAGGCCCAAAAATGATGAGGGATTAGCGCAGAAACATGACATTAGCTCTAATGGCAGAGAGTAGATTTTCTCTACTGTCAAAATTTAACTGTCGCATCTGATTTTCTGCCAGGTAAATGAAAAATGGGAGACAGTGTGGCAATCGAAAAGCACTAACCTTGTTCGCAAGGTGATGAAATATGGACTCAGAGTTGCATGTCAGTACTCCCAGTCTGGAATAAGAGAATAAAGAATAATATTAATTTGAAATGCAATTATAGAGTAAGTAGCGCTGATTCATTGTGTGGTTTTACTGTGGTTTTTACAGTCATGCAGAGAGATATCTTACAGAGATGACAAGTAATAAACAGCAAACAAAATATAGAGTAACATTAGTGCAAGAATAGAAGCAGTATCTGGATATTAGCCTGTTCTAGCTCCACATATTTCTCCCAGCTCTGTGCTCACATCTGCACAGTTACAAAAAAAAAAAAAGCCTCTTAGACAGTACTTAAAATGCAGTTTTTGGCTGCCGCCCTGCCACATTACTTCTCTAGTTATCCTGCAGGAGAAGGGAAAGGTGTGAACTGCATCAAGCGGGGCTCTCTCAGTTGGAACCTTTAATTATAACTTCACAGTATCAGTTACAGCAACCTTGCACAGATGCTAAAACCCTCAGAGGCTTGGCTACTCTACCTTACTTAATCTGGGTGGGAGGCACTGAGACAGTGCTGTACCATCAGCCAATTCAATCACAAGCCAGGACGCTACCACAGTCTGCATCAGGGTCCAATCCCACTACCAAAGTCACATGACCTTGCTACTTAGCATCCTTCATCAACACCTGTTTTCTTTTTTCTGTGAGTGTGTGTGTGTGTGTGCATTATTGTTATTTGCCTCTTCCCCTCTGCTTGTAGCCTCTCTCTTTCCAAGGGATGCAGTGGGCTCTATGCGTGCAGAGCTAAAGACGCTATAAAAATTGCTGAGGTATAAAATCGAAAGTGCTCAAGCTGTCTGCGACTGGAATTGCCGGCTGGCTCAGGCCTGTTGGAGGTGGTGAAGGATCCCCGGCCAAGACCTGCAATAGTGTTGTAAATCAGAGAAAGTTTGTGCTTGTTTGTTTACATATTACAGGCTTTACAGTGGGCCTACTTCAGTACACAAGGAGCTGTGCTTGGCCCGGGCGATTGTACGGGTCATAAAACTAAGGAATATAATGGCTGTGTGCAGCTTGAACCAGCCACTCCTGCACTTGTTCTTTGGTAATATGGTTTTGTTTAGATGAGATGAGGAAATGCATGAGAACAAGCTCAAATGATTGGAAAATAAGGATTATAGTTGCTGCTTTTTTTGGATGAAAATGAATGTCTTAACGCTTTGGTCCAGAGTTTCCTTTAAAAGGTTATCTTGAGTTAAGCCCCAATAGTCAGAATAGTCAGTTATGACATTTTTTATTGTATCTTAACTGAGATTTAAGAGTTCTCGGTTGTAGTTCTGTGTGCCTTTTTTCTTTTCATTTGTTTAGTTTTCTAATAATTTTTTGTTATTCTGGGAGAACTTTGATATCTGACGACTGTCTTTGCAAAGAGATGTATGGAGGCTCCTCAGTGGGGTATTTTATCTTACCATCCAGCACACGAATGTGACCTTTATGATGTTGGAAAAATTACACAAAGTTGTAAAAACAAAAACTCAAATGCACTGCCCAAACTCAAAAATTATGGCACAATGTCATCTGTAAAAACACTGTGATCTTTTAAATTCTACAATACTATATCAAACAATCAAACATTGCTGATACAGAAAAAGCCACTAAACACAGACCGACATTTGACACACTGATAACAGCAATTTGGGGAAAATGAATGAAATTTTTCCTAAAGATATAAAATCACCAAAATAATGTATATTATCATTTATATCCAGAGCGTAACAGTGTGTGTATCTGCAGTGAGCTCTCTGTCACACAGTTTAAAGTCCTGCAAGTTGGGATAAATTAACATAAAGGGACCTGATGGCCTTGCTGTCTCTCTCTCCTCTGCTCTCAGACTGTCACCAATGAGCTTACATGCATTTCAGTGTCTTTATTAGATGCTAAAAGGACCTTATAAGTGTGAGTATTTGCCTACCTGTGAATGAGTTGAGTTAGTAGAGTGGTAAAAGTGACACAGGGCAGAGACACACAGTAGACAAGACAGGACTTGAGCAGCAAGCAAACCAAATCATGCACCTCATGCATGTTTGTGCAGGGATGTGAATCAGTTTGTTCGATTGAAAATGATGTGAAACATGAAAATAATGAATCATGTTTTAGCTTTGTTGCGTTGCTTACTTTTAACCTCACCTCTATGTCCATTTACCGCTGCTCCTGCTGGTTCTTTTCAACTTTTTGCTTACATTAGGATCTGGTCAGAAAACTGAGTGTGGGTCTTTTTTTTGCCCTAAAGGCCCTTCAGTAATATTGAACGGAAAATAATGGAGATTGTATTTAAAACACCATTTAAACCGTTTAAAACACAAAAAGTATTCGTACATAAAGCTGTTTCAAAAGCAAGATGTTAAATCTATAGTTTTGCTAGCTTTTGATGACATAATTTGCCTTTTTGGTGCATACAATTTATCAAGTTCATGAATAATAAGTTAATCACAGCCTTTTTCAAAGCAGAGGATGTGAAAAAAACAGCATCTTTCTGACTCACATCTTGAGAGAAATCTCTCCAGAGCCTGAAATGTGGAGGCAAAAAGTTCTTAAGAGTGTATGTGTGTGTGCGTATAATCCTCACTGCTATATACTGTGATGCCCTGCTATACAGTACACTTTAAAAACCTCCACTCAGGTGTTACCGTGTCTTTCCAGGTGCACCGTGAGCCAAAACACTTATCCTTAAGAGAGATCAAGCCTGCATGCTATCTTATCAGCTCTTACAGTGCTGCACGTACAGTATAGAAGTACACTCAGCTACTCATGCAGACCCCGCTTACAGGAGATCAAACGCAGGTCAGAGATTCCAACATACACTCACTAATCCACGCAAGTGCCTCTCTGTGTATGTCTGTGTGTGTGTGTGTGTGAGAGAGAGGGAGAGAACTCGAGGATTTCTCGGTGTGTGTCGACAGCAGTGGTCTGCTTGTTTTGTGACAGTCATAGGCAGAGCACAGGAAATGCACCGCGATGTGGTCAGTCACAGTTGAATTTCTTCAGTGATAAGGACAGATTTTTTTTTTTTTCCCGCGGAGAGGCCTGACAGTCCATCCATACAGCACAGAAATGCATTTTTCTGAGGTTTTGTCAGCAAAGCAACATACACCAGAAGATGTAGGAATCACGTCAGAAATTATGGCCTGGCTTCTCCTTTTTTGTTTTATTTCTGTTTCTTCTGATCTGATTTAAAAGAGAACATATGTAAAGCCTGACCCCTTCACACCTGCACACACAAAGAGCTGCACACATAGAAATGTGCACACAAAAAGGAGGAGGGAAAAATGAAGGATGGAGGAAGGTGACAGGTAAACAAATTCAGTGTCATATTCTCCTGCTGTCTTCACTGTGCCACTTGGCATTTTAATGGAAGGGAATCTGATGTAACATATAGTGGTAACTACAACAGCAGCCTCGTACCAGAGGGGAAAACTTAACTCCTCAGACCTATGCATTAAACATATTGTAGAATAGAGTGTAACATTTATCACTGTCATTCCTAGAGAGTTTGTGTAAATTTAAATGCGCTCAAGCGTGCTGATTCCCCCCTCTCCCTCTCTCTCTGCACAATGTATGCGTACAATGCCACCCCAAAGCCCATTTTCCCGAAATCCTTCTCATTGTTCTGCACGACCATACCACCAAACAGCTATTCATCTTTGGGGAATATGCTGTACAGAAATGTCTTTGTATGTGGGGCCCTTTTTCTGTTGCAGCAGAATCTGTCCCCTTATTTTTCATCATTTTATTAAAAGAAAGCTTAAATAAAAGAAAATATATCCAACACGATTGCATATTTATTTCACTGGAAAGCACATTTGTGGGCTTATTTCTGCAAAATACGTATAAATTATTACTTTAAAATGAGTTTCAGGGAAAGGAGGGATTTTAAATGTGGAGGTTCGGTTTGGTTTTTCTGATTTGGTCATTTTATATATATAAAAAAAAAGAGATTACATCGCAGTAATCTATGACTGGTTTTAGGTTTTCACTCTGACCTACAGAATGGGCCTTTAGACAATTAAATAAGACTTTGTGGATTATTCCTGACAAGTACTTTTCCAGGATTGTGAGCCGGAGTAAAATGGAACAATAATGCCTTTAAGTGTGGAATATATTGGGACAGTAGTGCATGGCGATACCAGCTGACACATTAAACATTAAAATAAATTACCTAACCTTTACAACTTGCAGCGCCAATAAGAGGAAAAATGACAGATCATGGGTTATTATTCACTGAGAGACCCTATACATAATAATGATGTCATCAATAATGGCGAAGATATCACGCCTTCTGCAGCTTTTAAAAAACATTTAAGGGAATTACTTTATTTTAAATTATCAGTCCGAGTTCGAGATGCGATGCCTCAGCCAGGAAAAGGAGGAGAGAGACTTAAAAAGGGACAGACACAGAGAAACAGAGACACAGAGAAACAGAGTGAGAGAGAATGGAGGGTGATGAGAGAGAGAGAGGAAGAAAGAAAAATGTGCCACATTACTCTGCTGTTACCAAACGGCGCTCATGAGTCAATTTGCCAAATAATGCGAATAGAACTTGACTGAAGAGGCACATCAGTACCATTAACGGGTAAGACTGTCGGTGACCAGTAGACAACAAATATATCTGCTTTGACAAATAACAGAATTATCCTGGAAGGGTTTACAGCCAGTGGTGGTCTGTCATCTTTGTCTGGGTTGTTGTACTCTGAGCAAAAAGAAGTCATTTTTATTGTAGTAAGGGCATCAGGTCAGCACATGAGTGTGAACACATGATGTTTTGATGCTTGTCTAGATCAGTGGCTCCCAAATTGAAGGGTCGTGGCCGCAGGACACTGATGGAGGGTGTTAAGATGCATATTTCATCAAGTTTGACAGAATATAATCAAAATAAAGTGCTTAAATATAAATAACATGATGCAAATTTAAATCTTAGACAAGTATAAAACATTACTTATGCGAACATTTTAAATAGTTATTACTGCTACAGTCTTCATATAAAATCTACTTGTAATCTTCTGATAGTCTTTTTTAATGAATGCACAGAAATACATGTACAGCTGTTTGACATGTCCTAAAGCTTTTATTTGTTATAATGTGCTATGACTACTATAAGGTTGTGATACGACACCAGGAAGAATGGCTGTAATGCAACAGTTAATGGGGATCCTATTTAAACTAAACTAAACTAAACTGTAATGGTACGATTGTTTGGTTGATGTGATCTTATTTGTTGTTGGAGGTCTGTTTTAGGATCAGCCTGTCAGTGCCTGTGCATCAAGGGACATTCAGGGTCCAGAGTCACTGACATCTTTAATTTGGGGGCTAAAAGGCTGAAAAGTTTGGGAAACCAAACTGTAGGACCACCTTCCTCTTTATTTATTATTTTTTTCATTAAAAGATGAGCAGAAGTCACTTCAGCCCTGTTAATATCACTGTATGCATTCTATAGGCACACAGACACTGATGCATTTTTCTGCACATGTGCAAATGTTTTTCTGTATCTTTGTAAAATCTATTCATTCTTTTTGTTTGTGCACAGTGCAAGTGTGACTGCTTTCTTTACTGGAATTCACTGCTCTTTATCCACTCCTGCCTAAATGATGCTGTCCACAGATTTGGCTTAAAAAGGAAAACTAAAAAAAGGGCAAATGGCAGAAAAATTGAAAAAAAAAAAAAAAAAAAAATAATCCAATGTGGCTTTTTAACTACTTTTTATGCATGCATCCATAATATTATATAAATGAAAGTACTGTGTTACTCTGAGGTTTGACCCTAAAAAACTCAAATCAAGGTCTACTTGCAAGCCTTTTTCATCTACAAGCAGCAGTCTTGATAGACAGTGAGAAACTCAGTTTCCATAGAGAGTTACACAGATGTTCTAATTAATTTCAACACAGGGGTGCACAGATGGCCTAGTGGGTTAGCGGACCACGGTTCCTGCAGCGGTCACGGGTTCGAGTCCAGCCCAGACCATGAGCTGTATGTCCTGCCCCCTCACCATACTTCCAACCTGTCCTATCAATAAAAGGCAAAAACTTGCCAAAAAATACTTTTAAAAAAAATGATACCGAAAAGTTAAAAAATATGCAAAATGTACACATGCACACCCACTTGCTCTGATAATTATATACAAATTGAGATTATCTGTGCTGAATGATGTTTTTTCTTCTTTCTTTTTGCAAAATTTGCATATAGGAACAGAAATTACTGGCAGAGAGCATGGATGGGATATGACCTGTGAGGAACTGCTGCCTCGCTGTCAAGGCCCATCAAACCCCTCTGTCCATCCTTTTACTAGAGAGGTCCTTCCCTTTGAGGCTCAGTATTTGTCCCCCTTGTGTCCTTCATTATTCAGAGAAGTGTTTCATGTGCACAGTAAACAGGAAAAACAAGATTTTGCTCTTTACTTTTCAATGATGCCTCCTGATTGATGCCGTCTGTTCCATCTGATCATACATTATAGGGCACATTACAGCATATTGTGCATTTCAGTAAGGGTCATTTTCAGAGAGCCGTTTGCTCTGCCTCTGCAGAAAATCTTAAATAAATTTAATTGTCTGCATCCGCCATCAGAAATGACTTTATGCGTTTTGCTTCATAATTAAGAGCTTTCACATCCATAAACTTAAATCACTGTGCACAGCTGTTGAGGTGTAATTAAAGCATTAAATATGTGAACGATCAACTCCCACTAAACAAGATGACACCAACACTCCCCGGCAGAGAACTTAGAGGTGAACTGCGCGCTGGCTGAGCTCCTTCTTTTACTAAAACCTCCAGTGTTTCTCTTTTCCTTCTGTTTTTTAACTCTCATATTTCACTCTCATAAATCTAATCGGTTCTCCACAGTATTAGCAGCAGAACTGATGCTAACAACATTAGCTGATGATTTAATGACGCTGTAGATGAGGACAGTCATCCTCTTTCTATCATTCTGTCTCTCTTTTTTTTTTCCATCTCCGCCTGCTGGCTGAGGATACAGAGACTCTGTATGTTTTTGAGGATGAGGGTGGTGGCGCTCGTATCTCATCCACCTCCATTACTCCAAGGTCACACGGTTGCTTTTCCTAATGTGATCAGGGAAAGTGTCACTTTTGCAGTTCTGTGGCAGTAAATAAGAAGCTGCTCTAATTTGAATGTAGTGTACCAGAGGCCCTTTATGGGTTGTTAATTTAGTGTTTAAATACATTTAACAGTTGAGAGAGAGTACTGATTAGGCCGGCTCTACGAGTGAAGGCTATTTTTCTCTCCACCATTTCCACTGACTTGCTGTAGATTATTATTGTTATGATGTGACAGATGAACGCCAGGCTTATTTTGAATTAAGAGGAACTTCAAAGGCAAAGAGAGCGATAAAATGTGTCATTTTCTTAAATCATTTCTCCTTCATTTGTCCTTAAAGTCATTTAATTCTTTATTTCCATGTGTATGAGGACATTTACAGCATACAACACGGATTAACACCATGAAAAAGTAAGAATTTTCTAAAATACACTGAACATGTTTCCTCAAAACTAGTTCCAAATATTGGTGTTTTTCTACAGCAATTGTGTTTTCTGATGAATTTAAAGGTGTTTGCCTTTTTTAAAATTTGTACATATGTATATAAGCAGCTTCGATAAAGAGAAGCGGTCAGTATTCATGCAAGGCTTGTGCCATTGAGTAACAATGTATTCAAACAGGGGCTGTCAACAATATTTTTTTTGGTCACGATTTATTACCTATTAAAGAACATTTTCAAAACTCTATTATTTTGCATTTCAAAACCATTTTTATGTCCATAGTAACAACGTGAAGCCGTTACTGTGCTTCCTGATCTTAATTTTTAGATTCATCTTTGTTTAACTAAATGCTGCACTGCTTTATCACTGTGGTTTCTTAGAGGTAGGAGACAACTTCAGGATGCTTATTCTGTGAAAAACTGAGCTCATATTTGTTTTTTCAAAGAGTAATTCACCTACGTCGCATTCAGGAGTCTATGTACAAAGTGTTGAGTTAGTCTTAATGTGATGAGAAATAACTTTGATTACTCACTGACATTCACCTAGCACTGGTTTCTGGACAGTATTCCCACTTTTCAGGAGTTCCAGTTTGGCCGTTGTCTCTGTTTTACTCAAGGTCTGTATGTTTGAAACTGTTGTTTTCTGCGACTGTAAGGCATATGACTTTATATGACAAATTCTTTGATTAGTATGTTAATTATAATCTCAATCACTCATTAATGTTAGCAGCTTTATTCCAAGTGTTTCTCCATTAGATATGCACTGACAACTCAAGTATGTTTAAACTGTCCATGACCTTGTCAAGACACCCAAAGCACTTGATGTTTACGGTCAGAGAAATACAAAAACTGCTGATATAAAAACTGACTGGAGGTCAGGACATAATTTGTTCTTGATTTGACCGTTGTTAAAGAGTAGTTTCCTAAAAAGTAACAACCTCTGGCCTAGCAGTCTACCTGTGTGCCCTGTACATGGAGGTTATGCCTTGAGCAGTCGACCTGGGTTAACTTCCAGCCTGTGGCTCCTTTCCTGCATGTCACTTCCTGTCCTCTTTCTCCCCGTTTCCTACTCTGTCCACTGTCCTGTTCTCTCCAAATGAAATCAAAAAAGCCCCAAAATAAATCTTTAAAAACAAAAACATCAATTTTAAGTCCCGAGGTCCAAGTCTAGCAGCAGTCTTCAGCATCACTGTTCTGTAAAAATTGGGAAAAAAACAGCTACAATTTCGCATGAATCTGTAATTTGTACAATTAGATATGTCTTCAAATGAAATCCCAATTCAGCACTGAAATTCTACATATAAATTAAACATGACACACTTTAGGATGATTAAATCCAAATTAATTGACTAAAGTAGGCTGCGTTGGACCTTTCTCTCTCTGAGTCTAACAGATTCAACCGATGAAGTCCTTGAGTTTTCATTGTCTTTTATTATTTCTCTGTAACTTTCCTCTTTCGCTGACTTCCTCCACCAGCTGAGAGCATGCGGTGACCATGAAAGCCAATAAGGCCCCGACCACCCACCTCAACGCTACAGATTTCTCCTGACACCTAATGCCAGTTATGAAATTGGAGGATAAGTTAATGTGTCAGTGTAGCATTGATTTTTCATTTGCTTCTCACTGCCCCCAGTCCCAGAGCCGGCCCAGGCCTTTCCTTCATGCTTCAGGATGGATTACTGTGGCCATCGGTGAAACACAGCATTGTGGGGTGACAGGGGAGCCAGTGCGGGTGTTCATGAGAGGTGCCACACCTGATTATAGGTGACACCATACCGATGTCAGAGGAGCTCAAATACGGAGATAAAACCCTCATTCACAGCATTTTTTTTAATTGAACTTTCCTATTTAGGAAGCATTTCTCAATATCTATCCAATAAAATAAGTATCTTTGTGCATAATTTTTTAATAATGGATAAATATAATTATAATGATGTTTGGAGCAAAAAGGAGGCCTCCACAACACGGATAAAATAAGAGGCACAAGAAATCTGCGCCTGGTCCCTATGAAAGGAAAAATACGCTCACGTAACAACAACATGGTGCTCAATGAGCCAAGTCCTCAGTTCCATATGAGATTGGTTAATACAAAAGCTTGCTGGTGAAAAACATTGTCCTGCTCGCAGTGACAAAGACAAAGTGCCTGTGTTTGGCGTACGCGAGTCAAAGGGACAGGTGACGACAGGGAGGGAGACCAGGGAGGGAATTTGAATTTCACATCTAGGAGGAGGCAGCATGTCATTAAAAACCCTAATTTCAGTGTCAGGTAGACTTACAGGTGATCCATCATCTTGTCAGAAGAATTTTATTTTATTTTCAAAGGAGTTCAGAGCAGCCTCGCTAGACTTTTTACTTCAGTTCCAATTAGATTTAAACACAATTAACAGAAAAGTCTAGTCCCGTGTGTATGGTCGGAGAGATACTTGCCCACTCAAGCAGATCTGAGAGAAACCATCAAGCTGAATACCAACCATCCTGCATAAATGATAAAGAAACTACTTCTACAGTGTGTGCTTTTCTTCTGCACAATGAAACTAGATCATAATTAATAGATGATAACAACTCTGAAGTTAATATTCCAATGCTGCACACAGAGCTGCTGCATTCCTCTTCATATACCACCTGCAAACTGCATATCAGCACCCATGAATGCCATTTATTGGTACATTTCTAAATGTTAACGCCTGTCAGCTCCAATCTCTCCGAAGGAGGCGCTCGGGAAATAAAATGCATCGGAGGGGACCTGAGAAGAGGACACACGTTAACCCAGATAGGCTGTGACAAAACACCATTACCTTCTCCTGTTCACACAGCGACGTACAGGACAGCTACGAGTCGCCCTGTCCCCGAGAGGAATCCATCTAAATGAGAGACACGCACAAAAATGTTCTCCCGCTCTTTCAACAATGTCTGAGGAAACTCAGAAGTTTTCTATTTCTCTTCATGAGTGTTTTTAAAAGACTTTTAAAAGACTCTTATCAGCACCAACATCACAATAGAAACTCAACAAATCCTGCATTTGAAGTCTCATTTCATCTCAGAACTACTAAAAATATCTATTATTTCATTATTTGTTGTATCATATCAATAAAATGTCTATCTTAGCAGTGTTTGATGATGGGTGAGTCTACTATGACAAGTAAAATTGCGGTCAAAAGCATATGTAGTTTAACTGTGTTTAATAATGCTACTATCAATACATTCTGGATAAGTTAAAGTCCAGCATTCAAGTTTCCATGGGTACAGGTAACGACTTTTTTTCATTTTTGTGAGGAGTTTTTAACTGGTTAATAAAAATTGTATGATTTTCACTGTATGAGCTACGAAAGCAAACAAGACCATCAGAACTGGATATATGAGGTTATATTTATGAGGTTATTTCTAATGCCTGCAACAGCTGCGGTAATTGACAAAACGACTTTTATATACATTTCCTATGACAAAGACTCACTAGAGTGATTAGTCTGATTGTTAAAAAGAAACAGGATGAGATTCATCATCAGAAATGACCACTTTCACTTGTACGGGTCAAAATCAGAGACAGACCTATGAATCAGCTGGTCGATTAATCAGGCAGTTGATGTCATTATTGAACAATCAGCATCACATCAACATTTCCCTCATAATGCTAACGTCACTACTAACTATAAATGAAAACACAATGTCTCATTCCAACTGACAGCACAACATATATAAACAGTCACTGGCTAGTGTATAATATAACTCCTATTATGGTGTATGGAGTAATGCAGTTTGGTATCGCCATGATCTGAAATCTAGAGCATAGCCCAAGATATTTGTTATTTTCATCAATCTATTAAAAATCCATCTAAAACATGTTACTGGCTATATTTAACCATCTATAGTTGATTTTATTGCGCATGAATTATATGATTTTTTTTTCTTTTGCGGCAATATTTTACTTTACAAAGTATCTTTGTTTCTCATTTGTTGGTAATATAAATTTTTGTATTTTGTCGAATGTGGATAAGGAAAAAAGAAAAAAATCACAATGTGATGTCAGTATAACATACTGGCCATCAGCCAACCAGCTTTCTCAATATCAACCCATCAATTAATTTTCATTGATATAGTGCTAAATCACAACAATCATTATCCTAAGATGCTTTCCAAAAGAGCAGGTCTAGACTCATTTTCAATTTTAGCATTTTGAAAAACTGCAATCAGTCAACTATGAGTCAAGATCAGCAGATAGATGAGAGGTACTACTTTGTCCACAGGGGGCACCAAAATCAATGCAGAACAAAAGTAACACAGAGAAGCATGAAGGCCAAAGTCAAATCTACAGCCCCATACCACAATATAGTATCTTTATGTGTCATGACATTTACATGTAAAATCTTCATGTTGGGGGTAATGATAGCAGTCAACAGTGAGCTCTTTAAATAGGAGTTTTGGCAAAATTGAAGTTTTAGTAGCATTAAGTAGAAATGATTCAAAATGCAGAAGAATTTAAAGAAGAAAAGTTATGTCAAGAGCTCATCATCAACCCCTGATTTGTTTTCCAATGTTTGAAATAAAAAGGACTTAAACATGAATTTAATCCTGAAAGTTGTTGATCGTGATAAAAAAATCCAATTCAAGTGATGTGTTAAAAGAGATGTATCTCAAAACTGCATCATATTCTTTCAAACAGCGTAGAAATGAACAGATCAAAGCCCTGTCTCGGATTATAAAAAGAAGATACGTGATGTTCTGGGAGGAAAGTCTCAGATCCTCCCCACCCTGCAGAGAGAGAGTGGATGTTGGATGGTGTCAGTCCAGATGGATGGGACACCAGCAGTCCAGCTACACTGAGCTCCTGCTGCTGTTGTAACACGGATATATAACCACTGTCGTCCCTACATCAGGCTGCCTAAATGGACAAAAATGCCAGGGCAGCAAAAAATGCTGAAGAAACCCAGGGCTTCATTAGCAGAACCTTCCCAGCATGCTTTGCGATGACAAATGATTGACTTGGAACAATATCTAAGGCGATCAGGATAAAGTACCAGCCATTTCAAGGCTCAGCAAAATTCAAATTCTAATTAGACCTTGCACCACATTCCAAATAAAAATGGGTCCCTAGGTGGTTTACCCTATCAGGTGTCTCTCCCAGACCAGTGAAACAAAACGAATAAAGAAAATGATTAAAGCGATAACAAAGGCATAAAATTCAAATTATAGCAGCATCACATCTGGGATCTGTATGTCACTACACCACCACTTCTGCTCTCCCTCTCTTTTCCTCTGACTCCCATCGACGCATTCACACGCATACACACAGCATTCCTTTCTTTCTGCACGAGGGCAATCACAGAACAAGGGGAAAAAACGGCACCGAGTGAGAGAGAGAGAGAGAGAGAGAGAGAGAGAGAGAGAGAGAGAGAGAGAGTGACAAAGCAGGGAAATTAAAAGGTAGAGAGCGAGAACGCAAATAGGCTCTCAGCTTTAAGGTTATTAATGACTCCTCAAAAATGTGCGACTTTTCCAATCTCTCTGAGAAGCGCTTGAAGGAGCCTGCAGATGAAGCTGACCTTCACAATGTTCTTTGGTCTTTAGTTAAGAAATTCACTCACCATTATGGCATCATTAGGGAAACAAGGATAAAATTACTCCATGGTTAATGACCTATAGGATCCCCACCAAAATTTGTTTCAGATCTAATAAAACTGAGCTTAACACACCCGAATGAATTATGAGGACTGCTATGCGGGGTATTAAAATGTGGGGAAATAGATTTTCTGAAGCTAGGAGGACTGGACTTTTCAAATCAGATAGTAGAATGGAATTTTCTGGGCAATAAATTCTACCATGTCTCAATTTCATTTTTTTTTTTTTTTTTTTACCTCACAGAATTTTTCCGCCTATGATGGAATCTGTGAGTGGGATGGCCTCTAAAAATTCATTGCCAATTGCCATCTCCTCCTCTATCCCCTTAAGGTAGATAGATTGATGGATGAACGACTAAATGGGCAAATAAGTGGAGAAAAGTATAACCCAACGAAAACTCAATGTAAGATGGAAATAAATGATTAGATACACATATAGATAGACTTAAAGAATCCCAGAAGGCACTGCGAAAGAGACAAGATAAGTCGGGGAAAAAGGCTGGAGAGGTGGAAGCAGTAATGCTGATTATTTCATGTGTTTACATTTTTTTTCCAGCAAGCTGCTAAATTTAAAGCCAATTACTCGCACAATGCAGGGGCAGCAAAGAGGACACAAAAACTCAATGAACTGGACAATTTAAAGCTGCGAGCGACATGCCGCACAAACGCATGCATCAAAGTGTGCACGCTAATGCACCTTTGCATGTAACATGATGAATTCTGTTGAAAAAAAAGGCCATTTTAAAAGCAGCATTGGTTTAGCATGGTTTGGTTGCAGCCCCTGAGAAAGGGTTTGTGAGCTAATGGCATTTGCTCTCTTTAAACTTTAATCTTTCCTATTAATTCCCTGCAACTGGAGAATGTGCGAGAGTTAATGTTCCATGAACGTGTTTCTCACTCTGCAATCTCTTCAAGCTAATTACCTTCAGGTGCTAAATGGAGGGAAATTGCAATCCATTTGGAAGGGAGAAATTTCACCTCCCCTTTGCCTATGTAACACTGAGGGTGCAGTTAAAAAGAAAGAAAATCAAACATAAGCAGCCTGGTCTGGAGTACATTTAATCAAAAAATGGACGCTCAGTGCAGGGCTCTGATTGGCTCGCCCGTTCCAAGGTAGCTTTGGGAGAGTAAATTGCTTCCTGTGGTTTCCCGCCTCACTGCTTATTCTGCAGGTCACTTGGAGGTCAGCAGGTGCAGCAGTGGACAAAAATGGCGAACAGATGTTTGATTGACATGGATCAAGCAGATTGGCAATCAAAGTTTTTCTGATGTGAAAGGAGAGGCACGCTGAACGGCCATTTTGGGGGGTGAACACCAAGGAGATAAAGAAGACGGCGAATTACGAATTAAAAGCAGATTAAATCAATTTAACAGACTAACGACCGCTCCAACTAAACACCAAGTCTCAGGTAGTTCATCAACGACGGAATGAAGCCGTGAGTACACAAGTGGTTCCCGAGTCATTCACTAATCAGTGCCGCAGATAAGACAGGCTCACTGCAGACAAACAGCTTTGATAAGTATTACCTTTTAAGGTCTGGGCTGTGGAGGAGGGTGGTGAGAAGAGGAAGTGGAGAGAGAGATAGGGTCAGGGCGAGGGAGCAGTGGGGGTTCTTCTCTCTCCTCAGAGGAGCCTGGAGCGTGGAGGGTCACTTTGTCCCCTGTTTGATCTCAGTCTTCGGATGACACGGCAGGAAATTAAAGATGAAAGGGAGGTTCAGACTACTGTCTAATAAACACACAGACAGAAGGCCCTCATTTGTTGCCACATATCCGCTCCAAGTATGTTGGATCAGTGGGTGATCTGCAGCACATAGACCTGGATTCGCTAAAACCTTTGGTTCACTTTAGAGCATGTCAGCTGGAAAGCAATCTTAGAATACATCTTTGCTTTTTGGCCTGTTAAAATTACTCATTAAAAGCTGTTTTGGTCAGTGATTTCCAAACTGCTGGACTTAGCCCACTAGTGGACCCTGAAGGTACTGCAGGTCGGTGCTGTGTTTCTTGAATTTACTACATGCACTAATTTTGTTGCCTCCAGAATGTTTTATGTAAATGAATGTGGAGTTTTCACTTCAATGTGGGCAGGCAAATTTCTTGTCGAATTCGTTGCCTTATGAACTAAAAGGCATATTTTTATGAATTAAAATATATTTGGGAAACACTTTGGTTCACTTTAGAGCATGTCCGCTGGAAAGCAATCCTAAAATACATCTTTGCTTTTGGACCTTTTTGAAAAAATACTCATTAAAAGCTGTTTTGCAAGATATTTTACTTTCACGATAAACAGATAAAGAATTGTTTTTATGCAAAGTGAAACAAGCTATATCCCTTTATACCTAGGTCAGTGATTACACAACTGCTGGCCTTTTGCTGCTTTTGAGCTATCTCGGAAGTCAGATGTCCGAGCTGGGAATGATGTCACAGCTGAGTTACCAGCGTTTCAGTTTCCAAGTCGGTAAAAAGCAAAATCAGAAGCGGAAACAAGGTGGCTACATCTATGAAAGGGGATGCTAAAATAACTAAAGTAACAAGTGCTAAAATAAATTTCGTAAACGTAGCCATCTTGTTTCTGCCTCCGATTTTACTTTTTTTCTGAGCGTTCATTCCCAGCTCGGACATCTGACTTCCGAGGAAACTGGAATGCAGCATTAGCCCACTGGTGGACCCTGAAGGTACTGCAGGTCGGTGCTGTGTTTCTTGAATTATCTTCATGCACTAATTTTGTTGCCTCCAGAATGTTTTGCGTACATGGATATGGATCTTATATTTCTTGTAGAATTCTTTGCCTTATGAATTACAAATATATTTGAGAAACACTTCAACTTGATGTGACCATACTCCTGTATTATTTAGCAGTCTGAGTGATGGGAATGGCTGCTCTGACTGGTATGGGAGTGGTGGTGTTCTCCAACTTAAAACAAGAGGAGTGTTGTCATGATGTACACTGAAAATGAAAAAAAAGCACACACATTTTTTCCCCGCGCATATTTCTTCTGTGTAATAATAAATGAATAAGTGGTGGGGAGTACTACAAACAGCCCATATCTTAGACAAACACTCAGAGTGACGGCCCTGAGCTCCCACTGTGTTGAGGAATCTCCTGCTAACAGCACTCCCTCCCATTTATCTCTATGGCAGCAAAAGAGCACAAGCCGGGCGGCTGTGGGAGCATCAAAAGAAGAGCATCACAGATAACTGCAGCTCTGTTTTCACAGTGTCTTATAAAAAAAACAACAACTCCATGCTGGTAACTAAAACTCAAGAAGCAAGATACCTGCTTCTATTATCCTCTGTGGCCTTTTGCTCTATCGTTTCATGCAGATTGCTTGAAGGCATAAGTAAACCCAGAATGGCCGCTGATGTTTCCCCGTGTTTTTTATTTTTTCCTCCCTAAAATGCCAAAGCTATTTAGTTAAATCATTAGAGGTGTTATGGTCGTAGAATGGCTCGAGCAAGTAGCATCCCTGTGTAGTAGTGAAAGGTTATTTTCTTCATGAACACTTGAGGGTCCACTGATCCCTTGTAAGTGTCTGTTGGAAAATGCATTGACATTTTGCGTGAATGGAAAAACCCTCCTCAATAGACTCTCTTTCATTGCTCTTCAGGTTTCAGGTCATTATACCCGCAATAGGGGACCACTCAACCTAGTTTGGTATTACCTCTGAGAAAACCCTCATGCTACTTTGCTCACTACATTCACAAATTTGGTCTGAAAGTGGGAAGAATAAACCTTTGACCTGACAACAGGTTTTGGATGTGCAGGGTTGTTTTTCTGGTGTAAGCTTCACTGATTATAGTTTGTTTGTGAAACATAACAGACCATCATTCATTACTGTTACCTTTTATTAACATATCAGATACTGTACATAATTTTCAGAAGCTTCAGGGTAACTTTGCTAAAAGTTTAATGGATATTTGCCTGAAATTCATATTATATTTTACAAAGAGGTGCAGTTTTTTTGCTGAAATGATCACAGACTTCCTAACAAATATTACAGGTATCCTTTAGCAGACATCTGACTGAAGAAGGACCATCACAAAACCTTATTTATACTTCAAGATTATCATGGCTATAAATATGGCAATAAGGATGGAAAACTTGAAAGTAAAACCAATCAGTCAAATTGGGAGACTACAAGACAAGGATGGAGTGACACATGACTTCATAATTTTAACTATTTCAGACAATTTCTTGTTTGTCATCACTTTGTTCCCTAATTTCATTGTAGAATACATCACCCTGAATCATTTCCAAGCTTTTATTTTGATATTTTTTCTGTCCTTCATTTAGATTGCTTTATTTCCTGCATGGTTAAGCTGTGTTTTTATTTTGAAATGAAAAAAAGCTGTTACAGGAATCACTAGAAAGTACACAAATGGAAATGATTCGTAACTTGAAGAGGCACCAGCCTTATTATTGTTTTTGGATTCACAATAAACTTAAGAGTGTCAGTTTTTGAAAGTGCTGAATCATCACTCAGAGAGTTGCTACAGATAGATTGCTAGCAGTCTGTTCCTTCTTCTTCATCCATCCTGCATAAGGACCACTACTATGAACTCACAGTATTATTGTCTGTATACTTAAACACAATATCAGACAGTTATGGTCAACGCCTCTAACTACAGATGGAGGGTAGGTGTCAGACAAAGTTGATTACAGCCCGTAACCAACAGCCCAGCCTCATGACCACAATGAGCGTGTGATACATTTGGCTGTTAAAAGAAAGGAAGTTTTTGTCAAAAAATCATTACAGGACAAAGTCAGCAAAGAGAGTATAAATACTGCTTTGTCCACAGAGGGCATCAAGTTGGCATGAACCAAGATTTCCTCAAAGAAGCCTTCAGTCAAGGTTTCTGTATCAAAAGAGAGAGTGCTCCTGTTGCAGAGTGGTTACTACAACATATCACAGTGTTAATTCATAGTTTTTCCGAGTAAATAAAATAATGAACAAACATGTAATGGACAAATCAGTACTTAGGAAATCTTAAATTGTAAATCAGTAACAATTTGTCCAACTTTGTAAGTCTTGCAAGAAAAATCTAACCCTAAAAAAACAACTTAAAGGACTTCCACTGGTCTAGTGGTCCACATGCACCATATATGGGGGTTATGGCTCAGGCAGGCAGTCCAGTTTTGATCCCACCCTGCACCTTCTTTCCTGCATGTCACTCCCTGCCCTCTTTCTCTGTTTCCTACTCCATCGATTTCCCTGTCCTCTCTAATAAAAGGCACTAAGAGCCCAAAAATATAGATTAAAAATAAACATAAATAAAAGAGGAGAAAATGCAGTGTGGGTTTGTTAAAAGTTATGTTATTTTGTTTTTGTGTTGCTTTGATTTGCATACATTTCTGATTTGATTGGAGAAAATAAGATCTGTGTTCAGTACAAGATGATTAACAGGTGCCTCTGTGTCGATACCCTGTCCTTAATACCGCTCAGTTTTAAAAAAGTCTGAGGTAGAAAGCAAAGTTCCTGTAATCAAACGGGAAACAGATAAAGTCATGGGCACAAATCTCCACAGACATGTCCATTCAATGCAAATGCTGCACCTGCCACGAGTTGTAAAAGCTTGTGCAGTTTCAATGAAAACAGGGTTCACATCATTTGGAAAGGTAGACTTGCCATTTCACGCACCAGTATCCCAGCAATCCGTAAAGACCAGGAGACATTCCTTGACAGGATTAGAATTTTACGATCACCAGAAAAACGACTTCAACCCCAAAAAGTCATCCCTTCCCTACCTGCTCTTTTCACGTGCCCCCCAAAATTTTAATGTTCATTGTCTGAATAACATGCATTACATATGTTTGTTTTTTTTGTATCTGATATCTTTTTTTTTCCTTTAAATTTTTCTAAAGAGATATGTAGGAATACCATGATCAAACAGAGCATCCCACAACAAATTAAAAAACAAACAAACAGCCAATTAATTAAAGTATAAATCAACCCACAAGCACTGAAGAGAGCAACAACACTGAGAGGGTCAGAGACTATATGGATAGCAGTTGGCCAGGCTGCCTCATCCAGTCAGGCTGAGTCGGTGCACACTGATAACGTAGGTAATGGTGTTTCTGGAAGAGTGAGGCCAGATGAAATACACCACACGGACAGATACCACAGGCATACTGGCCCCTTCTGTTGGAAAATTTCATTTTTTCCGGCAGGACGCCATGAATACTGAGGCTGAATCCAAATCCGGTTTTCCGCACTTTATCAGCGTGTGGCCCACCAAGTGGTGAGATGGGGGGGGGGAGTGGAGGCTGAAGGTGGGGGGGGATAGCGAGTTGAGGGGGGGGTGCTCCACTCAGCCGAGACCCTCCACTTTAATCCAATTTACAGCCTCCCCCAGCAAAAGATAATTACAACCCTTAAACCAGCTAGGAGAGGGCTAGAAAGAAAAGGCCTCACTCACCCAAAATGTGCCTCTGGCCCCTGAAGTCTCCACCTAGAGAAAGAGAGCAGAGAGGAGGGGGGGACTCTGTTAGCAGGACTCAAGCAAAGGCATTGTGACAAACTAAGAGTGTGTGTAGCTAATGAGGCAAAGTGATTTTTTTTCCTGCAAATGGATGCCCGCTGGGCAGAGGTAGAATGCACCCCAGGACCTCTTTTCTTGCTGATGTTCAGCACAGATGTAGGGGAGGTGTATTTTAGGTTGGAATTTCTAAAAGTGTGTCTCTTCTCCATGAATCACCTCAATAGTGAATATTTGTACAGCTTTTAGCACGATTGAACATATATATTAAATGATAGAGTTAACTCACATATCTGTAAAGTGTCATAATCATAATCTGCAAAGGGGGACTATCAGATTTTTTTAAATTTTGTTTACCATCAATGTTTTTACTACTGACAGAAGCAGCTTTTGGACAATGTTAAATATTTAGGATTAAGATTTATGATGGGAACAACATTTTTTCAGACATAAGTGTTGTCTTGTTTTTGATTCTGATTTTGATCGCTGTCTCTAATGATGTGGCTTTCAGACTCTGTGTCGTACGATAAAATTTTAGCTTTTTTTTTTCTCTTCGACTGCAAAGAAGTCTTTGAAGTGCAAAAGAAGGAATGGGGTTAACTTTAGCAAAAGAATGTGAAGAAATAATAATGAAGGGGCTCACTGGGGAGCGGAAACGCTGGCCAGTCCTAATTAATAGAAGGAGAGACACTCCCAAAGTCTCCCATTCACAAGCTCACAATGGAGTTCTCCACCAAGCAGAACCTGGAATGGAATATGGGAGGAGTGAATGGAGACAGGGTAAAAAAAAAAAAAAAAGACAGACTCGAGGCTTCATTCTTTTTGCACCCATCTGTCTCATTGTATTTCTATTTTATAGCATAAGACCCAGGCCTGTGGTCCTATAGTCCACGTTCCATTCAGTGAGACTGTGCTCAGAGGATCCCACTGGTCAGTTTTGTAAATATGGGTCCTGGCAGTGTATTTGAAAGGATGGCACATTTCCAGAACTTCTCCACTGCAGGCCTCTCCTCCTCCTCCTCTGTCAGATGATCCCTCCCTCACACCATTTCTTTCTCTGTGTCAGGTGCATTAAGAGCTGCAGAAGTCAAGAGCGATGGCAGCCTGTACCAAGGTGAGGGGAAAGAGGGGGAGTATTTTGCCACAAGTCAAGTCAAGATGGGAGGGGTTTGTGAGGGGCAACAGGAGAAGTGTGGACCCACCTGCCACTGATTATCCTCCCAGTTAGAGGGTTTAGTCTTGACCTCTGAACTTCAGAGCTGCCCCACACCACTAATCTGTTAATTAACCGAGAAATACCCTGGAAAAACTTTGAACGGCCTTTGTGTGTGCGTGTGCATGTGTGCACAAAAGTGTGTAAGAGGAAGAGACAACAAGAGCAACAGAGAGACAGACAGACAGAGAGAGAGAGAGAGAGAGAGAGAGAGAGAGAGAGAGAGTATGGGAGGACACTGCTGGGACGTGCACTTGCTCTATATAGTCAGGTCATACAGTGTATTCCAGCTGGATAAGTAGGACACTCAACTTTTTATGGTTAGCACTCATCGTTGTTGCTAACACATTCAGGCATCTGACAGGAAAAGGCCTTCATCATCTCTGCAGTCTCAAAACATCCACAGCTGTTGACCCTAAATGCACCCAAGAATTAAGTAAAGACCTGTACAATTCTTATATTTGATATGAGTGATATTTTTCAGGCTTGTTTGCATTTACTTAGAGGACGGTGGATAGAGTAGAGAATGTCGAGCGGTAAAAGGCTGCAAATCTGAATGAAACCCACCCGCCCTGAAGACTAGAGCGTCTGTAGATGAGGCTTAAGGATCAACCTCAGAAATACCCATGTTTGTTATCAAACTGGACACTTGACAAAGCGGTGTATAGACTTTAAATTATAATTATTATTATCAATGTAAATAACAACAATAACAAACAACAGCAACTCTGGTGTATTCTAAGAAATATTTATTTTTGTTGCAGAATTTGTTTTTCAAGTTCTTAAAAAAGATGAAGTTTCTCATTTCTAGTAGGGATGCATCGATCCCATATTTGGATCAGATATTGGCTCCGATATTAACTGGATCCAATATCTGATGAATGATGCCGATCCAGCGTTCCGATCCAGTTTTTTTTTTCTTTTAATCAATATCATACACAGCACTTCTGTTCGCTCTATATTCTATATTTGTCTATGCTTTTGCACTAAATGTTCTTTTTGCTGAGTGCTAATGTGCAATTTGTTATTTGTTAATAAATAATATTAAATAAATTTATATCCATGTTAATTTGTTACCTTTTTTTAACAAGGCTAATGTCAATCCTGATGCCTTCACTCATAGGGCAAGGTGTACGGTTCATTCATTCAACATTAGTATTGAATCGGTATCGGATATTTGCCGATACGCTCAGCTCAGGTATTGGTATCGGACTGGATTGCACAAAAATGGATCGGTGCATCTCTACTCTGGTGTATTCTAAGAAGTTTTTGTTGTTGTTGTTGCAGAATGTGTTTGTCAATTTCATAAAAAAGACAAATTTTGTCATTTCTAGTGTTTTATTGTACACAAGTGTGGTTTATATGAAGTTCTACCTTTGTAGGATTAATAATCCTCCACCATATTTTGAGGTGCCGTATGAGGACATGTGCGTTTGTAGCTTGTCTGTCTTTCAAGTGTAAGAATTAAAAAGGTATTAACCTTTATTTACCTGTAACGTGTTTTATCTAACTTTTTCAGATCATACTTCATCACTATAATGACCCTTGAACACTGAAATAATCAAGTATATTTTTCTTGGTTGATGAGACACACCTGGTTGTCCTGCTGTAAACAAACTAAAATCTCAGAGGTTGCTCTGACTGGTGAGGCAGCTGATAAGTGGGCCAACAAAGTCAATTAGTTCTGTGTTTATTAGTATGTGACAGGTGCTGGGTCATGCAGATTAACTCACAACCCTTGGAGGGATGGGACAACAATAATGGTGAAACATGTCCGTCCGACCAGAAAGTAAAGGTAGCAAAAGGAGCAACGCAAAGCCTGCTCAATTAATTATGTGGATTAATGAAGTTCTGCTTGATTAAATGTTGATGTCATTAAAAAAAACGCCTAGTTTTTCTCCCCAATGTGACATAATGGACACTCCTAGATAAATAATGGAATCCTTCATGGTTACCAGAACCGACACATTATATGTTATAAACCACTCCCCCTCCTGAGCCCTCAATCGATTAATTAAGGCTATTACCCTTGATTATCCAATCAAAGGTTTTATCCAGGTTCGACCTCTAACCTTCAACCTTCTCTGACTGGAAGGATATTGATCTGAGAGGAATGCCTTATTTTTCAGCTACTGGAACAACATTACCTTTAAAAAACAGTTGCTGACAAAGTGTCCTTTCATTGACCCCAGAGAGCTGTAGCAGCTATTGTTTTTGTACACTTCAGGTTGAATGGGCAGCTAAAACATCGCAGAGCAACCATTTAGACAACTATTATATTAAATAATTGTCAAAATGAAGTGCGGGATCGATAGCACTCACTGTTCTCTGAGAGCCACTGATGCAAAAAGTTACCTATCCAGTAACTCGATGAAATAATATCCTGTTTATTTGCGCTGTTAACACCGAATATGAAATGTTTTCTCATTTTATAATATATGATTTATTTTATGTCGAAGCTGTTCGGAATTGCGGAGGATCTTTAACCTTTTGTGACAAATTAAGCATGTAATGTTTGCAAATGTAATCACAGTGTAAGTGGTGTTTATATAAATGAGCAATGCATCAACAAAATACACTAATCAATAGTTCAAAGCTTCGTGACCTGAAGCTGATCACCGAGTGTTTCAGGCATAATGAACTACAGTACAGTCCAACTATAATCGGCCTCAGGATTTCTTCTTTATGTGCAACATTTGATTAATGATCAGCCCGACCTGATCTTCACTGTGAGTTTAATCCCTCCTTTGCTGTTGGTCAGTCATTGATTTTAATTTAAATGGCTCCAAATTTACGCTGTAAAATATTAATGATTTTGCAAGAGGATGTAATTAAAAGAAGAAGCCAATTACACATGATTAACAAGACCTCTTTTTCTACATTCCCATATATTCTTCTGTTGTATTGCTGAGTGGTACTTTCCCTTTTTCACTCTCACCATGGTGCCTGACTGTAAACAGCATTAAGACTTTGTTAATATTTAAACAACCAAAGTCATGACACAAACTTAACAAGGTACTAGGGTCTGCAACCCAAATATAAGTTTTGGGTGGATGATTAACCGAAGGTCGTGTTTCTCTTTTTTTAAACCAAGAAGAGGGTGTCTAAGTTTTAGTTCTACCACTCCCCGAAAGGATTGAAACCAAACAGATCCATGCGAACAATCGTGCCCCCTGGCAGCATCTGAAACACCACTTATGTGTCAACATATCAAATAACTGTTGTGAAATGCCATGACTGCATTCAGTCCTTGTTTTGGTGCTTGCTGAACAAGGCTGCGTGGGATTGCTCTCCCTCACCCTGTGGTCTGTCCTCTAGGGTGCGAGGAATCTGAGTCACTCACTGCACATCAGGCTTTTCCCCCCGGGGGCCCTGGCACTGGCAGAGGCAGGTTAACAAACTGTAAAGGCTTCAACTGAGCAGCACACAAACTGTTTTCTCTCCACAAAAGGGATTGGCTCCAACAAATGTCATAAGCCTATAATGAGATAGCTGATCTCTGTAGTAAAGAAGAAAAGAAAGGAAAAATGCTTCCCCTCTGCAGTCAGTGGCTATTAGAGTCAGAGAGAGGAATAAGGGGAAGCTGCCCCATTCTCTCAGAAGCCCCTCGGAGGCCGGCCAACATGACAATGCTGGTCAATTAATTGGTGAAAAAGTGAAAATCCAATTAATGTGTATCAAGCTGGCAGTTTTGCATGATGATGGCTCATTAGGAGACCAAGCTGAGGGTGGTGGAGTAGATGGGTGGAGGGGCTTAAACCCCACTCATTAAAGCTCTGTCTTTCTCAGTGGGGTTTTTTAGAGACTGGCTTATTTATGCAACAGGTTCTAAACAAAACCTCAATGTAACGCTCACTTAGGAGATCTGAAACTGATGAATTCCTAAATGGCGTGGGTGGGGATTGTTTGGTTCTCCTGCAAAAACTTACTCGTAACTGAAGATGCAATATTTATGTGTGACTTTCGATGAATATTCAAAGTGCTGTATTGACAAGTGAAAGAGTTTTAACAAAAGCAACAACAACATTACTATTCAGGATGAAATCAAGAAATTTTTAGTTCTACTTTTCACATGAATACTGAATACTTCCCTCCTGAGTGTTTTTAGGGAATATTTTTAACTCCTAACATTAATATGTTTAATTTTGTATTTTATACGTCGCTGATAAAAGCTTCCCCAAGCAGATTTGCATTCGCTTCACAAGAAATAAACATTACACCAGTGACACTTACTACAAAAAATGCATATTCACCATCAACTATCACTGACACTTTGCTTTGCTTCTACTATATAGTACAAAAATCACTATTAACCAATAATTAACTGTATTTTCTAATAGTAAATTTAACATCTGTTGTGTTGTTACCAGTTTGTTACACTTTTCCTGTAGTCAGTATCAAATAAGAAAATTCTCAACTAAACCAATTTTCAGCATCAGCAGCCTTTAAGTGACAGCCATTGTAAACACTAATAGTAGCAGTTCATACAGCCATGGCCTGGAGCTGCCCAGTATATATCTGTGCTGGGAAATGTACCATGTATTTTGCATCAGCACAGTTTAAAAAAAAACATCTCTATCTACATAACTGTCTTTAGTCAATGGAATCCTGAATAAAAGTGTAGACAATATAAACACATTATTGTTTACGAATTACAACAAGAGACGCTAACAAAATAGTTAAAAGTGGGGATAATGGGCCAAAAATGAGATAATGTTGCTTTCTCTCGGCCACTTCTGAACCTCCCCACATCCTGACAAAATAAAGAATGTGCTCCAATCCTCCTGCAGCCTGCGTGTGTTTGTCTAGCCTCTGCCTCTATGTGTAAGATTAATACTCTTGCCACACTCTCATAGAATAATGTCACTTTAATCTTGTTTGGGGCGAAATTCGAAGTGGAGTGTGTCTACTTGTTTCCTGAGATTACTTCATCTTTCTTTCGGCAGCGGTGTGTGACTCTGCCGCCTGCTGTCCCCTGGCATTGGATGTCCCATTACCCTTCACACGCTGCAACTTTCTGCTGTTTGCACAGCGCTGGCCACAGGAGCCAACAGGAGGCCAGTATACTATTGATGTTTTTACATTTTCTTTACCACTGCAAAACACATTCTAGCTGTGTAAAGCTGTTATGAGAGGTTATAGCTAGGAGCTGATCATTTGGGATATTTTGAGGATGCTTTGAATGTTTTACTCTACAAAGAATATCTCTGCATCATGTGCTGCTTCAAACAGCATGCAACAGAAAACATGTTTCTCTGCTGGCTCCTACTGTTTTACAGCTGCAAGCATTAGTTACTTTTAATTTAGAGGGAAACTATAATTAGTATTTTACTGATATTTTTCCTCACACAGGCCTCTTTAACTTCTTGAATTGTTCTGAAACTTTGATCATGGTTATTTCATTGCTTTCTCAGCACATTTCAGGAAAACCATTAATGAAAGCGGCGAAGTCCAAGTTGCCTTTACGTCGCTGTTTTATTTCCAGGTAACCATAAAATGTGGTCATTAAATATTGTAACACAAGCTTTCCTTTTTCACTTCATGGGATCATTCGCTCTTCAGTATTAATTAAAATTTTTGTACACTTTTCCAATAATTCACAACAAGTATGTGTACATACTTAAGCATTTCCAGCAGCATTTCTGAACCGCAAAATGAGCTGCAGTGCGTAGGCTATAAATCTTTAAGCAATAAAATGTACATTAATTCCTTGCGCAACATTTTCGCCTGTAGCACACAAAGAAGGTACAAACGCAACCTCTCGTCTCATGGTTGCCATTCAAAAAAGGCAGATTATTCCTTTTATAATGTCATTTTTCAGTGCTATTTCTATATCCTCTTTAAGATTTAAGATTAATTAAACATTTGACTTGACCAATGTAGTGTAAATGTGAGTTTAGAGCAATAATTGTGAATCAAATATTCTTTATAGTTAATATAGAAAACGTTTCTGTCCAAATGGTCAGATTTGTTATTTCTGTGACTTCTTTATGTCTTCTGAGGTAGACAGACACACTTTGTATGGCACACTTTGTGCTGTTTGGAGGAGCAGTGTGTTTTTCCCCTCACTTCCTAATAATCTATTCTGTTCAGCCAGCTGCATACATTGACAAATGTTTCCAGCATTAGGTATTTACCCGGTGAAAGGTAATAGATGCAAGGGTTTAAAAGTGCCTGCTGCAAGAAACCGCCAGCACACGGGCAAAAAAACATCACAATAGAGAACATTTGTCTCCTCTCTCCAACAGGGGTACTGTCCAATAGCATTACTGTGTTTATAAATTAAACAAAGACGATAAAAAAACAGGACATTTAAAACCAACACTCACAAAATCTATATATCCTTTTTTCAATCATTACTCTTTAACCTGAATATTTTTTTTAACTGAAAATATGAAGTTTGGTTTAAGATAGAAATTGAGAAACTGTTTTTTTTCCTTTCTTTTTTTTTTTTGTTAACATTTCTGCCTTTGAGTGAGAGACACTGAGTATAAGTTAGAGTAGGGAGTTGGGGAGGGGGCTTCTTATGTATCAAAGTAGTTCTTCAAAGAGTAACCTAATTCCATTTTAAGAAACATTAATCCACTGCCACTTGTACAGCGAAACACATCAGATTTACTTTCATCTCCTCGTCTAATCTGCTTCGTCTCTTTGAAAATTTGTTTGTAATTTCTTTATATCTCTTTCTGTCTGATTTACATTGGTGCAGCGTGTCCTGGGAGGCTAATGAAAGCTGTGACGGTGCATTAATGAGGCTGCGTATTTCAGCTCAACTCCACTTCCTGCATTCACCTCACTCACTTTGTTCTCTCGGGCCACATTTCCTCTCCCACTCCTGTGTACTCTATCATGCCGTTAACATTACACCCACTCTTTGACTCTCTCTTATCTCGCACTTCTTAGAGACGCTTTTATTATTAAGTGGCTCTTAGTAATGTTGAATTCTTAAACCTGAAACTATGTCGCAGATGGAGTTTGCAACACTGAACTTTTGATGCTGAATGTGGATTTTGTCAGTGTCGTAAACTCACATGATTATACTTTGTTCATGTAGTTTCCTTGCTTTTTAATTCAATATTATTCAAACAAAAGCTCCAAGAGTATATGCCATGAGTGAACCTCCCTAAAAAAAACACAAACACACACAAAAAAATTAAAAAATCTCTATAAAAATTTGTGACTTAAAACCTACAAAAACTGGGTATTTCTATGGAAACACCGCAGAGTGATTGTTACAGCCCAGAAATAAAAGATAAAATGTAGTCGACTCAGAATGAACTAAAAGCAAAGGGATCTAAATGGACAAACCATCAGTATTAAAAGAGTAAAGAATCAAAGAATCAGTCGGTGTTGAACGCCCATACTGCCCGCTGGGATTAATGGATAACTCCAGTGAGAGACGCCTCTGTTCTTAGGCAAGACAAAATGACCACAGGCAGCTCAAGAATTTGGCGGTCAGTAACTGTGGCTGTTTCCCATACATATATTATTATAGCAATAGCAGCAGTGGTGATTGAATTTCTGACCTTTTGTTGAAATGGGAAAGGGGGAGGGGGGTGCATTTCAATTTTTGTTGTGTCATTCAGGTCTTAAAATAACTACAGGGATGAAAGATCAGGGCTTGATTCAATTACAGTGCTGTGTAAAGGCTAAAGATTACTGTATTCTACATGGAACCTCACTTGTACATATCTGATGTTAATATAGGAGCTGATTTTAGACACTTTGAATGGACTGAAGAGAAGCAAATCATATCAGGGTTGCTCCTGTTAGCTCATATTTTACAGCTACATGAATGAAACAACAAATTATTTAAGGTACAAATTATGGCTCAGAATAAAAGTCAACTGATTGAAGAGATTTGTGTTAGTAAATATACGAGTCCAGCTCTGGTTAAAATACATTCTCAAGAAGACAAACCTGATACTGATCTTCTTAAACCAAACAATCCATCCAACCCTGGAGAAACTACAAGCCGCCAAACTAGAAAAGTTTGGTAGGAGAACCTGGCCGGCTCTGCCAATCAATAGCAAAGTTTGCATTAAAAACTGCTGACAGCTGTGGGAGAGAGTTCCCACTTTCATCTCTCGCGGTCTGGCCCTCCAGCTAACCTCACCGTCACCCTCTCCCTCCTCAGACCTGCTCTCTTTATTAATCTTTGTCGCATCCCACAGCCCGACCCCAAGCTCTGCCCAGCAGAGGTTTTCGCTTATCACTAAACTTTTACCTCATTTCATTTTTTTTCCTCTCCCTTTTTCTCCTTTTTTTTTTTTTTTTATCAAAGAGCACTTCATTCGATAGCCTTGAACCTAGGGTCCTCCACTCCCACAGAGAAGCCCACCCAGCAGCTCTGTCTCACCGTATCAACCTGTTTGCTGAAAGACAGAAAACGAGCTTGCCGAATGAAGTGTGAGTATGTGCGTGTGTGTGACAGAGAAGAAGGAGTAGTTTTGTACTTGGGTTTTATCATTTTCTCAGGAAGATTTCATTTTTGTTGTAAAGACTCGTATCAAATATTATAAACTGTGTAAAATAAGATTAAGATTAGAATGTATACTTTGATTTTTAGTCAGTGTGAACTTTGGTCTTTTGTTCCTCTGCCGTTTTCTTGGTAGTGGGTCCCACTTGACAGTAACTGCTTAAAGATGACCTGCCTCCATAAAAGCAGGCCTCTGCTGCCCCTTAGGGGCTGAAATGAAGAGGGAATAAAGGAACTCCCCTCAGTTAAGAAGGGAGGACTTTATGTTTTAAAAAACATCTGATAAATGACTATTTACAATCACAAAATTCATCAGTTTTCCTCCATTAACAGGGAAGGCTTATTATGATATGAAGTGAAAGTTGTTGTTTGAGTCTTGAGCTCTTCTGTCAGCTCACAGCTTGGTGTTTGGTGTGTGTGCGTGGCAGATCTAATCCCATTAGTGCTGCTGATCCTGGGCCTCAGGATCTGTTGTGTCTCTATCAGACCTGCTTTATGCTTTGTCTGCTCAACTTCAAATCTGTTTGCAGAGCAGCAGAGGTAAACAATCTTGTTTACAGGTTGTACCAAAAAAGAAGTAAAGCAAAATCTCTTCAGGCACTTTTACACATCTCTTTCCACAGTTCAATTTGTGTTTTAGTCGACAACAAGCTCGACAATCGGCTTTTATTTGACTCTTGGGGAAATATTTACAGACTCTCAAAATTCTCAAAATTGTAATGGACAAATTAATGCCAGATGAGTCCAATATATATATATTTTTAAACAGAATACGTCGACTTTTAAACAACATGTAATACATTTAAGGTCTGAGGTCTTTTCAAAGTTTAAAAGAGTTTTCAAAATTACTTTACTCATAATTCTCAGGTTAACTGTGTTGGATAAGAAGCTGCAACTTCAACACATGTAGTTCTGACTAAAAATGGATTGACAAAATAATCTTAAAAAAGCAGAATTATAATCAGATTAAGGTTTATACTGCAGAAATCATTTTAAAGTAGAGCGGGAGGAGTTGCAGTTATAGGGAGAGTGTTTGTAGTTGTCTGACATTAGAGGTGGTGGATCAGTTTGTACATATCATATGCATTTTTTTCCAGTAAATCAGGATTCTTCCTCATGACAAAATCATGGATACAAAAAATATATTTTAGAGGTAATGCATACCTGACTGAAATGGCCCCACTGTACTACAGATATAATTAACTTCTTATTTTGTAAAGCAGTTTCTCTCTAGACCTGAAGTCATGTAGTCTAGTGGAACAAAAGGTAGAAAAACTATAGTGACATAGTCGCAGTTCAAACTGGACTGATTTAAAAGGTTTTTAAGTCTTGGACTTTACAGATTTGTTTTCATTTTTGGGAGGAAAAGGTTTAATCTACTCTACACTCTAGCTCTCGTCAGAACTTGATTTTTTATGTTTCGTGTGTCTTAGTTTTGTGCTTCTTCCGTCAAACAAAAGCCTTTGCTCAAATTCTGACATTTATTAACCTTGTAAGATGACAGACATGAGATCATGCATGCAGGTATTGTCCAGTTTACCGTCTATAGGTACTTCAATACACTGGTACCCGATCTCATTCAGAATGACCTCTGATGTCTAGTTGTACAGGACGTGCAGCCAAATGAGACCCACGGGCCCAGTGAAAGGGTCTTCAGCTAAAAGTTTGAAGCCTTAGCACAGTTATCTCCTGGGAAAAATGTGTCCTTTCCAATTAAGATGAGGGGTGGGCAAGTGGAGGAGTTCGGGTATCTTAAGGAATAATTTATGAGAGAGGTTAAAAGACATTAACCTCCAATTATGTGCTGTGGCTACAGAAATGTGAGCGATGTCATGGACTCAAAAGAATCCTAAATCAAGTTTCTGTAAAGGTTGTATTTTCTTTCTGGATACGATGCTTTATTTTAATTTATTAGTACTGCATCGGAGATATTTGATTAGTCGCATTTTACAAATTCAAAATAACTTTTTCTTATTCTCACATTTCCCTTATTTCTTCTTATACTCCTTTGAGAAAGAAGTAATAACTAAAGGTTAAGTGAACTAAAAGGAAGTATAAGCATTGACAATATACCTGATGGTGTTAAGTTCCCTTTTGTGAGTAGTAGTACGTGCACTTAACCTTCAGTCTCCAGCCACAGCCCCTTTGGGCTTGTTACCTAAGAAATATGTCTCCCCTATTCTCTCCTTGCCGAGGTTCCCCCTGGAACTTGTCAACAAGACAATGTGGAAGGAAGTAAAGGATAAAGTTGCCGGCTTCTCTTTCTGCGCTGTGTTTATTTGCTGTGTCAAGGACTGAGAGATTACACTGTTTCGACGCAGTAAGGGAGGATTTTGGTCAAGCATTTCCTCGGGCTAAAAACATCACTTGAAGAGGCGAAGGAGGATTACTGACACCTGCATTAAGGATGAAAATCCTGACTTTGGGCCCATTTGGTGAGAGCAGGGGGAGTCATCATTAATCATTTGTGCAGAGAGGCTTTTTTCACTGTAGGGGCTTTATTTTGGGCTGGGGGTACTCAAAAGTTGGTTCGCGAAGTATTAAATGGCTTTCCTCTTTGTCAAGTGGACAGCTGAGGTAGAACCCTGTCTTTTGTCCAAACGCTGACGTCTTTATGGACGCATTAACATGATTTCTTCTTTTACTTTTGAAGACGTAAGAAGTACAAAGCACTTTATATATAATTTCATAATGTAAATCTACTATTTGTATCAATTATACAGAAAATTTATACATGAACTCATAGGAACTGAAAGAAGTTAACTAAGAATCCTATCAAAGGTGAAAACAGGGTAGGTTTAATAGTAGTTATTATCTGTTCTCTGTATTCAATCCACAGACGCCCACTCAGAGGTAGTGGGTAAGGTAACACGAACCCTCATGCTGTCACTGGTGTGATTGATCACCAGCAGATAAACATCAGATCGGCAAGAGAACAGGACAGACATTGATCCCCAGAGGAAGAGAGGACTTGTCACACACCGGCATACACAAACCTCTGAGAAACATCTGTCAAAATATCAGAACGACAGAGAACTGTACCTCTGTGACTAACATGGGAACCCACAGACAGCTGTCAGCTGCTGTGGATGCTGGTTGATGGTCAGAGAGTACAAATGTTTTCTGTTATTTAACTAGAAGAGAGTTAGAAGTTTCAGCGGGATACAAATGGCCCCGCTAAAATATTACTCATCAATGTAAGAAAGCACGAAGAATCTAAGACAAATAGGCCACTAGATAATGTTTTGTACTTCCTGTAGGACAGCAGAGATGAACTACTTCCACCCTGAGGCACACCAAACAACAGAAGAGGGCGAAGTACTCCTCGCTTTCTGTTTTGGTCGCCCCAAAGTATCCCCTGCAGCAGTTCTATCAGGACTGAAAACAGCACAAGAAATGTGTGTGCTTTTACAAAACGTCAGTCCAAAGCGGCCAAGAAGTCCTCTCACCTGGCTGGGCCCTGAATATGTTTTTCCTGTCATTAGCCGCAGACCTCATGCGATGCCAAACTTAAGAAGCAAAGAAAGAGAGGAAAAGAAAATGAATGAAAAGTGAATGGTCAGCCTGACAAAAGGGGGCCAGCCTTGCGTCGACAGGAAGAAAAGCATTAGCGCCCTTTATGTGCATGGCGGCGGATTTCCGTGTGCTACACTGTCAGTGTATTTTCCCCTTAATTAAAACAGTCACAAGTTTCATTGAGCGGTGAATCAAAGGGTGGCTACACCATAAAGCAGACTCAACTCTGTAACCCTGAGTGTGAGAGTGTGTGCATGACCGTGTGTGTGTGTGTGTGTGTGTGTGTGTGTGTGTGTGTGTGTGTGTGTGTGTGTGTGTGTGTGGAGTTTGGGAATCGGACTAAAGCACACAGAGGGCCGAGGATGGAGGGGATTTAAGCTTGTGCCCATTCCCATGGTCAGTCACTCAGAATCGGTCATTACTGTCTTGCCTGGAGATGAAAACACAGCGATTAAGAATTACTCAGAGGAAAACATGACCATTTTTAAAGTGCTTACCCATAACCCCCTGCCCTTAAGGACAGGAACAATTTTAGCTAACACTTTCCTTTGTCCATTTCTATTTGGAGTTTATTCACAAAAAAATATTTACAACAGCTTCTAGAAACATAAATCCCAGATACGCTATTACAGGACTTTATAATCCATGTTTTATGCAGTCAGTAGTTAGCTTTTCAAAGTGTCAGCTATCAGTTTCTGACTAATGCTACAGAGATTTTCAGGGATAGAGCATATCCAAGCATTTCAGCAAAAATGCATCTGCTCAAATTGTATTTCGGATTGTAGGGCTGCCTCTAATCCTGCCTCAGACAACTCAAACAAACTGTTTTAGGTTCAAGCATGCTGAATTTGCATGGTCCTAATTGTGTGTGGCATCACAGGCCATTGCACAAAAAAGCAAGACCCTACAGCTGATAACAACAAAAATGGTGCCACTTTTCCAAAAATTATATAAATCTTCAGCTTAATCAGCACTGTTTGCTGATTAGACAACAGACGGAGTATCAAACTCCAAAGTACATGCCTAAAAGTTGATACAGGTTATTAGTTTTAGCTATAGTATCAAGTATAATAGTTATTATATACTGTAGTTTGCAGATGTCTTGATTTCCCCCTTGTGGCACAAAGCACGTGTCTTTTAAATAGTGTTTCAAAGGGCACCCTTAAATTACAAAGGTTATACTCTCTTTCCTCTCTCTATCCACAAATCAGAGAATTCAGGACTTATCAAAAAGCAATCATACAAGAAAAAAAGTTGTAGATTCAAACAGGATCTGCAACTCAAACACTGTTTTGGAATCAGCCAAACCAGTAAAATATCTTGTTCTCAGTTTGGTTTTGTAATAGACAAGGTCTCTTGTTTGTACTTTGATTTTCATAGATGCATGACCATATACTTTAACTCTTAAAGCCAAATTTCCAAATTCAGAGACTTCAAGTTGTCTGTGAATGCCATCAAGGTAAACAATGACTGAAAATTTTCTATCACTATCCAGAAACAGTAACCCTTTAAGACAGGGCCTTTCCATTAAAAACTGTTACATTAACCCATCCCTCGATGAACCAGAGCAGGCTTCTCCAATAACAAACCTCGCAGCAGAATAACACAGCTGGACAAAAGCAGACTCGACTTAGGGAAGGGAAACCATTTGCTCCGCTTTGGTCTGAGTATGGGATCACCTCTCTGCCGCTTTGTCATACTTGGTCTGTGGATCAGGAGAGCACCCGATCCCTGACGACCTAATGACCTAACACTTTCCACACGATTTCATTTCCTTGGTGGCGGAGGGGCAAACCTGCTCCTATGATCATTTCCTCATCAATTATAAATCACCCCAATGTTTGGATAATTAAAAATTCAACATTATTTTTCACTCCTACCACAAGACAAGCTCTGCGGGTTTTGTCGGAGCAGGGTGGGATTCCCCTCTCGTGTTCTCTCCGGGGACTTTCAGAAAAGATTGCAGGGCATGAATTATGCAGGGAGGATACATAATGGTAGAAATTGCTAATCATAGCTCATGCAACATGAGAAAGTGGACAAGTAGGCTGATTGACAGCGGGTTACAGAGGAGATGACAGAGGATAAGGTCAAAGAAAAATCTAGAGTTTTCTATGGGGGATCAGTATGGTTTTACCTGGATGGGGTACACCCATCACTCAGAGGTCGAAAGTGAACCTTAGAGCACTTTAATAAAAGAGGAAAGAGTGGTGTCATGCTTTTGCTATCGTCTTGCTATTGACTGTAGTACTGATTAAGTTTAAGACTAATAGATGTCTTATAGGTTTTCACTTTGTGGGATTTGATTGCTAAATAAGAAGATAAATTAATCTGTGAATTATTCTTAAGTATGGCTGCAATAAGGTCATGAAATAAGCTCATTTATGAAGACTGTAGTGGCAGCAGTGATAATCTTTTAAAGTGCGTATGTTTTAAGCTTAGTCATTCTTTTTTTTTTTCTTTAAAAAAAGGGCAATTTATTCTGCAGCCCATTTATAACAGCATCTGAGTGTAAAAACTGTAGATACAGCTGCAGTAATTGTATGAAAGCAGATGTTTTAGATATGGAAAGAGAACATTTAAATAAAGACAATGCAAACAGTCGTGATCGGACTTTAAACTTTAACTCCTAAAGTGAGTTTTAATCCCCAACTCTAGCTCTCTACTGACTTTTTTTGGGGAGGGCTTAACATTTTGAAGATATTTAGCTGCACACTGTTACCTTTGTTTCATGTCAGTCTGACAAAACCTGGCTGCTTCTCTGCAATTCATAGAAAGATTAAGGAGTAAATAGGAGGGCTTATTATTACAAAGAGGGTGGTACAATATGTCAGTTAATGTCGAAGAGATATGCCTTTTGTGAAATACAGGTCTGATACGGATATATCAAATTACATCCCAGCTGATAAGTGATCCCAACATCCATGAAAGTTGAAGTTTTTACTTTAAGTCCCTCCTCTTGTCACTCATTGGAACATTACACACAAGTTCCTGGGTTTATTAGAGTGTGTGTAATGCTCCCAATCTATTATCTTCACATTTGTCCATGGAAACTACTGTTTGCTGCGGTAAGATACAGATAAACATTGGCCTCCGACATCAGCGCATGGCACATTTTTTGCCCATGTCAGCCAACGGTGCAAACATGGGCTGATGTTCAACTAAAACATCAGTAGATTCCTGGAGGATGCTGCAGCTATTAATTTTGCAATATGATTTTCAGGTTGTAATTTGCATGTTTGCATGATTATCTCTGCAACTAAGGGTACCAAATTAAAATGTTGACGCAATTAGAAAAGATTGTAATACATCTGCAGGGGCTCATACTAAGCCAAAAATAAACCCCAAATTGTTTCTACATTAACACCAAAACCAATCTGAATTCTGATGAATAACAGTTACTGCTCTCATGATAGGCTGTATTATGGTGATATAATTGTGTCTATCCTTTTTATCTTTAGATTTCTTTTATACTCTAAAGGCAGATTTGGTTCAAAACAACTTGTAAAATCTTTGTTTACCTCGTGTCTTACAGTTCGACTGACTATTAGAGACTTGACTAAATAAATCTTCTTGACTCAATTCAGAGTTTCAATTATCATTTTAGTAAAGAGTGAAAATAACTAATAATCCAACAACTGTTATGATAAAGTTTTGATTCAGGTATCCAAGGAAGGAGGTGAAGTTTTCAAACAGCAACCCCCATCACTTTTAGTACAGATAATTTGACATGGCGCACGGCATTCAAACAGCCAGAATGTGACAATAAAAAGACTACTGAACAGGAACACAGCGTTTACTCTGCAAATCCAGGTCAAGACACAATTATGGTGTAATAGCACCAACTTAAAGGCGGTGCATAAACAGATAAAAAAAAAGAAGAAGCCAGTTGTCTGGTACCGTTTGTTGTCACTCCACTGTCTGTCACAATGATGGAGTGTGTGTCTGGCAGGTGCTGTGATTTCCCTGACCCCATTGTATTCAAACAACAGAGACTCTTCACACAGGAAGAGAGGAGGAAACAATGGTACAGGTGAGTCTGGGGGAATATACCCTCCAGGGCTGCTCACCTTAAAGTTCAGAGGTTTCTTTGTGTCTGTATTCTAGTCATCTGCTTTTTTTCATTTAAAGAAAAGCTTTAAAAGTGTTAAACTTTCTCCACTAGAGGGGGTCTACTACTCTGGTCAGTCAGTTTATGGAGAAAAGTCATCTATGAAATTCCTACTTGTGCTTTGCCAACTCCCTCTATACTAAAAGAAACAAACTGAAAATAAAGTTGTCTGTAGACCCTTTTTTTTCTCATTTTGTCTGGATCTGGAGTTCAGGTGTTAGTCGTAAGATGTTCCCCATGAAGGATTGCTCTACACCGTTCAAGATTAGTGAGTAAGGGGACATGTGTGTTAAGTCCATGCCTGTCATTATTTGCGGATTAGTCCTGGCCTGCACCCTCTTTGATGTGGACATCTTTTACACTTCCGTCCCATTAAGCTGTGGGGACGCGGTGAAGGATACAGAGAGAGACCAACAATAGAGCGAAGAAGAACAGGCATAAGCAGGGCTCATTTTCTGCTTTGTCTCGAGCTGCAGGGAAAACTTCCTGTAATGAGGGAGATAAAACGGCACAACAATTACCACTGCACATGTGAGCGATCACCTGAGAGACGCCGCACACATATGCAAATGCACATATGCACATATGCCCATATGCGTATAGAAGATACATATATGCATCTCTACATGCCCCTGTGCACACACACAAACACACTGTACAAAGTGGTATCTTCTCTGCACACATGAACATATAGACAGGAGACATGTGATTCTTGACTATCTCGTGGGGTCTACTGCCCTCTGCAGGACAGAAAAGAAACACACTCTGCAAGTCACAGCATGGCTTTTTCAAGTCATACCAGCCTTTTGTCAACAGTAAGTGTCGAAAGATCCCCAGAGGTGGCTACTAAAACAGCTGTAAATCATAATGTAGGTGGCGAAGGATAAACAAAGCTCTGCCTTATCCTATCTTTTTAACATTTCAGGTTAAAACCACAGCCAATTCCATTTTTGGGTGTTCCAAGAAGCAACCAATCTGTGCAAGACCAGCATAAGGCTGAGCAGAGGAGCCTTTGGGAGCCAAACACAAGGCTTCTTTCAGGCAGAGCCGCTACAGAGGCATATGAGGGCATTCAGTGTTCCACCCCAACCACAGGATTTATTTACCTTCCAGTGAGGGCCAACCAGTAAGAGGAGATGGAGTGTGCTTAGAGCGAGGTAGGGCTGCAGGGTGTGTGTGTGTACGTGTTTGCTTGAGGGGTGGAGAGCTGGATTCAAGTAGTGCAGTGATTGTGTGATACTGGATAGCTTAAGATAGAAAGTGGATGTCATGATCTCAAAGACGCTGAAACCGAGACACTCACCCTAAAGACACACATTCCACTCAGAGTAGGAATCAATCAACAAACCTGTGTATGTTTATCTTTCCAATCCACAATCATTTACCGTCAAAACCAGCTAGGTAGGACAGCGAGGGATGTCTAAAAGAGGGGAATATGAAAGAGAGCCCAAAAAAGTAGATAAGGGGGGGAGGTTTTCCTGTTTCTTTAAGCCTTCTCCCTTCCCCTAAACAGCACAAGCACAGTCATTCAGTCTTTGAATGCATACAAGGACACTGTGTGCAATGCATCTATTGATACAGTAGTTTTACAGCATGGCAGTCGAAAGCAGAGCAAGCATGAAGTAACTGCTGCCAAATTTGACCTTATTACTAAATGAGCTTGTTATCTTTGAAAAGGGGGTGCAGGTGACCTGGCACAGATTCATTCATCTTTGCTGTAGGTCATGGGTTAACGATTTATAATGATTTCTTTGTGTCTACACTGAGAAAAAAGCTTCAAGACTGTGACATATTTGTAGTTAAAAAAAATGAAGTCAGGAGCCGGTAAAGGCCGTAAACTCCTAAACCACACTCCACCTTTCTTTCATTATCAAAGCCGCATGAAGTTTACAAGGTTTCATTAGCAAGGGCTACACAAAGGGTCTCCAAATAAATTCCTCAGGTAGCAAAACAACCTAAAACATCAAAGTAAGTCTCTGAAACAAATTTCAGCCTTCCTGATTACTTCAAGAGAAAACGCAAAAACATCTGAACACTTAAACTCCAGGTAAGATGAGTATGAACCCATACACAAAGAAGCCTCTGATGAAAATATGCCCACAATTTGGAAAGAAACTCGAAGGGTAGATACATATATCTTATACATATAAAAAAATCTTCTCTTTTAGTCGTTCCACAGAGCAGAACAAGAAGATTTGGTGATGCTTCTTTCAGCTGCTACGCTCCAAAACTGTGGAACAAACTTCCAGAGGGTCTGAGACAAGCTGCAAATACAGAAATCTTTAAATGTAACCTAAAAAACTCGTTTATTTAGCCTGGCTTTTATGTAAAGCTTCATTATTTTAATTACTATTATAAGTTTTTTATTTTTCAGTATCACTTCTTACCTTATTTTATTAATAAATCCATGTTTATATTTTATTGTCTGTTTTAGTCTATTTTAATAACTTATTTTTCTTGTCCTGTTGTAAAGCACTTTAAGCTGCAATTTCATTTGTATGAAAAGTGCTATATAAATAAACTTTGATTGATTGATTGATTGAGTGATTGGCTGACTGATTGATTGAAATAAAGGGCAAAACACCAAAACATCGCACAGAGCAGTATCCTTGCTAAAATAGTTCTACATAACGCTAAAAATGATGGACCAGTTTAATACAATATTTATGGTAGGTAGCCAAAGGGAAAATTTGATTGGAGTGAAATCATAGATTGTATATAGAAAGATGTAATCATGGAAATGATCTTAACAGTAAATTTAATGGAGGCTGTGTGCATTATTTTGAACTATTTTCAAATGATTGTGTTTTTTTTCCATAGTCGAGATTACCTTAACTTTTAGAATAGAGGGAAAGAGAAATTCTGACATAGGACGCCATCATCTTTGCAGGCATAGAGGTGGTGTTTTCTGTTGAGATTGTCATTACCTGTATCACCCGCTGAGATTTTCAACCGTGGGCCTCCTTTCGACTTGTAGTTTCTCCGTTTTCCACCGTCTATTAATCCACCCGTGGGCTGTTTAACCTCCTGTCAGGACTGGGGCAGTAGGTAAGATTTCAGTGATGTTGGCATGATGGAAATCTGGCGTCACTCCGTTTTAGGGCCAAGTTGTTTTTATTGTAGAGTATTGTACAGAACTACCTATTACTTTTTTGTCTTTCAATCATGTAAACCGCTGTGTATTTTCGCATTACTAGTCCGGTTACATTGTTTTTGTTTGAAATGCTCATTTAAGTCCTTTCTTCCGGTCAGTTGAAAATTTCCCGCTCAATTTTTGACGTCACACGGACGGGTCCACCTGAAAAGGTGAGAGGGGGGACAGGAGGGGGCAGTACCAAAAAATGTAAATGACTTCTTTCGGTTTCATGGCGGTTGGCAAACAACTTGTAGGTACATTACCGACACCTTCTGATCTGTAAATTAACCCAGATTTTATGCATTTGTGGTTCATTGTTTGATAAAAGTAAGCCTATAGTTTTAGAAATTATTTAAAAGACATCAATATAGCAGCAGACCTGACCACTTATGACACATCTTTCTACCCTTTTGACCTCATGAGAATGCTCTGATCATGATTTTTAGTTGAGGGTAAAAAATCTGTTGCAATCACTGAGGCACAAAGAGGTAAAAGCATTTAAAGCTGCCTTTGTTCATTTAAATAGTTAAAAGTTCATTGAATCGAGAAAAAATACATCTCTTTCCTTTGGTCTTTCTTGTTTGCATTCATTTCAGTTTATCCGTGTCAAGATTTAACAGTCACTCATGAAATCAACTAAATGCTGCTGAACCGTACAGACTTTGGATACAGTATTGGCATCTGTGATGAGCTGCTCCGTCACTTGGTCAGTTCTTGCACCATGTAAGGTTAACTGTGTCGCATAATGATGTTAACATATGAAGAAAAAAAAAGTGGAGGATTCCCATAACTGCTTCTAGAAATTCTGGGGCTATTCCAACAGTTAGTTCAACACTAAAGCTGTAGTTCTTACTAATCCAATGCAACAGGTGGTGCCCAGAAATGCAGTCCGCAGACACATGCTACAAGGGAAAACTCCCACTTATCTAACTCACTGCTCTAGGGCACCACTAGAGGTTTAAGCAGCACACAAAGGAATCTTGAGAAAAAGGCCAAACTGGCTGTTGAGTGGCTTATCGCTAAGACTATTCCTCTTTTGCAGGATTGTAACATCTGCTGTGTTGGTGTGGGAATATTCAGCATCAGGGAAAAGATCTTGGGTAGAGTCAGCTTGACAAACAGCTGTGAACTCTGAAGTGCTTTCACTAAACTGGGGCGAGAAACAGACAGAAAGAATGCCGACTTGAATGGGCTCCCTGTTTCTGTCTTTTTCCTCTTGATTATTCCCACTCAAGCTTTTGGGGATCCCTGGCAACAGCATGCATTTAGATGTGGAGCTGAGGGCAGTGGAACTGAGTAAACAGTCCCACATTAATCCTCATGTTATCCATGTCGTCCTCGGCCTCTTCTCATTCCCATGCTTTAAAAACAAAAAGAAAACTGTGATAAAGAAGCAGAAAATTTTTCAAGGAATCTTTGGAGGAGTAACGCCAAAGTAATGCCCTTGTATGGTGTTTTTGTTTTGAGTCAGGATTTCCTTTAAAAAAATATTTGTGAGGAGATGATAAGTGACCAACCAAATGATTACACTTCCTTCTGTGTAACAGTAGCATTCAGATATGGCATTATCACTAGTTTGGTGAGCTCCAAGTAAAGAAGGCAAACATAAAAAAGCATAAAAACTAAAATTAAGGCCTCAAAAACTAAGGATTACAACACTTTGTCCTATTTGAAGTGTCCTAGTCCTGATGAACAGCTTTTAATGGTGCAGGAAAAACTAAAGATATTAATATTGTATTATGGGACAGTGTAACATAATTTTTGATGCAAAATGGAGTGAAAGTTGTCTTTTTACAGACAAGAGAAAATACTCAAATTACCATTTGACCAGAGAAGCGTATTTTAATAAACATTTCAATGGAAGAAACTCTGCTTTTTACATCCATGTGATACATTTCTCTTTCTTGAGTATAATCTGTGCTTTGGTTCTTGGTTTTTCTATGCAAATGAAATAGGAGTGTGACAGGAATAAGACAGTTTTTGGATAAACTCTGACAGAAAGATACTGAACATAAAACAAATTACTGGCTGCACGTTCCCTGACAGAATAAATCCTTCAGAGTGATTTTCCTCTGAAAACATAGAGCCCCTAGAGACTTAAAAACCTTAAAAATGTGCTGTTTCACAGTGACCAGCTGAGGTCAGCTTGAATTAATCTCAGTTTGAATGGGATAATGCAAAATATAAAGCATCCAAGAAGTTCTCCAACTGCTACTACAGCCTTAAAAAATTACTGCACTGTTCGTCTCTTTGCTTTATGATATGAACACTCAGTTATTTACATTGCAACTGAATGCAGATCATTTTTGAGACTTTTTAACTGCAGCAGAATTGATAGACTGTGAGAATTGACAGATAAATTAAAGAAAACTGCAGATACAGGAGAAGTGCCCCATGACTTTTGGGCGAATATATCTTTTTTTCACCAGAAAAAACTAAGCCCTGCTGTGGCATACATCCTGTTTTTATTTATTAGAACTATGTATTTGTAAAGGACTTGTTCTCTGCAACAATTAAGTCACTGTTAACAGAACTTTGAAACACAGATATCTAAATGCCGTGACATTTTAACATTTACTCATGAGAGAAACTTCCAAATAACTTATTTTTAAAAGAACTTGACTAAACTTTGACTTTCTATGAGGGACTGGGACTTGTTGACCTAAAACTAACAATTCATCTCGTGACTTTATCAATACAAATTTTATTCACAGCTTGTGTTCTTGATAGAGGTTGAAGCGTCAAATTTTAACATTCAGTTATCAATCTTAATGATGGATAAAACATAAAAGTGTATTGCTCCAAAATGATTATGGCACAGGCGGTGTCTGAAGAAGGAAATAGCCAAAAAGTAAGAACTTCCATTCGTTCAGCTGCACCTGGTATTTCACAGTCTTCCCTTTTTTTTTGCTTAAATACCTCAGTGGTCCTTTGGCAGCTTGAGGCCAGCTATCTGTAATGTATTCATATTTATGTTTCAAACACTGAGTTAGAACAAGCCCACCACTATATGTACCTTTAACGCATATCCTTTTCCATGAGCAGCGTGGCAGTTTCAGCTGCGCCTCAGCCAAGCTGGACACAATGCCGCCATTGAACTCGAGTCACAGTGGATACCTTTATATACCATGATGAGTGACAGTCAATGCAACAGCACCTGGGTTTCACTTAAAGTGATAGGGCACATTAATACAGTAGCAAACTACATACATCTTATATATTAAGTTGTGACATTACCATAAATATACACAAACTGGAACTTTTTGTTTGGGGGAAGTTTGAAGTTACTGGGCCTTAATATTTCAAGGAGTTTAACTGGGAAGTCATTCACAAGTTCTGGACAGAGTTTTGTCTGCGTGTCCATGTCTCAGGAGATCAGCTCTGACTTACAACCCGCAGCAGCAGCAGCAGGCAGAGACACAGAAATACTACAGCCATGGCTAATGTTTTCCAAAACAATAAAAAGCATCTGCATGTTTAAGTCATATAAAGATTTAAGAATAAATAAATCTATTTTTTTAAATTTTACTTAACCCTTGAGTATTCTTATATCTATCTCAATTGGCCTCTTCTATTTAGGCTACTGTTGCATCTTATGAATTGTTGTATGAGACAACTGCCATTTGGTGAAGCAGGTTTACATTACGATATCGATGGTTTTATACTCTGACATACATTAAATCTGACATTTGTGAAGATATGAATACATCACATAAAGACAGCACAAATTGAAACTCTACATTCACGTCACCTGAGTCGCATGTGTAAAGCCAAATAAAAGCACAACAGGCTGAATGAACCTTAAGTGATCCGGTCCGGTGCAGATTCAGAAACCTGCCGCAAAATTAGACATAAGCGCTAAACACAATGAACAGAAACATCCTCTCGTTCAGGCACACAAATAACATACGCTACTTTCACTTCCTTTACTTTATCCCTGGATCTAAACATGATCCACTGTGAATGCAATATTAGATAATGATCGCTCACAAGTCAAGCTCGACTTCCTCTGCTTATTTCATTTTCAATGAAACTCAGAGCGTAGCATAAAGCTGTAATACCAGGCTTCTCTGTGAACACAGTATATGCAAATAAATACTTTAACAAGTGGCTCTGCAGTTTAAAATGAGGCACATCATTGGTGAGTATGAACATCTCTGTATGGCCTTTTTGTGTCTGTTATGGCAACTTTGCTTAGTTTGGTCTGTGCAATAATGGCTTTGCTCGGCTCCTGTGGATAGTATGCAGTGTTTTGAAGATTCACAGCTACATTTTTGATGAATGAAAATGCTTCTCCTCGAGCAAACTGATGGACTTGTTGGTCAGCGTCTTTTCATCGTCAACAAATCTGTACCCGAACAGCTTCATGGTCGGTCCGCACACTCTCTGCACCACCTGTGCCAGTGTAAAAGGAATGCTAAATCTCCATTTCTCCGCCTGCTCCGAGGAGTTCTTCTGGGTGGAGTAAATCCCTCTCGCCTCCTGTGTGGTCTGGGTGTTCCTCAGAATCCACTCCCTTGCTTGGGGACTAAATGGTATCCCTGTGAACCTGTACATCTCCTCTGCCTTCTGCATGGGGAAGCGGGCAATATCCTCATAACGCACCAACATGTAGCGCCTCCTCAGCCAGCGAGGGCGGCTCAGTCCCACCTCTGCAGACATCCTTATATGGTCACAGTTTCCTTTCAGCCTCTTCACTTCCTCGTCATCTTCTGGTACCTGGCCGTCCTGAGCCCAGGTCTTCCACGTCTGGTACTTTGAAGAGAAGGCCACCATTCGGGACGCTAAAATGGCGCGTGGGTCTCGGACAAGCTGGATCACTCTCACATCCAGGCGAGGATCCTCTACCAGAGGCTGCAACGATTCCAGCTGGCGCACGCGGACAGTCTTAATAGCGTGGTGTTGTTTGGAAAGGCAGGACTCTGATGCGAGGGTTAAATTCAGTGGCCCACAGCGACGAGTCTTACAGTGATACCTGACACAAGAGTAAAAGAGTTTATGTTAGATGTGGTAAATCATGAGCAGAAAGATTAAACAGCAGAGCCAAAAACTTTAAGATGAAAATCAAATGTGACTTCTGAAAGATAGTCTGGCAAGATACACTGAATGAAGAGGCTGAAATTTTGGTTTTATACAGTGCTGCAACTACATTTCCATCAATTAACCCAAGATGTTTTTCTAAAACAACAAAATGTGCTTGAAATTCAAAGCTCCCTGAATTCTGAGAGAAAGTTAGTTGAATTTACAAACTCTGAGGCAGTGGTTCGAAGACCACTCTAATGACACAATGTTTGAAAATACTGCAGTGACCTTAAACATCAAGTTCTTAACAGTTCTTACTATTTATAGTCTAAATCATTAACTCCTCCCTCAGCTCTAGATCCGTCAATCACTCCACATCCTCAAAAAGCCTGGCCTCAGGCCCAACAGCATGTCCGACTCCAATTTCCTGCCCATCTCCAACCTTCTCTTCCTGTCCAAAATTCTTGAATGTATCGTTGCCTCCCAACTTAAATTTCACCCTCATTTTTTTATCCTCTACATGCTCCCCCTTAGCAATATCATTTGGAAACATGGACTCATCTTTCACTGTTACACTGACGACATCCAGATCTACATCTCCTACAAATCCATAACTCCAACCACCTGGTCTACACTCTCCACCTGCCTCACTGAAATAAAATCATGGATGCAAACCAATTGCCTTCAACTGGACTCCAGTAAATCTGACATCTTAATCATTGGCCCTAAATCATTCACTAAATCAGCTCAGAACCTCTACCTCAGTTTTGATAATTCCACCCTCACTCCATCATCCTGCATCCGTAACCTTGCAGTTATCTTTGACACCAACCTCACATTCCAACAGCATGTTAACAAGATTACCCGGACTGCATTCTTCCACCTCAAAAATATCGCTCGACTCTGACCTTCACTCTCCTTCCTCACCACTGAAACTCTAAAAAGTTTCTTACAATAGTATCTTACATAGTTCACCCTCCAAAATTATCAATAAATTACGATACATCCAAAACTCTGCCGCTCACCTCCTCACTCACACCTGTTCATGCGACCACATCACTCCACTCCTTTAAAACCTCCATTGGCTTCCTGTTCACCAACGCACTCAGTTTAAAGCCCTTCTCCTCACCTTCAAAGCTCTCCATAATTAGCGCTTCTCCTACCTCACTGACCTGCTCCTGCCCTACACTCCTTCCCGCAACCTCCGATCATCAGACTCCAACCTTCTCAACCCTGCTCTGAGGACCAAACACTGAACCTGGGAAGGCCCGGCTTTCTCTGTAGCTGCCCCCTCCTTCTGGAAATCTCTCCCTAAACACATCCAGGACTGGACTGACTTATCAAAGTTCAAATCCCTCAACAAAACTCGCCCGTTCAGATCTGCTTTTAATTGTTGATGCAACTGAATTATCATTGTAGTGTTTTCATCCCATTTACCTCTGTGTTTTCTTTCTTGTAAAGTGTTTTTACGTCTTTCCATGAAAAGCGTTATATAAATAAAATGTGTTATTATTATATATCTTTACATTTCAATAATCAGGGGGGCAAAGGTAAGCTGACTGCACAGTGTAGTTGTTTCCCTTGAAACTTACAGCCGGCCTCAACTTCACCTCTTCGTCTGTTTCCAGTATGACCAAAAGTGAGGTTGAGTCAGCATTTCCAACACGCCTACTGCCAGTGTTTGGCTTCAAGACCACCCTTCAGAAACACGTGGGTGGTATCACTGAGATGATGTCCATGATTTATACAGTCTGTGGAAGTCAGCTTAAACATACACACTAGTTTGTGGACTTGTTTTTGTTGTCCCCATCTTGGGTTTTTGAGGGAGGCGTGACTTTGGACAGGAGAGTGGAGCTGCAGTGGAAATGAAAATGCATTGCTACGACTGATTCACAGCTGCTGTAGTAATAATCTGACAGCAAAGTTTGCACTGTTGTCTATCTAATGCAAGATATGAACATACCTTGCATTTCCAACTTTAGGTTGTAAAGGGAAAAACTTGGAGCAAGATTTATCTTGTTAAAAATGTTTACTGACTTCTAAGTCAGAGCTAGATTCTTGTTTTGAAAGACTTATAAACAGTAAGGCTGCATTTCAAAGTGATGGGTTTACAGATGACTGAACAAATTACAGTTTAGAGGTGCTCCTGCAAAGCTTAACTTTTAAAAACTGGAGGCTACAGGATGTCTTTTATATGAACTATGGATGTTATCCTTGAAACTGAACTAAATAAAAACCTAAGATGGGAACTTAAAGCGGTGAAAAATTACCCCAGAACCAGCACCTCCCTCTTTGTCACTGTATCTATATAGATTTTGACTCATTTCTCAGATTTAAAGTTTTATCACTAAGAGTAAATTTTCCTTACCTTTCAAAAACATCTTTGATTACAGGACCGCAGACAGGTTCTTCACAGAGCGATATACTGGACTCTCTGCGGAACAGAGCCGGGGTGACGTGGTCCTGAGGTGGAGGGGAGATGAACTTCTCCAGAGGAGAGAAATCACACAGAAAGAGTGCCTGGAGTACATCCCGGTAGATTCCTGCCAACACTGTCCCGTTGTTCGTCTCTGTGGCCGTGGTCAGCATGCGCTCGACGTGCCACAAAGGCTCAAACAGGTAGAACATGTTCTCCCCTTGCTGGTTGAAAAATTCCCCCACGAATGAGGAGCCAGTTCGTGTTGTGGCCAGGAGTAATATGTGCTTACGGCCACCGTTGTAGCTGTACGTGCTTAAAACATCTTCCTCATCTTCCTCCTCCTCGGAGAAACTCGAGTAATTCCCACTGGTGCCAGTGAGTTTAGAAAGCAGCATTTTGAGCATCGCCAGGGAGCCATTTTGTGTTATGTTGTTGTAATCCAATGGGGTCTGTGGGGTTTGTTGGGGAGTTTGCCTCTGGATCAGCTTATCAGATACCCTGATGAGAAAGAGAGGCTTTGTTAAATTTTGAGTCTAGAATGTTCATATGGACTGAGTTTAGGTTTTTTGAGGTACAATATCCAGAAAACAAACAACCTAGATCTTTATTTGTTTTAAGGATTAGATACAGTCTGCCATCAGTCAATTAGCTAATCTTCAAGTGTGGAAACCAGGGTTAAAAGTAAGCCTGGCTGAATTGAAAGGTTTAACTCAGAGTCAACCTCCAAATCTATCTATCTCTCTGCAAAAAAATGATCTACCATTTTAATCATATTTCACTTCTACCAAGTTTCAACCTGATGGATTCACCTCCAGCCAATTCTTTGTAGGAAATGCATGAAGAGACAGCTCAGAGATGCAGCAAACTTGAATAATTAAATGCAAAGCTCTTTTATAGAGTGTCATTGAGCCGAAGTTTTCCAAGGTGTGACTCATCCCATGAGAAAAGATTAGTTAAAAGCAACACACAGTCTGTATTTCACTCTCTTACCTTGAGATGATGTTGCTTTCCTTCTCGATGATGACCAGAGCCACAATACAGATGAAGACAATTGCATATTTGGTCTTCATTCTTGAGTCCTGGCTTCGCTATTAGGCGTCTAGAGTCTTGTCTGTATGTTGGTCATAGCTCGGTCATGCAGAGGCCAAAGCGTCATGCTGAAAAACATCATCATCAAACACAAGTTATTCCTGCTTTTTTAACGCCAATAAAAATGCTATACTATACCATACAATAAAAATGTCTTATACTAGAGTAAGATATGGGGCCCTTGGCACACATGCACTCCTGAAAATGTCTAGAAAGTTTTAGGATAGCCACCCCCTCAAGTTTTCACTGTGGCAGTTGGAGGGGGTCTCAAAGACAAGACATGGCATGAAGAAGATGCTATGTGGAAGCCGGCGTGTAAAGTTTAGGAGATTTCTGAGATAGCTGGCAGAGTCTGACATCAAAGGGAAAAGTCTGAAGCAGCTTCATTATATGTAAATAGACCACACTGATCACATGACCTTAACATCACCCCTGCCCACCCATCCCCATAGAGCTTCCAGACTCTTATCTGACGCTCGGTATGGAAATTTTACCAGGGGGCATGCAGGTAAAATTCCAAGTCAAATTCCTGCATTTGCATACACACATGCAGCCCACTCTGGAAAATAAGGGACATTTTCAAGGGTTTAAAACATGAGAAAATAAAAGAGATACACTATCATGAGATGAGTGGAGGACAAATATCAAAAAAGAAAGAAAATATCTTCCAACAAGCTTTGACAGACAATATTTATTTTGCCATTTTTAACTGAGAGAGAGGTAACACAGGGTCACGTCTGCACTGATCTGATGTAAGATCAGCAGTCTGTACAGCCTGCTGGTTTTGGAAACTTGTTTGCCCCATTTCTTAGAACCACAGCTAATTCAAGGTTGCTTTGGGATGAGCTAAGGTCAGGGTGGAGGGGAGAGAGGACAAATGACAAAAAGGGGAGTCAGAGCACTCGGAGCTGGTAAACATAGTGGAGCATTACCATATGGTATAGTGACAGGGGAGGTACAGACAGGACTGTGTATGACTCCAGCACTTCTGTTCAATATGAGGAAACTTTCAGGAGTGGTGACGGTTACCTCTAACATGCCTCAAGTTGTTGACAGTCATGTGATATTTGGTCGTTGTATTGCCCCTTTATGGGATTAGGCAAGTCAGAGCTTGAAGTTGTCAAAACCAGATTTTACAACATCAGATACTGTTTTATTTCCTGGGAAGGACTTCCAGTTTGTGACTGTTTTGGCACGCCAAGCTGACAAAGCAGTCTTGCCTAACTTATTCTCTACATGTCTAAGTAGTGTCTTTGAACAAAAAAATCTCATCCTGGTGATTTTTGGCAGTCAAATGGATTCCTTTTTTACATCGATATTTTATATAGAAATTTTAAAAGCACGGCTTGTCAGGACGGATTCAAGGTGGATAAACTTTTTGCAGTCTTGTTGCTAATGTTCTTGTTTGCTTTTAGGTCTCATGAAAAGGCATCGACATAGTTTCAGTCCATTTCATAAACATGAAAAAAATCCTCATAGAAGTTTCAAGCAATCAACTGTGTAAACAACCTGCATTAGTGAAGCCACAAGAGATCACATTGATGTTAAACTGCTCCACTAGAAAGACTCTTAAAGGGATATTCCGTCATAAAATTAACAACAGTACATATAGGGTCCTAGCCATAGCACTAGCCATCAAACATATTTTTAGCTTTGCCTGATTTCTTTAGCAAAGAGACTAAACACAACTCACTTACTCTCATCCAGCAGCAGTTTGTTTGTAGCGAGACCTTAGGCCAGTCCATTACAGACTACAGTGGGGTGACGCAGCTCAAGGAAGAACATTTATGATCATTTCTTCATGGAAATGCAATCAGACAGAAGAACTACCATGTCTGCAGTGCAAAATGATTAATATGGTGAGTATTACTTCAAGGAAATGATAAAGAAATGATCATCAATGTTCTTCCTTGAGCTGTGTCACCCCGCTGTAGTCCGTAATGGACTGGCCCATGGTCTTGCTACGAACAAACGTCTGCTGGATTAGAGCAGGTGAGTTGTGTTTCTCTTTGCTATGATGTTTGGTGGCTAGTACTTTGGCTGGGACCCTGTATGTACTGTTGATGAAGTTAGGTGCTGTTCTGAGCATTATTTGTGGCTAGAGAGTGGCATTTTGGTTGAGGTTTGTGTATGACTCCTCAGACCGCTGTGTATTGCTATCGTGCGGTCATTACTAAAGTTGGTATAACTAGAGAAGCAACCGGCCGGCAACATTCATCTCTCGAGGGGGTGTCTAACTCAGTGTTACGTGTGTTTGACCCTAAATCAATTTTACGCTGGAATATCCCTTTAAACAGCTAAACTACTATGACTTTGAATTTAATCTTTGTCCTCAACACATTGCCAGTGGATTCTTTTTTGTGTTACTGAAAGAAGAAATGTAGACTACACATACGCACATTTGCTCTCTGGGCTGGCAGGAGAGTGAATAATTTCTACAGAGCATATCATTAAGGAGGAAAAAAAAGACACAGTTCCCTTGCAGTTGTGGAGTGATTGTGAGCTCTGTAAGTAAATATCACCCAATTATCTGGGCTTAATACGCCATAGCCGTCAAACTGTCAGGCTGAAAGCACTTGAGCTGAGCACTTTTACATATTCAAGAGTCACTGGAGCGTTTGGCAAATCTGACTATCTGCTCATGCAGAAACACACATCACTCTGTTTATCATCTCTCTACAAATTACATTAATGGCTGCCTTCAAAGCCTTCAAACTGCATCTCATGGAGGTGCTGAGAGCTAAATTTCCCGCTGTAGGTTTTGCGGTTCATCCAGGGGTGTTAGAGCAAACAATTAACTGTTAAAAGCAAATATTGAAAACACAATTATTGTAGGGGCTTTTAGTCATTTCTATGTGATTGATTGATTTTAGTCTTGACGTCATGTGCCATTTGGAAACAGAAAACTCCCCCATTCTGTGTGTGTGTGCAGCCACTTAATACATTCATTTAGGGGGGAGGGGGCTTTCAATTCAGGAGCATTTTCAACATCCCCCCTTACTGAACAAGAATGAATACAGGCTCATGAATACCTCTGCATACTATTAATCCCCAGTGCCATGACAGGAGAAAACGATGCTTTCAAATGTCCATAATAAAACCAAGAGAAAATGTTTTATGAGACATTTCAGGGCTGGTAAACTGTAGTGAATGGGCTATAGTGGACTGCAGTTATCGTACCACAATCATTAATCTGTTTTTTAAAAGATTTCTAACGCAGATTATAAAATGTATCGTTTGATAGTAGTAGTATTAGTGAAAGACTTTATCATTTCCACCGTGAATGGTGTTTTACGCGCATGGCAGCAGCGTGTTTACAAGCTCTACGGTGCGCCGGTGGATCGACAGCGCTGTTTTTTTGACGCTTTGACTCATTTCCTGCCATATTACAGAAGATGTTGAGATGCTCGGTGTAGTAGATGTAACAAACCTTCAGCTGTTCCGTCTCTGCCATCGAACAAAATGTTCCTGATCTTGAGAGAAACAGTCCGGTCCCTTCGTTGCATCTTGCTGCATTGTCTCGGACAAGCACACACTGCTTCATTGTATCCTTGGACGCGGGCTCCTCTCCTCTGCCGGATGAATGAGAGGCAGCGCGGAGGCACGGTGAGCGCGCAGGAACTTCCACATGAAAGAGAGAGACGAACGGAGAACAAGCCAGAAAATGTTCAATCAAGATTTCACTCAAGGTTTTACACTCGTGGACGGTGGTTCATGTGTTTCTCCTCCTTGCTCTGTCTGTTCGGTGGAAACAGTCAGCTAAAAGTTGTTCATGCTCCAAATATAACCGCTTGAAAACTTTTTGGCCAACTTTCCGCATGTGCTGGACTCCTCCGCAGCACAAGCGAGCTGACTGTGGGCACGCTTCACGTCACCGCTCTCCTGAGCGTGGGACATCCTGTGTTGGTGAGGGGGTCACGTGATCCTAAAAGACCCTGCAATTTGGTATAAAGACCCCCCTGTTCGAGGAAAGATCTGCGCCACTTTTGCACACTGCACCTTTTTCTCAGCAGAAGTTGCGGTTACTGCAGGTTAAGATTTCTCAAACATAGATGCTGATTTTGAATTTTGTCATGACATTAGAAAGAAATCATGATTATTTTTTAACACGTATTAAACTGAACTTTCAAATGGCCTGTCTTGATTTTCAGTCTGAGGGTAAATACTGGCTATTATAAACATTTTAGACGACTTAAAGGGATATTCCGGCATGAAAGTAATTTACGGTCAAACACATCGTAACACCAGTTAGACACCCCCTCGAAAGATGAATGTCGACCGCTTGCTTCTCTAGTTATACCAACTTTAGTAACGACCGCACGATAGCAATACACAGCAGTCTGAGGAGCCATAAACAAACCTCAACCAAAATGCCACTCTTTAGCCACAAATAATGCTCAGAACAGCACCTAACTTCATCAACAGTACATATAGGGTCCCAGCCACCAAACATCCTTTTAACTTTGCCCGATTTCTTTGGCAAAGAGACTAAACACAACTCACCTACTCTCTTCCAGCAGCCGCTTGTTTGTAGCAAGACCTTGGGCCGGTCCAGAAAAAAAAGGGAAAAAAGCACTTTTGCCTAATAGGCGAGGTCAGTAACATACACCATTGTTCAAGCTTCAGCCCTTTCAATCATCACCCCATTACCTCCCTTATCATTAGAGTGAGAAGAGCAGTTACAACACGCTCCTCTTTCCACAAAAATACCAACTATTCCAAAAATGTGCAGCGTTTATGCATCACTTTGGTGTTGATTTTTAAAACTTATATGCCTGCAGTCATCCTGTTTGGATTTTTATACAGTTGAAGAGATCTTTCCTATACAGGCCTTAACCAAAGTCAAACTTTTGAAGGGTCATGATGGTGCATGGCGGTTGGATTACTGTGAACGATAGTTTCAGAAATTGGATATTGTACAAACTGTGTCAGTAACATGGCTCTGTATGTTAACAGCATCTTTTTATTCCCAGCATACAATAAAAAAACACATGATGCTCTTTTCACATTCAATATCCACCTCTATCTTTTCACCACTTGAGGGCAGCATTGTAAAGAACACTGAGTATCACAGCTGTGTCAAAGGGGCCGGTCTGATATAGACTTACTTTTACCTAAGTATACATTTTATTTTACTACAAATTTTTGTTTTATTTCAATTTCATCTAGTTAAATGATGCAGCCTGTATGTGTGTGTTATTATACAGTAATCCATTTTGAAGGTGCTTCATGTAAGTTCCATTGCTCCAAGTGGTGTCTATTGGCCTATCACACTGACCTAACAGCTCACTTGATATCCTGCAGGTGGTTATTGCAGCCTGTTAGATTGCTTTGGTACTGTAGCCACGAGTCCCATCTTTTTAAAGGTCTCTGCAGGATCCATGTCCACTCCGCTTGTGTCCTGAGCTTTGTAAAATAAAAGGGCTGTTAACCCACAGTATGCTCTATGTGCAGAGATTAAAGGAGTGACCTAGTTTTGGAGTGGACCAGGACTAAAAGCAAACCTCTGCCCTTGGCAGACCATGCTAGAGATTATTATTAATAATCCAAAATGGTAAAGCTGAATTGGGTATCTCGACAACAGGTGCTCAAGCAGACAGAGTGATCCTGCAGTGACACAAGTACTGTATACTACAAATTATTCCAAGTTCCCCTTTCTATTTTTGACTTGGTGAGTACCCATTTTTAAGGGCTTGTGTTGTATTTTGAAAAGCAATAGCAAAGCAGTATTTCGTTTCTTCTACAAGTGGACATGCATGCTGGGATCATTTTGTGCATCAAGCAAACTGTTTAAAAACACACTAAAAACACAACAATTAGTCAGTGAGTGATATTCTAGATATACAGATCATTGATACTTGTATAATTCTGATATTTATTTGTATTTAAGCTTGGGGCTCAGTAATCCAAAGTGTCCATGATCTCTTAGAGATTTACTGTCATTTGATAGTTGACATGTCCATCTGACAGTTTTCCAGACTGGCACGTTTCAGAAACATGTTAACAACTGGAGCCAAATTAATTCTACTTGCAGATTTCTTAGTCAACATTGTGTCTTGAAAAGTGTCCAAAAAAGTGCGCTAAACTCTAACCACCCAGTGTAATCATACACTGGGACCCATATGTTGCAGAAGAAAACATTTGAGCGTCTGAATTGTGTCAAGGACTGAAAAGGGCATACATTTTTTTCTTCTCTTAAGTACAACACACAATTCAGCTTGCACAAAAGTAAAAGAAAACTAACTGCATTTTACATGTAAACATTTGAAGCCACTGATTGAAGAACAAATGTCAGGGAAATATACCTGAGAAAATATTCAAAATCAGTGGAGATAAAATGATTGAGTCCAAAATTGATTAAACTTGAGAGTATTGCTAGTATTGCATCAAAAAGCTGGTCAGTCATGTTGAGATTTCACTCCAGCAGGCTGTTGCAGACGAGTGACATTCAGTTTGAACCTACTGATTTTGTTGCAGAGCTCTCCTTATGTGTTTTTAGTTCCAGGGGAATATGACCTCTGATCTTTTCTGGATTAACAATGTAAGATAGGAAATGTATTAGTGTCTACTAAGGTCATTATCTGCAGCAGTAATTCTTTGAATTTTGTTTTTATGCGGATGCCAAACCCCTGGTGACTGGCTTCCTTTTGTAAAATAGGCAGAACTCTAACAGATCTGGCTCACCTGGTCATTGCATATGAATTGAGACACTGTTCATTCATTTTAATGGGTGGCCTACACTGATGAAGTATTTCAGGATAGTCTGGGCTTATTTAGATGCAGGGTTCACAGCCTGGTCCATTGATGACATTAATCCAAATCAAATGATGCACATGCAGCAGCAGCAGACTGAAGTGATGAACATTTCCCTGAAATTTCCCTGTGGGCAGCCTAATGGCTCTGTTCTCTGTAGGAACAAAGAGGTCAGCATGTGCCACTGTGATTGAAGGCACGGGATTAGAAACTAAGAAGATGACTACAGATGAGCAGTGAGCTTTTAAATCCGAATGATGATGATTTTTTTACACTGATCATGGCACAGACACTTGCATGTGTGAGCTGCAGTGACAGGTTTATTAAAACTTTTCACTGATATATATGAGAAGGTTTTGACATCTGCTCAAAGATCACATGTCCTTTGCAAGAAAAGTTCATCCATTTGTGAACGCTGATGTTTTGCACATGGACTGCAGCATGCGCCTGTTTCTGTGGCTGCCTGTTGCAACATAATGTGTGCTAATTGTGCTTTACGTTCATGTCTGATGGAGCCGTGTGACCACAGACAGGCTCTGTGCATTACAAGATGAGAAGAGATTAGAGCACAGTGGGTTAATCTTTAGGCCTGCCATCTGCCGGGACGTTGAGAATTAAAGCTGAAGCTGCAGCCTCAACCATCAACATACACAAGTCACCTGACAGGTGATCTTTTTGAGTGGATATCCTGCGTGGACATCAGGTGAAAGTTCTGCATACTAACCTCTATTGGGAAATAACTTGGAAGTCTAGACACATTAGGTTTCCAATCTTGAAGAGCAGTATGGGAATTTGTCTGCAGCAAGAGGCTGATGATCTTTAATAACTCACCTTTTATGTTCAAATAAATGCAGCTGCATTTTATTCTGTTTTGTTTTTCTGGAAGCGTGACTCCAAGCAGAGCTCACTCTACAGTGTTAAGTGTGTTTGTGTGTACGCTGCTGTGCACTCAATGCTCTACTTGTACCTCACAGATTATAATGTAGATTTATTGTCTGAATTAATGTAAATCCTCTTGCATGCGACATGCCTTAATACTGTGTATAAGCACTGTACAATAGTTGTGTTTGTATACTTGACATATTAGGTTATTCTGTGCTGCAAAATAGTGCAGATTTAAATTACATTCACACTGCAAATCGGTCGCCTCTGTTGATGTTTTTAATCTGCAATCTTGACAAAAAGAATGTAAAGATTTTATGTTTTCTGAGTCGCGGTTAATAAATTATTACCACATGGTAGATTTTGATACAAACTGTTTAATTCATTTTTTAAAGGACAAGAAATTAGACAACTGGCTCACTTGAAGCCCATAACTTTTAATCTTATCCATAAAAATATTTTAAGTCTAACTTCTAGAAAACGTAAATATATAAAACAACCAAACCCTTGAATGGAGTCTGTAGAGTTTCTGTCTTGGTAAAATGTGGGCCCAAAAAGATAATATTATATGACATTTGTTTACAAGAGCTAAAATAATATAACCAGACAAGATGATACACCACAAGCCAGATTCAGAGGATTCAGAGGAAAATATTGAATTAGGGTTCAATCTCAGAGATTCAGTTGAAACAAACTGACTTTTGAGATAAGATTGTATCTGTCTGAATATTTTGTTAGCCAATGTCAGTAATCGAGATTCCTTAGTGTCCACAAATCAGCCTTATGATCTACGACTATAACATCCGAACAGGAATTATAATCTCATCAGATCATTCACTGCTACCATCTACATCATCCTCTGTTTTATGATTATCCTATTAATTGAGTAAAAAGTGGATATATTTTTTCCTTTTTCTAATGCAACAGATGGTTATAGAGTGCATAGCAGATGGCGCTGTAAAAAAAAATATGACCAGTACAGCAGCGATGGGATTCTGCATCCGTTTAATCTCTCTTCTTTGATCCATTGCAGAGTTGGTCACCACATTTGATGTTTAAATGTTATCACTAATGCTACATCCCAGGGTTTACATTTATTTTAACACATTGATTACATGAATTCTTACAGAGCACCTAAGGTTCTGCAAAAGTAATCAAGGGTTCACACAGTTAAAGGGTAAAATTTAGATAAAGAAAACATCCTAATAACAAGGTTTATATGGACATGACATGTTCATTATAACATAATTATTGGTGTAGGTAAGGTGTTGAGAACCAAACTGTTTTATTTATCTGTTGTGTTTAATGATATTATCCATTAAGTGTAAATCTGGGGTATGTTGTCGTACTTGGATTGACAGGGCCCACGAGTGGCTCTTAAGATGTGTCATTGGATTAGCATGTGAGCATCTGCCTTTCGCCTTCTCCAGTCACACACATACACCTCACGGGCTGGGTCTCATGATCAGGTGTCTCGACAGAGCCGTCTTCATGGTGCGCTTTCATGACTTCATTCTTTAGGATGAAGAATGTAAAGATTTTACATTTGCCACTGCTGTTTGTGTTTGTGTTTGTGAATGCCTGCTTTGGTAAGTTTGACCTCTTTCTTCCTTGGTCATAGTTGAATCTTTGCTGGGATAAGTTTTTAAATGCTGTTCAGATATATGAGACTGAAGCTCCTCTTGTGAATTCTTTTCTCTATTGATTTGAGCTCTTGTCTGGTCCAGTTAGTTGCTCTTTGTGCTTGAGATGGTACTCTGAATGTTTGTTGTCATCATACATTATCCATTGACTTCCAGCCTGTTTGATATATATGGCTCTAAATGTAAATGTGAAACATTTATAGCTATACTCAGAATATGGATCACCTTTAATTTAAAGTTAAGAACAGTTTCTGCCACGACAGATCTCAGGTCTATGTTTAGAAAGGTTGTCTTAGAGGTTGACGTAACACACCTGTAATCCCAGTTAAAGCTAGTGAGTGAGCACTGTACGGCCATCTTGCTGTATGTCACCAGGTTTAAAAACATATCTGTTTGACGTAGCTTATTTAAGTTTAAGAAAAGCTTTTGTCACCTTTTTCTTTTTTGTATTGGTGCAAAAATATGGCCCAATAATAGCAAAAATTTGGTTTTGTGGGTGGCCTTGCAGGCATCTACTGTAGGCTGTTGATAACTCACCCTTTACTCAAAGACATCAACTAAATGTGTGTCTAAATGCTGATTTGTGTTGCAATATCCTCCCTCAGGACACACAAGCTAGCTACCCACTGAGCAATAGACGGCTATTAGATGTCTAGTTATTTTTTAGACCTAATTTCAACTGTCTAGATTCTGTATATCTGTAGACGGAATTTAGACGGTGCACTTTAGCCCGCTATTTAATAAGTATTTATTTTAAAAAGCAACTGTGAGTTGCATAACTGATCTCCAAGTACTAAACCAAAATTATTATGATAGCCGTTGAGCAATATACTGGTGGACCTCTGTTAGCAGGCTAGTCTAAACTCAAACAAATTTAGACGTCTGAAAACTTTCATTTTTAGACCTGTGGTAGCCTGATTTTAGACCAGTCGTCTAGACTACATTTAGACGTCTATTAGACCTCTTTTAGACCAAAAAATGCTCAGTGGGTAGCAGCTCTGCAACACCACTTATTTAGCATAACTGACTAATTTTGACCATATAGAACAAATAGCTATATAACAAGCCCGCCCCCATCTCTCTGCTTATACAGAGAACATGTAAACAAGTAGATCAATATTTAGCACTCAGTTTGCTGTTTAATGTGAGCCAAAAATAAAGGAACCAAATGGACTTAGCCTAATTTAGCTGACATAAGCAAACATTAGCTGCCAAGGCTGTGTTACTGCTTTTCTTGACGCTTATAGTGTCACTTAAGAGTGAAACTAAAAGCATTTAATCATATGTTATTGTCTCTTCTCAGCACAAGCGGACTTTGCCCCTTATTTCTACGACAATGGACCATACAGCCGAAATGGAAACCTGGCACTGTTCAGTCTCTCTGAGGACACGGCTGTCGGTGAGGTCAACTTTAGACGTTAAGTGTAAACAGCAAACAGGCAGCCAGAGGACACAATTAACAGTTACCTAGATTTGGTTGCCAGTATCTGTAAGCATAGAGAGGTAAACAGCCTTTGGAGGAAAAACAGATGTTGAATGGCATTGTAAAAATCGGCTGGAGCCACCTGTTGAATGTGAAGATAGTTTGCTGGTTTTGAATGTGGTGCAGCTGTCTCTTTATACCTTCAGTCACTCACATCATGATCATGTTTTTATTTACACATTTGGGTAGCCAACTTGACAATATTATGGCATCCTCTTTCAGGCACACAGATCTATTCTCTCAATGGCACAGACCCTGAAGGTCAGGAGGTGAGCTACGGTCTTTCCTTTGACCCCGGGTCCAAAGAGTTCTTCACTGTCGACCCTGTATCTGGAAACATCACCTTAGTGGAACCCCTGGACCGAGAGGTAAACTCAACATTAACTCTATTTTTTTAAATAACCCAACTTGAAGCACGATAACCCTTATTTACAAAACTGAATGAAGTAAATTTCTCTGTTGTTTTAACTGTTTTATCCAGAAACAGGATTCTATTGATGTCCTTGTCAGCATCAGCGATGGGAGAAGCAAGGTAAGATCCAGTCTGATGTCCTTTTATGCCATTTAATGCCAAACCTTTCAAATGCACCTCTGAGATAAAGATGTTTTATAAGTTTTATCATTTGAACCTTCATCCTGATCTTTTTAGGTTGTTGAAAGAGTCACAATATTTGTCATGGATGCAAATGATGAAAAACCAGAATTCCAAAACATGCCGACTTTTATCAACGTCCTGGAAGTAAGTCATGTAAAAGTGTGTGCCTGTGTGTAAAATCATGAGCGTCAGTGTATAAACCTACAAAAGCATACCTGTCATGACTCAATTTGTTTTCTTTTTTTCACACTTTAGACAACAGAATCTGGCAGCAGCATCTATAAAGCAGAAGCAATTGACAGGGACACAGGCTCAGGCGGTTCAGTCACCTTTTACCTCCAGGTATCATTTCTGTTTTAAATAAATTCATTGTCCACATGGATACAGCTAATTTTAAATATCACTTATGCAAGAAACCTCCTCCATTTAAATGTGGTTCTGCGTGCGATGAAAATAAGCTATAGATTTGCAAATGATAATATTAACATTAGTAATAATTTTCTCGTGCTCACGTGTGCATTTATGCATGTGCCTGGATATACTGGTGTAGTTATGAGAATTGGGATTATATCACAATTACATTTGTCAGCCTACACTGGAGGCTTAGAGGGCCGCTACGGCAGGACCTGGCAGCGAATGTTAGTTTGCACTTTGGACTATTAGGACCAGAGAACAGCTGGCGTGGAGTGACAGTGACGGGTGATTTACGCACATCTGGATACTGCAGCTTTCACCTGCCTGCCCTGTCCTGTCCTTTACGTCCAGATGGACAAAGAAATAGGCCTCACTCAAGTAGCTACTGAGTGTTTTTTTATGCAGTTATGACCACCTCTGGTGATGTCTCTCATGCGAGGTGGTAAATGTGGTTCAGCGACACCGACTTTACTAATGTGACCTTACATGTCTCTTTTAAAACCCTGCTTATGTCCTGCTCTCTGTTACAGAATCCTCTGTCCGCTTTGTTTACCATCGACAGACACAGTGGTGTCCTCCGTCTAAAGCAGGGGGAAATGTTGGACTATGAAAAAACAAAGACACACTTTGTCACTATCATTGCAAAGGTAATGGGTGAACCGAAACTCCGTTAACATTTATGTCAGTCTAGAATAAGAGTTCTACCCTGATTTAAAATTTCTAGACTTTTAGATTGATGGCAACGTACCACAAATAGTTGAAAAATATAATCATTGTTGAGGAAAATATTTCAGGAAGACATGAAAATGATTCAATGTTTAATCAGAGAGGAAATATATTCAAGACATTTGGTTTGTCTTAAGGAGAAGATGTGACGAAGAGTTGAAGTAAACATGAATTTGATGTTTCAAAAGTGCAACTTAAAGCAGTGGTTCTCAAATCCAGTTCTCGAGGCCCACTGTCCTGCATGTTTTGGATGTTTCCCTGCTCAAACACACCTGATTCAAATGATCAGCTCGTTATTAAGCCATTACAGAGCTTGATAATGAGCTGATCATTTGAATCAGGTGTGTTGGAGCAGGAAAACATCCAAAACATGAAGGACAGTGGGCCTCGAGGACTGGATCTGAGAACCACTGCTTTAAAGAATTATCCGATAAAAAGTCACTCTGTGTAGGAGGGATCCTTCCTTTAAAATGTGAGTGGTTGGAGTCTGAGATAGTGGTTGTCATTTGCACAGTCCATTATAAATGTGTTAACAGGATTTACTAAACATAAAAAAAGGTTTTGAAATGTTGTTTTAAAGCACTGATTTCTTTTGTTCCAGGACGGGGGTGGAAATTTCAACGGCAGAGAGCAGTTTTTGACCTCATCTGCGACCCTGACTATTAATGTGATAGACGTACAGGACACGCCGCCAGTCTTTATTGGGACACCTTATTTTGGCTATGTTTATGAAGTCTCCGTGCCAGTAAGTGTGACAACGTCATAGGTGACCTCTTGCTTAAGACATATGTTAATAGATCTCTTTTTAACTGGTAACCTTAAACTTCCTTTGTGAGGTATAAGGTTTCATAGTTTATAACACTGACAGCAATACCATCAGGAGGGAACATCACATCGAATCATCAGAGTTTAAAGCAAAGTACTACCGTTGAGTTTTTTTGGAAACAGTATTAAAAAAAGAACTAACACACGAGCCTGAATCCAAGTCAGCCGTGTCTCATATCACTTAGGTTTAATTTGTGACATTTCAGATTAATGCTGCTCGTATCAAAGCTTCTTTCTCAGAGGGGATGAAAGACACATTATCTCCTCAGGCACAAAATGTCACCACAGCAGCAGGTCATTGCAGAAGGATTGACTGACTTTCATCTAAATGGAAATAAATTAGGAAGATGACATTTCGGGTATCTCTGAAGACTCATTTGAGGGCTATTATGCAGGGTTTTGGTGAGCTGTTTGCCAGCTACACGTTAACGCAATACATACATTGGGTCATTTTATTATTATTTTTATTGTTGTTGTTGTTGTTGTTGTTGTTGTTGTTATTGGCTTTGTGACCTTTATCTTCTATTTGAGGTGTTTTGGAAAGTCTTAATTTTTGCTTCTTCTTTTTTTAAATCTCAGGGATCAGAAATATTTATTGTTGAAGCCAAAGATGGTGATGTTGGAAACCCAAATCCAATCCAGTATTCCTTTGAAGAGGGTAAGCACTGAGTCAAAAGAGATAAATGTAATTCTGAAAGAATCAACAGTGCGCTCATCACTGTTTCTGTTACAGGCGACGATGGTGTTTTCACCATCAATAAAACCAGTGGTTTGATCAAACTCCTGACTATGCCCGTGTTTCTGAAGAGAGAAATATTTAACATTAAAGTAAAGGTAAGTTGTATCAGTTTTGATGCTGTCTCGTGTGTATGTTAAAAATGTTGACTCCGACTTAGTTTTTGCTTGTTAACTCAAGCAAAAGGGTGGATTAGTTGAAATTATCATAAAAAAGATAAGGTACTAGAATGCACCCTCCCAAACAGGTTTTATGAATGAAGAAATATGAGACCAAATAATTATCAAAAGATTGTAACCTGATAATTTCTGCAAAAAAAGGCTCTTTTAATATGAAGCCCAATGGGGATCTTTGATTTCTCGAACCAGCATCTAGTGGACACTTGAGGAACTGCAGTTTTTTGTACTTCCCCTGTGTGTGGCTGTATTTTAACACCGTAGGCCGCTGCTTTTTGGGCCTGTTAGATAAAGTACGCCTCTCCACAGTGAAGTGTCAGGTGGGTCTTACCGCCATGACTTGTCTCCCCATGTGTCCAGGCATCAGAGGTGAGTCCTGAGGGCAAACTCCTGGACTATGAAGTGACCACGGTGGTGATCCGTGTGGTGGACCTGAACAATAATCCTCCCACTTTCTATGGAGAAAAAGGACGACAGAACATTTTTGAGTTAACCATGTATGAGCATCCACCAGAGGGAGAGATACTGCGAGGGCTGAGAATCACTGTCAACGACTCTGATCAGGTGAGTTGTTACGGTTGTTATATTAGCAATGCTGCATATCATTACAATAACATAACATTTCAAAGATGCCATTGTTAACTAGAGAAGAGGAACTGTAATTGCTATTGTATAGACCGACTCATCTTTACATTTTTGTCCTACAAGTAACAGATTTAATCAGCCCTCATAGCCGCACAGCTTTTTTTAGGCTGCCGTCTGCCTGTCTGTCTATGAATGACTCTAAGCCGCCTGTTATTAAAGACAATCCTTTTAAAATTGAAAAATCCAACACAAATGAAAAGGTCCTCTATAACTATGCCATTTGTCGGCTTATGCAAGTCTCTCTCTCTCTCTGTTTCCAGCTCCTTGTTTCACTCTCGTCCAAATGGCTCATGTTCACCAAATGTGTTTGCTGATAATACTGTTACAACATCAGAGCGTGCTCTTTAGTCCTGTAACATTATGTTGTTCTAAGAATATCACTACTGCCACTGATATCCCATTGATATCTTGTACATTACTGTATTAATGAAAACAAACAAAGCTTTTATAGTAATTGAACGGACTGTATTTCTCATGGATTATTCTGCATGTATTTGCGATATCTTTATGACGCATGCAGATGACTATGAATAGGTTCCTGCATGTAACATAACATAACTCCATGGCATTTGCACTAATGAGAAACTCTGATTATGATGATTTATGTTTTTTTTCATGCAGGGTGCTAATGCTAAATTCAATCTGAGACTGATTGGACCAGGAAGGATGCTACGAGTCGTCCCTCAGACTGTCCTCAATGAGGCCCAAGTCACCATCTTAGTGGAAGATTCTGCTGCGATGGACTATGAGAAACACCATTTTCTCACCTATAAGGTTAACTAATACCACTATGATGGCACTGCAGCAATTTAAAATGGGATTACAAATCTCAGACTCTAACTTTTCCAACAAATCATAGCTTTGGCTCGTTTTATTGACTTTAATCTTTCTCTTCTTTAGCTACTTGCAGTTGAAATTGATACACCTGAGAGATTCAGTGCCACAGCTGACATCGTCATCCATCTTTTGGACACCAACGACAATGCTCCTAAATTCTCCTCGGATTACTACATCGCCAGAATTCCAGAAAACTCCCCGGGCGGCTCCAATGTGGTGTCAGTCACGGTGAGAGAGTCCTCATTCTGTCTAAAAATACATGCCATCACCACAAACGTCACTTTGGTTTCAACAAAATGCCCATTAATTCCCCAAATGTAGTTTTTTAGGCAGTGGGGGTTGGGATAATATGGTAAAAGATGTAGATAAAAGCTAGGCGAGGTAAGCTGCCAGATGGCTATCACTTTCATTTTGTTGTGTAACACAAAATTCCCAGATTTTTTTTTTCTCCTAATGCTTTGCTGCACATGCAGCTGCAGCAGAGGAATATGTGCAGAAGGAAATGAGCATAGACACATAAAAAGAGAAACTGAGGGATAAGAGAAGTATAGACAGACATAGAGAGAAGTATATTCACATAGATGCAGAGCTTCAAAGATAGAAAAAGAAAGAAATAGACGATTCATCATCTTCTTCTGGTTGCAGAGGCTCAGGGCAACACAGGAGGCTCCCTAATAAATCCTGCACTTGCGTGAACACCACAGAGGCTCGTTCCTTTGATCCCAGGCAATTTCAATCAGATAAAAGAACAGCCTACAAGCGACCTTGGACACATGTAGACAGCAAACAGGCATCCCAGCAGCAACAGACAGACAGACAGATTAGCTGATGTCTGTGATGATGTTGCTATGACATCAAAAATCAGTCTTTTTATAGCTGACCTCTGTAACATCATGTTCCAGCACGGCACCGATTCAGTCAGTTTACTTCACAGTCAAGGAGAGCGAGCAGGTCTCTTTTCTGAGTAAACTTGGTGGTAAAAAAAACACAAACAGAACAAATTTCTGTATTTTGAGGGTGTCTGAGGGAGAAAGTAAAAATAGAGGCAGACAAAATTTGCAATACTGGAAACTAGCCCGAATTTTAAGACCACATTTTGCACCAAAAATTTGCACAAATGTCCTATTATAACTTATGCTACTGCTACAACCACAGCTTTGACATATTTACTATCTCTTTTCAAAACATAATTTCTTGTTTGTCTGTCTCTGTTGTTCCACAGGCAACAGACCCAGACTCAGGACCTTGGGGTGATGTGCAGTATTCCATCTATGGATCAGGGGCTGAATTGTGAGTATGAGATTTAACTTGATCCAAAAGGGACCCGGCACTGTTTTTAATTTCCTCTTGTCCTCCTGGGTTTATCATTTAATATACAGTAGATATTTAACTTCAAAACTGTAGCCAAAATACACCTCTAAATAATCAGTGTCAGGCATTCACTTATTCATGCTTAATCAGACTTGTTCCAACCTCATGACAGGACAATCTGAAGATATTTCTTTGATTATTTTTTAGTGTTTTGCTCAAGAAAAAAGTCCTTTGTAAATTCCACCCAAATATTGTTTTTAATATGCTGCTCCCTTTTGTCTCCTCTTTTTTGAGATCACAGCAGGGTGGAGTTGCCGCAAGTTAGAACTGAAACACTCGCCTGTCACTAATAAACACAAATCATCACAAGGTCGAAGCATCATAAGAAAAGTCTTCAATTAAAACTAGGTGTAAATTCCTGGCAGAAAATATGTCCTCAACTGAATTTGACATTTTAACCGTTCCTCTGTGTATTAAAATGAGAGACGCACATCTGCCTTAAAGCTGCGCAGAAATCTGACAGCAGACTTGTTTTTCATATTTGAACTCAGTTCTGTTTATTGCACCTAAGCCCTGTAGTCCCTCAGAGGATTTGCCGGTATTTTCTCTCAGCTCGATTTTTATTACATTTCCAGCAGAAGTCTAACCTCTGAGAGAAAGGCTTGGTCGTCACTGCTCTTCATGAGCTATAATAACGCACAGTGCAGCTGCAGCGTTCTTTTCTTAAACATCAGGGCAGTCAGAGTCCTGAAGATACAGAGTCAGCACCTAAGACTTTTAAAAATAATGATACTTAATGCAGAATAAGATTTCTTTTTTCCTGTTAAATTGCTATCTGCATTTATAACATGACCAGAAACATGGATTTAGAAGCATTTTGAGCTGCAAAGCAAAATAAAACATGAACTGATGGTGTGCAGAGCCAGTGTAAACAGACAGGTGTTTGTGACATTTCAAACATCTCAAAGCTGTTCCTGATGAACCACCTGTTTTGTCTGCTGTAATGAGTAAAAAAAACCAGAATATTTTTGGACCTCTCAGTCCAGATTTTGATCTCTGTGGTGATGAATTAGAGGAGATATGAGATGTCACGTGGTGTGCAGGGGAAGGATTTCCAAAATAAGCAGAGGAGGGAGATTTGGAGTGTGCACTTGTTTGGTTAAAACCATTTGGAAACATTTTCACTCCAAAAGACCTTTTTTTTTTAACATGATTTTTGTTACAAAGCCAAAATATAACCATGCATTTACTTCTGCTGACATGGATGTATGACTTTACACTCTTTATTCAAACACACCTTTAAGAGTTGTTCAGAGGAGCATGTTGTCCTGATCTTTGCCTGCTCGCCCTCTGTCTTTCCTCTAATCCTTTAATGGGATTGGAGGAGAAAATAGACTGCTCTCTGCTTCTGACTACTTTGCACTGGGACAAAGTCAGTGTCGAGTAACTTCACATTTCAGCTGGTGAAATTATATAAGCCCACCCCCCTCTGTACGTGAAGGGTTCAACCTTTGGTGGCTAACATTAACTGAAAATGGATAAGAGTTTAATCCTTGAGGGAAAAAGTAAAAAAAAAAAATCTATTTTTGAATCTCAGATGAGAAAAATAACTCTTTTATATCTTTGTAATGTTATGTATGGGCTTAGGGACAGCAGCTAATTAGCTTAGCCTAGCATCAAAGGGAATAATAGTGTTAAGTTCAAACACTGCCTTCAACCCTTTGTAGATTCAGGTGTCTGTCGCTGTAACTACTTTTAACAAACAGCACTTAATCCACGCGCCCTGAATGCTACATCTGTGCAGAGTTGTGCAGCACATGTTGTTTACAACCTCTCCATCAAGACCAGACTCTGCACCAGCTGCTGTCTGCCTGCACATCAACCCATTTTTGTTTTTTCAGTTCTGCTGTAGCATGAAAACAACATAATGGTGACTTAAAAGGTTGTGTAATTTGACTTTGAGGACAGTCAGACTAGTTTCAGTGGAATTAAAGCCCCCTAAACTGTAGCTGTGCGCTCAGAAGATTCGTCAAAAACTCTTACTCTGACTTGTTAACTCAAAATCTTAAAATGTTTACTTCCAGCTTCTTCAACCTCATGTTTCCTGTCTCTCAGCTGTTCCTTCTAATAAAAGAGACAAAAAATAGCCCACACAGAAAGAAAAAACAAAGTTTTCCACATAACTATCAGTACAAGTGGAAAATACTATGTGGAAAGCATGCTACTGTATTGCAGAGATAAGTTCATTCTGATTTACTTTTCCCAAATTGATTGAATTTTTTTACAGGTTCCTAATCCAGCCCTCATCTGGCATCATCTACACCCAGCCATGGGCGAGCCTGGATGCCGAGGTGAGGTCCAAATATAACTTCTATGTGAAGGCGGAGGACTCGGAGGGAAAGTACAGCCTGGCGGAGGTCTTTGTGACTGTGTTGGATCTTAATGACCATCCACCTGCTTTCAATGAAAACTTCCTCGAGACGACTATGGTGATTGGAGCACCAGTGAAAATCGAGGTATTAGAGTTATAACAGATAATGTGGCACTCACAATGACTTCAAAAACTATCTTTACTGTAATTAAACCATGTCCATCTACAGGCAATCGACGATGACGCAGAAGTGCCCAACAATGTCATCGAGTACGCCATCATGAAAGCCGAGCCGGACAACAACATCTTTGATATAAACGCCGACACGGGAGAGATCATGCTGAAGTCTTACATCAAGTCTATGGCCATCATTAAGAACATTACCAAGAAGAATGAGTTCTCCTGGTCTCTGGTGGTGCAGGCTCGAGACCGCGGCCAGCCGTCCTTCAGCACCACCGCAGTCGTCAAGATCGACATCACTGAAGCTGTAAGTATGGAGAAGGTAGATGATAAACTGTGTGTTAGTTAAATCCATGTAAGAGTTTATTAGTTATATAAGATATGAAAAAATAGATCAAGTACAAGAAAACAACTTCAGGTTGGAACCACTTGGGGTTGGATCTAGTAAACTGTAGCTCTCCAATCAGCTCCACAGCACTAGTATTTGGAGCTAGAGCTGCTTTTTTTTCTTTAGTACATCTTTATTGAAATAGTGACTTTTTTTGCACCCTAAAAGATTTAAAGCTTAAAACCTTGTGGACCTTTTTTTTTTTCCTCTGGGAATATTTGCAGCACAAGTTTTGCAAGTTGCAAGAGTATCATCCCTGCAGAAGCATGTTGTATTTACATGAGAAAAAATACTGTGTGCCGTTTTCCTGAATTAACGATATAATTATCTGATTGATGCAAAAAAACAGAAAAATGTTCAAAATGATTCTGTACATCTTTCTCAGAAACAGAGAAAAACTTACACAAGGGTGACGCTTTCAATCTCTTGCCACCTTGTTGCAGCTGCATTTGTTCGCCTTCTCTTTACACAATGGCAGATCTCGTACCATCACCCACTGTCAGAGTTTGTGGGCCTGTTTATAAGAAAATGAAAGCAACTTTTATCATATAATAAAAATAATAAATGCTAGAATATATTTCCGATGTAGGTTGTGCACCTCTGGTTGACACTTCCGATCATTTCTAGGACTAGCTTTACTCAGGGTTAATTCTAGCTGTATGGGTAGCAATAAAATGTGTAGTCATAGCAACCTGAATCTCACACAGATGCAATTGTCATGTTTTCAGATCAAATCCAGATTTTTCTCATACTTCTTGGACCTCAGGAAACATCCCGAGTCTGTGTTTTGGATTTGTTTGACTCTTGTGGTCCTGGCCATTTCGATCACAATCTTCATTTCCACTCTTATGTACTGGTCGTCTGTGAAAAAGTCCCGCATACAGTCTCAGGGCAAGATCAGAAAGATTATCAGGAGGCCTGCGCCCTAAGTGAAGTTTGCCTGGAGACCATCAGCACAGCACACAAGTGCTGTTTTTACTCTATGGTAACAAGAATTATAGCTAATTATTTCACTTAAAAATGTGGTAGAACAAGACCGTGTCTGTAAAAGAGTACTGGAGCACAATATAAATTGTCTGATAAACATCCTCCCATGCTTTAAAAATTAAATCATCTATATATTACTCCCTTGGGCACTGGATGGCCTCAGCAAAGGTTTCCAAACTAACCTCTCTGATCTTGTCTTGACAAACTAAAACATTGGAGCATCTAATTCAAATACCGCCAGCTTTCTCAGAGTGTTTTATGTGCAAGACATCAACCAAAAAACCTCCAGATTTGAAGATTTTGTTTCTTGATAAACAGTATCATAGATTCTCACACTTGTGGATTTGATTCCACACATGCCAACTCTGGGGGAATGATGAATATATGCATTACTTTATCAAATACACTACAGCATTTGATATTGTGTGTCAGATTTTGACCTCAGCCCCATGGATTTATATTCTCCCTGTGCTCTTTTACAGACCCAACTCAGTGGGGGGCCTTTGGGATCATTTTTGATGCAGAGTAGGAACAAGCCCTTACAAATCGTAGGCATTCTTGCTGGTGTCATTAGTCTCATGGTCATACTCACAGTCATCATCTCCACGGCAACATTCATGCGCAACAAAAAGTCCAACCGGATCCTGCCGAACCGGCGCGTCAGGAGGAGACAGAGAAACCAGCCTTGGAACTTCAAAAACCCCTTTAAGAAACCAGAAAACCCAGGACAGAAATTCAAAGTGCAGGAGGTGGAGCACGAGGTGGAGGTCGCCGTGGAGAACGCCAACTACAACAACAACGTTGGTAATGTTGTCAGACAATGGCCCCCTCCTCCACCGCCCTGCGCCCCATCACTGCCCCCTCCTCCACCACCTTCCTACCCGGGCGAGAGGCACTGGGCGGTGCCCACCGTCTCAGCAGCAGTGGCAGTAAGACCTAAAAAGAGGCCGGTGACACTCAGGAGGGACACTGTGAACAATGCACTGGTGTCAGAGCTCAAGATGAGGCTGGAGCAGAAGAGGATGCAGAACCATCAGTAACACTCGACAAAACAGGCTCACCTCAGGGTCCTCTAGTGGGATTCAGTCCTGGAGCCTGAGCAGATCAAGTTTTCCTGTCGTCATGAAAACATACAGTTCACATTATACGTTTTTACTTAAGAAGGTTTTTCAAAATAAAGCTCACATTTCTACATATCTCACATAACTGAAGACAATAAAAATCATATAATCAAAAGTTCAACAGTAACGGCTAAATGGACCTCGATGTGAGTTTGTTTGGACATCCTTTGTGTCAAGTGGTATGAATGAATGCTTGGTGTGTGTGTGTGTGTGTGTGTTTGTGTGTGTGTTTTCAGAAGGGTTTAATACTCCGGATTTCTAACAGATATATTCTTTGTGTAAACGAATGTCAAATGTGCACCATTACTCAGATTGTGTCTTTAAAAAAACACACTTCTCCTCTTTTGTTTCCTCTGTGATTTGTGACCCATTTTCGGACAGGTTAACCCCTCTTTTTGGATGATTTGTTGACACACTAGTGGCTTAAGTTCCTCACTTCCAATCATTGGTCGGGTATGAAGTCATTCAGGTTACCACAAGTAAGACTGCTTCTTTTTGGGATCCAACCAAGCTACTTACCAGAGATTTCATGACACTTGAACTGACTAAAGAGATCAGGCTGAGGAAGGGGAACCAAAGTGATCACATTAGGAAAACCTTTAATCCTACTGCGCAGGTGTAAAGCGCTCTGTACGGCTGTTTAACACCTGACATGATCCACTCATTTTTAAATGTGAAGGACTGTGTTTCTTTTGTTTATGACTGTTTATGTGCTGGTTTTATGTGTTATAACCGGTGTCTTTTTTGCTTAAGGGAACTGTTGCTGTCAAAACACCTGTCAGGATTTGACTACCAATAAAAATAACTTCATTTGTAATTTTGAATGTGGTGAAAGAAGTTGGATCATTGCACTTAAGTATAATTACAGATAGAAGAAAACCACAAACACTAAAAGTCTTAATTGTACTATAAATTTTAATTCACCAGTATGGTCATGTTTTGAGCAGACCTGTTGATGAGGTGGAGGTAGTTTGGATACATTTATTTCCAATATTAGTCAAAATATACCAAAAAACAAACAAAAAAGTAAAGACAAGTGTGTTCTTACTGTAGAAAACCAAAACCTCCTTAAAATGAGAGTAGAATCTGCTAATACTGCATTTAAAGTCTAAATCTCCAGTGTACAGGTATCACATAAACCTTATATTTATGTAATCCTGTTTCTTGCACTTAAAGCTGGTTCAGATGATTTTAAGACTTTTGGGGGGCATCATAAGGGAGAGAAAAGTTAAAATGACTCCAAGGGTCAACTTAATCTTTTCAAAAAAATGTGCAATAATCATTGCTATCGATCACCCTTTATGTCTGTCAGTGGGTGTTTTGACATTTAACAAAAGACAACTACTATTTAAAAACACTGAGCAGTGTTCAGTTATGTAAAAAACAAAGGGGAGCTGGAGATAGAGAAAGTAGTGTTTGGGAGATACAAAAATTCTCCCTGACAGCAGCGATAAGCGAGCGAATGCACTGAAAAGAAATGAAATAGATGAGCGAGCTGGTTCAGGCATTTATCAGGAGCTTAACTGTGACTACAATCATCTAAGAGAAATCAGGTGGTTTCTGTATTTTGGATACAAAAATCTTCGTCTGTTTTCTCATTTCCATCCTGCATCAGAACTGCTTTCAAACTTTCCCCACCTCTTCCAGCATCAACCTGCCTTCTCCAGCTGAGAGCTTCAAGATATAATCACATAACTTCCCAAAATTTCTGCATGTGAAACAAAACTGCAGGAAGGAGCCCACATGGAAAACTCTGAATGAAGCACTTCACTTTTCAAGCTCAAGGAAGAACATTTATGATCATTACTTTATCATTTCCTTGAAGTAATAATCACCATATTAATCATTTTGCACTGCAGACGCGGTAGTTCTTCTGCCTTAGTGTCATGGTCTGATTGCATTTCCATGAAGAAATTATCATAAATGTTCTTCCTTGAGCTGCGTCACCCTGCTGTAGTTCGTAATAGACTGGCCCGGGGTCTCACTCAGGCCTGTCCGGAATATCCCTTTAAGTACTTCCCTCTGATATAACATACAAAATAAAAAAAACTAATTCTTCTGACCTTTCACGGTCAAATATATCATTTATTGTAAAGTCTACAATAAATGACAGTCTACTTGTTTGCTTTTACATAGCACAAAATAGCTTCAATATGAATTTCAAGCTATTACGTTAATGTTAAAAAACTTCTTAAAGAAGCTTTAAAGTCCTTGAGTTGCTTTGACTGCAACTACTGGAGTAAATGCTGAAGCATTAAACAGTGTATGGATGAGGCGCCGTTTGAACAACAATCAACTCTGGTTTTATAATATACTATTTTATGTAAAAAATAAAATAAAATAAAAAACAACTCAAAATAACCCTAAATTGCAAAAGGGATGATATATCTCAAACTATTTATTAATGTGTGCTAGCATACTTCAGATTTTATTCTGCTGGGCTGATCCTGCCGGTGACACATTACAGCCCATCTGGTCACAGCCAGCTACAACTGTCCAGGATTAGATTGTTGCCTTGAAGCCTTCACTCAGAGACATGGCCTTGCTTCCACTGGCTTAAGACCAACACCTCCTAATGAGCACACAAACACAATCTGACGCCCCCTTCTGGAGTCAGAGGAAAAGCTGCTTCACCTCAGCTGGAAGGGTGAGTGGCCGAGAGGGCGCATAAGGATTTAAGGTCAGTGTTTTCAAATCCTCAAACAAAATAATAATAACTCAAACTGAAGCTTTTATGGCCTTAAGGGAGATTTGTCTGAATCATATTGTTCCTAAAGCTTTTGTTTGCTGCATGATGTGTTAAGCTATTGTAAAAAATAGAATATGAACAAAGCAGTGTGTTCAAACATGGCGTAAAAGTCGTGTGGAAAAGCAGGATCCTGCACGCAAGAGTTTTGATATTTTTCATACAGACTGACATGCATAACAAAATTGCATTTGTTGGTATTTTTAGATGAACTTCACCAGATGTTCTGCTAAGATATCATCCTGATCCAAACTCTTTTGCTCTCTCCGGCCCCACTTTCTATGCGAATGCTCCCAATTATGAAGTTACACTGAACCACTCACTGGGTATTTGTGTAGACATCACCACCAAACATGCACACTATTCCAAAGTTACATAAAACATGAAATTTGCAGATTACATCCCCTCTAATCCAAGGACCAACTTGCTCATCTTTGTACAATATTGCATCCTTGGCTGAAAACCAAAAGTCCATCTGTCCTGATCTAGTTTGGACGGACAAGATGTGTGTGACTGGCATGGAACTTTCTGCAGCCTCAGCTGGCACAATTTGCAAGGTTATGCTGATGACGCACAGCGGACTGCAGGGATTATTTTTTTGCATTTGACAAAGTAAAAAACTGCCTCATGAACTCAGCCAGATTATACATATGGATGATGTTCAGATCAGACCAAGTCCCAGAGATCCTTAAGAAACTGGACCCAGAATTTGGGTCAAAAATCGTCACACACATAAAAACAAAACTTTCTGCGGTGCAAGCTGTTAATGCTCTGAAATGAAATGAGGGAATATGAGGAGAAGCCCAAATGATCATGCATTATGCCATGTAAGAGGCAGCCGGGATTACTGGGCTATTTGATAGAGGATTACAGAGTTAAAAGTTGCAAAGAGCAATGATGCTTTAGATGAAAGAAAGCTATGAATACAGTTAAAAGCAGATATGTGTTTGAAGGAGCAGGGACTGTGAATGGTTAATATTTGCTGATTGATAAAAACAACAAAGGAAAAAAGTGATTATACGTGCATGTTAAGCCCTAATCTTTGAAATTTGCAGCCAAAGGGATCGGCTGATGTTACATAGTGCTGTGTTTAAACACTACACTACGAAAGAGGGGGAAAAATAAGATAAGCCTGAATTGAAGATGTAATTCACTGGTGTTTTCTGTTGATATTGAGCTCCCAGATTCCAATAGTCTGGTGGAAAACAGTGATGAGACAGCATCAATCCCCTGCCCGCAAATCATATAAACACATCTGAACAAGCGGGAAAGCAGATGTGTCTGTGCTGCAGAAAATGAGAGCTGCCAATCTCAGGCAGCCCTTTAAAACCCTGATCCCAGGTCAACAGAAGCAGGGCCCCAGCAGAGATGAACTGATCTTCTTGCATCACAAGGGGGATGGAAGGATGGTTAGATAGCTGGAAGAGGAGGGGGCTCGTGTGATCTGATCATGAAGTGACGGCAGGAGGGGATACTGGAGAGGATGCCGGTGTTTGGGTATTATGTCAAATGAACAATGCCATTGGCTGAAGGATATCCGTTGTGCCATCTGTCTGGGCCGTCAGCTCACATCATGTGTGACACATGGCTGCTCCGTGTTCGGTTTGCAGCAGTGGTGAACAGGGAGCTGTGATGTGTACATCACTGTTCCCTATGACGCAGGAAGGATTAAACTAATGTACATGAAACTTCACAGTTTATGTAGAACGACTCACTCGCTTTAATTTCAATCTGGTTTCCAGGAAACAGAGGCTCATTAGCGTCAACAATTTCAATCCTTACGAGTTTCTGAGAGTTTAGTTTGTAGCATAAATGTACAATGGATGAATTCAAACAGATATGGTTTGAGTATGAGTTACTCTTTTTTTGCTCTGTTGATAAATTAAATAAGCAGATAAAGTTTTTAAGGATTATTTGAAACCTTTTATGAGATAGGTTTATCGTTTTCCAAGTCCATCTCAAATCACCAGTGAGGATCCTGCTTGTTGTAATTACTGTTCTTCATTGTGGTCAATAGGGGATCAATTCTTATGAGAGCTGTAATCTGAACAGCACAAAAACCTGATTTTTCTCCATTTTCCCTGACGTGGTTTCCTCGTTGAGCGTCACATTCACACACAGATGGTCGAGGATGCACGTCTAGAGGGCCATAAGTACTTTACCCAAAGGCTATTTTGCAGTGTGATTTCACGTCATGTTACCATTTTTCAATCATGCCACATTCTCACATTGTCTACGCACAGGGAACTGGGGTGATAGTGGTGTTTGAGCCAAAATATATTTGTTAAAAAGTATGATTTCTATAGGTATCTCACTTCTGGGGGTCGTCACTGAGGGGTGTAGTTTTGGGATGTTTGGAAGGCAAAAGTTTTGGACCTGGATCAGCGTGTTTCCTTTCCTTTTTTGAACCATAAATTACTTTTTTAACACTCAAACTGGACTGATAATTGAAAGAGTCACAGATGCAAGTGAACCTAAACCCGAGCGACCTTTTTGTTGAAGGAAAGCAGTCGCTACAAATGGCTTACCCTAGACCTGGGAGGGTTACTACACACTCCGACTACTAACTTTTAGAATACAAAGATTAAAAGACATTGCTCTACAAAATATTTAACTTGAAAAGGTTACTCAACAGAGCATCAACATTTAAATCTTAATTCTATGAGCTTAAAAAGACACCATTGAAAATACAATAGGACAACAAATGTTCCACATTGAGCTACAAAGAAGCACAATCCAAATTGTGAATTTCGATAAAAATCCTGCCTCTGACAAGGTAAACAGCCAATCATGGGTTAGGATTCAAGGGTGGTCACTGGAATAGCCAATCAGATTACAGGAGAGCCCACACTCACCCCTGGCCATCTTCTGGCTTTGCCACCAGATTTAACATAGAAGTAAAAAGTCAAGCTAAAGCAACAGTCACCTCTGTATGAATTAGAGTAATAATCAAACAAGAGAAACCTGAGTCAATATTCATCATGTAAATGCCTGAAGAGGGACCTGAAAAACTGTGAACTGGTCCTTTACTTTTCTCTCAGACCAGCATTCGAAGACATTTTGTAAATGATGGATTCCCATCAAAGATTATAATCACACATTCATTCTCGAACATACATGAATTCAAATTGAAGTAAGGTGTTTGTTACCTGATAAATATTAACTCTGATGGTAATCAGGTTGTTGTTTTGTTCTGTATCACAATCAACTGCTGCTTTAAAAGAAAACACAAACTCACGTTTCATTTGAAATGAAAAGCTGTATTTGAAAAATTTCATCATTTGCATTTACACAAAACCACCAGCATGTTACATCTTTTTGCACTTTAGAAGAACAATATGATATCTTAACATAGTTAAACAACAGGAATGACATATTTATACAGCATAAACTTTGCTAGTTTAACTTTGTTTAACAGTTTTAAATAACATGTTTTCACAAACTCAACATCTTAATCAATCAATAAATCAAACATTGGAGTTTAAAGATTTTCCTTTACACCACTTTCATTACATTTATTGATAAAGTGGGTCAACTTCATTGAGTGTTGAACCAAAAATTACATCCCAATGAATGATCGGGTAAATAAATAAATATTAAAGTTTATAAAAGAGTGTTTAAGTGCTAGCACATGTCAACATACATGTTAACTATACGCTTTATAAAATACTTTAAAAAATGAACTTTTAAGATGTAATTGAGAGAATTCCTTGATTTCAAAGACTGGAAAAGCTTCATACACAGCAGTCACTTGTATATGAGGCCTGGATGATTAAAAACAAATGTCATACTTGGTACAGAAACAGACTGCAGCACATTCTCTACAGTGGTGCAAATCCTTGAATTACAATCTTGACATAACGGTCATCATTCACATCTTTGCAACAAACTCCTCGGCCTAGAACAGAGGAAGAGATAAGATTAAAACCAAGGCAGGAAATGATGTCATTGTTCTGTGAATATTGATGTTATATAAACACAGCAGATATGACTGGATGGATCTACTTTGATTTCCATTAAGTGAGACAGAGAAGGAAAATGCTTTTGTTATGAGATCAGTTTGAGGATTTCCTTTCTTGATTTAAAGCACATTAATACAGTTCTGCTGTGATTCTGCTGGGATCAGCCTTGCCTTTATACGGTCTGTCATCTGATCTCCTTCTCACCTTCCTGTCCTCAGAGGAATCTTTATTAACCAGGCCCTCGTCGCTGGCTGCCTGCAGGCTGTCAAAGGTGCCCTGTCTCTCCCGCTCCATCCCCGGCGGGCTGCTCTCTCTCCGCCTGTTCTTCCAGGTCTGCATGATCACCTCCAGGCAGGCAAACTTAGTGTCCGTGGTGCAGGCGTACATACCGATAGGTACAGCCAGCACCATGGCCAAAACTATCACCACTATGTGAATCAGCTTCTCCCTCTGCTCCATTTCTGTGATGTCACTTCCTGTTACAAACACAATGCACTGGCCGGGTCGTAGCGCCTGGTTCTTGAGGGTGACACAGATTTCATATTTGGTAGCAGGCATCAGATCAGAGACTGAGTAAGTGTGGATCCCTGGACCGATGTAGATCATTTCTTTCTTATCATCATCCGCACGGCCAAAGTGGATGGTGAACCAGGTCTCAGCCGGGTGGTCCAGAGCGGCAAACCACTCAATGGAGATACCGCGCACCGTCTGCTTGGCGATGCGGATGTCAATGTAGACATTTTCATCCCCAGCAGCAGGTGGAGCAGGTACACCAGGGAGGAGGGAGGACTGGGAGCCATCAGGAGAGCGCACGTCCAGCTGGACGCTGACAGAGGAGTTTCCAATGAAGTTGACAGCAGTGCAGGTGTAGACGCCCCGGTCTGCTGCATGCAGGGAGGGGATCACTAACAGAGATCTGATGGTGTCCTCATCCACTCTCTCCAGAGACTCTGAGAAAACACAGATGTACAGTTTCATTTTCTATTTTAGCTTAGAGAAAAGAACTCCATTCCCATGTTCTCTTGTGAATTATTCCTCTAATTACAAAGTTGAAAAAACGAACAATTTCACAAATTAGAGTATGTCTGTGCATTAAGCCTCACATGCCGGTAAAATAAAAAAGACATACCTTCAACAAACACAGTTGTAGAGGTGCAGTGGATTAGACATACTTTCAAAAAGCAAAAGCTTATGTGAAAGTAAAACCATCTCAATTAAGGAATTATGTGCAACTGCAATACCCACTCCAGCCTTAAAGCACTGCCATTGTACATATTATTTCAATTTATTTGGTCTTTAAATATTTCACATTTACACCTTAATGTTTGTGCACATTGTTTAATAATTGTGGAAAAATTTGCACTCCATCTATGAAGTTGTGAAGCTTTATAGCAAAGATCTCTCTTAAATTTTATACTTGTTTAATTTTAATCTGGCACAAGTTTAAATCTGATTTTGCATTGTTTTTAACTTGTTGCATGTTCAATGCTTATTTTGCACAGTTAATGAAACTTTTTATATAGGCATAATTTAATTTGGATTTTATCTGTTTATTTATCCATCTGTCTTGCTTGCTTGACTTTTTTGATCCAGGTTAAGGACTGGAATAATGTAAAGTATGAACAGGACAGCAGAGTGCTTTTCCTCCATAAGTCACCAGTAACTTGGGTGATGAATAGACCCTTGAGGGTGTTTAGAATTTTATAATGTTGTCTTGACGACCTGTAATAAAATCAATCTAATATGATGCTTAAATACTTCCCTGTGTAAGCCTTTACTTATTTAAGAGTTCAAGAGTTTAGTTTAAGTTGTATCATTTGTCAGTTTTGGCCTCCCTGAGCACAAAGCAGTGCTGAGTATGGCTTTGTTGAATTTATATATATATATATATATATATATATATATATATATATATATATATATATATATATATATATATATATATATATATATACTGTATATATACATACATACATAGAAAATGTTGTTTCTGCAGCAAACTGTGAAAGACACCTATCTATGCCCCCAGAAGCAGCAGTTTAAGACACTAAAAACAACTTTAAAGGCAAGGCAAATGTTGATGATGATGGTCTTGTTTGTCTTTTGTAGCCCACAAAGAGGGATAAATACTCATTTTTATTATGGAAAGGCTGTGTTGTTTCTCTTTATTTGAATGACAGGCCTGTATTTGTCTCTATTTTCAAGCCCATGTTGTCAGGATAAAGCCCTTTTATTCAAGTTTAACTCCACTACACTTGCTTTTGTATTAGCAGTGATCGGAGATGATAGCTTGCAGCAGTAGAGCAGATATTGACAGCAGTATCAGATTTAGTTTGTGATGGACTGATTGATACTTGCAATCATGATCTGTAGTAAGGTTCAATGCCATGACGGATACAGTATGTTTACTAGATAATACAACAGGCCCCCAGAAGGGCGCTGACTGTAATCTGCAGTTTACGCTAACCTCCAACACTCTTAATCAACACTGATGGTGTTGTGGGCCAACATGCAGATTGACCCTCATCCTGGGAAAGTGTTATAGATCAAAGGTGGGTTTAAGTATCGAGATATTAGTCGATATGGGAATCACACTCTTACCATGAAATCCTCTGATTATCTTCAGACCATATGTCCACCACACCGCCGGGTCCGGCCGGGCCTTGGCGAGGCAGCGCAGGGTGACGTTGGCTCCAAGGGGCAGGCTGATGTTTGCAGACTGCGTGGACACGATGGGTTTGACGCACGCCTGCAGCTCGACCTCGTGGAAAAACTTTCCTGCCCTAAAGTCCGGCCCTGAGCAGGTCAAGTAAGAGTTCATCAGAATAATCGGGGGGCTTAGAGACCTGATGAACTCCACGAAGCCCTTCAACCGGCAGTCGCAGAGCCACGCGTTGTCGTGGAGCGCCAGGACGACGTTCGGCCCGGAAACGCTCACCTCCCGCTCCTCCATGCTCTGCAGTTTTTGGTACAGGGGCCAGTTTTGAAACACCTCCTTGGATATTACCGTGAGCTGATTGAAAGACAAGTCTAAGTATGTCAGACCCGGTAGATATTTTAACGCATGCTCCGGCAGGACGTCCAGCTGGTTGTGCTTCAGGTCCAGGATCTTGAGGGCCGGTGTGTCCTCGAACGCTGTCCATGGTACTGAACGCAGCTTGTTTCCCTGTAGACGCAGCTCGGTTAAGTTCCCCAAACCTTCCAGGCCCTTTGAGTTGATCACTGTAATGTCATTAAAGTTCAACCACAGGTTCTCTAAGGCGGGTGTTTTTGAGAAAGCTCCTCTGGGTATTTCAGTGAAGTGGGATTTTTCTATTCGGATCTTGCTCATATCACCCGGGAGGTTCTCTGGAATGGCCCCAAACGCGCTCTCCTCCATACAAACAAGCGACCTGTGATCAGACGGAAGAGTTTAAGTGGACATTCAATCATTGATAAACCATTATTGGTTCTATCAACTTAGATCAAATTACCAGTTTAACCTTATCTTTTAATTACTTATAGCCAAACAGTTTTCTTAAAGGCTTCACCGTATGTCTTTAATTCTTCTACCGTCATCCTCTGACACAGTTACGCAGTTAAAAATACCCCTGACTCGGTCTATCCAGGACTACAAGGACTCAGGTCTTACCTTCCATGGCGGTCTTCTACACAGCTACACCCGCGTAAACATTGAGCAGAAGTTCCAGCCGTCTGAACGATGAACACAACTACAACCAGCAGGTAACAAAGTATGTCCATAGTCCGCGAAAATACCCAAAGTTAAGGACTACATTCGTGCTAAGACATCCACCACCTGTGGCAGACGGTAAAGGCTTATTAAGCTTAATCCTTGACGTTCAGCTGCGCGTATTGAACAAGTGGCGTCTGATTATCGGGAGGGACGCGCGCGATTAACCTCACACCGACCGGCTGTGTCACTGGGTCTGACCCTGTAAAGGTTTAAATAGGTGAAACTCTGAGCACCAGGCAGAAACTCATGCAATGTAAGAAAATAATAATGATGCGTATTCATCATTTATCAGCTAGAAAACGAGACGAGCATTTGGGTAGGCAGTTAGTGTTTCCTCTTTTCTGGTAACTTGATTTTACACATAATAGAAAGAAAAAAAAACATTGGAAAAACTAATTTATGGGTGACCACTTGGTGACAAATCTGTGTTTTCCTCTTTCTGTTTAGTTAAAATGCAGTTAAAAAGTTGGTTATCCAATATTTAATGATTTTGCAAAAGTAAAGTAAGATGCTTGTACTACCCAAATTGTTTAAAGTTATAAATTTTTCATTAAAAAACAGGTTTTAAAGGTTTGCAAATCAGAAAGTAAGACAACACATCAAGTGTTGATACTGATTTTTATTTTATTTTTTAATTAAAAATGCTAATTTTTCATAAAATAGAAAGTTTGGACAGCACAAAAGACTGAAAGGTTGTGGAAGGCCATCAAACACCAGGAGGAACTTATTGGATTAACCTGCAACAGGTTGGTAGGATGACTGGATAAACAAAAGGGCATTCCAGTGACGCTGAGTTTCTTAGAAGTAAGAGGTTCAACAGTCTGGGAGGGACTGTCTGGGAAAATAGTCCAAAAAATTTCAGAATCATGCCCTTCAGCATTCGACTGCAAAGAGCTGGTAGATGTCATCATCTACAGCAAATATTTTCCATAAAAGATTCAGAGAATCTGGAAAAATCTCCCATTCTTGATGGCTGTGATCGTCAAACCCAGAGGTGACAGAGCTTTAAAAACAGACATGACCCCAGGGTGGAAACTGATGTCTGTGTACACAGTTCCTCGCTCAAAAAAATGCTTCTGTACCTTGCAAGTAGGAAACTGTTATGGCATGATACAGAAATGTTAGTGAGTTTTTGTAAATGTCCATTATGTCTCAGATAGACTGAGAGAAACAGAAAAGTTGTCATGTGGTCCGCTGATTGAAACATTGACATTCTTTTTGGAAATCAAGGACATCTTGTCCTCCACTCAAAAGAGAGACATACTCAAGCTTGTTATCAGTGCGCGGTTCAAAACCAGCATCACTGATAGGTGGTTTGCAAACATTGAAGGGCACCATGATGCTGAGCAATATGTGTTGGTTTTGGAGCAACATATGATGCCATTCAGATGATCTTTTTTCCTCAGGGAACATTGGCTCCTCAGTGTTTACAAAGTGTTGTAAATAAAGGAGTGATGCATCACAATGTTAAATAAGCTTCTCTTTCCACTTTTTTTGAAGTGTTTTGCTGATGGCAAGTTTAAAGTGAATATATGACATTTTTCAAAGCCAACATTAAATATGTGGTCTTTGAACTGTTCATATAATATAGTTTTATCTGCACATAGTCAGGATCATTTCCCTTTGATTAGCAATTTACCTGTGTGCACACCCTATTAGAGACCACACCCTCTGGGGGATGTAGTTTGGCATTATTAAAGTGAAATCTCTGAAGTCATAACACAACTAAAACTGAAAACTATTGATAGCTGTTGATTTTAACACAAATCCCCATCTGACAAGGCCAACAGCCAATCATAGTTGAGGATTTCTGAGCGGCATCATGAGCGGCCAAGAGGGCCCCATACTTGGGCACTCATCTGGACATACCCCTGCCTATAAATGATCATCATGCTCATTTATTCACAGCTACTCTTTCAAATATAAACAAGGTCCTCTAAACCACAACTCCAAACCTGTCGAGATCACAGAGTGGTATCTTTAGGTCTAAAACAACTTTAATTTGGCTTATGTGCTTAAAGGTGAGTAAAAATTTGCCAATAAACTTTCTCGGTATCACACACACACTGATACATGTTTATGAAAACTGTTATCAACTCTTGTTGCATGTTTTAATTAAAAAACAGATACACTGGAGGGTCTAATAAATGTATTATAAATAAATATATTAAAGAGTCAGTTTATGGCTTATTCCTGTTATAGAAAAACACAAAAACGAGTTATTAATGTTAATGAAAGTAATACAAATTAAAATACTTTAAGGTCCAAAACAACATTAGACAGTCAGTGATAGTCAGTGGTTGGCAAATCTACATGATAACAGTAAAAAGTGTCATTAATGTCACTCAGATCCTTGTCGAACCAGGGTTAGGATCAAAGTGTGAAGTAAAAGCAGAGATGTAAAAACACACAACACGTCTAAGTGGACGTTTGTATATAAAAGTTTATTTGTCTAAATTGAAATAATATCATTGGAATGAATAGCTCTACATTGAAAAGGGTAATGATGCCTCTAAGCGGCACTAAACAGGTACATAGAGATATTTCAGTGTGTGTCTCATTGTTGGGAATAGAAAATATTTTGATATTTTCATTTTGCATCATTTTCATCTTATTTACAAAGTGTCATAGTTCAGTCCTTTCTGTACTTCTCTCCAGCTCCGGCTATTCTCCATCACCAGAGTGTTGAACCATGCCTGTGTGTATATCTTCTCCGAGAACGTATGACAGATATATACAGAGGCACAGACTTAACTGTATATGTAAGTGTACATCGTCCAGTACAGTATATACAAATCATACACATACAGATGTGATATAAACAGTGGAGGATCAGCCGTTGAGTTCCCTTTAAGTCAGATCAGGATGTGGAGGTTTTTCTTCGCTGGGCCACGAAATGAGATGAAATATGAATCACGATTATTGTTATAATCTGTTTGCTTATTGCATGTTTTGTTTTACAGTCTTGTGTGTCTCAATGTTGTTTTATTTTTTATGCATGGATGTGATTATGTTTATTTTGTTGCTACATGGAATTATTCCGCTATTCAATAATCTTCTCTATACTGATATTTCCATTATGGTGCAGCGTGCAAAGGTCCTTTGATAAAAGTTGGCTCTCTGCGGTGGCGGCGTTGGCGGCATGATCCAGCGAGGAGGGACAGGTGGGGGGGAATCCCAGGGTGTGGGCGTGTGGGAGCGCGAGGGAGGGGGGCTGACGTCAGGATGATGCTGAGAGCGTGAGTATGGGTAGTGATGCTGATACTGACGTGGGTGGAGATGAGGATTGGATTGGTGAGGAGGATGAGGGTGGGGATTTGAATGGGGATTGAGATTGGGACTGGGGCGTGAATGCGGGTGAGAGCGGGGAAGATGGCGTGGAGCGGGAGCCGGAGCTGGAGCATGATGTCAGCAGAAGTACTCATTTGGCTGTCCCTCTATCTTGGCTGTGGCCTCGGAGTCCAGGCTGGAGCGCGCAGACAGCAGCCTGTTGGACTCTTCCGGGTTCAGTCTGTTCAAATACTCGCCCTCAAGGCCTTTGGCCTTGGTGCCAGGCGACAGTGTCTCAAAGGTCACATATGAGTCTTGGATGTCCTTGGATTTCTTCCCCCAGTATTTCTGGATGCGTCTCTTCAGTGCCCCACAGCACACGATGACAGTGAGCGGGACAGCAATGATACAGGCCACTGTGATCACAATCACATTAATGAGCTTCTGGGTGCCTGTAGCACTTGCTGCTTCATCTGTGGAAAAAATGACACACTGCTCCTTCTTAGGAATCAGCCCCCGCACACACACGCAGGCAATGTACTTGGTCCTGGGCACCAGCCCGTCAATGGTGACCCTGTTCTGCCCTGCCCCTACATTAATCTTTCTCATGTCCCTCTCTCCAAACACAGCGTACAGCACACTAAACACCGTGGTGTTCTTTGCTTTAGGGGCTCTCCAGTTCAGAGAGATTGTATTGTCTGTGTCTCCCACCACTTTAACTGAGCGGACCACCCTGTCCGGGTCCTGCTGCAGAGATGAGGTGTTGGCTGCCAGATTACTCAGATTAGTCTTCTCCAGATCCAGCAGGGTATCAGGGTTTGAAGAGGTGGCGGGCCCTGGGGTGGCTCTGTCAGCCAGGCTGTAACTAGCTGGTCCAGACTCAGGACCAAGACCAGGTGGGAGGCCTGAATCCAGGGAAGAAGAGGGCGAGGTTGGAACCACATACCGGGCCACCAGTTTTTCCTGGTAGGCGGCTTTGCCCACCGGGTTGGGTTTCTTGACTTTGGCCCTCTTGTCACTGAGAGTTTGGTTCCCCTCTGGTTTGGGTGAGTTAGTGACGAGGAGCGAAATAACAGCTTCAGCGTTCCCGGCATAGTTTGTGGCCTTGCAGATGTATTTCCCCGAATCACGGTAGGACACTGCTGGGACACTAAGAATGGACCAGGTGATTCCCTCCTTTGAGGTCTCCTGCTGAACTGTGAAGGAAGACGAACAAAGTTTTTGCAAAGGAAGAAAACATCTGAAAGTAATACTGGAAAGTGAGTGTTGTCTAACAAATACCCTCTTTCATAAATGTGCAAAGACTGCCGAGCAGGTAATTACACAACGCTGCATTGATGATCTTCTCGGTTGCATAAGTCTCTGTTGTGGCCACAGCTGTCAGTCAGACTTATAACCTCACTATCTCCACTGGAAGCTTTCTGTTTAATTAACAGCAGCTCTACAGAGCAGACTAAAGCATCTTATCTCAGGCTAAACACAGAGGCAGACCCTGACATTCAAAGACCCACCTGTCCCATTCAGGGCTCGTCCATCCGCCCTACGCCAGGTCAGGTCTGGGATGGGAATTCCAATCGTCCCACACCTGAGCAGCACATTGTTCCCCAATGCGCTCCGCACTCGTGCCACAGCTGTGTGGATGCGTGGGAGCTGACAGCGCTGCAGCTCGGCGTCACTGAACAGAACCCCTGAAACGCTCTCTGGAGCTGAACACCTCAGTCTGGTGTCTATGAAAGCCACTGAGAGAGTGGGAGACTTCTGGAACTGGACCAGGTCGTAGAGCCGACAGTCGCACACCCAGGGGTTGTCATGGAGACCTGGGGATGAAGGAAGAAGTGAGGCTACAGGAGGAAGATGAGCGTCCAGCTGTGTGCAAAGTGATGGAGCAGCCTGCAGATGGCCGATGTGGATGTTAGGATGCTAATCCCGTAAGAGGATTAACTTTTAATTCATAAACTACATCATGACCATGACTACGGCAATGATGGTAGCTGTGACGATGATGATGATGATGATGATGATGGAGATGGTGATGGAGATGGTGGAGATGGTCTGGTGGTCAAGGTCAGGGTCCTGTCATTCCACCCTCCTGTCCTTCAGTGGAGCACCAGCTTGTGGTTCTGAGTACGAGGATGAAGTAAAATCAGGAGATGAGCGAGAGCAAATATAGAACTTTGTATAGCACTGTTATTTTAACTTTAAAGGGACAATAAAAACAAGACAAAAGGCTGTCCCATGTATAATGAATCAGAGTGCATGTCATTGGTTCTGAATGCACACATTGGAGCAGAGTAGGCAGATGTTTGTCACCATAGAGAGAGGACAACAGCTCCAAAATCCAAATGATGCTTAGGAAGCATTTATGAACACTACATAAACATTTCAATGATACTGAATGAACAGATATATGGACTTTTAAAGTGCTTAGGAAATTGGTTAAAAGTAACATCTTAGAAACCTTATTTTCTGATTTTACCTTGTGCTATTATTTAAGATGATTGTGGTCACAGAAATATATCAACAAATTGTTACATCTGTTTACACAACATCTAATGACTTATATATGCTAATACATGGCCTATGAATAATGTTAGAAGACATTAAAGTTAAGTGTTACTCTGGTGTTTCAAAACGCATTCCATCTCTAGATAATAATAAGGTATTTATTTGATTAATCAGCAAATGATGTATTGCTAATGTAATATTATGTTGAGCTGCAGTTCAAAAAACTTTGCATAAAAATGATATCTGACTTTCCTTTCTTTGCAGAATATTTAACAGGTTGTTTTTTGGTGCCAAAAATAGTAAGACAGCTCGAGACAAAGACCTGTGAGTCTGGATGGAACAAGGTTTGGTGTCATGGTGCGCACCGTTTCTTACCAAGTATCATTTTGGAGCTCTCTGGCCCTTGAGCAGGTTTGGCCGCCAGCCAGGTGGACAACACCTCTGTCGGCAGGGTCAGCAGGCTGTTGCTGGACAGATCCAGATAGGTAAGGTTTCTGATGTAATTGGTGGCTTCTGCGGGCAGCGAGGTGAGCTGGTTGTTGTGCAAATCGAGAAGTCTGAGACTGGGCATATCCATGAGGGATTCCCAGGGAAAGGCGGTGAGGGCATTCCCGTCCAGACGCAGCTCTTCCAGGTTGTACAGTCCCCGGAAACTGTCCGGGTTCAAGGCGGACAGCGTGTTGAAAGACATCCAGAGGAATTCCAGTGTGGAGAGGTAGTTGAAGGCTTCGCTTGGTATCCGCTGGATGGCCGTCTTCTCAATCCGCAGTTTGGACGTGTCAACAGGGAACCCGACAGGCACGAGAGAGATGTCGGGGTCATTGCATATCACACTCCTGAAAGAGAGAGAATTCAAACTGAAGTTTACCACCTATCAAACCATCCTTTTGAAATTACGCATTCAAAGCATTTTTGGAAAAATACGAATGTAAACCAAAGTAGTTGGCTGCACATTTCTGCACATTTAGAGTTTGGTTTGTAGTCAAGGAGTTTACAAATATGAGGCGAATTCATCAGCAAAACAACCTAGCTAATAATTCTGAAAATGCTCAATTCTCAGTTCATCTAAACTCGCATAAGGCTCGTAGATGGGGGGTTGAAAGTGCCTTTGAGAGATAATCCTGCATTAAATAAAATTGGACCGACATGCACTCCCTGAATTATCTTTTATACACGTGTTCACCTCCGTGAAAACATCTGTCCTGTTATGAGGACCAGACCTGGCCGTCGACAAAGATGCGTCTTTGCGCTCAAACCAGATCCAGTTGTGGTGTGTTTCTGTCATAAAAAGGTTTTTTAATTGGACACCCTTCTTACCTGGCTTTTGATCCATCACTCAGGTTGTGGTAAAAACAGCTGCACTGCGACGGACACGAGCTCACTGGGGAGATAAGTTCACCTGTGGCCACGTAGAGCCCCAGGAGCAGGACGAGGAACATTTTGGCCCACTTTTACGCATACGCAGCTTGCCTACATGCGCCCGGTTCGCGCCCACTGAAGTCAAAGAGACTTGCTTTTTTCTCTCATTTACGGCAATATCTTCCGCATGGCTTTGTCCCACCGCTTCGCTGTCCCATAGTGATCCGACTGCTATGAGTCCCGAGATAAAAAGGATAGACAAGGATTAGCGAAAGGACTGGCGTTCTTTTCATTTGGATGCGTATTGCATCCCGGAATCCGATAGGCTGCGCAGAGACGTCCCTATTTATTATCACAGAAAAACACTTCCGAAATGGTCATAATCCACCGTGATGTTTGGATTTTTTTCCCCTGTCCCTCAAATGTAGCTTTGTTCACTTGAGCCCTGCCGTGACTGTTAATCTGTAGGTGGACAGCACTATGTTTTACCACAAGGTGGCCCCTATATCATAGCTTGTGGCTGCAACCTTGGGGCCACTCAACAGATGTTCACTTAACATTTGATGGTCTGATATCCCGTCTTTCATTGGAGAAAATACTACATTTCGAAAGCATTTAGAGACCGTTTTACAGAAAAGAACTCACTCAAATATGTATTTTTTCATGCAAAGTAAGAGATAAACCATCTCTAAATGCTCCCAAATTCAGTTTTTGAGAGCATTTAGAAGCTGTTTGACTGGTTTACAGAAAAGGACTCACTCAAATATGTATTTTTTCATGCAAAATAAGAGAAAACAGTCTCTAAATGCTCCCAAAATGCAGTATTTTTAGTATTATGCATTTAGAGACTGTTTTACAGAAAATGACTCACTCAAATATGTCTTTTGTTACGTGCAAAATAAGAGAAAAACTGTTCCTTGTTGGTTAGGGGGGTTGGTGGTTACTAAAAGGATACTAGGCAATAAACAGTATCTGACATTTACTATCCTTGCATGTTATGAGTCCCCCTTTTTGACTCTTTTATTACGTATTCAGTTTATGTTCCTGCTAATAAATTTCCCTTGTAAATGACAGAATTCTCCTAAAAGTGATAAATGTAATTGGATGGAATGAGCCAGCAATGGTTAGAGTGAAAACGTTTGCTCACATGGTTTAATTCAATTTATAGTGCTCCATCGCCTGCACTATTCAAGGGATAAATTGTTCAAACTTATTCCAACCACAATAGGACATATGTTTTGGTCATGCACATCCCTCAACGACAATTGGAGACAGATATTCAATGTATTTTCCAAAACTTGTGGTCAGACTATAACACCTGACTATCACACAGCCATTTTCGGTGTGATACCTCCAGGCTGCAAAGTCTCAAGTTTACAGGCAAATGCTATGGCTTCCCTGCTTGCATGCAGACTCATACTTTTTAATTGGAAAGCAAACTCAGCCCCTTCATTTCTACAACGGTTGAGGGACGTTCTATCATTTCTACCTTTAGAGAAACTGAGCCCACAGAAACTTCACCCTTACCTGGAGTCCCTTTATAGAATTTGTAGAAGGTTATCTTGAAGACTCCAAAAACAGGCAACTGGACTGTGTTGAGAGCCCACAGTCCAGTTGCCTGTTTTTTAAGTCTTCAAGATAACCATGACCTAGATGAATGAGAGCCTACATGGACAAATTTGTAGAAGGTTTTCCCTTTCAGTGTCACATATCGAGTTGTATTTGATAGTAACAATGGTTTAAAACATGCTTGAAACATCAGTTTTCTGAACTTATGAGAAGAGGTCACTGTCCGACTATTTTTGTATTTTTCTGTTTAATGTCTTTTTTGTTGAAGAGCCTTGGGGAAAGGGGGTTTATGTTTGGAAGTTGTATGTCTGTTAATAGAAATCTGTAAAATCAAGTCTTAAAAAAGAAAAAAATGTTGGTTCAATAAGTTTAAATGGAACATTCTGATGGTGGTGGTCTTAAATTTCATACCAGGAATCCACTAACAAGTGAAAAAATCCTGTAATTTCAATGCCTTTGTTTTGCCATGTGGGTCCACACTACATGAGTGACTTGGCACAGTTCCCATTACACTGGAAGTCTCTTGTTACACTTGGCTGGTACTCCAAAGGATGATGACGCTGGCATGCATGTAATGATGACGAAACACAGAGCGGTATTGACTTTGTGTTTGACTTGGCAGCAGACGCTCATTTTACATCTGACCCACATTTAGCCTCACAGAGAAGTTTGAGTGCAAAACAAAAGCTGTAAAGAGATGAACGGGTTAAAAATCACAGAATTAAGTTATAAAAGTGACACTATTGATAGACGTGGACATACTGTATTATTCCAGCCCTGAATAAATGTCCATTCATACCGGCGCTTTCATGTGTTCTGTGCTTCAACCTTTGTGTTAAAATCCTCTGGAGTCACAGGTTCTCTGTATGTATGGTTTAAGTTGGTGCAGGTCTGTAATGAGGCTCTAACGTGTTGAGCAATCGTGTTCCCTCGTGCTTCAAAACGTAGACATTCCATATTTCACACAAGCGGTTAATCTCATTTACTGAGGCCTATAAAGCCTGCCTTATATGTTGTATGACCACTGTGTGCAGGCTGAACCATTTCAGGTGCAATGTCATACTTAGTGTGCAAATATATATGATGACATATATGTTTGAGGCAGACATGACATAGCTTTGATTTGAGAGGCCCAGTGTGACAACTGGGTAAATATGAAGCCAGATATGATATGTAATGAAGCTTTTCTGCATATCCACTTTAAAATGTGATTAAAAACACATCCAAATATCACTTCTGTGTGTGATAGTTTCTTGCTTTTTAAAGATCATTACCACATGACCACATTGGAAAGCAGAGTGTTTTCATTTTTTCTGTGTGACTAATTTCCAAAACAGAGAGTTCTTACAAGCAAATCAAAGAAAGAATGTGGTGACTTCAATTTTTCAGTCAAGTCGAGGTCAATGAAGACATGTGGATTTATTTTTCCAACATCATAAGTAAAAAACAAGTTCATTTATCCACACACACATATCCCAGTCCCAAGTTTGATTATTATTCTTGTCAGTTTGGAGGAAAACCTCCTCAAGTTAAACATTTATTTTTAATCATTTCAAAAATTGTATCTTGGACTTTACTCCTTCCATATGTTTATGACGTTTTATGTATTTTTACCCATGTTTCTCAACTTGTCTGATCTTATAATCCTGTGATTGAGACAGACTTGGGCCACACAATGTCAGGCCTGTGTCCGCTCTAACCCTATATGGCATGAAAAGCTGCAATTGATGTTGAAACTGCATGAAACATGGCAAATCCATTGTATGCTTAGCATGATGGCTGGATTTCATGTCATTAACACGCATGGCGGTGGAGCGGAATAAGAACACAGGCTTTTATTGTACAGCACATGTTTGCCCGTATCACATATGAAACTCCAGACTGAACCCAAGCTTTTATCTGACTTTTGTTGTGTCTGCCTACCTCCAAAAGCAATTTTGTTTTCCCCATTTTTGGCAGAGGACACTGTTGGCTTAATCTCCAGAGGTCAGTGTGCCTGTCAGAAGTTTGATTCCCTGGAAAATGGCAACAAAACAAATGCTGATGTATTCAGTTTCAGTCCTTACACAAGGAGGTAGTGATAAAACACTGACATGACCATCTGCAGTGTGATGATCAACACCTTGTTTGTCTGCTACATCTGCTCAAATGACACTTAATTCAATGACTATTCATTCGAGTCAGATTATGTGGAAATGGTGCATGATTTACACGCAGATAACAGCATGAATCCCGTGTATTCACACTTGTTGACATGTGTTTATTCTTATCCTGTAGCCTCTGGATGTGACATCAATCACCCATCCAATCAGACCTTGTGGCACAGCCATAAAAATCTGAGAATAAAAGGTGTTTTATGTTGATGTTATGGCTCCAGGCTTTTATTTTCTCAAGACATGGGAGTGTTTTTTGTGAATGGCTGGGATGCTGCAGCTCTGCCGACACCTGTTGTGTCTCCTTAAAGCCACGCGAAGCAGCTGTCTGCATTGAACGTGTCGCCTCGTCGTTTGACATCAGCAGCGGCTGCATCCTCACCGGGGCGCGGACACACAAAGGCTTGTTGTGTAACTAATTGAGGGCTTTACTGTTGCGGTGGGCAAATACGCATTAAGAGCTGCGGTTTGTGTAGTTCTGTTCATTAAGGCATTCCTGCACGGATTGGGGCGACAGAGAGAGGGGGGCTTTACATAATGGAGTGCATGCTTTTCACGTGAAATGGCCCTTTAAAAGCGGGCTTCCCTTCACTCTCATTCAGGCACATCGTAAAACGAGCAGGAGCGAGGAGTGAAAAGTCTTTGACAGCAGCACTTTGGGGTTTTTGTCAGATCGGCTTCAGGATGGTTTCGTCGTACCCGTTACCGGAGGGCTTCTCCGAGTTTGATGTGTTCTCCCTGGGATCGTGTCTGCTGGTGGAGGGTGAGTGGTTTTTTGTTTTGTGCTGGAATTCAACCAAATCCTGCGAGGGCTGCACCCGCTGGATCATCCACCTATGACAGGACCTGACACCACCCGGTCACTGGCATCTGACTCTAGTGTTATGAAAGGGAGGATCTGCTTTTTTCTCTCTCTCTGCAAAACCACATAATAACCTCCACGAACAGAATGTAAACAAACAAATTGATAAGAAAATGTCTCGGTGCAACATTTGGCGCAGTAAATATCGCTTTACGCGCAGTCATCCCCGCGTAAACACAGCCTTCATTCGTGATCTTAACTGCTTATTTCTCCTCTATCAAAGGTCTGCTGGGCTTCTTTTTAAATATGGTGACAATCGTCGCCTTCCTTAAAGTGAGAGAGCTGAGGACCCCCAGCAATTTCCTCGTCTTCAGCTTAGCGTTAGCTGACTGTGGCATCTCCGTGAACGCCACCATCGCCGCTTTCTCTAGCTTCCTGAGGTGAGTGATGTAACCGCCTCCTCCTCCTCCTCCTTTCTTCAGGTCGGGGTATAAACAGAGGCCAAAAAGACATGTAGTGTATAGTGTAATGGTTGATATAAATGGTAATATCTCCCCTCGAGGGGAATCATCGACCTTTGAGCTGCAGCCTTTAGAGTAATAGAGGAGCATTGAGGGCTGCAGAGTGCAGGGGGAGCGGTCAATACACTGATGATACAGCCTCTGTTATTATGTGCTCAGGCTGTAATCAGGAGATGAGAGATTCTGCTCCAGGGATTAGATGGACTCTCATTTTTATTGTTTATTCTTTAAATATGCCCAGAGTTGATTAAATAGTCTATTAATTCTATTATTCTTGCTTTAAATAGAGATCCATGCTCTGAAATAGGTACACTGATTGATTACTTTGATCATATTTAGTACATCCTGTGAGAACCATTTTTAATACTCTGCTCTTAAGAATATATGACTCTCGATGTTGTGTTTGCAGATACTGGCCTTATGGCTCTGATGGATGCCAGACTCACGGTTTCCAGGGTTTCGTCACAGCTCTTGCCAGCATCCACTTCATGGCCGCCATCGCCTGGGACAGATACCACCAATACTGCACCAGTGAGTCAGCCTGTACCTGCATAGAACAAATGATGGCTAAAGCATAACTACAACCACATACAGTGCACTTATACTCCTCTGCAAGGTGCAGGCTTTCTTCAACATTCACAAGCAAAACAAGAGGTTCTATTCTGAAGAGGTCAGCTGATCAACAAGTGGCCTGATATCTCAGAAAATGTCACTGATCTCCATAATGAAACAAAAACAGAGCTGTTTTTACAAACTGATAAGCAATCAGGGTTCAGGATCAGGCCTTGGGGTATTCTTACTGATCTTTAAGAGCAGAATACACAGAGGAGAGAAAATGATTTAACATCTCACAAAACGTCTTGGGGTTAGTTTTTTTTTTTCCCCAGAGGTGTCGGACAAAGTGATGATGAATGTGTTTACCTCCTTCCATTTAGGGACAAAGCTGCAGTGGAGCAGCGCCATCACTCTGTCTGTGTTCATCTGGCTCTTCACCGCCTTCTGGTCCGCCATGCCCCTCATCGGCTGGGGAGAGTACGACTACGAGCCCCTGAGGACCTGCTGCACCCTGGACTACAGCAAGGGAGACAGGTCCTGATTACACACCAACACTGTCTGACATCCATGTGCATTTAGTTTTCTGTTTAAGTGGTTTACACTGAGATTTTTGGTTCATTCTATTCCTTCACAGAAACTACGTGTCCTTCCTGATCCCCATGGCCATCTTCAACATGGCCATTCAGCTGTTTGTTGTCATGTCCTCCTACCAGTCCATTGCACAGAAATTCAAGAAGACCGGAAACCCCAGGGTAAGAAAAAACTCTTACGTAAGTGAAAAAAATATCTTTCATTACACTCATACTCTATTTCTGTCTATTATTTGTCACTGGAAAACACAAAAAACTCCTTCAGCATGTTAAAAACACAGGACTGGAAATGTAGAATAACTCTAAACTTGTAGCACAGAGAAGCACCAGCTGCTTTTTGCTTCAGTGCTCTAATCTAACATTAACCACATGCATGATTCAGAGAAATGTAGAGATTCCTTTTAAGTCCAAGAAAGTGGCGGCTACATCTGACAGATCAGTGATTCATTTAAGCATTCAGCCTTTTTACAGTAAATCAAAGAAATTCCTCCGTATTTACATATTTTATGTCTTTTCCTGAAGTTACTTCCTCACATGGTCCCTATTCAGGCAAACAAAACAGACCGTGAATGGGCAGCGTGCAGCCTGTGACATATATAGGTCACTGCCACAGGGGGGGAAGGCCGGGCTCTTTAGTTCGGATTTCTGACGGTAGCAGCTCTTTGAAAATAAACTGTATCTGTGAATGGAGTTCAATAGTTGTGTTCCTCAGGGGCAAATCAGGTTGCCTCACTCTATATTGCATAAGCCCATTACTCACAGTCATCTGAGTTGGCTGGAGACACTTTCATTACAAGCACAAAGGCTGCAGAGGAAAGGCAGAGCTGCGTTGAAAAAGAAAAAAGTGTAATTATGTAATATCTGCCCAATATGTTAAGCACAAAACATGTGTGTGGTAAACACCTGCAGGGATTGAATCATCCAGACATGTTTAATTGTAAGGAGGGGCAATATCCTTCAGGGCCATGGAAATCGACTTGTCAGGGCAGGATTCGCTCTCATATCAACTTGTGACGAGCCGAACTAAAGTCAAATAAACAAAACTTCCTTTGAGACTCTCAATGAGATCCCATGATGCCAAATGTGTCGGCTTATTGTGCAAAAAATAGAAGCGAATGTCATAGAAAGTGCATCCTGTCCCATATAAAGATGTGGTTTAGATCTCTTTACAGTGTCAACAACGAGTTGCTTCAACAAAGCGTCGGGAAAAGCTGATTTTGGCCATAAATAATTGTGTTTTCCAGTGAAGCTATCAGAGACTTGCACACAGAAGTAGATCTTTGTGTTAAGGGGTCAGATTTGACTCTGCATGACTAAACTCTGGGAAATTTCACAGAGAGTGCAGCCAGTAAAATATGGAGCAGTGAGTATGAGAGTTTAACACAGTGTAAGCAGCATGTAGCTTTAATGTGGAGTGGAAATACCCTGATACAGGATATAAATGTTATTCTAGAGAAGAGGTTTCTGACTTTTTATGTCTACACCTCTGAATATAGTCTTGGATTGTGCAGCCTAAGAACTTGAAGCTGTAAAGTTTGAACATTTGCTCACAGTTTCTGCATCAAAAAACTCAGAATAGGTAGTTTCTTCGACTTACATATTATACTGCCAGATCGTGAGGACAATTACAGAGCTTGAAAATTCCCACAATGTGAAAAAAGAAGGTGATTTTTAAGCTTAGGGGGTTAACTCTCCTTCTCTCTGTAGGTCTTTACTCGGACCGATAATAAGCCTATTTTGAACCCTGGCTCACAACAGCCTGCCCCCTTTACTTTTAGCTGCTTCTGTTTGGTAGCTTGGATCTTTCTGAACACAGATGCTGTTTTCCTCTCAGCCATTATCCCAGGCGTGTGACTCGCCCTGGAGTAAAAAAGAAAAAAAAAGACTCATGACACAAAGCATTTTTCTTCATTCCTTATGGTTGAACGGTAACTAATCATTCTTGTTCTGATCCTCTTTCTCTCTCTCTCTCTCTGCTTTTATCCACCTCTCATTTCTCTAATGTGTCTCTCCCTCCTGCTTTTCTCTTTCCATCCTTCTTTAGTTTAACCCCAACACTCCTCTGAAGGCTATGCTGTTCTGCTGGGGCCCCTATGGTGTCCTGGCTTTCTATGCTGCTGTTGAGAACGCCAACCTGGTCTCCCCCAAGCTGAGGATGGTGAGTATAAGTTGTTCATACATGAGCATAAAAACTCATATAAACTTCACACTAGGACAGTAATACACAGTAAAATAATGATAAAAATGTCCTCTTTTAGTTCATTAGTTTCCAAAAACATCTAACCAGATAAATACATACATTTTAAATTTTTAAGGACATTTTTTATTTTTATTTTTTTGGTTTTCAGTAGTAAATTAAACAAACATTTCAGCTTCAAAAAAACTTGAATTTTCTGGCCATATTTTATGGTGTCAAGCATTAAAGGGTTAAAGGTGAGATATAAAAAATTTGTTCAGAGTTTATACATTTTTAAGTGTTTTGAAGAGTTATTTACATTTGTGTATGTTTAATATTTACAGCAGCATCTTTAAAACTGCAGCAATTCAGTGATTGTTCTTCAGTTTATAGGATTTTTGGCCCTGCTTTCTCTCATTAGTTTGCTTACTGGCCCATGACACTTAGTTGTGCAAGTTTTTATTGTGAAGCTGATGAAGTTTGAAGCAGAACCAAAGATTGGCAACACAAATACATCCCTATGTAGATGCTTCCCCTTTAAAACTCCTGTAAGGAACTTTCAATTTATGTCAACATTAGCGCCCCCTCTGGACAAAGCTGTCTTTGCATGTCACATCCACAACTTGCCTCAGTGGCCCTGAAGTATAAAAGGCTTTAAAATGAGAGAACTTCAACACAACATTTTTTTTTAATTGATTGTCTTAAAACTTATTTTTCATGAATCTGTAACCCTGTCTTGACAACCTTGTTTGCACCTGTCCCTGCAGATTGCTCCCATTCTGGCCAAGACCTCTCCCACCTTCAACGTCTTCCTGTACGCTTTGGGAAATGAGAACTACAGAGGAGGCATCTGGCAGTTCCTCACCGGGGAAAAGATTGATGTGCCTCAAATTGAGAACAAGTCCAAATAAACTAAGCATGCAATAATTACACTCTGGTTCTGTCCTGGTGGTTTCTCACAGGTACTTAGATGTTTTCTGTCTGAGTGTATGTGCACGTGTCGCGTTTTGAACAGTGTTAGCCACCTTTTTTTTCTTTATAAACATCTGTCCTGTGTTTGTAGTCCTTTGTTTCTGCAGTTGTATTTTGTGAAGAACCAAAAAGAAATAATAACATGGCTTTGGAGAATCAGCTAAGAGCATTAGAAACTTAAAATAGCACAGAGTAATTGCATTGGACATGTGAATTTAGTAACAAACACATGATTTGTCTGGTTTCATTGGGTCTTTGTGAAAATTAATTGTATTAATTTCAATAAATAGGGGATGACTTTCATTTAGAAAGTAGCATATAAATCTTACTGTAAACAGACATACATGTTACAAGTGCGACATCAGTAATAAGGCTTTTTATAATACAAACTAGTCAGCAGCTTTGAACCAGAAAAAAGGACATTAGCGCAATTATCAACATTCCTTCTCTTACAGCCAAAGCATGATGTCATTGAAAGGCAGCAATCTGAGCTTTGTCGAAATAGGTGGACCAAAAAGGATAAAAGGAAACAAAAGGCTTAAAGGTTAGAGCAGAGGACGAGGTCAAAGATTTCCAATGTTTGTGACCTCCCTCTGGGTCTGCAGCGAGAGGAGTTATCTCTCTTGCAAAGTGCCTGTCAATAACATGTTAAAAGGTCTGCATGCACTTGTCTCATCGTGCTCTCTAAGGTTGTGAGTGAGCTCTGTATCCAGAGTAGAACCGCGTTAATCCTCCAAACAAGAGCACCATTCATCAATACACAGCCCCCACAACAAGTACGAGATTAGTCGCTGGTTGTAGATTAACCGAACATGCTTCTTGCCTCTCTATTTGCATTTAAACAAAGACAGAGTCTGTTTGACATTCACACTTATCTTAATGATTAATGGGATCTATAAATAGAAAGTGAGTAGAAATAATAGAACTCAGGTTTAGACTTGATTTTACAATTTGATAAATTAAACAAACTCAAGCTATAGAGAAGATGAATTCCTTTCAACTTAAATACCTGCATATCAACAGTTAAATCATTGTTTTCTTTAAGTATACATTATTCAGATTTTCTTATAAACTTCACCTTAATTTAGGCATCATTTCAAACTTTCTGTAGTCCACCAACAGTGATAAACAGCACGCAGAAACATAGTGGTTATCATATAATCAATACTTTCTGACTGTAGGTTTCAAAAACCAATAATCCATTTATTCTGTTGTTTTTGTTTAAGGTATTATAAAGTGTACAGCTTCATTTTTAATTTCCCATTCATGAAACAAAGTCTGTCTTGACTTTGAGACAGAGTGTTAGTCTAAAGGGGAAGCTAGATTATTACCATTCCTGCAAAACATGCACAAAAGTTTAAAGGCCAGCAAGGTTTCTGTACTCTGTTGCATGCACATCATTCTTAATGTAATAATGTAAATCCTCAACAATGCAAACATCCAAACTCTCACATGTAAACGTAAAAATATCCTACACTGTCCTACAATATCCATGTGAAATCTACCCCATACAATGTATAGTGATATATATATATTTTTAATGTATCTATTGATCACTGCTAAACCCTGGAAACTTGATTGTAATCATTGTTTTGAAGTGCTGTTTCATTTTTGTCAGTCTGTTTGCTGTTTTTAAATTGACATTAGGTGATCGACCAGATCAACAGAGTGAATCATCAGATTTTCAAGCTATTTTTCTGGTATTTAATAAAGGATCAAAACTGTCAAGGATCTCTGTCTTTTTGTCTCAGGCATCATGAAAACATGGTATAAAGAGGGAAATTGTGCATCTTTTTAATTGAAGTTTGCAGGCCAATCATAAATGCAAACTCCTACCAACAAATAGTTTGATCCTAAGTGAAAAATCCATAACATAGGGTTATATTGAATATTTTTCATGATGCGCTAGATGTTCAATGGGTGACAAACTAGGACAACAGTGGGGTCAGTTTTGCACCATGCAGTTGTCATATACGCAGAAAGTAGTTTGGTGAAGTCTTACTGAAATATTCAAGGTCCCCCCTGAAAAACAAACATTGTCTGAGTGGCAGCTTGTTTTTTTTTCAGACCTTTGTATATTGTTCAGCAATAATGGTGCTTTTCCATATGTGTGAACTAACCATGCCATGGGCGCTGATGTATCCCCTTACTATCAGGGATGCTGGCTTGTGAACTTTAGGCTAATAGCAGGTTAAGGGTTCCTCTCCTCCTCAGCGGAGGATAAAGTGTTTAGAATTTCCAAAAGAACATAATAACCCACTGGGCACTCATTAGATGTTTAGACATGTTTCCTTTTTGAACTCTCTGAACCCATGCCGTGACTTTCACTACAGGGTCATGTCTGTTTTAAATGCAGTGCAACCTGAGGGGTTAGATTTTTATTTTTTATTTTTTCTTTTTTTTCTTTTTAAGCATTAAACATTTTTTGTCAGTTTCTTTCGCCCTGTTTGATCTTTTTTGAAACATATTACTGGCATGCATACAATCTTAAATGAGTATATTTTTATCATAAAACAATCAAATATTTCATTTTTATCATTTGGCATGAAATCTTAGCATATATTTTGACCAAATTTTTGGTTCAAGTTATTTGCAAATCATTAAAATTCTTTTAATATTTTCCACAGTGTCCCGGCTTTTGGGGGGATTGAGTTTGTTCTTTTCTATCTGGAAAACTGGAGCACATAATTTCACTAGAAAACAGCATATTTGTGATATTATTAGTGACACTATTTTTGTGTCTTTTCACCACTTGTTTCAACAAGTGTTGGAGATAATGTCCAGAGGTTTCAACATACAGTAGAAGCCCCCAGTTGGTGTTTCTAAGCAGATTAATTGACGACAGCCTGTCAGTGGAGCTGGTTGTTGCATAATTACAGGATAATGACACATATGTAGTGGGAAAACCCAGCACTTGTTGTCATCTGTGTCTTTCTCATTTATTCAAGCTAATTCAGTCATTTGCAGGGAAACACTGGGGATTAGACTTTTCCCATGCTCTGACATTAATCCGAAACAAGAATCGAAATTTGCTACATCAGTCCTGACATGTTTTGTTTTTGGTAGAATAATTGAAAAAACATCCACCAGAAATGTTATGACATGGCCATTTGAGTCCCCAGACACAGGGGGACATATTGAACCGTCAGCTGGCAGGAAGAATCCGTTTGACCTCACCTCCTAAACTGAACACAAACGGATGTTTACAGTTAAACAACAACTTATGCAACAAATCATTAGAAAATCAACCAAAAAGCAAAGTGAAATAATTGTTCTTTATAGAGTCATTAAAGAGAAAATCCATTAACCCCAGACTGTGAAATGGTTCATTGTACAACTGCACTATTTTTTTCAATGTTTTATATTGCATAAATCAGAAACTCAAATCAGGCTGCTACAGTTCTGCTCTGTGTCGTTAAATATCTCAAAAATGCGAATGGAAAATGCTCTTAAATAACGGCGACCATCGTTCACTCATGTAGTAGAGTTACAAAATTAATTGAGACTCCAAATCCTGTTGAAATTGCAGGATGATTTAACCAGAAATGTTAGAGACTAGTACTTTGAAAGGCGGCTCACAAGCTCATAGTATTAGTTTGGTGTAATGAAAATACAATTTCTCCCATCATGGACTTTATTAGTGTCTACAGATGATTTGTCGTCACAGATGATGTCAACAGATTAATCATTTAAACCAAACTGACCAGAGCTTTGACGTCAGTGAACCACTGGATTATGTTATAGTTTGAATCCAAATATCTGGCAGGAGACCACAGTTTGCTTTTTTTCCCCCTCCCCCATTGGCTTTCCCTCTCTTACAATCAAACATATTCAGGTACTTAGAGTTCACTGAGGATTATGTCTGGTCAACCAGTGAAGTTTCATATGGGCTTTTTGAGCGGATTACTCAGCAACATGACCACGAGTGCTGGAGAAAAAGAGAGTCGAACAGGGTTAGGACTGTTCCAGAGGAGAGACAAAGTTATGATACGAATCTGCATTCCACTGAGCATTATGGGAAAAAAATAATCACACGAGGATTGATGAGGATGGATGTTACAAAAATAGTGTTTTATTTGCTCTGGCAGAAAAAAGCATGTCTGGTTTGTCTCCTGGTCACATAGATTTGAACAGGCCGCTGTCTGGCCAACCACAACAGTAAGTCTATAAATGGGGCCGGTTTTTAAAAGATGGCTGCGCAGGGTTTAAGCGTTTTTGTAAACAACACTAAGTGGACGGTCCAAATTGGTTATTACTCAATAATAAACACAAAGAAGGGTGGTTTAAACTAAGTGGTGGCTTTCATATCATGTCGTGTTAGAAGCCATGAATTGGATGTTGGAAAAGGAAGCCAACGTGAGACAAGGACTGTTCAAGATATCTAGATTTCCTATTTGTTTCTGGGAATAAGGTTCATTTAAAATCTAAAATAGCTGTAAATCCTTTGAAGAAAGTTATTTTGAAAGTTGGTGTGTCACTGATCTCAAAAATGCTTAAAAGCCTATATAACCTATAGCATAGTGACATTGCAGGTGTCAAGGTGAAACTCTTAAGCTACATTCCAGTTGTACTCAGAAGTTGGGATTTCTTAGCTCCGAGATGGAAATTCATCTGGAACCCCCTTTTGAAGTCGGATTTCTGACTCGGACCCCGACTTGACAACAACGTCATAGTCCAAGATGGCAGCGCAGTGCATCAAAAGAGAAACAGTGAAAGCTCTCGTAATGTATTATTTATTAGCGCTTCAGTTTTGTGTTTGTGAAATTAAATAAGTGGTTTATGTTGTACTTCCCAATGTCTAACTGTGAACACGGTACTATGGTGTTTGTAAAAAAAAAATACTGTGTTATGCTTTCTTTACAACTGGTGTAGCTAACAACAACTGACAACGGCTGACAACGACTAACTGTAGGCATTCATCTTGGTTTCCTGACTTGTTAACTGGAATGCCGTCAACTCAGGTTTATCGTCATTCCAAGCTCCGACATCAGATTTCCGAGGTAACTGGAACCCAGCATTAGTCCAGTTTTATTTTTTTTGCTAATAACTGACAAAGAACTGATATTAAATTCCTGTGTTGATTTTGGAGTGAAATTTTTTAGTGAAATGAAAAATCTATTTTCCATTAAACTCTTCTGCATTTGATTATCCTTTTAAAACCACCACCCCTGTTTCATTGAATACTAAAATAAAAAAGACTACTTGTCTTGTTTGTGCTTCATTATCAGGCTGAACTTGAGTAGGTTCTCACACCAACAGTAACAATAAGATTTCCACATAAACAGGGTTCAGTCTGAGTTTGCCACGCTACATGCCAACAATAGCAAATAACCTCTAAATCTTAGATTGTTTACAACATACACTATATATACTGTGATGCAGCAGTTTCTAAATAGAAGTTTTAAATCCGAACAATGCCAGTTACTATACTGTGAGTGCTGACTCAACCAAACCTTCAGTCAACCTGAACTTGGGCAAAAAGCTGGAACTGAAAAAAAAGTTACCCTGTTGTTTCCTCCACTTAGTACAAATAATAAGTTGATCAAAACCACTTTCCAAGCTGTTAGCACATATATATGACTGCAGCTTTAGGGTCACAAATAACCTTTCCAGAAAACTATTCCTGCACAATCACTCTTTTCTTTTGTAAATTACACTTTTCTAGATTATAAAAGACTTAAAGAAGCAGAGATGTTCAAATATTAAAAATGCAGTAGCCTGGCTCATACTCCTGTCCCGCCTTTCTCTAAATCCCTCTTGCTGCTGCTCAGTCAGGGGAGGAACAAAAAGAGCCGACTCTCCAACCTGACACACGTAATTCCAGCAAATCAATACCAGCTCCTCTGAGTCTTTATCTTAAGCAGAATCAGGCTGGGATTCCATCAATTCAACAATGATCTTAAGCCCAGCTGAGAACAAAAACCAAGTCAATATTGGTCTGCTGCCTCAGATCCACCACGATTTCCTCCATCAGTGATCTGTGAACGTTGAATCTGAAGCCGGTTACATAACCCCGACCCTATAAGACTACACACAAAAACACACATGCACATGCAAGGGCTTGTTGAGCAGACACAGGACAATCAATGGTATTGCTGAACACAGCTGCTCTTCCAATCAAATCACTGCACTCAATACATCAAACGAAATCATTGAAGTATATTGTGCATGCATAAAATCAACAACAAATATAGTCACTCTTAATACATTACATATGAGAGGAAAAACATATTTTCCTTTGAAGAAACTATTTTTACAGGATTAGAGTTTCAGTGTAATCTGGATTAAAGTGGAGCTGTGCGTCACCACTCTTTAGAAATCTCTGTTTTAATTCATTAAACCTTTCACTTTGACCAGTATATGCAGAACAATACTGTCAACACTTGACACTGTTCACACCCTGATTTATTCAACACAAACACAAACAAACACACCCAGACTGAGCTTACACTGAGCAGTGTTAAGTCATGTGACCATGGCCACTTCTGCTGTTACAGGCGTGATGTTAAGATCATTTTGTGGCATCATGACATGTTTGTAACAAATATCACCTCCTCTTGTCTTTTAGTTAGTCATGTTCTGAAACTAAAATGACATAATTCTCCACTTTTTCATTACAAACCTCCCCAGTATAAGCATTGGTCGAAGCCGCACTCTGCTTTGATTAAATGAATGGATTTCACACATGAGGAGGATGATGCTTCTAATCCATTCAGCTACACGGATTATCCAATCAATCAACTTTGATGTTGTTTACATGCAGTGTCAACAAAGAGACATATGAAGTATGTTTCACACTATGTTTCTTCTGGTTTCTATCTGATTCGGATTGTTGAGTTTGCAGACGTGACACTCACCTAAAAGCAGCATCATTACCGTATAAGTAGGGCTGGGCGATATGGGAAAAAGTTTATCATGATATATATTTTTTCATATCAGTCGATATCGATATATATCACGATATAAAAAATGAAATTTAAGAGTGCTTTTTGCAACATAATAAGCTACTGAATCTGTGAGGTCTTTGTGTCTCTGACGTTTTGTCATAAGGTATTGCGCTAGAGAAAGCCGACTTAATGATCGGCTGTTTCGGCTGCACAGGCGCCATGGGCTCCTTGCTCTGCTCAGGGTTTGTAACCTTTTACATTGTGCCTACTTTGCCGCGTGGCACTGCTTCAGGTGTTGAAAAAGATTTGAGGCATTCCCCGACTTTGCGAGAACATGTACTCGACATACTTTGCAAAAACCAAAATACCTCCACACCACTGACGTTTTCGTGCTTCACTTGTTATAGTGCTATGGTTGCGTGCGGCTGCAGCCTGCTACTGCACAGTTGTTTGCTACTTGGTTCTAATTCAGCACGATTGGTTCAGTGCAAAGCGGACCCGGAACAACTCCCCTTTTCATTGGCTATTTGTATTTTCTATCAAAACATGGCAGAATGCAGACTATTGGAAAGCATATTGACCATGTTTCATATTGATATTGGGGGACATTAATTTTCGATATATATCGTTATCGTTTTATCACCCAGCCCTACATATAAGTAATGTGTTACCATCTTAGAAAACAGCAGATTTTTGCCTTTCTGTCCTTCCTTTTTTATAATTTTCTCTGTTTGAGATACAGTTTTAAATTGAGTAGCTCTCTCCCGATCATCATGTTTACTT